ATAATGTCACGCTTACTGCGGACCAAAAGACTAACTTAGCGGGTGCTTTCAGGTACTACATCAAGTGTAATTCACTGTTCAATGTCTCTACCCCAAGAGCACCAGCCCTAGCTTTGTTTTGAATTTTGGTTATTTGCGAGATAAACAAATATCCCCAAGAGGCTTCAGACTATGCTATGGGAGAACAGGAATATGTTTGAAAAATCAACAAAATCGAAATATTTGGGATCCTTACCGTCGCGTGTGGGTTAAGATCTTCTCCCCTCTAGTTCATATTCTCAGCTTCGCGGCATTACCCACCAAAGCATAGGGCCACTATATGTTGCCTTGAAAGAGTTGTTCAAATGCCGTTTATTTTGTGCTGATTAGTTTATATAGGGAAGTCATTGCAAGGTGCTTTTTCTACCATTCTTCAAGATCACGACAGCCATCCTTATCAACCACCTTTACTAGTACGCCCTTGAAATCGACGGGCATTCTGCGATCCAGCTCTTCTACGCACAATTTTAAAAGTTCGAGACCCTCCTGAAGGGTCATTTCGGGTCTATAATGGCGGTCGAGTAGCGAGAACGTATAGAACCCTGAGTATCCATGCGCAGCATATGGCAGCTCAACTTTAGTGCCCAGATAGTCGATCTGGTGAAGTTCCGTTTTGTTATTATGGGTGTCGTAACCTGCCAGTAAAACATTCACCTGGAAAGGTTTTCTGGAACGAATGGACTTCGCAAGCTCCTGTCTGACAAAGCTGGACACTGCCTGTGGTGACAGCTCATAGTTTTCCCGAATCGCATACAACTGTATGTTGGCTTGAATGTATTCCGCGAATTGAACGGTATCTCCTGCTTCCCCACTAAAAGCCATCAAGCTGTGTTCTGAAAGTTGTCTAGTTTTGTCGTCGTCGGCTTTTAGTATTGAAATACCTCGAGTGACAGCTTTGGATGTTGCCAGGATGACAGAGTCCTTGAGCCTTATACCGAGAGTGATATCCATGGCGGATGATTAATGAGAGCAAATAAAGAGGCTCACCTGAATCTATTGATGCTGTAAGAAGCTCGAGAGTATGCTGCTATAACCACCACTCGCTTTGCCCTTTAGAAGTAAGTCTTAAGGCAGAATCGTTAACCGTTCTAATTAGTCCAACTTTGCCACCCGAGCGACCTTTAATTTGATATCGTCGTGTACGAGTGTGACATTGCTAGATAGGTTTATTCACAGTAGAGCGTATTGGCATGAAATGTTCGTATAGGTCAGCCCCAGCGTAGCCCACAGAGACTTGAGCTCTGGTCCATGCGAGTTTTTTTTCTGCTTCTTGCCTGTTCTTGCGCTCTCAAAAAATACTGATACTCTGAACGGCTTGTTTAATATTTCATTAGCCTCGGAATGTATAAATGAAAACTAAGCAGTCCATGGTCTGCTTTGGGTGCTGACTAAGAGGCCTGAAGAGCAGGCTTGGTTTTTTTATAGCAAGTCAAGTTAAGGAACAGTCTCATTGTTATAGTGACCGCCGCTTATTCCTTGATTTTTTTCTCTAAGTAACACTTGACAGGTCAAAATGTAAGCACGTCACGGTATTCCGGCGGCTTCCGTACTATATGCAACAACATTGGCTTCTAAGACGAGGTCTTAATGGACCGTTCGGTTCGTAGTTATTTCCACTCCTCACTCTTATCATGAAATTAATTGCTGACGCCTAGTACTTAATATTTTACGCGTCGCCTACAGGGAAAAACACGCGATCGCTAACAATTGTGCCCCAAGCACCACCGGGAACCACACAGATCGAAATCAGCGCTATAGTGAAATACGCCACACTCGCGATTTCAATGACAAGTCAATCGCTGCCTCTGGGCAATGGGCCCAGCGCATCCGACATGCAATATTACTACCAATACCTATATCCATTCAAATCGATATTTCAATGGTTGAACCATTCTCCTAAACCAGGCAAGGATATGATGAACAGAGAACTCGCCATGGCGTTTCGTTCTGGTGCATACAAGCGGTATAATTCATTTGACTCTGCTCAGGATTTCAAGGCTCAGATTCAGCGCTCAAATCCTGACAGATTTGAGATTGGGGCCATCTACAATAAGCCGCCGCGACAAATGGACTCGATTTTAAAGGCAGATATGAAGCCTTTGGAAAAGGAAGTGGTGTTCGATATTGATATGGATGACTACGATCCTTACAGAACGTGCTGTTCGGGAGCCAATGTCTGTCATAAATGCTGGAGGTTCATCTCGTTGGCCATGAAGATAATAAACATCGCTCTGGAAGAAGACTTTGGTTATTCTGATTACATATGGATCTTCTCCGGGAGACGTGGTGCCCATTGCTGGGTCACGGACAAGAGGGCAAGGCAGCTTAATGACATTCAGAGAAGAAATGTGTTGGACTACATGAACGTGGTGAGAGATAGAAGTCAAGACAAAAGATTGAACTTAAAGAGACCATACCATCCCCACTTGTTACGCTCTCTTGAAACTTTGAAGCCATATTTTGTGGACATTATTTTAAGAGAGCAAAATCCTTGGCACGATGACAAAATGGCCGTTGAGGGTTTACTGCCTGGCCTCCACGATAAGGTTCTGATTGAAATACTGAAAAAACACTGGAAAACAAATCCGAATCGTACAAGTGAGCAGAAATGGGCAGATATTGACAGTTTAGCGGCATCACAGCTTAAGCACCCCTCTGCTTTGAAGAGGGCAGACTACTTCACAAGACTGCGCGAGTGTAAGGAAGATTTAGTTTTAGCTGCATTATATCCAAAATTGGATGTTGAAGTTACTAAACAGACTATCCACTTGTTGAAAGCGCCCTTCTGTGTCCACCCCGCCACTGGCAATGTATGTGTCCCCATTACCGAAACCTTCATTCCGAACGACGCGCCCAAGTTAATTCAACTACAAACTGAAATGGAATCGAATGAGAATCAAATTGAAAAGACATCTCTGCAACCGTATCTGGATCAGTTCCAGCGCTTTGTGAATCAAGTGGTCAAAAATGAACTAGCGAGTATCAAACGAGAAAGAGAGGACGAGGTTGCTGATACCTTTTGATATTTGGCCATAATTTGTTTATATAAAAGTCACAAAGTGATCGAAGCGAGCTTGAAGACACTTTTACTCCTACATTATCGAACAGCCCTCTGGATCATCTGCCACCTCTATTTCTTTCCGCAGAGAAATACTTTGTATACCCTGTTGGTGAGTCCATTGCAGTACCTGCCTGTTAGGATCATAAAGAAATTTGCCTGATGTGGTTTTAATGGCAGTCTGGCCCATAGGAAAATGTTTTTTGGGAAGAAAAATTAACGTCTGCATGACACCTTGAGCGGCCCTTGTCGTTGCGTTTATGGTCAGTCTGTATTCGACTTTATCGAGGTCAAATTCGGCGTCTTGAAATTCTCCACAAATTTTCATCGGATAGGGGCGAAGGATAGCATTGAGCGCGCGAAACCCATTGAAATCGCAAGGTATTATATCGTTTCCTATCATAGGATCAATGACGCTCCCGTGTGATATTGTCGAGAATGAGGACACCACATCAGAGTCGCTATCGGACTTGGTATCATTTTCAACAACAGACGCTGATGATTTATCAATGTCATCTTTACTCCACACCGAGAAATCTTCGTTATTCCAGCTGTCTCCCCATTCGTGAGAATTATCGCTACAATAGCACCATAAACTAAATGACAGATTGTTACCTTCTAAAGCATAACCTAGAGCGTCCATTGCTCCTAATTGTGAGCTGAAATCTCCATTGTTATACGCTTTTTTGCTATCCATGTCAAAAGGCATTCCAATTTCTGTGAAAAAGACAGCAATGTTCTTTCCTAAAAGTTCTTTCCCTTCTTCCTTCATTTGCGTCAGCTGCTTCTTAATACACTTGCGAATCATCCTTTCCCCTAAAACAATACTCAATATTGGATTTGCGTATCTTTCTCGTACTATTCCCAGCGAATCTACATTATAGAGTCTATTCCAGGACTTGAACATGAGTGACATACCATCATAAAAATGACAAGCATACACTGTCTTGTCATCTATCAAATGCGAACCCTTCAAGCTTGGAGGCTCTTGTAAAGTTGGAGGTTGCAGGAATAAAAACGACTCGCCATCAATGTTTCTAAAACTTTCCCGAAACTTTTGAAAGAATTCAACAAAAAAGCCATTAATGAAGTACCGAAGATCGATCACTGAGCCTGTCGTCGGGTCGCGTGCGAAATAGTCGGAAGTCATTAGCTGGGCCCTTCCATTTTTAGTGTAGTCCCAAACCCCATGCAATCTCCAAATACATGTCTCGGCCTTCCACTCCTCCCCTCTTTGCCAATTGTATCGGGAGTCAACATCCATTCTTTCTTCAGTTGTGAGCCAAGCCGACTGACCATCTGGATTTACAAACGTCGCTCCTGTCTTTCGAGGTCCGAATACAGTTATGTCGTAAGTATCGACATTTGCTGGTAATCCCTCGCCCAGCTGAAAGGACTGGAAGGCAGTCGGCGTGGTTCCCCTCTTGAGCTTACGGTCTTTAGGAACTTGTGATAAGTCAAAGTCTGTAAAGTACCCAACACTCGGTTCATTCATGGTTTCTAAACCTAAAATACACTGATCTTCGAAAAGCTCAGGAGCCCTTTCGAGTATTCTTCCATAAAACGCCATACACGCAGCAATAAAACTGTTCTGCAGGTAATCCTGAATGTTTTGGCCATTGATTGAGCATTTCGGAGCAAATTTCCTGCCGCCGTAAAATAGAGTGAACATGGTTTGTGTGGCAAGACGGTAGTAGTTGGTTGGCCACAGCATTTTGGGATAAACCTTATTTTCCTTTCCTGTTTTTGGATCGATAAACGAGTTATGCAAGATACTGGCTCCCGTCGGCTCGAACCTGCGCGGTTGAAATCCTGCACAATATAGTGTCCACAAGGGAGCACCAGAACCTCCAGTAAAACGCGACCACACATCTTGATGCGGATCCAAATATACATACATTCCACCCAGCCCATGAATCTTTCGTAAAACCTCGATAACGTAGTCCATATATGCAAAATCATAAATGCCGGGCCCTTCATGTTCGATGGACTCCCAGGTGAACGGAAACCTGATGGTGTTGTACCCTAAAGACTTTAATTTGGAAATATGATATTCCACCTCATTCGCCTTCAGCGGATGGTCGACAAAGCTGACTTCATTTGCATTGTCATAGAATTCCGGTGTGAGAGGCTCGTGGCTGGAGCCATGTGGGTTCGAGGGGTATTTGACAGTAGGATCCAAATTCACACCGCGCAACTGGATCTGGTTCCCGTCGCTGTCGACAAACTCTCCAGCGCTAGAAATATGAACTTTAGCAGGCATCTCTGGTGCCAAGATAAAAAACGTGGATAGTTGACCACTGTAGTAGTGCTAGCTAAAATAGCTGTAAGAGGAGGCTCTAATAGGATGATGAGAAAGTGAAACTCGAGTACAAAGGCCTTACTCTCGAGAACCTTTGCTATTCAATTGCCTTCCAAATGGCACAAAGGAACAAGTGTCCAAGAGTTTGGGTGTCCTACGTCGACTAGCGAGGCTATCTTCAAAATACTAGAAATGGATGTGGTTTGCAATAACCCTTAAACGACTACTCATTAACAGACCAGAGGCTCAAAGTATATTGGAAATACTTTATATAAAAAAGCTCCGATACGGGGAGTCGAACCCCGGTCTCCACGGTGAAAGCGTGATGTGATAGCCGTTACACTATATCGGATTTCGGATAAAAGAGCTTCCATGAGGTACAATATATTGATGTCACTTGCCCACGTTTTCGATTGATGTTCAATGACGGGTACTCTATGCTTGGTGTTGTTGCTTAACCATCATTTTCATTCAACGTCGTCACATAAATAACCCAGTCGTGGTGGACTGCACTATTTAAGAATATGTAATCGATTTACAGTTGATACCGTGCCCATTCTCGTGAAGGGGTCATTGCATGTGTTTAATCTTTTTTGGTAAGTGATATCTCAGCAGCGTCCTTGATTGGAACAGGAGGCTTGGAAGCATCCTCATCCAACACGATGTCGTCTTCAATTGCCTGCCTTGATGTTGTTCTTAGTCTAGCCTCCTCTTCTTCCTTTTTGATCAACGCTTCCTGTTCTTTCAAAACGTTGAGCTTAAACTCGTTGTCATCTGAGCGACGAATGTCAGTGTCTTCTTCTTCTTCTTCTTCTCTTTGTGCTTCAACCTTAGGTGTCTGTGGTTCTTTTTCGGTCTTCGTTTCAGCTGCGGCACCTCCTTCGGTGGTGGTCACTGAAGAACCTTCTGCCGCGGACGTTTGAAGAGCTTCGGTACCTTGGATCGTGGTAGCTGCTTCGTTTGTCTTGGCTTCTTGTTCTTCTTCAGCAGCAGATTTTTGCTCCTTAGACTCGCTGACGTCCAACTTGGCTACATTGTACACTGGATCTGGAATTGAAGACAACACCTGCAGGATACCATCGTAATAGAGATCCATTAGCTTGTTGAACTTGGTGTCGTCGACCTTTGCGGCAGACGTAGAGTGAGCACTGACGTCATCCAGTTGAAGACCACCAAAAGTGTATGCACTGCTGAGGATCATCAGCACGCTTGGTACCTTATGTCTCAATCTCAACTCCAACCACATGTTCATGTTTTCAATCAAATCCTCGCGTTTGACGCCAAAAGTCTTGATACCTCGAGAAATGCAGGCCTGGTAAAGCTCCTCATTGGATAGCGCTTCGGCGCCTTCGTAGTCAACAATCTTATCATCCTCCATGATCGTCTTCAGGTTGTAACGGATTTGGTAGCGTAGCAAGTTGTCATTACCGAAGGGCCTTAACGACATGTATTTGGCAATCGCTACCAGCTGAGGGCGGGACAAGTTGTCCAAGACGCTATCGTTCTTGAACATTTGAGCCACAGTTACGATCTCATCGTGCGTAAAAACGTTGTTGTTCCCATCCTTAGGGGAGTTGAGTTTCTTGAAGAAGTTCAAAAACTTCTTTTTCTTCTCGGCGGTCTCAATCGAGTTGTAACTGATCAAGGATGATTCCTCCAGGGTTTCTTGTAAAAAATTGGAGGTCTTTTGCCTGACGTCGTTCAACTCCTGCTTTTTCAATTGCTTGGCGCTGCCGGACTCGTAGGTGGAGGGTAGTAAGCTTGGAAATATTTTCAGCGCCACGGGAAGTAGCAATTCTGCAAATGGGATGATCAAGAAGGCACTGAATGGTACCAGGCGGAAAACATCCCCCATCGTCCTCTTAAGCTGATTTTTCTCACGTCTCGAGAGCTCGTACCCCTCAACAAGCTTGAATAGCAGCTTAGTTGAGATCTTGATTTCGTAGCCCAACAGCTTTGTTCCATTGACGTAATGTCTGATCTCATGTTTGATTCTCTGCATGAGCGGTTCTTTGGGCTTGGGTTTTGCGTTGGCCGTTGCCGCTGCGCTTGTTGATCTACTGGACCCTTCGACGCTCGAAGCATTCGCAATGGTTTTTGCTGGATCCGTGGACGATTTCGTACTTGCAGAGTTCCATCGTGTTTGGTTGAATGCTATGCCTACTGGTGGTTGCGAAAGGCCCGTCCGAAGGCCCAATTTTGCCACATGGGTTATTGGACGTAAAACAATTCTGGTGGAGGCCATTCACTCAAGTAAGCAGCTGCTGACGCCCACGAGTGTACTTTGCAATTGCAGTGCTTGTAGATGTATGTACCACCCACCACATGGAGGTATAAGTCATAGGCTGGAAGAAAAGCCGAGCTTTTAATACCGGATCTACTCACGTGATTATAAAGCCATGCCTCGGTCACGTTGAACGTGGTGATCGAGGTGGGCCCTGACACCCAGAGAACGTATCTGTAGCTGATCCAGTCCCACTCGCATATCGTCGAGAAAGAGTTTGAGTAGTCTAATCTTAGAGCTATACCTTCTAAGCTCAGCGCATTTGAATTTTGTCGATCGCTGTTTGTTCAGCCATGTATCGCCAAAACTATACTACTCCAGATCACGTTGTAGTTATAATCACAGCTTGTCCTTGGTGTTGTGATACGGACTGACTTCATAAAGATACGGTATAGATCAATTCACCCTATTCCCCTCCAATTTTGAGACCAAGTAGCAACCAAGTAGTGTCCACATATCCCACTTATACTCGAAATCCCCTGCTTGAACTTGATACACAACCAGAAGCTGCCTAGTGACACCCGCGCGTCATTTTGAGGTTTTTCATATATATACGACGTTATGGACACCAGAGCCTCGCTTGCTTTCCACAGAGCCCATAAGTAAGATAGGTTTGTATGCGTGGTAAGCGATCTGACTTCCGGCTTCTCCAGGACGGCTTTGTTCTGTCAGGTCCTTATAATGAAAATTGAAGTATTATTAACAGGGTACACCATATATCATTTATATTGTTTTAGACTAAAGCACACGCTCACACACACACACACACACACACACACATACTCACCCTCCAAGATGATCACGTCTCGGAATTTTGGCATGGTATGCTACGTGCTCACGTATGTGCGGTACATCAAGGACAACTCGCTTCTGAATGTTGTCTTGTCTGTCCTGGTCATCATCCTCTCACAAGTACTGCAGCAAATGGTCACTCTGTACTACAAAAAGCGCCAGGACAGCACGGAACTGGGATCCAATCCCAGCGAGGAACTCGCGACAATATTCAGAGTGCTGATGAAGGGCCTGCGGTACTATCAGACGGTTTTTGTGCTGCAGTTTGTGCTTTCTCTGCTGTACCATTTGAAAATAGACATTGACAGGGACGTATGTGCGTGGAAAAACGGCTACATTTTCGTGGACCTGGTAGGCGAGTTCGACTGTGGTCAGGGCGGAAAGTGGATGATCTTCATGCTTGATATATTCTTGCTGCTGTCGCAGTTACTGACTTTCAGTGAATGTTTTAATACCTGCGGAAGGACAGTAGGTGAGACAGTACGAGAAACGAGCCTTGAAGGCTTCAACTCCCACGACTTTGGCATTCTGAGCATACTGAGATTTGACTCACTCGGCACACAGGCGCACGAGCTCGGTTTTATCTCCGAAGGACGGACCCTGGGCTCTCCGCCCGACGATTCCTACGGTAGCATTATCCAGTCACGTGATCTCGAAGTACTCGGACGAGTACCGTGAAATTTCATGCGTTTGTTGCTAGTTGGGCGATTAAACTCATCGATCCGCTGCACACCGCTCACCGCTCACCACGCACCGCACACAACATAGCACGGCTTTCTGCGATGGCCAAACTCAATAAGAAGGACAAGTCGCAGGGAAAGGGACCAAATGTGAACGAACATGGAGTCATCTTGGTGCCACCTCCAAAATCCGTGCCGAATAAGGAACACATGCAACGACTCAATTACTTATTTCAACTGTCCACTTTCCACACGATGGCCAACGATCAGGATCAAAACCGTTCGTTATCTAGGATGTACATCAGAAACTTGGACCTGATACAGAAGAAGACTAAGAGTGCATTAACGCCTAGTTTCAAGAGGCAGATTTGTAAAAGTTGTCACAGGGTTCTGATTCCAACGAAGACCATGACACAGCAGATCATAAACGAAAGTAAGCAAAAGACAGCGCGTAACGACGTATTGGTGCTTTCGTGTGAGTGCGGTGTACGCAAACGCTTTCCTGTGGGTCTAAATCCCGGATACCAACCGCATGTCGAGAGGGTCGGCCCGATCTACATGTCGAAGTAAGTTAGAGGTCTGGCCCCGCCGGACGGTGCACGCCTCTGCGTATCAAGTTATATTCACCCATTCATTCGTAGTTTTTTAAAGTAATATATACAGTATTAATCCCGAGCAGCGCTTCGCTCACCTACAGAAATGCCTGTGCGCTCTTCTCCAGCTCTTTTTGTTGATCTAGAGCCGCCTGACGCTGTCCTGCCAGTTTTCGGGCTTCGGGATAGATCTTGTAGCCGTTGTTGGTCTTTCTAAACCAGTTTAGTTTCCAACTAATTTCGTGAGCCAGCAGCTCCCCAAAACCGAGCATCAGACCATTGAAGAAGGGCAGAACGAGGTTAATGGAGCACAATCCAGCAAAATATAGAGCTTTCATCCATGGAGGTTGCCCTGACTCCTGTAGACTCGAAACATTTCCTGCACCAATTTTATCCTCAGTTTTCTGCAGTGGCTCGTCGTGCTCATCGCCTTCTTCCACACCAGAACCAGCTGTGGGTCCAGGATAAACAGCAGCGGCCAACTCCTCTGGGATGCTTTTTTTTAATTGCTCCACCATGACAGTGTGACTTCTTAGGTCTGTAGGTTGCCGAAGTTTGTGTGTAGCTTAGTCTTGGTCTCTCCTAGCGTAATATAGATGTCAACTAAGGTGCGAGTACGAGTACACCTGCCTGTAGTAGTCAAAACGCAGTAAACTGAAATGTCGAGTGGGTGGACAGCGGAAAGCTCTCACGAAGATGCTTGAATTACTCCACATTAGGAAGAGTACTTCAGTTAATGGCTTTCTTATTTATTGGTATTGTTTTACACTTTAGAAATGTGGATAGAATTACGCATCGGGGCACCTCCCCAAGATCGGAAGGCTATAGGTACCTACCACCCCGTCTATAGTTCGTGGTGAAGCTCCTTACACAGACCTTTTTGAACTTCTCAGCTAAACCAAAACGCTGGTATACTCAGTTAGGCTATTACATCTTGATTACTATCTCATGGGATCGGGAAGCGAAAGACGAAAATATTAAGAGCCAGGGATTCCCCAGGCCTTTATCAGGTTGATTCTCTAGAAACGCGGTTGAAGCTGGACGGCGTAGCTCAATAGGCAACCCTATAGCGCTGATTTGGGGCACTAATGCTCTCTAGCTGACCTTCATTGGTATCACTTAGTACAAAACTGACGCGACTCAAAATATCGAACAGTTGTTGTTCAGTGCTGTAGTCAAAGTTGACAAACTGCAAGCAACCCGCCCTTCATTCTATATGAGCAACAGCTGTCGCGGGCCGTTGACATTTCTCTTTTGATCTATCTAAATATATAAATACATGTCACGCGGTGCATAAGATCAAGATAATGTAAAATAGGTCTTTTCTCTGACGTTCTTGAAACGTATTCACAACATCAAGCCCGGACGTCGCTAACGGTAGTCTTTTACTTGTCTTTGTGCTTATTTATTCAGTCACGGTATCTAAATGAATTCATCAAATGCTCAACAACAGCCACGAAAAGCGGCCAAAATCTAGCACCAAATATCTCAATGGTGAGTGGTCTTAGTGTTTCGATACAGCCAAGTAAGCCTGTGGATACTTCGCTTCTCTAGCTCGAAATATCATATGGCAGTGACCAAGAGTCTGACAGTTGTTCTTGGAGTCGTTCCATACGAACACGAAAGTCCATTTCGATCGTTTCGCCACCGGGCAGCTTTTAAGGTCAACTACGTTCACCACCGCTAAGGACAGTAGCAGATAAGGCCAATTCATTGCTCGAAAGGATGAGTGGCTACGACAGAGCATTATCTATTTTCTCGTATGTGAGACATCCACAACGGGGCGCCTGAGTCCGTCAGCAATTCCGCAGCCAAGAAATCGTTGAATCTGGCAATGGAGTGACATTGCAATTTACTAACCAGTTAATTCCTTCGAAACAGACCAGATGGCCACATTTTCCAAGTAGAATATGCGCTGGAAGCCGTTAAGAGAGGTACATGTGCGGTCGGTATCAAGGGCACGGACTGTGTCGTAGTGGGATGCGAAAGACGGTCGACATTGAAGCTGCAAGACCCTCGTATCACGCCGTCCAAAATATCGACTATCGACTCTCATGTGGTGCTCTCGTTTGCCGGTTTGAATGCAGACAGCCGTATTCTGATCGAAAAAGCGCGCGTGGAAGCCCAATCGCACAAACTGACCCTGGAGGACCCAGTCTCCATAGACTATTTGACACGGTACGTCGCCGGCGTGCAACAGAGATATACTCAGTCTGGTGGTGTGAGGCCCTTTGGTGTTTCCACGCTGATTGCCGGCTTCGACCCGCGCGACACACAACCGAAGCTCTATCAAACCGAGCCTAGTGGAATCTACTCCGCCTGGAGCGCTCAGGCTATTGGCAGGAACAGCAAGACAGTACGTGAGTTTCTGGAGAAAAATTACAGCAAAGAGCAGCCTCCTGCTTCTGAACAAGAATGTGTCAAACTTACCGTGAAGGCGCTTCTGGAAGTGGTTCAAACCGGCGCCAAGAACATCGAGATCACCGTTGTCCGTCCACACTCCAAGATCGGCACTCTGTCAAGTGAAGACATTGGCAAGTACGTGGACGAAATCGAACAAGAGAAACAGCAGGAGCTGGAAAAAAAGAAGAAAAAGAGGGGTGAGAACTAGAGACAGAGTTTACATACTTCTAATAACAAATCGCATTTTGACTTGATTGGATCACAAACCAACTCGGAGTTTTTTGAGGGAACAATGTGCTTCTCGGCGGTGAGACCTCATGACTGGCTCAATGCCATGTCTACCTTCGTACGGCTCATCACCTCGAGGCTATTTATTTAGACAGTACTGTGAATATCAAAGTTGCGAAGGCATCGTACAGTTATAACCAGATATATATTCTCGAATATGCGAGCCAAAGCCAAGCTCTTCTCGCTCCATTCTAGTCCCCAGTTGGAGGCTACTTTCAGATTCATTGATCAGCAAGAACCATGTAAATATCCCCTAGCAGCTGAGAGATGTCCAGAAGGAAAAGCGTACGCTCCTTATAATGATATCCATGAGGTGTTCGAGGAGTATCTGACGGAAAACAAAAGTGATTCAATGCCTCTGTTACGCGCATCGGAAGAATCCAAGGGGTTTACGAAGCTGCATTCGCCGCCGAACGTCTTGCATCCAAGGCTGTTGCGCTTGAATTTGGCAATGTGCGAGGCTAACGCCATGGATCACACAAGCGATCTGTTGACCAATCGCGGCGACCTGACGGACTTAGCTCTGTCATTTTTCCCACATTTTGCCAACGGGTTTGAAAAGATTCACCATATTGCATACGTGAAGCACGGAAGACTGTTTTTGTGGCACGATCGCCACAAGGACGAGACTTTCAATTCGCTACGTGCGAGAAACAACTGGTATAGCGGTTACAAGTTTGAAGCGGTATGCACACACCAGTGGCCGGCAGACCGCACCGCATGGCTTCCGTTGCCGGAGATGAATGGCCGGGAGGCCATCCCAGCGCTAAGTCTGGTCAAGCTGCCGCTACCTTTGGGCGTGCAAGCGATAATTCTAGCGGAATACGATGCTACCAAACTTTCACAGAAGGGTAAACAACACAAGTTCCCCTTTGTGGAGCTCAAGTGCTTCCAGCCACACATCCCGAGAATCAACGACATCGCATGGCAAAAACTGCCGCCCGACGAGGCACTGCGGTCACTGGTGAACAAGAAATCGTTTATGAAGTTTTACAAGACCTGCTTGCAATGCAAGCTGGCCGGGTGTGAGGAGGTTGTGTATGGTGTGCGGGACTCTCGCGTAAGCCTGGTGGGGGTCCGGCGGTTCCGCGTGGACGAGATCGAAAGACGATTGTGCGAGCTGGACCCGGCCATGTACCACCGCTACTACTTGAAAGCCCTGAGGAATGTTGCAGAGTTTGTACGCCTGCTGTGTGCAGAGTGCCGCGAGGGCGATTTTTACCTGGTGAGCAAGAAGAGTGTGCGTGCGCCGCTGAGCGTGCAAAGGATAGCGGAAAGCGAGGTGTTGTTCCCCATTCCCTTCACGCCGGCGTTTGAGGCAATGCTGCTGGAGGGCGAGAAGGAGCGGCGAGACCGTGTGGGTGAAAGCTTTGGTCACGGTAGCGAGCGAGACTTTTTCGAGTTTGTGGCCCCACCGCCAGCACGGAACGCAAAGAAGACAGGCCGCGTGCCAGATACGCATCTGCCAGCAGAATCTGAGACGCCTGCAACCCTGAGCCAGGAGCTCCTGGACGCGATGGCCAAAGCCAGTATCAGCTAGGCCATATATGTCCCAGTCCTTTCCTCTAGTCCTTTCCTCCAGTCCTTTCCTCTAGTCCTTTCCTCTAGTCCTTTCCTCTAGTCCTTTCCTCTAGTCCTTTCCTCCAGCCCTCTTTCCAGCCCTTTTTCCAGTCGTGTATTCCTTTTTTCTGCGTCTGTCTGCACCTTAACGCACCAACATGCATTCGTGCCTTGTTTCCTGTGCTCCCATGTACCTACATGCACCCGCTCCTGTTCTCCAGCTTTTTCTTACTGTCTGTCTACTTTACCGTAATCATCAGCCGCAGTGCCGCACACACAGCACACACCGCCGTTGTGTTTTTCTCCCTATACGGCAAAACTAGGCGACACCGGCTTGTGCGCTTTTTGGCATGGCATTGTTCTCTCCTTTTGCATCACCGCCGCATCAGATATAATAACCAACGAGTCGAGTGAGTAAGCTCATTAGATATATGAACGCTTTGGGCTAACCAGGTCAAAAGGTACATTAAAGTGAGTTGTGGCAAACAACGGCAATTCAAATCGAACAAAGACGGTGCTAAGAGCGCTTGAAAGAACACACACACGGAGCCACAAACCACGGACAAAGTCAAGCTGTCCAGCACCTGTGACAGCTGTAATTACGGTATACACTTGGCCGTCTTACACCAGCAGAAAAAAGTGGAGGAGTCACTTTGAACGGAGCAGAACGACGATACAAGCATGGCCCTCCAGGACATCAAAGAGGAGGAGGACCAGGCGGACGACGTCCAGCAGCAGGCTGAGATAGACCTAAGTCGGGCTGCCGAGCGCGCCGAGCCGTCAGGAGTGGCGAAGCTCGATAGCATTTTCGACGAGGGCGGTGGTGTCGCAGCCGGAGGAGCTCTGGCCCCCACCACCGAAGCTGCGAGCCACGAACAGGCCCAGGCGCCGCTGGTGGGCGACGTAGCACTTATTCCAGATGCTTTCTCGGCGTCTCAGGAAGCCCTGCTCCCACCTCTTCCGGAGGACAGCGCAAACCTTGCGTCACCTCCAACCACGCTATCGCCTGCGCTGCCCGCGACACCAGACTCGGGGCCACCCAACCTGGCTTCTTCCAGGAGTACGAGCACTGTCAGCTCCGTCTCCCGGGCGCCCTCTGTGGTGCGTCGAAATAATAATAATACAAATTTCATGAACAACAACCATGCCGATTTCAATAATGTATCCACCGGCACCAACACCCTGACCGGGTCGCCGTTTGCCTCACCCAAGGAGCCACTGCGTTCGGACCGCGAGACACGTCTCAGCGGTCTGGGCGACCCGTTGCCCTCTGGCGTGGCGTTTGACCTGGGCACTACTTTGGAGATCCCCCACGGTACAGAGCCGGACTCTTCCTTCGATCTTTCCAAAGCACTAGAGATTCCTAATGGTTCTGCAGGAGTTGCCACCACTGCCACTACCACCACCACCACCCCTGGCGGTACGGCAAACACTCACATCCCATCCACTATCAACGGCGTGGCTGCTGCTGCTGCTGCTGCTGCCGCCGCCACCCTTTCAACTAACAGCATGGTCGGCTCCAACAGCAATGGTAACAGTACGGATTCTACGTCCGCCATACCTCTTTCTCCGCAACTGACATCCCCAAAACTCTCTTTCAAGCGGAAATTCTCCTCTACTTTGCTCCCAGCGACAAGCTCCTCCAACCTTGCAGGTACCAATCCCACCCATGAAGGTCCATCCACCCCGGAATTCTCGCTACACCATTTGCAACGGCACGGTTCAGTACGTTCGAGAACCGCGACAACGGACGTCCCAAGGCTGGGCTCTCAACTGGATGTCCATGCGGGGCTCGGTATAGATCACCCCAATCTCGACTCAAATACTAGTCCTTTCGCCACGGCCAAAGTTCTGATGCGCAAATTCAGTATTGGCAGCAGCGGTAGTTCTTCTCGCTCGCTGCCCGAAAATGAGGAGGCACTCTTCAAGCCTCCACCCAATTTCACCTCTGATGTTAATTCCTTCACCAGTTTACACGATCTGAAATCGCCGCGCTCTTCTTTGAACCTCGCAGAGGCAGCAGCAAATCAAAACCACCCTAAAGTCCCGCTTCTGAAACGAGCTTCGAGCGCCATTCTACGGAAAGCTTCCGTGGCAAAGAAGAGTCCCACCTCCCCCAAGTATACAGCCTCACCCGAGTTTCAGGATCTGAGGCGAACGGCTTCCTTTTCTACGGTTCCTTACGACTCCAACCGTGTTATTTCATCAAACTTACATGCGGCTGCTGATGATCATATCAACACCAGCACCACAACGCTTCAGCGTATGATGGTAAAAAATAAACACCACCATGTGTCCACTCGCTGCATAAGTAACCCCGAAGGACTACATTTTGCCAATTCACGAGCCACCTCCCCAGAGAACCGATCTTTCGGCTCGAGGGTGAAAAGTGGATTAACTAGAATAATGAGCGGAAGTAATGTAGACAAAACGTCGCAGCAGCTACATGGTGATCCCAGCGGTGGAAAAGAAAGTCAAAAGGACACGTCAAAAGTTGAGTGTACTCCAGATTCGATTTCAGTAGCGTCACCTCGCCACTCCGCCCATTGGCAACGGATCGGGGCGTTGTGTCCTCCAAGATCCGCATCCTCCAGTTCTGGGCAGCAAACTACTGATCCCGAAAAGGTTTTCAAAAAGGGCCAGTGGAAGCAAAATACTACCAATCTGAGCATGGGCAGTGCTGCGACAGCTAGGAATGACAGTGTTTTCAGTCATCACAGCGACTCCTCCTTTGGTCAGGGATCCGAGAGCGACGAACTCACGATCGACATTGATGAACTGACTAAAGCACTGCCAGCAATAACCATCACCGACAAGCTGGGTGCCAAAAATGTGACACCCATCCAAACCCAATCTAACGTATTACTAGATTTGGTGTCCAAGGAAAACTCGGGTCAGCGTAACATGACCTCACAGAACAAGAGTGGCGAAGAAAAGCCTATTAAGATATCCTTGAAGGAGTATATCGATGTTTTGATTAAACAGCAGCATATTGAGGACGAACGATTTGCTGTTTTGGAAAAGAACTTTGCTACTAATGGTTGGTGCTCTCAAGACGACTTGCATAACATCCAGCAAAAACGAATGATCATCAACAAAAAATGGGCCGAACGCATCTCTCATTACCAAAGTCGGCTCGAAGCCTAACACATGAGCATTCCCCCAACTGCGCACCAAGTGAAGTTCGGGTGGCCATTTCAAGTGCTCCAAAAAGATTGCATTCATAGATATAGTATATATAGACATGTATACATGGGAAAAACACGGATTAGCATACATTCAAGTGGCGATACAACTTCCTACAATTGGCTTGTCTGTCGTGATTTTCCCCATGTTTATTTCCTTACCATTTTCCCCGGGTCGTGCGACTGGTCCCCAGTCCCACACCGTTTGCATCGACTTCCTCATCCTTCCTCTACGAGACGGCGTTTCTTGATACTTTCCAGCATTTCGCGCGATTTTCGCTCATTCATCTCTTCCAATCGCTCTTTCCAAAACTTATTTTCTTCGAGTAGCTTGTCAATAGTCCCATAAAGTTCCGATATTTGAGCATTGAGCTGCTTTAGTTTTTCGGCTTTCTCGTGCTGTCGCTGCTTTTTCCGCACACGGAATCGAGCCGACGCCTCCGTGTTCTTGCGTCTCTTTTCCAGTTCCACTTTCTTGAATTCATTCAGCTCTTGTTCCGTGTATCTCGTTGTTACCTTCGACTGTTGCTCCAGCTGCGGGTTCTTTAAGTCCAACTTTTTGAGCCCATCCAGATCGCCCTTGTTGACCGCATATATGATTTCTTTGGCATTCCCGCTGCTCACCAGGAGCAGAGAAAGTAGTCTGGAGCCCAGCTCCGAGTTGCTAGATATCAGGTCATGCAGCTGTCGAGAGAGGTCTGTGTTTTCGCCCTTAACATTTACTAACGACGCTGCCGAAATAGCGTTCGCAGCAGTGGGCCCAGCGTTGACCGGTTCCACCGGTGATGCTCCGCCTGGCGGTTTGGCACTGCTTTCATTGGTCCCCGCAGCTTCGTCCTCGCTGCTATCCTCGCTGCTTGACTGGTTTATGAGCCTAGTGTACAGATTCTGGAATTTCTCTTGATATTGTTGGCTGGTTGGAGGTTCCCGGCTACCGGTTGAATCTGCCGATGCCATAGACGGCCCAGTCAAAAGCCCATCGTGCAGTGGCATTCCAGTCTACTCAGTCTTTATAATTTTCCTGGTATCCGTGTGTCTTGACTTCTCAAGTGCAGCTTCAACAGGCTCTCAACAGGCTCTGGCGACTCATCAATTAGCTAAACTTCTGCCGACTAACAGTTAGGAATATAAACGCTACGTCCCAGCAGCTCTTTCTTCAACTTGCACGTCTTACAAATATTTTGAGGCAGATCCGCGTTGTGGCTTACCAATGCCACTTTAAAAAGACGCTTCTTCCGGCTGCTGGTGTAAGTGCAGTCGGCTTGCGGAGGGGTCATCCCGATACGACACCTACTCAAGAACTGATACTACGCTGTGCACAAATGCTTGCTCTGTCAACAGTTGTGGTGGCACCGAAACTCGGCCCCAGAGGCTACTTGCACGTGTGACTTGTCGAAGCCACATCCCACGATGGAAGGGCTAGGTTTCCAACGTTGGCACGCTACGCTGTCGGGTGGTTGGTTGGTGTCACTTGGCCATGTCAGGCGTAAAAAAGTGTGAAAAAAAATCCTGCACCCAGTCGATGCTCTAGTCGAGACTGGATAATTGGATAGTTGGCGCGGGCTTTTCGACTCAGTTGACTGGCACTGTCAACGTCCAGGTGCGGTGTGCAGAACGAGAGAGATTTCTTTAAGGGCCAGCTAGGTCTGTCAACGGTGGCCCTAAAAAGCGCCGGCCCGGGGGGCTCGTTGACCTCGACAGCAGCATCGACGCAAGGTCCTCACGACGGCGTGCTGCACGTTGGACCCGACCCATTTTCACTGCCATGGACGGATGTGGGAAACGGTTGGTAGCGTCTTTGAGATCCGTCGTCTACGCTCTTGCCCACGTCAGAAGCGTATGCGTGGCGATATGGCTCAGACTTGTGGTTGAAGGTAATCACGATTCAACATCGTATAGCTTCTATGGCCAAGTTGGTAAGGCGCCACACTAGTAATGTGGAGATCATCAGTTCAAATCTGGTTGGAAGCATGTATTTTTGTTGATGATAGTCATTAATTGTCATTAACCCTGTGAATTGTGTTTGTTTAATTTTTGACAAAACCCGATCTAGCGGCGAGTACGTGTCCAACAGCTTGAGATGTGTTGCGTAAGTGCTCTCGTATGACATTCCGCCCAAGTACACTTCATATATCCCAGATCTGAATGCGGAGACTGTCGTATCTTCGCAAAGCCGCGGTTGTTGCACTGGCAATTTGCACTCTTGTTTGGTTTGTTCCACAACATTACAACGAATATCAACCGCCGCTGGAGATCATCGCCGAGTTCAAGAAACTCACAGAGAGGGACGGCCGGTGGCCAGCGCTAGGCTCGTCTCCGTTCGCCAATTTTGGTATCAAGCAAGGCAGATTTATCTCGGGAACCTCCCTAGATTGGAATCAATTTCGTTCTCTGAGGCTGCAGGATAAGTGTCGTTGGTACTTTGACACAGCATATCGCACGGACGCACACTGGACAAATGACGAAGTGCGCGAGCGGTATGACGAAGATAGGCTGGACAATGCCAGACTGTCCCATGTCGTGGAACGGCTGCGAATGTACGATGCGTGTTTTGTGGAGGGAAAGCTGAGTCTCGATGAGGTGCTGGGGCCCAAGCGAAGTCGTCGGGACTTCCACCACCGGATGTTCCCCTTTTTCAAGGAGTTTCGAGACCTGGATGAATTGTGGCCGCAAATCACTTTTCTCAATACGCAGACCCCAATCCCAACGGCCAGAAATCCTAACTGGGGTCCAGAACACCGAGCAGTCTTTGAACTAGACCACTCAAAGACGTTCTGGGACAACTGGGCTTCATTTTCCTCAGGAAAAGGCCTGGTCCTAACCCTGGGTGAGCGACATAAGGATATTTTTCTCCGGCTGCTGAGCGTTTTAGACCATTTGGGCAACACTCTGCCGATCCAGCTAGTGCAGCAAGGCGACGAACTTTCCCAAGAATTCCTAGATGATGTCACGGCGTTCTTGCAGGGCAGCAACCAACGAGTTTATCACGTCAATTGCCAGCCATTGTTCAACATATACTATACGGGTAGGCTGACGTACTTCGTGAACAAATGGCTAGCCTCTATCTTCAACACATTTTCGGAAGTCATCTTGCTGGACGCCGACATTATCCCGTTCACGTCGTTGGCCGGGTTTTTCGAGCCCTCTGCTTACCAGAAGACTGGCATATTCCTCTTCAAAGACCGCGACTTGGTCGAAGAGCACACATTCGACTACTGCATAGAGATGTTCAAGTTTCTGGAGCCCTCGGCACAGGCGGTCATGCTGATGGATTTCCACATGATTGCCAACACATCGGCCATTACTCCCGAAACGTCGATTTTTGCCAACTCCGAGGAGAAGGTCTTTCATCGGTTTTTTCACCAGAAGCTCGTCCACAACGTTGACAGCGGCCTGGTTGTAATGAACAAAACCAAAATGCTGTCCAGTTTGATTATGGCATTTTTCATGAACCTTGATTCCAAGATCAGCGGCTGTGTCTACGGCGACAAAGAACTCTTTTGGCTTGCGCCGCTGTTCAATGGCAAGAACTACACAATTCACCCCATGGACGGGGCAGCCATCGGAAGCGTTCAAACTGACCATACCTCGGCCGACGGTGGGGCCTCGAAATATCAGATCTGCTCCACACAAATGGGTCATGTTAGCGAAAACCAAGAGCTGCTGTGGACCAACGGTGGACTGAAAACGTGTAAAGTCTTGAATGCCGCACAGCGAGACTTCGACGACAAGCCAGCCTATTTCGAGCCCCGGTACGGAAATGCCCAAATGTTGCAAAGTTTGTACGAAAAGCCGTTGAGCGTCGAAGGCTTCATTATCCCCGACACTAGCTCGGATCCCTGGTTCAAAGCAAACGAATGCTGCGAGTATGCTTACTGTGCAGCCGTCAGGACGCAAGGCGGAGCCAAAGGGGAAATGGCGATCTTTGATGAAAACACTGCCGGCTACTTAAACGAGATATCTCACGTATGGAATCGTCAGGGCAGCTCTCAACCCGGCGCGTAGAGGTTGTTGTACATACTACCACAACCAAACGCTGAAGACTCTCGAAAGGCCGGACGCACTGGGATAGAATCACGTGACCCTACTCTCTCTCTTTTCATCACGTGGCCGGAAATCCCACCGTCCAATTTAGCGCTGTGTAAATTATAGTTTTGGTGTCGCGAAAGCACATTCACGAAAACAACATCTAACGACAGTCCCCCGCTGCCCGCCACCTCTCCACAGGAGGGCGCCTCGGAATAACCGCCTGGGTTGCTCGGTGTACATAAACAACAAACCTTCCATCCATCTACATAGAAATTCCCACCGTCATGTGGTTCAAAAGCCTCTGATCGTGCATGGCCGACAACGACAGCTGTCCGGCCCAGCACATGCGTGTTTTTCTACCATTTAATACTGACATCTCCAGGCTACAACTACTGACATCTCCAAACTACAACTACTGAAACTCCATACACCACGCTGTGGATCCTTGCGTGCCCTCCTGCACATTTCCCACGAACAATCCCTGACGCCATTGATCGATCCTGGTCCTGGTCCTGTTTGCCTCGATGGGCACCCAACAAAGGCCTTTCCCAACAGCCATGACATCACGCTTAGTTCAATGCCGTGTGGAGGGACTTCCCAACAATTTTTTGCCGCTGCCTGCGCTGCAAGCTGCGCTCCTTCTGGAGTCAGGTGACCCCGGCCTAGCTGCCTCCCAGGGTTTTCTTCCACCAGTCTGGCGTACCGAAGCAGCCCCCCCAGACCAAGTGGGCAATTCGTGCTAATTTCCAACAAATGCAGCTTGTTCAGCGGTTCAAGGGGCATCAACCCAAGAACAACACGCATGGCTCGAATGTTGACATGCTTACGCTTCTGCCGCGCAACGGTGTTGGAAAAGCCGTCAACAATATGAAGTTCGGATTATGCGGCTTTGTGTTGCTCCAGCGGCCAACACTCAACACCCACACTCACCCACATATATATATTGTATATATATTGTATGGTTGTTCTTTGAGCCGCTCATTAGAGTTTGCCTCCCAGCACTAGTTTTCGTTCCACATCGCAGCATAGAAGTGGCATTCTTTCTGCACGAACAAAGTATCCGCCAGCTAAAGCAGGTTCTTGGCGGCGCTACACAAAACTAGGATAAGACCAGCAACGATAGAGGTATGTACATAGAAGAAGCGACACACGGCAACATACGGTACACAGGAGAAGAGGTGAGATGAGACATGCGAAGGCTCGACGTTGGCCCACGAGGTCAAGCCATACCAGGTACGACCTGTGCAGGCCTCGGCGGTTATGGCAAGGAGCGGTGAGCATAACAGGCGGTCACGCGACTCGCACGTGCGGTCTTTTTTTTCGGTGGCCCGCACTATGAATGTTTTCCCAACAAAAAAAACCCAGCACACGAAAATCGCCCTAGACGCACGCTTCGGTTCAACAATACCTGCAGAGGGCAGGTTTTGCCAGACTGGGCAGTAGGAAATTTGCGCTCTTGATCAGCCAAAGGCCCAGCATCACTTGTCTCCGCGCAATTGAGGATTTCTTTCGTATCGTCGCCGGTGTCTGGCGTCAACCTTAAAAAAGGCCCGCCATCATTTCACCCGGTTTCACCATCTCTCCCTTGGCCGATTGTCCTGTCGCTCGCCAGAAACCCGAATTTAGCCACTAACCGTTTTCTCTCGCACAGCTACCCACGCACACACACGCGCTTAAGCTCCCGGCTCCCGTCACTATTGCTGAGAACCGTATTAATTCGACGCTTCTCAATTGCAACTGCGAGAACCAGGCTTCGATTCCCAACAACAACAACTAAACTTCCAAGGCTCCGCAGGCACCCGTCCCTTCAGCGTTCGGCTCTCATAACAACAACAACAACAACAACAACTACAACAACAACAATTATGAGCGAAGAAAGTCTGTCCGAAGTGGGCGTCTCTCAAAAAGAGCAGTATGAAAGTACAGATTACACCAAATACCACGGAGACCTGGCGCCTCACTTCTTGGGGCTGAATACCATTGATAAGGCCGAGGCTTCTCCATTGAAGGACTACGTCAAGTCGCATGGCGGTCACACTGTCATTTCCAAAGTTCTGATTGCCAATAACGGTATTGCTGCCGTCAAGGAGATCCGTTCGGTGCGCAAGTGGGCGTATGAAACGTTTGGTAATGAACGCGCCGTCCAATTTGTTGCGATGGCCACTCCTGAAGACATGGAGGCGAATGCCGAATATCTGAGAATGGCCGATCAATACGTCGAGGTTCCCGGTGGCACCAACAACAACAACTATGCCAACGTGGACCTCATCGTGGAAATTGCCGAAAGAGCCAATGTCGATGCCGTCTGGGCTGGCTGGGGTCATGCCTCCGAAAACCCATTGCTACCAGAAAAACTGGCTCAATCCCCACGTAAAATTATCTTTATTGGTCCACCTGGTAACGCCATGAGATCTCTTGGTGACAAGATCTCCTCGACCATTGTGGCCCAGCACGCTAACGTCCCATGTATCCCATGGTCTGGTACCGGGGTCGATGAAGTCTATTTGGACGAGACCAACGGCTTGGTTTCGGTTCAAGATGACGTGTACCAGAAAGGTTGCTGCAGCTCGCCAGAGGATGGCCTTGCCAAGGCTAAAATGATTGGGTTCCCCGTTATGGTCAAGGCATCTGAAGGTGGTGGTGGTAAGGGTATCAGAAAAGTGGAAAGAGAAGAGGATTTCTTGTCTCTTTACACACAAGCCGCTAACGAAATCCCTGGCTCTCCAATCTTCATCATGAAATTGGCCGGCAAAGCTCGCCATTTGGAGGTTCAACTTCTAGCCGACCAGTACGGTACAAACATCTCCCTATTCGGCCGTGATTGTTCGGTCCAAAGACGTCACCAAAAGATTATAGAGGAGGCTCCGGTCACCATTGCCAAGCCAGACACGTTCACCGAGATGGAGAAATCTGCTGTCAGACTCGGTAAATTGGTGGGCTACGTCTCTGCTGGTACCGTGGAATACCTATACTCCCACGAAGATGATAAATTCTACTTTCTAGAACTCAACCCTAGATTGCAAGTTGAGCATCCAACCACAGAGATGGTTACTGGTGTGAATTTGCCAGCAGCTCAATTGCAAATCGCTATGGGTATTCCAATGCACAGAATCAGAGACATCAGACTACTCTACGGTGTTGATCCCCACACCGCTTCCGAGATCGACTTTGATTTCAGTTCCGAGGGCTCCCTACAAACTCAAAGGAAGCCAAACCCTAAGGGACACTGTACTGCTTGTCGTATCACTTCTGAAGATCCCAACGAAGGGTTCAAACCATCAGGTGGTTCTTTGCATGAGTTGAATTTCCGCTCTTCTTCCAATGTTTGGGGTTACTTCTCTGTGTCTAGCAGTGGTGGAATTCACTCCTTTTCAGATTCTCAATTTGGTCACATCTTTGCCTTTGGAGAAAACAGACAGGCTTCAAGAAAGCATATGGTTGTGGCGTTAAAGGAATTGTCCATTAGAGGTGATTTCAGAACCACGGTAGAGTACTTGATCAAGCTTTTGGAAACTGAGGACTTCGAGGGAAACTCGATCACTACCGGATGGTTGGACGATTTGATTTCTCAGAAAATGACCGCAGAAAAGCCTGATTCAACCTTGGCCGTCATTTGTGGTGCCGCTACTAAAGTATTCATCGCTTCTGAAAGCGGTCGTAAAGACTACATCGCAAGTTTGCAGAAGGGTCAAGTTCCTAACAAGTCATTGCTGCAAACGATGTACCCAGTTGAATTTATCCACGAAGGTAAGAGATACAAATTTACTGTGGCCAAGTCTGCAGACGACCGCTATACTTTGTTCATTAACGGCTCAAAGTGCGAAGTTGGCGTCCGTAAGCTCTCTGATGGTGGTCTTTTGATCGCTCTCGGTGGTAAATCCCACACGATCTACTGGAAAGAAGAGGTTTCGGCCACCAGATTATCAGTAGACTCTATGACCACCTTGCTAGAAGTAGAAAATGACCCAACTCAGTTGCGTACACCTTCTCCAGGTAAGCTTGTGAAGTTCTTGGTTGAAAACGGCGACCACGTCGGCGCAGGCCAACCATACGCTGAAGTCGAAGTCATGAAAATGCAAATGCCTCTGATCTCTCAAGAAAGCGGTATAGTTCAGCTATTGAAGCAGCCTGGGTCTACAGTGGCTGCGGGTGATATTTTGGCCATTCTTGCTCTAGATGATCCCACGAAGGTTAAGCATGCTTTGCCCTTCGACGGTCTCCTGCCTGACATGGGTGCTCCAATTGTAGAAGGTACTAAGCCTGCTCACAAGTTCAGATCGTTGGTTTCCACTTTACAAAACATTCTAGATGGTTATGACAACCAGGTTATTATGAACGCTTCTTTGCAACAGTTGATTGAAGTTCTGAGAAACCCGCAATTACCTTACTCCGAATGGAAAATGCAATCTTCGGCTCTTCACTCAAGACTCCCTATCAAATTGGACGAACAATTAGAGCAATTGGTTCAGCGGTCATCTAACAGAAATGCTCAATTTCCATCGGGTCAACTTGGTAAGATGCTAGAGAATGCTTTGAAGGAATCCGATAATCCTTTGTTTGGCAGTGTCATCGAGCCCTTAGTTGATATTACTACCCGCTATGCTAATGGCTTGGAGGCCCACGAGCATTCGGTTTTCGCTAAATTTTTACAACATTACTATGATGTTGAAAAGTTGTTCAGTGGATCTAATATTCGTGAAGAGGACGTTATCTTAAAATTGCGTGACGAAAATACCGAGAACTTAGACCGCGTGGTCCTTACCGTTCTGTCGCATTCTCGTGTTTCCGCCAAGAATAACTTGATTTTGGCAATCTTGAAACATTACCAACCTCTCTGTAAATTATCTTCTGAAGTTTCTGCTACCATTTCAGAACCACTGAAAAATATTGTGGAGCTCGAATCTAAGACCACCGCAAAGGTTGCCCTACAAGCTAGAGAAATTTTGATTCAAGCTGCTTTGCCGTCTGTGAGAGAGAGAACAGACCAGATTGAGCACATCTTAAGAAGTTCTGTGGTCAAGACCGCGTATGGTGCCTTTGATAGTAAGCGCAACGACCCTGACTTGGATATTCTAAACGATTTGATTGATTCCAATTACGTTGTATTCGACGTTCTTACTCAATTCCTCACGCACCGTGACCCATCTGTCGCAGCCGCAGCCGCAGAAGTTTACATCCGTCGTGCCTATAGAGCATACACGATTGGGGATTTGAAGCATTACACGCAATCCAACAACGCGATCGTGGAATGGAAGTTCCAGCTTCCATCCGCCGCATTTGCCTCAGTTCCTCAGGTTAAGAGTAAGATGGGCATGCACAGAGCAATCTCTGTCTCCGATTTAACTTACGTTTCCGAAGGTGACAACCAACCTTTGAGAACTGGTATTTTGGTAGCTTCTTCTCACTTGGATGATGTCGACGATGGTCTTGCCAGGGGATTGCAATTGGTTCCACACCAATCAGTTGCTTCTCATGGCCCTGTTCCGGACAGGTCTAATGGGGGTGCTACTTTAAGCAATGTTGCAAATGTTTCGGTTGCTTCCACTGAAGGTTTCGAGACTGAAGAAGAAGTTCTCAACAGATTGAGAGAAATTTTGGATGTTAACAAACAACAATTAGTTGACGCTTCTATTCGCCGTATCACCTTCGTCTTCGGCTACAAAGATGGCGCTTATCCAAAGTACTATACCTTCAGAGGTCCAGGTTACGTTGAAGACGAAACGATCCGTCATATCGAACCTGCTTTGGCCTTCCAACTAGAAATGGGAAGAATGTCCAATTTCAATATCAAGCAAATCTTCACTGAAAACAGAAACATTCACGTCTACGAGGCTACCGGAAAGAACTCTGCTGTTGACAAAAGATTCTTTACAAGAGGTATCATTAGGACGAGCAGAATCAGTGATGATATCACCATTCAAGAGTATCTCACCTCAGAAGCCAATCGCCTCATGAGTAACATTCTTGACAATTTGGAAGTCATCGATACCTCGAACTCCGACTTGAACCACATTTTCATTCATTTTTCTGCTGTTTTCGATGTCTCGTTCGAGGATGTCGAAGCGGCATTCGGTGGTTTCTTGGAGCGGTTTGGAAAGAGACTGTTGAGATTACGTGTTGGCGCTGCAGAGATCCGTATTATCATCAAAGATCCTCAAAGTGGAGCTCCTGTTCCGTTGAGAGCCTTGATCAACAACGTCTCTGGTTACGTGGTCAAGACTGAGCTATACACCGAAGTTAAAAACACACAAGGTGAATGGGTCTTCAAGTCCTTAGAGAAACCGGGCTCCATGCATTTGAGACCAATTGCTACGCCATACCCTGCTAAGGAATCTTTGCAGCCAAAACGTTACAAGGCTCATTTGATGGGTACTACTTATGTTTATGACTTCCCAGAACTGTTCCGCCAAGCCACCGTATCGCAATGGAAGAAACTAGCCCCAAAGACTAAGCTTTCTGATGAGTTTTTCATTGCCAATGAATTGATTGAGGAGGAGAACGGCGAACTAACTGAGATTGACCGCGAACCTGGTGCTAATACTATCGGTATGGTCGCGTTTAAAGTTACTGTTAAGACACCAGAATATCCAAGAGGTCGTCAATTTGTAATTGTGGCCAATGATATCACTTATAAAATTGGTTCGTTCGGTCCCCAAGAGGACGCTTTTTTTAATAAGGTGACAGAGTATGCCAGAAAACGTGGTATTCCAAGAATTTACCTGTCTGCCAACTCCGGTGCTAGAATTGGTGTTGCTGAGGAATTGGTCCCTCTCTTCAAAGTTGCATGGAACGATGCAGAGAATCCATCTAAGGGATTCGAATATCTTTACATGACAGCCGAAGGACTAGCTGAGCTTAAGAAGCAGCGTAAGGAAAATGCCGTCGTTACCGAGCGTGTTGTCGAGAGCGGTGAAGAGCGTCACATCATCAAGGCTATCATTGGTGCTGACGACGGTTTAGGTGTCGAGTGTTTGAAGGGCTCTGGTTTAATTGCGGGCGCCACTTCGAGAGCATACAAAGACATTTTCACTATCACTCTAGTTACATGCAGATCCGTCGGTATCGGTGCTTATCTTGTGAGGTTGGGCCAAAGAGCCATCCAAGTCGAGGGCCAGCCCATTATCTTGACTGGTGCTCCAGCCATTAACAAACTGCTAGGTAGCGAAGTTTACTCCTCAAATTTGCAATTAGGTGGTACTCAAATCATGTACAACAATGGTGTTTCTCACTTGACTGCCCAAGACGACTTGGCTGGTGTCGAAAAGATCATGGATTGGTTGTCATACGTGCCAGCTAAGCGCGACATGCCTGTCCCTATCCTTGAAAATGAAGACAACTGGGACAGAGAAATTGATTTTGTGCCAACAAATGAAAGTCCTTACGACGTTAGATGGATGATTGAAGGTAAACAAACAGACCAGGGTTTCGAATTTGGTCTCTTTGACAAGGGATCTTTCCAAGAAACGCTATCTGGTTGGGCCAAGGGTGTCGTTGTAGGGAGAGCTCGTTTAGGTGGTATTCCTCTCGGGGTTATCGGTGTTGAGACCCGTCTCGTGGAAAACATGATTCCAGCTGATCCCGCTAACCCTGATTCCAGAGAAACGTTGATTCAAGAAGCTGGTCAAGTTTGGTATCCTAACTCTGCTTTTAAGACAGCTCAAGCGATTAACGATTTCAACTATGGTGAACAGTTGCCATTGATGATTTTGGCCAACTGGAGAGGTTTCTCTGGTGGTCAGCGTGATATGTACAACGAAGTGTTGAAGTATGGTTCTTTCATTGTTGATGCTTTAGTCGGTTACAAGCAGCCTATTTTCACGTACATTCCACCAACTGGTGAATTGAGAGGTGGTTCTTGGGTTGTGGTCGACCCAACCATCAACGCTGAACAAATGGAAATGTACGCTGACGTCAACTCGAGGGCAGGTGTTTTGGAGCCTGAGGGTATGGTTGGTATCAAATACCGCAGAGAAAAATTGCTAGCGACCATGTCCAGACTAGATCCTACTTACAAGAGCTTGAAGAGTCAGTTGGCTGACTCTAGCTTGGCTCCAGAAAAGCATCAAGAAATCGCTGTCAAGCTTGCTGCTCGTGAAAAGTTGTTGATGCCAATTTACCATCAAATCTCTGTCCAATTCGCTGACTTGCATGACAGAAGCGGTCGTATGGTTGCCAAGGATGTTATCAGCAAAGAATTGGATTGGCCAGAGGCTCGTCGTTTCTTCTTCTGGAGATTGAGAAGAAGATTGAACGAGGAATACTTGATTAAGAGATTGAATGTCGAGTTGCCAAATGCGAAGCGACTAGAAAAGATCGCCAGACTAAATTCATGGTACCCTGCTTCTGTTGATAGAGATGATGATAGAGTGGTGGCCACTTGGATCGAGGAAAACTACAATGTTTTGGAGGAGCAATTGAGAGTACTAAAACTAGAGAGCTTTGCTCAAAACCTGGCCAAATCTATCAGAAGTGACCACGAAAATACAATCAATGGCCTAGCCGAGGTTCTAAAACTTTTGTCCGTTGATGACAAGGAGAAAATTTTGAACAGTTTGAAGTGAGATGCTAGAATGAGGAAGATGCCACTTTAATTTCCTCTTCTGACAGCTCAACTCACAATATTGGTTGAAGTTTATATTGATGGCCGCTTTGATTAGCCTTCGGATTGTTATCTGAACCTTTTGTTGTTGTGGGTCCTTTTAACGAAACTTTACGTCTATCGAAGGACGGTCTCAAGTTGAATTGTATACTAGTGTATTTTATCTAAACCAAGGCGGGTGAACGTACGTTTGTTACATATAATTTAAATATGCCTGTGCAATAATGATTAGAAATTTTAAACGAATGGAGAATGTGTGAGCCGTGAGCCGACCTAGCTCAGATCAGGCACTTTTAATTTTCTTATGGTCAGCATCTAAGTCAGCGTCGACTGGACGTTTACGATCGGAGTCAGAATTTTGAGTAATGGTAGCTTTAGCTTGACATTCCTGCGACTTTTTGTCTGCCGCTTGTTTCTTGGCAATTCTCTCACGTTCGCGGCAGTCAACCAAATATTCTGTGGGATCACCCAAGGGTTGACCGTCTTCACTCATAAGCGAAACAACATGGTTGATTTCATTCATTGATTTGCAGCGTGTAAAATACTGATAAAACTTGGATTTCCCAGGCACGATTCGGGTCAGCATGTACTTCGAGTTGTTGACACTATGGTCAAATCGGTCCGCGATAGACAGATAGGCCCGCACAGCCCCGTGCCAAGGCAGGGGTGACGATGAGAATGAGGTAGGGTTGGCTTCTGCGCAGTCAGCCATCATGCCGCCGACCTTGTCCGACAATCCCATTTGCTCTCGCACTTGGAGGAAGTGCGACCGATTTTGAATGGCCCCGTTGATGATCAGACTCACCTGGTGCTCCTGACAGACATTGAAGATGGCAGGTATATAGTCTCGAATGGGTGCTTGCCTGTTGCGCATAGGTGTGGTTCTGCAATGAACGGTCAAATTGCTGATGCCAGTCCCACACAGACGCTTTACAAGATCCACGGTAAGAGCTTCATCCTCTAGGAGTCGTATTTTTACGCTAATGGGCTTCCGATGTGGTTTACCCACCTGTTCCACTAAAGAAGTCAAAATGGAACACAGAACATCTGGGTTCTTCAAAAGCGCTGCACCCATCCCCGAGTGTATGGAAAAGTGCTTCGGACAGCCTGCGTTCAAATCAATACCATCCACGTCTTTTATTACCACTTGCGCAGCTTGCACCGCCAGCTGAGGATTGGAAGAGCCCAACTGAAAAATCATTTTCCCGGCTTCGATCTCTGGAAAAGTTCTGAAAACCACACTAGCGGGTTTGTTCTCGCTTGAGCCTGGTGCTACGAAATCAACCGTACGCAGCTTCTTGTTGTCGACACGCTGGCACTGTATGAGTTTCTTGTCAATAATTTCTGGTGACCAAACCAAATCTGCTCCGTATTTCAGTGCCAGCAACCGTGTAGGAAGCTCCCCGGCACGTACCATCGGAGCCAAGACCAGTTTACCAGCATACGTTACCATAAGGACCACGGTTTAAATCACTATTCGCTGGGATGTTGGCTTCTAAGATCGATGGGATGGCTTGAGATGAGATGTGCTCGGTTATACCACCCGATCACGTGACAGCTTCTCTGGTTATCCGACGACACGATGAAATGGCCAGTATGACATTAACCAACCTGTCAATGAGCTCAACACTCGTCTGGCGCTGTCTTCAACCTATTGGTAAAGTCAGTATTTGTGTGACCACCTCAGGTTTTTCTCTATTTACCATGCTGAAAGATGTGAAAGAATCTGAACACCTTAGTTTTGGGTGATAATGTGTCAAAGCTTACTGGGAGCCCCGATGTTAGACGAGAACTGATTCAACTGATGGCGGGAAGTATTGGGGACGAACTACAATGATCAGTAGACCATTGTAGGACAATGGGTTAAATAAACTTACAAATAGCAGCAGGGCCTAAGCCTTGTACATTACGGAAACGGTGGGCCAGAAAGGACTGGAGGTAATCATTTGAAGCCACCGGATCGTGATTTTATCTTGCCGGGCGTATCGCTTTAGCCCAAGGTGTTTGTAGATTAATAAGTATATTAGCAGTTATTTGTTTATGAGAATAGCTAGTGCTATAGCACCTACCTCCTTCTATAACTACTATGATGAGAACAAAAAGTCGGCAAACGAAGCCTTTTTCTGTCTACGATGGTGAATGAGCCACACCACATACAATGAGCAGTGGCATTGACATTTTGGAATGGTCTTCACTACAATGGCGAGGTTTAGGATTTTAGCCGCCCGGAAAGTACGTGGGCGGAGTTCAGAATAGCAGGATAGCAGGATAGCTTCCTAGGCCCATGGGTTAGCCACTTTAATGTCAGTAAATTGTCTGGCGTTTGACATTGAACCATCGAGCTACAACGGTTGCTTGTTCTACGCTGCACACAGACAAAATAAAGTGTTTGAGCTTGTCTACTTCACTCTACGATTGGCAGCTTGTTTGAAATTAAGTACACCATGCGCTTTCCTAGCACGCAGTAAATCAATAGAAGCGGCTTGCATACTTATGGACGCACTACGGTGCATATTATGAGTAGTTCCGATTCATTAGTAAACGAGGAGCTTTTCAAACAATCGGTCCACTGATATATTCACACTTGTTTCCATCGCACCGCGTTCACGGCCCCTGGAGACGCTTACAACAAGGTTCGATGATCTCAGGGAGCCCCCAAACTGGTCGAAGACACATTCAAATGACTTTTTACACCCGGGTGGCCTAATATAAAACACGACATTCATGACTTCATCCTGTTGGTCTTTTTCTATGGCTATTCCGCGTGCCAGAGCATACTCGACGCGAGATTGTATTTGCGTTCCAGATTTCGAGTGTGAAACTATTGTTGTCTCAGTTTTTACGTAAGTACCTCTGATACATTCTCAACCGACGCGAAAACTGGGATATAAAGAAAGACTAAACTTGATGAAAACTATACCATGCCCTTGAGAGGTTGCCCGTATGCAAGGTCACTGTAAGTTGCGAGAGCCATGATCAAGATTAGAGCGTTAACTAAGAAGCTGTCCAACGGGCTGGATGGTTCACAGTCCCAGAAGAAGCGGTCTGTGTCAGACTACGATAGGAAGCACTCGTCCTCCAAACTCACCCGTTCGAGCATGCGCCGAAGAGCCATTTCGTCGACTCGCGAAATAAATACCGAACTCCCACCTCTGCCAAACCAGGAATTCACAATCTCTGCCAATACAGATTCTCCCAAGGACGGCCCATTTGCTGCCAAAACACAGGGATGTTTCTACATATACGACTCCAGCATATTTCGGGAACCTAAGGAAGGTGAGAGTGCGATAGATCCGGAATTTCACATTTTTCAGAAGCCAAACGGCGTAAACCCTAAATCTGCAAGAGAAGTTATTCATGCACTGGTAGAACAATTCAAAAGTACGCTTCTGCGGGACCCCAAAGGTGATGGCGAAAAGAACATCACCAACATCAAATCTGCCATGGAGATTTTCAAACCCAACTTGTCGCACTATGTGCCACAAGAAATCAAGGAAACCACGCAAGTGTTGGAGTCGCTGTTCCCGCGCGACGGATGCTCATTAGTAGGCGATGCGCTGGCTGCAGAGATTGAAAATAACCTAGCACACTCTAAGAGTAAAATCATCCTGTCTCTGCGCATAATATGGTCAAAATTGCCCCGAGGCATCATACCATGGGAGTCTTACCTAAAATTTTGCACCGTGGAGTCGAAGCAGAACTACTCCAAAATGTGCTTTATGAATTTCATGCCTCAAGCTCTACCTGATTCAGACTACCTTTGCTGCGCGTTCGACTTCATGAAGCTCCTTGTAGCTATCATCTCAAAAGTTGATCTTGTTGTTGACAAAGTGGCTCAAATAGACCTGATCTTCACGGCTGCCCAAGTGTGCTTCCGTAAGACACCTGAGCTTATGAACTATATCGACTACAAATCTGAATACAATGGCGACAGCATTGCGTTAGCCAAGCTATATCGGGCTCGAGGTGATGCACTTTACAGACTATTCATCTCCTATCTAAATTCGTTGGCGGAGGAAGGTGAGATCAAAGATTTTTACTTGATAGACAATTTCCGAATCCACGAATACCCTCCAAAGCCGTACAAGCCCATGACGCAACGAGCATTAACATTATCAATTCCTCAACTTTGGAATCCCGATATAAATAACTTTAACGAATTGATAAGGGTGGCGGCCAAGGCACAATCACGATCCTATTCTTCAGACCAGACCTTTTCCAAACTTGAAAACTCATTTCTGGATAAATTTGAGGAAAATCCTTACAAAATTGTCAGTACGTTGTTTTCAAGATCTTCGAAGCGTTATTTGGACAAGTTTGATCCGGCGTTCGATGCCGAGTATTTTAAAAAATTCACGAAAAAAGGCGGATTCAATTCCACATTGGGTCCTGCAGACCAACAACCTGTCGCAACTTGGATTAATTCTTGCAAAGAGCGCGGATTTAATGATTTTCTTTCAGTCCTTGATGACAATAACCACGGAGAGGGTACATTGGCATTAGGATTTAGCTTTCCAAATTCAACTCATGACGAAATCAATCTGCCACCATTGCGTGTCTCTAAAGTCGACATTTCTGAGTATTTCATCTCTTCCTGGAAATACGAGACCTTTCTCGGCAAGGTGCATAACACTCTGGTAATTAAAATGACGAAAAGAGTTGGCGACTGCGAATGGCTCGTAATATCAATGGATGAAAGAACTGATAAGACTGGATACTCTCCACCAAACAAAGTGGATCAACCTGCCTGCATGGATACCCCCCCTCTGCCCTCAAAGAACGTGAGTCAATTTCACACAGCGTCACCTAGTATGTCGTCGGTGAAATCCAGGCCACCACCACCCAGCCTATTTGGGGAGCCCTCCTCTTCCCCGCTGCTTGATCCTGCGAGTGGCGTATTTTCTGATCAATCAAGTGCCGTTGTGAGTTCCAGATCATCATCGGATACAAATTCTTTTTATGTCCACGGAAGACCTCATTCAACCGCGGTTTCCCCCGACGTTAAGAAGGACGCCGACAAACATGTATGGAATATCTCACTACAAGACCGATCCCGTAGACAGTCTAAAGCTGCGAACTCCCCTCACACGGGAATACTAACCAGTACTTCACCTCTTGCGACTCATGAGTCGAAAGATGAGGGTGTCAACCTCGAGTCACTAACGATAACGGAGGATGTAGCTGAGGAAGGTTTAGATCCAAATATGGCTGAAGCTAAAGATGCGGGCTCTGGCAGTGAAGGAAATCCCATGCCGAACGAAGGAAATGAGACCGATAACGCTGGCGTTACCACACTAGAAAGATTGGCTGACACGTTCAAAATTGATAGGCAGAGAGGGTGCTCAGGGGACCACGATGAATCAGGCGAACACTCTGGGTCTCAAACCGCGGCCGAAACCGACACTTTGGGAACATCCGACGAGACCAATATATCGAACGAAAAGGAGAATGCTTCCAAAACAAGCGTAGTCGAGGCCAGCCGCTCCACATCGCTTCGGCTGCCTAAGTTCGTTGCTCAACAGGAAGGGGAAGCAGTATCGACGCCAATCAACCAATGCTCACCGGCAGGGGTACCCCTTATGCTAGCCAAAATACAAAATCCATCAGTTGCCTCTCTCGGAGATACCACTGCCGTGGGACAGAACGCAGACACCACAGTAGATACCGTTGACACGACTCGTGTCAGTGACGAAGACGCTCAGGACAAGGTTATAGGGTCAGATATCCCTCACGACTCCAAAGTCCTGGAAGCGCTATATCAACGTAAAGCGGACCAAGACGAGCTCACTGAGGATCTGCTGAATGATTTTCTGGAGCATTACCAGACTCTAAGCAGAGAGCCACTGGATTCTTCCGATGACGGACCCACCGTTTTTGAGCAAGTAAAAGGTTACTTTGAAAGCGGGAAAGGTACATCGCCACCGCAGCCTCTTGGTGAACAGGAAGCTGGAAACAAAAGTGAAGCAACACAGGCCAACGATAAATCTGTCTCCGACTTGAGCAAAATCGGATCGATCACATCCAAGAATGGCACTTGGTTCAGTTGTAATGTGACGCCTCCCAATCGAGTATCTGAGAAAGTTAAAAAGCCCATGAGCTTGAAATCGACAACCCCGATCAAACCAGCCTCAGACTACTCGGGCTACAACAGTTTCAAAAGCGGCAGTGTAGCTGATTACGAGACCAGGTACGAAGATGACGACGACGATGACGATTTAGACGACGAATTGTACCGCAGCGCCACCAGCAATACTAGTGATATGCCCGAACAGGATGGGGTTTGGCTGGAGGCAACCACCAGTAATCCCTCTTCGCCTAGCGAATCTACGCCAACCCAGATGATGTTCCGGAACGTGATGATGAGAACCAAACGTAGCTTACGGAATTTGAAGGCGGGTTACTGAGAGTTGGCGATGGATCGACGATAAGTTTTTGACTGGAAGGTGGACTAGCAATGTAGTCTCATCACATAAATTATGTTATGCATATATGCCACTAGAGAGAAAGTTAGAAAATGAATGATACGATTTTTGTAGTGTTAAAACACCTCTACTCCGGCTCTTCGTAAAGTGCTTTGCGAAACTTGATGGCCGTGGAGTTCCGCCGATGGTGATGACGGCAGCAAGGATTGCCAAGGTCTACCCAGCCCTCATGGCCTGAATCGTGGGCATTACTAGAATGGCGAGGCTCACACATATCATGGTCTCCTTGATCGCCAATGTCCTCGTGGGTGCTGTGCTCGGTCACAGACAAACAGGTTCCCGCAGAGGACGCTTGTGACGCCGACGAGAGGCTCGAGTTCCGCGATGGAGCAGGGTTCCATACCAGCTCTCCGAAGTTCGGTTGATTTCTTGTGGGCAGTCGCAACGCCTCCGATTCCCGATCGAACGACGCGGACCGTCCCAGCTGGAATCTGGGATTCAGGTTCGCCTCGGTATCGCTAAAGCGACGCAGATAGTGGCTATCTCGGCTCTGCGAGGGACTCCGCACCTCGTGCACAGACTGCGACCCCGGTCGCGACCGCGACCCACACCACGACGTGTGTATCTGAGGGTGCGAGCTTGCAGACGACTGCTGGTGAATACATTGGTACAAATCGCACACCCTCAGCGACGCCGAGAGGTGCCGTGAGCTGGATGACGCTGGAGAGCAAGACTCCGGCTCCAAATCACACGGTTCGTCCACGCAGATCGACGTCCCCTGGATGGAGCCTCGCCGTGTCGACCGTCCCGTCTGCTCCCCGTCGTGAGGAGCGTACCTAACCACCAGGTGTGCGTCCACGGGCGAGACACCGTTTCCTGACATGCCACGAACGACGCTGCTATGCTAAATGTCTTCAAATAATATGAAAAACGAAACCGATGTTGATGTCGACTCCGTATATGCTGTGTCTGCCTCCCTTCTTGCCCTTCGCAGAATCGTATCCCTATCCTCGTTATATCTAGATCACCACTTTACACACTGTATAAAAACAATTGCTCTTCACTAACCCTATCACACCATAAGGTATACCACGGTTCGGCGATGCTTGTTGTCTTAGACACTGTAAACTCGGGCCTTTATCTGACGTCTCATATATATATACATACACCTGCCAGTTTGTGCCAAGACAGAACTAACTCAACAGATAGGCAATGTCAGCAAAACCGCTACCTTGCTACCTTACCTACAATTATCAATAGATAGCAATGATAGCGAGACAATTGCGGACATGAAACCCTTTTAGAGGGGGTGGCGCAACTGCGGAGTCGACCCACAAGCGTGCAGTTTTGTACATCGTTTAAGGCGTGGAGCCAACCATGTGAGGTCCAGTGATCAATTAGCAAGAATGCAGGTACACGCTGCGCGAGTGTTCGAGGGACAACAATGTTTCTTCCAACGGGCTCACGAGGGCTCATTTGTGGGCATTTTGCGAGGACACCGCACTTGGGGTATTATTGACCCAACGATGAGCGCATCAGGATGCTCAGGCTACGCTGGGTAGTCGTGAAGTGGTACTGGCACGACAGCAGAAGCATTGTTGCGGCTGATTGTGGAGGAACAAAGAGAGCCTGGCCACATTCTGGCTTGCTCTCGAGCTGGTGTCAGTTGAGGTGACGGGATTTGCGAGGAGCAGAGGCTAGTGCGAGGGGAAAGCGTGGCGAGACAGATTTTTTCCAGTGGAAGAGAGTGGTTAGCTTGCCAATGGTGTCAGAGAGGTTTTGTCATTGGGACGGTGTCAGCGAGTCGGTTGTCCAGTCGGTTGTCCAGTCGGTTGTCCAGTCGGTTGTCCAGTCGGTTGTCCAGTCGGTTGTCCAGTCGGTTGTCCAGTCGGTGGTCCAGTCGGTTGTCCAGTCGGTTGTCCAGTCGGTTGTCCAGTCGGTTGTCCAGTCGATTTACGAGTCAGGTGCATGGTCATATCCACTGGATTATCAAATCTCTTACCTACTGAATCACCCCGTTCACCTTTCCAGCCAGCCCTCCATCGTCGGCAAAACGACAGGGCACAGGGCATCCCGCTCGCCCAACTTCCATACCTGTTTCCCTCTATCTGGCCACCTTTGCGCCCGTGTTTGGTATCAAAATGATGCCACTGATACCTGCTGTTCAAATAAGCCGAGTTCAGCGCTCCCCCTGCGCTCCTGCGACTAGCATCGTTCCAAGCCCGCTTCAAGATTGAGAGGACCAGGTCCAAACCCAACATCACGCAACACGAATAGCCAACGGGGGGGTAATAAACAGGTTATGGTAGGTGTGTGCTTCCTCGAAAAAGTTATTAGTATAGCCGTACGACAACGTTGCACATGGTCCATAAGTGAACTACACCAAGAGCGACCACCTCTCGAGAGAGACGTTCGTATTCGACTGTTACACTTTGGTAGGGCTTCTACACTCGGCTCTGTTCCCCCAGACATGAAGTTTTCGCACTCACTGCAGTTCAACGCTGTTCCAGAATGGTCCTCCCGGTATCTTGCGTATTCTCAGCTTAAACGCCTGATTTACTCGTTGCAGAAGGACAAGCTGTACCAGAGTAGCTTCTCTGATCCAGAGTTGGTACCGCTCCAGGATTCGTTCACGCAAAGATTTGTCGAGGCCCTCGATAAAGAGCTGTACAAGATCGACAAGTTTTACCACCAACAGGAGTCTCGAATTTTCAACTCATACCAGGAAGTGGTCGATGATCTCAAAGAGTTTCAAACGGAACAGGCTCTAAACGATCGAACCAGCAGAAGAAGTAGTGTCTCCAACAATTCCGAGGCATCTGGCGGTTCGGTTCCGTATATTCGGCACGACACGTCTTTCTTGGACGATGAGGTCAATGTCAACACCAGCTCCAACAGACCGGAGCATACGGGGAGCGACATGACCGCCATGGCCCCTTTAATCTCACGGAGCACAAACTACCTGGCCAGGCTTGATCCTATCATTGAAGATAAGATCAATCTCAAGAAAAGGCTGGTGGTCGCTTTCACGCAGTTGTCGGAGCTCAAGAGTTTTATCGAGCTCAACCAAACTGGGTTTTCCAAGATTTGCAAAAAGTTCGATAAAAGTTTAGAGACTAGAATCAAGTCCGAATACATCGCGCGCCTCTCTTCGAGAGTCAAAGTTTTCAAACCTGAGACCATTGCAAACGTTGAAAGCAAGATAAACGATGCGATTGGTCTGTATGCCTCGCTGATGAATACTTCGTATTCTACCGGCGATGAAATAGTTGGGTTCCAGGAGGCCGAGAAAGAGCTCTCCATGCATCTCCGGGAGCATGTGGTTTGGGAAAGGAACACAGTGTGGAAAGATATGATAAACCTAGAGCGTCAAGCTCAAAACGTCAAAGTAGCAGGTGCGCTGAAGCGCAAACCCACGAAAACAAAACTGTTGGACGACGAAGTTCAGCGATCACCGTCTCCAGAAGCATTGCCAAACGCCACTTTGACCGATGCGCTACACTTAACGCCCGCTCAATATTTCAAAATCCTGATCAAGTCGAATGGTTTACTGAAATTCACCGCAATCACATTTGTCTTTTTGATGTCCCTTACATTCTCTCCCATCCAAGATATGCTGCAGAAAAATTGTTTTGCAATCCTTGTGTATGCTTCGTTGCTGTGGGCCACAGAGACAATTCCACTGTTTGTCACCTCTTTATTGGTCCCCCTGTTGATTGTGGTTCTTCCAGTACTCAAAGACAGCGATGGCCATGTCATGGACCCTCAGCAATCTTCTCAATACATCTTGTCGACGATGTGGTCCAGCGTTATTATGCTGTTGCTCGGAGGCTTCACACTCGCTGCCGCCTTGTCCAAATACAATGTGGCTAAAGTTATTTCCACACACGTTTTGGCATCAGCGGGTACTAATCCCAAAACCATCCTGCTGACTAACATGTGCGTTGCGTTGTTTGTGTCGATGTGGGTTTCTAACGTTGCCGCCCCTGTGCTCTGCTACTCGATTATACAGCCGTTACTAAGGACCCTCCCCAAAAACAGTTCGTTTGCCAAATCTCTGATTTTGGGCATTGCGTTGGCATCAAATGTTGGCGGGATGGCTTCTCCCATTGCTTCCCCCCAAAATATTATCTCTATCGGTATGATGGATCCACCCCCAAGCTGGGAGCAATGGTTCATCGTAGCACTGCCAGTATGTTGCGTATGTGTCTTTGGAATCTGGGTGATGCTTCTTTTGACCTTCCCAGTAGAAAAGGATTTAAAGCTGCTACAGCTACATCCGATAAGAGATCCATTCACTATCCAACAGTGGTTTGTCACTCTTTGTACCATCGGAACTATTGTGCTGTGGTGCATGGCTAAACAGCTAACCGGAATTTTTGGGGAAATGGGTGTCATATCAATTATCCCTATTGTTCTCTTGTTTGGTACTGGCATGTTAACTTCAAGCGATTTCAACAACTTCATGTGGACAATCATTGTCCTCGCGATGGGTGGAACAACTTTAGGGAAGGCTGTGACGTCTTCAGGCCTTTTGGCAGCTATTGCAGCTTCAATAAAGGAACAAGTAGAGGACAAGCCCATTTTTGTCATTGTTCTTATCTTTGGGATTGTTATTCTAGTCATGGCTACATTTGTATCCCATACGGTCGCTGCCATGATTATTGTTCCTCTAATGAGTGAAATAGGTAAAAATCTACCTTCTGGCGACCATTCGCGTATATTGGTCATGGTTGCCGCATTGCTTTGCTCGGGGGCGATGGGCTTACCTACTTCTGGCTTCCCAAATGTCACTGCTATATCCATGATAGATGAGCTAGGTGATAGGTACTTAACTGTTGGGAACTTCATTACCCGAGGCGTTCCTGCCAGTATATGGTCTTATTTGGTCATAACGACAATAGGCTACGGATTGATGAAGTTAATAGGCTATTGACAGAACTTTTTGGTAATGCATTAATTTTAGTGTTTATTTATAAATTTAGTATCCTTTCTTCTATCTCAATCGCATCCAAAGTACCTCGAGTCGATGAAGCGCTTTCTCGCCCACTTGCAGTGGTCTGTACCTAGCGCCTCAGTCGGAACAATTTCACCGGCGTATATTTGCACAGAATTGTTGAATGCATTGGAAATTCTTCGTATCCCCACCTCTGTCGCCAGATATACAAGAACTTTGATCTTGTTGAGTGCTACACCGTGGTCCAATAGCACCTGGACTGCCATGATGACAGCAGCTCCAGATATAATTTGGGCCTCGACCAGGAGTACCTGTTCATAGTCTTCAATATGCGGAGGAACGAATTCACAGTGCAGTTGAGGCTCCCCTGTGTGAGAATCTGACTGAATTAGCACTTTACCGAGAGCCATACTAGGTACGGTCTTCTTGAGAGATCTCATAAAACAATCTCCCGAACGCACGATATTAATGGAGGTGACTTTATCGAAGTCAACCATGGGTGATTCCACAGTAACACCGTTTGGCGTTACAATAGTCTTCATGGCGTGTGCTGGTATGTCGTCTAATGCCCAAGAGACCAAAATTGTTGCAATTCTGTCGAAGTAAAAGACAAAATCATCGCGCGACGTATACTTGTCTAAAATGACCGTCTTCAAAGCCACAACCTGACTGGAAGATTCTAGCTGGTGAATATTAAGCAGCTGAGAAAGGGGTTTGAGTTTCTCAACCTGGCCGAGTCTGCTCAGTTCTTCCAGGTGTTTGCGAGATTTCAATTGCAATTTCGACTTTATGTGATTGATTAGGGTCTGCGTGGCTACACCATTGTTCCCAAGCGAAGGAATGATAGCATCTGCATTTTTCATAGTTGTCTTGACGTACTTGTCGGCATTAGGTTTAACAAATAGTTCCCACTGTTGGATACATCCTTCGAGATCTCGGCCTCTAGAAACAATATCTCTTGAAAGCCTTCTGGCCAAACACACGTCCAGATCCACGTCGACGTAAATCTTCAAATCCATAAGATTCAATAGGCGCTGGTCATAAAGGGCATAGATACCTTCGATGACTACAACGCTCGCTCCGTAAATAGAAACGGATTTGCCCGGAACCCGGTTATGTTCGGAAAAGCTGTATATCGGGATACAAGTTTTCTTGCCCTCCTTTAAGCTCTTGATACAATTATACGCGAGGTCCAAATCTATTGCACTGGGCTCATCAAAATCGTAGCTGTTTTCCAGTGCCCTTTTGCGCTCTTCTGGTGTCAAAGGCTTGTAGAAGTTGTCTAATGACATTAGAACAGTCCACGGTGTGTTTATCGAGGAAGTTATTTTGGCAGCTACACTAGTTTTTCCAGATCCTGAAGTACCACCGATTCCAATGATATAAGGCGTGGTCCAGGGCGGAATATAACGAGTTCCAACTTCTTCACCTGCTGTCACTCGACGTAATTCCTGAGACTGATGCTCGGTGCTTATAAACAAACTCGAGGAACTCATGTTAATGACCGGCCTAATGTTCAAAAAGCACTTGTAGGTAGCAGCAAAGGACCCAAAATCGATTAGATGGGTACCTTTTTGATGTCTTTATGCAGATACAACGATAGGAAATTTTTCAGCTACCGATGGGTGATGAGCTCTTAATCTAATCTCAAGATCAACTTTTACTAACCAAGTCCAAAACCTAGGGATTAGACGGTAGGGTATGGACCAGAGTATATCAGGGACCGGCAAACGACGTGTTAGGCGCAATAATGTGAGTGACGAAAATCCAGTCGCTTCAAAGCGGCCAGCGACGAAGACGAACGCAGCTATTACGACCATACCAGTGCAGGAAAGCTCATCGGCCGGAGAACCCGAAACAGATGAGCGTAATAGATCAGTCAACCCATCACAGGTTGATGATCTTCGGATTCTTGCCAGAGAGCGATATTTGAATGATCGAGAGAGTCTGAAATTACAGGTCTTGCAGAAAGAGCTGACCCTCTTGGAACAAGATGTTGCTAGGGAGGGTTGGGATTCTTTGACCAAAATAGAACAAGACGAAATTACTCTTAAACGAGAATTGATTTCCCTCGTTCAACAACGAGATGGATCTAGTGGAGAGAGCCGCTTCCGGTTCCAAGATGACTACGTCGATGAAGACGGGCATGTGGATGTCGCTCGGAAACAACAATTGTTGCAGAGAAAGCCAACCCAACAACTTGAACCTAAAACTCGTCAGCAGCTTTGGGAGGAGCAGCAGCTTGAGAGTGCTGTAAAGGCTAGTGGCGACGTGGACGCAATCCACGTTGCCGGATCCCGGCAATACGAGTTTGTATTTGATGACGACGCACTGATCGACTTTACCGGCGACGATGAAAACACACTTCCCGAGGTAGAGTCAGCATATGACCAAAAGCTGCTGGATGAGCTCGATCGAGAACAAACGCGGCTGCAGTCCATACAGGATACTCGTCGGAGTTTGCCCGTGTACAGATTTCGAGAGCCTCTTCTAAGCGCGATCAAGGAGCACCAGGTTCTAATTGTGGTGGGTGAAACTGGTTCTGGTAAGACCACCCAACTTCCGCAATATCTCGTTGAGGAAGGATATACCAAAAGTGGCACCCTACAAATTGCCTGTACCCAACCCAGACGTGTGGCAGCGACCTCAGTAGCTTCTAGAGTGGCAGATGAGATGAACGTTGTTTTAGGGAAAGAAGTTGGATATTCTATACGTTTCGATGATAAAACGACACCCGATAAAACCATTCTAAAATATATGACGGACGGTATGCTTCTAAGAGAGTTTATGACGGATCCTGAGCTAAAAAAATACGCATGCATTATTATAGATGAAGCACATGAAAGGACGCTAGCTACCGACGTGCTTCTTGGACTGCTTAAAGACATTTTGCCCCATCGCAAGGACTTAAAGCTCTTAATTTCATCTGCCACGATGAACGCTGCTAAATTCGCTGATTTCTTTTACGACGCGCCAATCTTTAACGTACCTGGTAGGCGATTTCCTGTAGATATACATTACACACTCCAACCAGAAGCCAATTACCTTAATGCCTCTATCACAACCATTTTCCAGATCCACACTACCCAGCAAGTCCCCGGCGATATTCTCGTCTTTCTTACAGGTCAAGAGGAGATAGAGGCGGCCAAGCAGAATCTGGAAGAGATTGCGCATGTGTTAGGGAGTAAGGTAAGGCCGCTGATAATAGCGCCGATCTATGCTAATTTACCACAGGAACAACAGTCGAAGATTTTCGAGCCCACTCCGGAAGGATGCAGGAAGGTTGTACTAGCCACTAATATCGCAGAAACGTCACTTACAATTAATGGAATAAAGTTTGTAATCGATCCGGGGTTTGTGAAAGAAAACTCATTCGTACCTTCTACTGGAATGTCGCAATTATTGACAGTCCCTTGTTCAAGAGCATCAGTTGATCAGCGTGCCGGACGTGCTGGGCGTGTAGGACCGGGAAAGTGTTTTCGAATCTTCACCAAGTGGTCGTATTTCCACGAATTGGAATTGCTCCCTAAGCCAGAGATCCTCCGAACTAACCTATCCCAAGTGGTTCTACTTCTATTTTCATTGGGCGTAACTGATCTAATAGACTTTCCGTTACTTGATAAGCCCAGCATTCCTGCCTTGAGCAAAGCATTGGAAAACTTATATCTCCTGGGGGCACTTAATAGTAAAGGCTCAATAACAAGGCTTGGTAGAATGATGTGTGAATTCCCGTGTGAGCCTGATTTTGGCAAAGTCATGCATACCGCAGCGACGCACGATAGTTGTAAAGGGGTCCTTGAAGAGGTTGTTTCTATAATCGCAATGCTCCATGAAACGTCTTCCATTTTCATACAGGAAAGGGCAAATCATGACAGCAGTAAGAGCAGTATTGCAGGTAAGGTCTTTAGCGACCATGTGCTTTATTTGGAGACTTACAACCGTTGGAAAGATATGAATTACTCGCGTTCGTGGTGCTTCGACCACAAAGTCCAATACAAAACGATGATTCGTGTTCGAAACATTCGCGACCAGCTTTGGAGATGCTGTGACAAACTGGGTTTGGTGGCTCTCAACGACCAGGCCTCGCATACCTTGAATGGTTCTAGTAACCTTGAGCCGAGAATTATCAAGTGCTTCATCTCTGGTTTCCCCAAAAACATTGCGAAGCTGGGTACTTCGGGCTACCATACTATGGGTGTGCAGCAAGGTGGTGTCAATGTCAGCGTCCATCCCACCAGTACTGTTTTCCAGTCGCTGAGGAAAGATATGGTCAAACCTTCAAAGTTCATATTGTACCAAAAGTTGGTTCTGACATCCAAGGAATTCATGCGAGACTGTATACCAATAGCTCGCGAAGAATGGCTTAATGAAATGGTACCACACTACTTCAAGGCAAAAGACCCCCAGTGAAAAATTGGTGAGAACAACAATAATTTCTTGAAGGAGAGAGGTCTATAAGTACAAAAATCGAGTAGATAGAGTTTTACTGGAAGAAATTAGGCTTTTGAGATCACGAACACCGAAATAGTCTTTAGCATAACTGATAGTTCCCTATGCGGTATTATTCATGCCTAATTTTTGAAAGTGAAGTAGTATAAATGATGATTAGTTTGAAAATCGCAATCAATACCTTTTGAAAGACAATGAAACCCTTACTCAGACAAATCAGCCTAACCACAAACCGATTGACCCGCTTTTACTCTTATAGAATGAGCTCCGAATCCCCATCTTACACCAAGAAGATCCAAAGCGCTCTCAGCGACGCCTCACTAAAACTTAACCATACTTGTCTCCGGATTAAAGATCCGCAACGTAGTGTTGATTTCTACAAGTCGAAGTTTGGAATGGAGCTGCTGGGCCACAAGAAATTTCCCGAGATGAAGTTTGACTTGTATTTTTTGAGTTTTCCCAAGTCGGACCTCAAGCATAACAAAGAGGGAGAGGTGGACGTCTTTTGCGAAAGAGGTATTCTGGAACTGACCCATAACTATGGCTCGGAGTCCGATCCAGAATTCAAAGTTAATAATGGTAACGAGGAGCCCTACCGTGGATTTGGCCATATTTGCTTTTCTGTCGCAGACATCGAAAAGACCTGTGCAGATCTCGAAGCCAAAGACGTGGCGTTCAAGAAGAAGTTGACCGACGGTCGCCAGAAGAATATTGCATTTGCGTTGGATCCAGACGGATACTGGATTGAGCTAGTTGCTTACAACAGGCCAGACCAGGCCACTACACATAGCGACGTGGGATACAGATTCAACCATACCATGATCAGAGTCAAAGATGCCCAAAAATCCTTGCATTTTTATCAGAACGTACTTGGCATGAAGTTGTTAGATGTCAGCAAGCATGAAAACGCCAAGTTCACGCTGTACTTTTTGAGCTACAAGCCAGACGAGCCCAGGTGGTCTCAAGAGGGTGTTTTAGAGCTCACCCATAATTGGGGCACTGAAAGCGATCCCGAATTCAAATACCACAATGGGAACGAAAAACCTCAGGGCTACGGCCACGTCTGTATCAGCTGTGAAGATCCCGAAACCCTATGCAAGGAGATCGAGACCCAGTACGGTGACCAAATCGCATGGGGCGTCAAATACAACCAAGGTAAAATGAAAAACTTGGCGTTCATCAAGGACCCCGATGGATACGCTATTGAAGTCGTTCCTCATGGGCTATGTTGCTAAGAGTGGTCGGAATAACATATCACTACACACGTATACGTATACATATGAGATTATAACCCCATGTTTCATTTTCAAGCGGGACTTTATTATTACTACTACACACAATTTGCCGCTGAGCTCCACAACTCACTCATAAGGGCACCTACACAAAGGCTCTTAGGAATGCGAAATTTCGACGCCATGATTAATACCAAGGGCTCCCACTTGGAACGGCTTGAAATCTCAGAAGGTCTACTTTTTGACGTGCGGCCTACTCCTTTTCTCAGCGGGCCAGGCAGATCGACCCTAATCAAGCGCTCTGTGACAGGGAAAAGCAGCAGCAGCTAGCGACTAGAGAACCAAAGCTACCTCAATGATCAATTGGCTGATGCCTACGCGAAGTGCTCGTCTAGGCTCGCCATCTTGTCCATTTGAGCTTTGTGTCGCTCACTTCATCTATACGTCAAGAATGATAGGAATGTTAAGTCACCATCGACGACTATAATCGAAGGCGTCGTCACATGATGAGGTGCTCCATATAATGGTGCCACAAATAACAGAATCGGATGCTTCTTCATGGCGACTCGCTGGGTTTGTCGTACACGCGCACTGTTACGCCGCGTGTTGTTTTGCAGCTTTCAATGTGTGTGCAGGGCCGTCTTTTTTTTTTTTTCTGTTACCTGAAAACTGAGCGTCCACTACGCTGCGACTTGCTTCCCGTTGACTGGAAGCTAAATACGTAGTGGAAGCCGGCACCTGCGAGAAAGGTTACCGGCAAAAAAGATCACCTGTGAGATCCGCATGCGCAATAGAGTGAGTATTGTGCGTTTATCACCTCACCCGTCCGGTTTGGCCATTTTATAAAGAAGCATGTTAAACAAAAGCATAAAACGACCCGAAATCAGAGTTATTGACGGTTCCCCCAATTGAAGTCCCAAGAGAACTCCTCTATTCCTTTCTCCTCATCGAGATATCATAGACCCTGTTATTATTGTATCGTCCATTTTCCAAGACCAAACTTTGATTAAGGTCCTGTCTTGAGAAGATGACTGTCGATATACCATTGGTCAACGGTACGACGCAGTGCACCGTGACTGCTTACTCCGAGAAGTCCTATCAAGCAACCGTTAAGTTTTACTCGCAATTCTTGAGCTTGGAACTAGAGACTAAAGATGCAAATTCAACTACCCTGCGTAACAGCACCGTCAGTTTGAAAGTTGTCCTGGAAGGTAATGCAGAGAAGCATGCGGAAAGCGAAGCTCGCTTCCAGGAATTGACCGGCGATCTCGAAAGTGCCGATTGGAGATCATTAGCGAATAGCTCTCTCGTTTTCAAAGCTGCTAACGTTGTCCAGTGCAAGGAAGCGCTGGAGGGTCAGGGCCCAGGTGTTCAGGTACAAGCATACCCAACCGACTTGTTTCCCATGGAACTTTACGTCGTTGACCCTGTCGGAAACGTTGTTGGTGTCACGAGGACGAAAAACGCTGTTAGCACGATGCCTACGGCACCTCCAGCTTCCAAAGGCACTTTTACCTCAAGCGTGCCCTCCTCAGCTCAATCCACTTCGGCTTTGAGCGAAATTGATGAAAAATCCATTTCCGCTGAGGTTTCTGAAGTCACAGCATCGGCATCAGGCCCTGGTGAAAAGGCCATCGCAGTAATGACCTCCGGCGGTGATGCCCCGGGTATGAATGCCAACGTGCGTGCGATTGTCCGGACTGCCATTGCTAAAGGGTGCCGTGCTTACGTGGTCATGGAAGGTTACGAGGGTTTGGTTCGTGGCGGCCCTGAATATATCAAGCAGTTTTCTTGGGAGGATGTGCGCGGTTGGTCCAGCGAAGGTGGTACAAACATCGGAACTGCCCGTTGCAAAGAGTTTAGAGAGCGCGCTGGTAGATTATTGGGTGCCCTTCATCTCATTGAAGCAGGCGTTGATGCCCTAATTGTGTGTGGTGGTGATGGTTCGCTAACTGGTGCTGACTTGTTCAGGTCTGAATGGCCATCCTTGTTGCAAGAACTGAAGGAGACTAGTAAGATCACCTCCGAACAGTACACTAGGTACAAGCACTTGAACATTTGTGGTACCGTCGGTTCTATCGATAACGATATGTCCACCACCGATGCTACTATTGGTGCTTACTCTTCATTGGATAGAATTTGCAGAGCCATTGATTATATCGAGGCCACAGCCAACTCGCATTCGAGAGCGTTTGTTGTAGAGGTTATGGGAAGAAACTGCGGTTGGCTGGCCCTAATGGCCGGTATTGCTACTAGTGCTGATTACATTTTAATTCCCGAGAAACCGGCCTCTTCTCGTGAATGGGAAGAACAAATGTGCGATATTGTCACCAAGCACAGATCTAGAGGTAAAAGAACCACTATTGTAATTGTTGCCGAAGGCGCGATTGCTAACGACCTAACACCCATCTCTCCAAACGATGTTCACAAGGTTTTGAGCCAAAGACTAAAGCTCGACACCAGAGTCACTACTTTAGGTCACGTTCAAAGAGGTGGTACTGCCGTCGCCTTTGACCGTATTCTGGCTACCCTGCAAGGTGTCGAAGCTGTCAATGCTGTATTGGAGTCGAATCCCGATACTCCATCTCCTTTGATTGCTATCAACGAAAACAAGATTACCCGCAAGTCGCTTGTGGAGTCTGTCAGGCAAACGAAATCGGTCGCTGACGCTATCCAGGCTCAAGATTTCAAGAAAGCCATGGAATTAAGAGACACAGAATTTGTGGAACATCTGAACAATTTCATGGCTGTAAATTCTGCTGATCACAATCCCCCTAACTTACCACAGGACCAGAGATTAAAGATTGCCATCGTGAACGTAGGTGCACCTGCTGGTGGTACCAATTCTGCAGTCTACGCCATGGCTACTTACTGTATGTCACAAGGTCACAGACCATATGCGATTTACAATGGTTGGTCTGGATTGGCCAGACATGAGAGTGTCCGCTCTTTGGACTGGAAATCTATGTTGGGCTGGCAAAGTCGCGGTGGCTCCGAAATTGGTACCAATAGATGTACTCCTGATGAAGCTGATATTGGCTTGGTTGCTTACTACTTCCAAAAATACAAGTTCGACGGACTGATCATTGTCGGTGGCTTTGAGGCTTTTGTGTCTCTGCACCAATTGGAGAGAGCTAGAGACAATTACCCAGCTTTCAGAATTCCAATGGTCTTGATCCCTGCTACCCTCTCTAACAATGTGCCAGGAACCGAATATTCTTTGGGTACCGACACAGCACTTAACGCGCTGATGGATTACTGTGACGTAATCAAGCAATCTGCTGCTTCCACCAGAGGCAGAGCTTTCGTGGTTGACGTTCAGGGTGGTAACTCTGGTTTCCTCGCCACGAACGCGTCTTTGGCAGTTGGAGCCCATGTTTCATACGTTCCTGAGGAAGGTATATCTTTGGAGCAGCTGTCCCAGGACATCGAGACTCTTGCTGAGTCTTTCCAAACTGCTCAAGGAAGAAGGAGATTTGGTAAGCTGATTTTGAAGTCGAAGAATGCTTCGAAAGTTTTCACGCCCGAGGTTCTGGCAGATGTAATCACTGCCGAAGCCAACGGGGTTTTCAATGCCAAGTCTGCCATCCCAGGACACGTCCAACAAGGTGGGTTGCCTTCACCAATTGACAGAACGAGGGCCACTCGTCTTGCTGTAAAGGCCGTCGATTTCATTGAAAGTCGTCAGGAAGATATCTACAAGGCTCGTGCTGACGATGACGAGTTTGATCCAGACGACAAGGAAATCTCCTCCACCGCAGCAGTTCTTGGTATCAGAGGTTCCGACGTGGTATTCACGTCCATTAGACAACTTTACGATTTTGAAACCGAAATTGGTAAGCGAATGCCCAAAGTTATTCACTGGGAGAGCACTAGAGCGATTGCTGACAGCTTAGTAGGCAGGAAAAAGGTTGACGTGAAAAACTAGACACCTCGGCAATGCTTACTTGAGCAAGGTTGCACCTGCACCTACAGTGAGTTATGGAATGAAGAGACTAATGTCTTATGAGGGGCTTGCATCTCCACGCAAGCCCAGCGACGAAATGTATGATATAGACTGATTAGCCTGGTCATTTATGAAACGGACTGTATTTAACGAATGAAGGTTAAGAAACGATAATGATAAGCATTCTTTTGTATACAAAACTGGTTTGCTTTCTTAAAGCCTCTTTGGATGGTTTGTTAGCTGAAACTTATTCACATTTTTCGTAATTTGATATATCTGAATGTATCACATAATGAAGTTAGAATTCATTGGTAGCACCACAAGACGTGCTACATACCATCAACAAGGACTCCGTTGGTTCGGAGACAATGAATGGTTTCACCTCTAGCTCTACAAATGGTGGGAATCACAATGTGAAATCCAAGCGAAAAGACGCGCTAGAAGGCACTCAACCCGCTGATAGAAAACAACAATCGCCTTTCAAAAGTATCAAGAATACCCTTTTGTTACGAAGCAACAAACAAAAGAAGTCTGACTATAAGACCAAAGGTGAGACATTCAAACCTGAGGCCCCCAAGTTGCGGAAAGGGCGGGTCCCAAATGGCTCAGTCAGTACCAATAGGCTAGATTCGAAAGGTCAACAGCGCTTGTCAGCTCAAAGAGTGACTCTATTCAAGTATGACCACGTCAGAGTCTTGAATTCTGTTGTCAAAAATCATCGAAGCAGCTCAGAGTCATCAACGTCATCTACTGTGACGTCGCAAAAGAGCGTGCTACGGCATATCGACTCCAATGATTTCTCCCCCGGTACCTCTGATACACGACGAGAAACTTGCTTAATGTCGGATGGCCCTTTGGAAATTTACCAGATTATAAGCTATACCTCAAAAGCAGCGGCACAAAAGATGACCTATCTATGTTTTGGACGCAAGGACAACATCGTACATCCAATATTACCAAAATTACAAATTACAAAACTAGACTCATCACAGTTCGAAATGTCAATCTTGCTGTTAAATCCAGAGCGATACTGGATCCTGACTTTCTTACCGGAGCCAGGGCGGGCTCGGCTTCGAGAAGAGACAAAGACAGAATTTGAATCGGTGGTACGATCCATATGCTGTTACAAAATCCCTCCTAGTCAAATCCCACTTTTAGAGCCCTCCAATCATTCTGATGGCCAAACTTCGCAAAAAATGGATGTGTCAGGACACGACGATGACGAGGACGACAACGACGATGAGGATGAGAGCGATTTAGAATATCTACTAGATGATCTAGACAGTTTGTCCGATGAGACTAGTTTTGCCAGTGACGGTCTAAACCAATGCGATGAGAACAATGTGAACGACGTTTTCAAGAAAGCAATCAGAAATATCATCTCTTTGGATGTCTCCGAAAATGCCGCCACTATGAACAACAAGCGATTGTCTTCATACCATGGCCCAGCGTTGCCCAGCACACTGCGGTCTAGATACTCAATGGTAAGGTCTGTATCTGTCCCTTTGCGCCCTCAACGCAGTCATCAAGAGAGCTTTGCTATGGGTCTTGGGACCTGGATGGATATTAATGCTGAGGATTGAAGCTTATGGTGAAATTGCATCTTAGGAGCTGGCTCCTGTTCATATGACACCCCATTTTGTATATTTATCAATGTATGTTGGTTTGGGCTCTGCACCAATCTGATGTTAAATAAGCTTGAGAAATGATAATGATAATATTAATGGAGCTATAAACAAGAGCGGATGACAAGCTCTTCCATGCTAAAGTCATTACACGAAGGAGTTTTGGCTAGAGAAAAATCAGTGTCATTATTCTTTCTCTTTAATTCTTTTGAGAAGCCTAGACTTAAACTTGTACCGGAGCCTGCAATGGGTTGCCGTTTGGATCTAAACCTTGTTGCAACATCAAAAGTTCTTCACTACCAGCAGTTTCAAATTGAAGACCGCATCCAAGCTTGCTTTCCTGCTTGAAGTGATCAATTTCACCACAGAAGAGAATGGACAGAGTTGGCAGAATTTTTCTTTCCAAGAAACAACTTACTTTACCAGTGGAGTCCAAGGAACCGCGGAAAACAGACTGTCTGTATTCGTACTTGCAACCCAAAGTGGTGGTACCTTCGATAATTGGTTGAATGCCAATAGGGGTACCAATGACGGGATCAGCGATTGGCGCCATGCCAGCTTGCAAGCTGGTTTCGAGACCAGCTTCGACATTTTCGGCAACCTTGCGCCAGAAGGAAGCCACCAAAGCACCATTGGCTTGCAATTGACCGGAGAAGATCCAGTCTTGCTTTGGAGAAATGTAACGAGTCACGTAGGAGACCGCAGCATCGGCGGGCATGGCGGCCTGACCTCTGCTGAAGATGGTTTCTAAACCCAGAGCAAATTGGGGGGTGATACTTTGTAGGATAGAACCGACAGCAACTCCAGAGAAAACGCCTTTGGAAGTGATGGAAGGATTCAAAGCTTTCAAATTCAAAGAGAAGTCCGAGCCCTGGAAGTCCTGTTCTAACTGGCACATGCTTGGTTGGCCTTGGGAGAATTGCAACGTGGCCTTACTAATGTTGTGCTTGTCCCAGCCGTAGTTGAGTCTACCAGAGACACTGAGTTCGTTGTCAACGTTACCTTGGATAAACATGTTGTCGTTAGCGAAAAGCGCGGAAAATGCGTAGCTAGGCAAGTTGGCAGATCCCAAGGAGAGTGTATGCGACGTCTGGAACGCCGGGTTCATGCAGAAGGCCTTGTTGAGATCCGCTCTCAAGCCAGTGAAGAAGTATTGGTTAACTAGCACATCCCTAGAGACCTCTTTATTCAAGTTTTCGATTGTGCCGGGATTTGTCAATGCCAGTGATTGTCTGTGCGCATGGATGTTATTGTAGACGTTATTCAAATAGCTGAAAATGGGGTTGGAAGACCAAAATGACTCTTTTTGCTGAGCTTCCGTCATTGGCGAAACACCAGGAATCGCAGGAATCTTGGAAAAGTCTCCTAATGGAAGAGGCGTTGTGGTGGACATTGTAAACAGTGCCGGAGTTAGGGATTGGGAGCCTCTGGCGTCAGAATGTTCAATGCGCTTGTCGAATCTGTAAGAGGGTTTGAACAGTTCCTGTAGTTTTGACAATTAGGTAGTAATCCCAAACGCTAAAAAATTTTCTGGCCGTTCTAGGTGATGTGTAAAATTCATATCGCCCATTCGTCGATAGTGACACCTAGTCAAGCTGTTCGTCGTAGGTGAGAGAGCACATGACTCGAGCCGCTGGGGCTAGAGGCCTGCCTCACAGCCGCTGAACTTGTTCCTCGAGCTGCTGGAATACTTGACGCTTTGCGTCCAGGTTTCTCTGTCTTTGTTCAAGTACTTTGGACCACTCGGCGGGTGTCTGGCTTAGAAGTTCTCGGCACGCGGCGTTCTCGGCCAGATGCGCCTTGCACTGCTTCAAGCGGTGTCTGATAGAGGATGTCGCAGCCTCCAGCGAGTTGGTGCTGCTGTTTGGGTCCTTTTTGACCTGGTGTAGCGCGTAAGATAGCTGAGGAATGAATTCAACTGTGGGTGATTCCTGAGCGGAGTTGGGCGCCAACAGGGCCTCAATCTGCGCCAGATGACTGTTCTCCATGGAACCAGCGGCCATGGGGGTTGCAATTCGGGATGAAGCTTGGATACCGGCGGCGATTTACATGTAGTTTGGAAAGGACTACTTTTAGAATATAGCGTATGTATTATTGTTTGTGGAAATTAATTATCTCGTCCAACACGACACCAAGTTTTCAAAGGCGATGGGTCCTTCAGGATGTCACTTCCATCGATTCTCAAGCACGTTGGGTCAAATTTGACAGGCGGGGGCGGCCCGCTGTCTAAGTAGTGTTCCATCTTTGTTTGTTTTCCTTTTTTTGGCTTTTTTTGGCTTCAATTGATGGTGGTTCACGCCCTAAAACTTTTTGTTGACAACCAGGTTCTTAAACATGTCTCTACCGGTCAAAAAGACAGTTCTGTAGAGGGTGTAGAAATCCAAGGTACTGGTGAAGGTGTCCAAGAATCCGAACGGCAGCATGCAAGGGATCCAGCCACGGGCATACTCCAAGGCGAAGGACTCGCGGCCCATCCCGTACTGCTTAGCGTAGCCTTTAGCCATGTGGTGGGTCATTCCCGCAGTGTACACCTCTGGGCTCGGATTGTGAGGAAGCGAGGCGTACTGGGTGCCCTTGAGGATCGTAAAGTAGTCGTCTGCAAAATGCACGCCACTGTGGCCCTCGTTACCCACTGCGGTGCCGAAGAAAATCAGATACTCGGAAAAAGACGCATGCAGGATCAACATCTGGCCCATAGCTCCACCTGCGTTGTTGAAGACCCATTCTTCCTTCACGTACTTGTTGATATACTGTTCGCCGTAGTAAAGTGCCAATTCTTCTCTCACGTCTTTCAACAATGCTTCTGTCGTGGATTGGTCGCCCAAGTCCTGGTGGACAGTGATCACACGGTTGGCAATCGACTCCAAAGTGGCGGGGTCGAACACGTAGTTGGAAGGTAGCCAAGTGTACAGCATCTCTTCCATGGCATACCAGGCAGCACCAATTAGTGCCAAAACAAACAAAAGTCTCATCTTGTAGGGTTTGGGGAGGTGTTGAATGCCTGCCTCTTGTTATGACCTTGTCTACCGGGCTCAATTAACAGTGGTAACTTATGTTGTGATGAGTTCGATAGCACCGGCTTTTTTATAGTCGCGCACTTTCGCCGTCCTCTAAAATTATCTTATACGAGTACGTGATACGAGGTCACACGACAGGGTTGGTGAGAGGGCTCGTAGACGACATGAAAAGGTTTGGGCCGAGTAGGGAATCGGCACGCCAGAGATGGTCCTTTTATTGAGCATCATTGGTTACTGGAAAACAGATCGATCAATGATTTTGCTGCTTTCATAGACATCGGGGTTGCTTGTTGATTGGTGTCGAACGGATCTAGCGGTGTTCTGGCGCCCGGAGCGTTGGGGTTTGGGTTCCAGAGATTTGGCTTGACCGGAGTTCTAAACGAGCCCTGGGACATCACCAAGCGCCTCGAAGGTTTGCAAACAGTGTTGGAAATGGCGTGCGCACTCGACGACGAATGAGCTCTTGTGGCCGGTCGGGAGCGCCTCAGCGACCGGACAGCATCTTGTTCGTCACTGTTGCGCGGCGTGGGGCATTCCCGCAGGCCCACTGGGGTCTGTCTTGTGCGGTATTTGTAGTAGGCGTATTGCATGCGTATCTTGAGTTTTTGAGAAACCTGATCGAAATCCACCTTTGGCGGAGCTGCCTCCGTCGTCGCCTGCACCACCATTCGCTGCTCAAGGCTATTGGGTTGCGGCCACGTCTCTGAGTCCTGGTGTATCATCGACTTGATGGACGGGAGTTTTGAAGCGTGCGGCGGTTTAATGGTCGTGGAGCTCTTGGAAAGCGTTCCGCTGGAAAAGTTGCCATTCAGCTTGTTCATTCGAGAGCTCGACACCTTCGCCAACGGCTGTCTTTCGCATTCAGTGGTCATCTTTAGCCTAAAGGTCTATAAATCTAGGCGAAGCAAGCAATGCTATTAGCGAAGTAAAAGGCGTGGCGTGTTCGAGCTTTAGAAGGAAGGACAGATACACACGGGTAAAAGCTGTAGATTTAAACTCCTTTTCAGCTTGAAGAACCTATAGAAAAGCTCTTTTGGAGGCTCCCAATTCCAGGATCTTCTTAACGTGTATTGTTTTCAATTTTCCCAGAGACGCGACCCAATAGTGGAATTTTCGTGGTTGAAGAGAAGACCAGGATCCCAATGGGAATAAGCCAAACTGGATGAAATGCCAACTCGAGGAGCCTTGATTGCTTCGCATCGTAAATTTTGCAGCGTAGTTCGGGTAGCCAGCAAAATGAAGTTCGTTGCTGTTGCGATAAATAACCCTCTCACCTGCTATAAACTTGTAACCAAAAGAGAGGACAGGCTTCCGTACCTCTATGAGTCGAACTCTTATTACATAGGGAAGGGCATCTGCTTAACCCATTGGCTCATGTTGGTAAGCTCGCGCGGTTCAATGGTGTCTCCAACACCCCCCGCAACCTTTAAAATGTACTCGTTTAACTCGGCACTTCCAAGGATGTCAACATGCTCGGCACTCTTAGCGCCTCCTCTGATGTCGAAGCGATCCGGCTGGTGCTTGATCTCAACGATCTTGACGCTGGAGTTGCCCGGATTATAAGGACTGGCACCCTGGGCCCATTTTTGGCACATGGCGTGCGACACCAAAGGAATGGTGCCATCGCCATCGGTGAGAAGTACAGGCTCGCTGCTCTCGTAATCGATGGTGAAGTTCAGGTCTGGATGCTCCCAGTCCTGCTTGTACACGTAGGCGCGTTCGGTCGGGTTGCCGACGCCGTACATGCAGTAGATCTTGAGATCGGGCGCGTTGGGCAGCGGGACTTCCAGCGGGTTGGTCCAATGTGAATGATGGCCCTCGTTGTCACGTAGTTCGCGCTCAGATTCAGCATATCCGAAGGAATATTGGTCCCTGACACGCGCCTGGAGCCAGGGAGGGGAGATGTCCATGATAAGGTCAAGTGCGTCTTCCATGTTGTAGCCCTTTGAATGGTATGCATCTACGCTGTCTCGTTCGAAGCGGATAAAATTGCCGTAAGAATGCGTGCCATTGCGCAAGGAGTCTTCCACTGAGAATTCGCGATCGCCCCATATCAACGCACCACCCTTGGGCAACATGGATGGCACACCTCCCCAGGTTTGAATCATCTCAAGGCGTTCTTTCCGACTGAAGAACTTTTCCAAGCCATACATAGCCAAAGCGTTGAGTTGAATGGTGTCTTTCATTTCGCCACTGATCAAAGCGGGAACGGCTTTAGGAGCCCCCAGCAACGTTCCAGCAACGTTGACAAATGAGTCAATGTACTTATCGACCCAGCCACGACCTCCATTACCATAAAGCGGACCCTCAGCTTCAACCCACTTGAAAAAATAAAAGATGACCTGGGAGCCCATCGAGTGGCCGATCAAGACCGCCTTTTCGCCTGTTAGTTTGTAGTCAAGCTCGACTTTTTGTTTGAGTTTCGAGAAATAGCTGTCTCGGCGTTCGAGATCCAAATATGCCAAACGCCAATCGTACGCTGCAGTTGCCATTTTGTTCGGTTCGTAGCCAATAGCCCCCAAGTTTTGTAGCACCTTGTTCCATATCCAGTAGCCCGCCATGAAGAAATCTGAGGCCTCAAATCCCTGCGCCGCTCGCATGGTAAAATTTGCAGGATCTAATCCAGTCTCCGGATCTAACATAACGTGTTTCAACCAGCACACTTTGTCGAGAACCATTGTCTTGAGCATGTAAAAAGACCCCCAAAGTCGTTTACGGAAATGAGGCTCTGAGGAACACTCCTCATCGCCGTACAGACCCCAGCTCTCAATGCCCGTTGAAATCACTCCTGGGACCATAACGACAGGATGTTTATCATGCAGATTTAGCTCACGATGCAACTGTTTTCCCACAGCGAAACTTTCGGTCAAATCCTTTAATGACGTGGATTGAAGGTTTCTCTGTTGAAAGTCAGTGATCAACGAAGTAAAGCTGTGGGGCAAAACTTCTTTCCAGTCGTCAACGTAGTCCTGTAGGGACTCAAAATTCACAAAGCTGTCAAACAGCATTGCATTTGACTTTCCCTTAATGGCACCCGCATAAATGGCTACTGCAAGCCCTAAGATCGCTCCCAAAGTGAAAATAATCCTTCTCGATTCTTTCCAAGGTTTTTTAGTCCTTGGTGACTTGTTTGATGATTTAGAGCTCTTGTGATGCGTATGCTTCGAAGAATTGCTGCCGTTAGGCAAATTGTCACCCCCGGATTCCTCGACGCTGTTAGAATCCTTCTTCTTCTTGCGATTTTGGATGCCCATGAGTGATCGACCGTTGTAGAATTTGTAACTAGGTGTGTGTTGGGAACAAAGCTGTGTATGTGAGGCACTAAGCGTGCTGTGGAAAGAAAGTTCCTTGAACACTCGAACTTCAAATGTAAAGTACACAAATATGCCGGCGAATAGAGCAGGCGAGCGCGAAACAAAGAAGCTACAAGTTCTTATTAGACTTAAGTAGTTATTGGTATAATAAGTACAACGATTTTGCAAGTTTATCGAAATGTTTTCTATTAGCCAATGTTAATATGTGACAGAGGCTAACGTCCCAGGTCAGTCAAAAACTGGAGAGAGCCCTCTATAGACTTGGGCTTTAAAGATCAAGGTGCCGAAGCTCGATGGGCAATAGATTTTGAAAAGTGCTCCTCCCAGTTCATAAAGTGAGAGAAAGGCTACAGTTCTCCTTCAGTGGAACACACTAAAGTTTTCGACACCATTTATGTGTCAGATACTTCTGGTTGCAACTTATACAAGCGCAGCCTGGCTTTATCCATAGTTCTCCCACAGGAAAGCCCCTGAGGTTGGCCTAAGGAATGGAAACATTTTATACCAGCTTCGCTACCTAGCCCTAATGAACAACCTTGAGGGAAACATTGATTTGTGAACCACCAAGGTCTACATCAAGGGTCTTGAGTTAAGTATCAAACAACGTTAATTGTCCCAAACGCAAGCTCTCGGCTTTTTATTGTCGGTCCGAAAGAAAAGAAAACAAGAACAGCTCATAACTGTCGATAAAACGGCCGAACTAACACCCGACTTCTCTTACCGGTTCCAGAAGGCTCAGCGTAGCATACTGGCTGTCTCTTACTCGACTACAATGGCGGGCGGCCCATTGAAGACCGTCCCATCATTAATCACCATGTACCATTCTGTCATGAATTTATTAATATTCTCCTCTCGACTAAGGTACAAATGTACTACTACCCGTGTCGGCAAAGTCCCAGCAACACAAACACCAAGCAAAGATGATCAGATCTAAATTAATGAGCTGGAGGGAGTACTTGACTCCTGTGAGTCACAACTCAACCTTTCAGACGACCGGCCAATTAACTCCGGAGGAGTTTGTGGAAGCAGGGGAGTACTTGTGCCATATGTTTCCAACGTGGGAATGGAACCTAGAGAGTAGCGCTGTGAGTGGCAGGGACTTCTTACCTGCTAACAGACAATATTTGGTAACGCGAAAAGTGCCCTCTGCCAGACGAGCCGAACAGTTGACGGTGGTGGCGCCATCCGGCAACCTGCCACAAGGAGATGCCGATGACACCAATGCAGATTCTGGAGATGGCTGGGTTGTAGAGGGCCAAGTTCCCGAAACCAAGCTTTCGCAGCCTGCGGACCATGCAGACATTGATGAAATGCTACAAGGCATGGAACTGGAGTCAGAAGACCAAGTCGACGAGGACATGGTGCTTGCCGCCGTTCCGAGTGATACACGACACTACGATTTGTACATCACATATTCGACCACATATCGCGTTCCCAAGCTCTACCTCGTGGGCTTCAACAATGAAGGTCAGCCGCTAACGCCGCAGCAGATGTTTCAAGATATCGCGCCTGACTACCGGGCCAAGACAGCGACCATAGAACGGCTCCCTTTTTTGCGCGCACACGTCACCTCTGTTTCGATACACCCATGCAAGCATGCCAATGTTATGCGCGTACTAATGGAGCGTATTCGAGAGGTAAAAAATAGGCGTCAGGCCAGTGAAGCCAACAAATATAACGCCGAAGATGAATGGGAAGATATACAGGGCGAGGTTGAGAGCGGACTGAGGGTCGACCAGTATCTCATTTTTTTCCTCAAGTTCATTACTAGCGTAACCCCAGGAATTGAACATGACTATACCATGGAAGGCTGGTAAGCCCCGATAACATACACTTCTCTAATGTCACATATTACGATACCGATATTGAGATGAGCTCCTACAATTACTATGAATAACGCTCACGCTGGGCACGGGCGCAAACAATACCTCGCCGGCTACATGGTCGATGAACGCGGAACAGAAGGCCCGGATCGTATGTATTCAGTCTCTTGAGTTTTAGCTGCCTCTGGTGAGTCCGCTTCTCTTTAGATGGAATTACTGACATTTTCTCATCAATAGGAGGCTAATAGACAGCGAGCTCTTGCCCGTTTAAAAAGTAGAGGCATCATTCGGGATGACCAAGCAAAGCAAATCGAAAGCAGAAATACACCAGCCTCTAAGCGTGCAGCGCCTGATTCTATAGCAAGCCAGGATGTTACCGAAAATCGAGCCAAAGCCATGAAGTTGTACGCTCCTCACCCAGACACTAGAAGAGATGCGTCCGCGGAAACGAGTCTCAGAGATGAGCTGGATAAAGATACAGGCTCGAAAAGGCCTCTGGACAAGATACGACCTACGGTGCGCAAGCAAGACTATATTGAATATGACTTGGCTACAATGAGAAACTCCAACGGTGGTTTCATCAACTTCGATGAAGATGAGGGTGGCGGTTCGGAAAATAGGAAGAACCAGTCTTTGGAGGAATGGCAAAGAGCACAACAGGAGAGAAGAGCTCTCTATGAAGATGCGCAGCCCCCGGAACATCCTTCCTTGGCGCCCAAATGTGTTGAGTGCCACATTAACACAGAGCTAGATCCCCTTTTGCACGATGTTTTCAAACTTCAAGTTTGCAAAGCGTGTGCTAAATCCCTACCCGAGAAATATTCCTTGTTGACGAAAACTGAGTGCAAAGAGGACTATTTTCTAACAGATCCGGAACTCAACGACAATGCTCTATTTAACAGATTTGAGAAGCCCAATCCGCATTCAGGTACATTTGCGCGTATGCAGCTTTTTGTGAGATGCCAAATTGAAGCGTTCGCTTATCAAAAATGGGGTGGAGAAACGGGCCTTGATGGCGAATGGCAGCGACGCGAGGAGGCCAAAGCGCAGAGACGTGAGAAGAAGTATAAGGAAAAAATGAGAGAAATGAGAGTCAAAACACGGGCCCAAGAATACACAACGAAATTGCTAAATCGTAAACACGGAAAGGAGCATGTTCACGCTTTTTCCGCAGCTGTCGATGGTGGGGTCAACGAAGACGGAATTCGAATGGTTAAACGTAGATGCTTTGAATGCGGATTAGAGACTCAGGAAATTTCTATTTAGGTTGCTTTACATAGACGACGGGAATAATTATAACTTTATATGGCATAATTTAATCCAGTTAACGATATCTTTGATAGCAGCATATTGTAGATAGTTATTTATGCCGTAGAATATTGAAACCGTAATTGAATGTCACAGTTCTATTAACAGTTCTTCCCGGTCTGGAATCTCTTCAGCGTACCGCACTTCTTCTTCTTTTTTAGGAGGAGCGTGGATGGGTACAGTTGGGAAATCAAATTTTGTTATGTTCTTTTCGTCCTGGGATTTTTGCGTTTCAATTACGGGCGCAGTTTCTTCTTTTGGATAGGGTCCTTTAGCCGGTTCTGCAAGTACGTTATCCTCTTTCGGGTATGGTGGCTCTGAAGGAATGCTGGTAAGGTTTTGATCGGATGATTGAGGCTGTTCGTATTCATCGGGATATGGTCGCTGTCGGATTGACGCTCGCTGCGCGACGTTCGATGTATGCAAGTCGGACTGGCGTTGAACATTTATGTGATTTGCAAGTGGCATAGAGGTTTGATATCCCTGTGGCGACAAAGCGGGGTTGGGCGGCGGTGCGACGGAGTCAAAGTGTGAATCGCTGATCATTGGATTACGCATGGTATCCCCATTTCTGATATTCACCGGCAAATTGGAGGCTCTTGAGACACTAGGCGGTTCCTGTTGGGCAACATTGTAGTAAGCGTATGGGTCAGAGGGCAGTGGCATTGAATACTGCTGATGGATGTCTATCGAACGAAGCTGCTTCTCAAGAAGTGAATCATAAATATTCATGATGTCTGAAATTTTACCGTTCATGTTTACCAATGAATTGTATTTTTGAATTGAATTGTTGAGAGAATGGTTTAGCTTGGGAACGCTCCCCATGACCTTTCGATAGAGTTGCTGAAGCTGAGTGTCTTCCAGCACAGCAGTAGCAGGTTGTGTCTTCATACGTTGGACGAGCGTGGCAAAAAGTTGAATGTCGTCTTCTTCCGCAATACTAAGTCCATACTCTTGGCGAGGCATCTCGCGCTCTGCAGAAGGTGGTCGGTTTAGAGAAACTGCCTGGGCAGCACTATCTGCCTCTTGTCTCTTCTTGAGCTCTTCTGCATCACGCAGACTAGCCTCAATTGCGGCTTTCAAATCTTCGTCTAATTCCTCATCGGTATTTACTGGAGCCTCTTCTGCCACCGGCAACGAAGGGACCACAGGAACTGATACATCATTTGATCGGGATTCTTTCAACGAAAGCTCTATAGCACGTCTGAGCTCTTCATCTTCTTGAAGCTTGGTGTTCATCGACATATTCCTGCTGTTTGAACTCTTCTTCCGTTCATGCTTTCTGCCAGACTGGTGTTTAAAGTCATATTCTTCATAACAATCGTCACAAACTCGAACAGGATCATATATGCCAAGTTCTGGTAAAGAGATGTTGTGAGACGAATGGTCCTGACAAAAAATGCCGCCACAAGAACGGCAATGGTGCTTCCTATTGAGAAGTGTAAACTTTTCCGAACAAATCATGCAAACATCAGAATCAACCCAATCAGCCGGCGTCTTGGATTCGAACATTGCAGCAGCTAGCTCAGAACCACTCGGATTTGGAGGGAACTCCACACCTCGGGAAGTTAGTCTTTGATAAACTTTTGAGACATATCCCAGCTGACTGTCATTCTTGAATGCTGCGTTGAGATTCTGTAATATGTTCTTGCACATGCGTTCCAACTCCTCATGATTGTCGTTGTCTAAGATTGCACGTTCCAGAGAATCCATGAACTCCCTTGAACACACTTCTCTAATGAACGGTAGTCCACAATTCTTTAAACACAGCTCTGTCAGAGTCCATGCCGACAAATTAGTATTCGGATTTGATCGTGTAGCAACGATACGCTTCTTTATGCATCTCATTCCATCCCTCGCTGCTATCCTCTTGGATTTTATGATGTCTGATATCTCCAATGCGACGGTCAAATCAACAGCACCATGTGGAATAGACTCGCTCGTGGCCCTCTGAATAAGACTATCAAGTTGAGACGGAGTAGTTACCGAAGATGACATCCTCTATTGGATCGCAGATGAAGCTGAGTATCTGTTGTGCGAGCTTGAAGCTTCATAAAGGAGTTTCGATAACTTGGATCACTATATACCTGAATAGCTATAATACGACAAAACCACATGACTGCCAAATCCAAGCCAGCCGGCAGCGAGTAATAAGGAAGACGCTCCCGTCGCACTTGCCGGAATAGGTACATCGGTGGTGACTCAATAATTGCTTGCAAAGAAAGATATCGCGTTTCCGGACCATTGAGAATTTATTAATTCTATTATATAAGTTTGTGTAGAGAAAATGCGTGAAAATGACCCGAATCGTCAGACTAGACAGTATGAGCGAACCTCCCTAGTCACATCATTCAAGTTCACTTTTTCCTGACTCTTGAAATATGTTGAATGGGTAGAGAGAGGCTTATGTGACCAAAAAAATAAAAGAACCGGCACCCACAAGTCCTAACGACGCCCATTTGAAGTACTTGCTATTCACAAAGGAGTCATTGCGCTTCACAGCATTTGTCCTGTGTCTGTTTTCTAGTCCCCGTCTCACTAGGCTTCTCAATGACCTTTTTTTGTTTGAGCTACTCGCAGACTCCGTTGGATTCAAGGTTTCCGTGGGCAACATCGAGGGCGGTCTGTAGGCAAGGTACATAGGCGTCATAGGGGATCCATCGGCTTCATATAATTGAAGCTCGTAAACGCCATGATAGTCGTTCACTTGAACAAGAAACCATTTGAATACTTCCGTCTGATTGTAGCGAGAATAAGTCGAAGTACCATTGTCATTGCATGGGTCGCTGAGCAGCTGTCTACCATCAACTTTTATTGGGTTTAATGTCAGTGTACCATTGTCTTGGAGGTCGTAAGTACCATGCTGGTAGATCAAAACTGCAATAGGGCATTTGGGATCCCTGGGGTTTGATTTAACTTGATAGACAGCTTCCTCAAAATGACCATCTTCTGTAAATGAATATGATAGCCCCGGTAAGGAAGGCTCCTTCAATAGCTCCTCTACCGGGTCATAGAAGCCAGGGCCGGTGAAGACTTGGTTTGATTTGGTAGTCCACGTACCGTGAAGGGATTGCTTTAGGTCATCACCTAAAACTTTAGCCACCAAAATGGCTAAGGTAAAGAATGAGTAGATTTGAAGCATGCTGGATACTTGTCGTGTCGCTTTAATGGATGAAATCAATGATGGTGAAGTCAATGAAACATGATTTTATAAGCCTTTTTCAATAAGTGTTGTTGTCACTATATCCTTTAATGACAAACGCGAGATATATATGGAACAGATAGCTTTTGAGCGCGGACGGCTGCTTTCGAAAGTACAGCGTATTCACAGCATGGTCTGCTAAGCTCAAAGATTTTAGTTATTCGCGTCGATGTTTTTCAATGTCCCATTATATTCTTCTATATATGTGTTGCCCAGGTATACATTGAAACGTCATACCATGTTATTAATATTGCTGATGGCCAGCGAAACTAGTGAAGATCGATTGCTGTTCGTGGCGGACGTTCCACCAGATGCAAAAATGCTGCTACCTACAAATTTGGCTCGTGGGGGTGCGGTAGCTGTAAAGGTATTTTCTTTGTTTTCGTCCATGCATTCGTAGTCCTGTGTCCTGATGCGTTTATTCGAAAGGCTATTCACGCTCAACGATGAGCCGCACACACTGCTAGGTTGGGTTTTGTGAGCAAATGAGTACATGATGGGTGTCACAGGTGAGGGTTGCGAATCGACTGTGCTAAATATGCTCACGTCAGAGGGAGCAGAGGTGTTTCTGAGCGGCGTGTAGTTTCCACTTCCATGGTATGGAGGGGAAGGCATAGAAGGAACGTCGTAGCACAGGGTAGATCTCCGAGATAGATCCTTTTGGGTAGCCAATTGCTGGTTCTTCTGTTGCGATGTGTAGTAATCTCTGACCACGTCTACAAACTCCTTGACTCCTTGGCTGTCTTCGTAATACTTCAACAGCACTTTTGGAGCTTGAACAACAGCGAGTACGAATATTTTTAGCAAAGCTGCCTGGTTAGCAGTCGTAGGTAAAGGTGAAAGCAATAATGGGCCATGATCTTGGCCGGTGAATTTGTTTATTATAGAAAAGATTCCGTGAGCTACCTCAAACATTTCATATTTTAAAAGCTCGGTTTGCCATGTGGTTAGATCTATCAAGAACTTCTTGACGTTTATTAGCTGTATTTTAACCAGTAGGTCCTCATCTTCTTCTTCGTCCGCCTCCGTAGCATCACTATCGGAACCTCGCGAGTTTCTATGGGTCCATTCTCTGTTGTGTTCCAATTGTCTCTTATAGAGCTCATATTGTACTAAGCAGTTCTCGTCAACGTTAAGAACATAGTCGTTGATCATGGGCTCACAGATATCCCAGTTTAGTGTGTCGAGTATATGTCTTTCCATTTGCATAAACATACTTTCGTCAAATACATCGGCTCCACCGCAGTAGTGCACAAGCTCGGAGAGTCTGGGAATTCGAGCTCTAGGGTTTGGTCCGTAAAATCTCCCACCAGTGGGCACGGATATATTGTTTATAATGTGATTGCAACCTCCCCAAGTCTTCGCCGCAAGCCACAGACAGGTTGCAATAACCAGCTTGGCCTGTTCTCTTAAAACCACTCTTTTAGAACAGTAGCGATCGTACAGTCTTGCTGCGTGAAAAAATATGCCGTTGGTGACTCTGGTTTTGACTGATAGTTCGAACAGAACCGTCATCACCTGCTGACGAGTCTGTTGAGGGTTCATCTCGGGTTGCTGGGCGATCAATTTGGGATCGGGCTTGAACTTGCACGACTGCGAAATCACGTTCGCCGAAATTTCCTGGTGATAGTCCTGGATGGTCTCATAGTGCGCTAAAAGCTCTGCGTTCGAAAGTTCAATTGGGTAATATGTTTGCTTAGCGGTCACAATCAAGCCCTGTGGAACGTTATCACTGAAGGCCATTGAAGTACGGTTGAAGTGAGTGACAAAAGACTGGAGAGCTTTGGGTCGGAATGTAATGAATGTATTAGATTCTTAATCAATAAGAATCGATGAAAAATAACCGACTGAGGGGGCTCCGCCAAAATTCGATTCTCTCGCACTTGATTGAAGAGCTTGATTTGCGCCTTGGCCTTCCCTTCGCTTTCCAGATAGTCGAAGGGTGCTAAGGCTGTTCGCTAACCTTATATATGGAATGGTTCGCGAAAAAAATTGGTACAAAGCATTTGACACTCCACTCACCACATTCACGAAATTTACCTATGTGGATCATTCCCTGCTAGGTACATTCACGATGCTCACGATACTCAGGACGTCTTGATTTGATTTCGCCCCGTTCATCTTTGTTCAGTCCTAAAGTGGTTAATACCACGGTTTATTTTTTCGCGGAAGTCGCACGATGTGATCTAGGGCGTCAGAGCCACGAAAAGATATTGGAAAGACAGCTATGGTAGGAGGTCCCATGAGCTTGAATTTGAGCATCAATGGAAAGGAACCGTTTGGGATTTTGGCGGCTGTCCCATCCCGAACCAAGACGTATTGATTTCTGTGGGTTCGAGGTCGCGAAGCTCGATATGGAAATTTTCTGTAATGCTGCTAGACACACTGCTTAAGCACTCCACTTCTATCAATTCGGCCTTTTCGAGGTTGGACACGCCAAGAATCGCAGACGGAAACCACCAGGCATATAATTGGGAGCCGTGCCATGCAAAAAGAACCCAAGGAGCAGACTTTACAATAAAAACCACTGTGCGACTTGACGTGAACTGTAAGTTCTGAATCTCGAAGTCTGTGGCAGCTACCGTGGAGAATAAATCCATCTGTGTGGGTTTGGCAGTATCAGTTACTTGACGATAGGAGGCGACAGAGATTTCGTGTATGGGTATCGTGCGCAGCTTCTGTTGCGTCACTAAGTCGATCTCGCACATTTCAAGACCTCGGCGGTTCTGGAGCACCAGTAGCATGCTCAATGGACTAGAAAACCATGCCTGGTGCTTGGAGATAGGAAATGGAAGTGTTATTTGATGAAATGGCCTTTTCGCGTGTGGAAGAAAAATTTCAACGAGACTAGTGAAGCCTTCAGACGAGACGATTGAGAAGAACTCGCTGTTTCCTAGGCCATTGCACACCCAGCGATTAGCAGAATGATGGTCCAACAAGACGCTTGTGCGTAGGTAAGTATTATTGGCAGTCTTGTCAATTGCGTACGTGTTGAGAAATCTCTTGATTAATAACGTTTCCGGATCGAACAGTCGAGTCATCACCTTGAACTCGTAATCTCCCTTCTTCCACACCTTGCAACAAGTTGTGTCGACTCTTATACGGCCCTTATAACGCTCGTTAATCGTATCAAATAAGTGAAGTGCTCCAGTAACGTTATCTGTAGCTAAAACCCACCCTACAGCGGGAAACACCAAAAACTTTGAAATCTGAAAACTCACCTTCAAAATATCAACTTGGCTGAAACAACTATTCTGGGAATCTAGTTTTAGTTGAACAATCGAATTGCCGTTGTTTCCGTAGATGAAGAGCTCACGGCCGCTGTCGACATCATTACGCTTATCATTGTCGTGACTTTCTGCCAGAGAGCACTGCAGCTCATTAAAGCGAGCCGCTTGTAGTTGGGAAACAAGCCTCCCTTTTTGATATACGCTCAGACGTCCTTGATCAAGCAGGACCAGCCAAGAGTTACCACGAAACAGAGTGCGCATTTATCATCTCTCAGCTTTATCAAAGTTAGTTTGTTTTGTTTAATGTTAAATTTCTGGAATTGTCAACAAAACTCATCGCTGATATTGTGCTCTGTGCTGATTACACTAAGAGGTAACAAGCTTTAGACAAATTGAGTCCCTCGTAGCGAAGTTTAAAGCTTGCCATTTTTTCGGTAGAATCACATCTGCTTACTGCTTTACTCTGACATGCTGGCTCATGCCAAGATTAATGATGATGCCGACGACAACACCGGGGGAATTTATAAATGGACGATGGATGCTCTCTTTGGACGCCGTGTTTCGCCATCAAGGAGATTCAAAGAGGCGTCACAGGACGATACAAACTATAAATTGAAGAGTAAGGGCACAACTAAAAATGAAGGCAATGGAGTACCGTACAATAGTTGGACTCGAAACAGCCGTCAGCGGTCCAGTTCAACCAGTTCGATATCTGACAAGTCCTTCCTAAAGCGGTACGATCTCTTGCAAGATGAGGAAAATATGGAGAATACCGGACAAGGAATGAGCCCCGTCCGTCATCGAGATTTGTTCGATCTAAGGGAGCCAAGTTTAATCCCGCCCCATTGGGACCGCGACCATGTGGGGCAGTTCAATGTCCGGGGCGAAGATTTAGACAGTTCCGACACATTTTCAGGTCGTAAGCAACAGGGAAGTAGTCGAGGGCCCCAAGCAACAGATGATGACAACAGTCTCAAATTTCGTGTGCCGAGGCATAATGACCCCCTTATCTCCAAGCTTTTCGGTAAAGAAGCCCCGTCACATTCAAATTCGATTCCGGGAAAATTTCCATCGCCTCTTAAACACAGCAATGACAAACAGCCTCCCCCGGTAGCGCCGGTAGAATCTCATCATAAAGACTTCACAGACGATTACTTGCAACTTCTACAGGACTTAGATTTAAACGGCCAGAAACTCAGACAATTACAGGAGGGTATTCAGTACCGCCACGATGACCAACAGCTTCGAGAAGCCAGTTACCGCGAAAAATACCTTACTATGCGCCAAGAATTGATAACGGAACTTAAACAATCTAAACGCATCTACGACAACTATTACAAGCTCTACGCAAAATACAAGCAATTGAAAGACGTGAAAGCCAAACCACTCTACGAACCCACTTCCCAGCAGCATGTGCGCGATCTAGAAGCTCAGGTAGTGGACGCCTCCATTGAAAGGGCGGAGCAAGTTCGCAAACTCAACGACACTATTTTCAGTCTCGAACTAAAGCAGCAAGAAACGCTAGCAGAGCACGAGCGGGAACGGATTAAATACCAGTCTCGGATAGCAGAACTGGAAAGTCTCCTACGTTCTCAGCTTTCAGGTTCACCGAGCAAGCTAGCAGCTCAGCACCCTACTCCCTACTCAACTACCTACACATAACAGATTGTCAATAAACCATTAATCTGTATGTTTTAAAGGTCAAAGGATAAAATAGACCCAGCTTTCTGACATTATATTTTATTTATAGTGCCTATTATAGACTCAGATAGCCAGTACTTGATCTCAAGAATAAGCCTTAGGAAGAACAATAAAAACTGAACGGACTCTAAAATTGTTCTGGCAAGTGTTACAGACTCTTTAGGTGATAATTGTCGAGCGCTTTTTATTTATCGTGAATATCTCACCGCATTTATTGTTCAACCATTTTTTGAATGAAATTAAGAAGTACTGAAAGTTGAAAGTTCCATAAAACAGATAAGTGGCCGTCCTACCTGCTACCTCACATCACTTGAGACCTATCAAACTCTGTTGGAGCTGTGACTGTATACTTCCTGTATATGGTCCAATTTGCTACCTTTGTATTCTCATCCAGATTTTAGACGTGCAATTGGAATAAATGTCCATGGTTCAGCCTCAAATACCATCAATTGGTCCTGAAAATCTTCCCAAGTATCCAGGAAGTGTTTCGGTTTCCAATAATGGAAGAGTGGCAAATTCATCCCCGAACGGCACTCCTGCGGCTTCAATTCATACCGGTAATACGCAAGGCATTCGTCTGAATCTAGAGCAGATGATTGAACAGTTTAGTGAAGTTCTGGGAAAGGAAAACTGGAACAAATATGCACAAATTATTAGTCTCTTTATTCTTGGCAAGCTTTCCAGAAAAGAGCTCATGAATGAGATCGACTTGCTTTTCAGCTCTCCGGCAGAACTTGCGGGGCAAGATCGGATTCACAAATCAAACCTTAATCAAGGACGTCTGATACGAATGCACAATAAGCTTTTACTTGCCATTTTGGCTAATTCACTCAGAGGCTCGCCCCTGGGGGAATCAACGGAAGGTTCGTGGGGCTTCAACAATGGGACGACTAACGCCAACAAGAAGAGGTCAAACAAGCATAACTCCCAAATAGATACTTACAAAAAGATAGTCATGTCTCTACCTTCCGAAGATAGAGGTCGACTGAAAACCATCACTAAGGAGGCCGGGAAAAGAGGATTCGTGCTTTGTTCAGTTCTTCAAGCACGTCTGCACACTATTCCAAAGATTCCTATAGTAACCAATCCGGATACGTTGAAGAGGGTTAAAGCAAGCAATTTAAAGACGCCTCTTGAGTGGTCACAGGAAGTGGTGAATGGATTTTCAGCACCATTGGCCACAGAGAGCTATTGCTTGCCTGATAGTGACTCGCTTTACCTCCGAATGATAAGTCTAGCGCGAGAACATGGGCTAGTTGGTGCCGTAGATGGTCGCTGTGTGGAGATAATGACTCTTGCTTTGGAAAATTATTTGAAGAATATTGTGGAGTCGGCTATTGACACAGTCAGATATAGACGAAAATATCATTCAGAATATTACGATTTGAACGATGAGGGCTTTTTCCAGGGTGTGGCAGGCCCTGAAGAAGACCCCATACTTGAGGCGGGCGAGAGGAATCACGATATCCGGTCGCTTTCCAACGGAGAGCTGTCAGAAACCTTGGAAATATATCCAAACTTGGTGGCACCGACTGGGGCGTTCCTGAACTTGAATATGTGCGGCTTAGCAAATGATGATGAATTAGTTAACACTAAAAGTAGTGTTGATGACCTTCCGGATTTTTTGGAAGAGAAACCAAACTTCACACCAGTGGACGAAAGGAATGTTGGTAGTAGAGATGAACTCAAATGGCTCATCAAAGAAATTCTGACTGAAGATTAATCCTAATTAATTAATGATATACGATTTTGCAGCTTAAGCTATCGGGACTTTTCACTTGCAACATATGTTCGCGGGGCGTCAATCTGGCTGATGCGTCTAGCCGCATTTAATATTGTTCCTGTAGTCGAGGCGCAATCATCGATTAGGTTGAAGAGGACGAGCGACTTAGTCTTCGACATAAGGGTTTGTAAAATTATGCTAATTGGTGTGCCTGTGCCGTGGTCAGTGCAAAAGAGGTTACTCATCCTTTGAATTGTTTCCATGTCGTTAATCTCAAGATAATAGCTGTCGCAACACTTTTCGTTATCATCCCAGACCTCGGCTTTCACAATTCCAATTTTGTCGCAACCCACTTGAGTTTGAAGGCCCTTAAAATCGGCTTTAATGTCTTCCGCAGTCTTCATTTCGACTGTAGCTGAATTCATTTCAATAGCGTCAGTCTTGATGGTGAGCTGAATTTCTGTGTCGGGCTCGCTTTCTCCCTTCTGAAATAAGTCTGATGATACCGCTGCCTCGGAAAGCGCAACATATTGAGTTTTCAATTGATACCTGCCGCTCTTCAGGAGGTAGGTAAGGGCGCTGTCCCTTATGAAAGATTGCTTTGGAGTAGGGAGTGAGATTATGTTGAAGTTCAGGCGTTTCTCTAGGCACATGTCAAAGAAGGCTTGGCATTCTTGCTTCACCAAGTCTTCTTCCGATATTAGCTTACAAGGTAAAATTCTGTTGAAGAAGCATGGTTCTGAATCTTTAAGTGAAATACTCTTTTGTGAAAAATCAACTTCGAGGCTGTTTGGTGCAGTGTCGCCGACGTATGCAAAACAACGTATTTTACCCTTCAATTCGTCGATGGCATTTTCCATAGTTCTTCTCCTTACCTGCTCCTTTTCCATTTTATTGAACTCGGCGTTGTATTTGGCTTCGACTTTGAGGGCTTCCATCTGAATAGCGTCGGTAATTGATTTTGTTTCTAGATAATCTGCATCCGCTTTGATTTTCGCATCTTTCAAGGGAGATGAGCTCGTAATGCATTCGTTAACAAGCTGGTGAATGTGTGAAATTTGCCTCGCTAATTCAGCACCCCGTTCGTTATGCTGGGCAATTTTCAATTTGACGGCCTCCGTCTGGCTTTCAACATTTGACTTCTCACGGCGAACAACGTCATTTTTACATTTCAAGTCCTCTAATGGCTCTTTTTTGCTGAACAAAATATGTTCCAGCTTCTCATCCAGCTCTTGATTTCTCAAGCGGCATGCTTCCTCATTCTTTATGGTCAAAGCCCTGAGTTCTTTTTCATGTTGTTGCTTTTCCACTTTCAACCCTTCGAGCTCCTGAAGGTCTTCAAAGCTGGGCCTATAGTTTTCCATTTCTCGCAGTTTGGTCTCCCACTGTGCCTTGACTTCTCCCAGCTCTTTATTCAGCTTATTTTGAGTCTCTTGGACGGCAATCTGCTGCTCTAATCGAAGATGCTGGACTTCAAGTTCCCAGTTCGATTGCACGTTGTGAGATTCATTGGTCTTCTCGTCCAAATCCGCAGTTAGTTGAATGAGATCTTTGCGCAGCTCGCCACACAGAACCCTTTTCTTAGAAATCTCGTAATTTAAGTCGGGCAGGCTTCTCTCTCGAATCAGCTTTGTCTCTGTTTCAATTTCAGCTATGGATTTGCGAAAATGCTGAATGTCGCGTGCTATCTTCCGTTCCCGCTTTTTGACCTCTTCTATGACTCCCGGATCGCCATAGTAATAACGATTCATGAGCCGAGTGTTCGGATCTGCAACCTCCGTCGACGACATTGAAGTTGCCTTTGGCTTGTTGTGTCTGCGATATGCTGGAAACGCAGTGGTGTTGGTAACGTCTTCCAAAACGTGTGACCTTTTGGCAGGGATTCTCGACCTTTCAGCCGTCGCTAATGGCCTTTTATGAGCTGAGATCCCTGGAATTTTAGTTTGGCTCATGTTTCAGAAGGGTTGGGCGCTGAAACACACAGAATACTATACTGGCTACTAACAGGGCCAGTTAACGACGCTGGAAGACGCGTGGATTTGCAGAAAAGAGGTTTCAGCTGTACGTTACTTCCCTTTGGCAGGCTATATGCAATGCTAAGCTCTTGATGATAGGAACCAAGGCTGGTGCTACCGGAACAGCGAGTGTCGCATTGTGGTTCTTCGCATTGACCATTTACAGAAGGTAAACAAACCATCACGTGATGTATGCATTCTATACGAATTCCGACGTCCAAACGAATGTGATTATGTACGGCCGGAGCTCTCTCCCGTCCACAATGATGTATGTGCGAAGCCTGTTCGGATTGATATGGACCGACGACTACGGCGACGCCGCTACTAAGAATATATGGTGTATATACAGGGATGGTTTGGAGACAGCGCGCTTGGCTCTTCGACTTCTACTGACGAGTCTGTCGGTGTCCGTCATTTTGCGTTTTTCTTCACTCAAAGTCCGAGTTGCTGACGTTCCGGGTCATCGCGGGCAGCGCTACGCGAATCCCGTCGATATCCTTGTTCATTTTGATCTGGCACCCCAGCCGACTGGTTTCCGTCAGGCCGTACGCCAAGTCCAGCATGTCGTTCTCGTCATCGTCGGGCTCCTCCAGAGCGTCGTAATAGTCCGGGTCCACGATCACGTGACACGTCGAGCACGCGCACGATCCGCCGCACGCGCCCTCCATGTCCAGGTTATGGCCCTGTGCGATGTCTAGCAACGAGTCGCCTTCGCACACCTCGTACTCCTTCTGTGTGCCGTCCTTCAAGATGAAAGTGACGTGCAATTCTTCGCCGGGTTTGGGTTTATGCACATGACCGTGCCATCTTATCGGTGTGATAGAAGGTCTTGGCATGCGAGGGACCATAAATCTCGCCGAAAACGTGGACCTGGCCACTAACTTGGACATACCGGGCACCCTGAACATGACTGGTAAAGCTTCTGGTCAAATTTCAACACACAAAGTGCCGTATTCCTGGTCTTCGAAGCTCGGTGTCAATTTATAAACCAGATGTTTGTCAAGTATGATTAACTTTCTAAAACTTGACAGCGACAGCATTTTATACGTGAATGACGGGACAGCATCCTTCACCGTCCCACTTTGGCGGCCAGACGTTAGCTTCTGAGATGCATCTCGGGTTGAGAGGAATACCGTAGCAGAGCTAGGGTAAACTGCTCCCAAATTCCTATCTTTTCGTACCTTCATATCTTTTGGACACAGGCCGACTTGTAGACCTTGACATGGGGGATAGACATGAGTGAACTGAAATCAGCACTAGAGACTAGAAAAAAGCGGATCCGGAAGGAGCATAGAAGCGAGCCTCTTTGACAAAGAGAGCCTTCTCGCCTGCACTCATGCTTTGGCTTGAGTACTTTTGTACTCTCGTCCCAGTAGACTAAGCAGCCCCTCTAATGTTCATATTGAATACAATATTAACCCTACCTGCTTTAACTTGTACTTAGGTTTGCAAGCCCCAGTTTTGCCGTGATGTCGACACTGTTGTCCAACTACGAGGCGGAATTCAAAACCACCCTTCAACAAGCTAAGGCACTTGTTCAAGTCGCCCCCTCGCGGCCGGCAAGCCAGAGGAACGCAACCCTAAAAGAAATTGAGCAACAACAAGATGAACTGCTTGACTTGATTGATCAAATAGAAATTGAGGTCAATAATGGTGCTCTTGAAGCGTCCAGTCGAAGCTCCTTCAAGTCTAAACTCCGCGAGTACCGAAAACAAGTGCTAAACGAAGTTAAGTTGCCATTGCAAGAACTCATGGATGCACGCAATAGGGACCTTTTGTTTGAGGGCGCGCCTGGTAATGGCGGCGATCCGTCGCACGCGAATAGCGAACAGCGCCAGCAGCTATTGTCGAACCATAATGTTTTGTCCCGCACGGGTGACAGACTACGAGACGCCACCCGAACGGCCACTGACACTGAAAATGTGGGGTCTCAGATTATGATGGATTTACGAGCACAGCGTGAAACGCTAGAAAATGCCAGGCAAACACTCTTCCAAGCCGACTCTTACGTCGACAAGAGCATGCGAACATTGAAGACGATGAGTAGAAGATTAGTTGCCAACAAGTTTATCAGTTATGCAATCATTGCTGTTCTGATAGTACTCATTCTGCTGGTACTTTTTGCAAAATTCAAATAGACAATATGCCACTAGTTTATGTACAGTAAGATAACAGCGAGGGGGAAATGCTTCGGACAATCGGGCTTATAATCATCGCCACAGAGTCCCAAGGTTCTATACACCTGTCTTGAAGTTAAGAGGCAACACTTTGTCACTATCGTGTTCTCTGAAAATACTGTTTCAGTGCTCCATACCCCCCAAATGTGTTCGAGGGTAATCAATTTATGGAGAGTCCTACAGTGACGCTTCATATACACCACACTGGAAAAGCCAAAGTGCGTATCCTTATCAACTGCAATTTATCTTATATATCTATTCAAACACCAAATAATAGACTGCAGCACAAAAAAGACCTGGTCATGTTGGAGAATTCAACAGTTCATTTCCATCAGTTCTCTCCTCTGCTTCATCTTTTACATCAAGAGACGAGATTTTATTTTTAAGGTCATCGATAACCAGAGCTTCAGTGTCATGCGAGTCTGGAGCTCTTGATCCGGTCTCATCTGTGCTTCTATCCAGGGATTTGACAGGGTGTGGCAATTTCTCAGAGTCGTCAGATGACGCTAAATAGGAGCCGTGACGGCTCTGTATGGTTGCCACCCTATGCATCTGCTTTTCCTCCTCCGTCAGATCCAACAAAGTACCAGTTAAATTAACCAGAGACTTGGCACTCTTCCTTCTAGCCACACGACCCAGTCCCGGCCTGATGGGAGAGGTGGTGCGCGACGAAACACTTGCACTGGCGGAGGCTGAGTTTCGGGAACTGCGGGGCAGGCGAATACACGAGACACCAGCATCATGGATCCATTTTGCGACCAATGCGGTCCAGCCACATTGGTGAGAGGCACCCAGCCCCCTGCCGGTATCACCATCAAAATATTCAAAAAATGGAATCAATTCCTTGAAATGTTCATCATTGGATAACATCCCGGAATGTTCGCCATGGTAAACCGCACGGGCGCCATTCTCATCTTGCAAAAACAAGTGAATCAATCTGTGCTCGAGTTCCTCGGCGATTTCGGCCAAATTCAACATGACACCCGAGCCTACCGGACATTCCACTTTGAAATCAGGTCCGTAATACAAAAAGAATCTTTGGAGCGCTTCAATCAGTAGGAAATTTACCGGGAACCAAATGGGACCCCTCCAATTCGAGTTGCCGCCAAACATACCGGAATCAGACTCACCAGGCAAGTACTTCACCGTGTATTGGTTACCATTGACATCCATTTCAAAAGGATGTTCTTCGTGATACTTTGACAGTGACCTGATACCATAGTCGGACAAGAATTCGCTTTCATCTAACATCCGTCTCAAAATAGCTTCCAGCCTTTCTTTGTTGACAAGTGACAGCAACAGCCGCTCGCCGATACCTCTTTTGGTCATAGACGCAATGTTTCTACCAAAAATTTCGGGCTTATTATTAATGAACCATTCCACCCTCTTCTTGAAGCTTGGAAAACGGTCCAGGATTTGAGGCTCTAAGGTCATGCAAGCATAAAGAGGAATTAGCCCCACCAGTGACCTTATAGGTAGTTGTTGTTTGAAGGGACCACCCCAGGATATGGCATCGTAATAAAATTCATCGGTTTCATTCCACAAAGATTCTTTCACCTCTTCTTCAAAATCGTCACCTTCGCGATTCTTGGTGTAATCGAACGACATGGCGTCACTGATCAAAATGAAATGCTCGAAAAATTTGGATGCAATATCTTCATACACAGGGTTTTCTTTTGCCAATTCCAATGCGATATTCAACATTTGCAAGCTAAAGAAGGCCATCCAGCCCGTAGAATCTGCTTGTTCTAGAACGCCGCCCGTAGGAAGAGGCTCCGATCTGTTGAAAACACCAATGTTATCCAAACCCAGAAACCCGCCTTCAAAGACGTTTTGGCCATTGGAGTCTTTTCTATTGACCCACCACGTAAAGTTTAAGAGAAGTTTCTGGAATACTCTTTCCAAAAAGACGCGATCTTCGCGCTTGTACATGTTTCTTTCAATTTTGAAAACTCGGTAGACGGCCCAGGCATGCACTGGTGGATTAACGTCACTAAAGTTCCATTCATAGGCGGGCATTTGGCCGTTGGGGTGCATGTACCACTCCCTAGTCATCAGATCAAGCTGTCTTTTAGCGAATTCAGGATCAACCATAGCCAATGGAATACAGTGGAAAGCAGTGTCCCATGAGGCAAAAAATGGATACTCCCACTTATCGGGGAGCGACAGAATGTCGTCCGTATACATGTGCTTCCAATCCTTGTTCCTACCATTGGCTCTGTTAGGAGGGGGGCGGGGCTTCACGTTAGGATCACCATTATACCATTGGTCTTGGATGAAGTGGTAAAATTGCTTCGACCACATCAAACCTGCAAACGCCTGTCTTTGGACACGTCTCAACTCGTCGCTCAGGTGCAGCGGAGTGATTTTCCAGTAGAAATTGTCGGCTTCTTCTTCACGTCGTTCGAAAATCGCATCAAATTCTTCTTCATCGATAACCAATTCATTGTTGTATTCAGGTAGCTCGATATCCGTGAGTTTGTATCTGATTGTAACATACTCCCCAGGAGGGACCTCGGGGAAATGGTAAACGGCACAACTTTTTGTACCAAAGTCCTTGGGGTTGACTGCCGCTTCTTTCCCCTCAACCACATACTCGTGAAAGGCATCTTTGGCAAATGGGGCGGGGTTGGGACCACTTTCAAATAACTTCTCCAGATTCGATTCGTTTTCGGTGAAAAGCAGTTGCGGTTCTACATCCGGCTGGTCGGTGTCGTCGTTACCAAACCCGCCGGGCGATGGAGCAAAAACAGCAGTTCTGTGGCCATATTTGTCTGATTCCAAGTCAATGTAGTTGTTACCGCCTTTCGAAAGTTTGGGCCTGTAGGCTGTCTTGCGACACCAGCCCCAGGTGTTTCGGAAAAACACCTGGGGCATCAGGTACAGCTCGCCTGCACGCTTCTGACTTCTGTTGTACGCGGTGATTCGAAAGTTCAGATCGTTGGGGTTGTCGTCACCTTTGGCCATCTCAAAAACAACGTCAAAATAGGGCGTGTCGCCGTGCTCTTTGCTGGTGAAGAGGCCGTCGATTTCGTGTATCTCAAACTCGCGATCCCCGTATCCACGCTCGCCGTTCTTCGCCACAAGCTCCTCGTACGGGTACGCCTTGGCAAACGGATACTTGTACAGCGCCTTCATGTACGAATGTGTGGGCGTACTGTCGAGGTAATAGTACAGTTCTTTAACATCCTCTCCGTGGTTGCCCTGCGGCCCGGTGACACCAAACATCCGCTCCTTCAGAATCTTATCGTGGCCGTTCCACATCGCGAGGTTGGTGCAGATGAGCTGTCGATTGTCTGAGACGCCGAAAATACCATCTTCCCCCCACCGAAACACCCGCGACGCCGCATGCTCAAACGGGAAGTCTGTCCAGGCGTCTCCGCTGTGCGAGTAGTCCTCACGTACCGTGGCCCACGCTCTCTCACTTAGGTACGGTCCCCACTTCAGCCAGTACTTCTGACGTGTCTTGTTTTCGTGCAGACGCCGTTCCTCGAGCGTGGAGTCCACAAGCTGTTCCTTCAGCTCTGATTTATAGACCTGTGACATTCCCTGATCTCTTGCGCGCTTAAAATCTCCAGTTCAGTCAAAGTACCCTTAAATCCAGAGCTATTTCCTTTTCCTCTGTCTCTGCTGGTGTCCCACAATTAAGGCCCCTAACAGTGCTCGCCCTGTCCTTTCGCGCCCTGGTATAATCACAACCTCAGAAGCTTCTGGTTTGCTCTGTGGATAAACGAGGTACTAGACCATGTCAAAATCGAGGCCCTTTTATACCCGTACACATAATGATCCGCCCCCCTTAAGAAATTCACCATGGGGTTGTTCGGAATATCCTTGAAGCAAAATGGATGATTTTTCGGAGTACTCGTAGAAAACTGACGTTGTACTCGCGGTAAGCCGTGGGGCCTGGGTTCCTGTAAAATCAGGCCGGTGAACTGGAAGTCTGCTTCAAGTGGCTGGGCCGCACTTTAGATGAGCAGTCGACGAGCGCGCGGTAATACGGTGAGCAATAATGGACCGCTTGCGTGCCAGGCTACGGTGGAAGTAACGATAATGATGGAAAAATGAAGGAAAACAAAAATAAAACTGATTTCTACAGCAGGAGTTGGAAGTTTCCAGAGAGGTTGCCGAGGGATTGCCGACGGTTAGGTGTTGTGCGGGGAGGTCCAGATTTGTGAGAACTGCGGTGAACACACACAATGCCCACCTGCGCGAAGATAAGTCTCAGAGTAAATGGCCCGGGAAAAATGAGCACGAAGGGTGGCCGGTAGCCAGGTGAAAAAAAGCACGGAAACCGCACGGTCAAGAAACACACATGCCAAGCAGAGCTGCGCGACACGGTGGTGTCCGCTTCGACAACCACAACGGGAGGCGGCCATCACGTGACTTGCGACTTTGTTCCTGGGTTGTCTCATGGATCTGGAGGAGAACCGGTATCATCGGGGCTTCCAGCGGCCTAGCAGTGGATGCTGCTGCGAAGGTTTGTCTCGTTTCTGAGGGATACCCTGCCGACAATATCCTTGCCTATATGCCTCGTAGCTAACACGCCTGGTGTGCACCCACGGGGAAGATACGAGACGTTAGCTGGCACTGGGGGGGGGGGGGCGTTCTTGGCCCGTGCTATCACTGCCAGGTCTGGATCTCTCCAGTCCTGTATCGTTTTACAAGCAGGAGTGGTAGCGTTCCTGTTATGAAGATCACCTTTTCCCATTCTGTCGCCACACCGCGATAAAGATTGGGCTGTCGATAACGATAACGACAACGATAAGCTTCGCCGCACCAGCTTTTTTGATCATTCGGTCAACAATGGTGAATACCGGTGCCCCGCTGCTCACAAGGGTAAGTAAGATGAGCGATTGCCACGACGAAGAGCACACAAACGGCGGGCGGAGAACGTGACAAGCATTCTTGCCAGAATGCGGCAACAAGACCTCACAAGATCGGCATGATCGCCGTGAGCCGAGGTATCAACTTGAATCCAACAACGGTTTTCCGCGCAAAACATTTATAAAAGGTGTATCCCTTGGGCTTCTTCCTTCCGGGCTAGTGCCTTCTAATTGTGCTGGCCCACAATCACCCATTATACAACCATCCATATGACTACTGCCAAACAGATTTCAAAGCCTTCAGACAGAGTAAAGGGCCTACAAGTGCCTGAGTTCACGGACCCATACGAGAAACGCACATGGATGCTCCAGCACATGGCTGGTGTCCTCCGTGTCTTTGGTCGTAAAGGCTACAATGAAGGATGCGCCGGCCACCTGACCATCGTCGACCCTGTGGACCCTACCACGTACTGGATCAACCCTATCGGAGTACACTTTTCGATGATCTCCGTAAGCGATCTGGTGCACGTAGACGCAAACGGGGAGGCCATTGGAGGCAGCATGGCAGGGTTCAATGTGCCGGGCTTCAAGATCCACTCCACGATACACAAGGCTAGACCAGACGTTAAGGCCATCTGCCATGCCCATTCTTTCTACGCGAGAACCTACTCCGTATTCGGAAAAGTACCCGAAATGCTGCATCAAGACAGCTGTTCCATCCACGATAACATTGCAGTGTTGGACGATTATGACGGAGTCGGGCTCGACGAGCGCGAAGGTGAAAAGATTCTTTCGGTGTTAGGGGACAAGATGAGTATCGTTCTTCAGAATCACGGCGTGATGACTTTCGGAAAAACAATCGACGAAGCAGGCTACCTACATGTCTTGTTGGAAGACCTATGCAAGGCTCAGCTACTGACTGACGCTGCTGCTGTAAGGACAGGAGCCAAGATTAAAGTCATTCCCGACCACATCGCTCGAGAGGTTTTCAAAGTTAATTCCGGCTCCAAAAGTTTATACTCTGCGATGCAGCCCGACTTTGAGTTGGAGGTCTATCTCTCAAACGAGGCAGTTTTACGATAATGATTGGGAGGTTGTCTCGGTCCAGTAGACCCTTTCATAGTTCTACTTTTTTTATTATTTACGATATACAAGTAAATATACATAATGTTGAGATGTCAAGACTCCAACGAGTTAGCTTACTTGGAACTCAAAGAAACACATGGTTGCCTTAAGCTGCCAAGATCCATGTGTAATCTTGTTAGCGCTTGTAGTGGCGAGCGATGATCTTGAAGTGCCATCAGATGAATTTTTGGGAGTTAAGCGATACACTATTCAGATAACGTGAAGAGCCGTTATCTTTGATCTCATCTGGAATTCCCGGCAAACCTAGGAGAGAAACCGATCTTGCAAAATACAGACCCGCTGTCAACTACTCTTGGATGGTAATGACCACCAAAGTCTCGAAAGCGAGCGCTATACTGCTTTTTTGACGTTCATCTCTCTCTGAGTGTTAGAGATTGCACCCTCTAGATCGGCACAGTACGCAACAAGTTTGTCTATCTGAGTTACCGTTCCATATCCATCAGAACTGGTAAAGCTTCAACATACTAGCTTAAACGCCAATTCAAAAATCAGGGCCATTGAGACCTATAAAAGCAACCATATTCGACTTTTAGACCGTGGCCATTACGCCCTCATACACCACGCTAGCAACAACTAATTCTTAAATGCGGGGAACAGAATCTAGCGAGAAGGCCACAGTTATTATCAAGGCATCGAGTAAGGAGCTAGGCTACGGCGAGCTCGAAGAGGGCACAACCCGCCAACAACATGATGTGGACCTGGGAATGACACTCGCAAACGAGTCTCTTGGCCTTGAAGTGGACGAACGTACCAACAAACTTCTCCTTCGCAAAGCAGATCTCTATATTTGTACAATGATGAGCGTGGTATACGCCGTCCAATACATGGATAAACAAACAAATTCTTACTCTTCGATCATGGGGCTAAGAGAGGATTTGAATATGCATGGGAATCAATACAGTTGGGTTGGTACCAGTTTCTACCTGGGATACCTGGTTTTCGAAATACCCAGTTCCCTGGCCCTTCAGCGCTTCCCAATTGCGAAAACTAGTGGTGTTTTCATCTTGCTCTGGGGAATTGTACTGTGCCTGACATGTCTGCCGAAGACTTACGCCGGATTCATCGTTACGAGAACGGTTTTAGGTGTGCTCGAGTCTGCAGTGACTCCTGCCTTCATGTTGTTGACTGCGCAATGGTACAAGCGAGAAGAACAACTTCTGAGGACATCGATTTGGAGTGCGTCGGCTGGTTTGGGGGCTATCTTGGGTGCATTGGTGGCTTATGGTTTATCCATTCGTAATCCTGATTCGCTATCCATGGCTTCCTGGAGGTTACTGTATGTGGTCCTTGGGGCTATTACAATTGCCTTAGGGATTGGCTTTTTAATTCACGTTCCTGACACACCCGCGTCTGCGTGGTTCTTGTCCAAACAGGAAAGACTCTTAACCGTGGAAAGAATCCGGTCCAATAGACAAGGCTTCGGTAACCGTCATTTCAAAAGGAGTCAACTCCGAGAAGTGTTTTTGGATAAACGCACATATCTGTATTTTATTGTGATGGTGGCCGCGGAAATACCAAATGGTGGTATCGGCAGTTTCGGTTCCATCATGCTCAAAGATATGGGCTATTCCAGCAAACAGGCTCTTCTTATGGGCACCCCTTTCGGCGCCGTAGAATTCGGAGGAATAGTTCTTGTTGGTTACATTGCCCAAAAGTACCAGAGAAGAATGTATGCAGCGATATTCAGCTACTGTTTGAACATCTTATCTGGCTGTTTGTTGGCATTTCCCTCGAATGTGCACGCTCAATTGGCGGGCTACTATTTGCAAGGCATGGCGGTGATCGGATGGATCTGCTTCATCAGTTGTGTTTCGTCTAATACAGCCGGGCATACCAAGAAAGTGATTACTGGCGCAATCTGCATGATCGGCTACTGTGTGGGGAACCTCATTGGGCCTCAAACGTTCGTCGCGACTGAGGCGCCGCATTACAAAAGCGCTAAGATTGCCATTGTGGTGTGCTTTGTCACCTGCTTGATCGTCACTCTAGCGCTATTCTACATCAACGTAGCTGAAAACAAACGTCGCGATGAGAGAAACGAGGTCCTAGACCCCTCTTTCATCAACTCGGAGTTTGCCGACCTGACGGATTTCGAGAATCCAGAGTTCAGATACAGTTTATAAGATAGATATTCCCCAAAAAATTCACCAATGATTCCCAATGCGTTTATTCCCGTTTAACTTTATTACCTAGTTATATTTTATAAAGCCTAATGTGTGTGGCCAATCTTTATGCAAGTTTAAGTGTGTCGTATCTCGTTAAGTTGATTAAGTGTCACAACTATTGAAGTTGAACAATTTCAGTCACAACTTTTGCTATACGCTAGCCAACCAAAGTCTGTAGTTGTCCTGAGCAGCATTGGCAAACTCGTCTTGCATGGTGTAGCCTGTTTCGCTTTCGCTGGAAAAATCCTTGTGGGAAACAGGCAGCGCCGAGAGCTCGAAATCCACATCGAAAAGCTCTTCATCGTCGCCCGCCATGGCTCCGAAGCCAGGCGATTCTATCAGGAAGTCGTCTTCCACAAGTGTGTCATGAGTTGGGGCAGCAAACGAGCCAGGACTGTGTACGAGAGTAGGAGCATCGTTTGTCAGCGAAAACGAGAAAACCTCGTCCTGAATTTCTTGGGAGTTGTAAGCCATTGTTTCTTGTCTGTCTTTGTGCGCGTGAAAATACCCTGCTTTGCTTGGTAGGAATGTGTACAGAGGCTGTATGTGGGATTAGGCGTTCTCTAATATACTCTGCAGCCTTTAAACGCCTTGCACTGTTCTAGAGTATTCTGGTGCTCTTCTATTATTTACTGATTGAAGAGAAAACAAAAATAGTTCCGATGCCCCTCCAAGAAAAAGCGGCGCCTCTCCTCATTCTTATATACCTTCTATAATCTATCTGTGATGACTTTTGCATGTCTTCCTGATTGCTCATCACCACCACGGTGTGTCATAACGTTGACTAAAAAAAAATCACACCCAAACGCTCCCACACCTTGTGAGTAATTACCACAGCAAATTAACCCGGGTGTTTCCGTATAACTAAGTCACCCACCTATCCCGGTCACCAACCATCATTAACCACACCTGTTACCAAGCAAGAGCTACCACTAAAATTTTTCAGTTAGTCATAACCATGTGAAGCAAACAAGCTGAAAAAGCCACGGTTGTTGGCCATCACGATGCAAAAATTGCAGGATAACAAAAATCAGCTTGTTCAGACAGGTTGGTGGGACCATTGTCCCGACGTGAAAATTTATTATGTCAACTCATAATCATAACAATAATACTCCATTAATTGCATTGACTCCTGTGTTCTCTTTTCCAGATAGTTCCGGACAGCAAAGAAAAAAAACCGGTGGGAACAGCGCAAACAGGTGCAACGGACAACAAACACATGCCATCGTAAACCATCGGGCTCATCGTGGTGATCGACACCCACGAAGCGTGGAACAAGGCACCTGATCATCTGATGCAGGTGACATTATAGGGCATGTGGATGAATTAGGACTTCTGGGGATTGTTTATAGGTGTCGGATAATTGGGTGTGGACACCGTGGGGTGTGGCCACCCTGGCGTGTGTACTGCAAGGTGCTGGGTGAGAGAACAGCAAGTGACCTTTTGGGTAGGGTGGGTGTTGTCTTGAGGTATTCAAGAGGATATGAGTAATGCTTGGGAAGATGTGAATTTGGACAGCAGTGACAGCGCTGTACAAAGTGACTTCGAGTGACGGATGCTGGCAGTGTTGTACAGCCAGTTCGGATGTTCGTGGGTAATTTGATTGTTCTCTACGATAACTCATTGCGGTGCTAGCACCACCATACTACACAAAGGTCTCCTCAGCACATTGACTTCGAAAACGGCCTATTTAGGCCACATCTATCAAAACAATATCGTATCAACGCAATTACACATACAAATAATAGGCATAGCGCGCCTGAACCCTAAGACTCCGCATACATTTATTCCAGTGAAACACCCGCTTTCTTGACTAGAGCCTCGGATTCAGCCATAAATTTCTTGACGTAGCTGTCTGTGAAACCTTGCGACCGGTGGATAGGCTCGGCATTTGCGCCAAAAAACTTCCCGCTGTGACCGTCTAAGCCTGACGAAACCATCATAGGACCGACTCGTTCGGCGTATTGTTGAGTGCTGGGATAAAAAAACCCAATCAAGCTTTCCACGATCCGTGATTTCCAAGTTCCTTCACCCAAGAAATTGTTACGAATTGCAGTTTTGACTAAACCGGGGTTCAGTCCAAAAAATGCAACTCCAGGGTAGCGGCCAGCACTGTCCAAAACAAGCGCTTCATTTCCCGCTACCGTATTCATGTGGGCTTTCATGTTGTTGTACTTGCCATCGGAGTTCAAGTCGCCCAACGTACCCAACTCGCCCGTGCCAGGAAATCCAAATACAAATACTCTGGCTTTGTCGAACTTAGAAGAGTTGGTTTTTTCGAGCGCGGGAACCAGGTTGCGCAAGACCACTAGCCTGTTGAGGTAGCTGACCGCCATGTCGCGCTCTAGGTTCTCAGAAGTCACCTGGCGCTCGTGGGTAGCGAAAATACCTGTGCTGAGTACAACCATATCCAGATGTTGCTTCGACAACTCCTCTGAAACCCGCTTGGCCTCTGTCATTAACTCCAAGTCAGCCTTGATGAACTGAACTTTCTCTAAATCATTGTCCCTGAAGGTCCTTCCGACGACTGTTACGTCGGCACCCTTTGAGCAAAAAAATCTGCTTAAACCTTGCCCTAGTCCTCCGGTTCCTCCCACAATCGCAACCTTGAGGCCCTCCAAATTCAGCTTGTCAGCAGGGACTGAAGTGTACTTGAAATCATTGTCACGCTTGACACCGAAAGCCATTTTTTCTCAGCAACGAATTCTTATAAAGTCTCACTGCGGTGGTGTTGTAGAGCCCTCCTAAAATTCAGATCCAGCAATTGGTTGCTGCCGGCTTGATATATATACTTTTTTCTTGCTTCTTGTAAAAGTATATTGTAAGATAAGTGTTACATCGAAACTCTTCTATGAGCTCGAAAGCAAACCCGTAGAAGACTTTTAGAGCTTCCACGGGTCTGCTCTCCGTGGAGTTTGTATATCTAAAAGTCTTCTACGGGTTTGCTCTCCGTGGAGTTTGTATCTTAGTCAGCATTAATCCCGAATGGCAATCCTACTGCAACCGGCCAATATTTGGCAGCCTTTCTCTTCCCCATTAAAACATAAGGGATGTCCCGTGTTCGAACTCTCGTCGTGACGGAAATGATTGCTGGCCCCAAGCAATTCCTTTAGGCCATACTATTGCCAAATACCCAAAGAAATCACGCCTATGGCTTACCACACTTCATCCACACTCCATCCACAACTTCGGTAGATAGGTAGTCTCTACTATCAGCCCACCCGCGGGATGTCGCTGCAAGACAATTTTTCGACCATGTGCTCAGGATAATATGATCAGTGTTAACACTGTTGTCAGTTTACCCATAGCGACCACCAACAATGCGGTCACGAATCCAGAGTTGTCATTTCGGCTCTGTCTTGACTCCTGTAGAGAGCTAGATTAAGCTTATAAAAATTCTTATCGGGGATGGATGCGGTGCCGCAGATTATGCCAATGGGGAAAAATACCAAGAACCCGATCAAGCCCTTTCCGTCATGTGAAGTGGGTATCTTCGAAATGATGAACCTTAGAGATTACCTGATTTTAGTTTATGGCAATCGTCTTACCATCGTGCTAGTGATACAAAGATTCTGTAACTCGTTGAAAAAAAATGTTGCCCCATAATAGGGCGGTAGAATCGAATAAATGAATAAGTGCTCAAGACTTTGATTGGCTGTCCAAACGTCTCTGAACCTAAATTCGGTATGTTTTCGTATTAAACTTGTTCAAGGCTTAACTAATCTTAACGATAACAGCTAGTTGGCTTTCAAGATTGAAACACATGCGGGCTATGGACTTCTAATCGAAGTCCGGATGGGAATGTTGTTATCGTGAGCAATATCATCGTCAACAACTTGTCTTATCTCCATTTACTTATCGCTACACACCTATTCCATCTTATCTGCAAAAATTCACCATAGGGTTAGCTCATGAAATTGGCCGATCCGTCCGAGGTGAACACCCTTCGGCAGGAAAGTCCCGAGCCGATCATGCCTGATCTATTCCATTTGTATGTGAGCTAAAGACATCATCCGAAAGCTAAAAGATATCAGTGTTCTAAGCGGTTGATAGCCACCTTGATTTCCTATCGGGTTTTTCAAAGGAATCTCGCACTCATCTTCAATATTTAAAGAGCAAATGTGATCCTTTCCGGAGAAGTTTAGCCTCTACAATCACTTCTTATCATCTGCTAAGTCTTCAGTAATAGCTCAAATGACGGAACTTAAGCGCAATGGTTCTGCCGCTGAATTTGGCATGTCCAAAGCCAACTACGATATATCTGTTGGCAATATAGAAGAATCAGAGGTATCTGCCGATCTTCAAGCTATTGCGTCGGCAACATCAGCGCATGCAGTCGGAGCAGATTTATTTCAGGAAGTCTTACAAAGTGAGTTGGCAACAGACGAGAAGTCGTACGGTCCGATTAGACGCAAAATTGACCGCTGGTTGCTTCCTGTTCTTTGTGTAACATATATGTTACAGTTTCTGGACAAGCTTTCGCTCAACTATGCATCCGCTTACTCCTTAAAGGAAGATTTGAACTTGGTTGGCAATGACTACGGTAATATCGCTGCTATCTTTAATGCGGGTTATCTCGTCGGTACCATCCCTGGGAACTGGCTCATTCAGCGTGTTCCTGTGGCAAAGTTCACGGGTTGTGCGTTGATCGTTTGGGCTTGCCTATTAGTCGCTCATATCGGAGCGAAGAGCTACGGTGGTATGATGGCCCTTCGGTTTCTTCTCGGGATTATGGAAGCGGCTATTTCCCCATCCAACATGATGATGTGCTCTATGTTTTACAATAGACAAGAACAGCCTTTCCGTATGTGTACTTTTCTTTCTATGAATGGTGTTGCTACCATGGTAGGCGCCCTACTTTCGTATGGCTTGGGTCACGCTACAAGTTCAACTCTAAAGCCTTGGAAGTTGATTTTTCTGGTGATTGGGCTCATGAATTTTGTTTGGGCTTTCATATTTCTGTACCTAGCGCCTGATCATCCAGGAAATGCTAGGTTCCTGAGCCACGAAGAAAAATTAAGAGTTGTTGAGAGAGTCTCGAGAAATCAGATGGGTATCAAAGACACTGAATTCAAGTTTCCACAAGCCAAAGAAGCGCTCCTTGATCTCAACTCTTGGATTTTGGCCCTTTGTGGACTTGCTTGTGGTGTAATCAATGGCGGAACCTCTAATTTTATTTCGTCACTGATCAAGGGCTTTGGCTTTTCCGGTTTGAATGCCACCTTGCTTCAACTACCGACCGGTGGTATCGAGTTTGTTGTGGTGTTTTGCACAGGAATGGCTGCCATCTTTACAAAGAAAAATGTTCGTGCCATTTTACTGTTTCTGACTTGCATCCCAACGCTAGCTGGCCTAATTGGGATTCATGTTATACCTCTCAATCATAAATGGGCACTTGTTGGTTGCTGCTGGCTACTTTACATTGTCGGTGGGCCCGTTATTATGTGTTGGATATTAATAAATGTCACGGTGGCGGGCTCATCTAAAGTCTCAACAGTTAAAATGTTGTGGTTCATTCTATATACCGCTGGTAATATTGTGGGCTCTAAGATATTTTATCCAAATGAAGCACCCAAGTACGTTTCAGGTATGAAAGGTCTGATCGCGTCGTATGGGGGAATGATGTTCCTCACGATCATTTACTACTTGTTGATGCTATTCCGTAACAAGTCTAGAGATAAAAAATATGGGCCATTAACTGCTGAGGACGAGAAGAAAGGTATCATCAACGGTTTCAGAGATTATACGGATTTTGAAAACAAATACTTTAGATACTCGTACTGATGTATAAACTTGTGCGGCTAATTTTATATGTGCTAATATTCAGTAATTCACAATTGATTTTGCATTCTGGGTTTAGTTAAGCGTGCTGAGAGCTCTGGGGTACAATTTGCAAGGAATTTAGTCGAACATAAAAGGGTGACACCATACTCGTACTTTATCATTACGTACCTAAAAGTCACATTAACTGGATCAAGAAGCTCTTTCCCGCGTCAGGATGAAGGCTTTGAGGGTATTTTGATGTCAGTGCAGAAACCACATGGTTGAAACCTTAGTATTTTGAAATGACTATGGCAAGATCGGCGAGCTTAAATTTTAATATTGAGTAACTATTTGGTATAATTAAGGTACAGATAGATAGCCGCATTATAAGGTTCTTGAAAAAAACAGAAACACGTTTACAATGCAATAGTCCAATGTATTCTTTTAGAAGGAAAGTCAGGCAAAAAGTCCCCTCTTGAAAGCAGTGCACAGCATATTTCGAAAGAGACCAGTGACAATACGATACCCTCAACATGATGTTTATAACAATCAAACAAACGTCAGATTTAGAGGACTAGTTGCATCGTAAAATCGTAGATCAGAAACAGCCTTAATACGGAACAGTCTAGCACTCGACTTTATATTGATTCCTGGTGATGAATATTTCTACGTCACTTACCATATTAGTCTTGGTTATACTTGTGTAATAACTCGCTGGTAGTCTTTGAGAAGACTAATGCCAAAGTCTCAATTGTACAGATGTCAATTAAATAAAAGTTGAGGTAATTATGGGTTCTCGAATCTATCTTAAAAATTCACCATCGGTCAACTTAACTTCCAAGTTGTAATCTACTTGAAAACTGCTGTATAATCCTTCGGGATCTGAAGTGTTGAAATAGGTGTAATATGCAGCGTCGTCGCTTATCAGTTTCCTCTCTAGACCCGCACGAGAAGCCATCTCCACCTGAAGCTGAACTTCACAAGTTTTCTCAAGCAGCGTAAATAGGTACCCTGCCTCGTCCACTGTTTCGCCGACTGTTAACAAGCCGTGGTTTTGTAATATGATAGCCTTTTTAAATCCTAATGCCGCGGCTAACCGTTTCCCTTCTTCAGACTCAAAGACAACTCCACCAAAATCATTGTAAATAGCGTGTTGCTTGTAGAATATGCACGCATCTTGATTGATCATGTCTAGCTCTTTCCCAAAAGCAGACCATGCTTTACCATACGTGGAGTGGGTATGACAGGCAGCGTGAACGTCGGGACGAGCTTTGTGAAGTTCTGCGTGGATTTTGAATCCAGCAGCATTAATGGCTGCTTGATTACCGTCACTGAGAATTTTGCCTTCAGAGTCGATGTGAACCATGTCAGACGCACAGATCTGGCTGAAATGAAGCCCCAAAGGATTGATCCAAAAAGTATGCGGATCAACTGGGTCTCTCACAGAAATGTGGCCGGCCTGGCCCTCTCCATAGCCCTTTCTACCAAAAACACGGAATGTACCTGCCATATGTTGCAAAATGTGCTTACGCTCCTCAAGTTTGCTAGCAAATTTGGGCCTTTTGTTCTTGAACTCTGCTCCCCCGAATGTCAAGTTGTGGATCCCTTGCTTACCAATGCCATAGCCTCTATCAGACACAGGCTGTAATTGTTCGATCTGATAATTATCTTCACTGGGAACTGATTCAGATAGAACCTTGGTGGTAGTAGCCATTTTTTTAACTCTAATGTAAAAATCCTCGATGGGGTGGTCCCTGAGCAATTGAGTCTGTGGGCTTTCACCTTTTCAATTGTAACCTTATATATCGAAGCCTTCAAGACCCTCGCGACTAACTGCTGTTATCGGGATCGATAAATATCATTAAATATCACTTATCGTTATCTCGGTATCGGTCAAAAAAATCCGATCTCACTTCGGCCGCTTGATTTATATCCCGAACGTTGAGCCACGAGCACCTCCGCGGTCACCGTTCTCGCGTTGGGTCTACCTGCTAGTAACTTCAACTACTTGCTGGCAAGCCATGGGCCTAAAAAAGTGCTTTCTTGAAGCATCAAGATCGGACCAGATCAAAGCTCGCCGACAGACCCCTTTAGCCCAGCTAGAGTGGATGTTGAGTAAGGCTAGCCATGGCGATGTGGTAAGAGGAGCCGCATCATAGGCAACTTCTTTTCCATTCAATTTATACCGTGGCTTCCTTAAATACGAGTTTTGATTGCTTCGACAAGGGCAGCTTAGGAAGTCGAGTATATAAGTAGCTTTTGTCTATGAAATCGTGCTCATTATGTCGCCCAAGTCCCAAGTTTGACCTATCCAATCCATTTCGCATGCAATCTGTATCCAAAACTTCCAGTCAATATATTGCCAGAGGCGCGCGCCTGTTACATCAAGCGAGTTTCGCAGCGATGAAAGACTCGCCATTGGAATCCTTGAAGATACAAGCTGGTCGCCTTAACCAAACTATTTTAGACAGCTGCTCACAATTTGGGTCTGCAATTCGCTGGGGCCAACAACCCCACGAGTTTGGAATGAAGCGGTTGGCCGGTACCAAAGAAGATGGTGCAGTAAGAGACTGGTTTGTGCAAGAATGCAAAACGCTAGGCTGCTCTATCAAGGTAGACCAGATTGGAAACATCTTTGCTACATTCCCAGGGAGGTTAGGCGGTAAACCCACTGCCATGGGTTCACACCTCGATACCCAACCAGAGGCCGGGAAATACGATGGGATATTGGGTGTCCTTGCCGGTTTGGAGGTTCTGAGAACTTTCAAGGACAATAACTACGTTCCTAACTACGATATGTGTGTGATTGTTTGGTTCAACGAGGAAGGTGCCCGTTACGCCCATTCTTGCATGGGTTCCACCGTCTGGGCGCGCAACATGGAGCTGCAAGAAGCATATGGTATGACCTCTATCAACGAAGAAAAGCCTGAAAGTGTTTACGATGCACTCAAGAATATTGGCTACCTGGGGGACGTTCCTGCCTCTTACAAAGAGCAGGAACTTGATGCTCACTTCGAATTACATATTGAACAAGGTCCGGTGTTGGAGGACGAAAACAAGAAAATTGGGATTGTTACAGGCGTACAGGCGTACCACTGGGAGAAAATAACGGTTCATGGCGTCAGTTCTCATGCGGGAACTACACCTTGGAGATTGCGCAAAGACGCTCTGCTAATTGCGTCGCAGATGATCAACACGGCCGCTGAAGTTGCGAAGCGTCACGGTGGACTGTTCACATGTGGGGTTATCGATGTAAAGCCATACTCGATTAATATAGTGCCTTCGGAAGCCGTTTTTACCATAGATTTTAGGCATCCTCTCGATGATAAAATGGCGGAAATGATAAAGGAGACCAAGCTTGAATTCCAAAAGCTGATGAAAACCAGCCATGCTACTTACGAAGATGAGGTTCTGTTAACCTCAAAAGCTGTTAAATTTCAAGATGTCTGCGTTGAGTGCGTTACCGAATCCGCACTGGCCCAATTTGATAAAAACGACGTCAGAGAAATCTATTCGGGAGCAGGCCACGATTCGTGCCAGACCTCCAGTCGTGTACCAACCTCTATGATATTTATCCCATCCAAAGATGGTTTGTCCCACAATTACTACGAATATTCGTCCCCTGAAGAAATTGAAAATGGCTTTAAAGTTTTATTGCAGGCAGTCATCAACTATGACAAATACAGGGCTGTAAGAGGCCACTAGAAGCATGTGGACTCTTTTTAATAAGCTTATAAGTAAAATAGTAATTAAATTCATGAAGAACATCTGTTGATGAAATTACCAAGCCAGACATGAATTTAAATTTGTGAATGGTACTCCTATTGAAATTTGCCTGTTTGCTGGCTATGACGGCCTTCCACCTCCGAGTTTCGTTACTCTCTTTGGATGGCACCGGCTCGTTCAAAATACACCGATCAGTAGGGGAACATGTGCCTTCAAAAATAAACTGGTGATTGATCGCAAGTGCCAGTGAGAGCGAGCTTTGGACGACACTGGTCGTTTAAAATTTTATTTCGAGCCGCGTGTCAGATTTTGACGAATTGGCAACTGTAGCTAACGATGCGTCAATGGATATAAATACCAGCCTTCGTCACCTAAATGTGGGCACAGTACTCACATATGGCTCGATTACTGAAAGCAACCGCTGATCCAACACAATGAAGATGCTCCAACGGCTAGCCAGGTCAAATTTTAGACAAACTGTGAGAACTTACTGCGGGACCACCAGCTTATCAAGTAAGGATACAATTAAATACGAGCACGAATACTCAGCTCAAAATTATCATCCGCTGCCAGCAGTATTTGAAAAGGCTAAAGGTGCGCATGTGTGGGATCCCGAGGGTAATAAATATTTGGATTTTTTGTCTGCTTATTCTGCTGTTAACCAAGGCCACTGCCACCCTCGGATAATATCGGCACTGGTGGATCAGGCCTCAAAGCTGACGCTGTCATCGAGAGCGTTTTCCAATCCCGTATTCTCGGCGTACGCCAAATATGTGACAGAATATTTCCAATACGAATCTGTTCTACCCATGAATACAGGTGTAGAGGCGGTCGAGACTGCATTGAAACTTGCAAGAAGGTGGGGTTACATGGTAAAGAAAATTCCTAAAAACGAAGCGATTGTATTGGGTGCCCAGGGAAATTTCCATGGCAGATCTTTAGGTGCGATATCACTGTCTGCTGACGAGGATTGCCGTCAGATGTTTGGACCATTTGTACCAAATATCAGTGCCGAAATTCCGGGCGACTCTGGACACAAACTTTTGAGATACGGAGTTGTCGAAGACGTGCAACTGGCATTTAAGAAAGCAGGAAAACGTATTGCTGCGATTATTTTAGAGCCTATCCAAGGTGAAGCTGGCATTGTGGTCCCACCTCCAGATTATCTAACAAAAGTTCAAGAACTTTGCCGCAAGCATAATGTGCTGCTAATTTGCGATGAGATTCAGACGGGCATTGCTCGAACAGGAAAATTGTTATGTTATGAGCACTCGCCCAATGTTAAGCCAGATATTGTGCTGTTAGGGAAGGCTATATCAGGCGGGGTACTACCTGTGTCGTGTGTACTATCATCCAAAAGTATAATGGAGTGCCTCACGCCAGGGTCGCATGGATCCACTTACGGAGGTAATCCCCTGGCTTGCCGAGTAGCTATGGCGGCGTTGGACGTTGTTCAGAGTGAGAATTTGGTCCAGAAAGCAAAGGAGGACGGTGAATTTCTACAGTCCGAGCTGAAGAGACTACAGCGTACCTCTGGCGGGATCATATCCGAAGTTCGTGGCAAAGGAATGCTGACCGCTATTGTTATTGATCCGTTAAGAGCTAACGGAAGGACGGCCTGGCAATTGTGTTTGCTAATGAAAGAGCACGGTGTGCTCGCAAAACCCACACACGACCATATAATCAGGTTGGCCCCACCCCTTGTCATCTCTAAGCATGATATCCTCAAAGGAGTCGAAGCCATTAGATTATCTTTGAAAGAATTGCCTAGCTATGAGGCTGGTACTGATTAAATATTTTGCTGAGGATATTCAATGTGCCTAAAGTATAAGAAATGCAAAGCTCGTGTACCAGTCTGTGTCGGCTGGTTGACACCAAACATTCTGAAAGATACTTTATATATGGGGATACTTTATATATGGGGAGTGCGTGAGATCGGCTTATGAGCTCAGTGGTCTTGTATCGCCTAGTCGTTCATGTATGGAGCACTTCGGAAAAACGTTGTGCACTCGATTTTGGAGCAGCGTCAGGCAGGTTGAATATCACACGTAAGCTTTGTCAAATACCTAAACAGCCTTTGATGTGATATTTGCCAAACTTATATAGAAATGCAACTCTGGCTGTTACCTGACGCCAGATTTGCTGGCTAACTCACTCGATTAGCACCCAACTCATAAAAAGTTTACCAAATTATGGCGATTTTTTAGCTTCAATGATTTGTCAAAGCGCAACCGCCCTCGTATAGAGCCAGATTTGTCGACGGAGGTATTTTGATATAGCGTAGCCAGTCAAAACAGTTCGACAGTGTGGCCCAGGCTTCCGCCGGCGGTGACAGACAATATATCTTGTTATTCCTCTATATCATATAATGATATCCTGTCATCATTATTGGCGTCATTTTATTTCTGGCAATTCCTCTTCTACAGGAGATCAAATCCCAAACGAATGAAATCAAAACCACGAAGAAGAAGTTCGAAACGCCTAATAGATATGTTTTCGAAAGCAAAGGCTCCACTCGTCAAACAGCCAGGCAAAGAACTATGTTTTCAGGGATTCTCTTGATAGAATGAGTCTCTCATTCTAGATCCCTTACACAGAGCATGGGGCACATGCGAGGTGAAAGTATACCGAAATATGGGGTTGGATATACTAGAACCGTAGGATCCTAACTAGCTCTTGATCCGAAATGTCTCTTGATCTGAGGTGGCTCTTGATCCGAGGTGGCTCTTGATCCGACTATCTCAACTTGATCTCACAACCGACGAGAGTTCCCCCCATACAGTTTTATAAGGTGGTGAAATTGGTATGTGGCCATAGGACTCGACTCCTAGCGAGCATGTCAACTGGCGGTCAAGATGCGTCTTTGTTGAAAGTCGGAAAAGCTAAACGACGCACTAGAGCAGCATGTCCACGCTGTAATCTTCATAAAATCAAATGTCTCGGAGACACACCGCCGTGCAGGTCTTGTGTTCTCTCTGGGAACGAAAATACCTGCTACTTTCCCTCCCGACCACGCAAGATCACAATGCTGGATACCGACGTCCAGCGATTAGAACAACGCATTGCTCATTTGACTGCTGAATGCTCTCGGCTAAGAAGTATAGCTGCCTTGTCAACCCCGGGTATAAAACAGAATTTAAAAAGTGCTTTGGGATCGGGCCAAGCACCTGACGAATCAGAGCTTTTCACCTCACCTGAACAGATAACCGTCGAATCTAGTGTTGCGCAGAACTCATCATGTCAAGTTTTTGCCACTGCGTTACAAGGTTGCTTGCACGATTTAGAGACTTCACAGCACCATGGGGGCTCCTTGAAAATTCCAAAGAAGACAGCGCTCCCCGTAACCAACGAACAGGGCAAAAAGCATTTGCATCTGGATGACAAGGCATTAAAAGGCACAGTTGTGACTGCAATTCAAAATCTGCCCGAACGAGAGCACGCTATTAGTCTGGTGCGGTCGGTATATCGGTATTTCGCAAGAGAGTTTGGGCTCTTCTCACTAAAGGAACTCGAATTTCGTTTAGAGGATACTTATGCCAATCCTAGCTCACAAACCTCTGGCTGGCTGGCCTATCTAATGATTGTTTTAGCTGTTGGAGAACAATATGGAAATCAGGTCGGAGAGAAATATACAGTTCCCGGTATGGATTTTTTTTTAAATGCGCTAAAGTACTTCCACCAACCCAGTGAGGAACCCAATTTGGACTCCGTGAGGACGCTGATCTTGATCGCTTTTTATTCTCAGGGGCTCAATCGCATGAACTCGGTCTATGCTTATACGGGCCTTGCCCTTTCCACTGCTGTTGCTCAAGGAATACATCGACAGTCCAACAATACCAATTTGCCGCTGGAAGAGCAAGAGGCCAGGAAAAGAATATGGTGGACAGCTTTTCTCATGGATAGTTTGTGGGCATCACGGCTTGGTTTGCTGCCCCATTTCAATAGTCGTGACGTTGACCTAGAACTACCAAGCGCAGATTTCCGTCCGCATATAGAGTTTGAGCCAAAATATTTGATTGCCAATACAAAGCTTGCTCTTTTAATTGGACCAATAATGAAAGAGGTTTACAATTCCAGCTCTAACGATTTGACTTACAACATTTTGCGTAATCTGAAAAGGCTTGAGGAGTTCTTTGACGGCCTTGATCCCGAGCTGGGACGACAGCCTGACATTGTCAAGGAAAATAGATCGATAGTCAATTTACATTTGCGCTACAACCAATTGAAGATAATCACGACTCGCCCTCTTTATATAGCCGTTTTGAAAAACTGGGAAAATTTAGAGACCAATTCGATCAAAGGGGCCATCTCGGAGTGCCTTAAGGCGGCAGTAGCAAACGTCAATATCATGTCGGTTTTATTTAACTCAGGATGGTTTTCTAATTTCGGGTTTTTGGAGGCCCAGTGCTGTTTTTCAACAATACTGGTCCTACTTATGGCCAAAGCTGAAGGAAAACCGTATCCTGAATTGTCAACAGCGGTATCTTTGAACCAATATATGTGTGAAGCTGGAAACATAACGGCGGTAGACAATTACTGTCGACTACGGGCTTTTGGTGATATTGTACCAGGGCTTGATATTGGCACAGGGCCTCCAGAAGCGATTCAATCCTTAGATAATGTCATCGATCAGCGTGGAGGAGTTCAATCAGCTGAGTCGGCCTGCTGGCAACTAGATGTTAGCTAAAGCTTTTCATTAGTATGCCCATACGGTGCCTTACAGTGTGTAATGGCTGCTCTCCAACAATGCACTGTGACATGTTTTTACTCATGATATTAGACGTTACATGCTAAATTACACAACGGCAGAAACTGAACCCAGATCTATTCTTTTCTTCAGAATTCGCCACCTCTTATTTTATATTATCCAACAGTTGAAAGCGGATCCACATCTAGCCATTTTTTTGAAACTCGTCGCCTCTTTTTTTACTGTAGAAACTCGCCCTTGGTCAGTTTGAGCTCTAGGTTGTAGTCAACCTGAAATTCAGCATACAAAGTTTCGGGGTCAGCGGTATTGTAATATGTGTAGTAAGCTACGTCGTCAGGAATCAGCTTCTTCTCCAAGCCCATACGTGTGGCCATTTCCACCTGGAGTTGAACTTCGCAGGTTTTTTCGAGTAATGTGAATAGATAACCGGCTTCGTCAATGGTTTCTCCTACTGTCAAGAGACCGTGGTTCTGCAAGATAACAGCTTTGTTAGACCCCAAAGCAGCAGCCAGTCTCTTGCCTTCTTCCGCCTCGAAAACAATTCCACCGAAATCATCATACACCGAGTGATTCTTGTAGAAAATGCATGAATCCTGGTTGAGCATATCGAGTTCTTTGCCAAATGCGGCCCATGCCTTACCATAAGTAGAGTGTGTGTGGCAGGCTGCATTAACATCAGGACGGGCTTTGTGTAGCTCAGAGTGGATCTTAAAGCCTGCAGCGTTGATAGCAGCTTGGTTGCCGTCGCTTAGAAGGTTGCCCTCGGAGTCGACGTGAACCATGTCCGAGGCACAAATTTGACTGAAATGGAGTCCCAGAGGATTAATCCAAAACGTGTGTGGGTCTACTGGGTCCCTGACGGAAATATGACCCGCTTGGCCCTCCCCGTATCCTCTCCTACCAAAAATACGGAAAGCTCCGGCCATATGCTCCAAAGTGTGCTTACGTTCTTCCATCTTATCAGCAAATTTGGGTCTCAAAAGCTTGTATTCGCCGCCTCCGAAAGTGAGATTGCTAACACCCTGCTGTTCCATTGTGTAGCCTTTGTCGGTTGAAGGTTTGAGGACACCGTCCTCGGGGCCAGGTCCGCTGGCAACGGAAGCTGGAGTAGGTTCTGTAATGGTTGACATTTGAAAATTTGATTTTGCCGGCGTGCGCTTGAGTGAAAGTTTATCCAGTTGACGTGCAGCACTTCGAATTTTGACGAAACGACGCTGCTTATGTACTGAACTCAGTGTTGGAATGGGATTGCAAGATGGTTCAACTAGTTCGGCGATCAATAGCGAGACTGAAAATCTTATCAGTTGATGGACCCGATTGGGAAAGTTAAAGTACTCATTCCTGGACTGAGTTTCCGTTTACAAAAGATAGCCGATAAGATCACGAGCAGCGCGTGGTGATAAAACTGGCCCGTGCCACACAGGCTGTGTTGGGCGAGGAAGGTGAAGGCGGAGTTGGAAGCGATGCTGATGGGCGGAATCGAACTAGGCAACCGGTGGTCAGAACACAGAAATGAAATGCCTAAATTGGCGATCGAGAGAATGCTCGCTAGCCAGATAAATAGAGGTCATCTGCAAGACTTAACGAGCAGTACGTGAGGCTACTGTTGGTTCCGGTGGCCGCTAGAATGCGGTACCTTCCAGCCTCACGGAAAACCTGTGGTGGAACCAACCAGCAGTGGGCAGCGACACAGTCGTACATAGTTACTGTTGTGTCCGACGCATACAGAGCTACTGGAGGGCCCGGGTGCGGCACGCGCGGACGACCTTGCTCGTTGTGACGCCTGCTGCTTTTGTGCGCTCGGGTAAAAGACCTCTGCTCCACACCCCGGCCACCACAACGCAGCCTCCCACGCCCTGCTCCAGCTCCCAAAGAAAAGTCCTTTATCGTGATTTTATATACGCCGCTATAAAAACAAAGAACAGATCGTCTATACATGTACACCCGTTGAATATCATAAAGCCCCCAGCGCACTCAGCGGAGATGCGTCTTGTGATGCTGCACGCAATTGTCGTGTCTGCTGAAACGCTGTCCGCACCCTTCGAACGGACAAACGTGGTTTTTCTCGCCCGTGTGGATGCGATTGTGGCGGGCCAGATGGCCGCTGGTGGTGAACCCTTTCTGGCACGTCTTGCACACGTACTTGCGCCGGCGTTCTATGGAGCTGCGCACACGCTTGGGCTGCAGCTCGGCGGGGGTATGGGTGGAGGGCACGGCGCCGGCCGCGTAGAGCACGCTGTCACGTGGCTCGAGCGTGTAGTGGGCGGAAGCGGCCGACGGCGGAGTTAGCGCCGTGGGAAACGACGCCGCGGACGAGACGGAAGACACCGCCGTGCTGCTCCGCGAGCGCCGCAGCGCGTCGCCTGCGACGGCGCCGGCGACGGCGCCGTCCAGCGAGACCACGCTGCTGGCCCGGCTGCTGGGCCCGAACGACCACCGGTCCAGCTGTCGTTTCAGGTCTATTTCGGCGTCTGCCATGCCGGCGCGATCCAGCTCAGGTGCTGGCAGCAGCACCTGCTTGCCCTGGGGCCCATTGTCCAGTGCTATACACCTGTGGAGCGGAGCGGGCAGCAGCGGAAGTGTGTGTAGTGCTTGCAACGGCCGGTTTTGCTGGTGGTCCAGACTATATAGCGTGGTCATTGTAGACAAGTGAAGTTGCGATGTGATAGCTGTATACTGGCTATACAGCAGCGAAGTTGCGATTCTCGGGTCACCGTCACCGTCGTGTGTCCCACACACTCTTCGTCCTCTACATACATACATATACACATACACATATATATATACACATATATATATATACATATATTCACACACACGCATTACTGTTACCTGTCCCATACCTATCGTGGTCGTTGCCCTGTCCACGCTTGTCATACTACCCTTGCTCGTGAGGCCCCGCTTCCGCTCCCGCCCGGGCCCTCTTCTTGGCCTTATCGTGCAAGGTTTTTCGACATTTCGCCCAGTTTGCTGCAGGTATTTCTCTCGGCGAACGCCAAGCCTTCAGGGTCTCATGCGTGGGTGCCAAGAGACATTCAGAGAGGTTACACAAAAATGGCGCAAAATACACAAAAAAAACCCAAAAAACACAAAAAACACACAAAAAACCCAGATACTACAGAAAAATAGAGAGGACGGCAGAATCGGAGGCGGCAGACAGGGAGAACCAGGACCTCCACCCTCTCGGTTGCTGGCCGTAAGGCTACGCGGCCATCGCGAGTCAAAAGCACACCAAAGGTGTTTCTCTCGCCCTGTTGGGCCATCTGCATGTGTATCGTCTGTATCTTATGTACCTATCATATGTATCTATCTATCGCCTTGTGGCGGTGGGTCTTGGCGAGACGGGGTGCGTGCTGTGTAGCTCAACCACAAGCGAAAGTCTCCAACGGCGCAAGCTGGAGCAGCAGCTGCCGTGCGGTGATCGGACACTGGTTTCAATACGAGGCCCTCGGCTATCGGCTGCTCGGATCCGCAGACAAATTGCCACGCACGCGTGGCACGGCTGGAGTGATATTAGTAATGTAAAGACGGACGTAAGCGGAACAGGGAAAAAGTTACCATTGTTGACAGGGCTGCGATCACGCGGGCGGGTCGTCCCTGCCAAGAAGTTTTTTGAACAGGGTGTGCGCAGACAGGAAGTTCCGAAAAAGGACTGACAATCAGGAGTCGGGTGGAGGAAATTCCGAGTTAGATTGTGTGCGGTGGCTTAGCAGGGCGAACGGGGCGAGCGCAGTCAGGTGGGGAGCCAGCGATCATTCACTGGTGGGTTTCCGCCGGTTTACGTTGTACGCAGAGCGACGGGAAAACAAACTGGCCGGTGCGACAGAAAACATGAAAAAGTGGGCACGTGATGGGCGGGCAACACCTTGGATAAGTACGGTAGTGTCATAAATTATCGAGTCATATAAGAGAGCTACCGTATACCATGGACGCCACCACTGGTTGGTTGTGTGGCAGCTCCAGGGACTGCTGTTTCTTACTCGCTTGGGTAAGTCGTACCGTGGTGTCGTAAATTATCCAAGAGCTGCTGTTTCTTACTCGCTTGGATAAGTCGTACCGTGGTGCCATAAATTATCGAGTCATATAAAATAGCTACCATATACCATGGACGCCACCACTGGTTGGTTGTGTGGCAGCTCCAAAGACTGCTGTTTCTTACTCGCTTGGATAAGTCGTACCGTGGTGCCATAAATTATCCAAGAACTGCTGTTTCTTACTCGCTTGGATAAGTCGTACCGTGGTGCCATAAATTATCCAAGAACTGCTGTTTCTTACTCGCTTGGATAAGTCGTACCGTGGTGCCATAAATTATCCTAGAACTGCTGTTTCTTACTCGCTTGGATAAGTCGTACCGTGGTGCCATAAATTATCCAAGAACTGCTGTTTCTTACTCGCTTGGATAAGTCGTACCGTGGTGTCATAAATTATCGAGTCATATAAGATAGCTACCGTATAGCTGCCAGAGCAGTGGCCTACATACATTTTGCGCGCCGGTCTTCCGCCGACGGTCATTTTTAGACGACCGATAGATCGAAAGTCGGACTGGAAGCGGTAACTTCCAGAATGGCAGGCCCGAATAGTATCGACGAGTCGGTCAGGTTCCCAGAATTGTCGGATGTCACAAAGGCGTACGACTGTCCAGAAACCTTGCCTGGAACCTCGGCAGAAAGCATACCGTCGGCGATAGAGCCCTCGACGGGAAGCACGTTTAGACCACTCACAAATGTAACGAAAATTGGCGACTGAGGCAGTTCGCCGTCCACCGAAAACGTCACAGACGTGTTAGCGGCCACAGGCATGCCCTGTGTGACAGTGAGCCCCGGGTACGCCTTGACTGGCAAAGCTGTGTTGGAGCTGGGACAGGAGCTGATAAATTGCGAGGCGATCGAATACACTGCGTTCACGCCCATGGGGGTGGCAAATGGATTGGCCATGGGCACCGCTCCGCTAGCCCCGCGGGCTGCCGATTGGTGGAGGGCCTCAGTGGCCAGGATGGAGGCAGCAGCTGTTAAATATGCTTTCGACGACACATAGGGTGCGGCCCCCAAATACGCTGACACCCCGACACCTTCGATAGTCGCTGCAAGCGCTACAAACTCTTTAGGGCCTGTCATTGGGAAGTTGTACGAGCAAGCAGCAACCGGCGACGCGCCAGCCGCCTTGAGGCCACTCTCCAGAAAAAGGACGTGGCCCTCCTCGTCATGAGCAATGTATTTCAATTGCGAGTAGAAGTCCTCGGTGAAATTAGCTTGTACAAATTCGTCTACCGACCAGGTCGAAAGCGCTTGTTTGTAGAAGGCGTTTTCTAGATGCTCCAAAGTTAAAGCGAACTGTAAAATATCTGGGTCGCCTAGCGATGCTCTCTTTTGTAGAGCCACTGGCACAGCCAGTGCTGAAACGGCAAAGTAAACCGAGAAGGCAAGTGTTAGTCTCATGAGAAGTTGAAACGACACAGAAATATGGGAAAGAAATGTACTGTCTACGAATGCGCTGACTGACTTTCTGGCGGGATCTAGGTGTGTTTCTTATATACCACGTTCCATCTGTGACAGCCTGGCTAATGGGGATACTCCATCTCTCATGACCGAATATCAGCACTTTCCATCCGGTCGCCCTGGGGGTACTATTTCGAGGAACATGTACGACTCTAAAGATCTAACTGTCCCCAAGGTGTGTGAGCCTGTGCCGTGTTTTAGTAATGCCGCCAACGCATAACGATGCTGTCATCGGGTGTTACCAAAGATCTACAATACGTCAACAAATTCCGTTCCACCAGTTTCGCCGTGCGCAAGCAGTGTGACGTGAACATGATCTTAAGCATCACCCCGATAGTTCGAGGGACCAGTATCTATTTGCGACCGACATTGGAGAGGCATTGTAGGGCTTGCCATGATTTCACCTTCAATAATTTATTAATCCCAATGTCAGCTGCTGTAATCACGGTTGCATTGAGTCGGTCCTCTCAAAAGTGTGTAGGTGCTATAGTTCGGCATAGCAACAAGTGCCCAGTAGGTAAAGAACACGGACCCCCGGGGCGCTGGATTAGTCGAACTAAGCACCAAAGCGTAGGCTTTGACAGCAAGTTTTGAGGTGACGACACCACCGGCTGAGCACTTTTATGTTGAGAACTGGTCTATCACGGACGAGAGATGGGCATCGGGTAGGACAATGGGTGGGATTCAATGTGAAGCTAGCTTATATTTTGAACGACAAGACCTAAGACGGTATCTATCAACCAGTAGACTGTTTCGAAAGTTGAGAAAACAATTTTCAAAGACTGAAGTGACAGCTGCTGGGAATTGGAAAGCCCTGTGGCACGATAATTAATGTAAAAGTACGTACTCGGGTAGAATAGATAAGAAAACTGTGCGGATTTCAGTAGCAACAAGTCAGGATCGTAAAAAGAAGCACATCCAACAATGAAGTTCAGCCGTGGCCCAACTTATTTCTGTACTTCAATTGGCTCGAGTCAGGGCGTACTCCGTGGCCTTCAATTTGAATTTACTGCCCTATTTGTGCAGGTGAGAGGATAAAATGCGTAATTGTGGGACAAGAGTAAGATAGGAACGTCTAAGACAACTCGTTCAGTATTGAAAGGTGCTTGGAGCTCTAAATTCTATTCAATTCTTGGACTTGAATTTCCATTCACCGTGGTGCTCTTATTCCACATAGCCGGCACCTCCCAGACAACAGTTGCCTTGAACTGGAAAGATTATATCATGGCCAGGGTGACATCATGGCCCCCCTTCCGGCTTGGATACTCGATTGTTTGTCTTTGTGAATAATTTCTCCAACTGACTACTTGTCCTTAGAAACCAAATTCTACGAGACGCAATTATTCCATACTATCTTTCTGAGGCTTAGCTCCTCTTCACCACATCAAAACTATCACAAACTCTAGACAGTTCCATACCCCTTGAAATAACCTAGCATCCAAACCAGATGCTGAACGGCTACTTCTTAGGGATCACAGTAGCTCAGTTCTCTTCTTGAATTCTTCCTTCGTAGGTTTGTTCAAGGTATGCATCAGCTGGACACTCCAGTCAGAACTTTACTTTACTCTGCTCCGATCAAGACTAAAATAGGGCGCCGAGGCTCTTCCATACCATCAATACGATGTTCAAGTGCGGCATATAATACAAATAAGTTTGTGGATCATACCTCTATTCTAATGTGAGCCAACTTCCTTCGTGTACATAAGCAGGCTCTGACATGCCACGCTTCTCGCCTTTTTTTTTAGGGCGTCCTTCTTGATGTTGTTCAATCCAATTAAAACCAAGACATTGATCTCTAAAATGCCTTTCTTCTTGGTTCTTGGAACTCTGCACTGGTAGTAATAGACCTGCACTAGTTGCATGGGTTGCTTGGCAGTGTGGTGATGTGCATGTATAACACATGTAAGTCAGAAGACTTTACCAGAGCTACCAAGAGATGCTCTGCGAAAGAAATTCTTTGGTTGATGGAATGCTATGCGTCGCCGCTTAAACCTCTGAGATGTTCTATACTGACAGTGTTTTCATTTCCAATGTCAAGTATGAACGTCTTAGAGTCTCTACTGCGTCGTTTTCCACCTGTCACATTTCGTTAGTGCCACAAATGTAGAGAGTGATCTACGAGGAAGACACTTACCACCTAAACTTCCGGGCTCACCAGTCGCTATGAATCTCAAAAGTACCAAGTACTTCGTCCTGTGGCTGCCTCTTATTCCTGGAAGTCTGTTCTAAATTGATGCAGTTTCGAGCTTTGGCTGGCCGTGATGTCCCCAGACCTCCACTTGCCTCGCAAGTTGTAGTAAATCAAGTAATCACTACATCCAGATGGCCGAATCTGATTGATCTCCACTAGGGAGGGAAGAAACCACTTCCTTGCGTGAAGCTGAGCTCCCCACTTGGCGAAACTTTTGACACTTCGTACGGCCTATCATCGTCTCTCTACGCCACTTTGAAGTCTCTAACCCGTCATCTTCAACATCTCGCCATTTCCAGTCGCATCTCGCCATACCTCTGGCATAGTGAACTTGTCTTATAGAGCTCGTTTACCTCTTTCGCATGACAACTTAATTTTGGCACTTTTATTCTACAACGCATATACGAGAAAAGTCATCTCTCGTTCAACTAACTTCACTCATATCTGTATATAAATCAGTCCTAACCCATCACACAAGATGTCTAGTTCTGATTCTAATGTCCCTAAGTCCTCCGTAGATCATTCTACTGCCAAGATGCCCGCTCCTCAAGATCCTACCAACATGCCTATCCGTGAACAGATGAAGCAATTGATTCATCGTAAACAAGCAGAGATCACGAAGGGTCTGGAAACGCTTGACACCGTAACATTCAATCCAGACTCCTGGACTCGCGGTAATGATGGGGGCGGTGGTACTTCAATGGTCCTGCAAAACGGTAGCACATTCGAAAAGGCTGGCGTAAACGTCTCTGTCGTCTACGGCCAGCTCTCGCCACAGGCTATTTCCGCCATGAAGCACGATCACAAAAACCTGAAGTTGCCTGTCGATGCCAAAAGTGGTCTTCCCCACACCGAGGGTGTCAAGTTTTTTGCCTGTGGTTTGAGTATGGTTGTCCATCCTTCCAACCCTCATGCTCCGACCACACACTTGAACTATCGTTATTTTGAGACCTGGAACCCCGATGGAACCCCTCAAACGTGGTGGTTTGGCGGTGGTGCTGACCTCACTCCAGCTTATCTATACGAAGAAGACGCACGCCTTTTTCATGGAGAACACAAAAAAGCTTTGGACAAACACGATGTGACGCTATATCCTCGCTATAAAAAATGGTGTGATGAATACTTTTACATCAAGCACAGAGACGAAACTCGTGGTGTTGGTGGTATTTTCTTCGATGACATGGATGACCGCAATCCACAGGAAATTTTGGCCATTGTCGAAGATTGTTTTGACGCACTTCTACCTGCCTATCTCCCAATCATCGCGCGCAGGAAGGACATGCCTTTTTCTGAAGAGGAAAAACAATGGCAGTTGATTCGCCGTGGTCGTTATGTGGAATTCAACCTAGTGCTAGATAGAGGAACTCAATTTGGACTGAGAACACCAGGTTCGCGCACCGAGTCCATTCTCATGAGTTTACCCGTCACGGCATGCTGGTATTACGATCACCATCCAGAGCCCGGCTCTCGTGAGGATAAGCTGCTGCAGATTCTAAAAAAGCCAGAAGAATGGGCGTGATGTCGCGATAAAAGCATTATGCAAATGCAAAGCTTAACGTTTATAAAACTATTTATACAACTAATGAACCCTGTAAGATAAAGCTCACTTGAGGGTCTCTGGCAAGGCAAGTCTGTCAACAATGCATGCACAAGCATAGCGAAGACTCACCTCCTCGTAGCTCTCCGAATATCTGATGTAATAATCAAGATAAGCAGTGGGAGGCATCATACTCGAATTGATCATCAAAATGCTCATCACATTGACGCTTGATGAACTAGATGCATCAGTGACTATCTTTTGAGGCCAATTATGACAGAAATGGCCTGAGGTATCCGCAGCCAAAGCCCCAGCCCACATCTAATTCTCTCTCCACCGGTTCCCACAGTTCACGCACTTGTAAAAGGTAGTCATAGGCTCATCTGCAGAACGAATCTGTAGCTGGAAGAAGTAAGCTCTTTCGCCTGCACATTGGTCATAGTTCGGACACTGTACTGCAGTTTGATCCACATTATCCCAACCACCGCCAATAACATCATCGACATCTTTCCTTGGAAACGTTTTCCGGTCATACACCTCTAGACCTTCAATGGGAAACACGTATGGACAAGCTCCACACTTCAACGCATAAGCTCCGCCATCGGTTTGTGAAACCAATAGCATATTATGACAATGGGGGCAGAAAGATAGCATTTCAAGACCTCCAAACTTCCTATCTCTCTCTATCCACCTGGTCAAGCTCCGCTCAGCGAGCTCATCGCGCAAGATCACTACAGCACCGCTACCAATTTTTCAACCTATACTATGACCTGGTCATGTGAACATCAACAACATTGTAATGAGAAATAGAGGCCCTGGAGAGGAGGCCCCAGCTAGCAACGGCTTGATATCGAAACAGGTGGCATTGGTGGGGTAGTTAGGCTAACTGGGTTTGGTAATATTAATATCAGCCTTGTTGATAAATTCATTGCTTGGGGAGGCTTTGCTTGGCGTAAGCTAATTCTCAATTTAAAACTGGCATTTGACACAGCTTTAAAGCACGCTTTAAATTGCCCACACCGACGCCCACCGATCTTCTTTTGTTCTACTCAGTTCTTAGTTACCACTTTTGAGCAAAACACCTTAAAGGTCAGTGCTACTCAATTTGGACCTGAGATACTAATCTTGAAGGCAGTTGGTTATCAAAACCACTCAAATGATTGAGAAATCAAAACATTGGCCGCCAAGCCTAAAGGCTCTTGTATTGGCCAACAAAACGCTTCTCTGACACTCTCAATATTGAAAGGTGTGAGCCTTGAGAAAGTCTTATAAATTCCACACTGATGGCTTACAGTACTCTCCTAGGCTCAAGAAAATATTCCGATGGTCCAACTTCGATCTAACGTAGCTTGTTCACTTCGCATGTTCAAACCTTAGTTATATGGTTGGGCCTGCCACTGCCGTGTAAGGTGCTTGTTCAATATTTAGATCAAGATCTGGAAATAACAATAGTCGAAATGACAGATGTGAATGTAGTAATAATCACCAATAGGACCTCTAGGGGCTCTATTTTGTTGTAATATGTCTGAATCTGAGGATATAGTATGGCACCAGGATTTTGCTGCATCTGGGAGTGGTACTCCCAGTAGTTCAAGTATGCTACCCAGCTTTTGGCGGTTCCTGAACCGCCGAATTAAAGGTACCGGTCGCGCAGGATCCACGTCTCCCGCTAAAAGAAAAATAGATGGAAGGGATGATACTAAGCTAAAAGGACAACGAAATTTGTTTGGAGATTTACAAATAGCCGACAGAGAGGTGGAAGCAGGACCACAGTCTCAGAAAGGTAAAGATGAGGAGTTCTTTGACTCTAGTAGCTCTAGCTCTGATGTCGACTCCTCAATTGGCGGAGTAAGCTCAGATGCATCATCAAAAGAGGGTCCCAGAAAGCGCAGTAGAAAATCAAAGAAATCGTCTCCTATTCCACCAACCAAACGGCAGCATGTAGTGAGATCCAAGTCGCTTTCGAAATCGCCTAAGAGAGTGAAAAGTGAGGGTCTACCAGATGCCGGCTTTGTCACTGCGGATTCGTCTCCGATCAAAGCTCGAGTTTTTGCTTCGCCCGCTAAATCACCCTCAAAGCCTATACTGAACAAGTCACCCTTCAAAATTACACTCAATCGTAACTTCGTTCCCAGTCCTCTGCCTTACGAAGGTGAATATCAGCCACCGCAAGAGAAGCATCTTACTTATTTCTTTGATGGGTTTGAGGGGTATATTGACCAGAAAAAACCAATTCGTGCTCACAAAAAATCCACCAACTCTATGGGCATGGCCCCGTCTGTTACGAGGGAGGAGTTCTCTCTCCTATCAAATACGCTGAATAGTTGGCTACACAAAGACTGCAAAAATTCATTGCAAACAATACAGCGAACCATGTTCCCACAGTACTGGTTTGAGGTCGATCAGGGATTTTCCCTTCTATTTTACGGAATTGGTTCCAAGCGCAAGTTTCTTGAAGAGTTTGTCATTGACTACCTTTCCCCGCAGTTGGCTTTGTCAACCGAACTTAATTATGGCTCTAATAATGAGGTATTCGGGTCAGAGGCAGGAGTCGCTAGTGATGACGAAAGTATGGTAGACGGTGTTCCATGTGTAGTCATCAATGGTTACAACCCAACTTGCAATTACAGAGACGTTTTCCAGTCTATAACACAAATTATGCTCAAGGAGGAATTATCAAAATCAGAAACCAAATATTGGAGCAACCATGTGGAACTACAAATCAACAAGATGGACGAGGTATATCGTCATTCAGCTCCTACCATCAAACTAATAGTTCTGGTTCACAATCTGGACGGTCCTATGGTTCGCAAGGATGCTTTTCAAAACATGCTCAGCTCACTGGCACGCATCCGCCAGATTGCGATTGTTGCCTCAAGTGATCACATATACGCACCATTGTTATGGGACCATGTTCGAGCTCAAAACTTCAACTTTGTTTTCCATGACATAACTAACTATGAGAGTTATGCGGTAGAATCGTCCTTCAACGATGTCATGAAGCTCGGCAAAAGCCAGAGTAGTACTGGTGCAGAGGGTGCACGTTATGTACTGGAATCCCTCACCGTTAACTCTAAACGAATGTACAAACTGCTTATCGAGACCCAGCTAAGTGCCATGGAACATTCGCAGACGAAAGTTCCGGCTAACAAACGAGGTTCCCATGCTTACGGAATTGAATTTAAGCAATTTTACCACATGTGTGCTGCCGAGTTTATCGCCTCGAATGAGGTGTCGCTACGATCAATGTTAGGCGAGTTCATCGAACATAAGATGGCCGCTTTGTCCAAAAATAGAGGCGGGGCAGAGACTCTGTACGTCCCCTATGTCTACTCAGAAATGCAGACATTATTAAAAGACGTCTTAGACGTATGAAAACGAACAAGCAAACCGCTTTGTCAAATTCACCCAAAAGACCACGTCCCATTCAAATCTCATAATTCATGATTTGCACGTGACTTGAATGTTTTTTATATCTGCTTTCAGGTTAATGATCTACCTGCCAACTAAAACCCCTTTACAAAACACACCTCAACGTGCGTTCGGTAGGGCTCAACGAGCTAAAACAATCAACACATGTCTAAGTCAGAACCTTCTTCGCATGACCTGGCTTCCGGGGTTAACTCCAGCCGGAGTGGAACCTTTCCGCCCATGGAACAATTAAAAACCGGGGTCCAGGTTATAGTCGGCAACCATCGAGTGGAAGTAGTCAAATATCTGGCAGAGGGTGGTTTTGCTCAGATATACGTTGTGAGATTCATTGAGTACGCGAATGAATTGGAAAGGCAACCATCTGTTCCTCTAACGGTCGGACATTTGGCATGTCTGAAGCGAGTGTTGGTGACCGATGAAAATGGCCTTAATGAGATGCGAAACGAGGTCGGAGTTATGAAGCAACTGTCTGGAAGTGCAAATATTGTACAGTACTATGATTCGCATGCCTCCAGGTCTCGCGACGGTACGACAGGTTTCGAGGTGATGCTGCTGATGGAACTTTGCCCGAACAACTCCCTCTTGGATTATATGAATCAGCGACTCGCCACCAAGCTGTCAGAAACAGATATCCTGAAGATTATGTTTGACGTAACTCGTGCTCTTGCTGACATGCACCATCTCCCGGTTCCACTTATACATCGTGACATCAAAATTGAGAATGTGCTAGTTGACGCGGACAACAATTTCAAGCTTTGTGATTTTGGTTCGACTTCAACGTGTCTTCCTGTGGCTAATACACACCAAGAGATTGCGATAATCACTAACAACATCTACGTTCACACCACCCCGCAGTATAGATCACCTGAAATGATAGACCTGTATCGATGCCTGCCTATTGACGAAAAGTCTGACATATGGGCTTTGGGGATCTTTTTATACAAGTTGTTGTTTTATACAACTCCTTTTGAACTTACCGGTCAATTCGCAATATTGCATTCCAAGTACGAAATCCCAGTCAACAATTACTCCTCCAAACTCATCAATTTAATCATCATTATGTTGGCGGAAAATCCTAACTTGAGGCCAAACATCTACCAAGTCATGGATATTCTGTGCTCTATGTCAAGATGCGATAATCCTGTGGAAGATAAATTCCAATTGGGCTCTTACAACTTCGAAAAATACGCAGAATACCAAGCAAAGCTCCAAAAAATACAATATCAGATGTACTTATCATACGAGAATAAGCAGCACGTCGATGTTTTGAATGACCTTTTCATCAACTGTTTTGAAATCGCACCAAAACAACCTGTTAACATGGGCCAGAACACTCGCTCGGGGTCGTTAGAGGTAGATGGTAGTGAAGCTTCTGCCATCCCCGTGGCTTTAAGTGAAAACACCTCGGCCGGTGAAGAGGATATTGGATTAGTACAGCAGCAATTCCCCTCCGTTGAGGACCTAGAAGGTTACTTGCACGAAGAGACGAGGCGTGATGGTGATAGACACAATTCCAATACTACTGCTAGCGTTGGGACTAGCTCTCATTCTTCTAGCAAAGTTGATTTGGGGAAGACGGCAGAAACACTGTCTTCCAGTCAAGGTCAGCCAACCTTACCTTCAGGAGCGCCGCCCAATATGGTGAGAGATATGACTGCGCGCTCCCTCACGTCGACCAAACAGCATAAGTCCTCTAACCCATTTCCTTATATTCACCAAGAAAAGTATGAAGTGGAACCAGAGACTAATCCGATCTTCGAAAGTGCTGGAGAAGTACCAGATGTTAATCAACCTTCCATTGAGTTGGACAATGCTGCCAATCCGGTCCAAGCTGCACAAAGTCAAAGGCAGGCTTCCATGAGCTTACTGCCAAATCCTCAGGGTGCAAGCCATTCGTTTCAAAATCAACGTCAAGACTTTGAAAAAAAGGAATCCTACGAACAGTATTTTCGGGAAACTAGAACACCCCTTGTGGAGAAAAGTGTTGAACCGTCTTCATCTGAGTATCCATTTCAAAGCATGAATGGCAAACAAGAACAATCTCTACAGATCCAACAAACACAACAAACGCGAGCTCTTCAACAGCAGTATCCCGATGCTGCGCCTAATCCGCCCCCTCAATCTCAAAATCTGGCCTATGACCCCTCTTCCTTACAAGAGAATGCTGAGCTTCTCGTTGATTTTTCAAATGTTGGGCGTAAGGAACCTCAAAGGCTAGACTTAACGTTTGATAGTGTTGATCTTTCAACTCCTACAAAGAGTGGTATGAAGGACAGTCCCAGCTTATCTGAACAGAGCTTAGCCTCCAGCGAGAGCTACTCTGTCGAAATGCACAGAAAAGTTGCTGATTCTGAAAAACCATCTCGGAGACCTCCTCAAGGAGGCACGGCGAATACCTCATTAGTCACCACTCAACCATCCCAAGGTCGTCGATCTCTCGATTTAAAATATCAGGAAATGGATTTTTCGGCGTCGCCTCCTCCAGATGCCAAATTACAAAAGACCAAGACTACCATTCACCCATCGCGCAAGACTAATGCCGGCAGCGATTTAAGGAGGTCATTTACACGCGGCAGAAAATCTCTAGACCTAGAGCATCTGAAGCGAGACGTGGCATCCAGTACCGAAAACACTGCCAGCAAGCGTAGGTCTTTCTTTGGCAAATTCAAGAGCTGATAGCCAGACATTTCTCATATAAACAGCATGCATCACTATATACTAAATATATTTCAAGGCTCCCTCATCTTAACTTTTGTCTAGACTCTGAAAGCTTCCCACAAACAGCGAAAGAGTATCCACCATGAGTGCCACGGGTGCTATTAAATCTCAAAAACTGAGCCATGGCACCTTCATCTATAGACCTACGGATGACGAGCTCAGCACTGGCTCTCTGTGGGAAAAGTTATCCAATTTCGGAGAAAACCTATATTGGATGTACTACATACACTTGCCTTACTATTTGATGACCTCAGGAGACGCGTTCTGCTTGCATTCCTTCTTTCTGGCGATGTTCACGCTGGGCGTATTTGGACTTATTAAATATTTGTTTCTGTGAGGGAGCGAAGCAGCAGTCTGTAGGATTGCGTGACGGATAGAATGGGTATATGAATGCTTATGTCAATGTATAGACGGATAATATAATGAGAAATAAAGAAAAATGAGGAAGCTGCCTGTCTTGACAGAGTTGAACCTTTTGAGATGTACCCTCAATTTGGTGTTTGGCACTACACTAGTACAATCTAGCTGTGTCATATGCTGGGTGGGCATCTTAGATCAATTTCATTTCAACGCTTGCAAAAGGCATTTCACCACTGTATGAACCTAGTAGACCCTACTAATCTTTTGTTAAATTTTTGTTGACACGCTTGGTTCTATTGTACAGTGTCACGTCTTCAGTGAATACGAAGTCCCAAAGTACCTTACACCAGGAATCGTGTTTTGGCAGGTTTTGGTAGTATTCGGGACACATGCGGTTCAACTCCCAGAGCCGAGACCATGGAATGAAGGGAAAGTCATGATGTTCGTTGTGTAGACCAACATTCCAGGTGAAGACGTTCAGAATTCCGTAGTAAGAGTAGGTCTCTAGCGCGTAGTCCTTGTGAAACTCCACGTCCTTCCGAGAAACCTGAGACTCATCGGTGGAGTGAATAGATTCCTTTTCCGCTGGAGTATTCTTGTATGCAAGTTTACCTCCGGCCAGTGCTTCCTCTAAGTTCAAAAGGTAATGCTCTGCGATAAAATGGCCCGAGCATGGATGCAGAGAACCCGCCAAAAAGGCAGAGATGAGGAAGTATAGGAAGGAATTGAAACCAAAATTTTGGATCCATATATAGTCAAACGCTAGTTGGTACGCTACGTTGATCAAATGCAATGGAGACATGGGGATGGATGTGACAAACATGGGTCTGAAGGCGTAAAAAAAGATTTGAAATGTTGCGAAAAAGGCTTTGCCCAAGACGCTAGAGAGGACAATAGCTTCCAACTTTGTAGGGATATCTGTATCGTAAACCTCGTCTCCAAGAAACTTGTGGTGGAGTTGGTGGTATGGAGCAAATGAGGCCGCGTAGGGAATGCCGATAGGAGTGTTAGTAAACACCGAGAATAACTTATTGTGCCATATTTTGCGGAATGCCAAATTGTGCGAGAGCTCATGAATGGCCAGAAAAATGTTTTGATTTGCAGTTGCACCGACAACATAGGCACATAGCCAAAATTTTAGAGACAGGGGGCTGGTGTCACGCAGCAGATATGCCATGGTACACTGTAGAGCGACAACCCCGCAAACGATGTATTTGGTGCGAGGCTCATGTCCCATCAGCTGTTTGACCTCTGGGTGAGATTTCAGAATCGCATGTCTCCTGACAGCGTGTGGCTCCTTGTGTGAGACCCAGTAGAAGTTATCCAAAATGCCGATTTCCGAAGAAACATCAGGCGCATCCAGCGTTTCGACGCCAAGTGTCAAGCCCTTATGAGTTACTGACATGTTCTTGGGTTGTGGTCTGTTTCTGGCGTAAAAAGATCGAGTTCAGCCCAAGGAATACTCGTAATATCTGGGATCTGACCTTCCAAGCGAGAATACTGAGTATGGGACCTATGTGTTAGTTGAACCGTTTTTTAACCAATCTTTTCTCGAGCCAATGGGTCCAGATCGTACAGAAGCGGTTTTTTTTTTGTCTGGAGCACGTTATTTCTTATCGACAAGAGACGTCGTTGAACGAGCGAGAGCTGAATGGCCTGACATCTAGGGCGAAAAGGAGCACAGCAGACGTAAATAACAACGAGCAAGTCCAATTTTACGGTGTCGACTTTCCCCAGCTATGCCAGCCGCTGTTTTTTCCACAATCAAGAACAGATTGATCCATGAAATCAATGACGCCTTCCAGACACTTCCTTCTCTCGTGTGTTGAATAAAGAGCCTAAATTTTGGGAATAAATAGAAGTCGTCACGCATGGATTATACGCACCACATCTTCATGGTGCCCGGCTTCGTAGAGTTCGAGTCACTTTTTCCTATACTGTCACCATGTTCGAGATCGCTATTTACTAACGTGACATTGCCAACTTATCCGCTCGCCTTAGCATCTACGTTGGCTCTGAGTGACCAGCTGGTGCCAGAAATACTTGTGTTATTGTAGCTGGGGTGTTAATACGCTGTTGGAAGTATCTTCTAGAAGGGTCGTGGTTTGTGTTTTTTTGTTTATATACAATATCGCTACTTTAGTGTGATATGTTATGCTCTTTGGCTCAAGATCAGCTCATACTTTAAACAAAGAAAGAGCAATTCCAGATTCAAGTACACTGTTTCTTACACAAGCGCTCCTCCTGCAAACAGGCTACACGTAGCTATAAAATGTAGAGATTTCTCTGGACTGGTAAAAGCAAGGACGAACTCTATACAAAAGAGGTAAACTTTCGAGACAATTCCGTAAATTTATAGTAGCCCAACCGTCTCAGCGCTGCCCTCATAGTCAGGTGGGAGATATCCTCGGCGTAAGGTGTTGTCGTCTGCTGCCGATTAGCCTGTTTAGCAGATTTAGATCGTGATCATCATCTACTAAGGGACGGACTCAAAATTTTAATATACCAATGTCAGTCAACCCATAACTACAAAAAACAAATAGCCTTGTGTCGTCCCCTGAGTCCCCCCTTTCCCATGCTCAGAACATCGCTCAAGTATCAACCGATCAAACGTTTGATGTCTGAATACGTCAGGTTCGGTGTCAAGGGCGTTTCCCGCGTAGTAACGTTGTCAAGACCCGAGAAACTCAATGCCATCTCGACTGAGATGTGCAGCAAAATGCTGCCTACTTTGCTGGAATACAGCAAGAGTGACGTGAACAACGTGGTAGTGATACGGTCAGACAGCTCTCCTCGGTCTTTTTGTGCAGGAGGTGATGTGGCTACCGTGGCAGCACAGAATATCGCTGGCCGCCTTGATCAGTCTCTGGAGTTTTTCCAACAAGAATACTCACTTAACATGCTACTTGCTACCTACAATCGCCCCGTGGTCGTTTTGATGGATGGTATAACCATGGGAGGCGGTGTGGGTCTTTCGACCCATGTCCCTTTTCGTATAGCCACGGAAAACACCCGTTGGTGTATGCCCGAAACAGACATTGGATTTTTCCCCGACGTTGGAACCACCTTTTCTTTGCCGCAGCTAACCACCGTGGGCGGTACAAATGGCCAGCTTGCCTTGTATCTGTGCCTAACCGGTGATCTACTAACAGGCGCTGATGTTTACGTGGCGGGCTTGGCCTCACACTACATCCCCAGCCACAACCTCGCTGATCTACAGGCAAGATTGAGCGAGCTTCCGGTATCGAGCCAGTCCGATGACATGTGGGAGATCACTGGCACGGCTCTTGAAGAGTTTTCTGTTGGTATGCCAGGCGATTATCAATTTAAGTACTCCAACGCCCAGCTAGACGTGATCGAATCATGTTTCGATGTAGGTGCATCGGGAAGCATCAAAGCAATTACAAGTGCCTTGGAAAAGGTCGTCGCCTCGACCTCCGCTGCTCCAGAGGAGAAAGAGTTTGCACGCATTACTCTACAAAAGCTAGCTGCCAAGAGCGTAGTGTCGTTACAAGTCGCAGTCGAGCAATTCCGCAGAAACAAACACTCCGATATCGAATCTGCTCTGAAACAAGATCTGGTTACCGCTTCTAACATGTGCGAGGACCCAGTTTCTGAGTTTTCCCAGGCCACAAAGCACAAACTTATCGAAAAGAAAAAGACAACCTACCCTTGGTCCAAATCGAGCCTGACCATGGAAGAATTGTCCCGCCTCGTTTCTCCTCGTGCCTCAACATCTGTATCGTTGCACAAGCTCCCCGAGGCTGTGACCTGGAAAAAATATCCTAACCATGCCAAATTCATGCTCCCAACCGAGCAACAACTAAAGGACTATATAACCGGCAACGACAACTCCGGAAGATCGCTTGCTGTGTCTCGTGCCGAGGTAGTCAAGTATTTTTCCCAGTATAATCCCTCTTCCAGAGGAAAAACCGGTATTCAATTTCTCTGCAATCAAATTTGCAGTAGAAAATGCACCGTGGGCGAAGCAGGAGAACTCCACTGGAAAGATAAATCATCACCATAGCATTCTCAAACACTAACATTTCATAATACATGTAAATACTATAATCGCCACCATCCTCTCTGTTCTTGTGAAGTAGTGTATGGCGCCTCTGGTTGCGTCGCTCGTGATAATTATTAAAAGTCAAGAAAAGGGTATTTATAATAGAGCCTGCGATGAGATTTTGAAATCTGAAGAGGTGAGCGCTGCCAAGGACTACTGACACACAATTAGCGGGAAAAGTATTATCATGTTGACAATTGAAGATTTCATTGAATTACAAATTCCTTCTGTGATCTATAAGGATGATTGTGGGTACTGTTTCGAGAATATGTACAATGAGGATGTGTCTACGTCGCATTGCTTGAATGTGTGCTTGAAGTGTTTCCAGAGTTTTTGTGCTGACCATGCCGATCTGCATCAGAGTGTCACCCACACAGAGCTAAATGATTGCCATGACTTTTACTTGAACTTGAGGAAGGTAAAAAAACCCGATGCCAAGGAGCCGATCGAGAAAAAGCTGAAGCTTGAAATCACAGAGAAGAGCGAAGACGAAACCTACGACGTGTATTGGAGTCTTCTCGATGGCTCCCGAATACTGGCGGATTATCGGGCCCCTAATTTGGACACCAAGGTTTTGAATAAAGTGAACCAAATCTTGCGAGCCCAATCCACCAACTTCCAGCAAATGGCCAGCTCATGGCAGCTGGAGTTCAGGCCTTGTAAGCATGTAGAGTCGTACGAACTTCCTCAAGGGAATGCAGAAACTATAGGAGGGAACTGTGCAGAGTGTAGTCTCACCCAAAATTTGTGGTTGTGCCTACATTGCGGCCATTTGGGTTGCGGGAGACAACAGGTAGGAATCGAAGGTCAATCTCACGCGTTGAAACATTTTGAAAACCATCCAGATCATGCATTGGCTGTCAAGCTGGGCTCGTTGAGTAATTCGTCCTCAGATGTTTACTGTTATTCGTGTGACGATGAGGTCCAGATCGCCGACCTTGACAAATGGGTTAAGCTGCTAGCGCATTGGGGGATCAATATCCAAGATAAAGTAGCACAGGAAAAGACTCTGGTTGAACTGCAAGTTGAACAGAATATGAACTGGGATTTTCAAATGGTCGACTCACAGGGCCACGAGTTGGCCCACCTCAAGAGTTCTAAGGAGTACGGGTGCGGGTTGATAAATTTGGGAAATTCGTGCTACATGAACTCTGTGCTCCAATGTTTGATGAACGGCGGCGTATCTGGCTGGTCACTAGATCAGCTGGGTGATTTCCCTCGGAACGTTGTGTATGTGTCCACCAATTTGAAATGTCAACTCCTCAAGTTACGGAATGCATTTACCTTAGAACCAGCCAAATATCCCCATGGTATAAGGCCTTCAACTTTCAAGAATTGCATTGGAGGTAGGCATGAAGAATTTAGTTCTGGAAGGCAACAAGACGCTTTGGAATTCTTTTCATATTTCACTGATCTACTTGATAGCAAAGCTTTTGATGGAATGCCAAACAATGTAAATGATCTAATGCGCTTTAATGTTCAAGACAGGATTGAGTGCCAGAAATGTCACGGTGTGAAGTATTCTACTCAGACTGCAGATTACTTACAGGTACCTTTACATGATAGTGCTGAACCCCAACAGCTTCTTGACAGAATATGTGATTATTTCAAAGGAGAGGAAGTCAGTTTCACGTGTCCTACTTGCGACGAAACTGTCAATGCTGTGAAGTCATCAGGATTCAAGTCCTTTCCTGGTACTTTGGTCGTGAGTCCAACCAGAATCAAGCTGAATAATTGGATTCCTACCAAGACCTCTCAAGAGCTCTTATTTCCCGGGCTGGATGCATCTGATAGAGGTACTCTGCACTTGGCTAGCCTCAAATCTGCGGGTTTCAACAGTGAAACAGAACATTTGTTGCCAGAAGACAACTCGAACGCAAATTTCACCCCCGAAGCTTCGTGCATGGCTCAGCTTTCAGAAATGGGCTTTTCTGAAAATGCCGCCGTGAGAGCTTTATACTACACGGACAATAAGGGTACGGAGGATGCTATGAATTGGCTTTTCGAGCACGTCGAAGATCCTGATCTCAACGAGCCCTTCGTGGTTCCTGCTACGAAGAACACCGAGGAGGACTTTAATGAGCGTCATCTTGAGGACATGATTTCCATGGGTCTCGATCCGAAACTGTGTCGTAGGGCACTTTGCTTGAATCATGGCGATGTCACTGCCAGTATCGAGTGGGTCTTCAGCCACTTGGACGACGGTATCCAAGATGCGCAACCAGAAGTATCTAAATGCGAAATGAAGAACCATGGGTGCACAGATGGGAAATTTACAAACTACTCACTAAAAGCTGTCGTTTGTCACAAGGGCACTTCCGTTCAGTCTGGCCATTATGTGGTATTTATCAAGAAGCAAGTTGATGAAGAAATCAAATGGGTTCTTTACAATGACGAAAGGATTGTGGTTGCTGATGATCCTGCTAACTTGGAAGAACTCAAAAAGAACGCTTACATCCTCTTCTTCAACCGATGTTGAACTGGATAAGGTGAATCTGTCAGTCATCAAATATCACCAGGAACGAAGTTCATGAATCTGAAACCTGGTATATAAAGCTGAAGGGCTGAAGCAGACATCGACCTCATTGAAAAGTTCAAGCAAGCTCTAGTGCGTTATAGTTTTGAATTTCAAAGTTTCAATGGATAACAAACAAACGTCGCAATCGATCCGCTATCCTGAGCACGTATGTTCCAGAATATTTGACAAGACACGTTTTCGATCGAGCTTTTTACTGACACTTATTTCCAATTTAGCCTCATACGAGCTCAGATTGGAAATTCATGACCACTCACGATGTTGGACACGGACTGGACTTATCGCTAGCTAGCTTGGCTTTTGGGACTAGCGAAAGCGCCAAAAACATGATCGGCGCTAGCACTGCAATGTCCTACAACAGTGGTACAGTGGGTCAGGAGCCCAATTTCATTGGTGCAAAAGCATCTCTAAAGCCTTTGCTCAAGGGCTCTAGTGGAGGCGGCAATTATTGTTGGAACACTGAACAGCCGGATGTGAAAATGGGTCATGGCAATACCACGGGCACACTAACTACAAACAGTGTTATGGATACCTCTTTGAATACCGTAAGCTCAGACTATAACACGACATGTGGGTTGTCCGGGAACTTGGAAACATACAATTCCATGCAGCTAGAATTGCAGCTAAAAGAAACTCAAATAGAATCCCTGGAGTCAGAAATCCAGACATTCAAGCAGCTATTCAATCAGGGCTTTTCCCTTAAACAAGAACACGATGAGCATGTGCTGTCTGGGCCGCTTGAAAGTTTTCCAACGGAAATTCCCGCCAGTCTGGATGCTATTTTTCACACTCTGTCGCGAACTTTGACCTCTAAGGAAAAGGAGCTTGAAGAAACCAAATTGAGGCTTGAAAGTCTCATAACCGCCATTGCTCTTAACCCGTCGAATGCTGTCACAAAAATGGGGAGGTACGATGAAGAAGCTCTTGCTCATAAGATGGTGAATCGGCTGGAAATGTTAACGAAAGAAAACAAAGAAATGGCCCAGATGTTGGGGTACGGTAGATCCAAGGAATTGCAGATCGAATTAGAATTGCTGAAGAAGGAAAATCAGGAACTGAAACGTAAAATTCTTTTGCCTGAGCGAAAGGCACTCAAGAGGTGAGTCTAGTGACCACTTAGCTCGCGCTTTTACACGGCAAGGATGGGTCTTGCTCAACGTCATATCCCATTTGAAGTCCAAACTACAAATTTTGCTAAGTAGTATACTCAAAATAACAATTCATTCATTTCGATTAAAGTTTAAAAAAATACAAGTATTTGTGATGGCCTCCAATCGGGCCTGGTTATTTTTTCAAAGCCTCTCTTCTCTTTTGAACACCTTCCGCAAGCTTTGTTAGGACTTCTTCAGTAGTTTCCCAGCTGATACAGGCGTCGGTAATCGAACAGCCGTATTTCAATTTGTCACGGCCACCTTCCGGAGGCACGTCCTGTCTTCCCTCTACCAGGTTAGATTCGATCATAACACCACAAATAGCATTTTGACCTTCGGAAAGTTGGTCGTAGATGGCTTGGGCAACCTTGGGTTGGTTTCTGTAGTCTTTACTGCTGTTACCGTGGGAGCAGTCAACCATAATTCTTCTCTGAGTACCCTCAGCGTCAGCAACCTTGGCTTTAATTAGTTCTGACTGTGTTTGTTTGACGCTCTCAGCGTCGAAATTGGTGCCCTTCTTACCACCTCTTAGGATAATGAAGGTGTCCTTGTTACCTTCTGTACCCACGATGGCCGTGACACCGGGTTTCGTGACGCTCAAGAAGTAGTGTGTGTGGGAAGCGGCTCTCATGGCGTCAACAGATACCTGAAGGCCGCCATCAGTACCATTCTTGAAGCCGATAGGGAAGGAAAGGCCTGAAGCAAGCTCACGGTGGAGTTGCGACTCGGTGGTTCTGGCGCCAATGGCACCTAGTGACAGACAGTCGCTCAAAAACTGTGGCGAGATGGTGTCCAACATTTCCCCGGCAATGGGCATTTTCTCCACCAAAGTAGTGAACATTTCCCTCGAGATTCTCAAACCTTTGTTGATCTGGAACGAATTGTCGATGTCCGGGTCGTTAATCAAACCCTTCCAGCCCACAGTGGTTCTGGGTTTTTCCAGGTACGCTCTCATGATCACCAATAGGTCCTTGGAGAGTTTCTTAGACAGTTCAGCGAGACGATCGCAGTACTCATACGCCGCTTTGGGGTCGTGAATCGAACATGGACCTACCACAATAACCAGTCTGTCGTCTTTCCCATTCAAAATGTCACACACCTGCTCTCTGGCTTCCACGATATTTTTGTGACCCCTGGCGGAAACCGGTAGTTCATGCTGCAGCAAGTCTGGAGGCGTCAAAGGGTCGTAGCCTTTGATTCTCCAGTCTTCTAGACGACTTCTGTCGCCAACATGGTCGTTTTTAATGAACATAATAAAAAACTATCAATATTATTCTTCTAAAGCCTGGAAGTGTACCAGCCAAATACCAGTAATTTCCTGATTGCAAGTTTAAAGCGCTGCAAAGATCCGGCAGCTTCGATGCGCTTTTATTTAAATGATATGACAGATCAAATCTTTACCTATTTTTGCGCATATTCCATACGTTTTTCCATTTTTCACTAATTTTTTTTTCGTCATGTTCATTATGAGTCTTAATTGTATAACGAGCACGTTAGCTCCATCGTGCGACAGCGAGCAAGGACAGTGAATATCCGAGATACACCAAAATAGGTGAAGATGGTACACTTTTTAATTAGTGTCGTGGGTTGATCGGGGCCCGTCAAAGAGAGCTTTATCTTTATTTTCGGGTATGGCCTTGTAAAATCGTAAATTTATGATCATTTATTGCAAAAAAAAGATAAAGGTCCTACCCGGATTCGAACCGGGGTTGCTCGGATCAAAACCGAGAGTGATAACCACTACACTATAGAACCGAAGTTCGGAAATCGGCTTCTTCAATGTACACCTGGAACATAGTCACAAGTCAGATGATTTATTTACTCAGCACGTGACCAATACGCTAGCTGGAACCTTGGCCCTCGCTCTCGCAAGTGCTTCTTCTCATCCGTTGACTTCGACTAAACGCCTACAGACTTTAGTACTTATTGAAATTCGCCAGTCCCTGTTGGTAACCTTGCTCCCACTCCCAGACGAAGGAGCTGTCGCCTTTTGCGGCCACGTGTTGGGCCTTGCGGAGCGACGTGAAATAATGGGTTCTGCCCACTCGGGAATGGTCGAATTCGTTGAAAGCAGCTACGTCTGCCACAGCCGCCTGTAGCCCTTCCTCGAAGCGCCAATGTTCGAATTTATCTCCCTTGTCCTTCCAATACGCTGCGTGGCCGTCGACGATATGCTGCAGTTTGCCGTCGTCAGTGGCCGGGTCCACACGTGGCCTGCGAGGTATGCAATTCTTCTCAACCATCGGCCGGAAACCCCATTCACCGCCGTCGCCCTCTTGGAACTTGAAGGTCCAGAAAAACCAACCCCAGCTGGCTTGGTCCTGGAAGACTTGTGTCTGCTTTTGGCCGAATTTTGCAACACACTCGTCGCGCGACTCCTTCGTTTTGTCCCATGTCTGGCCGTCTAAAACGCACGAGAACTCGCCCACCATGTAGTCAGCCTTGTCAGAGGAGAGATTGAGCGACTTGGATAGATCGTCTGTGATTTGCTTGGCATTTTTCTTCTTGTCGTCGTCTGAGAAACACCTGTAGACATGCGAGTCGATGACTACACTGTTCGTCAGTTTCTTGTCCTCCAACCAGTCAGCCCACTGACCAGGCCACCATCCGTCTGAAATAACCACGGGCAAGCTGTCGTCGATCTTTTGCACGGCTTGGATAGCCTTTGCGTAGAATTTCTTTTCCGCTTTCGCCGAGTCACTGAAGGCCGCCTCATTGACCACCTGCAAACCTATAACATTTTCGTTTGGCTGGCAGACATCTTTGACTATGAACGGAATCACGTCGTCGACCAAAGACGTGACAAAATCCGAGCTGGCAAAAAATTTCGCCTGGCCCCCGTTACTCTCCCCTGAATGGTCGTCGTTGTTGGCCCCGCCAGGAAGCCCATGGATGTCAACCAACACACCAATCTTATGGTCCGCGGCTTTTTTTATCACGGAGCGCACTGCGTCCCATGGCTTGGCTGCCTTGTATACGTCTTTCAAGTCGTGGAACTTCATTCCAGACGTGATGAAACGGCCGTTGTCGACGTGCCAGTACCCTATAGGCAAACGTATCGCTGTTACGCCAGCCTCCTTCTGAAGCCACTCCCAATCCTGGTCCGAAGCGTAATTGCTATAATGCTCCTGCAGCTTCTTGGCCACTTCATCGGTTGAGCTCTTGGCAGCCAGCGCGCCAACCGCCTCGTGTTCGTTACCGCCTCCTTCAGAAAACAGATCGTGGTAAATGTAGCTTTCTTGCACAAACATCGACCCAAAATTCACTCCATAATTGTACCTATTACGATAAATATCCCTCCTGGAAAGTCCATCGGATTTCCCCATATCCGGCACATTCTCCTCTTTCTTGTTGGATATTTTCAGTTTTTCAACTTTATGCTTCAGTTTGTCCAACATAAGTACTGTAATGAATCAATTTTAATTGCTAGGATGATAATGAAGTACACTCAAATACGAACAGTAGAGAACTAGCTTCTGGGTGTGTCCATGCGTGAGATGGGCATCTTCCCTTAAATTTGAACCTCTTTATATATGCTATATATTAATGGCAATATCATGTCCGTCCAAGATGCCACCCAACGTAGGTTACTCGAGAGCAAAGCAAGCGGACGAGAGGCTTTGAACACTAGAGACTTCAGGCCATAGCTCAAGAACCTTTAAGGCGATATACGAAATGATTACCAGCGGGTGCTGTTTACAATTTTGAGAGCAAAAATTGGACGTTGCAGGGTCCCTGTGATAGAGATCTTTGCCGTGGGCAGTCAGTGGCATCCCTCACCGGATCAAGTGGGCGTAAGCAGTGGTTAGCTTACTAACCTTCTCACTGGCTGTTCGCTCAAAAATTCTGAGTTATCATAGTAGTATTCCAATAATAAATTTAGAGCATGTAAAGCATCTTCTGGGTACCGTCCCCTCTGTGATTATTGGTATTTACACAGAATCATGCAAGGGATAATGCAGGTAGTCCAATGACTCGTTTGACCGAGCTGTAGAACGATAAAATGACTACTTAGGCTAGGCTACTCCTTCCCTTTTCTTGTGGACTACATTGGTTTACCTGACGCCACTTATATCACTTGGTACTATTCTGTCTCTTGGTAGATACTACGCTACTAAAACAGGACGAGATCACTACCATTAGACAGTTCCAACAGTATTCGACTACTTTGGAGAAAGTGCTTAGTGTGTAGTCCACGATTTCAATGAAAGGCATTCCATACTTTTCTGTCATTCTTCGTACCACTATGCAGCTTAGCGCAATATCAAACGCGCATGAGCTAGGCCCATTTTCACCATCCCATAGTCACTAGCAAATCCTCGAGGGACGAGTGACGTCGCGTAGTCAAGATGCTTATCGAGTGTTGACTGACCCGGGCAATGATGATCGTTCATCTGTTCGCTTTCCATTTGTAGAGACTACTTCTGAAGTGTCAGCGTTATATAAGGAAATGCAGATCGAGTCGCAGCTGACTGATATCAAGACGATTGAGGCCGCAGAGAGAGCATGGACGGTTCTCAGCCAAAAGCATAATGTAGACCCTAAAGAACTATTCCAGCATTCGCAGGGGACAAGAACCCACGACATTTATCCAGCGGTATTTTCTACACTTGAATGAAGAATCAGATAGTGCAGGAGACCAACTGGAGCTTTCCATTGGTGGTGGCTTTCCAGAATCAGTAAGTATTATTCTTGGTGCGTCAAGGTTGTTGCAGACCCTGGATGGGCCCACCGAAGAGACTTTTGTAACCGGAACTGGGCCATTGTGACATCTTGAGCATATATTGCTAGAACCTGGTTTGACGGTGAGGGTATTCTAAGCGGAATCGGATTACCCAAGGTTTTTATCACAAGATTTGCTTTGACGAAGGGTAAACCGGATCCTCAGGGCTGCAACATGGCATCACCACGAGCATAGTCTTCGATGGTGCGCCTGGAGGTATTAAAGGTTAAAGATGGTTGGCGCTGTTACCGTGGGATTAACATCTTCCTATCCAAAGGAACACTCTTTGCAGCTGGTGCGGACTATGTGGTGCGGGATCTATCTGGAGTCTGTGTACTGAAAAACGCTAAGCAAGGAATTAGGCTTGAGATCAGACATTTACTGTCAGGATTCTGGTCCAGGAAAAACTGAGCTCTTCATTCCTAATTTGTCAGTCGCAGAGACGCTGACCATAGTGACCATTTGATATGTAAACTCGTGTATCAGCCGTATAGCAGCCGCGAAAATGTCAGAGAGCGGACGAAGACACCCAATAGCTCCAAATTCATTCCTTATATATATTGTTAGTTAAATCTGAAATAGAACTTGCCATCTCGGAGCTCTTCACTCAAACAAGATTGGAAATGGGGCCCCGCCTGTCGTTGGGTGAAGCTTAGAACGCAGGGGCAAGCTTGGAAGATGACACTTCGCCTTTCGCGTCTACGAAACCGGAGGAGACACGGAAAAGTGCACCGCTAGGCCCTGAACTGTTGCCATTAAGCACGTCCAGTGACGCCGTGGTGACAAAAAGATCTCCACCGGGGCCCAGACAACAGCAAGTAACGTTTGGCGTGTCTGGGAACACCAATTCGCGCTCTAATTTGCCGTGGTTGTCAAAGATTTGTAGCTTGTTCGTGCTGAAAACCGTACTGTAGAGAAACCCGTCCCGGAGGTCAATAACAGACCCGTCGGGCTCGGGACTCGCAAAGTCACTATTAATCTGCGCAAAGTCAATGTATTGCGACTTCTTGGATACTTGTGGAACATCATTTTCGTAAGGCATTTGCCAGATTTTGAAGGCTAGCGAATCCGTCACGTACATAACGTCCCCAGAAGGGTTCCAGTTCACACTGTTTGGAATGTATATGCTGTCAAGGATCAAGCGTATAGTCTTACTCTTCACGTTGACGCAAAAAAGACAGCCCTCAGCCTGCTTGTTTGTGTCGACACCAACGTGGAAGTCATTCATAACTCCGATGTAGATGTCCCCATTGGGAGCCACGTTCCCGTCATTGGATCTCAAACGGTCCCAAGCTTTACCAGATGTTTCGCGGCACGACGAATAAAGGACCTCATATTTCCATTTGCAGGACTCAAGGGAAAGACGGCCAATGCCGTATTTGCTCGCAAAGAACGCAACTTTCACGCCTTGAGGCGAATCTACTGGGAAAACTGCTCCTACCCGTTCCGGAAGCTCTGTACTGCAGGGGTATTCGCCATTGTAGTTGTGACTGTCAATCTTCACCACTTTGTGAGTATTCTTGGGCTGCTCAATGTCGGTTACAAAATGTATCTCGCTCAGAAAGATGTCTACCCAAAAAAGGGTTTTTGAGTCCTTCAAGTAGGTGACGCCTTCGCTAAGTCTGGCACCCTTATCGTGGATGTAGGACTCAATCTTAAGCTCACTGGTTACTGCCATTTTTGAATGACTATCTAGAAGATTGTCGAGATAGTTTGTACTAATAGGGCTCGGGTCTCTTGTTGCTCACACCATGCAAGTTGGAATACACTATATATATATTTATATATGAAATGTATGAGAGGCACATGAACAAGCACCACAGCTTTTGCTATATTCAATATGTAAACAAGTTGGGTGAGTGACGGGTTAGGCGATTGAACTACTGTCATCCCGTCCATATCCAGTAGTTTTCGTTATGACACTTCCCTGTCTAAGTCTCTGAACACAAGCTTTAAGCTTGAATAGCCAACAATCGTACTCAAAAAACAAAATCTCTTGCGAAATCTATCATATGCAACAAATTCTTACTATTATCTACATTCATCTATTCGGTAGCTTCTTCGAAGTCATTGCTTACTTCACTCTTGTGCAGCAAGTGTGAGTCGTGAATAATACGAGACCAATCCGACAACCACACACAGTAAACTTCTCCAATGGCCAGCACGAATATGCCGCAACCTAACCCGATCCAAAAACCCTTGATCTCCAAGGAAGTGTGAAATCCCAAGATCATGGCTGCAGGGATACCGACAACATAATACGCCACGATGTTTAGAATCCCACCCAGTCTCTGGCGGCCCTGTGCTCGGAGGATACCAGCTGAAAGAACGTTGAATACGTCCGCAAACTGGTTGACAGCTATGATGGGCAGAATCTCGGAAGCAAGTTTGACAACGCCTTCGTCTTTACTGAAGAAGGCGGACACCCGGTGTCTGCCCAGGACCAAGAAAGCGAAATTGGATACTGCGAGGATGCCCCCAATCTGGACCAGTACTGTCCTAGCTGCTATCTTACAGTCTTGGATTTGTTTCTTGCCGATATGGTACGCGATTCGGTTGGAAGCTGCGACGCCCGTCGAAAAGGGCACCTGGAACGTCAGCGTTTGCACGGAAGCGACAATGGACTGCGCAGCCAGCGCATCGGTTCCGAACTTGGCTGCGAGCACCGTGAGAGACTCAAAGGCCAAGAACTCGGCCTCTATCATGATGATACCGGGCACAGCTAGCGAAACCATGGTGCCCCATTGCGAAAAGATGGGCCTCCAGTTGGAGATCGGGTTCCAGCACTCCCGTTCGCCATTTTTGCCCTGCAAATACCAGATACATGCAGCAATAGATGCACCCATCAGGGTGAACGTCAGGGCTGTAGCTATAGGCGCTCCAATGTATCCCATTTTAAGCCGGAACACCAACACGTAATTCAGAACCGCGTTCAGAGGTGCGCACACGAAAAGAATATACTGGCCCGTGGTGAAATCGTTTTGGGCTTGCAAGTATTTCTTTCCACACTCGAACACCACATACCCCGGGATACTTGCCACCATCACACGCAGAAATCGAGCTGCAATGATCACCAATCTGGGGTCATCCACCATAAATCGCAACACATCCGCTGAGAACCACCACAGCAGCGCGACGGGTACAGCAACAAGCATGCTGATCGCCAAGCACCTCTGCAGATACAACCCCACCAGCTGGTACCGCTTACTACCGTACGCCTGTGGGCACAGTGTATCCAGACATGTGGCCAGGCCTTGGAAAACAGCAGAGGTAGCCGCAAACGTCACATTTGCCAGAGAAACACCACCCAAATCCAGGGCATTGAGCTGGCCCACCGACACTACCGTCATAAATGAAAGCGACATCTGCAGCAGGAACGTCACCATCAAAGGACTGGCATTACGCCCAATTTCCCGAAACTCCCATTTTGACGTCGTCGATGCGCCTATTTCCACACATGTCAATCCGTCGCTATCCGTGCTAATCACCGCATCTGCACCTCGAGGGATAGACCCATAACCACCGTCCATGTCGGAGTCTCTATTTTCTAGACTCATCACCGCTAAAAAAGTGTCCTCTCAGCACTATAGGAGGGAACTATGCTAGCTTCTAGAGACGTTTAAACCAGCCAAGCTTTTAAGCACCGAAGTGAAAGACCTTCAGCGTCAGCACCTCTCGTTGTCAACTGCCCTCGGATGGTTTTAATAGCCGTTGGCCAATATTTGGTCAACTTTTCACTTGTTATCTATCACGCGGCTCTTCCTATCTTGGATAAGAGCTTATCGGTCAACCCAATAAAGAAAAAGCGCTTAGCTCGACTATTTTGAACCGAAGTCCAATGAATGACTCATGTGTCAAACTATGGCAGACCCGCGCGCCATTTGCTTTGTTCAAGTATAAGAATTGCCTTCAAGGTGTTTGTAATTATTAGATGAAAAATCGCTCTTACGGCCAATGGGCATATGAAAGGACGATTCATCGCTATTGGTGGTTTGGCCAGCACAGTGGCCGCGAGTGTGGTGTCCAGCGTGGATTTACAGCATGCTATTTTCCCCAGCAGCAGTGACAGTCTGTTGCACCAGCTGTATGGTGATTTGCTAAGACCTCACGATGGCCAGGGCCACACAGAGGAGGTTGGATCTTGGCTGCAGAACGGCAGAGTGATGGAATTTGGATTGGACCCTGACGAGGACCTCGAGTTTCAAGCCCAGTGCGGGTTTTACCAAAAACACCCGGTGGAGTTCCCAGATGATGACTGGAGCGGAGACTTGCCATTGTTCTCGGGAATTGTCAGTTTTGCGCACGTACCCGTTGCCCAATGTTTTGAGCATCGCCACACGGAGCAGGCCGCGAAGTACGACATTGCCATTGTTGGTGCACCCTACGATGGCTCGGTATCGTACCGTCCAGGTGCGAGATTTGGACCCAACAACCTCAGACAAGGCTCGCGGAGACTGGGCAAAGGATTTTTGCCCGTGCGAGGCTTTCCAGGCTCGAAGTTACGGACCTTGGATCCTTACAATGCGGGCTACAAGATCGTTGACTGTGGGGATGTCCCCATGAGTCCCTACGACAATAGAATAGCTTTGAATCAGCTGTACAGGGGCCAACGGGCCATTTACAACGCGACTACGGTGAAAGATGGACTCATGGTGCCTAAGGTAGTGACATTGGGGGGCGACCATACAACCACGCTAATGGCTCTCAGGGCCGCCCACGCTCACCATGGACCGGTTGCGGTTATTCATTTCGACTCCCATATCGACACTTGGGATCCTAAAGTTTTGGGTGGAGGTATCACTAAGACTCAAAGCATAAACCATGGCACATTTTTGCACTTTGCCCATGAATATGGGTATATAGCCGACAACAAGTCCATGCATGTGGGTATTAGAGCACCGTTCATTGAGAAAAGCGACGAAACGCACGACTACGACTGTGGATTCGAGAAGATAGTAGCCCGAGATTTTGACATATACGGGTTTCGAGAAATTGTGGACAGAATCAAGAAACGTGTTGGGGACTTGCCTGTATATATTTCTGTTGACATCGACGTATTGGACATTGCAGCAGCACCCGGCACAGGCACTCCCGAGCCAGGCGGATTAACTTCGAGAGAACTACTCACGGTTTTAGATGGCCTAGAAGGCTTGAATGTTATCGGTGCTGACGTGGTCGAAGTATCCCCTCCTTTCGATTCTAACGGCGAAATTACATCGATCGTAGCAGCTCAGGTAGTTGATTCTTTCCTAGGTTTAATGACCGTGGCTTAAGCCATTGTGTTAAGAACATTGTGCCAGTGCTACCACGACTAAAAGAATCATCAATCATTATTAATAGTTTCATTATCATTACATCTACAGCTTTTTACAGTTACAAAAATATTGACATCTAATCTACCACGTTAGAACGTCTTGATCCTCTAGTTTATAAGCCTTTTCGTTGCCATACCAGACCTTTTCTAACCTGTTCAAATTATGTTCCGTCAATCGTTGGAACCTGCCACCATTCACTTTGTAGTATTTCTTAATGACGCTCCTCGTACCTTCATCAATTGCGTTGAGCCCTGCAATCAAAATTGCGAAATTGCAATAACAAGTTCTCAAGTTGTGAGGCGGATCATCGGTATCCAAAAATCCAAAGAAGCTAGTGATTTTTTGCACCACTTGTTGAATCGCAATGGACTGCTTCGGAATTCCCAGCAATTTTAGCAACACGATTAATAAAAACGATAAAACTTGTGTTTGATGTGAGATGTCGTACCAGCTGATTGCGATCTCTTCACCACTGCGCAATTTTACCAAATCAATGGCATTATCCACAATTTGACTGTTTTTTGGATGGGACTGATTAGTGATCGGTATTACACCTGTCTTGTCTATAAAAACATAGTCCGATTGTCTGTCAATCTCCACCAAGATTTTCTGAATTTTAAAATATGACAGCTGCTGCTTAAACGTCTCAGTGTTGGGGTTGGACCACAATAAATAATCCAAGTTTTTGTCTAAAATCCCATCTTGCTCAGAAAAATATTTCTGTTCGGAGTGGCGAATGACATTTAAAGCCTTGAAAACCTCTTTAATCACCAGATCAAAATCCTCTTTGTGACCACGTAGCAGATTAAATTCATTGAGTGGCGTCATTATGTTTAAAAACTTCAGTGAGTCGATATATTGGTGATCATAAGGTGCAAAAATTAAGTCCAAATCATTTTCATCCACCAGGGCTCCGCCTAAGACAGTGCTGATACTGGCAAACGTTTCAATAACCTTGAACCAACATTTTGCCACATTCAAAACTTTCGAAGAGTTTCCAGAATTAATTTTTTTGAAAAGTTCGGTAACACCTTTCAAATGCGATCTCCACTGGCTGTTCATGGTGTAAATACAATCCCAGGTTAACATAAGGACCGTCAATATGATGGGTTCAATCTTATTGTAAACATTGTTTTCATCCTTGAATTGTTCTGTAAGAAGAGAAAGGCAATGTGACAAATACGCACAATAGCTTTTTTCGTCCTCCACGTTTCTTGTCTTTCGGTGAGATATTGAAGCACCGACCGCTAGTATAGAAGAGAGCAAATATGGTTCGCCTTTGGCAAATGATAGTAGTATGTCTCTAAGAGGGTTGCCTTGGTTTTGAAAGAAAGGGGCAATTGAATCTAAGCAGTCGTAATAGAATACCTCAAGGTATTTGTCGTTCGATCCACCCAGCTTAAACGACTCTAATGTCATGTTGAAGGTCATAATGCTGTCTACCAGGAAAGAAATTGGTACAGCCGGACACGGGCGTTCAGGTGGTATCAAATTGAGTTCTGGTATATCGAGGTCAGAAAAATCCATAGTTTTCAGGTCCTCATATATTATGGAGTCGTTCAACTTCATGTTGACGATATCATTCAGATTTCTGATCAACAAGTTGGCATCAAACGAGTTGATATTCTTAGTGGGAATCAAATTTGGTAGCTCGCCCAGTGCAGGAGAATCCGTGACATCGGGGACACTGGCTATGTTAATGGAATTACTGATATTGCCTGCTGGGATAGCAGTGGCGGGCGGCACGAAACTGCCTGCACTATTGGATAATATTGGATCTGGCTTCTGCACGTAAGAGGCATTCGCGCTATCGCTGGCAGTCGGCGCATCATTCTTTTTGGACTTCCTTTTACGATTCTTGGTGCGTATCACGTATACGCACTCTCGGTTGAGGCGTGCACACTGCCAACATGTCGGCTTGCCCTCATCGCACTTCATACGCCGCCTTTTGCACTCGGTACACCCGTTACGGGAATACTTTCGTTTAACGGGTTTGCTGTTTGCACTTGAGGGCCTTGATATCACCTGGTCCGGCGGGATCGGAGCAGGTACATCAAAGGATCCCCCCGGCGTTGGTAATGTCCTGGGATTTATTTGATTTAGTCCTTCAAACTGACTTGCAATAGCGACACCAGGAGAGCTCGATGTCACCTTTTCGGAGTTTGTTATGACAGAATCCGGTGTCACAGGGTTCTTGGCACTCTGTAATGATGGTGGTCCGGTGCTTCTTGCCATGGCGTGAAGTTCTGGCATGGGTGACTGCAGGCCACCGCCAAACTGTTCTTGTGTCATATGCTGACCAAAGAGCCTATCTCTGTCTGCCTGAGAGCCTTCGGATTCTATGGGGGTCCCTGAAGAGTATAAGGAAGCTGTCGTTCCCGCTAAAGCTTGGTTGAGGCTCTTGTCATCATCAAACAGCACCATATTTTTAACGAATGCCGCCAAATATGTACCGCCGGCGTCACTGGAGGACATTTCACGCGAATTGCACCGGAAGCCTATGGTCATTTCATCTTGTAAATTCCTCTGGAAAATTTTTGGATGCACCCTTCAGACACGTGAAAATCACATAAAATCATTTCAAGCATTGACTTAAAACTTGCGAGGGCTTCTGGCATAGGTTAGCAACCTTCTTGGCCGTGGCGGCCCATTCGCTCCCGTAGCGGGGTTCAATCTCGTCTACCTGACGAAAAAGTGGCCCCAATTGGCGATTCGTACGCTTGTAGCAACGTGATAACCAAATCCAACCGTCGCCATACAATGGGGCCGCAGTGGTAGCCCTTTCAAACCATTTAAGAGCCTTCTCGTAGTGCGAATCAGTAAAAAGATCCATACCTATCGAAATTAAAACACGATGGTCTGATTTCGTGGATTTGAGAGCGTCCTGGTAGGCAGTTTTCTTAGCAGACTTCTTGGCGATCAGATCGAGATTCTCTGCCCACAAAGCAGCACTAGTTGGGCTTGACTTCAGTCCTTGTGCGACCAAAAGCCTGGCCTGATCAAGATTTCCGAGATTTTTCTCCATTTGGATGCGAGCTACTTGAAGTAATTCCAGCTGTGGACCCGCAGGAACATTCAGTTGGGCAAGATCAAAATTAGAACGGGCTCGTATGGGTTGTGACAATAGATTATTATCGACGTGGCTCAATTCAATCCAGAGCTTGGCACTTTGAGGGAGTTTCTGAGTTCCTTTGGCAAAACATTCCCGCGCCTTCTGCGGTTGTTGCAGTTCAATGTACATTTGTCCCCATTGAAGAAGGAGCTTTTCGCAGTCAGGGACCAGATCCAAAAAGCTATTTTCCAAAAATTTTAGAGCCTCCGAGGTACGGCCTTGATAGCGCAAGAAGCTGAGGAACCTGTGGCATACTCGTTCAAAACCTGACTCGCCTTTCAGTTTTTTAAGGGCATCTTTAAATAGGCTTTCCGCTTTTTCAAATTGTTCATCCATCAGTAATAGCTTGGACTTGGCAAGCCAAAAATCCACGTAGTTTGGATTTTTTGATATGCTTCTGTCGAGTATGTCAAGGGCTTTGGAAGTATTATTGTCGTACTTCCATATCAACTTAGAAAACATGAGCACCAACACAGGTAGTTCTAACAGTGGCTTGCAGTCAGCACTAAAGAGCACGTCTTCAAAAGCTTGATAAGCCTCCGGCATAATAGATTCGGCTCTACAGAGGTCCACGAACTTGTTCCATATACTTAATTTGTGAGGTTGTTTTTCCAGAATAAACTTGTAGGCACAACATTTCGTGTAGCACTGTTGTTCAATTTTATCTATGATAACAATTGTATCTGTGTGGTCTGTATCTGCGTATGTGTTTTCCATTGCAACTTTGACCACTGCCTGTACCGTCTTCTTGTAGAGGTTTGCAAATTCAGCTTCTATGCGACGGGCCACCTGTAGCCATTCGGCAAAAGATAAAATCGTGTCGTGATCGGCAAGTTCCTTTAAACCCTTCTTTAAAAGTTTTGTGAGCTTTTCCAGAGGTATATCACCAGATCGTTCCTCGAGCTCAGATGCCAATATCCAAATTTGCACTTCACCAGGGTTTTGTTGCCTGGCAATATTGAGAGTCTTTCTGGCGCTGGCATGATCTTGTAGATTCACAAGGGCGACTAAGAGTTCAATATTGTGCGGCATCAATTCCATCGCTTTTTGTAATATTTTGATGGCCTCTGCCTTATTATCTTCGTAGCGGACAGCCAGCTTCCATAATTCAGGGGATCGAGGCAAACTTTGAATCGCTTTCCGGATTACGCGCTTTTTATTTAAAGTCTCCAGCTCCAGCTCAACAGCTTTCAGCCAGAGCTTAAGACTTTCCTCGTTAAAACTGAGGGCTTGAGCTACCAAAATTTTGGAGAGTTTCAGGTCTGAAGAGTTCAGTCTAATATTTTCTAACCAAATGTCTTCGTCTCTGGGGCACTGGTCACAACCTTGGTCAATTAGTGACTTTGCGGTCCTGAACTTCCGAGCTCTTTCCTCTAGTCTAGCAGAAGCAATCCAACCCTGGGGTTTTTTAGGATCGGATTTGCGATATGAGTTCAAGATGATGCGCATACGTCCAATATCTTGAAGCTCGTTTTGAAGGTCAACATCTTTGGCAGCATCATCTAATTCCCGCAATAATTTCTCTGAATCTTCCAAAGCGTCGTTGCTATTCTTAACATTGAGGTTTTCGTCCAATTGACGGTTAAGAAGCTTTTCTCGCTGTTGAGTTAATTTGGAGAGGTCGATGTTGCCCGAAATTAAGGCGTCAGGCGCGGCATACGATTTGCGCTCATTCTGCAATTCTAGTCGCTGGCGCTTGTTCCTCTTAGTAAAGTCGCCAGCCTCTGGCAGCAAGTTCCATTGTTCTTCACTAACGGTGGACAACGAACGTTTGAGATCCACAAACGTGTGTGATACTGGCTCCAACCCAGTCGAAGCTACCTTTTCTGAGCCACGGTTTACATCTGCTTTCTTCAGAGCCTTGCGACCCGACAACTGTGCGTCAATCTCGCTGTAAATGCGATCGGCCTCTGCATCGTCATGGTTGATTCTGCTCGACACTATTGGTGCTGAGTTCAGCGATAATCCATTGGAATCATCAAATCTACCCTTTTGCCGTATTCTTCGGCCATCATTTTCTTCTGCATCTTCCTCCACATCGTGGCTCCCGCCATCTAAAGCCGCTTCTCGGTCATCGCGCTGTCTTCCAGGTTGTTTGCCGGAGCCCACATCTGAGCGGGTGGTGAAGCCAGTAGCACCACGCCCAATGCCAGCTATATAGCCAGGAGGCGCCTTTTGGCTCAAGAATGCCGGCGACTCGAAGCCCATTTACCTATATCAATGGTGCGTAGTTTAGTTGTTCCTTACCTTTTTTATCATAAATTTTCTTAATGCGAAGGGCAACATTCCGAAACATCCAATGACAAGGCCAAACTGAACTAAAAGATCTTAGGAGAGTAAGATCGATCTTGTTTCCTTATCCAACGGTTGAGTTTTTATGGTCACAAATAAACCTTTTAATCAAAACCCGCTTCTAAGTGAGGCTACCACTACAAAAAATACTAACAACGACGCATAAGGGCTAAAGATGACATAAATGCCATGAAAATGGAATTCTGGCCGACCACCCTACGCCTCTCTCATCATTGAGGATTTTCAAGACAGTCATTATACTGTGCTAGAGCTTGATACTATCTGTTAACTTGCTGTGCATTATTCAGGTTTGATCCTTAGATTATGGATGTGGTACCATCGACTGATCGCTGGAATATGTTACTGGGAGTTGAGTAACAAAGCAGGTATCTTCTCGTCTCGATCAAAACGCATTGGCAAGGGTCTGCGCTAGGGGCCGATTAGAAGCAGAGCTGCTCACGCAGGCCACCAATGAAGATAAACACTCTTTGTCTATGAGGAATCATGCTCGCCATTCTGTAAATGTTGAGGCTCTCTCTATTGTTTGCCTCGGGATCATATAGATATCATTGTGCCATAATGAAAGAGGTACAAAAGAGGTACAACATTGTTGCTGGGATAACTGGAGCCTCATATCCAAGTTGAACGAAGGCCAGGTGGAATAGCTCAGCAATTAAATGCAGGGCTGTACAATTGTCAAATATATGACCTAATGGGCCTTATTTTATAAATTTATGGGATATATCAGGCGGTGGTCATCGAGTGTTGATTGAAGACCTCCAAGTTGTACAGCAACACTGACGTGACAGAAAAGTAGCAGGATATTTCACTGAACCACAAATGCCAGAAAGGTATCAAAAGGAATTTTCTGTCCACTGGTGTTTACATGACGTTATTCAGTGGCATAAATTTTGGTTTGATCTATTTCGCAAGATTGAAGGAGCAAAAGGAACAGATAGCACGAAACGCATCATATGATTTCGTAATTTGCTTCGGATACTTTCACTATTTGGTTGGTGCTATTGTTTCGTTTTGGTGTTATTTTACATTTGCGCACATAGAGGAACAATATCTGGAGGTGATCCATTGAAACTATTACCAGAGAGAATACAATGAGTCACAGCTTGAGTGGAAGGATGTATTGTGAGCTTCTTGAGGAAAGAGGTTTAATTACAATCTTTTATTATAATTTTTGGCAATGTCTACTCAAGATCAGGTTGATTTTCCATGGTCACTTTTAAATGTGACTGACTACTCCTTACAAATTAAAAAAGCTACGTTATAAAAGCAAATAGCTCACCCCCCAGCGTTATCGAGGAAGCGTATTAGCTACATCAGAGCACTTGATGTATAAGCAAGGACAAAAACATGAAACAAATTTTTCTCAAATTGTTTATAGTATAGCGCTGATACATCAGTGCGGCGAAGGTTCGCTACATGTGCCTTTCCCCCAATTTGAAGTGAGTCCTCGTTGGCAGTAGTTAACTTGCTTGGGAGGCCGCTCAATCTGTTAAAACACCTTGCCAGTATCACTTCGTACTATTACGACACTTTCTAGGTCTTTCCTCCTATGCAAACTCGACCCTACTCAGACAGTACTAGATTGCTGCCATTTGATTGCTTTAGAAGTATCAGCATATATGGCATTTTAGTGGATTATGTTTCCCGAACGTTTATTTGCACCAAGGGCGTTTATCCATTGACCGGTCAGGCAGGCTATTGCAAGTGAAGATGGAAGATAGCCATCTAGCCTAACTGTTCCTCAACTCCGACTTTGGCTTTGCGCACGGAGATGTCGCTGAAACATTCCATACATACGTTGGTAAGAAACAATATCCCACGGGACCACACAAGTGCTGACTTTGAGGTCTTCTGAAATAAAGCAAACGTCTCCGGAAGACAGAGAGCGGAAAGAGCTGTTATCTCAGGGCTCACTAAGAAATCTTTTACGCAAGCTTCTCTCAGATATTCCCTGGAGAGATGAACATCTCCCACCCGAGACATTTACTAAAGCTTTTTGATCGTTATACGGACATTCAGCCTCCAACCCTAGTTGTGGCCTTCAAGGAATTGCCTCGGCTCTGGTTGGTGAATTCTTCTTAGCATCAATATCCCATGACCTAGTCACCTGTGGTCTTGTACCCTTTCGCTCCGGCTGGCTCTATTAAGCTCCAAAAAGGTCTTACTCATCTTATCCTTCTTACCAAAATGTTTGTCATGTTCATCTCTTCTCGTAATAATAGCATAATAAAGCTTAATAATCTTTTTCAGGTCTCTAAAGCATGGTATAAATAGGGACCTCGACAGCCAAAGTAAAAGGTTCGAGATAAAATCGAAGAATCACTCTTCGTATCAAATAGTTTAAGGCTAGTTGATACACTTTCTAAGTCTTCGAAGAAACGCTCCAAACTCTTAAAGCATTATGTCAAAAGTTGCCATTATCATCTACACCCTATATGGCCATACGGCCCAGGTCGCAGAGGCCCAGAAAAAGGGTGTAGAAGCCGCAGGCGGAGAAGCAAACATCTACCAAGTGCCAGAAACATTAAGCGACGAAGTTATAAAGGCTATGGGTGGGGCCCCCAAGCCAGCTTACCCAATTGCGACAACGGAAACATTGGTGGAATACGATGCCTTTTTGTTTGGGATTCCAACGCGGTTCGGTAACTTCCCAGCTCAGTGGAAAGCATTCTGGGACGCTACGGGCGGCCTTTGGTCCAGGGGTGCCTTGCACGGCAAGGTTGCTGGCGTGTTTGTGAGTACAGGCACAGGCGGAGGCAACGAAACTACGGTGGTGAACTCGCTGTCGGTTTTGGCTCACCACGGGATCATTTACGTCCCACTTGGTTACAAAAATGTGTTTGGCGAATTGGTCAACTTGTCGGAGGTGCACGGTGGCTCAGCATGGGGTGCTGGAACGATTGCAGGTGCCGATGGCTCCCGCCAGCCCTCGGCTCTTGAGTTGACGGTAAACGAGACGCAAGGTCGGACCTTTTACGAGACCGCCAAGAAGTTTTTGGCGTAAGAACCACGAACATTAGAATGTCCCGTTTCATTTTTCCTCTAGACTCGAAACTTGAGCCTCAAAAGTATTGGTGCCCGTCGTGCCCGTATCCGGGATTCGGCTGAGCTATATACCACAGATATACGTATACTTCTTATAAAGAGCAAAAGGTAGCACAGTCTTACCTGCCGCATCTCTATAAAAGCCGTTTTATGCTTGGTCTTACATATGATTCACAGGGCTGGCACCTCGGATCTGCTGTTGTGCACATTCCCGCATTTGGTTCAGCAATGGTATGCATTTTTCGTTGATAGTTCTTGACTCCATGTTTTCACGCACACATGCCTCGTAGTTGGCCATTAGCGACCCACAATGGCTCATCACTTTCTGCACGCTTGGTACCTTTTGTCTTATGCACACGGCAAGGTCTCTTTGTCGAAAACCACACTGGCTTGGGTCCTCCCGATTTTTGGCCACACATTTGTGGTATTCCATAAACTGTTGGGGGCAGTTTTTAGCCACATCTTCCATAATGAACTGATCCAGAGAACTCGACATGTCAAGCCTACTTCTACCAGGATTCTTTCCAAACGAATATTGTGTGCCTTGTTAGCTTCTACAACTAAACGGTCTTATATTGTTATACAATTTACCAGGGCTCATTGCTCATCTGCACAACCAAGTGTATGAACAAAACGTTCCTTCAATGGCGTTTGGGCAAGCTTGATAGCTACCAATTCTACGAGAAGATACTCCAAAATGAGATCGACAAGCTCAAAGAGGCCAAAACCGAAGTCTACAACTATCGAAAATCTCGTTTGTCCATCGGTGTGACTTCGTTGGCACTGGACTCCACGGGTCAGTTTCTGCTGGCAAGCGGGGAGGACGGAAGTGTGGCATTGTGGGCGCTGGACGAGTCCTGCAGCGATGGCCAGCTTGTTAATAAGAGGGTTCACTTTGCTCGGGCAGAAACCAGGCCAGCTAAAGAAAAGGTGGACGAGAAAGAATATCTTTCTCAGAGGCATGTGGTGATGAGACGACCCATATCAGTATCGACTACGAATCATTCTCGATGGGGACAGGGCGCAGGCGCTCCAGGTGGCTCATCCGGGAAATTTCAAGCCTCTATCGAATCCAGCATTCCTAGAAGAGATCACGACCCACAGGTGGGCTTCCATGCTTACTCTGTCACCAGCGTGAAGTGGTATTCGTCTGATAATGGGCTTTTTTTTACCGGCAGCAACGACCATAAGGTCAAAATCTGGGACACCAACACTTTCCAGGTAGCGAGTTCGTATGACCTGGGCCTTCGCGTTGCGCAGTTGGATGCGTGTGCAGATCTTGTTGCCGTAGCCACAGAGGACTCTCATCCGCGACTACTCGACCTAAGGTCCATGAGCGCTACCATTAGCCTTGGAGTCAAGCGGACCGATATGCGTGAGGGAATAAACACTGCCAAGTTCTCCCGGCACGATACCAATTCGGCTACAGCTCCCTTATTGCTCGCAACCGGTGATAACGCAGGCAACGTCCGCGTGTGGGATCTGCGTATGAGCAATCAAGCGCTGTGTGATTTGACGGAACCGGACACAATGGCCAAAGCGCACGCCCGGTGCTGCAATGACATATGCTGGGATCCAAACGGCTCGCTGGAGCTGGTAACGACCGGAAACGACGGCAAATGCAAGATGTGGGCACTGCATAACTCCCAATCTCGCCTTATCCGTCAGCTGGGTGCCACGGATGTGATGGCCAATCGGTTTCGTCGCCGCACATCACACTATTTGATGTGGGAAGGTCCATATGTGTTCTGCAACAGCGACCACGGTGAGATTCTCGTCTATCAAAGTAGTAATGGGCGCCAGTGGCACTCATTTCAATACCCGCTGAGTGGGAGTCGCGACCGCTTAATAACTCCTCGTTTCCAAAGTATGGTGATGCAAACGGGACTCGCCAATTCAATTGGCGTAAGGCTTGTCTTCGGGACGGACAACACTCACGGGAAAATAGTTCAATACAAAGTGTAGAATCAGTCAAAAGCAGCACCCAGTTGGTATACCATGCCGTGACAATGGCCTTGCAACTGACACTGTCGCCCGCCAGCGTCATCTACCCGAACATCTGCCCGGTGAAGTCCTCTGACTTGAGAACTAGCTCGAAAACCAAGTCGAAAGTCTTCTGAGAACATCACGTCTCACGTGTGTGTTATATAGCCTCTTTATAACAATGATTGCTGCCCCTTTGCATGTTCAATTTGTACTGTACAGGATCATCAGCGCAAGAGGTATTTACGAAGTTGGTACTAGACCAGGGTTTGCAGGTCTTGAGCGTCTCACAACACCTGTATTAGTGCGAGCGGCAGATATATATTTTACCCAGACGCAAAGAGCTTTTCGTGGGGTGAAAACTAATAGAAAGCTGGATTGCACGCTAATAGAAACGAGTACAGAACGGGCAAAACGATAGAGATGTCGGGCAACCTGGCTGATTATTTTGGTGGCACGAAAGAAAGGTCAGATAATGCAAGTAGCCGCAGTCGTGAGATGGTTGACGACGACGACGACATGGGACCGTCGGTGTCGATGGCGGTGGAGGCTGAAGACGACGAACATTTCAAGCGCTCCACTTTTAATCTTAAGCGGACACGGTCGATGGGGCTGTTAGATGGCAATTCTGGTACGTCTCTGCCCTCGCTGCGAGGGTCAGGCTCCGGGTCAGATATGGTCAGTGGGTCAGAAAGTCCCGAGGAGGATTACAATGGTTCGCCGTCGATTCCTTCGGAGTCAACATCCCCTCCTGTTCCTGAAACCGATAGCTATTTAGTTCCTCACGATGATAACGATTTAATGCACGAACCAAAACGGCATGTGGACTACTTGTCCCACCAGTGGAAGGAGTCTGAAATATCCCAGTCCTGGAAGTACATTATTCTCAAGAAGAAGAAGCAAAACGAAGACCTCGTCAACGCCGCCCGACTCGAGAATGCCTCTTGGCGTACATGGGCCAAGGCGCGGAACAATTTGCGCACTGTGAGCCCAGAGGTGGTGAATTGGTCAAAGGATTCCGACGTTACGTGGTTGTACGGACCAGTTGTGCGCCAAACGGCCAACGAGCAAGAAGGAGGCTCAGAAGAGGAGTATGGGTATGGCTCTGACGATGAAACTTCCAAGAGACTCACGACTATTAAGTCTAAAAAAAGTCGTGGCCAGCAGGAACCCAAACCAATCTTGAAGAAGAGAACGGTCTCGGAGATCATCAAGGAAAACTCGCTATGGAAACTGAATGTGGCAAGACAACACAGGAAAAATCTATCCAGCACGCAGGCCATGATGGACGGATACGGTAACCATTTAGACGCAGCAAGCGACTACGATGCTTTGGCTGCGAAGGTAAACGCACAGTATTTTTCCTCACAGCCTCTACCCCCATCCCAAGCTCCGCCTGCTGAAGAACAGTACGAAAATGCTGATCAGTCCTCGGTGCTCTCTCAGCAACAGGACCTTAATTCACAGCATGCCCCTTATGTTCCCTCTGAGGAGAATATATTTATGGACTCTACACAACCATCTGCTAGACAATCCCCTGCTCCTCTGTTAGAGTCTATTTTAACTTCTCCTAGTAAGAGAAGCCCTAAAGGTGACTTTGAGCAAAAGGATAGACACATCCACTTCAATGATCGAGTCGAACAATGTATGGCCCTTGCCATTCGGTCTGACGATGACGATGATGACCATGATTATGATGACGTGGAAGATGATTCTGAGGACGAATTTGGTCCACAGCGGTCTTCTCACCTTGAATATTCCAAAGGACAAACAGGATTTACCGGTACTAATTACGACGACAACGACGAACAATCTCTGGGGTCAGATTACGACCAAGAACTTAATACTTCATCATCCGAGGAAGACGCGGGTCTTTTCATAAATGCTCGTTTTTCCAGAAAACCGGACGGGCTTCAAACTTCTGGAGATCAGGCAACAGTGGGCGCAGAAAGCATTAGTTCCAAGAACTCAATACCCCCCATTATAAAGCTTCTGCCCGCGACGACTTTGAACTACGGGTCCGACGAAGAAGATTTTGGCGATGATGACGATAATTACGGCAGCAATGCGGTATCACACAACGTGAACACTTTCAGAGGTTACGATTACATGTACGACTACAATTCGGTGTACACTGGAGATACTTCCAGCTTCATGGCCGTTAACAATTGCGATATGATTGACGTTCCAGAGGGTTTGCAAACACCAATCGAAGATCATGCTCCTCAGCCTATGATTCTGGACCAAGATGACGATGAAACGCAACTGCCGAGCGAATCAAGCTCTAGGGAGGCATTCACCCTGGATAGTGATAGTGACTCCTATGGGCCCAATGGGGACTCTCAGTTCATCGAGGATACTCAAGTTAAAGGGAGTGAAGACGAGGCTGACAATCTGGATGATCTGCCTGACCTCAAACGCTCTTCATCCTTAGCTTCCTCGCACGCAACCTCTCTGCAAAACTTGAGAAGTTCAACCCCCGTTATTCCTCAAACTCATAGCTTTATCACCGGAAAACCGCTCCGACCAATTGAGCATTCGGGTGATGGCTCGCATTTTCAACTAAACACCAATGACCCCATATCCACTAAGCCTCGTAACAAGTTCTCGTTTGTATCCGATTCGGAGTCAGAGTCTAACTCGGATGAGGACATGACTCACGAAAATGGTGGAATAAAAAGCCTAAATCAGGAGGGGGATGAAAATCAACATTGGAGAGACATCGCGCCTGATTCTTCGAAAGCTACTGTCAACCCGGAGATGCCAGTTTACGGGGATCCCGCTCTTGGCACTGCCGTTTCACCGATTTCAAAATCACAAGGTCATGGGTTACCTAGTGGTTCTTTGACAAGCATGGTGGGCTCGTCAGGTGATTTTCGAACCTCGCTTTCGGATGTGGCTATTTCTGGCTACATATCACCGCGCAACGACTCCATGCAGTCAATGGTGGCCAAGGAGAAAATGGTAGATCATAGCAAATCTCCAGCAGATGTAGAAAACATGAATAAACATCTTCAAGATTGGCACCTAGATCCTAATGGAGAAAAGGCGGATGGTGTTCAATCCGAAAATGTTCAAAAGATGATGGCTTCTGCTCGTGAGATCGCGAATAAATACCTACATTCCTGGAAGAAATAGACCCCAGGGATTGGTAAGTACATCGTTAAAGTACATTCCGAGTAGCATAGACAATCGAAGCATCTGGATTATTTTACAAAATAAATTACATAATGAACAATCCATACTACAACATACATCATTCAATTGAGTTCAACATCATAGATCAGTGATCAATGACCTGAGAGTAAATGAGAGACGTTGATCGCCGTTTATCGTCGTGGGACCTTGTGATGTGTGGCCGTGACCTGGCTTTGATAAAGATCAATGAGACTAAGCGAGGCTGATTAGAAAGAATTGAGACTGGATTAGTGCACAATAAAATAGCATCAGTTGGCCTCAGACACAATGGTTTTGAAAGTGATAAAACATTTCTGATCGTTCAGTTTATTCACCTTTGAATATACTACAAGTATAGAATGGCAGGCAACTAGCTAAGCTGTGATCCCTGTTTCATTAAAATGTGTTGGTAATCCTTGCGTTGGTCTTACGCATCAAGCTTATGACGGACTCTGAATACAGTTGCCTCCAGACTTCAAATGTTCTGACCATAGAGCTGCTAGGTTTTCTCGTCTATAAACTTCTTCAGAAAACTGACTGGCCAGTCCTGTGCGCAGGTGATCCGTACACTTCCTGATTCCGCCAACTCCGAGGAACATTACGTTGTCCGTGCACTCTTGAACGGTCCGTCGTCGGGTTTACGCTTTAGAAAATAAAGAAAATTCCTTCTCTGAGAACGACCATAATTGCAGTGGGCTTTTGGACTGCTAAAACCTTCTTCACCGCTGTCGCTGTCGCTACTTGAAGTCGCTGATCCAACCTCGGCTTACGTATCGCGTGATATTTTGAAGTAATTCTACACTCGTATATGTAGCTCTAAATAAATGAAGGTCTATTTATGACAGAAAAGGTGATGTTGACGACAGCTACGTCCGACTAAAACATAGGGAAAGGTCATGCTCAAAGGCTCTTCGCCTTTGAAAGGGGAATCAAGTTTTTCCGTGGATCAAACCCCTCCTTCTCTCAAAATTCCGAATTTCGCACGTCAAGATGCGGAGTGCAGTCCAAGTCCGTTCTTGGATGAATCCCCTTCTTTGAATGACGATCTAATGAGCGTCAACAGTAGCATTAACAAGACAGACCGCCTTAGATACTTGTCTGGTAGAATAAGTGCTGAAAGTGCATCTGTGAGGCAAAGTTTCGAATCCACTTCAGTATGGGGTAGGCAAAGTAAGCTGTACGCCCCTGGAGCTGATATACATAGCGGGAGCGAGGAATATTCACCCCTGGGCAATAATTCAGTTTATGAGCTGGTCATGAATACTCGCCGAAGAAACTGGTTGAAACGACCCACTATTGATGACATCCCACCAATTATTCTGAGCAAAAACGAATTACCAGCGACTTGGCGCGAGGATACCGAAAAATACACCGGTAATATCAAATCCGAACACAAGCAGTTTGAATACCACAATAACCTGGAAGCTGTGAAGGGGCTAAACAGGCTCCGATTTGAAGAATTGGGAAAGGAAGTGAGCCGCCAGTCTAGCCAAGAGGAACTTGGCGAAAATGAAGACTTCAAACCGCGACAAGATGGAATGCCAACAGGTATACCGAAGTTTTACTTTGATGAAAATTTTAAGTTGGACGATTCAAGAGCCTTCCGCAAGATTATAGACGATCTGGATTTTCAAATCGAAGATCTATATTCAGAGTCGAAGGAGGACAGAAATGCGACATATCAAAATTTGAAGGAACGGCTTACGGACTACCTTGATGACATTGAATACTTGCTCGTCATTGAAATCTCGAAGTCTTCAAACAGCTTTTTCTATGCCCTAGAGGATGTTGACAAAATAGATTCGAAGGCTGCTGATACCATTGAAAAGCTAGCTGCTGTGTCGCAAGGGCTGTTGGAAGTTGATCGTGACTGGTTTCAAGCTCAAATAAAGCTGCTGCAAAAAAAGATCAAGAGGAAAAACATCGAGAAACTGGAGCAAGGTCTATTACAGGCAAAACTTGTCACAGAACTTGTCGCAGAATGCAAAAATCTTTTCAAAGATGGGAATCATGCCAAGTGTTTAGAGCTGGTGAATCATGTCAATAATCTTCTGAAAGGTGATGATAACCACGATGAGGATATACAAGAGATGACAAAGAAGTGGCCCTACAAGCTTTCAAACCTATGGTCAACACCCGCCTTTGCTAATATTGTAGAAGAGTTGACTGGCATGTGTGTTGAAATAGCTGGTGCTTATTCATTAGATTTCAGTGAGATATTGTTACAAGAAATCAGATTAAGTTATACCCCGGAAACTGAACTCTCTGCGTACGCATTTTCTCAGCAGCGGCTTAATGATAGCGACCAAGATGCTGCTTTGGCGGCAAGTGTTAAAGATATAACAAAAAAATTACTTCAGTGCGGCGGGGTAGCAAGTGCATTTCAGCATTATAACGAAAGGTTTTTGGTTGAATTAAAAAACATCATAAAGGATTTTCTACCAAAAGAGTCCCAAATCGATATGGAAAGTGCAGATAGGACAGCAGACTCCAAGAATATTGGAAACGGGTCGAAATTATCCAGGCTAATACGAGCTCAAACACCTTCAGACTTCCAAGAAATGCTGATAAAGATTTTTGTGCGCGAAACAGAAGCATTGCGGAGACTGTCAAGACATCAAAAAGTACTTTTGGACGTGGCATTAAGTCACTTCACCGGGAATGTTAACGGGAAGGTAGCGGATCCTGAAATGATAATGCAACTAGATATTAATCCGGCCATCCATGAAGGTGTTCGAACTGTGCAGCTGCGAATGGGTAAGATCATTGCAGTGCGGCGGGACTTGACTGCAAAACTTAGATATGATCATTTTCTGCAGTTATGCAGTGTCTGCTTTTGGTTTGATCGCAAATGCGAAGATATAACCGGCGAACTTTTGACGAAGTACTTGCGTGACGTTCTCACGATGCAAATTAAGACTTTTTGCGCCACGCTAAACTCTCAAAATGCCGTCAATATTCGCACCGCAGTAGAAAAAGAGAGCTGGACCCCATCTATTGTCGAAGCCCACGTACAGAGAGACGTGAATGATGTGGTTTCATCCGTACACATAACGCCAGCGAGTTGGGTTGCAATTATGGACCTCGGAAGCGAAACTCCGGGCACAGGCGATTCTGTAGACATACCCGTGAATGAGGAAACTCTAGGGAGTCCGTCTCGTGGCCACAGAAAGTCTGTTGTCGTCAATGACAAAACCTTCGTGGCGAGCGGTGCACTTCTAGAGGTGATTGGAGTAATAAAATCGATGCTAGTGCTGTCAGTGAACCTTCCAAGCTCCTTCCTGGCCACTTTTGAGAAGAACTGTTATGATTTGATGTTGTACTTCAATTCGCGTGCTATGGCATCCGTTTCGACGGGTGCTGACAACACACCCTCCCTCAAGAGTGGGAAAAATCTCAGCATCCTCGGAGAATCTCTTGACTGCTTGACGGAATTTGCAACATTGATTCAAATGTTCTACCAACGTTTAAGCAGCATCCACAGGGATTTTGAGGCAATAACGCCAGAAACGTATATGCAACTAATGAAGGTTTTCCAGACGTCGTCAGATAAATTATACCAAGCACACGCACCACCGCCACCAGTGTGAAATATATTATAATATACAGGTGAATTAAGCGAGCAAAGCCAATGAATGTCGTGTGTAATGGTTAGACCTCAAAGCTGCGACATTGAGCTGATGTAGTGATATGCCCTATTCGATCCCTTTCCACGAAACCCGGGGCGGGAAAAAGTGTCAGATACGGAGAAGCAAGTAAATGAACTCTTGCCACTCTTTTAGCCGCCATACACCGAAACCAAAAACTAATTGAAAAGCCAGATATTATTATAAAGTTACAGGTTGTAGCACCCTCCAAAATACATTTCGATTTCGGTCCAGTAACCCACTGTCAGCTAGTCGCAAGGTGTCTATTACAGGATGACCAGTGGTTATGTTTCCCTCCTCCCCCGTGTACTATGATTCATTGACCCCGTGATCATGGTCGATGTTACCCTACTTTACGATGCTTTTGTACGAGTGGTTGATGTCGTTGGATACGAAGAGAGGTGAACGTCCAAGTATGATGGTACAACAATAATTCTCCCGTCAAGAGATTCCGGAACTATCCAATCAAGCGAAATCTGTCTTCAGCTGTGCCAGGTTTTTGCCGGACCCCGCGTTACGACCCACAGTTTCACTGGCCAAGATACGAAGAGCTGCGTTCTCCGTTCCCCAGTTCTCTATTACTAAACCGTCGCTACTCTCCGTGATCGCTTACCCTGAGACAAAAGCCTGAAACGCTGCTACTACCGGGTAAAATCTGCGAAAACCGTGTGTGAACATAACTGGCGACAGAGACAGGGTCCTCCCGGGCACTGACGTTATTACCCTGAAGAAAGTTGCAGAACCGTTGGGCGCACGCAGAGATAGAATTTGTCAAGGCTGAATATAAACAGCCAGGATGTCACACGCAAGGTCACATCCAGAATCTGTGGAAGAAGCAGTATTCAAGTACGTTGGCGTCGACCTGCAGGGCGGGAAGCATAATGATGACGCCGACAGCGTAAGCGAGTTTGGACGTAGGCTTCAGAAAGATCAACACCATCACCAGCATCACCAGCATAATGAAGTATACCATGGTGCTCAGGACCATGGCCACGTAGGTATGCCGATGGGCGTGGCCAAAAAAAACCACCATCAGCGCTTTGACCAATTATTGGCGAATGACGCGCTTTCCAAGAATGTCAGAATGTCCAACAGTAGCTCTACCGGTTCAGCAAGCTCCCGGCATTCACCTGGCCCAGGTACCACGGGGCCAGCCACCGCTGCAGACGTGGAATGGTTTCTGCGACACGAATTGGGTCCTGAATCCGCCACGTCACCGGAGCTAGACGTACGAGGTTCGAGGGAGCCGCAGTCTGTAGCTGCTGCCGCGGTAGCCGCAGCTTTCGGTTCAGCTCAGGACGAGGATAGTAGCGGTGGAAACAAAATTCATGGCGGTGCTACTGGCCTGAAAAATCACCAGGTATCTCCGGGTGGTAGAGTTAATGTCGGGAAAAGTGCTTCAGGACGTCACAAGAGACACAAAGCGTCTGCCGGGTCGTCGAGGCATAACCAATTGCCTAAGTTACCGCATCTGGGTGCCGTTGATCCCGAGCTGGCCTCTTTAGATGATCCTGAAGATGTAACAGAACATGAGCAGTTGGTAAGAAAAGCTATTCTTGATGCTGATTCGATTGCACACCATCCCGACTTCCAGCACTATCTGAACACTGATGATGATACCGACGACAGAGCTCGTTTGTCGTCAGTCTTGCACCACAAAAGTACACACGACCATGGCCGCAAGATTGAAGTTCTGCCGAAAGTCTCTGGCACTGATAGCAGTCTTATTTCACGCTCGGATTCCGAAAATGGTCCTGGTTCCCTTTTGAGGGGCCAATCAAGATCTGATTTGCATGGCAATGCTGTCGCAGAGGGTGCTAGTCTGCATACGGGAAGCAGCCACTCAATATCTAGAACCCTCTCGGGTGCAGGTGCGGGAAACGGCTCCGATGATCAAGATATCTCGCACCTGATTCAAGATGCTGCTGCAAAGGCATCTAACTTCATCAGTCCACAAAGCCAATCTACGGGTAAATCATTTGATGCCGCGGAGGAACAAGCGTTGGAACATTTTATAGGGGAATACCAAGCCATCAAGAGCTTATCTCGCCGACAAATATGTGAACGAATTTGGTCCAATGAACGTCGCAAGGACGATTTCTGGACAAACATTTGTAAAGTGCTGCCTTACAGAACGCGATCTTCGATTTACAAACATGTCCGTCGCAAGTACCACATTTTCGAGCAACGTGGCAAGTGGACACCAGAAGAAGAACAAGAGCTGGCCACTTTATGTATTGAAAAAGAGGGACAGTGGTCAGAGATTGGTAAGATTCTGGGTAGAATGCCAGAGGACTGTAGAGACAGGTGGAGAAATTATGTCAAGTGTGGAACTAATAGGGCTTCTAACAAATGGTCTGCTCAGGAAGAAGAGCAGCTCAAACAGGTGATTTCTGAGCTTTTGGACTCGACAGGCTATCCTAATGACCAAATCTTTGACACAGTCGACGAGACTCAATTAGATGCTAAAGGCGACAAAGTCTCCAAAAAAAGAGACACTAACTCGCGGGAAGCCATAAATTGGACGGTTGTGAGCGAGCGGATGGGCGGAGCTCGATCGCGAATCCAGTGTAGATACAAATGGAACAAACTTCTGAAGAAGCAAGCCATGAGCAAGATCAAGAACATCAGTGAAGAAGACAAGATGTGGATTCTAGAGAAGCTAAGGGACATGGGATTCACGGAGGACTCGCAAGTGGATTGGGATGAACTCGCGACATTGATGCCGGGGAGACAGTGGTCTGGGACCGAATTGAAACTTTGTTACGAGAAACTGAGAACCGGTGTCAGATACCATAAAGATCGAACCATCAACCAGATTTGCAAGGAGTTAATTGGAACTAGAGATGAGGGTTTACCCTTAGATACTGGTAATCTGTTAGGAGCGAAGCGTTAGGCACTATATCGTCTATAATACTAATTTGTAACATAATTGATGTGATGATTACCGGGGCGTCATAAACATACACAGATAATCAAATCCATCGCGCTTGCCTGGGGAACGGCGTTCCCGCACGAATTTGACAAGAAAGATTGTTTCCAATATTTAAAACATTATAGAAAATATCCTAACAAATAGGTTTTGGAAGTTTATGATTGGTTCGATACTAGTAACACAGCAATTTTTTTATTTCCTGGAGTGGAAAAGTTCTTAGAACTTGGTGAATTGCTTGTTAGCACCACCAGCTGGGTTGGTGACCTTCAAGACGTTGAATCTAACGGTCTTGGAGATAGGTCTACATTGACCAACGGTAACAATGTCACCAACTTGGACACGGAAAGCTGGGGAAACGTGGACTGGAACGTTCTTGTGTCTCTTTTCGTATCTGTTGTACTTTGGGACGTAGTGCAAGTAGTCTCTTCTGATGATGATGGTACGGTGCATCTTGGCAGACACAACAACACCGGACAAAATCTTACCACGAATGGAAACCAAACCGGTGAAAGGACACTTCTTGTCGATGTAAGAACCCTCGATGGCGGTCTTTGGGGTCTTGAAACCCAAACCAACGTTCTTATACCATCTCTTGGTACGTCTGTTGGCCTTGGTCTTTGGGTTGGTGAAGATGTGTGGTTGCTGTAAAACGAGATGTTAGTAAAGTGATAAGGGCAGATGACGCCGAGCACAGCACAACGCGGGAAATAGAGGCAGAGGGGACGAAGCTCGTCGAACCGCGATTTTCGTTCGTTCCATCAGATCACAGGACACCCCGACAGCACTACTGGGAGCTCTCTACCAGGACCATTCCTCGGATCATTTCTCGGCCTTTCTGGGCGCGTTCAACTGGTCCATCTGCATGACCTGGTCTTTCGCTTGTTTCTCCATTCCGTCGTCCACTAGCTCTTTCGTTCCTTCGTTCGTTGAATCCTTCGTTCGTTGGATCCTTCGTTCTATTGCCATACCTTTTGGAAAGCTCTTTCGGCTTGCACAGTCAATTCAGTGGACATCTTGGTATATGCACGGTTTCTAAAGGCCTATGAGAACGAAATATATCAAGTGTGTAAATCTCGAGATATTTCCAAAATCCCACTAGTTTTCCATACCTTGACTATGCGATGCCAGACGACCCAGAGTATGATACTACAACCAGCTAGCGTGCTGGGTTGGCGGCACCCTGCTGGGCTGGCTGCCAGTGGAGTCTAGGCCGGAGTGCTAGAAGGAGTCCACCAGGAGCGTTGGGCTCCAGGCTCTGCCTAGCCAGACAGAGCATCCGCCTAGCACCCTTCCGGCGCTGGTGTTGTTACCACTGCTTCACCAGCGGGCCAGCACTCTCCTTTACTGAGAAAGGAAATAAAAATCACGACGCAAAAAAATTTATTTTACTGAATATTTCAGAGTTTTTCAGAATTGTTCAGATTTTTCAAAAGTTTTTAAAAAATTGTTTCTGATGGTGTATGGGTGTTGGAGAGCAGTCACAACTTGTCCTGTGCGTTATGTACGGCTATGCTCGCAGTAGTGCGTGAGTAAGTAGGAGCGAGTAAGAATACAGTTGTTACGTAGTAGACCAACAAATAGCTACACTTGAAGGCTTTCTTCGTTATTTATGGACTTCCATGTACGCCGTGGTGATGGGTGGAATGTTTGCCCGCGTCGCACAGTATTGAAGCCATGAATGTTGCTCACCGTTGACTGCTAATATAATTCTGGAGCTCTACGTTGTTAGCTGACAGTATTATGGCCCTATCAAGTACGGCCCTGCATGAATATGGGGAATTTCCTTCCTCATGGGCTGCCACGGGAAAAAATCGACAGAATGGTGCGATACTGCGATCAGCTCGCCTGCTAGGGCTAGGTCAATCTGACAATTAGCACGTCGACATTCATAGCTGTTGCCCAGATTTGCACGAACAACACATACGATGGTCTTCCCACAGAAACAACCAGCAGACATTAGTACAAGCACTCGGACCCACTGTCCCCGGTTTGTTTGTTCGAGCTTACTCTGCGAGCGATGCTCGGACTTTCTTTTTTTATAAATCTCCTCGAGCTCGAAATGAACGTCAGCGTCACAAAAAAAAAAGGCAACCTTAACTCTGCTTGTCAACATATAAGAAAACGTGTTTCTCTTTGGTTTGGCTTTCGCTCATGTCGTACTCGAGGGCCACACTGGAAAGCATAGTGAGAGATAATCGTGCTGCTTTATCTCCCTGATCAGCATTGAAGTCGAGCAGAATGACTGTGCAGCCCAGCTCCAGCACGTCCTCGCCCAAGAATAGCGTTGGAAGTTTAGAACACCCTCGTGGTGACACAAATGAGGCTCTGTCCAAAAGGAAGTATTTCAGTAACTGGTTGCAGAACCTAAAAGAACACTCTCCCTCAGAAGAAACAAACGATGAGGAATCTGTGTTCATTGATGTTGGCGACGCCTGTTTCAGCTCCACAAATCCATTTTCATACATTCCCGTGTTGTCTGCCACAGAAGCTCAACAACTCTTGGTTCCTCCTCAGCAACAGCAGTCTAGGAATCATCCACATGGTCGCAGGTTGAAGGCATTTTTGAGGAGCCATTTGAGAAGACCCTCCAGACGTCGTCTGTTATCCCCAAATCCAAGGTCGAAATTCTTGCTCAAAGGAGATGGAGATTTTGGTTACGGGACACGGGCCAACGATTTTGTAGATTTGCCCATGAAAGATAAATCAGAGGCAGATGTGACAGGAGACGCATCAAATTTAGACACATCCCTCGTGTCCATTGAACGTGGGAGTCAAACCGGCGAACTAAAAATTCTAAAAAACGGAGTCAAAGATGGCAAAGGAACTTTAAGGTTGAGCAATCCAGAAGCGGAATTTATGCGGCAGACCGAGGCACCCATTGCCGTGAAAAGTGGGGCCCAAAATGACAGCGAATATGACTCAGGAACTTCAGAAGACAATACCGCAAATTGCAATTTGAATGCTCAAAATGACATTGATGACTATGACCCAAGTTTATTTAAACGAGAAGATTCAACGTCGTTGGGGGTAGCAAGGGTTGGTGTCGATGGCTTGGATGAAAGCCCTTCGTCCTCCAATCGTGAATTTCATTCTCACGATGATTCGAAATTGGATAGCCTGAAGAGGACGTCAGAAGGTATGTCTGGAGTTTTAGCAGGAATGAAACGTGCCCGTATTGAAAAGGAAGAAAGTCGCGCTATAACTTCCAGTGTAAAAGAAATCTTCGACTCCGCTCGCGACAGTTCGTCTGTGTATTCTGAAACACCTTCTCTTGAACCGTACAGTGAGAAGGCACGGTTAGTGCCAGGTAATGATGCACAGATGGTAAACAATCCGTATTTGGATGAATCCAATATTTCTGATTTCCGTGGATCCGAATCTCCAAGAGCAGTTACCATCAAAGACGCCAGAGAACCTTCCACCTATAGGGATAGTCCCAAGGTAAGGACCCCCACTTTTACGCCACTCTCCAAAAGTTGTAAACTAAACACAACCCCCACTAACGCTTCACCTTTGGAAGAGAAATTGCATGGAATGATGAGGAAATTTAAAGCTGTTGTTCAGCCTCCATCCGAGGCTGTTGACAATCACAGCTGTGGCGAAGGGATGAATGATATTGTCGACACTCACTGTTCAAATGACACAAGCATTCATACTTACAATCGCAATGGGAGTCGCACAAATTCTGTGCAAAGGCGCCAAGCGTTCAAACCTTCCAAGAGTGAAGAATTTGAAACTCAAAGACTATGTGTCCCCACGTTTCGGCAAAGTTTGCGCAAAATTGATGCTTTGGGACTTTTTGAAGACGTTAGAAAAGGGACAATGACAGAGAGAGACTTATTCAATCTGTCCAAGCTGAGGCCCGACGATTCGTTTGACTTCCGTGATGAACGGTTCTACGATAGGCAGTTATGTTTTTCTGGGTCTTCTAATTCTTCCAAGAGTGGTGGTGATGACTTTATCAGCGCCAGCGTTAAATTTAACAAGTTTTCGCAATTGTTGATGTACGACGTGCGCAAGACCAGTAAATTCGACGATTTGGAGCCGTCATCACATCCAGGTAGTAGCCAGGAAACCACGTTATTGCGTGGAGCACCAACCGCTCATAAACCAATTTTGAAACGTAGGACCAATGAACGTGCCAGTGAAGAATCGCTGAGAGCTGAAGATTGTGATAATGTTGATGCTACGGAATTCATAAAATTTTTTGAAGGACACGAAGCCCGTCGCCGCGTTGAAGAAGCACGTTTGAGCAAGATTAGGGACCGGCAATTGACAAACTACTATGCCAATGACCATATGTACAACTCGATACGGAATGGGGACAGAAAATCAGCAACTATTGACTTTAGGAAAAGTAGAAAAGCCACAGAGGCTAATATAGGTCGAGAATTACGAGACCCCAATCAAGGTATTATAAGTTCCCCCAACGAATTCAAATGGCAAAGACTACACAAGGAGAACCCTATTTCGCAGCAATGTTGTTGAATTTGTAGAGTCACACGGAAGGAAAAAAAAAGGCTTAATTCTTTACGGATCGAACTACACTTCGAAGCATCTTTGCGTGTCTAATTATTATTGTTCTTCTTCTTGTTAGAGGTCGAGTTTTTTGGGAGCTCTTTGGTGAAAGGGATAAAATCTGGCTCCCCTGGGATGTATTTTCTCAGAACTTGTGGCACAAGCAAACCATCTTCGGTTTGATAGTTCTCAAGGACACAACATAGAGCTCTTTGGGTCGCACTCAATGTAGAGTTTAAACAATGAACATATTTCTTTTCTCTGTCGCCCATTTTCTTGATACCACATCTAATCTCCAAGTTTCTGGATTGGTAGTCGGTACAGTTGGAGCAAGAAACCAATTCCTTGTATTCTTGCTGGTATGGGAACCAAGCCTCCAAATCGTACTTCTTGGCAGCGGCGTTGTTCAATTCACCAGAGACAATTCCCACAACACGGTAAGGTAACCCTAGCGATTGGTAGAACTCTTCGGAAGTTTCAATCATCCGATCGAACTCTTCCCAGGACTTTTCCGGTTCCGTAAGCACAAATTGCTCGATTTTTTCAAACGCGTGGACTCTGAAAACACCCCACGCGTCTTTACCGTGAGCACCGGCTTCGCGTCTGAAACAAGACGAGTAGCCAGCGTAACGAATGGGCAGCTGTTCTTGGGGCTTTTCAAACCATTCGTTGGAGTGGTACGCGGAGATTGGCTGTTCAGAAGTGGCAATCAAGTATTTTTCGTCGTCGCCGTCCAAAACTTTGTAAAGCTCTTCATCAAACTGTGACAACTGCGCAGTTCTCTTCATGACCTCCTTGTCCATCATAACGGGCGCCTGGAGTGGGATGTAGCCCTTGGATGCCAAGAACGACAGACCATAGTTGATCAAAGCCTGGTTCAAGAAAACACCATATTGTCTGAAGAAATACCCTCTGTGGCCCGAGATCTTGACACCACGCTCCGGATCGTAGCCATCAAGTCTCAGTAGCACTTCGTGGTGCGATAGTGTCGCGGGCTTGCCCGAACAAGCTGCAGTGCCGTCGATCTTGGCCAATTCTTCGGGTTTCCAGCTACGCACCAGCTCATTGTTGTCCTCATCGTTCGAGACAACCACCGATGGGTGGACGATGTTACCAACTTGGAAAACTTTCTCCTTTAGTTGGCAGTCCTGTTGCTGTTCCAGATCGGCCAATTTCTTCTTCTCGGCGGCGATTTCCTCTTTTTTGGCCAAAAGCTCCTTGGGGTCCTCTTTGGCTTTGAACTTGAGCCCAATCTCCTTTTGTACTTTGTTTTGGGCCTTGTTGAGCTCATCCAATTGGAAACGGGTCTTGACCCATTCTTTATAGTCTGCGATAATGGTGTCTACAATCTCCACATTCGCGTGTCTGGCCCTTTGCGACTGTCTGATGAGCTCAGGGTTACCACCCTTCTCCTCGATGAATTGCGTGATGTCCAACATGGTGCGATAAGTGCCTTGGTGCGTGGTGCGATGGTGGTACCAGCATGGGAGTTGAACCAAGTTGTTCGAAAATTTGTATTAATGGGGACGTGTGTCGCTTTGTACGTGTGACGAATCTCTCCCCATTCCGCGTGAGCTCAACCGGTGGACAGGGTGTTGGGCGTTGTGTGTATGGCATGTTTATGCTGACACTACCTTCACAGATGGTTTATTGATACTCTCAAACTAAGCCGTAAGCCATCTTAGCGGAGTTGAAGGTTCTTGTATGGTCACGTGCCGGAGATCATATAATTCATTATTCTCACAACTGTAGTTCGAGCTCTTGAAATTCAAGTAACGCTAGAAACATTTACCATCACGCGAAGCCTCAGCTAAAGCTGGGCTCTTCAACCACGAGCCACATGTGGAGATGGAGCTGCAACGGGGATGAGTGTAAATCTCCACGACCTTCAATTCCGTTCCTGTGAAACACGTATCATCACGGACTCCACTATTCTTCTTCTCCCTTCCAATTTGCTTTGACTGACTCTGAGTTACAGGTCCATTATACTTTAAGCATTCCAAAGTGTGTGGCTTGGACTCTTTTTCCGTTTTGCTCATTTCACTCATAGACAGGATAAATCAACACTCTGGTCTGTTACAATATATCCTAGTTTTATAGCATCTTTGATCGTTAGCGCCACACCGTCTGGGATTTCTAGCTCAGGGGAAAGGGTGCCACTTGGACCACGTTTGGGGCCCGCATATGTTACGAAGACTCCAGTTTTGGAAAGCTAGAACCAAATTCTTGCTTCTTTTTACCCTTGGTGGTAGTAGAACTGTTGCATATGTTGCACGGAAACTGGTCGCTGAAATTTGAACTATTTGGGCTTTCCTCTAGATGAACATGGATCTCAGAGGCGTTAAAATGTACCTGGGAGCTGTGACATACCGTGTTGCAACCTAGGTTAGAACACCTTGTCTTGGAGCGGTTATAAGGTGTGAAGCAGTTTCGGCAGATGCTTTGAAAGTGGCGGCCGTTTGAGTCCGGTTTTACGGTCTCCAGAGGCCTTACCGATACTGTAGCTCTGCGATGACCTTACACAGCTCTTTCGTGCGTTCTCATTTTGGATAAGGCAAACGGCTGAGATCGACTTGTAACCTATTTATGAACGTAATGCTTGGTGTACTGCGTCAAATAATACAAGCTATCCTCCGCGTTGAAGACATTCTTGATGCACCGAAAAAAATCTTTGTTGGCCCATTGTAGTTGGTCGCCTGGTTTCAAATGTTCCCCCTTGATGGTATCACCGTCTTCCAGAATTGGCTCGATTCCTTTGGCAAACCATGCAACGTTAGGCGGGTAGCTTTCCGGCTCAGTTTCCGAGGAGATCTCTTCAACAGGAAATACCAACATTTTTAGCCGCCGAGCTTGCTGCTCGAACTTGGCCCCACAAAAAGTCCCGAAATTTGGGTGTGGTAGTGGCTTGATGGGCTAGCGTCTTCCTGGCCCTCTGAGTTTTGTTTGATTTGGTTCACAGCTGTAGAAACTCCAATTAATTCAAAAGCGATAGACTACAATCGACCAACCACAACCCACAAAGGTCAGATTGGCCTTCGTTTGACACGCCTCTCGGCTCACTGGGACAAGTTTGTATGTGTCGCTACAAGTTGTGTCGGATTTTGTGGTATATCATGAAGAGCCCCACCTTGAAAGCGACGTAACCGGATGAAAGAATGGGTAGCCTCATTTCAAGGCTCTAGCCGTTTCATTTGGTTATAGGGCAAGTATTTATATGACCAGTCTCATTGAAGGAGTATGGGGCAATTTTGGATGAGACACTAGGTGCACAACCCGGTGTCAATCGTTGAGATTTCTAAAATGGTACAAGCCTCAATTGAAATTGTTAAGTGAAGCTACGTTTTACGAAACTACAAGACGTTGATGAGGCACTGGACACCAGTTGGCCATCATACATTGCTCTCTCAAAGAAGCACATACTGCTGATCCAACTCCAAGATTATTCTACATGCAGACAACTTGTTCGGTAGATTGGTAGTCTTTGTACTCTCTCTGTATTCTGCCGTCTTCGTATCTTGCCTGCCTCATATTATTTTATATTAATTCACGTGCTCATTATCAGTCTCTATGTTCATGTTTTTAGGAGGGCTTCTCGACAACCACAGGACCCTTCGTGGTTCAGCGGTCAATGCTGAGGATTGATTAGATCATTTCAAACAGTTAAGGTTCCTATGGTCCAGTGGAAGGACGTCTCCTTTACACGGAGAAGGTCTCGGGTTCGAACCCCGATGGGAATATTATTTTTTGAATTATGTTGGAAGTATTTAGTGATGCGATTCGGTAGTAGTGGCTTATATCAGTCTATTTGAATCCTGGGCCTACGAATTGTTTTGCCAGGACATGCTCAAACCATCGGTAGTGTCACCAGCAGAAACAGAGAGTATTAGCAGAAGTCAGCGTCGGTAGTGGTAAACTTGTTCAATTTGCTGATGAACTTCGTGTATAACGTTCAGAGTAGTTGGCACTGCATCTTGTAATGCGATTTCTAGTCGTCTCTCCGTGATTATTTGAGCTATAGGTATATGGCCAATATAATATTATAGGATTAACCTGGGTGCAGCCAGGGCTGGATATTACAGCAATGGCACTCAACAAATGGAAATTTGGGCTTTTGAATAATTGAAAGTGGCCGTATAAGGCTTTTCTGTGATCCTATGAACCCCGTTGGCTGATTATTCACATTGTTTCTGACGCCGTCGGTATCACTTCGTACTATGGTGACACCCAGTTGATGGGAACCCTTATGCAACCCGAGGCGATTCGACTAGTACCAAGTCACTACCAATCGGTAGTTTCAACACGGGCGTCCGCAAGAAGCCATGTCAGAGCTTTGTCAGAGCCCTGTGGCGGTGGTGACAAGTACGGACTCCGTCCATAACGATGTCTTAATTAAACAGGGTGGGTATCATCACTAGCACCACTGCCATCGCGACTGCCATTGCCATTGTCACCCGCAAGCACCTGCGATGGAGCCCCTGGTGATAAGTGTGGTGGATTGCAACGTGAAACATGGGTTGGAAGCCCAAGGCGCGGATCATCCCGACCATGAGTCACAGGCGTTGATGTTCCCCACGAACGTAAAGTACATCTTTGAGGACGATGAGGAATCGCTGGTGGAGGAGGAGTACGATGGGGTGGAGAACGTGATTGTTGTGGAGGCCAATGCGAACTTGGAAGTGACTCGGGTGGAGGTTATAAGCGATGATTACAAGCTTCTGAAGTTCGAAACCGCGGAGGATGACGAGTTGATGATCTCTGCGGTGTCGAAATTTGAGCCACTGGACCGGGAAACGTGGGACCAGCCGTTGGAAAAACTGGTGGAGATCTACAGGTGTCGGAACGAGCAGCTGGAGAGGTTATACGAAACGCTGGTCGCGGATTCGAGGGACTAGGATAGCTCCTGGATGTTAGCGGGCATGGCCGGGATCTTGACGGTGTAATGTTTCTCGATCTCCTTCAATTTGCGGAGGTCCTGTCGCGTTACGAAGTTGATGGCAACACCCTTACGTCCAAATCTTCCGCTGCGTCCAATACGGTGGATGTAGTTTTCCAGCAGCTCGGGCAAGTCATAGTTTATCACGAGGGAAACCTGCTGTACGTCGATACCGCGCGCCCACACATCGGTAGAGATCAGGACGCGGGAGGTTCCGGACCGGAAGTCGTTCATGACCTTGTCTCTGTCTTCTTGTTTCATATCTCCGTGCATGGAGGAAACCGCAAAGTTGGCCTGGGTAAGCTTCGAGGCCAACCAATCCACCACTTTCTTGGTGTTGCAGAAAATCACACACTGCGTTATGGTGAGGGAGTCGTACAAGTCGCAAAGGGTATCGAATTTCCATTCTTCGCGGTCCACGTTGACGTGGTATTGCTTGATGCCCTCCAATGAGATCTGATCTTGTTTGACCAAGATTTTCACCGGGTCGCTCATGAATTTCTTGGTAATCTCCAAGATGTCTCGACTCATGGTAGCGCTCACCACTACGACTTGGACCGAGGTTGGTAACTTGGCGAAAATGTCATAGATTTGTTGCTTGAACCCGAGTGTTTCACTCAAAAGCTCGTCGGCCTCGTCCAAGACTAGTAACTTGAGATGCCGCGTGTTCAAAATGCGTCGTTTGATCATATCCAGCACACGACCGGGAGTCCCGCTCACTACATGCGTCCCGCGGGAAAGTTTCTTGTTATCCATTTGCATGGTCTTGCCGCCGGTGATGGCCTGGGCAGAAATGTTCATATAGTCCCCTAAATTACACACCACTTGCGAAATCTGTTTAGCCAGCTCTCGCGTTGGGGATAAGATCAAACTTTGTAATTCTTTGGATTTGAAATCAATCACTTGTAGCATGCCGATCGTGAACGTTGCAGTCTTACCAGTTCCGGATTGTGCCTGGGCTATGGTATCTCTGCCGGAAATGATTTGAGTAATGGCCCTGGATTGAATGGCTGAAGGTGCTTCAAACCCATACGCATATATGCCCCGTAACAAGTCGTCTTTCAAATTCATGGCCTCGAACGTTGGTGAGACTTTGAGTTTCCCGGAGACTTTGAATTTGAGTCTGGCATCCGATTCCCGACTGAATGACATTGTTGTGGTTGGATGTGTGTACAAGATAGTTGGTGACTCTAACTAACTCTACCCATCTCATCGCATCGACTTTCTAAAAATTTCAATATGTACATGTAAAATATACACACTTCATATATGCGCACAGGCTTCAAATACGTAGAACAAGCTGCTCCTCCCCTATGCCTCGGATTATTGTATCCTTTGGCGGTGGGCATTTCACCGACATTCACGAAACGGTTCTGCAAACTCAGAAAGCGCTCCGGGAGGCGTTTGTAGATACAAATGTGGTGATCACCGATCTGGACCAAACGTTGACCACTGGGGCCAGAACATATTCGGATAAAGATTATGAGTTTCAACGAGTCATTGCGCGCTTGGAGGAACCATTGGAGTTAGATACTTGGGAGGCCGTGTTGGTCTGTGGGAGGTATGCCCTTTTTGACCCCAAAATTAACGAACTAGCACACCTGAAAGTATATATGGATAGTGATGGAGATCGGCGCTTGATAGACCTTATCCGCAGACATGGAGTCAATGACTCCGAGACTTTGGCGGTGTTGATCCGGGAATACATGTCAGACCTCAGACCCGAAATGCAAAAATATATCGAACCCACCAAGGCCTATGCTGATCTGATAATACCGAGCAGGAGCGACAGTGTGGGGTCCGCCATTGTCGTGGATAGTATTGTCAAGATCGTGGATGATAGCAAAGGTGGGGCGTCGCACACAACCAAACTATTCCCACATTTGGATTTCCAAGCAGAGTCGCTGGATATCGAAAAGGAGAAATACTACGATTTAAGCTGAGTTTTTGGGTGTATGGAAGGGTGAGAGCAGAAGCGGGCCTGAAAGCGACCTGAGAAAGGACAAGAATACCTACTTAATAAAAACTGTTTGCAAGACTGACTACCCCGTAGAGCCGCAGAATCTTTCTATAATGTACATAGCTCGGAGCCCCTTGTCAAGTCTTGAAACGTCCCTCGCACGAGGGAACCATTAATCTTCAAAAGTAAAGAACCCATATATTCAGCTCTGTGAGAAAAATAGATGGTCTTTTTTTGCAATGTGTTGGTAAACAGTTGTTTATTTGACCCGTAATATAATAATTTTTTAAGTTTCTATCTATTTCGTCAACTTTTGATCATCACCAAACCAATGCTGAGAACCGCTCGATGGACCACCGTGACGGCGTCCAGGTCCGTCAAGACCCTACACACACCGATATACAATGGATCAGAGCTGACAACTCGTCAAAACCTGCTCTCACACATTGGGCTACTCGAAAAGATACTTATATCGGCATCCTACGATCGATCAATGCTGTACTCTGGCAAATACAAAAAATTGCCCCAAGTCATATCTGGGAACGACTCAGTCAACGTCAATTTTGTACTTAAGGAGTTTTTAACTTCGTTACAATTGGCAGAAGCGGAAAATTTAAACATACAACGAGATCCATCGGTCAAATTGGGTAAGATTGGTCTTCAATTGTTTATGGATTGCCATCAGGGAAATGTAACCGCATTTGGCGCGTTGCTTTCAAGAGCTTTACTGGAGAGTTACAACAAGTGTCCGACCCGGGAAATGGTGTTCGAACTGGAGACAGCTTTAAAAAAAGTTCAAACTTTTCTACGGGAAAATAGAGTGGTCTCACAGGAGCCACGCGACATCGACCGTTTAGTTCATAAGATGTGTACCCATGAAAAGAATGCTGCGTCCATCATTAGGGTGCTACGAGAGCTAGACTATAATCTTGTATCCGATGACGTGGTGCGCGTGGCGCGCGGAAAAAGGACGCAAGATGACATTGAAGTTTCTAAAGGTTGGAAATTTGCTACTGGGGTCATCGACACTAACGACGCCTATTTGAGATCCTTACAAGTTCATAAAAATAAGTTGGTTAGCATCAGTTCTCCAATGCTGGTTTTGGTACACGACGGTCACTTGCGTGAGGCCAATAACATTCTTCCAGCTTTACATTACGCCACTAAGCAGAAAAAAAATCTGGTCTTGGTGGTGAACGGCGATTGCAAAGGGGACGCGCTTGCTGCCATCACAATACACAATAACAAAAATAGGCGACAGAATGTGGATTCGCAAGTGGTGGTACTGAAATACTCGAGTCGCCGTGGTAAAGTTTTACAAGAAGATTTGGATTTCATTACATTTTTGAAGTTACCACACGGCATGGGTAGCATTTATTCACCCACCATTAGCGAATTTGTGCCCAGCTCCGCCTCGGCGTCCCAATTCTTCGGTACTCTGGAGTCCCTAAAGGCCACCACGGGTGAGGCCTTCCTTTACAATTCCGGAATCGATATTCAAAACGATGCATCGCGCACCACCGTGACTCTACACGTTGGGGGTCAAAGTGAATTTGAAATTGACCATAGAAGAGCAGAGCTGGATCACGTCATTAACAATGTACTCTGTCATGGGTTATCACAGGGTTGGGTACCGTCGCAAGGTGTTAGTCTAGCCAAATGTGTCAAAGTACTAGAGAGTAGTTCCGACGCTCATCATTTGGGGAATCAAGCTCTCATTGAAAATTTAACAGCGCCTCTAGAAAACGCTTTGCGCAATTCCTACGGTGCTCAGAAATATCAAGCATCAAGGTTGGTGACGGAGACGATAAACGATCTTCAATTTACAAACGCGTATCTTCCGGACAAGACATCTACAATTGAGCATGGCATCTTAGAGCCTTGGAATAAACTGGACCAAACATTGTCTGGTGTAACCTCGTTTATAAAATTGGTTGCCAGTTGTGAAATTTTGGTGACGCGGTTTTTCGACAAGCCAAGGAAGGATTAAATACCGAATAACAGAGGTGTGCTTCCATGTAAATATAAAGGAGGCCAACAGCCTCCAAAAAAGTTGTGCACCGGCCGTTGTTCTGCATTCCCTGTATCCCAGAGCAGAGTCATCAATACATTACTGGTCTTATCTGCCTTCCCGAGTCAAATATTCCCAGGTATCACAGAACACGATCTGTAATATGTGCCCATCACCACCACATATATATATATACACGTATAATACCAACTGCCGCGGACGACTCCATTCATTTGCATCTTTATCTACCCTTCATACAGCTCTACCCCACCGTGCTTCCATAGAAAACAAAATAAAGGATGGCCATATTCAAACGGTTCAGCTCTTCCGGTTCCGCTGGTGTGCTTATGAAAACCGCACTGTTCGACCTTCATGTGAAATTGGGAGGTAGTATGGTACCATACGCAGGATACTCAATGCCTGTCAAGTATTCTCAACAGACTCATATCGAATCGCACAATTGGACTAGAAATCATGCAGGTTTGTTCGATGTATCGCACATGCTTCAAAGCACTTTAAGGGGACAAGATGCTACCAAATTCTTACACAAGATTACTCCCACGGATTTCCAGAATCTACCTGCGGGCCAGGGAACTTTATCAGTCTTATTAAATGAGGAAGGTGGGATCGTGGACGACACTTTAGTCACAAAGATAGCTGAAAATGAATTTAGAATCGTTACCAACGCCGGATGTGTCGATCAAGACGTGGCCTTCTTGAAGCAGCAGATTCAGGGCTTCGCCTGTGAGTGGGAACCAGTTCCAGAACGGTCTCTACTGGCGCTCCAAGGGCCGGAGGCTAAGGACACGTTGGGGTCCATCATCGAAGAGGGCCCCGAGTCCCTAAAGGACCTGTATTTTGGCCAAACCAGACGTTACACTATAGGCGGTGTTGCAACACCGTTCCAAGTAGATGTGGCGCGTTCTGGTTACACTGGTGAAGACGGTTTCGAGATCTCAGTGTCCAATCAGGACGCAATGACGCTTGCCTCGAGTATCCTGGCCGACCCTTCTGTTCGCGCCATTGGTCTGGCCGCGAGGGATAGTTTGCGGCTGGAGGCTGGTATGTGTTTATATGGGCATGAACTAGACCAGACAATCACACCCGTGGAGGCTGCCCTCACTTGGTTGGTATCTAAGACTCGCAGGGATGGTTCTTTGGGAAAATTCAACGGATTTGACCGCATCATGGACCAAATCAAAAACAAGTCCGCGGCAAAGGCTCGCGTGGGCTTCAAGTATCTGGGGAGGGGACCAGCTGCTCGCCAAGGTTGTATCATTTTAGCCGAGGACGGCGAAACTGTTGTTGGCAGCGTCACTTCCGGAAGTGCATCCCCCTCGCTCGGTGGGATTACCATCGGCCAGGCCTACGTTGCAAAGAGATATCGCAAAGCTGGTACAAAATTGTTTGTGAGTGTGCGTAACAAGAAATTTCCCATCGAAGTAGCGCGTCTGCCGTTCATTCCCAATGGATTTTACAAGCCAACCTAAGAGCTGAGTTTCTGAACGATATTTCTACCATTCGATGGTCCACTCCTTTACGCACTTCTGCTAGTCTCGGAATCAAATTAGAGAGCCACTTTGATTGCTGTGTGAATGTCGGACTTGGCCATCGGCCTTAATGTCTTTCTCGAACGGCGGAAGTGAAAAAAAGGAAAAAAGAAAAAAAAAAACATTAACTGTGGGAGGTGATTGATATATCTACAAGTAGTGTCGCGCTCTACCCGCTATACTCTCAAAGTCAACAGAACTCGGACATTACAGGCGCAGCTAACTTTCCAGAGGACGGGAAATACCTTTATCAAGGTTTTGGCATCGTTTTTAATTCACAACAGGTATCCTTCCCTGTTTTTCTCTATCTGCGTTGTCCTTGGTTTCCTGAAACTGTCGACGCACAAACCAGGCTAGCACATCGAACTTCGGAAAGATATATTCGCAAGTTATAATGGAGGAATCTGGGAAATACAAATCGAGCGTGGATTCCTTAGTGGTTTCTGTGGAGAAACCAAACACAGGTGAAGAAGGGCAAGAAAGTTCTGCCTTCAGCAGATGGACCAAGTCTTTCCACAGGCGTGAGCCCGTGGTGGAGAAGGCAGAGGGATCTAATATCGAATTTTTGGATGAAGAGAGACGTCGTAATTACCAGTTGGCCAACCAACCATTCCAAAAAACCCTTGCACAGCGGCACTTGATGATGATTTCTATCGGGGGAACACTGGGCACCGGGCTTTTCATTGGACTTGGTTATTCGCTGGCCTCCGGACCGGGGTCATTGCTGATAGGTTTCACGATCGTGGGAATCATGATGTTTTGTGTGGTACAAAGTGCTGCGGAAATGGCGTGTCAATATCCAGTGTCAGGTTCTTTCTCCACCCATGTTTCTCGGTTTATGGAACCATCACTTGGATTCACGGTATCCACAAATTATGCATTGTCATGGCTGATATCCTTTCCCTCAGAACTTATTGGGTGTGCCATGACCTTGCAATATTGGAATACTAGCGTAAACCCTGCTGTCTGGGTGGCTATCTTCTACGTCTTCATCATGGCGTTGAACTTATTGGGCGTCCGTGGATACGGTGAAGCCGAATTTTGGATGTCATTGTTCAAAGTCATCGCCATCGTTATCTTCATTATTATCGGCATCGTCTTAATTTGCGGCGGGGGCCCCAATTCAGATGGTTACATTGGTGCACAATACTGGCACAATCCGGGGTCGTTTGCGAAACCAGTTTTTAAAGGACTTTGTAACACGTTTGTCTCTGCCGCGTTTTCGTTTGGCGGTGCCGAATTGGTTGTTTTGACTGCTTCGGAGTCCCGCAAAGTGGAGTCGGTGTCGCGCGCTGCCAAGGGAACTTTTTGGCGGATTGCCATTTTCTACATTACCACTGTGGTGGTAATCGGCTGTTTAGTACCTTACACGGATGATCGTCTATTGGGCGGCGACAGCGATGAAGATGTGACTGCGTCGCCATTTGTGATTGCCTTGAGTAACCAAGGTTCTATGGGAACAAAAGTATCTCATTTCATGAACACTGTTATTTTGATAGCAGTGCTATCTGTGTGCAACTCGTGTGTTTATGCCTCGTCAAGAGTTATTCAAGCGCTTGGCGCTTGTGGTCAACTGCCCCAGGTTTGTGGATACATCGATCAAAAGGGTAGGCCCTTGGTGGGGATCATAATTTGCGGGGTTTTCGGGCTACTTGGTTTCCTAGTAGCGTGTGACAAACAAGGCGAGGTGTTCACCTGGCTCTTCGCACTCTGTTCGATATCGTCTTTCTTCACTTGGTTCTGCATATGTGCGTCACAAGTCCGTTACCGTTTGGCACTAAGAGCCCAAGGCAGGTCCAAAGAGGAAATTATCCACCAATCCATGCTAGGTATTTACGGTGGCATCCTAGGTGCTGTCTTGAACGTTCTTTTGATTGCAGGTGAAATCTATGTTTCGTTATTTCCCCTAGGTGAGAGCCCCAATGCCCAACAGTTTTTTGAATACTGTTTGAGTATTCCAATCATGATTGTGGTTTATGCGCTACACCGAATCTTTTTCAATAGGAACAAGCGAATCCTGACGCCCTTGTCCGAAATTGATCTTGACACAGGCGGGAAAACCGACGATCTTGAACTGTTGAAACATGAAGTCATGGAAAACAGGGCCAAGATTGCGGCAAAGCCACTATATTACAGAATATACCGATTTTGGTGTTAATTAGGGTCAACACCAAAATTTGGGCTTAGCAAGCTGTGTATAATATAACTATAGAGCCTATGACACTTTTTCTGTACGTGCGGAGGGTCACGACATTTCTTGGCACTTTTTTGACGAAATCCCTCCGGAATTATTAGAGGAAATACTGAAAAAGTTCCAATTAGGTCGCCGCTTATCTGGTAGTGACCATGGATGAATGAATGACTCTTGGTGAGAAACCCTGGAATCTCCCGACGCTTGATTCCGACTGACAAACCAAGACAGGCTCTCATTAGCTATATATACTGTGGTGAAACTAGTTTCTTTACTAGAGTACACACGCCTTTCGCGGTAATTGCCAAATCACCAAAATATATGCTAGGCTCATCAAAAAGCTGAAAGACTGTACTATTTGCAAACGAAACCCTAGAAGCTTTGTGACAACAATCGCAGCTTAAAAACGCTATTCTGAAAATTGCTCAGTGATTCCACAAAACATGAATGATGAGTGTTGCATCGCAGACGGAAATTAGTATAGCCAACGAGGATTCTCTGCATACTGCAAACTCGATCGATTCGCTGCCAGAGCATTATGTGGCAGGGCCACAGAGCATGCACCCAGAGGTTACAAATGGTCAAGGTACCCATCTGTCAAAGAAATCTACTCTTCGAGATAGGAATTTGATGGTCCCCAGAGCCCAGAGAAGGGGTATCTTGGCAAATTTCGCGTTAGTACCGGAGTACAAGGATGCCAGGGATTACCCACCGAAACTCAAAGGTCTTATTGTACTTTTGATCGCATACGCCGCCATGATGGGTCCCATGGGAACCTCCATTATCTACCCGTCAATTAGCCCCATTTCCAAAGATTTTCAAACTCCAACGATCATGGTCAATGTTTCCGTTGGAGTTTATCTTCTCAGCCTTGGAATCCTACCAATATGGTGGTCTTCTCTGTCGGAGCACAAGGGTCGCAGAACCGTATATGTTCTCAGTTTCACGCTTTTGCTGGGATTCTGCATTGGGAGCGCTCTTTCGCCAAATATCAACGCTTTCATTGTATTTCGTATGCTATGTGGGGCCTCTTCTGCGAGCGTTCAGAGTGTTGGGGCTGGCACTGTTGCCGATTTGTTTAAACCGGAACAAAGAGGCAAATACTTAGGCTACTACTATCTCGGCGCCTTAACCGCTCCTCTTACAGCACCAATCATCGGCGCTTTATTGGTAAGTAGATGGAGCTGGAGGTCAACTCAATGGTTTTTGGTAATTCTTGCGGGGGTTACTGTCTTACTAATGACCTTACTTTTGCCTGAGACTTTGAGGGTGCAAGAGAGCAAGAGCGCTATAGCTGCAATTTTGGCCGGAAGGCGGACAGGCGGAAACGTTGTGTCCGATGAAACCGCTAGTGATGAAGGCCATGCTGAAACCAAACCGGATGAATCTCTTGGCGTTGTGGATTCGAATGTGGCGCGAGACGAGGTGGAAATCAATAGAATGATCACCAGAACGAGTGAACTTGCTCAGTATCCTCCCGACGATGACGGACCGCACGGGGATGTCATGGCCCCCCAAATTACCCGACTGCAGACGCGGGATCGTATCTTGGAACAGCGCCTACGCGAGGGAGAGTTGAAGAAATGGAAAACAAATGTCGAGAAGGAACTAGAGAAACTAGAGAGTGAGCGCGGACAAAATTTGGTATCTGACACGCCTTCAAAAAATTTGAAGACTGAGCTTTACGTATACTTTGTGAAACCTCTCAAATCTTTGCACTTCCTCGGATTCCCACCAGTGATGCTTGCTATTACTTTTTCAGCAATATCTTTCGCGATTTTGTATTTTGTCAACATAACGCTCGAATATCAATACGCCAGGCCGCCTTACAATTTCAAACCTCTATACGTGGGTCTACTATACATTCCTAACTCTGTGACATATATTATTGCCTCTATTTATGGGGGCCGCTGGGTCGATAATTTGCTGAAGAAGCATAAAGAAAAGTACGGAATCTTGGTCCCAGAAGCGCGGATTTCGTGGAACGTCGTCACTGCAGTGGTGAGTTTCCCAATATCACTCCTCATCTTTGGATGGTGTTTAGATAAACATCAGCACTGGGTCACTCCGCTGGTAGGAACTGCTCTTTTTGGGTTCGCCTCTATGATGACTATCGGTGCCACTGTAGCCTATCTCGTTGACTCTTTGCCAGGGAAGGGCGCCACCGGTGTCGCTTTGAACAATTTGATACGTCAAATCCTTGCGGCAGTAGCTGTTTTCGTCACAGAACCGATGCTTGAAGGAATGGGAACCGGATGGGCTTTTACCATGTTGGCCATCATTGTAATTGCGGCGAGCTCGGTTCTGATAATTTTGAAGATTAGAGGCGATTACTGGAGGGAAAACTTTGACCTTCAGAGCTTATACGATAAGCTGGAGTAAAGTGTTATTTCTGCACTCAGTTCACCATGGCATTCAACTCCTTCTACAACTACAGGCTAACTCTTGTTGGGCCATTATTTGTGGCCATTAAAACTGGGGAATTGTTAGCCTATTTTAGTTCCAATACATGGCTTGTAATTACTTAGAACATTGTCAACCATACTTCTGCAAATGTTATGAAGATGTGTCACCTGTAGATCATATTTAAAGCTGACCTAATAAAATTAATATAATTCTTACAACTTTATATCAGTCATCTCGCCAAGAATCCCTGATGGAAATCAAACAAACAATTTTTGGGAGGCTAACAACTACTTTGTAACTTTGTTAGACGAGCATTATACCATGCGGGCCGGCTTAGTGGGACAGCGTGCGATAAAATTGTTGATCACGTCGGCATCGATACTTATATTCTTTCAAGGGGCACTCGCCATCGTAACACACCAATTTTTGGCAAACCTGCTTTTAACACACGATCCCGTTCGCAAGCAGAAACACTTGGATTATAGCAAAAAGAGCTTTATCCTGTTACTGATTACTATCTTGGATATCGTCGCCCCTTCAAAGGTTAGGATTACTACGGATAGTTGCTCGATCCCACAAAATTTTGTGGTAAATGACCTCAAAACAGGAGGACTGTTATCAGGTCTCAAAAGAAAGTCTGTGATTATTTCTAACCATCAAATCTACACCGATTGGGTATTTCTGTGGTGGCTGACTTATACAGGAGGTTTAGCAGGAAATGTGTTCATTATGCTAAAGAAATCACTCGAACGTATACCGATCATGGGATATGGGATGAAAAACTTCAAGTTCATTTTTATGAATCGAAAGTGGAGTAAGGACAAGATTAATCTGGCCAACAGGCTGAATGATATGGACCACAATGCCCGGGGCGTCGGAGAATTAGCGGGCAAGAGATTTAAATCCAAAACAGCAGATGGACTCGAGGTTTGGTCAGATAATGACCCCGATGACGTTAACACTAAAGAAATTAGCTGGCCATATTCGCTGATTATTTTCCCCGAAGGTACCAATTTGAGCCAAAACACCAGAAACAAGAGCGAAATATTCGCTTCAAAAGCAAACTTATCTAACTTCAAAAATTTGGTCATTCCTCGAGTGACTGGATTGAGGTTTGCTCTTCAAAACTTAAAAAATAGCTGTGAGGTAGTGTATGACGCTACTATAGGCTATTCCGGAGTCAAGCAACATGAATATGGGCAAGACATTTATAAGCTTGGAAACATATTTCTGAAGGGCCATTCACCAGAACTGGTAGATATCCATCTTAGGGCTATTGACCTGCATGACATACCCATTGATGATGAAAAAGAGTTTACTGAGTGGCTGCTCAACGTGTGGAGAGAGAAAGACGAACTGCTGAATTATTACTATTCTACGGGAACTTTTTCGAAGGATGATGCTAGGACCCAAATTGTTACAGGTTCATGTAGAATCAAGAAGGCAGAAATGGGTCAAATCTTGGCTATTCCCTTCTTGAGCTTCTTTATGCTTGCCCTTTATTTTTGGAATAAGTATACTTGATAATGCTGCTATGAAGCAAAAGCTGGAGTGATACAATGCAGGGTTCTTCTACATTTTGCAGTAGTGTGGAAGCGAAGGGAAGTAACGTAATATGCAAACAATGACTAAAACTTAGAGCTTAGCGGTTCCTGATGTTATATCAATCCAATCCGCATTTGTGAGTGGCTTGTACTCAGCACCATTCTTCAACCAGTACAAAATATCATCGCCTCCCACACCATGAGGCAAAACTTGATTTTTGTAATTCTTTTTCATGATCTTATGATTACCAGTGTGCTCAATTTCTTCAACGAATTTGATAAATGTAGGCAGAGCATACTTGGGAAGGCTCTTTCTTAAAGTGGATAGCATCTCATTTAAAAAATTTACATCCCCACTAAAATTTCGAGCCTGTGGAGCCAGTTCTAAGACCGCAAAACCCGCTCTTCCTTCGTGCTTTGGAACACTGATACCAACCACAACGACTGCAGAAATCTTGTCATTGGCAAAAGCCATGATTTGGTCTTCCACTTCAGCAGCTGACACGTTCTCAGATTTCCACCTAAACGTGTCGCCCATTCTATCAACGAAATACCACAAATTTTGGTCATCGGACTTCAAGAGGTCACCCGAGCGATACCAAGCATCCCCTTTTCGGAAGACATCTCGCAAGACTTTTGATTTCGTAGCTTTTTTATTTCCTAGATAGCCTTGAAAAGTGGCTTCAGGCTTTTTGGGTAGGAAAATTTTCATCAGCATTTCACCAGGTACACCTACTGGTGCTACCTCACAGAAACCCTTCGTATTCCTGTAGACCTGGCTTTCGTCATCGGGATCCACTTTGACGATGGTTTGTTGGATCGAAAGGATCTTACTGATGAAAGTTCCGTAACTTCTGCATGCTCCTATACCAGGGTCTCCTCTCTGGAATGTGGTTGTTGCAAAAGGAGCTTCGGTAGATGCATAAAACTCTCCAATGACGTTAATGCCAAATCTATTTTTGAAATCTTGCCATATATCAGCTCTCAGACCATTCCCATATGCGATCTTAACGCAATGCTTTGTCTCATATTCAGAAACTGGTGTGTGTAACAAGTAGCGACAAATTTCACCCACATATTGAATGTGGGTAGATTTTGTCAAAGAAGCCTGCTTCCAAAACGAACTAGCGGAAAACTTGTTTGATATCGCAACACATCCACCCTGTGAGAAGACGGCACATACGCCCAACAGAGCAGCTGTAGAATGATATAATGGCATTGCCGTGAAAACCGTAGAATTCTTTTTAATTCGCAAAATATGCCCAAATAAAGTACAACCAATAACAGCCTTTCTCCAGGACATAATCGCAGATTTAGGAAGACCTGTCGTTCCTGATGTATAAATCAGACACGCCGCTTGAAAATCAGTAGCGAAAGGGGGAGAGCGTTTCTCTACTTCCTGCAGAAACTGAGGCGAATTTGGGTTCATAATGGTCTCGTAGACAGTTTCCTCATTCATGTAGTGAAGCTTAACCTGAGGCAGTTCCTTTGTTATGGTAGTCTCGGTTTCTTTCAGTGCAGCACCAACTTGTGGGTCAATAAAAACAGCGCGCACGTTCGCAATTCTTATGGAATGCACTAGCGGTGTTCCTACAGAATTGTAGTTTAAGAACGACGGAATAGCACCAATATTCCATAGTGCAAACCACAGGAAAATAAACATCGGCTTATTTGCATAGTCGATCGCTACAGTGTGTCCTTCCCTCACGCCGTATTCATGATATAGCACGTACGAGAGCCTCAGAACGATATCATAAGTCTCACGGTAGGTGTAAGACTCTAAATCAAAGTCACCCTTTCTGTTCAAAGGTCTGGGGTATGAAATGCAGGATAGACTCCCAGAGTTTTTGACGTGGCGCTCGAAGGTGTACCAAAATTGAAACTTCCCACGGTAGACACTCCACATGTACCGCGGGACAGCTAACAGAAAATAAGTTGCAATGTACCAATCATCCTTGATTTTATGTCGGTCATCCAAACTTTGAAACCATCCGCCACATAAAATTGTCATGAGCCGTACCAGCAGCACTATTGGTAATGCTATTGCTCGGAACACAAATTTGAGCACCCGGACTACCACAAAGCTCACTTCGTGATCTGCCATTTGAACGAACGATAAATACGCTTAAGCCTCAACTAGACTACTCAAGTATTCAAACAGTTCCAAGCCCAAGGATTCGGTCTATCTTGAAGTGTCTTCTACCTCTTAGGACTTCTCAAGTGTTGTTTCTCCATTGTGACGAGATATATAACTCATATACATACATATAAATATATATATATATATTGGCACCAACCTGTAAGGAACAAACAAAAAGGCAGGGATAGCCATCAACCTGGAACCTTACCCCATAGCCAATGTTGACCCTTCACTGTGATTTCTGGAATCAAACGGGTTGGATCTTTTTTAACCTTATCGATTTCATCACTCAAAGACCTGCGATCTCTAAAATACAATGCCCATAGGATTAGGCAGTTGACACATAGAAGAGCGAATGCAAACCATGCCATCATGCTGGCTTTTGTCCCCGTTTTAACTGTAATAATTCCCATGGATGCGTGTGGCACATAAGATCTGCTAGCACGGATGGCCACATTTGTCCACATAGCACCCAATCCCCAGACTAGAGTCAGTACCGGGCTTAAGGTCAGGAGGAACCAGTCTAAGTAGCTCTTCCCGGGTATTTTGGGAATAGTAGCGCATAGGGTCGTGCAGAACATGAGCAGTGCAAGCACGATAACCGCCATTAGGATGTAAGGATGAATGAGATGAACAGAGTTGTCTTGAGCCAATTGCATGATGTTAAGTTCGGTAGCCTGGGTTGAAGTGGTATTTTTGGAATCGCTGTTTGAAGTCCGAATGTTAAATATTTTGACACTGAGGTCTTGGTAGAGTGGTATGCTGGAGACGTTTTTCCTGTCGTAACAGAGCGTTTCCTGTGGAGAGTAATTAGTCGGAAGATTCATAATACAGATGCCCATGTATCCAGCACGGATCGAAACCTTTTCTAAATGAGCAGTCTCATTGTCGGCGTTGAATGACGTCGAAATTATGTTGTACATGGGCGATTTTGTCGAGAAACGAAAACTTGTCAGGTAGGTTGATGATTGGGAAGGATTATTGTTGCCGACTAACAGGAATATCAACAAGAATATTGCTACTATATCAACTAGCATCGCAAAAAACCGCGGCATTCTCTTGGCTACAAACCAGATCATGGTTAGCGGAAGCATTGTTTTTGTATTCTGAGGCTACAGTGGAGCCTTCGCTTGTCGCATCGGAACTCTCAAGATGGGCTCTTTATATACAACTCGGTATGAATTTACGGATAGTAATCTGCTGAAACATATGGCTTGGTGACAACAATCAGATGTGACAATGTGTTTTACTTTGAGTCACCTCTGAAACCTGGGTCGTATGAGTGAAGCGTTTCATGTTGGTTCTGAACGACACAGAAGAAACCATAAAGCTATAAGCCGCGCTGCTAATCTACTAAATCAATTGTCGCTGGGTTTACATGGGCCACTCGCTGTTTCATCAAATCGCTTTTTAGAAGTGTAGTTAATTAGCATAGGATATTTCACGCCTATAAAAAGCGGTTAATACAAGTTGAGGAAGCGTTAGACAAGTTAGACTTTCATTACCAATTTTCGGCGTACGAAGGGAGTGAGAGTCTGTTATGGTAGCATGTTTAAGCAGTCCGAGGAATATACCCTAGACGTTAGCAAAGTTTCAATGTCCGGACAAAGATGGAAAGAGCAGTAAAACAACGTGCTTCTACGCTACCATTTACTGCAGTTTTTCTCTAGGTCTTCGGTTCACCAGCTCAAGCAGTTGTTCATGTTCCTCATCTAACTCAAAGCTTCCTCGAGAATATATTTGAATCGTGTATGTAAATTCTTTATGTCATTCGTTAAAAAGCGCAGTAATATACCGCGTCTACAGACCTTTTAGCCCAAGGAGGAGGCACCGGTGATGATGTCGACCAATTCGTTTGTGATAACGGCTTGTCTTGTTCTGTTGTACAGAATGGAGTATTTGTTGATCATGTCACCAGCGTTCTTAGAGGCATTGTCCATGGCGTTTCTTCTGGCGGAAATCTCAGCAGCGTAACCATCAGCCATGGCAGACAAGATTTGGTTGGCCAAAGTGAATTCAAACAAATCCTGAGAAACCTTGTTGTCAGCGTCAATTTCGAACTTAGCGAACGATGGGGATTGCTCAATGGCTTCTGGGTTGTACACAGGCTTGACGCTGGGCTCGAACGATAGCGAAGACACAGGGTTGTTGTAGAAAATCTTGATCTTAGAGTACTGCTTGCCTAGTTTTAGAATTTCGTTGGCAATCAAAGCGGATTCCTCGAAGGTTGGAGCTTCCTTGCCGACACCGTTGAAGGCCAACTTCACGTGTTCGCCATGTGTTCTAAGCAGTTGAGCCTTGACTTTGTCGCCTACGCAAACGACGTCAGCCTCTGGCGTCTTGGAAAGCTGGTTACGCACAGCCTTGGACAGTTGCGAGTGAATCGAACCACAAAGACCCTTGTCGGAGGTTACAGCAATGATGAGCTCACTAGGAGTGCCCTCGGCAGCTTCCAAAGGCTTGGTTTCAGCGCTCTGATAGAACTCGCGTTCAGCGGCCGAATACTCTCTAGCAGTTGCCTTGGCTCTTTCGGCCTTGGACAAACGGGTGGACGCAACGATCTTCATGGTCTTGGTGATCTTTTCAATGTTTTTGATCGACTTCAAACGCATTTCAATTTCACGCAAAGTGGCATAGTTTCTGGCGGCGTTCATGCCGGCCATTGTACGGGCACCAAGGGCACCGGTTCTCACAAACATATTAACTTGCGAATTAGATCACACACACGCACTGAAAGAGAGAGAGAGAGACACCTTTCTAACGGCAGGAGCGTTTCAGTTAAAGCACTTGGATAATAATTGTTCGACAGGTTTTCCAGTTTCCTGTATGGATTTTCAACTTTGAGCTGAAATTTCGACCGGGTAACCATGTGAATAACGGAATATGATTGGCCGAAATGACAAACGCTCACGAACGACATCATCCTGGCCAACTTTGAGCACATATCACAGGCATATACACATGAATTTATGGAAAGCTCGTGGTACACATGTTAAGTTGCACTTGCGCCCGCTTCGAGAGCAGTTTGTGGATAGTTCACATATGATCATTTTGTACTATTCTGTCGCCGGCCTGCGAAATGCGATGAGGCTCGCACTTTGAATCTGTCAAGGCATACTTGTGGAGGGGAACTCTTGCTAGTTCACAACCGCGAATCGAGATAGACGGCCGCCGCGAGTTACTCCGGAAAAAGCAAAGTGGAACAGATGATGTAGCTGCACCAAGTGATCTACTGATGTTTTAGCGCCCGCCAGCATCGTTTCGACCAGCGAAAAAGCTCACGCTTGGGGAAGAGGAGAGACTCCGTTGACGAGATTCTGCGTGCTCCTCCAGTATAATTTAGTCCGTGGTTGCTTGGTGCTCTGTTATCTGGGGCTGGCAAAAACTACATGCGAGCCACGAGATGGAAAATAGGATCAAGGAACTCCAATATCGAATGTCTCTCAACAGTCGTGCTTTCGGAAACCACAATTACCAAGGTGCTTCAGCGTGCTGAAGTTTGGTTCCCACTTCAGTCGTCTAGCTGAAACAGAAAAATGAAGGCCGATGGAAATTTAAACAAGATGCGCCTAACAGTCCTATCTGTAAGAAATATTAATACCATACAGCGACTGACTAGCTTCCATAAATGAACGGAAGCATTATCGGCCATCGTTTTATTTCAATACTCTCTAACTTGCCTCCGCGTGCTTGCAAAAACCACAATCAAATGACAAGTGTCCAAAGATCGTACTACAGCTGCCAAATGCAGGAGTTTTGCGGTCTTTCAGTGCCATTATGCTGATCATTGACTTTGAATTTTCTCGCTATTTGAGAAAAGTAGACAGCCCTACGAAAAAGGCCTCTCTCAGCTGGCAGAAACTTAGCCTCCAACTTTCCCCACTTGATAGCACTCACTCGATCTGTCTAGAACAGGTATTGTGTTTTCCTTCAGAGGTTTCAGTTTCATTTATCTTGCTGGCTCATCTCTTCATTTTATAAATTTAATCTTTAAATTCTAAACACATGGGAACAGACACTTTGTACCTAAATCCTGAAGGAGTAGCGTTTACACGTCGATTTGAGTCCCAAACTGAACCTTCAACTTCTATTTGGGCTTTGAATATAGTGCTGTTGCTACAGATCGAATAATGAAACCCTCGACAAGCGATGAGAAACAAGACGATCTTTTGGCCCTTACAAAACATCTAAAAGACGTAAACGTATTCGACCAAAGGAAGCTGCCATCCGTGATTCATGGCAGAAAGGCTAGCACGTATCTGCGAGTATTTCAGGACGATGAAAATGGCCCCAGTGTCGAGACAGCGGAGGGATCAATTCCACTCGACACCGCAACCAGTCACCCTGCCAGAAATGTTCTCCCGCATCATAGTCAACATCAAGACCAACGTCATCAGCACCAGCATCATCACCACGGTTGGAGGGTTAATGTCTTTGACAAAAAACCAGAAAAGCGCATAGCCTTGCCCAGAAGGCACTCATCGTCAGTATACGACAGTGTGTCTCGATTTAGACACGGTTTCCTCCGGGACAAGCTAACGAATCCGGCATGCGGGCGTAAAAACATCATGTTGTCAAGGAGGGGTCCCGGTACAAACTCCACGTACAGGGTTTTTCCTCCTAATGTTAACGAGGCTGGGCATTCTCCACAGCGTGAAAAACAGCAAATGGCACAAGGTATCAAGGGTCCAGGCAGAAAAGCAAAACCCCCTGCAGAGTCACCTCGAAGTGCGGATGAGATAGACAAAGGACTCGAGAAAAAGGACCAAGAACAGCTCCTGAGGCTCAAACCCATATCTTCCGCGACATATTATCCCCACCAGTCGAAGATCGAGAATATCGAGGTTGTAGGACGGGTGGTGGAGCCACCGCTCGCATGCTCGGCGCCTACTTTACCTCTATCAGCAACGACAGTTCAAAGACAGGCTGTGATATCTGAAAATGTGACTCTCGAACAAACGCGACATAAACAAGAGGCCGCCGAGATGCAGCACAACGATCATGATGAAGATAATGGTGGAGATGATTCAGGGGATGAAGTTTATCCTTTGGCTGTTGAATTACAACCCTTTACAAACAAAGTTGGGGGACATACGGCAATATTCAGATTTTCAGAAAGAGCAGTTTGCAAGGCTCTTGTAAAGAGAGAGAACATGTGGTATGAAAACATAGAACAGCAGCACCAGGAACTGCTTGATTTCATCCCGAGATATATCGGTGTTTTGAACGTGAGACAGCACTTTAACTCCGAAGAAGAGTTCCAGAAAGAGGTTGAACGAGAAAAGAACGCTAAGCTCGCAAAGAAGCAGCAGAAACTCGATTCAATATCTAATAGTTCTAAAAAGCCCCATGACATAATGCACTCAAGTCCAACACCGGAATTTAAAAACCCAGAAGTAGTTCTGGATGACAACAAACACATAATACCAGATTCTTTGTGGTACAAGTATTCCCATTCGCCTGAATCGGCTCCCAGCGATTCATATCTTTCTTCACACAGTCTCGAACATAAAGGATCTGAATTTCGGCACTCCGGCTCGACAGTGGTAAACACCAAGTTACAGGAACTGATTTTGAGAGAAGTTTTCGCTCCGACCAAGCGGAAACCTCATCCTCGTGTCTCTTCGTTGAATGAGAAGTTAGGTAGTAAAGGGAGTGCGTCTTCAAGCAGCCTTGTCGCCCTCAATTCAAATGTGCGGAGAAACTCGGAAGAGTCGAAAAGAATAGGTTTGATACCGCCTTCGTCTCCCTTACTTACTCATGCTGATAAAGCCCATTTGACGAATGCAATTGATTCTCATAGTTCCACCTTGGACTTGAAGCAATTTCACCTTCGCAAATTGGCTCAGAACGCCGGCACTCGTAGTTATGCTGATGGAGAAGGGTCTACTCTAGGAGACACTCTACACAAATCAAATTCTCTGCGAAGTGAATTAAGTGATACGGTGGTGGAGGAAGAGGAGGAAGAAGGTCGAGATGGAGAAGGAGAAGGAGAAGAAGAAATATTTGCTATGGAAGAAGATCTTTCGCCGACCAAGGACACATCCAACCATGAGTCTGTTTCATTTGAGGAGAAGTCCCATACAATCGTTTCAAAATTCATATTACTCGAGGATTTGACGCGAAAGCTTGATAAACCATGTGTATTAGATTTGAAGATGGGTACGCGGCAATATGGTGTGGACGCTCATAAAGTCAAACAATTATCCCAGAGCAAAAAGTGCCGGCAAACGACCTCAAGGAAGTTAGGCGTTAGAATCTGTGGGCTCAAAATTTGGAATCAAGACTACTATGTCAAGCGGGACAAGTATTTCGGAAGACGGGTTCACATCGGTTGGCAATTTGCTCGCGTTCTTGCGCGATTTCTATATGATGGTAAACATATCTCCAGTATTTTGAGGCAGGTTCCCCAACTGATCAACCAACTAGACACACTCTATGCAGAGGTTCTAAAGTTGAAGGGGTATAGACTTTATGGCTCTTCTTTACTCTTCATATACGACGGCGACAATGTGAACAGAAAGCGATGCAACGTTAGGGTTAATCTGATAGATTTCGCTCAGTGCGTTACTCGAGATGATGTATCGATGCGCTACGAAACGTTCCGTATAGCTCCTGAAAAGCCGGAAGCTGAGGATCGTGGATTTTTGCGGGGAGTTAAAAGTTTGAAGTTTTACATTCAAAACGTTTGGAATTATCTAACCAACAATAGCCCTCTGCTCTACGATGATGCTCTCCTGGCGTACATTGACAGAAATTCGGAGAGCTTCAACAAATCATGGGATTGGCTCGACGATTTTGACAAAGAGTCAGAACTCGAGTTCGACGATCCTGAAAGCGCATTACGAAAGAAATGGCGGAAGTATGAACTTATATTTGACGTTGAACCGCGCTATATGGACGACGCTGAAGTCAGTGAATAATGTGACCAGAACATATTTAGTATCAAGATTTATTTAATAAATACAATTACGGCAAGGCGCAGTTGTTTGAACGACAATAGTGTCTTGGAACTTGGGAGTTTAGCTGCCACGACAGAACTTAAGTTGTTCGTGTTACAAGAACTTCAATCTACCAGCTTAGAGAGACCGTCCACATGTAAGTGAAATGTGGACAGCCAATGATACTGGCTTTTGATTGAGGAAGAAAGTCTAAAAAATCAGGCAAAAATTTGAAAGCTGTTGAGCTTCGTTCAGTTTTTATATCAATTTTTTTTTCAATTTTAGCTGGGTAACGTCGAGAGCGCGAGAGCTCTTTAACTTTAAACCACGAAAACAACAAATAGAAAGATGAGTTAGGTGGTCTCGGAGAAATTATTGAGGCTGTAAAAGCGGCACTTAACTGCTCCTAGGGTCTCAAGCAATGTCAGACCCCATTCGGAAGGACGACAAGATGACTGGCGATTTGTCCGAAGGAGATCGTTATTTCATGGAGCAACGCGATTTGATTTTGCAGGACATTGGCCAGACCATGGATTCGATACTAAACAATTTGAATGGATTGAACATTTCACTGGAGAATTTCATTGCTGTGGGAAAGGAATTTGAAAGTGTTTCTGATCTATGGAACAAGTTTTATGCGGGAATTTCAGAAGTGGACGACTCGGCAGACGGGGAGGAGGATGTCTCAAAGCCGCAATCCGAGGATAAGGAGGAAACTTAGTTTGCACAACAATGAATTGACAGAAAGAAATGACTTCTCCGTTCGGCCAGATTGAAACACTCATTGGTTTACGCCAAACAGTCTTCAATAATTTAATTCATTTGGCCCATTCTGTCGGTGACATAGTCGCTCGCGAGAGTCAATTAGCTCACAAAAACTGGCTCTAGCGTCCAGTAGTAGCGATCTGCTAATTGCTGGACACTGTGGGTCAATGGTGAATTATTTTTGTTGACCCGGCTTGCCACTCGTTTAACCGGTTATCAGGCTCGAGTTAGATGGTATACACCATCCAAATTGCAGGTTCACGATGTAAAACAGAGCCAAGGGTAGCCACATTTAGCAATGCGCTGCTTCTTGTTGGTGCTTAGGGCCCATTGACAGCCCAATTGTAGTAGCAATTACTTTGGTAGGGAATAAAATAGCCTAATAAATAGCTGATATGCGAGCGCTTGTCCGCAACGGACTTCGTCGCGGTTGTAATCGGTTGGGTTTTGAGCCGACTAGCTTGGATATTCCTTTTGAGTTTTCTGCGCACTAAGATTTGGTCTCTTGGCCCAGTTGGTTAAGGCACCGTGCTAATAACGCGGGGATCAGCGGTTCGATCCCGCTAGAGACCATCGTCCTACGGAGGTGTAGGGTTAACTTTCTTTTTGTCATCTTTAAACCGGCGGTGTAAGTGCGGTAGCTCTGTTGGCCATTTCTTCGATAAGCCAGCCTTGTGGCAAACCTTATGCGAGTCAACCCGGTAAAGCTTGTGATTAGTCTGGTAGATCAAATCTTTCAATGGTTTATGAACAGATGATAATCTTCCGGGCACATGATCACTATGCGAGGTTGAGTCGCTTAACGTGGATGGATCAACATAATCAGGTAGAGGTCCAACAGCGGAATTGAACGATTTTCGATCTGTGCATTCTCCAGAATAAGGCACGCCCTCCTGAAAAATCCCAGCCAAACGATCATCTTTACAGGTTTCGTTAGGGCGGTCATCTGAGATAGCAAGCCCACAGGCAGAATTACTCACACTATGAGAGGCCGGCTCGACAATTTCAACTGTTGTCTGTCGGGAATTTGAACTCTGTGAGGCTGAAGTAGAAGTGCTCGAAAGACACGAATCGCTGCCATTTTGATCCACATAAACTTGGGTCTCTTCCATGGGTGATGCTAGTCTATCATCAACATTCGTAGCATTGTTATCTCTGGAGGATATGTGCGTTTGGTCACGGGCATGTGGATGTAAGCTGCAGCTTTCTCGGAAACAACCTGGTGTCTTTTCTCGCTCTTTTATACAGCTATTTGATGGCACCAACGTCCCTCCTTTCGGCTCACTTAATGGCCGCGTGATGCCATTAAGCTTCTGTGAGCCCTCGAGCTCATGTCGGACAGCGTGGATCAAACGTCTACCGCAGGTGTATTCTTTGAAGGTCAATGCCGAGCTACTACGAAGTAGACCTTGACTTTCTTCAGACTTACGGTCCAAAACTTTCTGCATAACTCCAAACTCATTATCACCGCGACTTCGCCCGAGCAGACCACTGAGCCCTTTTGATGGAAACCCCTCCTTCTCTATATCGAGAATAGTAGCAAGGGGAGTAGGGCTAGCGGGTGGTGTACGATGCGAACACGCGGGCGTTTTTTCTCCTTTGTGACATTCAATCACTAATTCCTCAAAAGTCTGGCCCAGAGACACTAAAGGAAGCGATACCGTGTTTGCTCGCAGAGGCGCTATACACCTTTGCATCCTTCCTTGCTTGTCAGTTAGACATCGCCCGCAAATTCTTCTTTTGGGGTCCTTACGATCATCTGCCCCACAATATCCACTGCTCTGGAATTCGTGCGATTCTTCGACTCCTGTTTCCACAAGATCTTGGCTATAAGTCAACTTTTCAAAATGGACAGTATTTGACCGCTCTTCGCACCTCGAATTCCGTCCAGAACTGTAATCTAAAGTCTGAGATCTAGTGCCAAACATATAAAACGATTCTTAGATAGAGACTATGTAAAGTATACAACCCGTCAGCATATTTTTGTGAATGCATGAAGGCAGTGTCCGTTCGAAAGGTATCAAAGCTAGGCGGCTATCGAGTTTTTATACTAGTTTGGAAAACTGACATCACCACATACGAAATAAACCAGAATATAATCTTCGATGTATTTGTAGTGTTAACTTCGCTCGGTCAAGTAACAGATAGAGGACAAGTGAGAGGGAGCTTCCAATCAAGTGCCCCCCAGTTAAGTGGATAAGTATGGGCCTGTCATTTTTACCGCTGGGATCTTTCTGAGTTTCGATTGAAACCCACTAGTTGAGCCTGACGCACGGCGTGCTGGTATATCTATAGGAAAGGCTATTATACTCCTGGATTTTTCCTGATGCCATGGTAAGGGCTTGATGAAGAGGGCTCACACTGATGGGCCCCTGTGGATCAATAGAACTCGGCAAGGATCCTACCTTTATAGCCACCCAGCACCATTGCGCAGCACTGATTAGTGCATTCGAATGTTGCACTAGTGAAGTTCCGCTACCAGTTATACCACAGGCCTGCACCATTTTGGAATGTGTGGGGCATCGACTCCAAAAACAGCTAGAGTTTTTGAGCCAGCACGCCTCGTGAACCTGACTTCAGTCGTTAAGGGCTTGAGTATGTTTTTGGACTTGGATTGGGCTCGCATAAGCATTTGGAGCAATTTCGCTTGCGTTGCAGATTATGCCCCTTCCATGGCTAGTCCCAGAGTCAAATTCGAGCACCAAGTGAGGTCGACACAAATGACAGAATTCTGATACTTGGCGATGCCTCGCTACGACAAGCGGAACAGGCTTTTCCAATCCCATTGGTGTGGTATAATTTGAAGCAGAGCTCACTAAAAACGTTCTCGACCACTGGTATATCCGCTGAAGTCTCCCTCCTTGGGTTTTTATTGGCTTTTACCAGCATAACTCAAAAGCCATTTAGCGGGTTCAAGGATGACTAGGTTTCCACACCTTTCCGCAGGGGGACACCTCTACTAAAACGAAGGGTCTGTAGACACCAGAAGGGGTCTCAGGCTGGTGGTACATTGGCGAGAATGCGCCTTTCCAACTACCGCGTTGCTTCGTAATTTTTGGAAATCATTTTTTCTTACTGTTTGCAGTAGAAACGTTTGGGAACTTCTACTTGAAGTGAGCTGGTCTTTCCCAGCTATTAGTCGGCTATCACCTAATACATTCAAGCACATCGCTATCAAAGCGTTGGTAAGTGTAATCTTGGAGTTACTCTCTTGATAGTAAAAATGTTGTTCTAAGAGAGAAATCACTTTCGTAAAGCTTACGCGTAAAAACTATAAAAAGCCCTCGAGGGTGCTGACAGCTCTTGGATGATGCATTCTGAAAGCGAGCAGCATCTTGACGACGACGACCGTTGTAGATATCACTATCGACGAGTGCTAAAATCCAAAAACTCTTGGCATGCGTGCTCCGATGAACAACGGCTGGTTCATCGGCCTCATCGCACAAATTCATACCAAGAAACAGCATCCAGTTCCACTTGTCATGAGTTTGCCGGTCAAGGATGACACTCTAGGCTCTCCCAAGTTTGCGCGCAGACCGCCAATTCACAAAATAAAAGCAGAACTTGAACTTTCATTAGCATTCGTCTTCGCTTCCATCCTAGGGAATTACAGCAGGCTGGCTCTCACTACACTCACCGATTATCCAGGGGCATATGTAGAGGGCCCTACGATTCTATGGTCCAATATAGCTGCGTGCTTCATCATGGGTCTAATGCAGATAATCTACCGTTACAAAGTGATAAGTCCACTGTTATTCACCGCCATTACCACCGGCTATTGCGGTTCACTGTCATCCTTCTCAAGTCTGATGGTTGAGCTATTTGAACATTCAGCAGATCAATTACAAAGCAATGTCGAGTCTTACCCAAACAACGGCTACGCAATTATGGAGTTTTTGGCTGTGCTATTTGTGCAATTGTTAGCGTGCATGTGTAGCCATATTTTTGGCCTATTTGTTGCGAAGGAACTGGCCTTGTCATTCAAGGACTTTGAAAGTAAAGAGCTGTCACTTCCGGCCCGCAGAGTCCGCCATGGCTTTGACATAATAGAGAAAATCGTCATGGCGCTTGCTCTTCCAGTGTTGGTGGTGCAGATTGTGCTGGCCGGTGTCTATGGAAATTTCTCCAGGTATTGGACGCTGTCCGCAATTTTTGCCTTTCCAGGCACCCAACTGCGTTACGGATTATCAAAGTGGCTCAATCCTACGTTGAAGTACTTCCCTCTGGGGACTTTCGCGGCCAACGTTTTTGGATCACTAGTGCTCGCGATTTTGACGCTTGTGTCAAGAGGCAAGAGTCAAGATGGTTCTTACATTGTTGCGCCGGGATCGACGGCTCAAACGGTTGTCATAGCCCTTGGAAACGGATTTTGCGGCTGTTTGACTACCATAAGTACCTTCATCAACGAGTGCCACCGTCTCTCGCTATCCAGAGTGGTGATATACTACTTTTGCTCTATTTTCTTTTCCTTCTGCCTCGTCGTTGTCACTCTTGGCTCTTACGCCTGGACCCGGGGCATTGCATAGGCTTGTCACAAATTATTCAAAGGAACAGCCTGATAGATATAATGCTGGCCCGGTTTGTTAGCCTGGAGACTCTTAATTTTACCGAGTATCCATTGAGTACCCGGCACCAGTTGTATTTGAGTCATAATAAATAACCACACCATATTATATATAATTTTAAGCTTTAAAGGACTAAACCAAACAACTGGCAACTCTCAGATACCGAGTTCCATCTTGTTTACTACCTTTCAAAGCTATGAGTGAAGTTAACGGTACCACCAAAAACCCAATTATCTGTATGTTACCATGGTTCTCTTCTAAACCCTTTAAGTTGCCTGAAACTAACTATTAACCAGTCGCTCCAGAGACGTATCAGTACGACAAAGAATCCTTGGATGAAGAACAAGTTAGTAGTGATCCTATTGCGCAATTCACTAAGTGGTTTGCCGAGGCCCAGCAAGACCCCAATGAAGCTATTCCAGAAGCGGTGAATTTTGCTTCTGCCGAGCTTCCTAGTGGGCGGATATCCTCCAGAGTTTTGCTCTTCAAGGAGCTGGACGATCGTGGATTTACCATATACTCCAATTGGGAAACATCGAGAAAGGCACAGGATGTCAAGACCAACCCACAGGCTGCATTAACATTTTTCTGGAAGAACCTTCAGAGACAGGTGAGAGTAGAGGGGCTTGTAGAAAAAGTCAGCCGTGAAACCTCTGAACGCTACTTTAAAACCAGGCCTCGCGGCTCAAAGATCGGGGCTTGGTCTTCACCTCAATCAGCAGTTTTAAAGGATCGCGCGGAATTAAAGCAGCTTGTGGAGCACAATGAAGCTCGGTTCGACGGTGTGGAAGATGTCCCCTGCCCCGATTTCTGGGGCGGGGTACGTGTGGTACCCTTGATTGTAGAATTTTGGCAAGGGAGACCCAGTCGTTTGCATGATCGTGTTGTTTTCAGAAGAAAGTCCGAGAGCGAACCTTGGGAATTGTTGAGAATAGCGCCTTAAGCGAGAGGTGACCGATAGGCAACGTATGACAATCCACCTCAAAAAATTATTACAGACAATAACATACTATACAGCAATGCTTTCCAGAACGGTACATATGCTGGCGTAAATACTAGTATTGTACAGCTTCACCTCACTGGCAAATGCCTTGAGCTGGGTCTCCACAAATTTTCGTTCAGCCAGCTGAAATGAAAGGCTTTGATGAAGAGAGATATAGCAGCAGATGAGCAGGTACATGTTGTGCTTAAATTTGTAGGCGCAACCTTTATCCGAGAGTTTGTGCAGATCCTTTAGCATGCAATAAAGCCTATCCAACATTTTCTCTCCCAGCGCTACTTGAAGCACTCCTTGTATTTGTATCACATTAAGACATAATCCAAGATGCAAGACCACCACATCCTCGAGGTTCTGAGCGCTGTGAAGATATTCGAGCAAAAAAGAAAGTGAAGCTTCAAAAACCTTTTCGGCGCCCCGGCCTTGTAGCTGGGTGTTGTCATTAGTAGCCTTTACCAAAGCCTTGACGAGGCCATCGTCTGTGATATGGGCTGGAAACCATGAGACTAGCGCCTCAAACCACCTCGATAGAGGAACGGCCTGACTGGAGCTCTTGCAGAGTATCTTTTCTGCGACTTTGAATAGGTCATGGGGATATGAACAGTTTTCCTCCAGAAGACGTATTGCTATGTCACACTCGCGTGAATCGACCACGTCATGGTGGTCAAGGCTAACATTCCACAATTTAAGCCCATAAAGGAGGCCTGAAGTTGAACCAACGAGTTGCAAAAATTCATTGTAGCGTGAAAGAAGGACCTCAGTCACTGCGCGGTCCGTGTAGTCACTTTCTGGATGGACTAGTTGTAAAAGCAGGTTTCTCAGGCCAATTGAATTCCATAGTGAATTATCGGGTTGCAGACGGAGTTGGCTAAGAACGAAACCACCTACGTGTACAAAAGTATAGTTTTCAAAGCTGCATAGGTCGAGTACACTCTCACAAACTTCTGTTTGATGATGTTTGATCGCGTATTCAAGCATTTCAGGCGACTTCAAAAAAGCCAGCGCTACGTCAAGAAGTCTCGACCTTTTAGCTGGCGCGGTCATTGTTGCATCTCTTTGAAGCATGAACTCAAGCTCATCCTGATATCCCAGCGTCTCACCAGTGGACTTCAATTGATTGAAATGTTGGGTACTCTGAGAAAATTCCCGCGAGTTATGGTCCTCGTCGGAAGAATATGACGCAACACCTTCGTCATCTTCATTGAACACCATCGTTCTGTTCTTACCGTATGTAATTCTAGTGCTCGAAGAGCCGCTGGCCGTTGGATTTTCAGATAGAGCGCTTCCAGCCAATTGCCAATCCGGGTTTCCGCGATTTACAGCTTCCCCAATGGTAGAGATCATTTTATTTGCATCTTGTATCGTACTCTGGAAACTTCTCTCAGCTTGACTTGACGAGATGGTACTGCTGTCGCAATCGCTGGTGTTGTCCGGGTCTACACGGGTACTGTGCTGAAGCGTTTTCTTGCGCCGTTTCAGAGGTTGCTCATCTAAAAAGTCTAGGACTTCAAGCCTCGTGGCTGTTTTCCCGTGGGCAGATTTTTCTGCACAATGCATCACCTTTGGATTAGGCTCTCCACCAAGGCTGGACTTTGGCGTCAGTGCTTCAAACGGTTCATCGCTTGTGAACGTATCCCAGTTGCGTTCTTCATCGCTGAAACTTTCACTTGATAACTCTTGACTGGCAATTAGACTTCGAAACCTGCCATGTCTTCCGTAAGTTCTCATTTGCTGGCCAGTAAAGTTTTAGATTGTAGCGCCTGAGTAGTGAGTGAAGTAATTAATAGTGAAGCTAATATATAGCATCAATAATATCACGGCCAATACGCGACAATACTTCATAGCCAAGAAACCTGATAGCTTCTACCTAAAGTATGTACGGTGATTTAGGTAGTAAGCTTGTACTAGAAGCCAAAAGAGCTCAACAATTGAATAGAAGCTCGGGAGCAGAACAATTGCCCATGTTTCAGGATGAACTCATAAGAAATATCATCAAAGAAGTCGGCCAACTGTCAAAGTCTGCCGAATATTTGACCGCTCAACAGGAAGAAACGGGTTTCCAGGACAAAGTGGCACGCTGCCAGTATTTTGTGACACTTCTCTGCATCGAGAGGAATAAGCGATGTCTCCTAGCATACCAAAAGTTGCGCAGCGATGCCCTGGACACTTTTACCTGGAATAGAAACGGGATTGACCCGATATCGTCTCTCAATGCAGCTCATCAGGGGAGTGCAAACTTGTCTCATCACGAACAGGAATATCTAAAGGAATACGCTCAATTGGTCACGGATATGAAGAGCGGGGATTACACAGACATCGATCTTTCGGGCAGTCTGACACCTCCTAGCGATGTGTTCATCGATGTACGGGTCCTTAAAGACGCGGGGGAGATCCAGACTGAGTATGGCGTATTCAATTTGATCAAGGATTCGCAGTTTTTCGTTAGACAGGCAGATGTCGAAAGATTAATCCAGCAAGGCTACCTACAGAAACTTTAAGACAACAAACAATACCACAGTACTGCGTGTGCTGTGGCGCAAGCTTTTCTTCGACCTGAGTACCTCAAATGTTGCGAAAGGGTCGTCGCCGGATACGTCAGACAGGCCGTATCGCTCCAAAAACTTGGAAAAGATCGGATCATAGAGCAAGTTAGGATAACTCTTAGTCGAAGGATATTGCAAAAGGCTACCCGATGCCCATCTAATGGTCCTAGCGCTGAATTCGGTGAACTATAACTTGGTGTCATCATCGACGTATAATCATAAAGGCGGTGGTGATTTCCTCTAATACTAAAATTTTCCAATATCGTAGCACTAAGCGCGGGGACTAACCGAACCGCAACCTTTCCCACACCAATATGAGTTCGGCGCCAATGAAGCAGTACTTTGACCTGCTACCGAATCAGCTCAGAAAGTTCTTCATAAGATACCCTCCGGGTCTCAAGTACAGCAATAAACCAAGTTCAACGAATGCGCCGGATGCAAACCCGTTTCTGCCTAACAAGCATCCTGTTACAGGAAAATATCACAACCCGAAATACTCGCTGAGAAGGATGAGCGAGCTGTATAAAAGTGCCTATGAATACGGGCTCCACGAACTTTTACCTCCAAGCAACAAATTGTTCTACGAGCAGAAGTACGAACAGAAAAAGTTCATGAAGGGCGTTTTGTTACCAAAGGGCCACAAGCATGAGTTAGCACAATCAGCAAAGCTGCGTACGATGAAGGAGGCAATCAAGAATGCTGACGACTATATTTTGGAGGTCAAGGGTCGCAAGTACGCTAATAAATTGGAAAAACGGAAACAGGGAAGGACCCCCAGCTGGTTTTAATGCCCAAAGCCCCTTGGCCATGGAACAGGCTCTCAAACATACAGATAGCACGCCCTTGTACATAACTACCTAGCACTATGTTTGGACCCTTCTCCCAACATATATATATATATATATATATCTTTGATTTTTTGCAGGCCAGGCCATCTCAAAATTTACTTGTGTGTTTCTCTCTTCTTTAACAGCATGAAGGTATGACAACCACCTCGTCGGCATACCATCAACCAGCAGTCCACTAGAGATGCCACGAGAGTTCCATATAGACGAGAATCTCTCGGATAAACGGTTGAATAATCAATCAACCTCGTTGGTAATACCACATATCACCCGAAATAGAATTCATAATTCCATGTATTACAAGGTGAACTTAGATCCAGCTGCGCTGAGGGGAAACAGTATGATTCAATTGACGAGAGCAATGGTGCGAGAGCTGGGAAGCTGTCGCAAGAGCTCGGCGAAAATGGCTATTGTTTGCGGAGGGGTTGAGTTTAAATGCTTGCTTATGAAGTTGATCCACATCAGACCCACTTGGGATCAACTGCTCGTGATTCTGCAAAAAGGCAATGAGCTGTCCTCGAGATTCGACAACAAATATCTGGTGGTGCTGATTCTCGTTTATTTAAGAATCCAGTATTATTTCCTAACGAAGGGTCACGAAAGGCGTCAAATCGAGAGTATTCGGGCATTTGAGAAGCATGGGCCCATAATACCGGAGAACCTGGAGGCTCTACTAAGGATTTATATGAATGATTATCGCAAAGTAAAAAGTATGTCTTTAGAATCGGATTGTTGGGGTCAGAGTGGGCAACGAAAAGTGGAGGTGTTACACATCGACGAGGTTGTGGACTGGCTGTGCACCCACAACCAAATATGGGGGATCCCTCTCGGTAAATGCCAGTGGAGCAACATATTTGAGGAGAGCGAGAGTGAGAGTGAAAGTGAAAGTGAGAGCGAGACCGATAGTAGCGCTGGCGAAAGCGGTGACGAAAACGGAAGAAACGTCAGCCACATCGAAAGTGACAGCTAGAACGGCCTACCGCGGACACGGGTTTTATGCTACCGATCTTATTATTTTACTATACAGGGTTATATCTGCGTCTGTGAGTCCGAGATGCCAACGCCGTTGTGGCCACAATGTCTATAAGGCTCGCTTGACTCGTTTCGTGGAAGCATCGTTACCGTCCATTCTTCTCTTTCTGCTATAGTCGTCGGCAACCTTGCCTGTGCGTCTCAAGCGGTTCAGATGTCTCTCGTCAACCAACAGCGAATCCAGATTCAGTGAGTCTGGCAATATGATTTGCCGGATGGTATTACCTCGGATGTTGATGTATTGCAAGGATGTGGTTTTCTGCTCCCCATTGTGTTGTCCACCGCTCAGGAAAACACCTGCCAAGGCCATATTGCTACTTTTGCTGGGTAGTGACAGTTTTACGTCTGTAAGCGTAGCGTTCATCTGCGGAGAAACGGTCTGTAACGTCCCCCATACTGTGGTACCGTTTTTCAGCTCCACTGTGACCTGCTCATTGCGAAGTTTCATCAAAAAATGAACAAGCTTCATCCTGTAATACGCTGGTCCCACAAAGATAGGAATACGTGTTACGGTCGATAGCGATGTGGTGCTGTCGGATCGTAAGAGCGATTGAAGAACAGCTTGAATTTCGTCAAAAAGTCATGATACACGACATACTTATACATGCAACTTAATATGTGAGAGGTAAAAGGCTCAAGGCTGACCCTGCAATACCTTGCAATGTCCAGTTTCTGATTCGCACTGTGACCTGAATCAGATCGTCTACAAATTGTAGAACTTTCTCTCTCGTTCGCGAGATCTTTGCGGCATGCTTCTGTTGTCATGAAAGTACAAAGTGATCAAAATACTTTGTACCGGTTTAGTTCGTAAGTTTGTGTCTATATAACCTTACTGGTCCACAGTGAGACCGATAGGCCTCTACTAGCTGCATTGGTGTCAACTACAGGTTTTCCAGTCTTAATCTTGAAATAATAAGAAACCATTGTCAAGTGTGAGATCCTGATTCTACAGGTCAAGACTTGACGGAGCAGAGAGTTTGGTGGCGCTAAGACTGATCTACACACAATAACCACGCCCTTCCTGGCCCTCTTACATATAGTTCTGACTAGTAATATTAGCTTTTATCCACTATGATGCTCGCTTATCAGTTGAATTCTCATCCAGATACGGAATTTTATTTAAGATTTCGTTGACGGGTATGTGCGAAAGAAAACTCATCTCGATAAGATGGTAGGGTATACATACAGACAACTAGAGAGATAAAGTTAACCCTGAACAGGCTTCAAAAAGCGATAGACCCATCCTTTCCGAAATAGATTGTCCCCCGTGATGTCAATGCGTACCCAAGCAAATCCGCTTGCCACTTATAACGTTTTATTGCAAAGACGTCCTTTGCTGACCAAAATAGCCACTGGAGCTGTGCTAAGTGCTCTAAGTGAGCTCATCAGCCAGTTCACAACGCCTTCGGTTCAAACATTAGGCGAAAACGACGATGGCAGACCCAAGTCCAGTTTGCAAAAAGTGAAATCTCTGTTGCAGAAGCCCAAATACTGCAAGCTTCTGGTAATGTTGTTATATGGGGGATTGGTTAACGCTCCCATCAACCATTATTTCTACGGCTGGATCACGCAATTTACGAACCGCAGCGTGGCTCCAAGGTGGAAGCGTTTGGCGCAGCTGTGCGGATCCTGGTTTGTTGTTAGCCCAATCCAAGTGCTGGGCCTGATCACGGCTCTTACTTTGGTCAATTCCCCAGAACAGCAAATGTCGCATAAACTTACTGCAGTGGCGGCTAGCCTGCGTGCCAGATATGGGCCAATGCTTACCAGCAGTGTGATAAGCTCCACTGCGTTCGTTTCCATTGCCCAGCAATACATTAGTCCCGAGAAATGGTCTGTGTTTTTCAGCCTAGCATATGCCGTTCTCAACACGGGCCAGAATATTTACATGAAGATATCATCAGAGCCCGAGCAACAATCAAAGTAGCGCGGAACAAGCGGCTATAATGCTTGGTCATATAGAGACAAGTAGCTTTACAATTGGAACAGCAGCTCGCCCATCTAAAGAACTAGCGGTTCTGTTAGGCGTCGGGCTTTTTAGGGCCTTGTCCACCGGCGCCGTCTTTTTTCTTAGCTTTTGAGCTGGGTCGTTTTTTACCTTTGGCCTTCTTCCCAGACTTGTTGCTGGGCTGAGATTTATTTTCCGCAGGGTTGGCTGTTGCGACAGAGCCGATGTTGGCTTCTCTTTCGACCATTTTTTTTATCCTCTCTCGCCTCTGCAACTCACGTCTTCCTGCAGCTTCAATAATAACCATGTTTTGTTTATCCTCGCTAGAACCTTTCGAAGTTGGTTTCTTCGTTTTCTTCTTAGGCTCACCTGCATCTGAGACCTTCTTCTTTGTCTTACTCTTCTTTTTCCTTTTGGATTTCTCCTTTGTAACTTCACCGGCCAGCGCAATTATAGCGCGCTCACCTTGATGCCTTATCCTAGCTTCTTCTTCTCGTTTGCGATCCAGACCCTTTTGCAAAGGCTGGATTACGCTTAGCTCCGCATATCCGTAGAGGTCCCGCTCTTCCTCAAGAAGAGCCAACGACTTTAAAAATGTTTGAAATATCTTATCCTTTTCTATGGAACCCTCCAAACGAGATTTGATACCTTTAACACCCTTGCTGTCTTCGGTTCTTAATTTCTTGACGTATGGACTGGCGCTCATTGTCGGCATCATTGAGTTGTTAGTATCATCTGTGAATTTCAAGTTACCAATCGTCCTCACGAAATCCTGCACCTTTGCCGGCTCATAAAACGTCAAATAAGCCCTGGAGTACGTCGGTTGCTTGAAAGGTTTCCTCGAATAATGTCCCGGGACGTAGTAGTGAGATTCAACGTCTTGGCTGAAGAATCCAGCATCCGATGATTTTCCCGATGCTGATCCCAGAGCTTTGAAAACAACTTCAAAAAACTGCTTTTCGGTCAGGTTTGGCGGCAGTAGCCTCACCACCAGTTTGTGTTGGGCTGTGAGCCGCACATTTTGCCCTTTAGTCTTCTTCTGACGTTTCTTGGCCTTGGCATTTTCTGGTCCTGCTGTCGTTGATTGACCATCGTTTTTGGACTTTTTGGAGCCTCCTTGCTTCTTGCCACCTGTTTTTCGACCCGTATTGCGCTTTACCTCATGCTCAGATCGATCTCGGGGCCTTTCATCCATGGTCTTTCATGATTTAAAGTAATGGTCAAAGATTAGGTATGCTTTTCCTAAAATTTTCCAAATATTACATACCAATAGCGATGATCTCGACAGAATGGAAATTAGCCTACATAGAGTTTTCGGTTCCCTATCATGGAGAACCCTCAATTAAACACCTTTTTCGCTAGGATCAGCTCTGGAGATTTCAATTGCTTGATTTTAAACCTGGATACGAATGGCGCCTTAGTCGCCCAGTTACAGGCAGATTTGCAAAACATCACCTCGGACAACGACCTAGAAGAATTGGTCGAGAGACAAAAGTTCCACAAAGGCTCCTGGACTAGGTTTAATATTCTGGTGACCAGCTTCCTCAAATATTGCAAAGATGTTAATCCGTGGTCGCTGTGGGAAAGCTCAGACCTCATATTCACATACTACCAGGATTTAACAAACTGTCTGCTAAATGATAACTTTCCCGCAAACTCGTTAGTTCCACTCTTTCAGGATACAACAGAATACGCGATTGTGCTAGCTAAGAGACTTGATTCCAAATATCGCGACTTAGGAACTCGGCAGCATCAATTCTTGGCATACATGTCTTCCGTAATTACCAAATTGTTCAACAGCATCAAACCTCGTTACGAAGAACCGGCTCTGCGATTCCAAGAGCTGCCCAAAAAACAGCAAATTTTGCTCTATACTGCCAACAAACTGAACAACATTTATATGCACATCGACTCTCCTTCATCGTGCGCTAACATCTTTAAAAATGTGAAACCCAAATCGGCTATACAGAGCTTTTCTCAGTACCCAATAAAAGAGCAGATTGAGTACCGCTATCTACTAGGCCGTTACTACCTGCTCAACCATAGAGTCTCCAATGGCTTCCATCAGTTAAACTGCGCCTTTTCTCTACTAGCGGTGTGCGTTAACAAATCTCCACCAAATACGGCAACTCGCAGAAACCTCCAGCGCATTCTCAACTTTCTCCTTCCAGCAGCAATCCTTTTTGGCAAAACGCCGTCTTGGGATTTGTGCCGATATTACGACCCGGACTCGACAAATACGTTTGAACAGCTGGTTCACGCTGTGAAGACCGGAAATATGCACAGTTTCAACGTCTGGCTGGCCCAGCACGAGCACGCGCTACGCTCACGAAAGCTTCTAATCCTTCTTCTCGAGAAAATCCCACTTCTGGTGTACCGCAATCTTATCCGGCGCACCGTCTTAACTTTTTGTTTCCCATCTAACACCAATAAAATACCTTATACAATCCTGGAAGAGGCTGTTAGGATATCTCTGGGGTCTTCGGACGGGTTCCAGTCCATTTATACTCTAATTCATACCCCAGAAAACGTCCCTAACCTCCTGGAATCACTGGTCAATCTGGGTCTGATGAAAGCTAACTGTTTCCCAATAAGCAAACAATGCGTGTTTCCTAAATCCGACAAGATCGACTTTATATTCCCTGCGATCAACGAAAAACTCATTGCCTTCTTTCCCCTGAACAACGATGACACCTGGCTAGATGATTAATCGCTCTAGAATACCGCACTTCTGAACCAACATGAAGGCATTCAAGCTATGACAAGAATTACATATATCTCTTCACCTGCACTAAAAAAGAGTAAGAAGTTGGATGACCTGGCCATGCATTAGCACGGTTATCCGGGCCATTGAAGTGGGTCAGGTTATACATGGAGATTAGAACATTCAAAACTCGACCTAGCGTAAAGCTTCATCCGACAAAAGATAGACAAAGAGCCATCAAGTAATTCTACCCATACTGCACCTAAAATAATAGAACCGCCTTTAGTTGTATGGATTACATGTATTGATTGACACGATGATTGTCTCTATCGGTCCTCATCAGAGCAAGGGAAGTCGTTACAGACGAGCATAGTTCTGAAAATTTGTTGAAGTATTAGAGGTTAAGCAAGTTCCATAACAATTACATAGCAGCATTAAAGGAAGATAGAACTTAAAACCATCCCAATCTGTTGGTAACAAGCTCATAACTATTAATAATTTCGAAAAATATCGTTGGAATACAGGGAAAATATATTTTGGGGGTTGAACAGGGCGTTTTTTGTATTTGAACAATTGATAGAAAGTAATTCATCTGACAAGGATCATAGAAACCCGAACTTCATAATTAGTCAGTTTCCGTGGTTGACATAAAAGAAGTTTTGTTGTTCGAGACATCGCCATTAGATTTTTATACTGCGTAACACAAGGTAGGGCGGGAAACATAACACCAAAATGGTGGAAAGAGGGCCTGATCAGTGGCTCGAGAAAATAAAAAAATGCCAGTCCCTCACCGAAAGCGAGATGAAACAGCTGTGTGAAATGGTGAAGGAGCTGCTCATGGAGGAGTCAAATATTCAGCCAGTTCAGACACCTGTGACTGTGTGCGGAGATATCCACGGCCAGTTCCACGATCTGCTAGAACTGTTCCGCACGGCGGGCGGGCTTCCCGACGAAGTAAACTACATCTTCCTCGGAGACTATGTGGATCGTGGGTATTACAGTCTCGAAACCTTCACGCTGTTAATGTGCCTGAAAGTGAGGTATCCGGCTCGGCTGACGCTGGTACGTGGGAATCACGAGTCGCGCCAGATTACACAGGTATACGGCTTCTACGAGGAGTGCTTGAACAAATATGGCTCAACGACAGTATGGAAGTATTGCTGTCAGGTATTTGACTTCCTTACACTAGCGGCGATCATCGACGGTAAGATTCTATGTGTTCACGGAGGGCTATCACCAGAGATCCGAATGCTGGACCAAATTCGGGTTTTATCAAGAGCCCAGGAAGTTCCACACGAAGGAGGATTTTCGGACTTGTTGTGGAGTGATCCGGACAATGTAGAGGCCTGGCAGGTTTCTCCGCGTGGTGCCGGGTGGTTGTTTGGTAGCAAAGTTGCTAGGGAATTCAATCATGTCAATGGCCTAAATTTGATAGCACGGGCACATCAGCTGGTTATGGAGGGTTTCAAGTATCATTTCCCAGAGAAAGACGTAGTAACCGTCTGGTCAGCCCCCAACTACTGCTATCGGTGCGGTAACGTCGCGAGTGTAATGAAGGTGGACGAAGATCTGGAACCTACTTTCAAGATTTTTTCTGCGGTTCCCGACGACTACATCCAGGAAACCACTCATAATAACCAGAGAGGAGGCTACTTCTTGTGAAGTGACGTGCAGCATTTTCTTCCCTAGCGGTCACTGATATAGACTCACTGTACACCACTGGCTTGAAAACCCAGCATAAGGCGGTCTCGGGTGCGGACCACGTAGCTGTGTGGCACGCAGGTGGGTTTCTCGACCAAATTTTCATGACGATCACGAACTTCCGCTGACGACCATTTTATCATTATTCATTCAACCTATTTAGCACTGCACTACAAACGGCAAACGAAAATACCTTTTAATACGTCCCAATTCCCTCAGAAGATACAATAAGACTCTCCACGAGCACAAGACGCTTGCAAATATACGGCCGTAATGATGCCGTGGACTTGTAGTGTTCTACTAACACACTAGTCTGGCGAATTTCGCTCGATAAGGTAATTTTAGCGAACAACTTCCTCAGGCTATGGTACTAGTTAGATTGGCCATGGTGGCTGTGGAATACGGTTAGACTGTTGAAGTCTACTCGTGAATTTGCTTTCTTTATCGACTGAAGAATCGGATGGATAACCAAGCGGAGGATCACCTAGCTGACACCTTCATAAAAACATCACTTCATACTAATTGGTGGTTGTGGGTTTAATTAATAGTTGACCACCTCCCTTTTCTACTCATGTTACACAAACTATCATCGCATCTTTCAGCTTTTCTTCAGGATAATTGACTATTTCTCTTGACAGCCGGACAGTTCTAAGTCGAACTAATATGGCTCGTTTCAGTATATTACTATTCACGTTTTTGTGTGCTTTTGTCGCTGCTACTCCAGTGTGGCCTGCTTTCTTCAGGTTTCCTGGAACGAGAGCCCAGACGAAACCTATTGCGGGAAATTCACCATTCCAAACGTGTGACGCGGAAGAGCAACAGCTTCTGGATGTTAAGCTTGTCAACTTGTTGCCCAACCCTCCCGTTCGCGGCGAAAACATTACTATTTCTGCGGCAGGCTTTGTGAAGGACACCATCGAGGAAGGTGCTTACGTTGATGTCGAGGTCCGCTTGGGCTATATCAAGCTGCTCACCCAAACGTATAATTTGTGTGAAGAGCTCGAGAACAATGACGTTGGGGGGTTGAAATGCCCCATCAAGGCCGGGGACTATATCATTGAGAAAACGGTTGAAATCCCCAAAGAAGTTCCTCCCGGAAAATACTCTGTCGTCGCAAGGGCCTATACGGATGATGACGACGAAATCACTTGTCTAAGCGGCGACATTTACTTTCCAACCTACTAGACCCTGAAAAGTAGCAAAATAATGTAAAGAAGAGCCACTCGTCAGAAAAGAATTAGAAAAATTAAAAAGTAAAACCACCAAGTGTGGCCAGCAGCTTCCCGACAATACGACTCCTGGGGCTGTTATTCCATTCAGCTCAGTCAGCTGTATCTGCCATTGTTCTTCCCGGTGCCCATCATTGTAGGTCACTAACAACGGCGGCAAACCATCCATAGCACTAGTAATAGTATTTAATCAACAGTGGCTCTTCTGATTATGCGCTTAAACAACGTTCTTGAAAGATTGTCACAACTGCTAGTATATCAACGCTATAAACGACGATGCTCGCTGCGAAATTGCTACGCTCCACAATGTGTGGAGTTTCTCGTCCAGTGACCAGAATCTCTACCTATCAGTTGTATTCTACAAACGTGTCACTGAAAATTCCTCCCATCAAACGTGTAGGAGAATCCCTGGATCGCAAAAAAGCTCGCTTAGTCTACCAGTCACGTAAGAGAGGTATCCTGGAGACGGATTTGCTGCTTTCCCGGTTCGCAGCCAAATATCTGAACTCGATGACTCCAGAAGAACTGGATGAGTATGACGCACTACTAGACGAACTTGACTGGGACATCTATTACTGGGCCACGAAAAACTACACGATAACTCCGTTGCCGGAAAAATTCAAAAATTCTAAGCTACTCCTAAAACTGCAAGATTTTAGTGAAAACAAAGACAAGGAGATTCTAAGAATGCCAGAACTACACGAACAAAGGTAAAAAAATAAGCAGTCCAAGGGGGCAAAGTTGATGAAGGAATTCAGATTTCTCTCGACATCCGAGTGAACGTTTTCACCCACCCACGTCCGACAACACCGAGAACTTTCAACGACTATGGTGGTTTGGAACTGTTAACCTATAAGACCCGTTTTTTGCCAAGCCCTTACGTTAGTAAATACCCATGTACTGCAATGTGGGCTACCTATGTATTTAGATACGTCTGACAAAATCAATCACAAAGGAGTTCTGGCCATGAGCAATGTGCTGTTTGTAAGACAAAAATTGATGGGAGCTCTATTGTCATGTCGGTGGACTAGAGGTTGACTGAGCCTTACTCGATTCGCTTGGTACTGAAGGCTGTACTCGGGGAAGAGTTTCATGTACTCATGGTGTTTTGTCATTCAGAGATTATAAAAATCTAGCCGGCATATAAGTCAAAAATTTACCAGAGCCCATCGGAGCTTCATCAACAGACTCTAAATAACTCACTCGTGGAGCTCTTCTGTATCGTACGCCACTAGTCCAAAATGTCCGGCAAGGCTCCTGTATACAGACTTCCGCCCTTACCCCGGTTGAAGGTCAAAAAACCCATTATCCAAATGGAAACCAATAAGTGTTTAGTGTTGATGTCCAATTTGTTGCAATGCTGGTCGTCCAACGGCCACATGAATCCTGTATGCGAAAAGCTAGCCAACGATTTAAAACTATGCTCTGCCGAAAGAGCTATGGGTAAAAGCACAGGGGTTCAAAAGAGCAACATCAACTACCACGCAGCCAGACTTTACGACCGGGTTTCTGGTAAACCGCACGATTGAAAAAGACCAAATTAATATTGCTAGCACCACTTAAATTCGCGTGCTGCTACGCAAAAACCTTCCTTCTCTGTATATATGTACTTAATTAAAGTCCTCGCATTACTTCCAATGATTCGTCGGAGCTACTGACTTTCACCTCGCAACCCTGTGCAAAATTTGTAGTCCGTTGCTGCTCACCTCTATCCATTCATTTAGCTTCTCCCTGCCCTTTCCAGAGAATCGTCAACCAAGTACCATCCCGGATAGTACTCGTCATCGCTACATCCAGCGAATAGCTGTACATCAGCGCTTGACAGCTTCGAAACGCGTACTTTGTTTATGTCCTCTTTCCGCTTTCCAAATGCATTCTCGATTTCCCACTGGAAAGGATTCTGTAAATCCGAGTGCGATTTCTTCAAAAAAGGATTCGGAACGGTACTGTTGATACTTCCTATTGACGTGAAGCCAGTCTCGTATAACCCACATATCTCCTCATTTGAATACAGTAGTAAACTCCATACATTAGCCAATTTCCAATGCAGCAGAGGCTGAATACGCATGAAAGTGGGCCAGTTTTTATCCGTTTTCTGAACGCAGTCTAAATCTGAGCCAAAGGGATCCGTATGACGGATGCCTATTACAATAGCCTCTGTCTGAGGGTGAACATCTAGGAATTTTTTGAAAGCTTCGGGCATACTCGTTTGGTTTTGTGGTGATTCGTAGACCGAAAGGAAATACCGCTTCCTTGTGGACTCAATTGAGTTCTCCAGCGTTGTGAATGTTTCCGTCTGATTGATGTATACTGTGGGTAGAAATCGCAGAGGGAATTGATGATATTGTGCAGGATACTGAGACGAGCCAACGCTTTCTGCAAAAAACTCCCAAAGGCACGACAAATACAAAATTAATAGTACTTGGCAATCCTTACCACCATTATAGGAAAACGACAACTTCTTGCTAAACGGGTTCCATTGAGTAAACACATCTTGTAAAAAATAGCGACGAGTCAAGTTGAGCGCTTCTTTGGTAGAGCCTACAATAGCAGAATCGCTTGAAGAAGCCAAATAACTGGATGTGATATGATAACAGCGTTCTGCCACTTCTGCTAGGGTCATTTCTGGCTTGCTTTGTATTACCCGTCGTTGTAGAGTTTTTTGACTATTTGATCTTGATTTCCGCCAGAGCCACATAATAACATAGTGAAAACCTATTATGCTGTTATAGTACATAATGATTGTAAATGAAATGTCGTCTATATACATGGTCGCGGCCGCAATGGCGTGCTTGCTAATTGCTTAGTCGTCGGTCTACGTTTCAAAAGCTTGACTTCTCTTCAGCTTTCTCATGTAGTTTTCAATGTAGCTCAAATCCTGAGCATTTTCTCGGCACCACACAACGCCAACTGTCACCGGCTGTTCAGAGTTTTCAGTATCGTCAACAACCCCATCGTTCATGTAATGCATAGTTTTGGCGATTTTTTCAAGTAGATCAACGGTGTTGAGATCACCCATTATTCCATTTGCAGTCATTTCAGCAACGATTTGCCGGAGCTGATTGATATCCTGGTAATTCTTCCATGAAAATTCTATCAATGTGTTGTAGAAATCGACGTTGCACACATTGAGATAAAGCGATACATCGGCCGCCCGCTTACACAGGTTGTAAATTAGTGCTATCAGGGCATATCTCCTGTCAGTAGGAAATGTGAAGTCTTTGTTGGTTAACAGATATCTGATGATAAAGGGCGTTGTGGCTTTGAACGGTTGAGGTAGTTGCTCCGGTGTGGCGATACATGCTTCTTTTACGTGGTGAAGCGATTGTGCTTCTAGAGCTGGGTCTCTCGACAGGTATTGGTCAAAGTACTCGCGCACGACGGCCATGCAGTCCCCATCAGTTTGAATACGCTTTGAAAGGTAAGATAGATGCGGTTCCAAATACACTTCAAGTGTGGCATTCAAACGCTCTTTTGATTCGATTTGCCGTAAAATTCCCAATTCGGTGGTTCCGTTACTTGTCCTGGAGCTTGAATTTTTAAAAAACTCGGGGCCCGCCTCTTCCACCGGAGAGCGGCTTTGACTGAGGCCCCCTACGCGTGATATATCAGGAGTTCGTACTTCGCCGTTTGATGTCGACTTGTTGGTGAAATATGCCGGTGTCAATGAGACAGGATACTTTCGAATATCTTCAGTGGTCATTCTAGCCAGTCCCCCTGTATCCTCCATTTCTTGGCTTACAGCATCTTTGAAGAACTGCGAAAGCTTGCTGTTAACAGACTCAGAGTTTTTTTTATCGAAAACAATCTGCACATGCTCATCTGGATGCGCATTTCGATCTTCTTGATTCGTAGGTGCCTCTGCGCTGGACGTAGATGATTTCAAAACGTTTTGAGAAAGCTTCTTCTTCTCATCTTTCTTCATGATTTGCGTGAAGATCTGCTCGAATAGTGTTTTTTCCTGGATTGAGGAAACTTGTTCATCTTTAAACCCATCTACCGCTTGAGTGTCCACACGTTTCGTTTGTTTTTGATGTAGAGAGCATGCACGACTAAAGCCTCGTCTCTGATGTCTACCATGGCTCAAAAGTCGTCTCATAATCCCTACGTGACGTACTAGGGCCCTTTGCGACCGTCCTATAGTTCTGTTTAGGTCAGAAGTCTCGGTTCATCAGTAAGGAATTTTTCAAAGGTGATGATGGGCTACCCGATGATCACTAACCAACAAAAATACTCAGAGCTCACGGTACATACACAAATATAGAGAGTAAATAGTCCTCAGTATCCAATATATTTATATTCTACATCTAGCTCAACTTGAATAGCTATTCTAACTCTAAAATCCTTCAAGCGCTCTAGTGGCCTTATCCAGCCTTTTCATTCCTTCTTGGAAACGCTCGGGATCTAGGACCATATCAGCAGTCAGCCTGGAGAGCGAATCGACAAGCCTTTCTAAGGCTCTTTTTTCCTCCGTTTTCATTCCCAGATTTGCAAACTCTGACCCTATTAGTGTTCCTTTGGTAACATTGAGCATTTGAGAAATGGTGTCGATATCGAAAGAACGCAGTTCTTGTTTTCGATTTTTATTGGAGGTACGTTTGGTACCACTAGCTCCATGCCGCGCTTTGGCGGCACCAGACTTAGCTCCTTTTGGTTTTGTGTTGGAAATGTGGCTACCAGTCTCTGATTCGCCTTGGGGCTCGTCCAAAATATCTTCGTATTCGTCATCATTATCATTGATAAGCCGGGTATCTGCTCCAGTGCTGTTGGCATCCGGATTCAACTCTTTATTGGCTCTCAGTAGAGATGCAGGCAAACTGGGCATACGTGGTGGTATTGACGAATCTTCTTGAGAAACGGGGGACAATATGAGGGTATCATTACGGCTGAGAGATTCTCGCTTGCGGTGCTCCAGATTATCAGTGGGTACAGTCGGTAGAGGTCTATGAAGGTAGCTGTCCTCATCCGGTTGCCCAAAGTTGTCTTCGTCATCATCGTCGTCATAAAGATTTGCTTGGTCTGCTGCTGAAAAGTAACTGCTAGATTTGTTGGTACTCGCACGAGACACGCTTTGAGAGCTCTCAAGACTCATTTGTTCCTGTAACTGTTTCTGAATATCCTCTAGCCCATCTTTAATAAAAAGATGTGATTTGGGTCTGTTGCGACTCCTGGGGGGGATGGACGGGTTGTAGGTTGAGGTCGAGGATCTGTCTGGAAATTTGACATGGGTAGGATCCGTCGGTATATCTGTACGTAGAGCTGGTACAATGCTGGATGCCAAGGATCGGGCGTCGCTGTCATTCCTGGCCAAGCTCTGGCTTGACTTTGCCGTGAATGACCGCTGGGGCGAAGGCTGGAGAGAACTATGTTCTTGCTGAGGGCTCGCAGTGCTGGCATTTGAAGTTGGTGCTGCTTTTAGAATTTCGTGGTCAATATTTTCTGAGGGTGTTGCCTTGTGAAACTTATTATCATTTCCGCTCAGGGCTGAAAGATTATGCGAATGGCCGCTTTCACTTGCCAAGTTTCCAGACCCTATTGAAGAGTTTTTGTTGTGTTGGGAACCCTGGGACTCAGATAGCTTGAGAGTAAGCGAGTTGGGTTGTTTTGCGTTGCGATTCCCACCCCTGCGATCGGCTGGAGTAGATATCAGACCATGTTTACCATGTTCGTAGATCGCTTGATTTCCAACATTGGTCCGGGCAGTTTTTCCCACAGTCTCTTCTGATACTGGGAATTGAACGGACGAGTAAATCACCGGTGGCTCCTTAACAGCGTTTTCTGATTTATTTCCCATATATACAGGAACCCCCTCGTGAATACTGGCCGAGTAATCTGAAATCATACTCTCGCGGTTGCCAGGACTGCCATACTTGTGCTTTGGACTTGCAAGTATTTTATCAGATGCACCATAATTCTGAATGAATGGTGGCCTTGACAATGTATCCGGGGAAGAGGATGAGCCGCTGGCCAAGTTTCTCTTCACTGGTGTATTAGAAGCCGAATTTTGCCGATAAAGAATCTCGTCGCTTTTTGCGTCATGGAATGAATCTATCATGGCAGAAAGTCTCTTTGTATTGGTATTCATAGCTATTTTGGTGGAAAACAATATGCTTCCAACTAGCCTGGAGGAGAAACACAGTTGTCGATTATGATTAAAGTGCCTTTGATCCTAGTCAAAACGTTGATATGAAGCCGAGTAAGACATAAAGTATCTAGTAGATCAGCTCTTCCACATTCCCATTGATCGTCCCTCCCAAAGAAGCAATACGTAAACATCAACACTTTTCTAGTTTATCTGATAAAATTAAAGCTGTCAGAAGTCACATGCTGATGGAGTCAGGGGCGATGTTACTGACAAGTGACCAGCAAGACTCATTCATGTATGTGAACTCAGCAGGCGTTCCCGCTAGTTGGTCGCATTTTTTTGTCGTGTTTATAGCCGAGCAGCAAATCACCAAATAGGCTGTTGGTATTTGCCAGCAGGCCATAACCACTTTTCAGGTCTTTAAATGGAAAGAGTAACACGCTAGAAGCACCAATTTGCCACACACCTGCCCTTCTCCTTTTGCTACATATTTGCTACTACACAAATTGATGGGAAAGGGTCCAGTGTTTGCTGGCTGTCCATCCATGAGTAGAACACCCTCCGACGCAAGAACCGAAAAAACTTCCTCCCCCATTGCCGTTGTTTTAACCGCTTCCACCGTGAAACTTTTAAGGTTCGTCCATTTGCAGAATGAAGGATTGCTTCCCGCTTGGCGTTCATGAATCTAAGTCAGCCACTTTACATGATTGGCAACGGCAAGTACGAGCCTCAGGCAAGTTCATTCTCACTCTAATCATCTGTTGTAGATCTAAGGACCTATCCTTTCATTACCCTAGATCTCCATTCGATCTTCTCCGAAGTGTTTCGTGGCCAACCGTTGATGTAAGGAACTTCAGCAGGTTTCACTAACAAACCACTCGCTGCCTTCACTATTAATTTACATGACCACCTCGCAGCCGCCACTCTTGGTGAAAGGACTCTCTGTTGAGCGAGATGAGCCATAATTTTGTGATTTGTGAGATAAGCTAAAATCCTTGCCTAAGACCGCAATTGATCAAATCCTCGGTCAGGTATCGCGCTCGGCGACTACAGCACGAATAACTCTCTACGCATATCTCAAGGTTACATGAGCGAATTTGATCCTCATTGATGATCTACTAATTGAGTATGCTTAGATATGTTGATATACCAATAAGGAATAGTTATTAATTAGCTACCTTAAATCGTGTGAAATGTTTCTAAATAAACCGGTCAAGTATGACATTCAACATACTTGGTTAAGACATTGGCGTGGAGCCATGTATCTCAACATGTAATGCTACAGAGTTGGAAAGTGGACTTTGAGTCTAAACCTTGGCCTCAACCTCACTGTCCTCGCTCACTTCAATGATCTCGTTGGAGGCAGTGGAGGTCTTGCTCTCGTCGAAGACATGAAGAGCAAGAGGTTTTAGTAGAGCGGCAAAAACGGATCCAACGAAAGGACCAACCCAGTAGAGCCAGTGGTAACCAGGGAATTCTCTGGCAGCGACGCAAGGGCCGAAAGTTCTGGCAGGGTTGAGTCCAGCACCAGTGTTGGGGACACAGATCATGTGGCCCATGAATAGAGAGAAACCGATGACGAAGGCGGCAGTGACTGGGGCAACCTTCTTGTGGACAACGACGAAGACGGTGATGATTAGGAGGAAAGTGCAGAAGGCCTCAAGGGTTAGAGCGCGACCAACGTTCATGAAGTCACGGTCAATGCCGTTGGCGAAGTTGACTGGGCCAGCGACCCATCCGGAAACGGCCTCGGCAGAGGCAATGGCAGCCAAAAGCTGAACGCCAACCTCTAGCAAGAAACGAGTGACGGAGATGTCGCCAGTCAGAACGAACCCGAGAGCAACGGCTGGGTTGTAGTGACCGCCCGAGAGGTCGCCGAAGGCCAAGATGGCGGTGGCCAAGCCGAAACCGAAGGCAACAGAGATGGATTGCACTTGGGCGTTCTCGACGATGCCTTGGTTGCCGGCAACGTCGTTGGCAGTGGCCGCCATGAGAAATGCAATGGTCAAGAACATGAACGTTCCTGCGAGTTCACCGAGGTAAACGTAAGGACTGAAATCAGCCTTGGTGTCAATGAGCTTGGGGGCCTTGTAGGAAAGCATGTTGAGCTAGTGAGTTGAGGTTGGTAAGAACTGGAGGATGCTGTTCACGAGGAGAAAAGGAGGCAAGACTGATCTGGCAGATGGGGGCTACACTGGTGTCTTTTTATATCTGATTCTGGCAGCGAGCATCTGGCTCATCGGGTTGGCCCATGCACAAACATGCACAGAAAAAAAGAAGTTTTGGTGAGCGCAGATAAAAGAAGTTATTAACTGCACGCCTCTCCAGCGCCAGCCCGACAAAAGTGACCAGGTACGCTTTGATCCAGATCGGAAGGATAAAAAAGAATTCGTTGCTGTTTCCGGCATAAGGCCTACCCCGCTGGCGGCAATGTTAGATCAAGTTTTTTCAGTCACTGCGCTGTGCGTAGCTTCATTGGCTGCCCATCTACTACATCCCATCCTATCCCGGTGTTCCACCAGCACGCTATCAAGAATCCAGCGGTCCATCTTGCCACGGCTCATCACATCTGCATGCCATATGCATGTCGTATGTGATGTAATCGGATTTACCATAACGTAATCTAGCGCCGCATATTACTTTTTCTGCATCCGGTATGCATGGAAAGCACGCCTAAAAGTTGATTTTTTCCTGCGGCATGTTATCTTTTGCATTTGTTGTCAGTGGCACCGTGCTTTCCTGGCGACTGGTAGTTGGAGATGGCCTAGGCTGCCAATTTTCGCTGTGAGTTTAGGCAAGAGCACGGCTGGGGATCAGCAATTAAGAGGTTCTGTGCAGGTGCCGCGCTGCCAAAATGGCTTCTAGAATCCCGATCTATGCGCGTCACGCATCGATGCCAGCTTTCTGGCCACGCGTTCCTTTTTGTTGGAATACGAGGCCCGGAAGTCCCAGAGCGCTGAAGGCCTGAAGAAACCGGGAGCCCTAAAGGCATGGGCTGTCGGTACCTTCAATTACCTGGGTTTGAGAGGCGAGCGGTCCGGAGAATAGTAGGTGTTCCGCTCGGATTACGTGGAAGGACGTAGATGAAGCAGTGTCAATCGACTATCCGGCAAGCGGTCTTAGGCTGAGCCGAACGTGTAGATCTGTGTCTAATTCTCGGAGATAGCGAGGAGGTACAGCGCCTGACGCATCGGCAAGGATGACACCTAGCCGCATATAGCGGAAGGTTTGTACAGCAGTAGCTCTTTGCGCACATCAAGCACACCAGACGGGAGCCCATTTTTTCCCCGTCGCGGGGATCAACTGTCCGAAACCCTGGCTCCACGCAGCAGCTTCTGAACCCGACAAGCACCAGAGACAGCAGCCCGCTCTGCCTATTGGACTGCTGCATGGCAGTTGTGTGGTATCGTTGGCGGTGGTGCACCAACCTAGTGTCTTAATGGTACAAAGCGATACTCGGAACGCCAGTAGAAAAAACAAAGCGAAGTCACGTGACGAGTTACAATGGAAAGCAGGGGAGCAGTGGTGGTTACATGGACACGATCGGGCCTGTCTTTTCAGCTGTAGGGCGCAAAATTGGTGGCCTCGCTAGCCTTGGGATCTGCCTGCTCCGCTGTGACTTTCCGGACTGCATTTTATGCGTCCGTCTTTTGGGACAGACAGGCACTATTCGTGCACAATTCTGGTAATGTATGTGGCTGTGCTTAGGTCCCGTTGCTCTACTAATGACCTCGCCCATAATGCTTGTTTAAAAAGCCTTGGCGGTTGATCACTATTTGGCCGCTCTTCCTCTGCCCCCCTTGGTGGGCCATCTGTCCAGTTCGTTTCTTCGCTTCTTCGTGGTTTTGCCGCTTCACGTAGAGCTCAACTCTGAGAGGGAAATTCAAAGGTTGTAGCGAACAGTCTTTGAAAAACTGCTTCCCAAACCGTGGACTTTTCAGCTGTTCTAGCAACTTTAGCGGCGGAGGAGCTTCGACTTAAGAGCCGTGGCGGTCACAATTAATGGTTTATAATGGATAGTCAAGAAGAAATGACACATTGCCAGCTTACGAAGGATTATGAAATAGAGATGGATGCATCTCATGTAATTCTTTCGTAAGCAATTGAAATGTAAACAAACTTAATTAATCTTGGGCTCGAGATATCTTGCGTATCTGAAAATATTACGTAATTGATCTGAAAAGTATCTGTTTTTTTTTATCGAATAACGGTTTTTGGGTACATGCATCATCACCCACCTCCAAGCGCTACATGCTTACGAACACATCGTTCAAATATCTAATTCAACTATCACGCGATAAAGTACTATTCCTCTCGTGGCACTGCAGCGACACATAAGCCAGACATATAAGCTGGCAACCTCGAGCATGGCAATGTCGAGCATGGCAACCACCCTTTTTGTAGGATGAGACGGCTCGTATAGACCCCTGTTCATTCAGTCGCCAGAATCTCGACAACAAGGTATTGATAACAACAATAGGCCATGTATATGCGTTCATCTTGTCTATGCTGAACAATATGCTTCTGAGAAGACTGACCAAGTCCCCGCATCTCCCAGTAAACGGCCACCAGACATCCTTGGAATGGCAGTATGTTTCCATTATGCTCTTGAGGGTCTATCATCTAGGATCGACTGCTTGATAAAACAACTCCTGCAATCTCCGTAGACCTTTCTGGGACAGTTCCGCGGAGTTTGCTGGGAAAAGACCACCTTCTTTATCCTCAGTTGGAAACAACGGTTTGCAGTATCGAAGCCAATGGCTTTCGAGCAGTTGGAGCGGATAATAAAAATGATATGCACCATTATTACCTGTCTGCGATAATCTTTCTTTCGCCCAGCTCAGTTGTTCTTGTACACAAGGGAGTACCTGGGACCAAATAGAGTCGTAGATGGGGCTGTCTTGAGGTTGCAGTTGGTCAAAGAGCCTGTTGAACTTTGACCACACTCCCGCAATGGCCTGTGAGGAGATACTAAACGATTGAAAGTTGGCGTTGCTGGAAATGCCGACGAACGCCAAGGTGGGGTCGGCAATTGAGAACGTATGTAGATACAGGCCACTAACGCGAGAGGCGTTCGACGATGAGCCACTGGGATCGTTTGGGTTGGGCGACACTAAAATCCGATAGCTCTCTAAAAGCGAGCGAGAGATGAAAGGGAATGTGTAGAGATAACCTGTTGCAAATATAACTGCGGACACATCTTCGACCACAGATCCATCCTTAAATTGTAGGATCGGTTTCTCGCCTCTCTGACCAAATTTTGCAATACGGCCTTTCAAGGTGACTTTATTGGTTTCGGTCAACCATTTGTCGAACCAACAAAAGGGATTGGCCGAGTTTTCAGGGAACGGAGGGGTGTTGGTCGATATTATGATCTCTAGGTTGGAATTCGCATTGTGGAGTGGGACTAATCGCTTCAACACATCCATTGCACTAAAACTCTTGCCAACTATCACCACTTTGCGCTTGGCTTTCTCAAGATCTTGCTTTAAGGCTGGTAAAGATTTCCTGTACCAGTGATCCAAGTCTCTGACGTGCACCAAGGTGTTCGGAAAGTTTTTGTTAAATTCGTGCACATTAGAATCGCCAGCTGTCATGTAAAAAGGCACGTAGGGGCACATAAAGTGGCCATTTGCAACCACAACTGCATCAAAAGTTTCGCTGTACCACTCCTCGTGCTCAGCACCCGGCAGCGACCTCTTAGCCACAATAATCCATTTACTGGGCGAAAGCTTGTCAAGGTATTCCACGCATGTATTGAGCCGAAAACACCCTGCGCTTTGAGAGTGTTTTTCAAACTGCTGGAATTGTTCTTTAACTTGTGCTAAATCCACCAGTGGCGCCATAGACGTTTGTGGCGCCATCTTCTTCTCCTTCAAGTTGCTTTTCTGATTTAGCTTCATAAGCTGCCCAGGAGCATTAGTCATGAAGTCATCATAAAGCCCGCTTTTTTTAGACATAATCACTCCGTCGCGAAGCCGAGAACGGCGAGTTAGTTGCATTGGTTTCTTCTCACTCGTTGTCAATAAAGGACGCAAATTGGCGATCCTACCGTTAACAACCAGGGGAGAATCATACTGAAAAATTTGGCTAGGTGTCAAGGGTCCCTCGAGGTTGTCTAAACTCCCTAATTGTGGGAATACCTGTTCTGCTTCCATGTGTGTACCTGGATTATCGCTCCAAACACCGCCCAGGCTTTGCCTCGCTTCAAAACCAACAATTTCCCAATTTTGGTCTCTTTGTCGAGTTAAATCATTTGCCGCTATAAGACCGGCTGGTCCTCCGCCAATAATGGCTACTTTTCGAATTACGGTCATAGTGTTTTTTGAATTTTCGCCAACTTCTGTCAATAAAGACTGGCCTTAAGTGCACACACTTTGCTTACGTCTTTTCGGGAACCACTGATAAAACAATCAGTCTATTTACGAGTGAAAGTTCGTTAGATACTCTTCACAGGGATTTAAGCACTTCAGTTTACCGTCGTTAGATCCAAACTCCGAATACTTCAATTGTCAATATTATTATTATTATGTCCATAATAACCAAATAAACCATCTTCGTTCGACAGATCAAAAAACAACACTGAGAGACGAAAACTGCTTTAAAAGCCCATGGTATCATGAGCAAAGACGTATTCCCGCTACTGGATATCCAAGAGCTTGTTTTGTGTCTTCAAAGTTGCGATTTCGCTCTCGCTAATGAAGAAAACATCTCGAAACCCTCTTCAAAGTACGTGGTTACTCTGTACAAACAAATAATCGACAGCTTCTCGGGAATCTCGCCAGATGCTCTAATCAGTCAGGGAGAACTATTAGTGGGATCAGGTGGTGAGCGAATCGATGATGATCCTGTTTACAAGGATACTTTGGAAATGTTGACTCTAAATAAGATTTGCTTCAAGTTTTTTCAAGATATCGGGGTGCCAGACTTCAATATGATGGATCTGTATAAACCAGATGCGCTGCGCACACAACGATTTTTGAGTGCTGTGGTCAATTACGCGCGATTTCGCGAAGAACGTATGCTGGACTGTGATCAATTTATGTCTCAAACAGAATCTCTACTAGGTCAGTTGCGGCAGAAACTGGACGACTATAATTTTTTACAACAGCAGATACAAAAATATCGAGAAAGCACGGATTTAGCAGATGGTGAGACACTTTCTTCGCTCGAGGCTAATAATCGAAATTTAGAAAGCCAATTGAAGAAGCTAACACATGTCCAAGAAACGTTCACCATTGATTATAATAACTACAAAAGTGAAAAACGCAAGTTAATGGCCCAATTGGAAAGTCTTGGCTTTGAATTAATCGAATTGGAATTGCAGCGTGACAAACTGCGACGGTACTCAGAAGCAGATTTACCTAATTTAAACGCTAGCATCCAAGAGTTATCCAAAATGTTCGAGGGCCAACAAACTACTTTAACAGTGCTTCAGGACAAACATCGCAATCTTGTAAGATCAATGGACGTTTTTCAGACAGTCACATCGGAACTTTACGAACTTTTGCGGATAATTTCAACAGATTTGCAAGAGTCACATCTTCGAGAGCTCAGTTTGCTGGAAATGAAGGATCAGCTCGCTAAAAGCGACGCCAAACTCAGCAATCTACTCGAGTCTGGCCTTATTATCAAACTATCCAGTTTAAACGCCCAGTTGGAAAGTCGTAAGCAGAGTATCCGTGACTTAGAGGAATCAACACGATCTCAACAACTCGAAAATTCTTCAATATTACAAACCTTGCAAAAAGAGTACGCAGAGGAGGTAATGCCGGAGGTCCAACGGATCGAAGAGCATGTAGAAAAGGAGCTGTTCGGAAATGTGATCAACACTCTAGAGAAAGACATGCAAGCATTAAGAGACGAGTTCAAGAAAGAGTCGGAAGCTATCGAATTAGAGTATTCTCTTTTGGCAACTCACATAAACAATTACATGAGGAGCATGCTGGAAATGATTAAATAGTGTAGATTACCAAGGTATACATACCCTTTTGTAATGTCGTTGACGATCTTTCAATTTTTGAAAAAAAGCTGGACGTAAAGGGTCAGATCGTCCATATCCCAAAAGGTGCATTTACCATTGAATTCATCGACCAGCGGATCATTGATAGGTGCATCCTCGGATTCGTACAGCTCGCTATGTGGTATCTCTAATGCAATAGTCTTGAATGGTTCGAATGCGATTGCAAGATACATCTTGTCCTCATTAGATTCATTAGGGAGTTCCAAACTTGACATCATTCTCACCAATGGCCGATCTTCGCTATCAATTGCAGAGTCGAGATTGTTGTACATTATTTTCATTGCAATCCCACGATAGCCCGTCGCGGGATCTTGGATCGCAGCTACCTGATAATTCGGTGTAGGCCCTGTGTTCTTGATTTGGGGCCGAAGTTCCTCCACTTGCTGCTTGAAGTAAGACTCCTCTAACGACAAACCTTTTTGCTGGTCGCTTTCGGCAGATCCACCCCTTTTCAGAAGATTCAAGCTATGCCTTTTGCCTTCCAGATGTCTCTCGACACTTGACCACGACATATGTATGGTATTGCACAGCTTACAAACTAAGCGGCCTGCATGATTTTTGTAGATATACGGATTCTTCTTACTGAGTTCTTCTTCATCCTTACTTACACCTTGAAACGAATACGGCACTTCTTCTCCTTCTCTCAAGAGGTCTTCCACCTGCTTCCTGCGATGAAGATTTTCCTGGGCAGCGGAGGCCAGTCCTCCTGACCCTTTCTTTGCGCCCGCCCTGTTTTGGTAGTCCATCTATGAGCACACCTGTGAGTCAAACAAAAGGTCCTGGGCCGAGTTACCTAAAGGTTCTTTCATTGTCGTCAAAGATGTAGTTCTGATTTACAGAGTCGCTTAGGAATTATTAAATTCAGATAGACAACGTGAGGCCCAAAAGTATACGCCAGTAAGCTGAAGCGTAGCACCTAACCCAAGTAGCTTTGCCTATTTAAGTCTATTAATGCTATACAACATGAGTACTTACTCTTCTGGTTGAGGTGAACTCGATTTGCTCGCTTTGGGTTGAATTTCGTAGATACCTCTCTCATACATCTCACAGCCGTACTCAACCTCCTGGAGTGTGGGCCACTTGTTGTGAGGCATGGACCAGCCACATTTCTGAGTCACAAGAGCAGCGACGTCATCACAGTAACCAAGCAACGAGAGGTCGAATTCGGCGTGCCTTACAGGGTCCTTATTGATCAGCACTTGAGGTACGTAGGATGGAATCATGTTTACGATCTCGGAGACAGGAGCCACCTTCAAACTAGTTCCGATGCAAATAAGCAGGTCGCATTTCAAAACATCATCGCGAATGTTGCGATGGAATTTTGAAGGAAGCGCTTCGCCAAAGAAGGTGATGTCGGGCTTCAACACTCCGTAAGATTTTAGGACGTTGTTGAAAACGCTGTTAAAAGTTTCAGGTTCCCCTTCCTTACTGCCCGGCTGGCTAGTAGGAAAAAATTCCTTACGTTTCTTATAACAGTAAGGACACAACGGCAGCTCGAGATTTCTTATATTGCTGAAGATTCGTTCACCGGGTAGCTTCCAATGGCAAGTCACGCATGACGCAGTAGCAAAAGAACCGTGGCATTGGACCATTTTCTCTGATTGGATTCCAGCGTAAGACTCCAAGTTGTCTATATTTTGGGTGTAGTTTCTCAATAATTTGCCCTTGTCCTGGATCATACGGATAAAACTGTGAAGCGGCGAGTACAGATTCTCGGGAGGGAGAACCATATGAGCAATATTATAGAATACAGATGGGTCCTGCATGAAAATCTCATAGTTGAACACGTCTTGAGGATCGTCGAGCCCCAAATGTCTGATCTTGGAATAAAAACCTTCAGAAGATCTGAAGTCTGGAATTCCTAACGAGGTCGAAATACCAGCGCCTGTTAATATAAGAACCTTTTTGGCGGTTCTCAATTTGTTGACAAAATCGTCCAGGGTGTGAAAATTAGGAAGTCTCATTCTAGTGCTCAGCACTTTATTCATGGCCTTTTGTAAGTCTTTAATTAGACGCACAGCGTGTTTCTTTTCCAATGGATCGTCATAATACTCACTGTCTTCGTTGGATGAGGGCTGTTCTACGGCGGCTGCCATCTCAGCACTAGATTTTCGCTCACCAGTCCCATTGACCGAAGCTGTACTCTCCGTGTTGCTCCTTTGCGAATATATTTCATTCTCTGCTACAGACTGCACGGCTTCCAGCAGAAGCTTGTCCTTGATCTGAAACCCTAGCAACTTTATCAAGTGGTAAATATAAAGCGAGTTCAAATCCTCCGGCAAATACGAGTCCAAAAACCTGCCCGAACCGTAGTACTTGAGATATGACCGTGCGGCCAGTGACTCTTCTTTGGAAATAAAGGGAAATTTATACTTCCCTGTCACGGGGTTTTTGGGTATATTGATAGCTGGGATTGGTTCAGCAGGCATCATGAAGTCCTTTTCCACATTTTGAGGTAAAGGGTCTCCCGCTATCGCCTCCTCCGCACCGGTTGAACTCGCATTGGCTACTGCCTCTGTTTGCTTCACCACGTATTCGTCCACAATATCTTCCAGTTCGTCTGCAGGAGGGGCCTCATCAAAAATCTCCTTCTCTTCATCCTGTACTCTGGGCTTCTTAGCTACTTCATCTTGAGGGATACTAGAGTCTGGAAAGTTCGTGTTTACCTCCGAAAGGGAACGTTTCCCAAGGGCACCATTGGAAGCATCTTCTACACTCATCGTTCGAACCTTGAAACCTGCTTCAATGATTCGTTTAGTAGAGCCCAGACCGCCCAGTTGTCCGTTTTCGTCTCATCCACCAATAAGTAAGTGTTTTGTTTCCTTAGCTAGAAAAATTCTCGTAGTTCATTTGCTGGATGGGCCTTATTTAGACTTTCGTGTCTTATGATCTTTGACGAGGTATATTCTGTCTTCGAATCAAGCTGGTCTAGCGACGATATTGCTCCATTATACGGCTTTCAATCAACTTTTCGCGAAATCTGGAGTGTCCGTTTACTCCAGATAAGTTTTAGTGGATGTTAGCTCTAATTCGAGTTACTTTTTTCGACCACAGTTTCATAAGCTCCTAGTCATTCAAATGTCAAAGAAGCTGGTAGATGCCGGACCATCCTTGAGAATAGACACAACTGAGACCACGGTTGTTCCCGCTGTGGCGTGCGGCTCTCTTTCGATGGCAGAATAGGGCACAATTCAACCTTGATCCAAGGACCCATAGGTTTCTTTGGACTCCGTCTGATTAAAGTAGTCCTCACTAACACCAGCAAGTGGACCCACGCCTATCTTCGATAATGCAATTTCTGCGCTTGTGTTGGCCAGATTAATATCATTAACGGGTAGCGAAATCTTTTTACTGAGCTCTTTGAGCCGCAGGATTAGCTCTACCTCCTCTCGATTTCGTGCATCCACTTGGGCCTGTAGTCTTGTGATGTATTCAACCGCTTGAGTCAGTATTTGGCCTTTATTGGGCTTGCCATCTTTCGTGCCAGTACCTTTCATTTTGATCCCGCTTGCAGAGCTCCCCGTACCAAAGGCAATGCTTCCAGGGGTACCCTGTCCATTTTCGAGTTCGGCAGGGTCCTTTCTTCCGTAGTAGTCTTGAAACATCTCCTCTGGAATCAGCTCTAAAAGAGCTTGAATCTTGTCGTTCAGATTGTCCCTCCTGCGGCGGTCATTTTCGGTGGTTGTGCCGGCAGTAGACGGTACGGAGGATGAAACTGAACTAGCACGCGGAAAAGAACTCATCACTTTGATAGTCTAAACAAACCAATCGTCGCTGTCCTTGAGTTTTTGTGACGATCACTGAAGTTTGAAGACGTACTATATTTTTAAGACTTCAATGTTATATATTTAAGGCTCATTAAATTGTCATTTTTCTACAAACGTTACATCAAATTCGTCAACGACGTGCCATATATAGGCCGCTTCCTTGACATCAGTGTGAGTTTCTAGTGCATTAACTGAGCTCATATTTGAGCACATAGTCTTGCACGCTGGGCTCTTGTGAACAGAGGTTAGTCAATATCAATTGTTTGATCAGGTCTCGGTCGACAATACGCATACATGAGCGGCGAAGTAATAACAAGGCATCCAGTGTTGGTTCAGGATAGGTTTCCTGGTAGTACTTAAGCCAGTCAAAGTCATCATTTACCAACTCTTTTAAAGGAAGGAATTCAAAATGACGTTCAATGCCCTTCAAGGTAATTTTCTTGGTCATCTCGTCAACTCCAGCCGAAAACTGAACTCTGTCCAACAAGCTCAACAACATAGATCCAACCACAGAGTTTTTTATACTACGAAGGTCTGTGTATTTGACGAGAGCGCCAAGAGCCAGTGCTAGTTTCCCATTCCTCAACTGATACTCGAATTCGAGGGCGTAATCCCTGTGGTGGTCAGCAATTAGCTCTGCGTAGTTTGCGTAAAAGCTCTCTGTGAAATCTGAAAGTGGTGTCTTTGTCTGAATCAGCTTCTCCCCGAGAATATCGTCATCTTTTTCTAGTGCTGTGACCTGTTTCTTGTCCTCATCAATTCGCTTTTTCATGGCAGCTGCCTCTTTTTTAGCTTTCTTGTTTCCCTTTTTTGCCACGGGAGTTTTTCCATCATTACTCTCGCTCTCATGATTGACATTAGTTAGCTGTTCGTCGTGAAGCCTAAAGTATAACTTCGCGGCTCCCTTCAGCGCCCTCATGTACATGGGAAGAATGAAAACCCCCTTTCCCCATTGGTACATTTCCAAATAGGCCCTGGGGACTCCCTTACGCATGCAATAAGAATGGAAGTCCAGTTGGTCATCTTTGAACTGTTTGTAGAACTTGGCAATTGCGTGCAATCTTTTCAAAGCCAGGCCTCCGTACTTACTGGTTTGGTAGGCCAAATGTTTGATATGAGCTGTACGTTCTTCTTGAAGCTCTTCGTCTTCAGGAATTTCGCTTGCTTTAGCTTCAACTAATTTTTGTTGGCTCTCCAAATACAACCTGTAGTACGACTCAGCCTGTTCTCCCACAAACCAGGAAGCTTCCATCAAATGCAAATCCATGACACCATTAGCAGAATCGTCGTTTTTGGTGAAAATGGAAACTACCTCGACAGCTTTTTCAATTAAGTTGGCTCTCAAATAATACTTGGCAGTTTTCGTATTGATGAATCGATCCTGGAAATCGAGTAATCTTCCTTCATTTATGGTTTCAGCAGCTTCTACTAGAAGACCAGCATGCTTCAGCACCCTAGCTTTCAAAATGTACAGTTCCACCAAAGTTGGGGTATGACAAAGAGCGCGATCGATATAATCTCTTGCCTTGGTGAAATCCTTTAAGTACAGGTAGTGCTGGCACAAAAAATAAGATGACCACACATACACCAGTGGATCTTCCTTAGGGTTGAGAGTGCCAAAAAATTCAAGCATTATCTTTTCTGACAGTCTTGGTGCACGCTCGCTATCATTGCGATATAATGGCTTGACGTTTCCGAAAGTCGCTGGAACACCACGCTTAACTTGTGTCAAAAGATAAGAGCTCAACTTTTCAGCATATTCTTCTTCATCTTGAATGAATGTCAAGGGAATAAATTTTGGTGGCTCGGCCCTAGGATACAACTTTTGCAAATTTGTATATAGGATTTTTCTGAGTTTGTCGTCGTTCTGAACTCCCAAAGCAACTTCCAGCAGCCTGTAGTAATCAAAATTATCAGGATTTCTACTGATCAATATCCTGTAAACCCTGGCAGCGCTTTGTTTGTCGTCTAACTTCATGTAAACAGCAGCACGCCTTTCGAGCCAGCCATATTTATCAAAAACATCCCCCTCAATTTCATCCAAATGTTCTAGAACGCGCTGTAGCTTCTCAGAGCTTTCTCCAGCAGACCTATAGAGTAAGTCATTTTTGTACATGAGGCATTCATTGTGTTCGTATAATTCACCCTCACCCAACCTACCTTTGGCAAGCTCTTCAAACTTGCTCAATACATTTGCACCTTCTTCCGGTTGATCATTGAGATCATGCGCGACAGCTAAAGATGTCCAGTTGGCACGGTAGCCCATAAATTCTTCCCAGTAAGCCTTACGAGCAATAAGGAGATTTTTGTAGTCGTGCTCCTGCGAGTAGAGAGTTGCAAGATCCCTATAAATCTGCTTGTTGTTCGATCCATTATCCAAGGACGTTTGGAATAATTTGGCAGCTTCCCGGTAATTCTTTTCGCTTCTCATGTATATTCCTAGGATGTGGTAGCCAATTGGCGATGGACCACCAGTGTTGTTCTTTGCCAGAGCCTTTTGAACATATACAGCAGCCTCATCCTTCTGATCTGTATGGTAAAGGTTTAAAGCCTTCAAAGCCAGCGAATCGGCATGCGATGAGTTCTTCTTCAGAACGGTATCGACTAATTTAAGTGATTTTTTATAGCTCTTAGCCTCGTACAGCTTCAATGCCTCCAAAAGATTATTGTCCTCTTTCGAACGACCAATTGGAAGGCTGTTAGATTTGGGAGTAGCTCCCACTCTTCTTTTAGACATATTCGTTGTTGGTCAGAACTTACTTGTAATGCAGAATTTAGTTACTTGGCCACTTTTTTCGACTAAAAACTTGGAAAATAAGATAATCGTCTATCACGATATATAGACGCTTGGTTTAGCATTTGGATAGTTAGCTGAACGGAGTCGTACTGGCCAGTTCAACCTTGCATGCTTGATACAGTTCCTCCGTTGGAGTGCGAGATTTTTTTAGTGGTTCTCGTGTCCTTTAAAAGCTGCTTCAGTACAGACCTCTTCATACCCTGGAATGAAAACGTAATCAATATCTTGCTGTGACAGTCTAGCTTTACTTGTGTTTCTCTTGACAAATGTATCAGGTTCCATAACACCAACGAAAACAGTGCGTATATTTCCAGCTTGTTCTAAGATTCGGTCAACGCAGGGTTTCTGGCCGCTCAATCTTAACGAGCATGGTTCCATGGTGGTGTAAATAACAGTTCCCGGGGTCACGAATTCAAGATTGGTTTGAGAACAGTATTTTTCTAGCGCACACTGCTCTGCGTGTGTATTACCAGGTAGCTCGCGAGAATGACCGACTGCCAGGACTGTATTACCATTGACCAGCACAGCACCCACGCTGAAGGCTGTATCTGTGGGCCCGCACTTCTGAGCTTCACGAACAGCCATTTCCATATACTGACGATGAGGCTCCACTGCCCAATCAGGAAACTGTGTTTTGTAGCTCCATAGTCGCAATCCGTCGTCTTTAAATTCTGTGGATTCGTAGCAGTATGCGTGGAGCCAAAGATCAAGATCGTTGGAACCAGGGTCTGTGTAAAAATCTGTTTCGCATTGTGCGCACTTTTCTCCAGTCAAAAGCTCCCCCTTGGAATCTGGATGATACCAGCTTTCGGCACATACAGTTTTTCCAACTTGCGATAATTTAGAAATAATGCTCGAGAAATCCCGGATCTGACCCTTTCCTAATGTAGGGCCCCAAACTTGCGGGTTTGAGTACAGTGGATCGTTTGCAATTGGGTGACCTAGGTATTGAAGATGAACTCTGATTTGGTGTGTTCTTCCCGTGTGAGGTTGGCACTTTACCAAACTTGTGGTGCCATCGAAACTCACTCGAGTGAATACTGTTTTCGCCTCTTTAGCACCTTCATCTTCAGCATCGCAGACTGCGTTTAAAGCCAAGCGCGGTTCGACACATCGAAGGGCTTTTTCTACCACAACGCTTTCAATGGGAAATTCACCCACTACCCTTGCAATATACTCCTTCTTCACCTCTCTGGCTTTAAGCTGGTTGGCCATGTGGTCAGCACCAGCAGGTGTTTTCGCCAGAAACATCAGTCCACTGGTCAAGCGATCAAGCCTATTGCATGGATGCACCGAAACGCCTAGCTGCTTCTGTAAGATCTTGGTTATAGTATTAAACCGGTATCTACCCGTAGGATGCACAGGAATACCGCTGGGTTTATCGATAACGAGAATGTCCTGATCTTCAAAAACTATCTTGATTGGCCTTGATGTGACAGGAGGCTCGTGACGATGAATGTTATGAGAGATCAGATCACCATTGCGAACAACTGATTCCAAATTCGCTGGAACATCGTTGAGAAGTACGGAACCACTGGCAATTGTTTTGCGGTAGTATGCTTCTTCGCGGTCACGAAATTCATTCACAAATATGTCTATCAAGAGCCTATCCCGCCATCTAAGCTTACAAAAAGTTTTATACGTGAACAAATATGGCACAATTTTTCGAAGAGGACCATCAATCTTCACTTCGTAAGGCGGATCTACCTGCTTATTGCGCAGATGGTTTGACTCTTGAATCTTAATCTTAAAACCTGAGCTGTCTCTGAGTTCTCCAGGCTGGCCATTTTTCGTCTTCTTATTCCTCAGTCTCGGAGCAGAGACATTTTGCTCAGTTTGGACTTCCTCCAATCGACCGTCTGGTGACGACGATCTTTTCTTGCAATCATGCCCTCCGACCAACTCATCATTGTTCGTTTTGGAAGGTAAATTAGACATAATGTTCCTACAGGTGGTATTGATCGTCGCAATGGGCTTGGTGCACCTCTTGAGCATCCAACAGGCCCAGTTTACAATTATCCTTCGTCTGTTATTGAGCAACCGATGCCCAGCATGGCGAGCTCGCATTTAAAAACTATGAAATAAAGATCATGTGAACAGATTGTAAAGTAGCCATAATACCAGGATACCGGACACCACCGCAACTTGAGAACCGTAGCGGTCGCTTAAGTATCCAAAATAGCCAATAGTATAATCAGCTAAACTTCCGATGGCATGAGACCCAGGTCTAGCGACGTTCGCAGAGCTTTCAGCTGTCGTAGCAGACAGCTTCATTTCAATGTGAGGAACTTTCAATTGTAGGAAAACAGGCAAGTGATCGGTGAATTGTAGCGCTTGCGTCCTTTTGCAGGTGCTATACTCGATTATTTTAGGCTGAAGAGGTTTTTCGTAGTTCTGAAAGAGAATTCGATCGCACCAAGAAGGGGTTCGTGCTGGATGGTATGCCTCTAGGCCCGAAAGCATGAATTTGTAAGACGGAGCGAAGAGAATGGGGGGCTCCTGGAAATTTAGGAATATGCGATTGGCCCTGCGACTGCGTGTCAATTCATCGTGTTTTGATATGGCTTCCCGGACAAGTTCAGCATCTTGGTAGTCGGTGAGGTTGGAAGTCCATTTGCTTGATCTGAAGTTTAAATCCCCGCTGAAAAAGACATGGTTGCCGTTGAAGGAGCCAAGCTCTCTTTCTAGCTCATTAACAATTGTATGGTAGTCGCTTTCTCTTTTGAGTTGCTGTGCCTCACCTTCGTTCGCGGCTAGATGAGCAGTTACAAATATAAAAGAGTCCATTCTCTCTGTTTCGGGGTTTTGAAGTGTGAGTTTGGCAGCAGTAGCCCCCTTAAGGCTAGAATAAAGCATTCCACATTTCACTGAAGTTTTGAAGCAACTAGTTGTAATATATCTGTCGTCAACAAATACTAAGAGTCCAATGGCCCCTACACTATTTAGGGTGGCCAGTTTGAACGTGCGGTGGCTCTCTAACTGATTGAGAAGTTTTAAAACAGCCCTCGATATGTCTTGTAGCTGACATTGGACCAGTTCAGGGAAGGATCCTTGCCATATTGGTACTAGCTCTTGAAACCCCAAAACGTAGATATCATGAACTGGCTGGGAAGGTACTAAAGTCTCAATTACCCCACCAAGTTTGGCCAGCTCTGCAATTGGTAGGTTCTTGCCGCAATTCAAAGTAGATAAGAACACACTAAAACCTTCGGTCATGATAGTAGTCGAATCGTTCACCCAGATTTTTTTGATTTTCGCAAACGCCTTCTTTGTAGTAAAGGCACTTGAAAACCTAATATTACGATTATCTCTGAAAACTAAAAACGAATGTACGCAAATATATGCTTGGACTTTGATTTGTTCTATTTAAATCCGACCCCGCGGCAAATCATCATCCTTTTAAAAAGTCCATAAAATCCATTGTGTCGCCGGAAGCTTCATCTTGGTTATTAGCTTGGTCGAGACTTTCGTCTTCAAGTGAAGTTCTTCCAGCTTGGCCGCCTGACACGCCTGCGTGACTCGACGACGTTACTCTTTGATCATTGGTACTACCACGAGTTAAATTGATAAAAGGAGATTGTGAAATCTGAGAAGTTCGTGATGAACTGTATTTCGACCGATGCAAAGGAGGCGGGCGTGGTGGAAAATTGTTATTTGGAAGGGAACTTTGGTCGGCAATGTTGGTCATATCGTAGTCCGGCTTAAATACCGAAGCCACAGCGCCCGTGGAATCATATTGTGTAATGTTCTGTAACGCTAAATTTAGCCCAGGAATGTCGAGGTTGTTTCTGTGTTGACTACTGCGTATCTCATAATCCAGCTCATCCAAATCTATTCCCTCGAGCATGGGAAGCATGTGAACAAGTCGCCATAGTAAAGGGATCCGCACATATCCTTGGTTCTCATAAATTATCTCACCGGTAGAACCTGAGATGTAAGAGCCTTTCCGCACGTTGTCAATGTCTAGAACTTCTTTCAGCGCTTCTGAACAACGGAGCCTGGTGTTCGCTGGGTGCTCATTTTCGGCACGCTTTCCCAAATAGTACTCATCCCAGTAGGCCGCATCGTTACATCTATCGTCAAAATTATAATCATTCTTGACAAATCCCTTGAAAAATCGATAGCAAAACCAAGCAACCCTTTTCCATCTTTGAGGCTTGTGGCGCCAGCACTCAAGTTTAGACCACCGACCACGAAAAAACCAGCCTCTCTTGCCCATTTCACTATTGCATATCTCTCTGATGGCCTGTTCCCCAATTTCACCTTTCAGTGAATAATTGTTGTAGAGCTCTTTCCTAGTTATTGCAGCCCATGAATGTCTCCAGGGACGCTCTCGGTAGACAAATACGAGAACATCGACGCAGCAACTGAATGGTTGCATAAATGTGGCGATGTATGAAAGCCAGACAATTGGTCCGTGAACTACTTCATTATGGTATTGAACGACATCAACAATGAATGGAAATGTCCATATGATGACATATGAACATGGATAAATGAAAATAGATCTCAACTGCTTTTGGATTTGCGCTCTTCTCTTTTTGAAGTCTTGATATGTTTCTGACTGAAAGTTTTGCTGGAGCCCAATAATGTGGTTTGGATCCAATGCAACAACACTAGGACCTGCTTCAGATCGATCGTCCGCCGATTCGCCGCCGACTGGTCCCGATGGCCCGGTGCCACTTTTGCGAGTACCGTAACCCTGCCCTTCTGTCTTTTTGCCTCGTGGAACTGTTCCCGGTTTTTTTGCATCATTGTACGGCGCCCCATTAATCTGCTTCGGTTCGGTAGTATTGTGGTTTTCATGGTTCGCGTAATTCAAATTGCTGTTTCTTGATCCGTTAGAAGTTGAGTGAGCTACTTGTGCATCTTCTGGGCCTAACAAGACCGAAGAAAGAGCACGAGGGCTTGTACTGGAGGACATGCGTCTAGTCGGTATGCGCTTAGGATAATTTGGGGTTGGAGAGTTTCCTCGAAGTGGCATCTGCGGGCGCTGAGCTCCAAGGGCGGGATATTGGTTACCTGAAGAATGTTGAGGTAAACCTGCACTTTCACCAACAGCTCCCAGACTGCAAACTCGTGTCAATGACTCAAAGTTTTCATCCTGATTGGAAATCTCGCCGTCTTCCTCGTTATAGTCTTCCAAGTAGAGAAAGAAGAAATTGACCACACTTCGCACGACCTTTCTTATTCCTAGCTTTTTGGTGGCATACTTAAAATAGAGCATTAGCCTCTGATTCAACGACAATAGTCTTCCCTTGCTGTCTCGGTCGCCGTGGATGTTTACACTGCTTTCGTATCTAAAGGAGCCGATTTGATTTTTGATCTTACGGTTCTCTCTGGAAACGAACACGTAGATGCTGATATAAATTGTGAATATCAGTATGATAATGAAATACCTAGGACCCCAACTTAAGACAAGGCGATACCACCATGGGCGCGGCGCTAAGTAGCACCATGCGCTCATGGCCTTGTATCCCCCTACTCGCGCCTGAAAGCGAAATCCAAACTTATTGTTGTCCAGGATTACTTTGTCATTCACATTAACGGGAATATAAGAGTTGAACTCTATGAACGCCAGGCTGGCAAGTATCATTGGAAGCAGAAAAGTGACAGGAATTAAGTAGTGCCGTAAGTAATACAGTCCACCCTCCATATTGCCCGTCGACTTGTTTTGCCATTTCCATGACGGAACAAAAATGAGCAAAGCAAAATGAATTGCGAAAATTGCAATTGCGAAATCAGCTCCTTCGATTGCGAAGCTGGTGAACCACCCCAAAGTATTATAAAATGCCGGGAATCCGTACACCCTATTTTCACAAAGAATGGCTATGGGGTAAATCAGTAAGACCAATGCCTTGAGGAGATCGCATGAAATGAGGAAAAAAATCAAGTGGTGACGAAACACCTTTCGCCGCTTATCAATGCACAGGATTAGGAATATTCCAAAAAAGGCGAAAATTATTGAAAGGGAAGACGAAGTAATCGCTATTCCTCGCAGTCGCAGCAGCTCGCCCTTTGTATATGTTGAGAACATACCCGGCAGCCCCAGTAGCTGATTAACCGTTGTAGTATTCCACGTACGATTCAAGGACACGGGTTTTATAACTCTATCGCCAACCACAAAGGTGGTATTTGGCAGGGATATAGATCGCGTCTCTGTGGATATGCTGGCCATTTTTTAGATGCTCGCGACAACCCACCGTGCCAATCTTCAAAAATTGACCCCTGCGACTCTTGTTTGATAATTCTGAAGGTTGCAAAATATTCTGATAAAGAAAAGTAGTCCCAATTCACTCTGAAATAAAGATAAGTGAACACTTCTTGGTTCATAAAGACCATACACACAGCAGCTGGGCTCCAAGATGATGTGGTTCGCGACTTGACAGGCTTACAGGATTGGTAAGAAGTTGTAATTTATTTCACTAGATTGCCATTTTCAAGTAATAAAAATATGGTGCACTATATACGAGCAAGAAAGCTGTTCTGTTCAGCCATTTAACTCCCCATCAACTGTGAGCATTAGGCCTTGTGATCTCACAGTTATCTCTTTCGAAGCCATTGGGGAGCCAAAGTTGAAATTATTTTCACCGTCTCGCCTTGTTGGTGATCCGAGTTTTAGGAGCGCTGCGTCGTCTCGAAAATCTTCAGGGCCAACTATCCAAAATGGTATATGATTGGCCAGACAAGCCTATCGAGATGTGAGTCTTGGTTACGTGAAAGAAGCTCCATGCAACCAACCATTCTTCACTGTACTTTCTTTATCACTTTATACTATAAGTCACATTAAAGTTACTCTGAATTTGCATCCAAGTGCTAGCAGGTATTCTCGGTTTCTCTGCTTAGTGTGTAGCTTCCAGTAGACCCGCTATTGTACGTTTACTATTCAAAGCTTAAGTTAAAAACTTTCAACGAAAGAAAGCGGCATAGTAATTTATATCAAGAACTTGAGCCTTGGCCGTCCAAGAAATTTCTATTCGTCCCAATCGTCAGTCCAAACTGACGTCTGAATATTTGGTGTCCATTCAGACTTAACTTCGATGCAGTTCAGAGGAATACTGTCTGCTAACATTTTCCAATAGTTATGCCCCTCACACCTTGGTTTTGCCCTAGAGCGGAAATATATTGATTTTTGACGCTACTCCCCAAGCAGCTTAGTATTACATGGCCTGCCGTTCCATCAGGGCGTTAAGATCGCAGCTCGTGTAATGAGTTTTGCAGAACGTGGAGTAATGTGTCCTTAATACGCAATTGATCATTATCCAGATCGTGAGCGTAACCCAAGACCCCCAAAATGGAAGTTACCCGCTTTACATTCGAGTCTGTTGCCTTGCGTATTTCTTGCTGGCGCAAAAATGCCAGCCGCTCGTGTTCTACTGCCAGCTGCTCCATCTGCACCGCCAATTGCTTGGAACGGTACTCCTCGCCATCCCTTCTCGCAGTAGCATACGACTCGATTCTGCGCTTTGAAGAACCCACGCCTTCACTTCCGAGGCGGTCTAATTCCGCTATTTCTGGTTCGACGCTGGCAAGAGCAGGATCCGTAGTGTCACCCAGCATTTCCCCGGCACTCCGCTTAACTCGTTGTCCCTCAAATTTTTGCAGGTCTGCCTTCCTTTCTTCGGCTTCATACTTGAGATTTGTGACCTTTTCTAGCATCAGGTCCAATCTGGGCACACCTGTGAGTATGAAGTCTTTCTTGGCTTCCTCAACAAATAAACGCGAGTGTGCCTGCTCCAGTAGGTATTTGAACCGCGTTTTACACTGTAGCTCTGTGGGCACCACTCGCGACGGAAAATCCACAGATCTAAGAACATTGTACCATACACATACCCATTTTAACGAGATGAAGCTGCTTTGTTCTAGCTTTCGCAGAGTCTGATCCTTTCCATTTTCGAAGCCGTAGAAGGGCCCAATCTCGTAGCAATACTTCAACAAGTTGTAAGTAGACACACTGCTCCACTTGAATTTATATTTTTTATCATCGTCCGCAGATCTGTAGCCCATTGCCCTTAGTAACTCATTGACGGCGTTCACCATTTGTGCTTGCGCTCCCTTCAAATCCCTAATGGTGTTCAACTCTTGTACCAGCACTTCCTGATGATAATATTGCAAAGGAGGTTCAAGCTCCTCTTGTGGACCATCGGGGTCTATCTTTGTAATGGGTTCAGTGGGTGAAATCTCCGCCATTCCCACCACTGCCGGATCCGTAGTATTTTCGACCTCATCGTCTTTGTGGAACTGGTCCATTGTTTATCGAATTATTGTATCGATGATGGCCCAATTGACGCCTATAGACGACCTTATGAACTATGTTGTTCGACTTCAGAACATGGGTCGAAAACCAAGTGAATATCTTTTGTTTGGACTTTATATACGATAATAACGAGTAGAAAATTTTTTCCGCCGAGTCAAAAATCAACTGGTCGGCGATCATGAGCTTCCTGAGAGATAACGACACGAAATTGTTAAAGCTGAGTTGAGGGCTTCATAAAGGAAGCAGTTGGCGTTTTTTAGATACTGGTTGTTGGAATTGAGCTAGCTGTGATTCCGCTTAAGGCTGGCTGATTATTTCGTATTTCAATTCAATCAGGATGATGTTCACAAAAATGAACGAATGCCTTTATGAAAGAACAAGAAAAACTCCCAACAACTTTGATTCAAGCTCATTCGTTCAAACATTTGTTATCATTAATCTATTTCAAAGTTGGTAATTTGATTGTTAACGTTTCGGGACGGTATTACTTAGGACCCAGAACAGCTGAAGATGCCTTGACAACGCTCTGGTGGAGGTCCTCTGGACCGCTAGAGGCAATCACACCCTTGGACACCAAAGTTCGGCCTTGCGAAAAATCTAGCGGCAGATTATTGAAGCTGTCGGTGTGAACACCGCCTGCTTCAAGCACTAAGACATTACCGGCTGCATGGTCCCAGATTTTCTCCTGATATGAGAGTTTCAAAGGGAGTCTCAGATAGACGTCGCCTAGTCCGAGTGCCAAAAGACAGTATTTCACCTGAGAGTCCAAATGCAGAGAGCTTGTAATACCGAGTTGTTCCTTGACTTGAGATTGTTCAGAATGGGCCGAGTGCCCCTTTTCTACGCCCTCTAACGAGACCATGTCCTTGGTTGTGCTCAACGTCCTGCAGTTGATCGGCATCCACTCGAAATCGGAAATCATTGGTGCGTAAAAGGCACCCTGACCTCTCACCGCACGGAAAATATACCCCAGTTCCTGAGCGCTCTGTGGGCTAGGATCCTTACCGCCGTAATGTGCGAGTTGCAAGTTTGGACACCCAATACATCCAAGCTGAACCACACCGTCTACTATCAGCGCCAAGCATACTGCAAATTGCTCCCCGCGCAAAAACCCTTTGGTTCCATCGATTGGATCCAGGCACCAAAACCGGGACTTCCCGCCTCCTTCATAGTTGCCGAGGTCGATTACCTTACGAACATCCTCTAGCGAACTTAAGGGAAATTCTTTAGTGGTAAATTGCATTCCTGGAAAGCCAGAGGCCGATGCCCCGAATACCTTGGCAAAATGAGAGTCGTTTTCCTGGATTTCACTCAAAATCTTGGAAACGAATGCGTCGCTCAAGCCTGTGGATTCCTCTTCCCCCACAATTTTGTCCTCCGGGAAATTCGCCTTGATGGCATTAATGATGACAGCCTGAGCAGAATAGTCACCTACAGTTACTGGAGACGTGTCCTCCTTTGTAATAGTGCTATCCTTGCTGGCGATGACCTGGGACTGGATCCGTTTGGTAAGCAGAGAAGCTTTTCTAAGCGCCTGAGTGGCAACGAAGAGTTCTTTTTCGAACGGCATTGTTTATAGTATTGATTCCTAGACGTTCCAGTTACTCGCGTTTCCAGAAAGTGACTGCTTAAAGGTCACAATTGGCCGTTTTTGCAGGTTTCCTGTTGAATGGCCAGGTGGTGGTGATCATTTTGAACTGAGGTGGCATCCGAATGTTACTCTTGGCAGGTGATATCATGTGATCATGATATTGATCATTTGGACGCCAGACTTGTCCTAGTTTTGACTTGTTTCTGTATGAGCAACGTCTGTAAAGCCATCGTAATCTTCCGTTACCACCTACCAACGATGGTGATTGATCCCATGCTATGGTATTCCGAATACCTGATGATCTTTTTTCTTATAGGAAGAATTGTATTGCCACGTAAGTAAAAAGTGATCTATTTGAACGTACTGTCGGGATGTCCTGGTAAGTAGCATTGAGCACCGCTGCATATACCATACTCTCTCAGTTCTTATACGTCTAGTTATGAACTCGAAGCTGAAATTTCAACGAGTTTTTTCTGGCGTTTCACGAATCCCGCTTGCCTTCATTTTGGGGTATTAGTTAGATTGGTTCCCCCCAGGAGGTAACTTGTAGCTTCCCTGATTATTCCACTCCCTAGGATCCGGTCCTTATGATAGATAGTACAGTATTGACCGGGAGCCATCGCTCTTTGAGCATGCGCTAGACGCATGGAGATTTTCTCGCTGTGAAGTCCAGCAAAAACCTTTGAGACCAACACCGGATCTTGGAGTGATCTGTATTGAATGTAAACTTCGTTCCGCGCAACAGCTTCCTGTAAAGTGGCACTAATTATCCCACCTGACCCGATGGGTTTGAAACCATCTATCTCCAAAAAGTCCCGAAATAAAATCGGGTTATCCCTTCCACGGCAGATCACGATCTCATTGGAATCAACCAGTTTTTCGGCAACAAACCACGATCCAGAGAAACGTGGATCGCCCTGGGGCATCGCTAAGCCAATTCTTTGTCCGATAGTGTAATTCCAAAGTCCCGTGTGACGACCCCAGACAGTTTTGGAAGCTGTATCAGTATCCCAGGTAATGATATTGCCTGGTTCGGTGGGTAGATACTGTTGTAAAAAGCTTCTAAATTTGCTATGCTGTGAATTGGCAACGAAACAGATGCCTTGGGAGTCTGGCTTGCGTGCCGTCGGGAGCTGCATTTCGTTCGCAAATTCTCGTACTTCTGGCTTGGAAAGTACACCCATCGGGAAGCATAGACTCTGGAGCGCTGCTTGTGGGATCTGCGACAAATAATAGCTCTGGTCTTTATTCTTATAGTATGCACGTAGCAAGTGGTGTTCATCAGTTGCTAGTGAATGACCCACTCGCGCATAGTGACCAGTAATCAGCCAGTAATTGCCTCGGCCCAGGCTTGAATCTAAATGTGATCGCAGTCTGCCAAATTTGATGAACCTATTACAACCTACGTCTGGATTTGGCGTTATGCCCGCTTGGTAAGCCTGAAGCATGGGCTCAAATACATCATGCCAATAGTCTTGCTCGAAGTTGACCCGCTCTACAGGTATTCCGAGATGACTCCCAACACGCTGAACATCTTTCCAGTCCCGTTCGTGACATGGCTCGCGCCCAGTTTTTTCAGACCCACCAGGGTCTGACCAATTTTGCATGTATATGCCTTGCGCCCGTGGGAAGTCGGCGAACAATGCAGCGGCCACTGAAGAGTCTACACCTGACGACATGGCTATTACCACGTTATCAAACTTGCTCGGCAGTCTGATCGGTTCATAGCCGTGCACCCGTCGCGCTTCCAAAGCTGAAAGTTCAGCCAATTTTCTGAGATATTTCATGTTCCTCTCCTAAACTATTCTCGACTGTATAACCCAAGCATGAACCTTGGAGCACCGCTCTGTTTCTGGCCCTTTTGTCGTCTGTCACTGGCATTGATCACCGGTGGCCATCGTGAAAAATATTGAAAAATTTCAAGCGATGAGATGAGCTTCCCATGCGATGAGCTTGACATTAGAGAGTAAAAGCACCACTTACACGTCTTTCAAAGAACCTTCAAAGCTTTCATCACTGATAGACCTTGCTCAGAAAAGGTATTTATCCTGGTCATGGCGAGAACAACTGGGAAAAGGGTTAGAGAGGAGTTCGTTTCTTCAGATGAGGAAGAGGCAGTAGATATCGCAGGTAACATTGCCCTAGATGGGGATGAAAGCAGCTCGAGCGAATCTGAAAGCGAGGTTGAAGGTAATGGAATATTGCAGGATGTTGTTGAATTCAGCGACGATGAAGAATCGGAGCAAAAGAAGAATAATAAGAACAAGAACAAGAAGGACAACGACAAGAAACAAACCCTGAGCTTTCCCAGTCTCGAACTTTCAGATGAAGAGGATGGCGGAGATGCTCAACAGTCAAGAGATGGTGAAGACGACGTGACAGAGTACTTTTCTACCAACAGCAACGCCAACGCCAAGCACAAAAAAGGATCCTTTGCCAGTTTTGGACTCTCCAAACTGGTGCTATCCAACATCACCAAAAAGGGTTTCCGTCAGCCCACGCCGATCCAGCGGAAGACCATTCCCTTGATCTTGCAAAAGCGTGATATCGTGGGTATGGCGAGAACCGGGTCCGGTAAAACTGCTGCATTCGTGCTGCCTGTTATCGAGCGTCTCAAGTGTCACTCGGCTAAAATCGGAGCTAGGGCAGTTATCTTGTCGCCTTCAAGAGAGCTGGCCATGCAAACACACAAAGTTTTCCGCGAATTTTCGAAAGGCTCCGATCTTCGCAGCGTCTTGTTGACTGGTGGTGAATCTTTAGAGGAACAGTTCGGAATGATGATGTCAAATCCTGACATTGTTATCGCGACGCCAGGTCGTTTTCTGCATTTGAAAGTTGAAATGAACCTCGATCTCAAATCTATGGAGTACGTGGTCTTCGATGAAGCAGATAGATTGTTCGAAATGGGTTTTGAGGAGCAGTTGAGCGAGTTACTTGCTGCATTTCCAACCAACAGACAAACTCTTTTGTTTTCAGCTACTTTGCCTGCGTCCTTAGTTAACTTTGCGAAAGCAGGGCTCTCGAATCCGGTTTTGGTGAGGCTTGATGCCGAGACGAGAGTCTCGGAAGATTTGGAGATGCTTTATTTGTCTTCTAAGAATGAAGAAAGAGAGGCTAACCTTTTATATCTTTTACAAGAAGTTATGCAAATTCCTGTTGCAACGGAAGAAGAGCTACTGGAGTTCAAAAAGAATTCCAAATATGAAGATGATAGCGATGACAGCGACAGTGAAAAAAGCAAATCGAAGCGGAGCAAGTTCAAGAAAAAGACGGGGCCGCGGAAAAGACTTCCAGCGGCGAACGAATTACCGTCTGAGAAGGCTACTATTGTTTTTGCGCCAACAAGACATCACGTTGAGTATATTTCTCAATTGCTAAAAAACTGTGGGTATTTGGTTTCATATTTGTACGGTACACTTGATCAGCATGCGCGTAGACAACAGCTTTTCAACTTTCGCGCAGGTTTTACCACCATCTTGGTGGTAACGGATGTGGCCGCAAGAGGTGTGGATATTCCTATGCTGGCGAACGTGGTCAACTACTCTCTACCAGCATCTTCTAAGATATTTGTCCATCGTGTTGGTAGAACTGCGAGAGCGGGTAACAAAGGTTCGGCGTATTCCATCGTATCCGATAATGAGTTGCCATACTTGTTAGACCTAGAACTGTTCTTGGGAAAGAAGATTTTACTAACACCCATGTTCGAAGCCACCACAGAGATGATGAAAGCTAAGTGGGTTGCTGAAGGTAATTCGGAGCTAACATTCAAACCACCTAAAGTTTCTTACACAAATAGAATGGTCCTTGGAGCGTGCCCAAGGCTAGAACTAGAGACTTGTGGTGATTTATTCAAAAGTTTGCTGCAAGCAAGCTTCGATTTGCAGCAGTTAAAGGCTGTCGCTCTCAAGGCTGAGAAGCTGTACTTTAGAACGCGCCCTTCTGCTTCCCCAGAATCGATGAAAAGATCAAAGGAAATTATATCTTCCGGTTGGGATGAGCAAAACCTGAAGTTTGGGAAAAACGCTGAGAAGGAAATGCTCGATTTCCTCGCAAAATTACAGGACAGGAATCATAAAGAAACGGTTTTTGAGTTTGCTCGTAATCACGATGATGAGATGGCGATGCTCATGAAAAAGAGACGGAGACAAATAGCGCCTATTCAGCGCAGAGCTCGTGAAAGGAAAGAGCTAATAGAGAAGGAAAGAATGGCGGGCTTGAGACATACCGTAGAAGATGAAATTTTGAAGGGGGACGAAAACGAGGTTGGCTACTCTGTTCCCGAGGAAGTTCTCAATCGGGAGTTTGAAGACGCAGACGAATTGCTAGGAAAGCAGAAGTCTAAGACTTTCAAGGATCCCAGTTTCTTTATGTCTCATTATGCCCCTGCTAGTACTATTCAGGACAAGCAGCTCGAATTGACGAATGGGTTCAGCAATGATGCGGCCAGTGCCACTTTCGACCTTCATAACGATGACAAGATCCAGAACCACAAGCAAGTGGCCACAGTGAAATGGGACAAGAAGCGTAAGAAATACGTCAACTCTCAAGGTTTGGATAACAAGAAGTACATTATGGGTGAAAGTGGTCACAAGATTCCGGCAAGTTTCCGGTCTGGAAAGTTTGACGAATGGGCAAAAGCTCGGAAGCTGGGTCCCGTAAAAGTTGGCACTCGGGAGTCCTCTTCCACGTCGAAAATGCTCAGCAATCCAACCGGGCCCGACTCTCAGCAACGTTCTATTGGTGGTAGATTCAAGCACAAGAAGGTCAAGGCCCCTAAGTTGCCCGACAAAAACAGAGACGACTATCACTCTCAAAAGAAAAAAGTGGAAAAGGCAATCAGCAGTGGTATTCCTGTCAAGGGCTTCAACAAGCCTGGCTCTACTAGTGAATTGAAGACTACTCAACAGATTTACAAAGAGAGAGTTGCTAAAGAGCAGAGAAAAGCCAAGAACGCCCGTCCGAGCAAGAAAAGGAAGTACTGATCCTTTGATGCACGCTACATATTATATTTCACATAGTTAACCTTAGGATTCAAAGGCCTTGAAGGCTCGTCGCTTTTAATAGCTCTCTAGTGGAAGTTGAGGTGTTCCTCTCTATTGAAAGTCGCACGAAATTTATTTCGGTAAATAGAGAGATGAGCTATATCTTCCTCGACGTCGAGCAAGAGAGAACACATATCCAGACCCATGGCCTCCTATGATAAAGCTAGAGATGCCCTGGATGAGCTAGAGCAGATTGAAAATGCCATTAGTAGCCGTTTCAAGCGAAATCCAGAGCTATTTTACCGAACCACCGATAGCTGGAAGGCGATGAAGATGCCGTGGGACTTCCCCTCAATTTCAGAAGCAGATAAAGCTGCCAACAAAGTCTTCTCAGTCAGTAAACCACGACGCAATCGCAAACAAGTTTCAGCTCAAGAGCACGAGATAAACATGTTTTTGGAAGAATATCAGAAGAACTGTAGTTTACTGACGACCCTGAAGTTTGAGGATAGCGAGAAGTATAAGATTCCAGATGGATCTGTCGACAAATTACTTCGTGACATTGACGACATTGAGAAACGGTTTGCAAATAGAAGTTTGGAAGATGGACTCGTTGACGAATACGGGATGTTTTCAAGCTCCACGGCAGAGATCAAAAACTTACTCTCCTTGAAAGCTCAGAACCTGGACATAAATACTGTCTTCGCGCGTGACGAGCTCTACGGGGATGTCCTAGATTTAGGATTGTTTCACCAGCGGTGGCTGGGAGTAGTGAAAAACAGCGAATGTACATTTCTGCAGTTTATCGCCGAAATGGAAAAGTACAAGGATTTTACTTTTCTACTTAGACCTGCCGTTGATCGTAGTAGTGCAAGGTATCGGGAGTTCGTGGTACTTTTGCTAACTTACGTGGAAGGATTTGCAAAACGCACTTACCCTTTACTGGATTGGGATGCGATAGATACTAAATTATCAATCGATTTCGGAGAATTCCTTGTAAAACCGATCCCGGGAGACCAAGAAGGTACCATTTTTTGTGTGCCGTGCTATAAACATTTCAAAGTCGAAACTGTGTATCGATCGCACCTATCGGGTAAGAAGCACTTAACTAATTTGACCAAGAACAAAGATTTTCTGGCGAGGGAACACAAATTGCACGAACTCTTCACGTTTCTTGCCCGTGAAGTCTCGCATACTCGTGAGTTCATAGAGCGTAAACTTGCTTTTACGTCCGAAGAGCGAGCACAGGAGATGGAACGCCTCTCGCAGGTCTATGACGCTCCGCTCTTAGGCCCCCACGAACCAGAGGAGGACGTTGATCATAGTCAAGATAGATCTGTACAAAGAGAAACTGAGTTGGGAGCTGGTGAGTCGATTGATCTGCCGCTGGGCCCAGACGGTTTTCCAATGCCGTATTGGCTTTACAAGTTACAAGGGCTTGACATCGAATACCGGTGTGAAATTTGTGGAAATCACGTATACAAAGGACGAAGACAATTTGAAAAGCATTTCTCTGAACTACGTCATAACCTGGGCCTTCGGAAGCTTGGAATAGAGTCCTCCTCGGTCTTTCAGGGAGTTACATCTATTGTGGAATCACAAAAGTTAGCGGCGCACCTCAAAGAACGGTCCACCGTCTCTGCCCAACCTGGTACGACCAAGCTTGATGTTGAAGTCGAAGATGATGAAGGGAACGTTATGAGCATGCAAGTTTACCAGGAACTTAAGAAGCAAGGACTTCTGTGAGAAGTATCGCGAGAGCCGGTGGATGACATTCATCTACTGTCTTAATCCTACATGCATTGATCATCGCCGTTGCGATGTGTATCCAACATATCTGAATTGATGCGTATAAGTTTCGTTCAGTATGGGATAGTGTCAGCACTTGTGTCCGAAACGTCGAGAATAGCCAGTGTCTATCTAGAGAAGTGACCTAAGAACTCACGTCTTGTAGGTTCCATCCATGTCTCACCTGTGAAGGAATAGTGTTGAGTGGGAACCTCTCATTTGAATGTGATCTCAGATGCACATGGCATATGGGCCTAAAACAAATTTCTGTTAGCGGCGAGCTGAACCTGCCGGTGATATTGCCAATGCCTTTCTAAAAGAAGAGTTACAAGTATCAATACAACTTATTGAGAACTTCACACATTCCGACTGGGATAAGAATCCGCAAGAGGGAAGCCTGATATCTTGGTCGTGTTTTGTACTCTCTCAAAATGAAGATGCCAACCGAATCCCTCTCATATATCGGGAAATCATCTTTGTCAACAGGACAGAACACACCGCAAGGGTCGAAGGAAAAGACAAGTGTGAATAATTTCGTAAATCGATAAGCGGTTGCCTTTTCACTATTTGAGCGTTTGAACTTTGCTGTGCGTCGAGCAATGTCACAGAAGCTCGCGTGACGCCATTGACTGCGCATTTTAATCAAATTGATAATTCATCCCCAAACACCTCCCGTCCACCAGAATTTGTGCTTTACACAATAATTCCGCAGCCTGCAGAGAATCACACTTTATTTAAACTAAGAATTACATTGACCGTGTTTTCCAGCCTTCCTTGATAATTTCATGATGTGCTATTTGCCCATCACAGAAAGCGCTACTTTTATCTCTGCTAAAATTAAAGCTCGCAAGACACCGCAAAGTAAAGCTCGAGTGGGCAAGAAGTATAGAAATGTTAGAGTAATCGAAAAGTGAGTCTATCACTGTTTAAGCTACTTAATACAAGTAGGTATTCACATGGAGCAATCAGCAGCCTCGTACTATGTGCTCCCAATTTCTGATATAGTAGAAAATTTCGGTATATACATATCATGCTAAGAGTGGCACACTTTGAGTTGGGCCCTAACTCTCAATTGTTCAGACTAGTTGTGAGCAATGGCTTCCAAAAAGGCTAAAAAGAGTTCCGGAGCATACAAGAAAGGTATGGGCGAAGCAAACAGTGTTTCTAGCTCTAAAGAGGCTGGTAAATTGGAAAAAAAAACATCAGGTTCAAATGCCAAACCAAATGAGTCCAGGAGATATAATTTCATCGTGCGGACTGTTTGGACGCTTATCATGATCTGTGGATTCTTTATCACACTCGCCTCAGGTCATTTTTGGTGTGTCTTGCTAATCTTGGCCTGCCAGATTGCAGCTTTCAAAGAATGTATCCGAGTGACGGCGATATCGGGCCGCGAAAAGAACTTACCACTGACAAAAACGCTGAACTGGTATTTTCTATTCACCACAATTTACTACCTTGACGGCCGGTCGCTCTTTCAATTTTTCCAGTATTACTTCATCAACTATAGAGCTCTAAACTTGGTGGCATCCAATCACATGTTTATCTGCTACTGTCTGTACGTCCTCGGATTCGTGATTTTTGTATGCAGCCTGCGTAAGGGTCATTTGAAGTTTCAGTTTGCCTCGCTATGTGTCACCCATATGGTTCTACTGTTAGTCGTGTTCCAAGCACATTTGGTGATCAACAACGTTCTGAACGGACTGATCTGGTTCCTCCTGCCTTGTGGCCTCGTGATTGTCAATGATATCTTTGCGTACCTGTGCGGGATTACTTTCGGACGCACCAAATTGATCGAGATCTCTCCCAAGAAGACGCTGGAAGGTTTCTTGGGTGCTTGGGTGTTTACTGGCATTGCCAGCATTCTGCTAACTAGGCTTTTGACCCCTTTCACGTACATGACGTGTCCCGTTAAAGACATTAACACCAATTTCTTTACGCCCTTCACATGCGATCTAAATCCAGTTTTTATTCCGCAGGACTACAGATTGCCACCTATTGTTTTCGAAAATATTGGCGTCAGCACAGTTACCATAAAGCCTATCTATTTGCACGCTCTCAACTTGGCAACTTTTGCCTCCTTGTTCGCTCCCTTCGGAGGCTTTTTTGCGTCGGGACTGAAAAGGTCTTTCAAAGTGAAGGATTTCGGGCAGTCAATTCCTGGCCATGGTGGTATCACAGACCGAATTGACTGTCAATTTTTGATGGGTTCATTCATGAACCTTTACTACGAGACATTTATCAGTGAAAAACGAGTCACTGTGGAGACTGTGATCTCGACTATTTTGCTGAACTTCAACGAAAGACAAATTCTCGAATTAATCAAGGTCCTCAACGAAGTATTGTACAGTAATGGGTTCATCAGTGACAAGGCATACAAGCAATTAACAGAACTATACAATATCTAGTTGAAAACCCGGCAGCTTCTTTTAAATGTGTGTGATTATATATTCTGAATTAAGATCGCATCGGGCAATCGTATAATTGGAGCGTTTTCCCAAGGGGGTCAGCCCAGTTCAACTCAGGCATCAATCTTCGATGCTTCTGGAATACTTTCCATGACAGTATCAACATCACCACGCTGGTGTGAGGAGTTGGTGCGGTCTCGGGAAATGATCAAGTGCAACCCAATGACGTAGATCAATTCCACCATGAACTCCATCACCACAAACATGCCCAAATACAACCTCCAGTCGCCGTTGAAAGTATTGAACTTATGGTATGCTGATGTGTCTGTACTCAATTCGAATGCTGATAGTATGGTGTAGACAAAGCGGACCAGAAAGAAAGGACAGGCCAACAACACTATCATGACACCCAGGTCTCGCGAGGTATCGCAGTTTCTTCTGCTTTTGAAAGAGGACACAGCACCGACGAGAAGGAATATCAAGTATGTGGCTAAGAATATAATCGACGATGCTCTCACCAGAGTAAGGCCAGTCGTCGAATGGGAGCCCTTGGTCGACCAGTAATCGTACCCCACAATAGACAAAATGGCTGGGAGTAAAACCATCAACCGAGGTGCAATGGCAGCGCGAGGTATGGCTTTGAAAAGGTCCTCGGGGAAGCAAAACGCTTGTGTTACGTATAGCAAAGGCGTGGTAGCGATGGAAATCAAAATGGCACCGGTTGTTACCAGACCCAGGGAGGGCATATCTGAAAGTTTGTCGTTATTAGTGGCATTGACGGACTTCACAGCAGCGTCGAGACTAATGGCAAGACCTGCAATTTTCAAGACAGACAACGCCGTCAAATAAAATGCTTTGGGCCGGTGTCTACCGCGGAGCAGGGCCCCCACGGTACTGCACAATAGACCGCTATAGAAGACCAGCTCGACCACATAGATGATGTGTATTTTGTCATCCCAAATAGACACGTTCGAGGTCATGGAGGATGATATTAGGCCTTTTTAAAATGCTCGTGGATAGACTGATTAGTGTGACAGCTTGTCTGACACCTGAGGCTGCTTTCGTTGAAGTTCGCCCCGATGCCCAACAGACGTATATATATATGTGCTTCCCAGTCTTCCCTTGGTAGTATTGCCCTTCACATTAAAGGCGCATGTTCTCCACGAGCCTACTGTACTGGGAGGTCGTTGTTCACCAGCCACTACTCAATGTCAGCATTGGCATGAGCGATGCAAAAGAGGATTTTCGGTCGTTGATCAGAGGGGCTCATGAGGATACGCTTACTGCAGGATCCTTTGCAGAACGCCTTCGAATCCAATCAAACACTATCGGTTCCCAGGGCCTTGACTGAGGGTTTCTATCTTCCAGGCGGCTGAATTTTTCTTGGCATCATACTTTGATTATGTAATACACCAAAGCCAGCACGGAAATATGCCAAGCCTCCAAAGGCGCATAAACAATTTTCGGCCGTAATAAAGACAATTAAGCTCTTTCGGCCGTAAGAAAGACAAGCAAGCTCTTTCCTTGCCCGATGTCATTCTTCTTTTGTGATGAGCACCTGTGTATACCAGCCCAATGCTTTTGAAAGCTCTTTGGATAGTTTCCTCCCTCTTTGGATAGTTTTCCCCCTCTTTGGATAGTTTCCTCCCTCTTTGAATAGTTTCCTCCCTCTTGGTTCAGCTAAGTAACGCCCTTGCTGGATAATGCGAGTGTTAGGCGCGAGGTTATTTCGCAAGGCGATTTACAGTGGTGGCAGTAATCTGCCATGAAAACCCATACCTCAACGGTCAGATAACCATGCACCAGCCCAGATATTGTTGGTTAGTGGCACCAAATGGATCTCGAAGATAAGCAATGGCTTAGAACCACAGGGCCCAGAGTACGACTCTCACCCGAGGTCTACCTCAGATTAGCATTCGAATGACGAGCTACTGGGGACTTTTCCAGTAGCGTGAGACGTCTTCACTAGAGAGTAAGCAAAAATATCAACACTTTATGTATGCACTTTCCAACAGCTTCGGCAAGCATTTGCTACTCGCGTGCCTGACACAGATGCCCTTGTTCTCGGGCGTTGCTCAAAACGTGAAGCGTAGTCTGAAGATCCAGCAACCTTTCTCCCCGTCACGGCTCGAGCTGTGCAAATATTGCGAGTTTTCATTGGTCTTGCGAAGTAACGCTTTCCCCACGAAAACCCCCTACTGTGTACCTCTGGGTCTCGATCGTTCGGCGCATCATCTAGAAGTACCATAGTGAGCTCTCAGATAGTTCTACGATGGAGGGCCCATCAGGACTTCTTCTACTTTCAAGTGCAATTCAATTAATCGGTCTGCTAAAGAAAATGTAGCTTTTCAAGGGCCCGCCTGCGTCGGGTGGCTTTTGGTTCCCTCTGTTGACTCATCGCCGATTTCCACCTCGGTACGCGCAATGCGGTGGTGTCGGGTTATCATGAAATGAAGCCCCACAACATAAATCAGAGATACCATGAACTCCATGACCACTTGCAAGGGTAGATAAAACTTCCACCCGGTGATATTGAGAAACGTGCCGAAGTCATTCACGATGTAGTAGATCAAACGGACCAAGAAGAAAGGCACCGCCAACATGACTGTCAGCATACCCACAAAACGTACTCCATCCGAGGATTTTCTTTGAACCGCGTACATTACTCCGCCAGTAATCACGATTATCACATATAAGGCCAGATACAGGACGTCTGCGGCTTCGATTAGTTTGCTAACAGAATATTGCACTCCGCTTCCAACTAAAGCATACACCACGATGTATAGAATGGCGGGCAGCGCAACGAGGCCGTAGGCCAAAATGTGGGTCCATATCGGCCAGTGGCCCGCAAAGCACAGGGAAACAGTAGCACATACCAGCGCGGCGATCGATAGGCTCAACAACACAACTTCCGCAATCGCGAGATCATAAGCATTGCCACCCCAATAATAATATCGGCCAAGGGAGCCACTGTTATAGCTTTTGACCAATCGCACTGCGAGGTCCAGTGCGATCGACAAGCCGCAAATCTTCAGCACGGCCATAAGAATCAAAAACGCAGCTGTCGCGATCTGCGACCGCCGGAACAGAGCAGCCACCGCCGCGAAAAGTATAAGGCAGTAAAATACCATTTCCACCACGTAAACGATATTGACTGTTTGGTCCCATACAGAATAGTGGGCGTATGAAGAAGAGCTCATTGAGAAAATAAAATGTTTGGGTCAGGGCGTGATAATTTAACCTTGTGCTGGTGCGTACCGTCACTGTAATTGGCCCGTTGGTCGAGCTTTGAGGGTCGAGCTCCTTGCTGAGAACCCTTTTTATAGTGCGCGCGAGAAGCCCTCTCTAAGGAGGCACGATCCAAAATTAGAGCTGCGCCAAGGTGTTTTGCGCCGAGTTGCCTATTCCAAGAACCAATCAGCCCCGACTCCTCTTTGGCCGGAGACATCGTTTCCGTATATCCAAATCCGGCGATTATGGAATGACCACTTTAGCGAAATATCATTTACGACAAGGTGGAGGCCTGGGATCTCGCATATCTGGTTTCCAAGCCCTCTTTCCAGCACTACGGTCACGAAATTGGTTTGCGGCTTCTCCAAGGTCCCTCAGGGTCTTTGCCTTCAAGCAGCTTGTCTTGTGCTTATCTCCAGGGTTCGTCAATACCTCATCGCAGGGTCTCTGGGCATGGCAACAGGACCCCATCCACGTTGCCGGAGAAAAATTCCAAATGGTAGCCGGGCCCTGTATCGCTTGTGACGAGTGTGTCGTGGCGACGGAGTCGTGAGTGCCATCATAGTGGAAGGTGGGCGAGAAGTTGTGTGCTTGGGACATATGCCGACGATGTATGGGTATATTTACGGTTGGATTAGTCCGGATTATCCTTCACAATTTCTCATCGCGATAGTCAGTGGCATTCATAATGGTTTCTTCTTTTTCACCAAGTCGGTAGAACAAAAAGAAGAGATACCACGAAACGCCGCATATGATGTCGTAATCTGTTTCGGCTATTTTCACTATCACTCAAGTGCTATGGCTTCGCTTTGGAGATATGTTACATTCGCGGATTCATAGGAACAAAATTTGGAAATGATCCGTGCGAAGGAGCATCAGACAGAGAATACTGAGTCACAGCTAAAGTGGAAGGATGTACTGTGAGCTGCTTGAGGAGAGAAGGTACGCTTCACAATAGTGAATAAACAAAACCCTCTTTTCTTTGTGTCTAGAACAGAAATACCAATTATTTCGAATGTAGCCAGGTTCAGCTATTTTATGAGTAACCTTATGGCAATGGACTTCTTGTTATATATTGGCCACTTGCATGAAAAACAACTTCATGAATAGTTATAGGATAAGGCTAAGAGTTGATTTGTTCCAGTTTGTGTAGAGGCGAACTCGGCATATCACTCAGCCTCCAGGTAGAGAGAAAGAATATCAAGCCGAGATAGCGCGGGAATGTAGTCTGGTAATCACTTATTATCTTTCATCTTTAAATGTTAGGCGTGGTGATGGATCCTGCCTTTCATTGAGACTTACCACACTCCTCAACGGACCTCTAGCGTATGGGGATGACAAAGTTGAAACAAATTAGAGCCAGTAAACTTAGATGAAATACAGGAATAACATGGTCAAGCGGCTATGGAATCGCCGGGTTATGCGTAGCTGTGGTTCTATAGCAATGCCTTTGTTACTGAACTTCTTACTAGAGTAAGAAGAGTTTCTGGGACACCAAAATTCATACTTTAGAGAGAGTTAGACGGAGATGGTGGGAAGTGTCGTACCCATCGCCTTAGAAGCTGCTGCTGCTGCTGCTGCGTATGTGACTTTGTCATGCTGTAGAATATTTCATTCAAAATAGTTTGATAAGTGCAGTGTAGTTTAAGGCGCCTGAAACACTATGGGTTATGGATACCTTCCATTCTCTAATTCGATTTCGTTAACCGACAATGCCATGGGCTGAGAATGCCCTCTCTCCACTGATACGCCCCTGCCGAAAGTGTTGGAGGTGGAAAAATGTGGCATTTTCCCATGGGCAGCTCCGAGCGATGGTATATCGCAGAGTAATTGTTTGTGAGATGCTTCCTCAGATGTTATCCACCAAATGAGTTTGGCTGGTACTATACAACGGGGTTGATTTTATACCGAAATTATTGGAGGTACACAATGAAGGTACTCATTTTGTCGCTTGATGATTCGATTTTCCACTTCCTTGTATTTTTCTGGTTAGAAAAACGGTTGGTCTGGCTTGCTCCGTACAATCATTGTCTGTGGATCTGATGGGTTCGGTGAATCATTTTATCTTCTTCTACTGACACCAAATCATCATTTTGCACTGCTCTGTCACCACCTTGACCTTATCATCCTAGTACCATGTCGTAGCTGCGAAACTGCACTACTTACGCCATATCAAGATCTAGCCAGATAATGCCCCAGAAAGTATTTACAAAATTCGTGGGGCAGGCATGGATACTCAGTAATTTGGCCAGTGGTAACTCCGAGCCTTCGCCGTTGTTGATAGTTTGTATCCCAGATCATTTGTGCAGAATTGAGGACTCAAAGTTCAACTTTTCATTCCTGCCTTCTACAGCACCGTCCTATAAATAAACAGTCTGGTGAGTTGACGATATTAAGCGAAAATCCACATATCAACCTTCTCTTAGCCACGGCACCTTCCCATATTCCTGAGGTAAGAATACAGTGGCGATACAATACGGCTTCAAGGCATGAAGGAATACGTTTATCAACCGCTGAATGAGGTGTCTGTCTTTGTGTACTCGTGTAAGTATTCACTCGCCCATGCTTTGCACTGATGAATACTAGAGTAAGTACGCGCACGCTGCCAGTTCCAGGAACCGTGGACTATCCAATGGGCAATTGTGTCGCATCATGTTCGCTCCTCTGGATGATCGCTGTGTTTAACGGGCAAAATGGGTTGTTTACTATCGATGTAGGGCTCGCCAAGCGATTGATACACGTTAAACAAGAAGAGGCCCTGTTAGAGCTAGAGGAATCTGGCACTCATTTTAAAAACACACTCGAGCACACCCATGGCTACATTCTAGCCAGTGTATGCATTACTTTGTCTCGAATGAGCTTCCCATGTGTTTTTATTTGCGATGTGGGCCACTATGTAAGATGTAATTTAGACAATGCGGGCCCATCGTCAATTCAATAATCGACAACAACTCCATATTGCAAAAACTAGACTCCTGTACTAACCAGGGCATGCCGAAATGTCCATTTTCTCCTTAGATGAAGAAATATCGAGGCTCACAGTCAATGGCAGCTGTGCCTTGATTGACAGTGAAGATGATGGATTCGAGCAGGAGCTCACTGGCGACATGTGGCATAAAAACATGTTATCCACGAATCCCAAACCTTCTAGACTTTCAGCTCCGTCCACTTCGCCAGGAAACGTTTCTATGGGCCGCAGAAGGTCGTCGCTTTACGATAAGATGTCCGTTGCTACACCTCCAAACACTAGACGACTATTTCTTCCTTCGAATGAGCCAGAAAGCGCAAAGTCCAGTTTTTGCAGCCCCAGTGCTCTCGAAAAGCATGGACCGCGTCTGTTAGAGGATTTCAAGCCTGTGAGGGTTCTAGGACGTGGGGCATATGGGAAGGTTCTGCTGGTCAAAGACTCCCATACAAGGCGGCTTTACGCCATGAAACAACTCAAGAAAGCGGAAATCCTGATACATCAAAACCCAGATAGTACCATCTCAGAAGAAGAGGCCCTGGAGAAACGATTAGAACGTACATTCGCCGAAAGAACTATTTTATCCGAGCTGGAGCACCCGCATATCGTTAAGCTGTTTTACACATTCCACGACCATCATAAACTTTACTTGGTGTTGCAGTTTATTCCGGGTGGCGAGCTTTTTTATCATTTAAAAGAGCAAGGAGTTCTCGACGAGGACACTGTATCATTCTACGCTGCAGAAATAAGTTCTGCCCTCAAGTTTCTGCATGGGAAAGGTATAGTCTATCGAGACTTGAAACCCGAAAACTGTCTGCTGGATGAAAGGGGGCATTTGGTTCTGACTGATTTCGGCCTCAGTAAGAAGAGCGCCAACGACACTAACCCAAATTCGATAAGCTCAGCTCCGAACGAAGGAGAATCTGTGGAAACACTCCACTCCATTATCGGAACTCCTGAATATTGTGCTCCGGAAATTCTAGAAGGGAAGCCATACACTCAGAACTGTGATTGGTACTCATTAGGATGTCTCGTATATGACATGTTGACTGGGAAGCCTCCTTACACAGGCGCAAATCATAAGGTTATCATCAACAAGATCTTGAAGGATAAGACCCCAAAAATTCCGACTTATTTCAGTGAGGGAATGAAGGACTTCTTAGGTGCTTTACTGAAAAAGGATGTATCCAAAAGATGGGACGTCGATAAACTGTGGGATGTCGATGGTCCAAAACCGAAGAAGAAGAAAGCTGGCCAGGCTAAGAACACCAGTTTTCAAACTCATTTTGTTTTCCGTAAGATTGATTGGCTTAAGTTGGAGACTGGCGAGCTCCAACAAACTACATTTGGACCCATATTTCCCATTATTACAGATTGGGAATTAGCGGAAAATTTTGATTCCGAATTCACGGAGATGCGGCTAGACAGCGCAGGTCAAGCTGATTGTATTGATATTCAACAAACTTTCAAGCCCGAGCAACTACAAGTGTTCCAAGGTTTTAGTTATGTCGCGAGTTCGAGTTATTTGGAACGTCATTTCTAATTCAGAAGGGTGTTCCCGAGAAAGTAGGTGAAAGGACCTTTGTTTTTTTGATAGAGAATTCGAATGATTAAGTATTTGAGTTTTTGTGTACTATAGCCACATTAATATTGACGAAGCAGTAAGTTATGGAAGGTGCAAGTGGGGCGAATCACTTCTCGTGAAAGGGCGTCGCAGTAAAGAACCACCTCTTCAAATATGGCTAATCTGCTCGGAGGTTCAAAACCTTAACAAACATTGTTTACTTCTTGAGTGTGCTTGTTGCTTGGCCCAGGGTTATAACACAATACCAGCTCAAAAGCTAAAAGGAACACTGTAAACATTAAAAACATCAAAATTAAAGTGAGAGTATAAGTTCAATGAAGTACACCTTTTTACAAGCCTGAGCGTTTAAAAACGCCTTTGGAGCCTAAGAGCATTTGCGAATTTCAAAAGGTACGCTGGGGTTGCACCTGCTCTAGTCAGGTTAGACGCGTTGCCCCGAGACCGTCATTGGGCACCGCGAATTACCCATGGCCAGCCAAATAAGAAATAAAGTCAGGTAAGAGTGCTCTCCATATTTTTCTGGCGCTTGAACGTACTCTAGTGCTGAGCATAATGACACCTAGAGCTCCCGCCAGGATAGTATATAGTGATCAGTATTCGGCGGAATGTATAAACTCTTAGCTGCCCCGCGAGAACCTTATGTGAAATTTCAGAGGAGGTTTAAGTGGGGTTTTCATTCCCATCCAGTGGTCACAGCTACCGTCTCCCATTTTATGCAAGACTTTCTAACCTTGTGGCAGAAAGAAAGCAAAAGACACTCTATATGTGGGCTCACAGACAAGCAAAAAAAGGGTATAATCTTCATGCGAATGGGGATACTAGCGTACTTACAAAGATCTTACACCCACCATGTGGTTCCCTCACTATTTGATACAAATGCTTTGCTCTTTTTAAGAAAGAAAAAAAATGCCAGCAGCACAAAGCTGGTGGCTTATGAGCCTAGCGAATTTCTGTATTACTAGCTCACAGGCTGCTAGCTCTTCTTGCCTGTCCACAACACTCTACTGATGCTTCCTGTTCTCACTTTATATTTTCCTGGCACAGGACTTTTACGATAAGCTCGGACTGGTCTTTTAGAGAAGAATTACTTTTGTTTTTGATGTCAACGTTACACCAAACTTTTGAAGAACACCAGCAGAGGAATCATGGCAATAAGTACAGTGGGCCGGGACCTTAGTGGCCGGGCTGCTGCTGGTCTAGATCTTTTGAGCTCACGATTAAGACAGTCAAACCACATCTTTAGACGTGGGAAGAGCAAAAATGTATCGATCTTCATACTATGTGTGGTCTCGCTTCTGGCTATTGGCGCGGTCATCCACGGAATACAGAGGTCCAACGGTTCTATGGACTTTTTATTGAATGATCAGCATGATGATGACGATGATGATTATTCTGATGATAGCACCCATCTAGATAATCTGAATGCCATCTACGATGATGATGAAGGTAGTAAACCGGTTACGACCCATACCATTTCCGGTTCGGGGCCCGCCTTCAAATCTCCTGCAAGAAAGAAATCATTCCACGAGATGATGACTTTGATTAAAAAGCATTCTCCAGAGGGGTCGATGGAGGGCTCAACTAAGAAAAAGTGCGACCTGGGCGATATTTCAATAACCGACACGGATAAGTTTCACAAGTTAACGGAGGAGTCCCTCAAAAATTGCATGGATGTCTCGGATGACACGGTTACCACGTTAAAAGATGCCCAAGCCGCCTTCAGGAAGTCTATGGCTACTGATATACTGCCGTTGTTCCATCATTTGGAGGAAGCCGCGTTCCAGGGTGAAGGTATTGTCATCGTCGGGGGTGGTAAGTATTCGCTATTCGCACTTCCAGCGATCAAGGCAATCCGTGAAAACAGTGGCACTAAGATCAGACATTCCATTCCAATTGAAATAATCATCCCTCCGAAAGATAACGCCGATAGAGCCTTTTGCGAAAACGTGGTGCCCAAGCTAGACCCTCTAGGACGCACAAAATGTGTGTTCTTGGATGAAATATTGGATGAAGAAACGTTGTCGCATATAGACGGCTATCAAATAAAGCCTTTGGCCGCTTTGGTGTCTAGTTTCAAAAAAGTCCTTCTCTTGGATGCTGACAACTACGTTGTCAACTCGATAGAAGATTACTTCAAACACAAGACTTTTCAAGACAAGGGTTTGGTTCTTTGGCCCGATTACTGGCGCAGGCTCCACCATCCAAGGCTCTACGATATTATGGACCTTCGTGTTGCAACGCAAGAAATATCGAGAAATTCAATTGACGACGCCACGCCAAGCTACATGTATAAAGTGAATTCAAAAGATGCTCCTTTCCATGATATGAATGGTGCTCTTCCAGATGGCGGCACGGAGTCTGGCCAAATTTTAGTTGACAAGGAAAAACATCTTGACACCTTAATTTTCAGCTTATACTTGAACTACAATGGGCAAAGCTTTTACTACCCACTTTTGGGTCAAGGGTTCGCTGGGCAAGGTGATAAAGACACATTTGTCTTGGCTTCCCTCGTCCTGCATGGTAAAGACTCGTGGTATCAAGTCAAGACCCCAGTAGATGCACTGGGCCACTGGGCGGATCAAAAAGACGAAATAAGGCTGACGCCCGAGGAGCTGGCGAAGGCTGAGGATAAAAAGTCTTTTAGAGGAACTGCAATGCTGCAACACGATTACGTCGAAGACGTCAATTTCAAGTCACTCGCGCGTGAGATGATACACAACAGCGTGCGTGATAAAGCTCACGCATTTTGCGATGAGTGGTCTGAGTCGCACAAGGGAGAATTCAGCAGCAAAGAGGACGAGAGGAGAAAGCAGTGCGAAAAAGATCAAAAAGTTCAAGATGCGTTCCATGAACAGATACGCAAGTCATACAGCCTCAACGACTACCTCCTCTTTTTCAAGTTCACCAAAGTATCTTTTGTTCATTCCCATCTACCCAAGTATGATCCTTGGGAGTGGTATCATAGCGGCGATATGATGTATGATGGTGCCAAGGCCAGTAAGAACCATAAGGACGACGCCACATATCAACCGCCCCATTCCGGCCATTACCGCATGTACGACTCGAAGATTGAACAAGTTACCAGTTATGACCTCGAGTTAGAGAACTGGTCCGCTTTTAACACTTACCTTTGCCAGTCTAAAGACGGCTACAAGAACTTCGGCTATTTGACAGATAAAATAAGCTCCAGCAAATCTCCTACTCAAAGTTACCAAGGTATGTGCGCCTATATCGAAGACAGAGTTAAGTTTCTGGAGAGCACAACCTGGGAAAGCGTTGATGTTTAATTCGCAACTTGATGCCTGCCCCTCGTAATTAGTTAGCCGATCGATATCGAGAAGCCCGAACATATATAATAAATAGGTAGAGGAAAGCAAGTTTGTGATAGCAGTACGCTGCCAGTCTTAACGGTTGGGGTCCTGGGACATTGCTAATCAATGAGTATATTCAGTTCAAGTGCAAAGAGATTTTTGTCTGGAAAAATGAGTCGACCTTTCAAATCTTTAGTGTATTCTTCCCATGATGTTGAAGACTGTACCAAAGTACTTTCATTGTTCAGCTATTACCCGCAAGAAGCTGTTGATAAGTCTATTGTTCTCAGAACCTTGGCGTTTCCGATCAATCCCTCTGACATAAACCAGCTCGAGGGTGTTTATCCCTCTAGGCCCGAAAAAACACTTGCTCTTGGCACCGAGCAACCTAGCGCTATTGCAGGTAACGAGGGAGCATTCGAGGTGGTGCATGTACCAAGCCACGTGAAAGACTTGAGCGTAGGAGATATGGTCATTCCATTGCAGGCGAACTTTGGTACTTGGTCTTCCTATCGAACCTGCAAGGATGCTTCGGAGGTAGTCAAGTTGGAAGGCTGCGACAAATTTGCTGCAGCTACTATAGCTGTCAATGGCTGTACAGCGTACCAGATGCTGAACAACTACGTGAATTGGGATTCCAATGGAAACGATTGGCTGATTCAGAATGCAGGTACATCATCAGTTTCGAAAATTGTCACTCAACTGGCCAAAATGCGCAATGTAAAGACCTTGAGCGTCATTCGGGACCGCGACAATTTTGAAGAGGTAGCTCGTGAACTGGAAACTAAATACGGTGCTACTAAAGTCATTTCAGAGTCGCAAAACAACGATAAGGACTTTAGCAAGGAAGTTCTGCCTAAAATTTTGGGGGCGGATGCGCGTGTCAAACTGGCCCTAAACTCGGTGGGCGGAAAGTCCAGCTCTTCGATAGCCCGCAAACTAGATGCAAATGCTATTATGCTAACCTACGGGGGCATGTCTAAGCTACCTGTCAGCTTGCCACCATCTCTACATATTTTTAAGGGTCTGCAAAGTCAAGGCTTTTGGGTTACGCAAAACTCCAAAGAGGATCCTCAGGATAAGCGTAGAACAGTCCAGGAAGTAGCCAGGCTATATGCTGAGGGGAAACTCATCTCTCCTAAGGATGAAGTCAGAGTTCTAGAATGGGACGTTGACGGAATGTCCGATGAGCAGGTTCTTGATCTCATCAAGTTGGGTATCACCCAGAAAGGAGGCAAGAATATGGTAGCTCTCAAATGGTAGCTGCAATTTGTAAGTGTTTATTGTTTATTGTTTATGTATGCACGCTAGCAATTTTATGACAATTCTATGAAAAGGCACTACTACTTAGCATGCGACAAGTACTGTCGCCCTAAAATTAACCCAGAGACGCTCAAGGTTATATATCCGATCACCTCCCACCGCGTAATGGTAATTTCGTTGGTTTGTGTGACCCAATCGGCTAGGGCGGTGAAAACAATGGAGCCGAGGAAGCAGGTTGATGTAAACCGCGGCGAAACTTGAAATGACAAATGTACCAAGGAAGCAACCATTACCAGATGGCCGGCAAAAACAAAGAGAAATATATATAGTGTTTCTGAAACACTCGGAACCGTCAGGGGAAGCTCTTGTCTGTGGTAAGTCATGATGGGGGCTAGGATCAACAAATTTATCACGCCAATGACGCTAATTTCGTAGCTGAGCGTACATACTTTGACGGCTTGCCCAAGTTTAGAGGAAGAAGTGTCTTCAGTACAGCTTTGCGTTGCAGATGTCCACTTGCTCCACATAACGAAAACCGGTCCCACAGCCAAAGCTCCCAGGCCACATGTTAGGGCGCTTTTCAACCTGTCGAACAGAAACGGATCGTCAAGCTCTCCAGTCTTAGTGTTAAGTGCGAGCTTCCCGGAAAGCAGGTCGCATGAAGCCTTGGTATACGAAATTGTCAGAATCCCGACTAGGACTATAATGATGAGAGCGAAATTTCTCAGCATGTTTCTTCTGCTTGCCATGCCAGTAATTCCAAGAAGTAAAGAAACGATCTCGAACATGGATAGATTGTGGATGATGGCCACGTCCAGAGCAGGCGACAAACCTAGAGCCACCAAATATGTGTACTGCGCTGAACATAACATAATGGCCAGGAAGAGTGCGCGTACAAGTTGCGAAAGAAGAACCTTGGGGTTCCCCTTTGCCGTTGGAGTTGTGGCCACGGGAAGACAAAGGTCTCGGACCGTATCAGAAAAACGAGGCGGCTGTGGGAAAAACGCCGCTTTCCACCATCCTGATCTCGACTTGCATCCATATTTTAACCTGCAGAACAACTGCGACAGAGGGCCTACCACAATCCATGATGAAAGTTGGGCACCTAGGATTAGCATGACATCTGTCGAGCCCCCAGAGGAAGACCTACCAAATAATCTGGAAATCCCTATAGTCTGCGCAACATACCCAATGACAGCGCAAAGCCAAAGTTCAGCGAGCATGGTGTCCCTTCAGTCTCACTCTAGGCCAAAAAACATATTAAAAAGTAGTGCGAGCGAGAAGCGAAGAATTCAAGAATCAACAGGCAATGTTAGTTTCACCATAGGCGATTCCTCTTGGGTCCATATACGAAACGCCGTGATCACCAACCTCTGACGCAGCTCTTCGTTTAACGCTGTGTCAATGGTCGTTATAACTGCACCCAGCTGACTTCCAGAGTGATACCACACCAGAAAGATTTCTCGAGAGTCCAACCAAATTTGTAAGACTTCGTGGCCAAGCTGGTTAAGGCGTGCGACTGTTAATCGCAAGATCGTGAGTTCAATCCTCACCGAGGTCGAAATTTAATTTTTCAATATCAGTAAAATTGTCCACTGCACCACGATGCAAATCAGCGGTCTTGGAGTTTTAATTTTTGCGTGGCGTGGTTGGAATTTCCCAGGCGAGGTAGTGCGGAACCTCTGAACCGGTCTGCTCTTCTACTCGCTTTCGCAGCTCCTGATTTCGTTGGTATAACCACACTAAGTAATTGTAGCCTGAATGAGTTTCGTAGGAAGTTAGTATTTTATACACGAGCATTGACTAGGGCAGTCGATCTGGCTGACATACTTCTAGCGTAGATTTGCATTTCTGAGCGCCTGTGATCAGTGGTTAGATCGGGCACCACTTCCACCAGTGTATCATAGGTTTCGCGCATGGCCTGGCGTCTTCTTTGTTCGCACGATACGTGATTCTGACGTTTTTGGTCTTCAGACAGCGCCGCCTCTCGCGCCGAGCGCTTTGTACCTTTGTGCTGATGGTCGGATGTAGGATGGGTATTTGCGGCAGTCATTGATCGGATTGGATGGACTTGCGTCGTGTATTAATTCCCTGATTTTGTCCCGATTTGATGGTGGTAAAGTATGAAATAGTTGGTTGATGATCTATTTTTCACATGGCGGCCATTGGAAAACAGAGATATAGGGTATCACCAAAGGACAGCCGGCCGAAGGAAGAACAGGAGAAGGAAAGAAAGTAGTTTAGCTTGGCGCTCTCAGATGTTTGGAAAACTGGGTCAAGTAACATACCAATTTGGTCAACAAGCCACGTGACAATAACTAAGGGTAGAACCTTAATTTTTTCCTGGTGGTTCCATAAAAGCTCGCGTGGCGTAATGGCAACGCGTCTGACTTCTAATCAGAAGATTGTGGGTTCGACCCCCACCGTGAGTGTTTTTTTTATTGGCAAGATCTTTCATTCACATCTTTGTGGGAGCAAGTAGGCCAATTGGATCAATACGGGCGTGGTTGGGGCACCAACTGTACGCAATACACATGGACCAAGTCATGTTTCGAAACTGTAATATTATTTACACGATATGTATCTGATGCGCCTAGGGTGGACTTGAATTTTATTTCTTAAGCTGATCCATGGTGACGATGCGGGAAGGAGCGGAGGCGGCCACGGAAGGCGAATCAGCCATAGCCGCGAGCTGCAGCTCCAATGCGGTTTTCTTCGCACTCTTGCGGACCAGATTCGCGTGCCCTCCGGATTTGGCCTCTTGAATCTGTTGCAATAGCGGATGGTTCTCTTTGACCAAGTAGCCACGCTTGCCTGGATTGCTATAGTAGTCGATGTCTTTCCTCTTGACTGGCCTGGCCTGTAGCGGAATTCGCCCTCTATTCTGCATGAACCATTGGGGGCTCAAATGTGCTCTCAGGCCCAGTTTGTTGAAGTATCGCGCTGTGAACTCGCCACCAGCCTTTTCGATGGCCTGGATTGCACTTTTGGAGGCTCTGGTGGCTTCAATTTTCAACGGCAGGTTGAAATATTCCTTTCCATCGCCCAACAGCTTCACACCGTCCTTGATGGACCCCGTTACCAATCCCAAATCCTTCATTTTCTTCATGTCTAAGACTTCGCCGGCTTCGAGATCCAAGCGGCCCTTGCGATGAAACCACATGATCCTGTCCAGGTTGAGCTCGTTGAGTTCTAGCGACGTGACATTGGTGAATCCGATCTTAGGGAAAAGCTTGTAAATGGGAGTTTGACCACCTTCAAACCACGACTTGACTTTTCCGCGGGCCTTTTGACCCTTCTGACCTCTTGCCGATGTTTTACCTTTACCAGAAGAAGGACCTCTACCAACTCTTTTGTATGTCTTTGTCGATCCTTCAGAAGGTTGCAATTGTGAGAGAATAGATACTTGCCGACATTGAGGGAAAGTCAGCTGCCTCAAGCTTGTTTGGAAGCTTTGTATGAATCCCGAAGGACGAGAAAGAAACATCCTAGGGCGCGTCACGTCTGTTTAGTGGCCAGCGCTGAAGCTTCTTATCCGACAGTTGATTTCCATAGATGTTTAGAAGCCTGGAAAATTTTAGTAGATCAGTAAAGCGTGATCCCAGGGCTCCTATATGGCGGTACTGAGCAACATGTGCAATTGAAAATAGCTTCTATGGCCAAGTTGGTAAGGCGCCACACTAGTAATGTGGAGATCATCAGTTCAAATCTGGTTGGAAGCATTTATTTTTTAGACCTTTCATTCCTGGAATGAACAACCGAAAGCCCGTGTTCTCTGTACTACAAAGTCAGCTCTTGGAATGGGTTTATGGCTTGGTAGTGTGTGCCAGCATCCTTCCAGAGTAATGTCCAGTTTTGTATGTAATATATTCAAGGTTCAGACTTTGTTAGCGGGCTCTCCACTGTGAGGTGCACTGAGCGAGACATAATGAAAGGCGAGAGGTCGCGGACTCACAAAGTGGATCGGAGCGACGCTGAGGATAATAATAACAGTTTAATGTTAAATTGAGGGCCAATGGCCTATCTATGTAAGTATATGCTTCTAAAAAATATTCTGCTCTTCTTGGTGAGAGCTCCGAAGTAAAGGGACGACTGCCGAGAGCCCATGTCACTCCCAAGCATGCGCATGCGTGCGTGTGTTTTTGCTCGAGCACCTAATAGTTTCTGTGCGGATAGACTTCTGTGTCAGGGTTTACTATACGCAGCGGCCCGTGCTCCTGCGTGACGTCCGGCAACGAGCCGTCGCTGAGTCTTATGCGGCCGTAGCTGTCGTCGAACACCGGGGTTTGGCCCGCGTAGTCATTGTTCGTGGAGTGTCCAAGCTCAGAAGAGGTTCGGCGCACAGACGCGTTGCGCTGCGCCGCGGGGATCGCCGAGCCGTCGCTGTCGCCAAAAGAGTAGGGCTGATGGTGCTTCGTCTCTTCCAGGTCTCTCGCCTGTTGCTTGCGACGACGCCATAGCAAGAAGAAAACCAGGCCTGCGACCAAGAGAGACCCCACGATCGAACCGATGACAATTCCTGCGATGGCCCCACCCGACAGAGAGTCTTTGCTGGTGGAGCTAGACTTGGACGAAACATCCTGCGCGGACGTACCCGACGCGGTGGGCGAGTTCAGCACCGTGGTCTGCGTTACATACCGGGTAGAATGCTGGTTGTTTGAAAGCGTGGCGACAGACGCCGACGACGTGGTGACTGTTGTGGGTGCGTCGCTGCTGGAGCGGGACGCGGAGCTGGAGCTGGAGCCTGAAGTCGAGCTGGCGCTGGAGCTGCTGCTGCTGCGGGAACTAGCGCTGGAGCTGGACCTAGAGCTGGTACTCGAGCTGGAACTCGAGCTGGCGCTGGAGCTGGAAGAGCTCTTGCTGGAGCTGCTGCTGCTGCTGCTGCTGCTGCGGGAACTAGCACTCGAGCTGGAACTCGACCTGGCGCGGGAGCTGGAACTCGAGCCGGCGCTGGAGCCGGAAGAGCTCTTGCTGGAGCTGCTGCTGCTGGAACTCGCACTGGAGCTTGACCTCGAGCTGCCACCAGCGCTGGAGCTCGTGCTGGAGCTGCCGCCGCTGCTGCTGCTGCCGCTGGACTTCGGCACCGTGACCCCAGACTTCAAATAGACCTGGAAGTACCCAGACCCGCCGCACGTATCGTACGGCCAGCCCGCGCACTTGGTGTCGCAGTTGCCGCTGTCCGTCGACGACACCGACGACAGCGCAGACGCCGAATCGCCGCAGTAGCACGTATCCCCGCCCAAAAGCGCCACCACCTCGCTCCCGTCGCACTCGTTCTCGCAGTACGACGTGCTCTGGTACGTGTAACTGCCCTTCGAATCCAGCGCAGAGCTCAGGTCCGACTGCGAATAGCACCCCAGCTCCGAGTACGAGTCTGCCGCAGCCACGTACCGCATTGCCAGGCCCACTACCACCGGGATCACACTCGCTACCATTCTTACCGTGTCTATTTCCCTCGAATCAAGAGGTCAAACGTTGCGTCCCAGAACCACTGGTTTTCGATCTAACACGCTGGAGAGCTGTTGTTGTACCGCCTGTGTGTGTCCAATTGCGCTTGAACCCTTCTGAAGCTCCTCACCCAGCCACTAACCGAGAGTCTACGTCCTGGCTTTTAAGTTCCAGCTTTCCTCCCAATGTTTTGGGAAAATATTTGTCCTGTATGTCCATGTATCGAAGAATTCCGCGAAAAAAAAGCTCGCGTCAGTTTCGCCAAAAGTGACAGACCGGCGATCCGGGGCCCAAAACCATCCCGGCCGCAGTGGTGGGCCCCCGGGCAGCAGCCCGCGGGCCCCCTGCCGCGAGATCCAGGGCCGTCCCACGCCGTAGCTGCCCACACAGGAACATCACGGCACACGAACACCCCGTTCTGCCCCGGGACGGGCGGTTTTGTGCCCAAAGTGGGCTCGAAATCGAGCCCGCCGCCGCGCCAGCACAGTTGCCACCAGCGGCACTGTGTTCCGGGCGCGCCGGGGTCTGTTTGGGCCCGGTTTCCTGCTGCGTCCGCAGCTCATCGCACCCAATGGGCAATAAATGTGAAAAACTAATATCTACACCGACTGGAACACCACGGCAGGCAGCTCATCGCACCGCAGTCCCCACAAGCATGAGCTCGCTGAAACAGCTCCAGCAGAAGTCGGCACGCAGAAAGCAGGTGTACAGGCCCATCCTCGACAACCCGTACACGGACGAGGCACACAGCTGGCCCCGCGTCCAGGACCCGGCGGTGGTGGCCGAGCTGACACGGACGCACGTGACCGAGGTGCTGAGGCACGCGCCGGACGCGCTGGAGGCGCACTGCGGGTTCAACGCGGTCGTCGCGTATCTGCAGCGGGCGGCGGCGCCGCCCGCTGGCGCTCCCGTGTTCCTCTTTGTGTGCAACCGGGACCCGGTGCCCGGCGTCGTGCTGGCGCAGATCCCGGTGCTGGCCCGTGTGGCGCGATGCGAGGTGGTGCTGGTGCCGCTGCCGCGAGGGTTCATCGCGCACTTGGACGGGTGCGGTGGTGGCCGCGGCGCGGGCGGCCACCAGGGCCTCCTGCTGGTGGTCCAGAACGGCGGGTTCGACCCGCACTTTGCCGAGCAGCTGCGCCAGAGAGTGGGTCACGCCACACGAAGCCCATGGCTCGAGTTCGTGGCGGCGCGCGTCGGCGTGGTGCCGTCGGAAGTTGGCGTGGGCCGGAAAGCGTCGTCCTAGTGCGCGCGATCGCGGGCTGCGTGTGCGGCCGCCCCGCGCCGGGCTTTTCTCTTGTCGTGATGGCAGCTTTCCGGGCATCTTCCAGCCCAATTTTCCATGTCACTTTGCACTAGGAGCGCCAGAATTTTCGATGCCCTCTTGGCTCCAGCACCACGCAGACCTGGTTAGGATTCAAACGCAGTTATTCCACGGTGGGAGGCCTCCAGTGCTAGCTTGCTGGACCGTTTACTGCTTTTGGCTCGTGCTCTTGAACCTAGCCCAGTGCGCTACACGCTTTCGAGATCTTCAAAAAATGGTGGTTCTGAATCCCAACAACTGGCACTGGGTCGACAAAAATACGCTGCCCTGGACGGAAAGGTACATGCAGGAGCTTGCAGCATCGATGGAAGCTGTGTGCAGCCCCAGCGGCTCCCACAAAGTGCAGATCGTGAAGCTGGAATCGGTTTCCGGGGACTCGCACGTTTCGCAGCGCAAAGGCAAAGTCATCTGCTATTTCGACCTGAACGTGCAGTTCACTGCGCAGGTCGTGGAGGCAGACTCCGACACGTCTGTGTGCGAGGGCAAAATCATGGTTCCCGAGCTGGTGCATGATGAGTCAGGCTTTGAGATTCGTCCCGAGGGCTTCAGCGACCACTACCAGATGGTCAAAGACCATTTCGTGCCCAGCTTGCGAGCCACGCTTTGCCAGTACCAGGTTGACCTCATCGCGCAGCACTCGAAGGATGTTCAGCAGTCGTGAGCGCAATGGCGGTCGGTTCGAAAACTGCTCCAGTTACGATAGATATAGTGCAAAAAAATAGCAGTTCGAGTGGCCAAATAGCGCTTACATACATAGAGTAGAAAAGAATAGATACAACTCTGACTTTAGACAGGTGGATAGGAGACTGCCACCACTGCACCACTAGTACACGTACGGCACGATCTTGTAGGGCACTTCAGACTCGTACCTGTGCCAATCGTCGCCATATTTGATCTTGCAGAGGTGCTCATCACGCTGCTGGCGGTGTACCAGCAGTGCGGCAAAATATAGAGAGTAGTAGTAGGTTAGGGGAGTTTGAAACCCAGTTGCCAAACACCAGCTCAGCGAAATCAGCCAGTCACCAAAATAGTTCATGTGTTGCGAGATGCCCCACCAGCCGTCGCACAGCAGTTTGGTGCCGCGCTTCGTGTCAATACTCTTCAAATGGGGGAGTTTCCCTTGCCGGAAGTCGGACTTTTGTTTATTGGCGGAATGGAAAATGTAGTACCCTAGAGCCATCGTCGAGCTCAAAAACGCCAAATAAGGCCTGCTCAAAGTGATTGGAGACACACTCAAATAACGCGCCTGCAAACTATACGTGAAGGGAACCAGAGCCAAGTCTCCGAATGCCAGCATGTAGCCGAATCCATCAGTGGTAATGTCCATCATTGTCAAGCACCCCTCCTCGTTCAGCACACCGTCGAAAACGTAAAAACCTTGGGCAAGGGTCACAAAAAGGATTGCATTGTTGACCTCGCCAGTGGCCAAATAGTGGTGGTGCAGACAAGCCACGTTAATTAGAAACCATAGCAGAAGGCCCGGGCGCAGTTCGCAGAACAGCTTTAGATCGAGCGGACCAAGGCGCGGGTTGAGCTCACGCCCAATGAACCAATCGTACACCGGATTGCCGGTGTTGCCGCTCACCGAGAGGATGCGTTCGCGGGTCTCTTTGCCGTTCTTATGAGCCAAGGGGATAAAACTAGCCGCGTATAGAAAGAACGCCATGACAAAGGCGAAGATCACCGTGATGATGCATAGGTCGGTTTGGTTCTCGTACAGATACTGTAGTTCTGGCATTTCGCCCTTGGTTAACTGCCACCGAACCGTCAACGTTGCGAGCAAGGTGGATGTTAGCGCAATTCCGTTGATCTTATATGGTAATTTGGTACCATCCCGCAATTCCACACCGTCGATGGTATTTCCCGGAAGCAATACATCGAATAATGCAAGAACACCGAACCAAGTCAGATAATAGGTCCACAATTCTTTATTGGTCAGATACCATTTTAACGGTTTGATGTGATTCCATAATTCTGCGATGTCTAAATTGGTAAACAAACCCACGATGTAGAAATCAGGGCGAATCATTTGGTTCAAAACAACGCATAACAGCGGCAGTCCAAATGTAATGCCCAACACACCACTTATACCATTAAACTCATAGCTCGCCGTTTTCGGGTTCAGAGGTCCACTGCTTACTACCATAGTGCGGTAATTTTGGGAGAAACTCGGTCACTGAACAGAAGCCAAACTTCCAATCAAAGTTCTCACTCGGTAGGACTCAAAAGTACGTGCTTAATGTTTTGTTTGTACGGAAACCCTTGATGATGAGCTTTGCTCGCCAAATTTTTATACTCGTATTGCTTCTCGTTTAAATTTCATAATGGTGACAAAAATTGACTGGGGTATGGAAAGCTATCGTATACTTTTCGTGAGAAGGATTGACTCGAGTTTACCCCGATCATGCCTGGCAGCGGTCACCATTCAAGCGCAGTAGTGTAGTTCGTGTGTGATGCATTCCATCAGACAGCAATTCACAAATATTAGCAATTTTTTGACACCCGCTTCTGTGCTGCCCGCCCTTAAAGTCAACCCTAAACTTGGTACGGCGTCCATAAGCTCAGTGGTGAGGGTATTACTGAGTAAAAGTATACCTTGTATACTGTCGAGCCAAATTCCATAGCGAATTTGAGGCAATGCTGGGTTTTTCGATCGCAGATTCTTCATTGGCTTAATGCGGTCGACAGGGTGCCGATTGAGTTTGGTAGTAAATTCCAGGAGTGAGCCGTCTATTTGAAAGACCATGTACTCGTCCCAAAATCTAGCAACGAGCTGCGAAAATGGCGAAAATTTCACCAGGTGCCCCATTATTCGATTCCACTGCCTCCATTTGTAGAAGATGTCATAAATAGTGTCGTTCACGTAACACTGCAGAAGCCTGGAAACATTCACACTCAAGAAGGTTGCGCACTCACCGGGCCCACCATGCTGATACGACTCCAAGATTTTGACGAACTGCTGAGTGTATTGCACTAAAAGACGTTCTGTTTTGAAGTGGTCTAGCTTGGTGGTTTGGAGGATCTGCGGGAAGATTGCCACCTGATATCTTGGAACAGCGGCACTCCATTCTGAAAGAGACCTGATTTGCAGAAACGTTTCATAGTTTGTATTGTTAACACTCCCAAAACAGGTCTTGAAGATTTGGAAAGGAGCACTGCACTCGCAGAACCTCAGGCTCAAGTCAACGTTCTTGGGGTCGCTATTGAGAACCCACAGGAGAAACGCTAAGTTATGATTCTGTCGCACGCTGGCATTTTCTATGGTCTCAGAAAAGCAAAGTGGAGGCAAAACTGCTGAAAATGTGCGGGATAGCAAAGGAAGCTGTATATCTATTGCAGTGTCGTCAGGCTCCTCAATCGCCGCCGCGTCTTTGTGCTTGGATCGATCGGGACTGGCGATGAACGTTATGGCGTCTTCCATCTTCACAAAAGAGAGACACAGTAAACTGAAAAGAGAAGTCGTCACCTAGCTGGAGGTTAACCGAGGACCACTTATTCTCGACTAACAATCGAAACTCACTTTTGGTTGTGCTTGTTATTGTTGTTGTTGGTTGAAGTCGAGAAAGCTGGGCGGCTAATTTAAAGGTATTATTGTTACTAGCACCATAGTCGCTGCGTACGAAGAAATTCATGCTATGTATTAAACCAAGTTCATATTAAGTTAGCAAGCAATACATGTAGATCACATAAAGCTTTGAACGCAGCAGAGATGGCCCAAAGTCCAGAGTATACCCATTGTGTCGAATGTTTGCGTAAGCTGGAATCGCAACTTCTGCTTGATCCCTTTTCCCCGGGCTCAGCCGCTCTGATCTCGGAATACGCAAGTATGGTGCGGTTGATGGTCGTATGCGTTACGCAGCTGAACCGCGGGCTACAGCTAGCCTGGCAGCGTGGCAGTGACATAAAGATAACACGGGAACGGGGGCTAACGTTATCGGCGGACACTACGTCTCAGGTTGCCGAAATCATCAAAGCGGTGGATTTCATAAGCACGCTCCAGCGCAGATTTAAGGCCGCCCAGGGCCAAAAGCACGCTGAGTTCAGAGCGCATTTGAAAGAAATGCAATCGGAAGGGTGCGAGAACTACCGAAAGAAGGTGGCAGAGATGGCTGGCTCGAACACTACAACCAGAAAGGGAGACGACTCTGGGCGTGCGACCGCACAGCCCGAATCCAAAAAACACCAGCTCTTATCCACTAACAAGAAGATCACGTCCTCTCTGACACGCACAAACCATATGCTGCGCAGCTCCGTGCTGCGGAGCGAGCTGAACGTGAGTGAGCTTCAAGAACAGACGGCGTCGCTGCACAAGTTGAACGACCGCTTCGACTCTCTGTCCGGCGTGCTGACGGCCTCATCGCAGATCGTCAGGGTTATTCAGGATGCGTCGGGCCGGGAACGACGCCAGATCTACTCCGGCCTGGCATTCCTGGGGCTGTGTATCTCGTGGGTTCTATGGAGGCGTGTCTTCAAGATGCCCGTCAAACTACTTCTGTGGGTGTGGTTCCGGTTTTTCCGCTCCATCTTGAGCTTCTTCGGCGCGGTGCCTACAGCTACTGTTGGAATGGGCTTGGAGTCCACGGCGAAAATCACCGACGTTCTGGCCACTGCGACGGACTCACCTACGGCCGCATCTCACGTTCTCACACAGCCCACCGAATCCATGCTGACCATCGTGGAGGATGCGGTGGATGAGGCGTTTTCGAGAATACGAGACGAATTGTGAGAACGGACGGTGATCGAGCTGATCGGAATTGGCCCCAGCAAGAGTTACAGAGGCCAAGACTTGATCACCTAAAGTTGGGACGCAAGTGTTGCAGACAGTGTCAAAGACACGAAAAAGCCAACTGGCGTTGTGCACAGGAGCTGCCACGGCTATTTGGCTCCACACAGCCCTCTTTCACACGCGGCGCAAGTCCCCTATGCGCTGGCTCTGCACGGCGCTGCCACTTCCACAAGACGCCATTGGCCATCAATTGACCCTCGCCTTCCCCCAGAAACGCTTCTCCTGCGCGCGAGTGAGTTGCATGAGATCTACGCCGCACATCACCCGCCCACACTCCCCACGCCTTGCTGCCAGACTGGCCTGCCTCTCGGCGGAACGTGCTTTCCCTGCCAGCGCTGCGTCCTCTCGAAGAGCATTCGTACATAGGCACAGCCCTCACCCAGCGATCACGTGGCATCACGTGATACCACGTGGCCAAGAGATGTACTCGCCGCGAGTACGCGATATGCACGGTCGCCGAGTGTGCATACTGCGCTGGTGCGGCCTCTTATGAGCAAACTCGTACACAGGGACATGCACCTTCGGCGGGCGTGCATGAACTGTCGTCTCATACGGAGTGCTCGTTCCGAAGCTTGTAGATTCGCTCAGAGCTTCTAACAGAGAGGTAAGCTTCATCAGTTGTTGATGGTAATTTGACGGCAGAGCTAGTTAAGTTTGGGAACTTTGACTGTTTGTTGACAGAGCTCATCCAAGCTACTTTCTTCAGTAGTGACCATCACCTCAAATTTGGAAACCCCACTCCGCGTGTGTGTGGCTTACAGCGGGATTTTGCACAGGGGCTCAAAAGGGAAAAATTTTTGTTGGGCCGACCGAAAAACCACGGAAGTTTCAAAGCACACATCCGATAATCTCATCGAGCAAAGGCCCAACAAAGGACACGGTCATTGACGCTGGTGGATTATTTATCGAAAATTCCGAGTCCAGGCTACTTTTCACAGGGTACACGTCTTCAGAAAGCTAGGAGAAAGTTGCAGGACCAGAGCTTTATTTTTTGGTATAAAAGGGACGCGGAAAGCTGGAGAGAAGACCAGTTTACACCAGGGACAAAGGCCAATCAAGCCTGATTTACAGTACACACGAGAAGTGACAGGCTTTTCTGCAGGACTACAGTGGTACCATGCCTCAACACAGGTTTTCTGAGTACACCGCGGACGAGAAAGGTCTCGCCGCAACAACGGGTGCAGTTGGCCACGGCACTGGCGCTGGCGCTGGTAGTTTGGGTAAAAACAACTCCAACACCAATGTAGACTCAGACGCGGCGTCGGATCCGCTGTCGCGGATCCAGATCAAACCCGTCAACGACGAGGACGACACCTCGGTGATGATAACGTTCAACCAGGACGTTTCGTGGTTCATCGTGACGCTCACGTTTGTGGCCTCGATATCGGGGTTCATGTTTGGCTACGACACCGGTTACATCTCAAGCGCGCTGGTCTCCATCGGAACCGATCTTGACGGCCAAGAGCTTACTTACGGCAACAAGGAGTTTATCACCGCTGCGACGTCGCTCGGCGCTCTCATCAGTGCCATCTTCGCAGGCACCTGTGCCGACATCTGGGGCCGCAAGCCTTGCATCATGTTTTCTAACCTTTTATTTGTCATTGGGGCCGTGCTCCAAGTGTGCGCACACTCGTTTTGGCAGATGGTGGCGGGCCGTCTGATCATGGGATTCGGCGTAGGGATTGGCTCCTTGATCTCTCCTTTGTTCATTGGAGAAATCGCGCCTAAGATGATTCGCGGTCGTCTGGTGGTTATCAACTCTTTGTGCCTGACAGGAGGCCAATTAGTCGCCTACGGTTGTGGCGCTGGCCTGGACAAAGTTCACAACGGATGGCGGATCTTGGTGGGACTCTCTCTGATCCCTACTGTTATCCAGTTTGTGTGTTTTTGCTTCTTGCCGGACACTCCTCGTTTTTATGTCATGAAGGGCCAGCTCGAAAGAGCTGCCCAAGTCTTGGCCAAGAGCTACAGCAATGCGCCTGCAGAACTGATCCAACAGAAGATCATTGAATTGAACACCCTCAACCGTGTCATTCCAGGAAAAAACGTTGGCGCTAGGGTTGTGAATACGATCAAAGAGCTTCACTCCGTACCTTCTAATTTCAGAGCCCTGATTTTGGCTTGCGCTCTACAAGGTATCCAACAGTTTTGCGGCTGGAATTCTCTTCTGTACTTTTCCGGAACCATATTTGAAACTGTAGGGTTCACGAACTCCACTGCGGTGTCGATTGTCGTCGCGGGTACTAATTTTGTTTTCACGCTAGTAGCATTTTTCGCTATTGACCGGATTGGACGGAGAGCTATCTTGTTGATTGGGCTGCCTGGTATGTGTGTGTCGCTTGTGGTCTGTGCTATTGCCTTCCACTTCATGGATGTTCGTTTTGAAGGCGGTGGTAGTGCCGAGATCGCCAATGGTGGTTTCACAGCCTGGGGTATCGTGGTGATCCTTTCTATCATCATGTATGCCGCGTTCTACGCACTCGGAATCGGTACCGTGCCTTGGCAACAATCGGAACTGTTCCCCCAAGCCGTGCGTGGTGTTGGTACTTCCTACTCCACTGCCACCAACTGGGCTGGTTGCCTGGTGATTGCGTCTACCTTTCTCACCATGTTGCAAAACATTACACCTACAGGCACATTCGCATTTTTCGCCGCGTTATCCTTCGTTTCCTTCCTTTTCATCTATTTCTGCTACCCCGAGCTGTCTGGTCTGGAGCTTGAAGAGGTTCAAATGATTCTCAAGGACGGCTTCAACATCAAGGCTTCTAAAAGACTGGCCAAGAAGCGCAAACAACAAGCGAATCAAATGGAATCTGCGCATGATGGAGAATTGAACGGTTACAACAAAAGTAAACCTTCCGATGAACTAATGGAGTTGTGAACGAAGGACGCGGGGCTGCAAAAATGAATAGCTTTTATGAACATATTCGACAGTCACCTCTATCTAATACGAGGTGAGATGGCTAAAATAGATGGCTAAAATAGATGGCTAAAATAGATGGCTAAAATAGATGGCTAAAATAGATGGTTAAAAAGAAGGCTACGATTAAAGGCATAACGGAAGTACTCGCCTCTGTAATCTCACGATAGGAATTATTACTCATAGAAAGCAACTTAAGTTTTGTGTTATAGAATACGCATATATAATGAGCCTGTCAAAGAGGACTTTGCTTTGATTTCGTGTGATCTGAATTGTTTTCATGTCACTGTCACTAGCCTTTTTTCAGATGTTAAAAAATTTTAGTCGATGCGATGAGCTACCAATTCCAAAAACCCTGCAACAAACATCTCGGAGCGTTTATCATCGATAATGGCCCCACTTACTGCTAAGAAGAACGGTAAAAAGCATGCGCTGAATGCGAAAGACAGTAAGGTTTCCAAAAAGGCCAAAGCCACTCCTGTTGAACCATCTTCTGAGGAGGAAATTCCTTCCTCATCGGAAGATGAGAATGTGCTGGATGGAGCCCTTTCCAGCGACGGCTCCGAAAGCGAAGACGAGCTTGACCAAAGCTCCGAACAGGATGAAGTAGACAGTGAATCTGATGGCGATCAGGACGAGTTAGATGAATCCGACGAGAGCGACGATGAGCAAGATGAAGTGGACGGTAGTGGGGATGAACCAGGTGAAACTAGCAAAGAAGGTGCTAGCACTAACGGTCCAGGCCAACATGCAGAGCAGAGGAAGCTGCTCAAGGAACGTAAGATGCAGAGAAAATCGGGCGCTGAAGTCCAACAAATCAAATCGCTTTGGGAGAGATTGCGTGTGAACAACCCACCACCACCAAAAGAAGTACGTGACAAGCTGGCAAACGAAGTATGGGAGCTATCCAAGGATTGCATCAGTGACCTCGTGATGAAGCATGATGCCTCGCGTGTTGTGCAAACTCTAGTGAAGTACTCTTCCAAGGAACGCCGCGACCAAGTCGTCAATGCTTTGAAAGGAAAATACTACGTCCTAGCCACCTCCTCCTACGGTAAATACCTTCTAATCAAGCTGCTCCACTATGGATCTAAACAGTCGAGACAAGTTATCATTGATGAGCTTCACGGATCTCTAAGAAAGCTTATGAGACATCGTGAAGGTGCCTACGTTGTGGAAGATTTGTACGTACTTTACGCTAGCCATGATCAAAGGCAGCAAATGATCCGTGAGTTTTGGGGTGCAGAGTACGCTGTGTTCAGAGATGCCCATAAAGACCTAACTCTAGAACAAGTGTGCGAAACTAGCGCGGAAAAGAAGAACATTATCTCGAAGAATTTGATTGGAACGATCAGTGCCTCCGTGGAGAAAGGCTCGTCAGGGTTCCAGATTCTGCATGCGGCAATGCGCGAGTATGTGAAGATTGCTTCGGACAAGGAGATTTCAGAATTTATCGAGGTTCTTGAAGACAAGTACGCTGAACTTGTGCACACACCAGAGGGTGCTGAAGTCGCCTGTACCCTAATAGCTAAGGCCACAGCCAAGGAAAGAAAGACAATTATAAAGAATCTAAAGGACCATGCCGATAACCTAATCAGAAACGAATACGGTAACACCGTGTTCACTACAGCTTTAATTTGCGTTGACGACACCGTAATGATGTTCAAATCCTTTGGGCCCGCTGTGAAGGACAACCTACATAACATTGTTGTCGACAAATTTGGCAGAAGGCCATTTTTGTACATAATCTTGGGGCTCGACGGCAAGTACTTCTCGCCACTCGTGAAGAAAGAGATTCAGAAGTATGTCGAGCTCTCTAAGAATACATCCAAGAAGCCATTCGAGCAAAGGAGGAAAGAACTGTTGGGTAAGTTCGCTCCTTTGTATCTCAGCACTATTGTTAAAAGTTATGACAGTATTTTGGAGGAGACTCTCGGATGTCAGTTTGTGAATGAGGTTCTTGTAAATGACGAACTGTATGAACAGCTCAGCGAGAAGGACAAGCAGACTCACCAAGAAATTGTCGACACGATTGTAACTTATTTCAAGGGCGACATTTCTGAAGAATCCCATCCTATTCACAGACCATTTTCTGTGAGATTGCTGAAATCCTTGATCCAAGGTGGTAAGTGGAATGCAAAAGAAAAAACAGTAGAGCCTCTACAGAGCGTCAAAGGCCTCGGACCGGACTTTGCGCAGAAGTTCTATGAAGATATCATAGACGAGACCAACCTGCTCGACTGGATAAATAACGCGGACAGCTCCTTTACCATAGTGGCCCTATACGAAGCTCTGTCTAACGTGGGGAACAAAAAGTTCACCAAAGATTTGAAAAAGGTTTCCAAAAAGATTGACCGGGACAATACTGCTAATAAAGGTGCTCTATTGTTGAGGAAACTGATGGATGCTAAGAAATAAGAACTCTCATTGCTGGAGGTAGTTGATCCTTGTACATTATATACATATTAAGCATATCAATTTTTTTTTTTGGTGACATTTCATACTTCTCACAATGCGTTTCAGGGCGAGTATCAGTAAGTTGGGACAGTCTCATTCACACTTGAAGGCCATTGATAGTACGCCTACAACCGCCCAAAACCTTCAGCCTCAGTAAAACGCTTCTTCTCCCGAAGATGTGACAATCATATAGCACGAAAATAGACTTCACTAAGTTTCAGACGTGTGTCTACGATACCGGGACCTTTAGCGAGATCTTGGCTCTGGGTCATATTTCAAAGTCAACCACTTGAAGTGTTATGAGCAATGAAGGACGTCCTGATCAAATTCGCGATGAGGACGCCGAAGAACAGGTAGCTGGCGAAGAAAAGCCAGAAAACTCTTCTGAGCTTCAATCCTCCAACTTGGCTCCAAACCTTGATATGAACAGAGTTGAGAATTCGCCCGGACCCTTAACTCCACATGTTCTGATTCAATGGTTGCCGAAAGAGCTTGTTTTCACTAGCTTTGACGCCTTCGACAGTAATCTATATCTAGGAACCGACCAAGGAGACCTGCTGCATTATTTTGAGATGGAACCCGGGAATTACATGTTAGTGTCGCAAACTAAAGTAGATGGTGAAAAAAACGACACTGTGGAAAGTATTAAAGCTCTCTCTCTTATTGAAATTGCTATAGTTCAATGCCCTGGAACATTGCATTTCTTTCTGCTGCCTGAATTTGCCCCTGTTCCCAACATGGAGAGTGTACGAGGTGTAAGCGATTTTGAAATCTTGAGGTACTCTTCAACTACAAACTCTTACAAAGTCCGATTATTCAGTTCAGAAGGCGTCAGAAATGCTAGCATATCAAGTAAAAAAGTGTCTGTGTCTGACTTTGTCTATTCGGGGCCGGTAAAAAGAGCCAGAACGCATCATAAATCCATGATGGCATCTGATGGTACTAATTACCAGCTCATAGACTTAAAAACGGGGAGTGAGTTGCCGCTTTTTCACGTAAGCGAGACAACTGCGAATTTGAAACCGGTAATTGCATCGTATAGAGAAGGCGAGTTTCTTTTGGCTTGCGGAAGCTCGGCAGATGAAGGTGCTATGGGGCTGGTTGTGAATTGCCAGGGAGATATAACACAAGGAACAGTTGCATTCGAAAAATTCCCGCTGGACATAGTAGTAGACTTACCTTTTATTATTGTTAACAATGGCACATATGGAATTCCCATATATCGAATTGAACACAATAGTGAACCGAAAATGGAGCAGAGATTTTGGAGTAGCGAGGGTGCTATGCTCCGTTTAGTTAAATGCAGCCGTTCTTTTCCCATCAAAAATTCTGCGCAGCAATCTCAAATACTTGAGATGCTTAGACTTGTACCTCTATCATCAGGTAACCATCAGTTCAGAATTGACCAGGAGCGCAATTTTATCCTCAGCGAGTATGAGGAAGTGACGTCCTTGGTATTATTTTCAGCCGCAGGAATCTACCTATTAAGCAAGCAATCAGCCATTTTACAGTTTCCGGACTATAGTGAAACGACAATGGAAAATATTGGCGCGTTTCTGGAAGCTATTCAGGAATCTGGTCATTTCAGCAAGTTTCAGAGGCTTGAAGTCGAATTTCTTCAAATTTTGCATCTTCTTCTTAGGACCTTACATTCTCCTGTGATTGATGATAACGTTGTCTCTCAATGGTGTACCCATTCTTCTGAAGTTGACGTTCGTATCTTCCTGCACTTGTGCGATATCAAGATCTTCGGCGATCCTTGGATTCCTAACGGTCTTGCAGGATTTATAGCCGAGACTAGACTGCTGAAGCTGAAAAACAATTTTACAAATTATTTAGAGCTCATGGGTCGCTTTCGGTCTAAGCTCCGAGACCAAAATTTTGACGGTCTAAAAGATAGAGACAATATATTTCGAAGTATTGATGTTGCTGTTGTTCAATATTGTGTGGAAAGTGATGCGCGTGTGGATATAGGTGGATGCGAACAATCCAGCTATTCAGATATGCTCCTGGCACTCAGGACCAAGGAAAAGAGATATGAGTCAGTTATCTATGATATTTGCTACCGCTTAGAAGATTATATCGAATGTCTCAAAATTCTTAGGGAGCAAGGTTCCTATCTCAAGATGAGTAAATTCATATTAGATAACTTAAGCAGGCTAGAACACTGTGATGGTTACAAAGAAGAAGACCTATTGGCGGATATCATATTTTTGACAGAAATGTCCTCGTCATCAGCGAAGTGGGACGAGGTGAAAGAAGACATTAAGAAGATTTTAAAGGAGACTGGGCTTGATGTCAAGGATCTAGTTGCAGTGAGTGAGAGTAGCGCCACAAAGGTTAATCTTCTTGAGCACTTAGGGACTAGTGATATCGATGACAAGCAATTCATGATAGAGAATTATCTCTCAAGTATAAAAAACCTTATGGAGGTTGAAAACCTTTGGGATTTTTTTGCTCAAATTTCCAGCACGTATACACAAGACCTCGACTACTTGAAGCCATCTCTGAAAACATACCTGGAGATAAAAATAAAAGAAAATCCTAACTGCAACAATTTGCAAGCAGTTTGTGAGAAGCTAAGAACCTTGGTGTATGAAGGGGAGAATGAACTGGTTTTTGCAGCCGTACTGAAAAAAATTGAGACATTCGATATAGCACAATTACTGTCATTGTATCTTGTCAGAGACGTCGATAAGCTCACGGTGTTTGGAGATAATGTGCTAGAAAGGTCAATGGATTTCAATGACTTCGAAACTATCAATGAAATCGTGAATGAGAAGGAAGTAGCTCGAATTTTGAAGTATTACTTGGGGCTAAAGTCAAAAAGGGATTCCCTTAAATTGTCTGAAGCTCTTTTGACAAAACACTTGAGCACAATAAAGTCAAATGAGCAACTGCTCGAAATTATGGACTTAATTCCATCTGATTACGAGATAGTCACCATAATCCATGCGTTAACTCCTTTGCTGGCAAGATTTGACAATATTTGTGCGCAGCAAGACTTGCACAAGGCTCTTCTGAAGCAAGAGATTCGCAAAATTACGAGGGTGCTCGAAGGAGTAGGTATACAGGACAATTTACAGGAATGAATTATATAGTTTTTGCATTTACAGATTTCATACTCACACGCTCACGGTGACTTAATTCAAGCTTTCAGTTCGGAAACCGGCTTAAGGCCAGAACAAACATTGTAAATCAGGTCTTTGCTTGCCGCATCCAAACTAGACCTCTCCAGACTCAATCTAACTATCTCACTATTTTGAACAAGCTTAGTCTTCCTTTTATTGTTGTTATTCGCAATGGCATCGAAATCTTTTTCAACTTTCGCAGGTAGAGAGGTGTAATTCCCCGACACAGAGCTCTCGAAGTACGGTTTATTGGGAGAAACACTATGGCTCGTGAATAGCTTTTCCTTACGCCAAATTAAAGACGATGCGGGCGTGTAGTGACCGAAAGATGGAGTCTCTGGACTGAGCGAAACGTTGACCGGCTTCTTATCGGATATGGACGACACAACACCCAAGTTCAGATGGCGATTGAGTGGAAAATCACTGTCTTGTAAGGTAAGAACACCGTACGCATTCATCCTAGACGATTTGGTGTGGGCCAACTTCGGGGTATACTTGAGGAGCCCTAAAGGAGTTGGCTCCTGCAAAATGTACTGCTGCGACACTGGGGATTTCTTGGTTTGAGCAATGATTCCTTCAGTAGAAGTGGTCTTTTGTCCTAATCCTGGTATACTGCGCTTTGGTGTTCTAGGTGCACGATTTCTTTTCGTCGTTTGGCGATTTTGTAGAGAGTTTTGAACCCCATTGTTTTGGGCAGAATCCAAGGCCTCCATCAGCGAGGAGTCCGTACCCTCCTCGCCCGCAGCCGATGGAGAGGCACTAGCACTTTTGCGCTTGAAATGCCGTTGTTTGTTGGCATTGAACCCCGTACTGTTCGATCCTGTAGAGGTTGCCACGGTACTGTCATTGGTGACGGGGCCTTGTCTTCCAGTCCCATTTCTTCTGGGACCGTTTTTCGCATTACCCTTGGCTTCAAGCTCACCTCTGTAGCGTCTAGGGCCCTTGGATCTGGGTCTGGGTTGAAGTGAGGCAGGCTTTCTGGCTGCTGTTTCCTTTACTCTTTCCAGTACGTTTTTGAGAAAATCCTGCGAGACAGTGCTACTGTAAAAGCGCTGGGCGCTTCCCATGCTCGGTAGTTTAATCATCAAGCCACCAGACGGACGACCAATCCTCTTCAACAGCTTCCAGACTTTAACGAGTGTCCTGTGTCCTATCTTGAATGTTCACATCCAAAGACCTCTAAATTTTTTAATTACACGTATATCAATATATACGTACAAAAGTCTTGATCGTGATGTATTCTTTAAGCTATTTGAACTTCAACCTGAACTGATATCGTTGGCCACCAAACGAAACAAGTGTCTATTACTCCTTCTTTATGTGTTCTTTAATTGTGAACTTGAGTACATAAGCCGTGGCTTCTCTTGGATCGATTGGAGTGGTAACTGTGCTTTTTCGGCCTTTCAAAGAGAAGGTATTTGAGTCTTCTGTGTAGTTTAGTAGAAGCTAGCGAAATGTCAAGACTAGGGGAGCGGTATTTATTGGCGGTCTTGATGATTTTCACCTATTATCGGGTGAAAGAGTGCGTTTTTTTGTGTAGACTTTGGCGTTCTGAAGTTTTACTTGAACCTTGCGGATGAAAAATCATGGGCTCGAGGATTACTCCTTGACTGTTGCGCCTCGCGATTTGTCTTCAGATAGGGCACACCTTTGTTCTCAAGAAGAAGGATGACTTCCGCAATTTCTGCCCTGTTCTTGGTGTTCTCGATGAGCACAACCTTTTCAAATAGGTCAACTGGGATATTGTCAGCAGTGAGATATACGCCGTTCAGAGACTTAAACAGCTGCAGACGGTCGCATAACTTTTTCACATTCAAGTAGATGTGCACCATGGAAGAAACGCGCATTCCGCTCACCACGCTGTCGTCAACACCTGTGACGCCCTGCGCCAAATGGATGTGGTTTCTGCGCATCCTCTGGAGCTGCCCACTCTGCAATATCAGTTGCAGGCTGCTGAGATTGGTACCATGCACGAGTTGAGAAGGAAGTTGCTCTATAGTGGTGATTTTCTCTAGCACGTCGTTCGTGGGCGCAACGGCCGCAATGGAATGACCTTGGGTGGCACACATAAGTGCTGTTTCGTGGTCAAATATCAAATTAAACCGTTTCTTGTTGTTATTAGCCACAACCCGCTCCACATCCGGCAGCGTACAATGCAAGCTCTTAAGTCTGTTGTGCGCGAGAAGCTCGGGAACAGGAATGTAGCCGTCGCTGTCGATGGCCAAGCCTTCTTTAACGGCTCCATGACGCAGCAAGTACGCCAGGGCCTTTGAGATTTGAATATCGCGTTTGTCCTCCGCCATGCCTCGTTGGTTTTTGGTGTGATGCGGACTTTCTAACTTGGGCTGCACATATAATGTGTTCAACTTCCGGAAAAATATCCGGACTGAAGGCATCATTTGGAATATCACCAGGCTATGTCTGTCAGCAACAGCTGGACGCAGAACCTCGAAGGCTGCGGTCGTCACACATCGTCTTCACACCTCGCTTTTAATTATTTACATGTACTTAGTGGTGTCCGTCGACCTGCATACACACTTTACACACGAGCCTAGTCGTACAGCTTTTGCCCGCCGCTGCAGCACCCACCGCCTTGTGAAACAAGCGTTTTCTTTGTTTTCTTGATGGAGTCATTGTCGCCAAGTTCGGTGTCTGCATGAATATTCAAAGCGTACTTGTTGTCATCGCCCTTTTTGCCCTGCACTATATTCCGCCTCAGAAATTGGGCCACATCGTTCAAATGCTGGATTTGATCTTGCGCAGGGAGTTCTGGGTTTGGTGGATTTACCATTCCGTTTCTCATCTGCGATCTAGCTGCTAACAAAATCCTGGTATCTTGGCCAAAAGCGATCTTCGTAGCCCGCAAACCGTTTCTATACGCAGCTAGCGCTAAAGATTGAGAACTCATATTTTAGTCGATGACTGCTAATAACTAGAAGATCAGAAACCGAGTTTCTGATAGTGGTTCGCCAATCCTTCGCTTCTGCACTGAAGCTAAGAAATTTTGACAGTTTTTCATTATATAATATTAACACGAACAAGTGTCATAACGCTAGCAGTGATGAGATGGTGAGACTTTGTGGATTAAACAAAACTAGAATGGAATTGGTGCTCGTAAAAGTGTGTATACAAATGCATTAGAAAACTTTCAAAGTTAGTAAGTGGGAACTACTGATGCCCGTGTGCATGAAGAAATAAGATCCAATGAGGGCTCGAAAATGGCACAGGGAACCTAAGACGACCAAAATATGGAATATCTGGTGGCTGTGGCCGACAAAATCGAATTTTCCCGGTAGAAAAGCCTCCGGGAGGCGGAAACCGTAGATGAGTGCGCCGCCAATGTAGAAAACGGCTTCCCACATGACAAAGCGCAACTGGACTCGTTTGCAAGACTCTTCAATACCGAACTTGACCAGCCCCGTGACGATTGGCACTATGCCGCTAAAACCAAACAGCACAAAAAAAGCGGCGCGCCACGGACGCCAGTTTTTGGCGTTGAACCGGTCGTTCAGCACAAAGGCTGCGCATCCTGAGCCCAGCACAACGACGGCGGTGGTGAAGATCTTGAAGTGGAACAAATAATCGTGAAAGCCGTAATAGAGCAAGGACACGGTAGAGCACGAGATCAGGACTATGATGCCCATGTAGTCGACTTTGCTCCACAGATCGCTGTGCGCCTGGGAATGTTGTTTGAGACAATGGAAGCAGCTACTGCACATTAGGCACAGAAACGCACCCAAAAGGTAGAAGTTGATCATGATATAGTCTGACATAGTGGTGGAGGGGAAGTGTGGAATGAGCACCAGGTCAGTGAAGAACATCAGCAGCCCCAAGTAGGTGCCGCCGGGAATCAAGTGGGTGTAGATGTTCAACGTTTCATTGTGGAAATACAAAAGCGACTCCAGGCACTTCCAAAAAGAGCCTGTTTCCCGCACGTAGCCCCTCAGAATTTTGTCGTTGTCCCGTTGCCACAATGGCAGATCGTAGTAGCGGCACAGGCTTCTGCCTTGGTACTTTGTGGCGGCCTCTCCAGTTGCAGATGAGCTAACGCTCCTGCAACTGCTTCGCCGCTGCCTAACAGTGCAAGTGGCGCTCATTTAACACCAGAGAAAACCCGAGCTATGGTTTCAGCTTTTGCTGATGTCAGTGAATTGCACAGCGGAGTGTAGGGAAGCTTCTTCTAGTGCGAATGTCCCAGGTTTCTCAAGTCCTTGTCAAAAGTGGGTTTTTGTTGGGCCATTTTTTTCAGTGGGATTGGGAACACCCTACAATAATATACGAACCTCGCGCGGAGTTATGGAGAAGAGGCTGTTCAGCTGAAAACGAGCGGTTCAAGGCTTATGTTTTGAGTTGCTTTCCACTGCCTGATATCTTGAGGATTTTATGCTTGTAATGACGCTTTTACTGGGAAATCTGGACCACTAAAAGGTGTTCTAAATAGATGTGACAGCGAAGTCGTATGGTGCTAACCATTTCCCCACCCGGCTCCTATCCAGCAATATCTGGTGTAGTCTTGAGGTATACAAAATCATTTGGTTAAAGGTTCCGGTCCTCAAAGCCTGCTGTTCGCCTTTCTAGTAGAGTCAGGATGTCCGTGGACGGAGCAGGGTCGCATTGTTCAGGGAACTCTCTCGCCCGGAATGACAAGCTACCGTAGCCAGTGTCTGCAACACTCCAAGGATCAGCTTCAAATCCATATTTCTCAGACAAAAGAATGGCTGCATTATTCGCGGATTGGATTTCTGGTTTACGACAAGCGTTTCTGAAGCGGTGACACAGTCGCACGAACCGCCCTCTGCGGGCTATGGCCTTCGGTTCGTGTACCTTGGCTGGGCGTGGTGTACTAGTCTCTGTCGAGCGGGTACCGCTTGTGGGACAGCTGCTGGATAGTGTCGCCGCGTTATGTTTCAAGCCATTCATCATCAGCAACAACTCTAGCTGTTCCGTGTCGTAGCTATAATTATGAGTGCTATATGTTTCATTCCCGAGACTGCTAAACCACGAGCTAGAGGACGATAGCCACTCTCGCAAACGCTTTCGAAGCCGAACACGACTCACGTATTCGTCTACTTCTCTTTCGAAAATGGAGCCCAGCTGCGACGTCATGGGCAAGACTGGTCGCCGGTAAATATAGAGGGCTCTTTTGAAGTCTTCAATCCCAGATCAACCAAGCTCAGCATAAAATGTAGCTGCCAAGAGAAGCTGGAGAAGCTTCAAAGTCTCTCGAACTGACGCCAAACGTCTGCGTAAACGTTGGGCTCTACACAAAGCAAAACAAACCAGAAAAAATACGAAAAATATCACAGACCGCTGGAGTTCAGCGCTATGCCCTACGCACTATTTAATGTTCTATCTCCGGCATCTACACGCTGGGCTTTGGTCAGCTCCTTAGCGGGCACTCTCTTCTCACGAAGGACAGTAGTAATATAATATAGTATAATCTATTATTTATTTATATGTAGAAGTGTAGACACTCTGGGTAACGTTAGACACAGTTGGATTGAAACCGACCTATGATCAAGCTACTGGTAGCCTCAAATCTCGATTGGAAGTGTTGTTTATAAAAAAACTCTACTTCGCTAAATCCTTATCAACATTTCTAGTGTATTGTGGGTTCCGAGAATTTAAAACCCTTTTATCATCAAACATGTCGTTAGACTACGAAAGACCGTTGATACCACCTAGTGCCGAAACATCAGAGACTTCAAGATTGTCTGGTAGCCACCGCAGCGACCTGGGACAATCTGATAAGGCAGTGAATTCGGTCTCGGACGGGCTTAACACACTGCAGAAACGTGGATCATCCAGACACTGCTACGGACAAAATCTGCCACGGCCACCCCCTGTGGAGAAAGCCTTGACAGATGTCGAAAACTTTATTCAAATTCATGGAGACGATTCCAGGCTGTTTCAACGGGAACAAAATTCGGAGGTTATCACTTTGAGCAGCGACGATGATAACAACGACGAAGAGAGCTCAGAATGGAGCCCCGGCTCATTGGATCCCCTTCGTAACAGCGATAACATCAAGGACTTGCGTATGGCAGATACGATGCGCAGAAGACAGGAAGAATGGGCGGATAGAGGAGCTGCGAAGATTGTCAAAGAAATTGTAAACCCAGACACTGGCTTAATGGCCAAGCACGTCATCAAGAAGGGCATCAAAGATTTCAAGTTTGGAGAGATTTTGGGCGATGGTTCATACTCTACAGTTCTGTTGGCACGGTCCAATGACAGTGGCAAAAAGTATGCGGTCAAAGTTTTAAACAAAGAGTATCTGATACGCCAAAAGAAGGTCAAATACGTCAACATAGAGAAGAACACACTGCAGCGCCTCAATGAGGGTAGGGGAGTGATAAAACTTTACTTTACTTTCCAGGACGAGGCCAGCTTATACTTTTTACTCGAGTATGCTCCTAATGGCGACTTCTTGTCTCTGGTTAAAAAGTTCGGAAGCTTAAGTGAGGAATGTGTTGAATATTATTCGGCTCAGATCTTGGATGCTCTAGACTTTTTACACCACATGGGTGTTGTGCATAGGGACATCAAACCTGAAAATATCTTGCTGGATAAAGATATGAAGGTTAAGTTAACTGACTTTGGCACTGCCAAGCTGTTGACTAAAAACGAAGAAACGAACCGTTATGATCTCTCCGAGAGGTCCAAGTCATTTGTAGGGACCGCTGAATACGTGTCTCCAGAGCTTTTGAATGATAACTATGTGGATTATAAATGTGATATATGGGCGTTTGGCTGTATCGTATTCCAAATGATTGCAGGTAAACCTCCTTTCAAAGCAACCAATGAGTATCTAACGTTCCAAAAAGTTATGAAAGTTCAATATGCATTTACGGCCGGATTCCCGCTGGTGATACGGGACTTAATCAAGAGAATTCTCGTGAAGGCCCCAGAGGCCAGACTTGACACTTCACAGATCAAAAAGCATCATTTTTTCAATGAAACGAATTTCGAAGATAACAGCATCTGGGAAAAACCACCGCCAGAAATTGCTCCCTATAAAGTCACCGCAAAAGCCATGCAACCTGTCTCGGCGTTAGACAAAACAAAACCACGTTTGGTTATTAACATGCCGCGTCGGCCCAATAGCTCCCGCTCGCCTTCTCAGACACCCGCCGCAGAGCCTTCTAATGATGTCAAGTCCCAAGAAGTTTCCAAAGCTGCCACAGACGCTAGAACCGCTCAAATCTTGGAAAATGCGAAAAGAGAGATTCAAACGAGAAGGCAAAATAACAGAAGGACGACCAGCGCGGCATCAGCTGCTGCTCTTGCCCTTTTGAAGAAACCACAGAAATCTTCGTCTTCCACCTCCCTTTCTGGTAAATCTGACTCTCCTCAAAACACTATCATGGGAAAGGCGTCGTCCCCTAAAATTCCACAAACCGCTTCTTCATCCCAACAAGAGCGTCTTCACGCTTCTGCTAACGGCCTGACAGTGTCGACAGGAGTGTCCAATATTCCTCCAATGTCCAAAACTGACATTCTGTGGTCGTACTATTTGAAGAATATTGACGAACGAGTCATGAAGGTTGGCGAGCTGGAAATGGCCTATTTGAAGACCCCATTACTAGAAAAAAGACTTGGCAAGGCAGGTGCTTCCTTAGTGGACCCCGGGCACAATTCTCAAAGGACTACTCTCCTGTCTCAAGTTGCTCGCGCTGGCGGAGGGGTAACAGGTTTCAGAGGCGATAATGGTGGTCAGAATCTTACCGAAAGCGATTACTATGCACAATGGTCCATATCTGATGAAGTTGTTGTGGACTCATTCAAAAAACACGAAAATGAGGGTAGCGAGGCACATGCGGTGTCTACGAAATTCAAAAAGTTATTTCAAGTTAAAAATGAAGATGTTGACAAACCTCTGGAACCCTTACCTGCTGGTGAGTTTTTGAAAAAGGTTGTTGTTTTGACCACATTCGGACGTTGTCTAATTTTTGTTCGCAGAAATAAGATTCAGCCAGAGACCAATCTCTACTTTGACCTTGAGTTTGATATCTCGATGTCACAAAAGGACGTGAAGTTAAGAGAGCTTGTTGCCGATGGTAAAAATAGCGAGACGCAGGACCTGCCATTAGTCATTGAAACTCCTTTTAAGTCCTTTGTATTCAAAATCAATGCAAACGATTCCAGTTGGCTGATGACTTGCAGTAAAAGTGTCAGACTCAATCACGAGCGACTTTCATCCAGGAGCAAAACTGAAGATCCTGAGGGTGCGGCAGGTAAGGCTGCAAGGATTGCGAGCCCCACGTTAGCGTCTACTTCTTCTTTCGCTGTGCAGGCCTCTCCAACTTTTGTGCCAGCATCTCAAACGACTGTGTCGCCGAAATCGCCAACTACCTCCTCCGCAGTGCCTGCTTTGACATCTTCAGGCGGAGCCAAGCCAGGGAGGTTATTTGATAACTTCGTCAGTAACAAGGGGAGGCAAGGGAAAAAGCAAGCTAAGCCAGTCCCTTCTTCTGGAAAGTTGACAAATGGCCTTCCGGCGGGTAGCATCTTTGGAGATGATTATCCCGATAATAATGACATCAGTGGCTCTAGTATTTCTATGGGCGCTTACACCACGGGCCAAAAACCTGTTGTGTCGGGAAAGAGCTCTAGAATGCTCGCGAGGTCTGATCGTCCACTGAAGAGGTGAGTCTCAAACAACTTCTCAATTGGCTTTACCAAAAAGTTGTATGGCATTTTATAGATAACTCGTATTTCAATAGTAGTGAATAGTTATATACAGACCTGGTGCAGGGGCGTCGTTAGCAACTATCCATGTTAATACAGTGAAGTTTTTTCTATATTGATTGGAATGACTGCCAGTACTAGCTAGTATTATGGACACTTTATTCTTCGTCTGGCGGAACAATTGTTTCAAACAAAATACTTTCAGTAACTAGTCATCCTCACTTTCTGCACTTTCTTCTTCACTCTCACCCTCGCAACTGGTATCCTCTTCGCTATCATCCTCCAGCTCTTCGACGGCCGTAGTGTATCCCTCCTTGTCTAAGAAGTTTTTAATAGCTTCAAGTTTAGCCGGGTGACAACTGATAAACATTGCTGTCTCGGTACAATCGAAGATGTTCACGAAGTAGGTTGCCAACACTCTTTGAATATCTGGAATCTCAACTTTACCAAGCTTGCTCAAAAAGTTACGATTGAAATGTGGCCCTCTTTTCTTGCAATAATCGTCCACGTATTTCATAAGAGCAGCAGAGTAATAGTCAGATTCACTTGATGCAACTCCGTTGATAATACTACTCAAGGCACCTTGTACAAGCTGGGGCTCGATTTCGCATTTTCCAGAAGCATAGTCAGCCACGATGGTTCGGGCTGTTTGAAAACAGCTCAAAACATCCGATCCACGGTAAACTGAGAATCCGATCGCATTTGACTCTATCATTTTTATAATATTAGCACCATAAGCAAGGCCTGAACCACGAATGCCCTTCCAAAACGGACCTTCAACACACCCGAGATATTCTGCAGCTAGGCAAATTGCTGGATAATCTGCATGCATGTAATTTGCGCTGATGTCGAGGCTCGTTACCACTGTCATGTAGGAAGACTCAGATGCAGGGGTTGTGATAACGTGTGCAACACCTTGAGGAGATTCTCCGAGCGAAGAGAGAGACTCAATGAGTCGTGGAACGCTAGGAACTTGCAACACAGGAGTGCTTTTTGCAGCATTTTTGGAAGCGAGGTCCAGCCATGGTGCATATGCATCCCCTATCTTCTCAATTCCACCCAAAACTAGAACGTGGAAGGAATTGAAGTCTATTACCATTTGATTCCTCATGGAGTCAAGTTTCGGTAAAATTTCGGTATTGAACTTGCCATCATCAATTTGATCTAACAAATCTTCGATTATTTCCTCGCTGAAGAGAGCATCGGTAGATTTTTTCATTGACCTTGTAGTGAAAAAATGCCTGTCAAAGAGAGAGGACACCATGAGATCGCCCTCCCTTTTGAGTTCGACGATCGAATTCAGATACTTCTCTAAAAGAACTTTGACCCTTTTTTCGTCAAATATCATGTCGAATAAGCAATGTTTTATCCACTTTACGGAGTTCACATAGTCAACTGCCTTGCAAGATATGCGAAATGTGAGTAAATCGGGAAAGCTGTGGCCGAGGCCTAGAGAAATGTCAGAGTCGATAGTTTCTGACTTCAAGCTTGAGATTACGTCCTCGAATGAAATAACGCGTCCATTCTCGAACCTCATTGGCATCGATAATAGTTCACAGATAACATGATATAGGGGAAGCGAGGCAACGTCTTGGATCTTGAAAGTATTCAGGGCTACATGCAGCTCGATGAACTGCGATGGAAACTGTTCGAAGTGTAACGAAAAAGGGAAATCTTTTGGTTTCGACTCCAACATCTTGGACGCCCATTCAGACTTGACGCCGGATAGAGAGTCCGATACAGTTGAACAGCTCTCCGTTTCTATCAAACTTACGCTCTTTTCGGGGGCTTCGAGCGCAAATTCATTCAGCAACTCAGGGGGGACGTCGGTAGAGTTATGAACGATGGCGTCATCCAGAGTTTTCTTCAACTTATCTTTTTCAGCTTGACTCAAGTTCTTTTTGGCAGCATCACATCTGTTTTGCTTTTGCCGCTCTAATCGCTTGTATAGGGCTGTGCTTGGTTTTCCTAACACAATAACGGGCTTATTCTCAATAAAAATCTTATTCAAGAGATCTTGCCATTGATCTAATGACCAGTTGAAAAGCTCTTCAAAATCGTTCAAATTTTCCAAACTTTCTTTTAGGCACTGACCGCTGTTGTGACCGTACAGAAAGTCAGTAATACAAGTTTGACTCAATATGGTGAGGCCCTTCTTTTCGCACTTCATAACATAGTCCCACTTTCCGTTATCAACAACCTGTTTCATGCGTTCAAGTTTAATTTTATGGGTGCTTAAAATCTCTAATATCTTGTCCTTGGCCTCATAGAGCCTTCCAACAGGAACGCCATGGAAGTTCAGGTTGACAATGGTTCGCATATAGTCATCGGTCCAATACTCGGCAAAATTTGCGAGCGGATCATCAATCTCCACAAGTTGGCTATTGAAAGGGGCCAGGGATGTCTCTGTGAAATAGTCCATCAAAATTGATACCGCAAGGTCCTTCAAGTGATCCTCATATGGTTCTGCAATCCACGACATCAAGATCTCACCTTGCGATTCGTCACTTTCAGGAAATTCGATTTCAGTCAACGTGAGTTGATCTCTCTTGGCAGGAATCTGCGATTTCTTCGTGTCTAGAAAAGGTCTTTGTCTCTCACCACTGAAAGCAGGTAGTGCTTTGTCAAAGTTCGTCATAACGTCCAAAAGCTCTTCCTCGGGTACATTTCCGGCTATGATAAGACACAAGTTCTCGGGTGAATACATATCCTGGTGGAAATTGCGAATTTCGTTGTTAGTCAATTCTCTCAGCTGAGAAGTGAGTCCTCCCGTCTCGGATCTGTACCCACTACCGTCTTGAAACATCTGTCTTTGTTTTTCCAACATGGTAATAAACCAACTTTGCGACTCAATGCCCTCCATCTCGCTGAATACTACGCCTTTTTCTTGCATGTCGTTGGGGTCAACGTGGTAAACCTCGGTTGTACAGGCATGGTCTGTAATCGTTGGGTTCAAAATATGATCCAAATACACCGGCAGAAGTTTTTTGAAACCCGTCCACCCAACAGAGCTCAAGGTGTACACAGTCTGATCCGTTGCTGTCCAGGCATTGGTGGATGACATGCACAGGTTACCTGCTGTATCTAGTAGGCCCTTGTAAGGGTGTTTATGAGATCCCATGAATATGAGGTGTTCCAGCGTATGCGGAACGCCCGAGTCAGTCGGACATTCTGTGGCAACCGCAAAATAGCCCTGCACCAACGGCGATGCCTTGTTATGAATTTGTATCAACTGGAGCCCAGAGCGCGAAGAAATATACTTAGAAAGATGATATTGAGGAGCGTAGTCAAGCTGGAATGAAACAAGCTTGTTGAAAGTCATCCTTACGCTTTAATTTGTCACCTTTTGCGCACTCTTCTTGTATAAAGATGGTCAGTTTCGAATAAATTTTGAATGATAATTGACTTACTTAGTGATGATGATCCAGAAGCGAAATATCCTTGATACGTATGATGCGGAGAGATTGATTTAGTAGGCCCATAGCAGATAGAGCCAACGCACTATCAAGTGGAGATATTAATTTAGCTCATCCGGGATCTTTTCCGGCCCTTCGCAAGTGCTAAAGACGAGGCTTTTACTTAAGATTTATTAACCACCATTGTCTGAATGAAAACGCTCTAACCATTAAACCATAGAAAAGCTCTCTTTCCCATCCCAAACGGCCAGCCAGAGGCCGCCAACAATCTGGTACCGCTTATCGCTAACGTATGTCGCCATTTCACAATATGTAAATCTTACACGTCCGGGTCTTCCAGAGAGGACAACGCCCATTAATCGTTACGGGACGCCAACACCCAGGTGCCGAAAGCGAGCGGTCTGCTGACCCTACAAACTATGCCTATCTGCCGTCTTGGTGAACGTAATTCACCATACTCCTTTACCATTCGGAGATCTCCGACTGAGTCGCTAAATTCCTATCCTTCACCAAGACAGGCTGTGCTTAAAACTTCCTGGAAATGATTACAAGCGCGTCTAGCAACCACTCAGGTGCTCGCATATCCTTCCATCAGCGTAACTTGAATGTAGAGAGGATCTTTAGTCTCAATTTGGAATTTCTGGCTTATCGCTGGAACCGTCGCTTATCGCATTGCATAGTCACACGGCATCATCTTAGGTGTCTTCTCAGATGGGCAAGTCGATATTTTAAAGAACCATGGGTAGATCGAAGATTGTCGTATGAACCAGTAACAGAAGCCATTACCAGTTGAGTTATCCCGTCAGAAAAAGGTCCATGGGTGCGACGGGAAGGGCGTCTTGCAACGCTTGCCAACTTCAAGAATTACAATGCGATTCCAAGAAGCCCAGCTGCAAGAACTGCACAAGAAATGGCATCAAGTGTGCATACCCGTTGACCCTCAAATGGGGCGGAAGACCTTACAAAGACAAATCCAAGCGGATCAAGATGCCTCCGAATACGAAGTTGGTGAATGGAGTACTGATGGCCAACCATACATCCATGAAGGTGTTGAAGCCAAAAAAGCTCAAAACTAACGCAGTAGTGGCCGGGCCCTCATTTCAAGATCTCCCTGTCGGAGCACAGCTAGATATCGAAGAGATTCTGGGCCACAGTCCGATTCTCGAAGAGTCATCGGCACTAGCTGTGACAACGTCGATAACCCCTCCATCACCACCGATGCGAATGTTGAAGCCGATGCACATGCCTGGTTTGGACTTGTTGAACCAGTCTCAAACCCATTCGGAATTTTTTGAATACTACGTTTGTGAAACGGCCCATGCGTTCGTTCCGCTCAATAGAGACAATAAGAACAATCCGTTCTGTACAATTGTTCCTCAATTGGCTCTGCACAGCTCCACTTTAATGAGAATTGTGATGGCTTTTGGTGGTAAACATCGCGAACAGAAACTCCTTATGGAACAAGGGCAAGAATGTTTCTCTCTGGAGGAAATATCATCGGGCGGTGTAAGCTCGGACTCTGGGGCCCTGGCTCGGGATTTAGAGCAGCAAAGTGTGCTTGAGCTGATTCGAGAAATGGCGCGTTCTCAAAATAAGCTCAATGATTTGGTTCTGGCGTCAGTTCTGATCCTTGCAAGCCTGTCTATATTTTTTGGCAATGGAAAGAACTGGCACACTCATGTATTCGGAGCTGAAGGTATCATAATGCAAGAACTCCAGCAACGCTCCAAAGAGAGGCAAATCTATCTTAAGTACCCTCATGAAAGAGGATCGTATTTTTTCTTGCGAAGGTGGTTTGCCTATATTCGAGTGATGGGGTGTCTCTCTTCGGGGCTTTTTGAGCACTTTCCAGAGAGGAAGTTCTCACAATTGAAGATTGACTTCGATCTGCCCACTCGCAATGAATGTACTGGTGATGTAGATGATGTTTACTACACCAACGGAATGGGCGTAGAGGTCCTTTCATTCCTGGCCCAAGTTGCGAATCTGATTTTGGAGAAGGAGACAGATGGCCGACGAGAACTAACAGGCTCAACACTTCAAGGTGCCATCGAATTAGACTATAAGATAGTACACTTCTTAGGTATAAGGAAGCCCGTGACAAAGCTGGACATTTCACAGGGTGCCATGTTGGTGCAAGACAGCAGCGAGAATTCCTTTCTGATGGCCACCAACTTGCTTTTCGGTCTAAGTGGCCTGCTACAACTACGACGCAGAGTCATTGGCCTCTCTTATGACAATCCCTTAGTTCGAGACCTACTTTTCAAGATGATAGCATTGGTTGAAAACAAACTACAGTCTCATAGGCACCCAAATCCTTGCTTGCTCTTTTGCATTTTCAGTTGCGGTTGTGAGCTGTTAGAAGACGTGCTCGTTTCGAAACGGGAGATTTGCTTGGCTCAAATCGACATGTTGATCGAGGCTGGCGTAGAAAGCGCATCTCAGGCAAAGAATGTCATGCAGGAGTGTTGGCGCACGTCAAATTCATGGTGGGAAGTCCTCAGCAAACATAATCTGGATATATGCTTTGCCATCTAATAGAAAACTTGAATATTCTTTATTTAAACTATTTTTATTGTTAAACGTTAATTCAATAGCATCGATCAACACGCTCCTCTTAGCTTTTTGTTGATACACTATTTTGGTACTGGTCTTTCTTTTGGGACTGTTAGTAAGCCCTTCTGTTCCATCGTCTTGCGCTGGATCACTTTGAGTAGTTCGTAACAAAGTGTCAAGTAGGGAGCAGATACACCGTTCTTTTCGGCAATTCTGATAGGGTTACCGTTAATGACCTCAATTTCGAGTAAATTACCCTTGCGTACATCGACCAGCATGGAGGGGGCGTAATAAACTGGGTCATCGGAACGAATCATGAATTCCATAATATCTTCAGGCAGTTCAACTCCATCAGATTTAGCGATTGCAAGAACTTCCTTCATCGCTTTGCGAATGATGCCGTCAACACCACCAAAAAGTTCCAAGCGTCCTGAGTCTACCCCGGTAATTGCGCAAACACCGTTCAAACACGCGTTGTAGACAAGTTTACGCCATCTAGAGAACTTGACACTCTCGTCAAAAATACATTCGTTCTTGTCATTGGTGTAAATGGTCACAAACTTTTTGCACACGGCCTGTGTGAGCTCATTGTCTAGCTTGTTGCTTTCGAACACACCTACTTTGAGACTATCGGTGGACTCGTGAACAATGTGGCTGTTCAAGTTAGCGGATCCAATCATACTCACACCGCTCAACACAACATTGTTGGGAAACTTGGTAACCGCTTCGGTCTCAATGCCAATACCATTTTGAATCAACACAATCGCCGATTCAGGGGACACTGCTGGTGCGATAACGTCAATCATGTTGCTAACTTCTGGGACACATTTGGTGACGACCACGATGTATTCAAAAGGTCCAAACTTCAAACTTTCTTCGACGCTATTAACCACGTTTGTGGGTCTGAAAGAGGGGATCTTGCCATAATCGCATGAATCGATGCTAAAACCTTGTTCCACCACCTTCGCGTAGTCTGAACGGAGCACAGAGGTCACCTCTGCTTTTCCAGCGTATTCCAAAGCATAGGAAGCAATGGTTCCGACTCCACCGGACCCGATCAATAAGACTTTAGACTTCGAGGCAGACATAGTAAAAGGATTATTAGATGCAAAAATTACTTGCTGGGGAAAGCTTCAAAGAGAATTTGGACCAGAGTTTGGGCCAGAGTTTGGACCAGGTCTTTTCAAGAATGAGTAATCAAATATATAGGATTATAGTGCGGGAGGCAAGACCACAGACTATTATAGTTTTGAGTTTAATTTCATTCGAAACTGTGGTTGATTGTCAAAAAGATAAAAGAGATAGGTCCGAAAACGGAAACTCGGTATAAACGCTTATCGCCTCGAACATGTTAGCGATTGATCGGGACATAAAGGCCGCCCAATTCCGCTGATAGGAGCTCTCTAAAAGGTAGGTAAGTTCGCAGTCGTGGCTGTGTAGCCTTGCTAAAAAGTTGCCCACGCCGGCTCTACTATCTTGATCTTGAAAAGATGCTGATTGACCTTGCTTGAAATGTACCAGAATAACATTTGTATATAAGGTGGCTCCCTAACCTGCGAGCTGACATCTTTAGCTGAGATATCGGCTAAGTAACAAAGAATTTTGAGCGAGAGCACTTTCCGGATATTAAATACATATTAGTACTGAAAATGGCTAGAAAACTAGAATGGCAGCAAGTGGGTGTCTCATCGGGACCCAGCTTCCTCTCTCCAGGTTACATCACAGCCAAAAATAGTGAGTTGTTATTCACTTCTGGTTGTGTGGGAAATGATCCAAAAACGGGTGAGTATCCAGTGGAAGTGGAGGAGCAAGCCAAAAACGCGATGGAAAATTTAAAGACGGTGCTCTCTGCGGCTTCCACTAGCATTGACAATGTGTTGAAGGTGCTGCTATTTGTTTCAGATGGCAGCTACGCCCCTGCAGTAAACAAGATTTACCAGGAATACTTCCCTGGCAAACCTGCCAGAAGTTGCATTGTGGTGAGCTTTCCTGATCCCAAGTTGAAGGTCGAGCTCGAATGTGTTGCCGAGATCCCAGAAAGTAAGTAGGTAAATACAAAGGTCAACATTGTCCTAGTGACGATGTGTCTTATGGTCTTGTAATATTGCAATCGACATGTGTGATGATATACATCCTTCTCTGTGCTTTAGTAGTTCTTTAGTTTTGGTGTTCACATTCCATTAAGGGTGTATAAGTCATGATATAGGCGCCAGCATATGTAGCTATATATCTACACAAAAGCCTCAAAGGGCTTCCAGTTGGGATCAACGTACCTCTTGCCTCCTATTCTGTCGATAATACGAGAGACCTTTTCAACATCTTCTGGAGTCAAATTGACATGCTTGAAGTTTGATTCGATTCTTGTTGGCGTGACAGACTTAGGCAAAACAACGTAGCCTCTAGAAACTCCCCAGTTGATCAACACCTGTGCTGGCTGTACTTGATATTTCTCGGCCACTGCAGAAATCTCTGGATCAGTTAACAGCGGAGAGCCTGTAGACCCCAAAGGAGAGTAAGCTTCCACCACTATACCTTCTGAAGCGCAGAATTTGATTAACTCTTCCTGAGGAAGCTGTGGGTGGATTTCGATTTGGTTGACAGAAGGCACGGCAAGGCCCAGTTCGGGCCTCAAAATTTCTTTCAGGTTGTTGATGGAGAAATTCGAGACACCGATGGCCTTCGTTTTCCCCGTTTGGGGCAGCTCCTGCATCAACTCCCAGGTCTTGACGAAATTCCAGTTTTCAACGTCCACATCGCGGCTCCCATCGGGCCTCACGGGAATTATCAACAGATTACCGTCTACTGCATGCTCTGTTCTCAGCATAACGGGCCAGTGGATTAGGTATAGATCGACGTACTCCAACCCGAGGCGGCTTAGTGATTGGTCCAAAGCCTTCTCCGGGGTAGTGTGCTGTGTACACCATAGTTTGGTGGTGACAAAAATCTCCGAACGAGGAACCTTAGAGTCATTGATAGCCCTTCCGACAGCACCTTCGTTGCGATATATAGCAGCGGTGTCAATGTGTCGGTAGCCAGCTTCCAAAGCAGCCAGAACTGCTTTATAGGTGTCCTCCTCAGAGGCTTGCCACGTTCCGAAACCCACTGCTGGAAGGAGTGCGCCGGTGTTCAATTTGAAGTCTGGGTGAGATGACATGTTGTGAATAATAGTCGTAATTGCCGACCTTGGACAATACTGCGCTAAGGAGAATTGACTCAAGAAAGTCTTCTGAGTGGTAGTTACTATATATCAACGTTTCCGGCGTTGAGGTCTGGCAGCAGCTTCACAAAACAGGTAATTGCCGAATGGCAAGTATTCTCATCACCGTCTTGGACTGTTCCGTCGTAGTGACTTTCCCGAATAAGCGAACGTCCCAAAGTGCGGCTGCTAAGCTTTTCGAGTACTCTTATCACACGGCTGTCTTAAATGGTAACTTATCGCTTTATTCGGTTAGTACTCAATGTCACGTTGTGGTTTACTACTGTGCCATGTGGCCCGTTCGTGATACTAAACATGCACACACCTTGACCTTTACGTAAGTAAATCTCGGGTGCTGATCAAATTATACGCTGAGCTCAGGGCATATTCATGCTTTAGAGTTTCAGAGGTACTTTTGCCCACATTAATTAGAAGATTAGTGTTGTGCTCTTGATGTTGATCTACCTTTTAACGTTCAGAATTGAATAAACTTGATGAGTATAGAATATAAGTTAATTAAACTTCCTGGGGCAATTGTGGTACAGTCCAGGAGTTTATCCTTGAGTATGACGATTTGTTAGTCTTCCTGTCCATGTGTCAACAGTACGTTTGACAAGTAGAAGATACGCACTAGGGTCTCACCTGCAAGACTACTTGAACTCGGGAAAGCGTAACGACATGTAGCCTTCATCGTAAAGAACATCATTCGCCCTAGGGTTGCGAAAGCTCAGGCTCTTGAAGTCTACAAGACTTTCATCCAAATCAGAAATGCGCTCCACACCCAAAAGTCTCATGTTGTTCTTGATTTCGCCCTGCAAAATGTCTATTAAATGATTAACACCTTCTTCTCCATAGCCCGCCATTGCGTACAGGAAGGGTCTTCCCAGACCAACTCCCTTAGCACCCATGCAGAGAGCTTTCAAAATATCAGAACCTCTTCGCACACCACCATCAAGGTAGATTTCAATCTTGTCCTCGAGATTTCTTTCCTTGAGCATGGTCCTGGCTTCAGCAAGCACCTCCAATGGCGGGCGCGAGAAGTCCAGCTGCCGTCCACCATGGTTGGAAAGCACTACTGCCTTGACTCCTTTTTCAGCTGCTAGCACTACGTCTTCTCCTCTTTGAACACCTTTCAAGCAGATGGGTAAATCCGTAGAGGCCATAATCTTCTCCACATCTTTCCAGGTAAATTTGGCGTAAGACATGTTTTTAGTCACAATGCTGGAGAGTTCTTTGCTCGTAGTGGTATCTACACTTCTTTGCCTCGTATCCTTCTCACGATTTCCAATATCCCGAAGGTCGACGTTGAGGAAGATACCCTTGATGCTAGGTTTGGTTTCCAGTGTTTTCAGTAACGTTCCAAAGTTTTCAAGTTGCTGGAGGTCATCAAAGTGGTACTGGTACCAGTGGTTTTGGCTGTCTGGAACATGTTCAAAGAAGTCTTCAATGCTGTAGGACGATTGTTTAGGGACCATCTGCATGATATTGGCATCATACGCAGCGGACTGCAAATTCAATTCGGCTAAAGGGTGTGCCATTTTGGAGCCTGCAAATGCTGAGATGTAGATGGGGAGGTTGACCTTGGTTCCCAAAAACTCGGTTGATGTGTCAACATCATATTCTATGTCTTGTAAGACTTTGGGTCTAAAGAAAACACGGCCGTATGCGTAGTGATTTTCGCGAATGGTGAATTCGTCGGAAGCACCTGTAGCATAATAGGCAAAGGTACTCGTTGGAAGTATTTCTCTGGCGATACCCTCAAAGTCAGAAAGGTTGAAAACCCGACTCAATGGTGGCAACTTCTTGCGCTTCTCCGCAATCAACAGCTCCTCATCAGAGATCACATCTTCAAATCTGCCTTTGAGCTTACCCAAATAGATAAGTTGGTCTTTCATCTTGTCTAAAGTGGAGCCTGAGTGAATGGAGTAGAATTTCCTAGTTGCATCCCCGCCTGCCACCTCTAGGATCTTAGATGCACCACCGGGGTGCACACCTATGAAGTTCGTCACATCGTAAACCTCCCCATCTATCACAATCCAACAGTCGTCTACTGTGTTATGAAGCATCACTTCATCCGTACTTATGTCCCCAGGCGTTGACCCCAAAAACGACGACAGTAAGAGTGCTGCGGAGGCAGAAGTTGTCGTGAGAATTGAGGCTCTCAAAATGCGAGAGTTACGGGGCGCTCTCAACTTGGTAGCAAGAGTGGAATAGCTGATTCTGGGACCTCTTCCGATCCGGGTGCTTTTGCACGCAGTTGACTGCAAACCGTATGCATTTTTCCTAGAGTTTTTGATGACACGGAGAAATACTCCTGACATGAGAGGTTAAGTAATACTAACGAACTTGTAAGTTCTTTGATTATGTCGAAGCCCAATAGAGTTTCTCATGATCGCTCGAGCAGCGATCAATGGCTTATTTGTATACTCTTCGGAAGGTATTCGGTCCATCGGATTGGAGGTTCCTCGCTAATTTGAAAGATAAGATAAAGCTACGAGAAATCGAGATGTCTCAAAACGGCAACTCAGTGTTATCAACGACTAAACACCCAGCGCACATATACGGCCGCTGCGATATCTGCGACGATAAACAAGCCAACATGAGAATGGCTATAGATCTGTCGTTTGCCGAAAATCCACAGGGATTTTGAAAGCTTTTAACAAGAGGTGGTGGTTGAACTTCGAAACCCCCTTCTATAAAGCACCAATTGCCATCATTGCTTAAGATAAAATATTCAGTTCGAGTCACAGGTACAGCTTTTACGCATAGGTATACCTTCAATAACCCATATTCTATTACCTGATCGATAGTTTGTATATATTCATTCAATTGTACTCTGAGAACAGTCTACTTTATTAGACGCATCGTAGTTTCAAACGCTGCAAAGGTAGCTCCATTGACTGGCAATGAACGCAGCATCGCTGGCATGAAGCCACTAACAAAAACACGCGGCCCGCGCTCACGATATATGGCCTTGCCAACCTGGACAACAGACGTTCCGTAAACCGGGTTTCTGAGCTTGTCGGCCTGGATGACAGATTTCACAACGTCGAATGGATATGTAGTAGCCCAAAAACAAGCACCCGCCAATGCACCGAACAATGACACTTTCCATGCGGGCACATCTTGCCGCAGGACCCCCCGGCGGGCTTCGTTGGCTAGAAGAGCCTCGTAAGTAAAGAAGTATATGCCGAACCCGTGAGAAGTTCTTAGCGTAGTGGCTGTGAAGCCACGCATTAGCGCACCCTGCCTTAATAGCTTCCTCGCACAGTCCCAAGAACCGTAGTAGAGTGAGGTGGTTTTTGAACCTGTCTGTAGTTGTAAGCGAATCCGCACATGCTCGATCGGCGTAGCAAGAAAAGCATTAGCAGTGCCGCTTACAAACCCGCTCATGTAGTACTGGCCAGGAGTCAGCATGCCGTGGTCATTTCTGTGTCTCCAGCGGAAGTATCTTTTCATCGCCTCATTGACACCAAACTGGCAAGAGACACAAGCGCCGACCCCTACCAGTGGTACCAGTGTCCCTTTGTAAAAAGCCAGGATGCCCTCATTTTTGACCAATTTCCTAATAACTTCCGACGCAGATGCTCGCACCGAAGAAGTTTGCATTCTGACTTTAGTCATGTCAAATGGTTGACCAACTAGCACCTGGGCAAATCCTCCGATCGTGCCGCAAAATACCTCTTTGAAGGCTTGGTTAAATTCGTTGTAATCAACCAAGTCATTGACGACTTGAGGAGACACAGTTTCGTCGGACATTAATGGATACAAAGTTGCTGATGCAACAAGCTTCTCTCTCGACGTTATGGCATCTCGGTATATACCTTTGCTTTGTCAACGACTGGATGGTTGATATACCTGTACTTCTAGTTGTAACCAAAAACAGTGGTATCATGTTACAATATTCTCACGCAATCCCAATGGTGTACCTAAGTAGTAATGGTCAAACCCAGATAACCTCATCGTCAACACAAGTAGGTAAGTAGCCTAGGCTATCAAAATGGCATCTCGTGTTATCGCGATAAAGGCCGACTGCCTCCGAGACCCGATAAGGAAGGTGGAATGAGCTTTCCGAAACCACTCACCAGAAAGGTCCAGTTATTCAAAGTGCGATCGGTATGGTAGAAATCCAGTTTTCCAGCGGAATTTCTAGTTAGCTTAAAGTTTTGGTGATAACGATGTAACCCAGATGCCCACGGGATACCTCCGATGACACTATAGTGGAAAATGATAAAAAACGCTGGTAAACATGAGAGCTCGTTAAAGACTCTTAAGTGCAGATTAGTTCTTGTCGAGGGAGCTTCAAATTGCCACCAAGGGCATGAGACTGTTCTGGAGGATGGATGGGCTTCAAATTATAGGAATCACATCCATTGAAACCAAGTCATCAGAAATTCTAGAAATGGGCCAGTCTAACATGTCAGTGGTCAGAGATCATTGACATTATGAGCAGATACACTTGCCTGGTGCTTGAAATTCATATATAATATATTTAAGGTTCATGTACCACTCTTAAAGTAAATGTTTGGTGTCGAATCGTGCGCTTGCCAAGAAGAGTTCATGCACATTTGAGTAAACAATATAGAAATGGCGCATAATAAATTCAGTACCTATATCGATCATGATTGTTAAATGTGAAACCTTTTTCATGCCTCTTTACTACAGTAGAATGTTAGCAGCTACACCACAAGGTTGAGGAGAGTTTGTACATGTTTTCTTGGAAGGGTTACATCTGACCTAAATTTTTGAACGTTCATTTGTAGAACTACAGTTTATTTGTCGAGCTATACTCAATATTCACCCAGAAGGGCTTCCAAAAGGTTCTCGAGCTGAATTCAAGTAAGACTGATGAAAATATTAAAATTGTTCCCTAAGCAACACATCTGGAAACTTAATAATCCCTTAGCCTCGAGATCCACTAACCAATTTGTTCACTTCGGTAGATCTGTACAACATAATTGATAGTTTAAGTAGTGCTGACGCAGAGAATTGGAATAATTTATATCTCAAATGATTAAGTTATGTGCCCAAAAATGAACATCATTCTCTTAACAGGAAGCTGACAAGGTATACAAGGATCATCAGTTGGACTGACAAATCTTAAACTACAGTCATTCACAAGAGTTCTTTTCTCAATGACTTTTACTATTCCGAAAACTGACTTATTGCTAACGATATTAAATGTACACTAGAATATAACAACTATTTAAAATTGGAAGGCACCCTCGGCGCGCAATTCCTCGGTCAACTGGTTGACCGACTTGACCACCTTTTCGACGATCTCGTCGACATTTTGCTCAGTGATGACAAAGGAAGGCGCTAGCAAAATACGGTCACCGCAGCTCCCGTCTGGGTTTCCTGGCATGGCCATGATGTTTACCTTGTTTTGGAAAGCAATCGCCTTGATGCGAGGAGCAAGGTTCAAAGACAAGTCGAACGGCTCCTTGGTAGCTCTGTCTTTGACAAATTCAATAGACCAGAAGCCACCGATTCCTCTCACATCGCCAACAATGTTGGATTCAGATAGAAAGATGCTCTTTAGCTTTTGTCCCATTAGGTTACCCTTTTCAAAGATGTTGGCGGTCAAGTTATCTCTCTTCAACTTTTGCATGATTCCCAAGGAGACGGCACAGTTGAAAGCGTGCGAAGAGTAGGTGTGACCGCCACCAATAGCCTTAGAGCCCTCGAGGTAGGCATCTCTGATTTTTGGACCAATCAAAATACCAGCAATGGTAACGTAACCAGAACCTAGAGTCTTACCGACAGTTTGAATGTCTGGAGCGTCAGCCGGGTCCAAAAAGTTTTCCCAACAATTGAAAGCACCGTTAGGGTTGCTTCTACCGGTACCACACATAACTTCGTCTAAGTGGTAAATCAAGTCGTACTTGTTGCACAAGTCTCTTAATCCCTTCAAGTAGCCCTTTGGTGGTGGACAAGTACCCAAGGAAGAACCGGGCAGTGTTTCGACGGTTAGAGAAGCAATGGTGTCAGGATCGTTTTCTAGGATGATTTTCTCGGTTTGCTCAATAAGGCGCTGAGCATAGGCCTCTTCCGTTTCGCCATCCTTCTTGAAACGGTAGCTATAAGCACAAGGGATCTTGATGTTAATCTTTTCTCTGTCCATGAGGTATGGTGTGTAAGGTTCAGTTCTTGGGTTCCAAGAGATAGACACAGCCCCCAAACTGAAACCGTGATAAGAACTCTCTCTGCTAATTAGCTTGACCTTTTCTGGGCGACCACGCTCCAACCAGTATTGACGGATCAATCTCAGAGCATTTTCGTTACTTTCTGAGCCGGAGGTACACCACAAGGCAGCGGAGAAGACGCCCTTTGGAGAATTGTCGATATAGAATTTCGCCAATTCCTCTGACGACTTGTTGGAGACCAAGCAGGGGTATGAGTAGGTTGATTGACGGGCAGCCTTATTGATTATCTCATAAACTTCCTCGTCAGCGTGTCCCAAAGCACCGACAGCGGCACCAGTGATAGCGTCGATGATGCCGTCGGTGACTTGGCCATCCCTTTCGATGGAGATATGAACGCCCTGGCCGCCAACAATTTGGGGGCCAACTTGGTCAACGGTAGCTTGGAAGTTGTAGGAGTTTTGAGGAGCTTGGGTAGCGGCAGTCATGAGTTACTGTGAATATTATCGCTTTTCGATACTGTCACGATCAATGACAGTTGAGAGCTCTGTGTTGAAAATAATGCTCATTTTATATGCGAGAGACCATGCCGGATTGACAGCCCAAAGCATCAGTTAGCAGAAAGCACCAACTTATGATAACATCAGCGCTTTTCCCGAATGCGACCTTCCTTCTCAGGCAGGAGTATCAGTGAAGATAAAAGATCGGAGAGATAAGAGACCATTTTAGGCATGCTTATCAATCACCTACCCAAAGTAGAAACCACGAAATTTCAGAATAAAATACTGAGCAGCGGAACAGCCTATTCATTGTAACGATGAAGAAGATGGTAGACAGTTATTTTTTGATCATCTCGGAACAACAATGATTATTATACACCTTTATGGCAACTCCTATGGTTAGGACACATCGCAGAAAAATGAACTTTCATGTAAAGATAATAGGGCGTCACCGTCTTGGGTAGCGGAAAGCGCGAGAAAGTTGGGACTCTAGAGGCACATGCGTACGACAACGATTTTCACTCAAAATATGGCACAGAACTGGAGAGATTGTATCAAAAATAAATGTAAGAGTGAATTGCGCTAGAAAGTCATCGGCCCATATTCTGGGGGTGAAGTTTTTTGGCGTGCGTGAAAAGCAGGACGCTCACAGGCCCAAGCTCCACGGAGAACAGATGATCTCTCGCCCTAATGACAGCTTCAGGAGAGAATAAATAAAAATTGGCCAAGTGGGGACTACTTTTCTGCGGATAGCTAAGTGGGGGGAGGGGAGCGTTAGGACTACTTCGGGTGCACTTGCCTCAATAGGCAGTCCAAATCTGATCCATTGTTAGCCCAGCTCCGGCCACGAATTTGCCTACCTTCTTAGATTGCTCATTAGTGACCCTCTGATGTTCCGATCATTATTCTCAGCAGCGTTTTTGAGAGCCCACTATTGAGCTGCCATATTATTTGCAACACATTGATAGCATGGTAGGCTGAACAGTATATATAATGGATGCCAATGACCAGTTATCCCGTGTTCCCACGTTACTTGTGGCCTTCCTACAACAGCCACCCTCTACTTGGTATGTCATCCTGTATGCTTGAATGAACCGGAAGTAAGCGTAAACCCAGGCTAAGATAGCCTTTTTTCTAGTTCAACCCCCGGAACTGGATAATTTAAGAGAACTGACGGCCATAGTTTTTGAATTTACTTTTTGAATCAGGTCCTTGTCCCTGAGGCTAGCAAAAGCATTATTTGTCCCTGCATCTTTACTAGGTGTGTTTGTAGAAAGAAGGGTACCAGTATGGACGATTGCGTAAGGCCCCCAACCTGCTATGTACCTGAGTGAATCAAAAAGACTGTTGACTCAACTTACTACGCGTTATTTAGCTTGACTCAAAAAGCTTTGGTAGGTATAGTCCTGTCTGCAGTGATACTAGAGTTCTTTGCGAGTATTTTTTAGTTGCTGACATGGGCAGCACAAGTGGAGAAAGCTCACTCAACAAATTTGGTATATGCTTCAACACTTCTGATGTTACCAAAAATGTTCTCCAGTCCTAATTTTGATCAGGAAGACCAACCTGTTGAAGTCAACGTAATGAATGTCATTGAAGTCGGCGCAAACGGTAAGCGAGACAAGGCTAAACGTTCACATTACCGCACACAATGTCGCCCGACCGTTAGTATTATATATATATATATATGTGTCTCTCGAATGCGATATCGCTCTAGCGTTCTATTGCGAACACCATTGTAGTGGTTACTAATTCTGTTGGAATCAAAACCCTCCTGCTTGGCTTGCGATTAATGGATAAAGTCGCCATTTGGAGAATTACCTACAAGCACAAAGTTTAGCTATAGTATTTCCACTGTTCTGCCTCCGGCTGCCATGAAGTTCTGTGAAATGCGTATATGAAACAGGATGAATGAGCTGGCAAAGGTAAAGCCAGGTACTAATTGTAACGAACAGTTTCAATAGCTAACGACATTATCTTGACGCGGCGAGGAAACGGAAAGAGTTGCAGTTACCTAGTAGCTGATTGACAACAACCAGGTTTTCGACTTGGAAATTGGCGTTGCATGGGACTGCTTTCCGCTGCAATGCCACAGCTCTTGCTTGTCACCTACCGCTTTTGGCATTTTACCATTTTACACTGAGTAGTAAGATAAACTACCGATAAGACAAAGACCCAATAAGGAAGTTAGCAGGTGTCCTCTTTGGCACATATGCATATATAACGGGAACGTCTTTCATTGACTCTTGCAATCCTCGTCATTGACAGATGCAGTTCGCGACAAGATTTTCCCAAGATGGTCGATACAGATGTTCTCCTTATTGGAGCCGGTGGTGTTGGTACGATGGTAGCCTTTGGTATGGACTACACTAAACAGTCCAAGCTCTCTATTGTGGTAAGAAAGGACTTCGCGAAAGTCAAGGAGACAGGCTATGATATACATTCGGTGGATTACGGGACTGTCAAAGGCTGGAAGCCGTCACATATCTATCCAACCGTGGAAGCCTCAGTAGCCACAGGAACAGTCTATGATTTTGTGGTCATTACTACAAAGAATCTGCCAGACATCGTGAAAGTGGAAGAGTTGGCCGCTCCCGCAATCACACCTGGCCACACATGCGTGGTTCTAATCCAAAATGGTTTTGATTTGGCTAAACCTTTTTTTGACAAATTTCCTAACAACGTCGTCTTATCCGGAGTTACATTAATAGGGTCCCACAATACCCACGGTACTATTCACCACACACAAACTGACAAATCATTTATCAGCTATTTTGAGAATCCTAATTTGCCTCAAGAGGTCCAAGAGGCCAGTGCTAAAAGATTTGTTTCCATATACAGCAATGATAAGAACAGCTGTACTTATGCTTCGAGTGCCAAAGAATTTAGATACAAGAAGCTAGTCTACAATGCAACCTTGAACACAGTCTGCGCCCTTACTGGAGTAGACACAGGGAGACTAGAACAAGCGGGAGGCCTTGCCGCGCTATCTATTCCAGCTATGCGGGAAGTGATTGCAATTGCTCAAGCAGACGGCGTTACACTGCCAAAGGACGTCATAAACACCACAATTCATGGTGACGATGGAGAATGGTTCGAACCTTCCATGCTGGTCGACGTGAAAAGAGGCAACCCTATTGAACTTGAGGTTATCTTGGGAAATCTCTTAAAGACTGCTGAAAAGCTCGAAGTGGAAACGCCGATTCTCTCTGTCTTGTACGAATTACTTCGAGTCGTACAATTCCGCTTGAAAGAAAAACAGGGCATAATCACTGTTCCCAAGGAACGCCCTATTTACGACAAAGTGTACGAGTAACTAACTAGCTACCTTGGATTGGTAATCTGTATCGACTTGGATAGGTGCCAATCAACCAATAAGCTATTGAGCTGTTCGTAAAAGAAAATGCTGCGCATATACTGTAGGCTGTCAATATGTTATTTTGTAGTACGCCCGTCATAACGCGGTCAACTACTCCTAATGAAAAACACCTTGACCCCAGTACTAGATTACTCTTACAAACACGTAGTTCATCTGCAAGACAGTGGATGAATTACTACCTAAGCAAGCTGAATCAGATTGACTAGTGCTGAAAACAACGTGGATACTGTTATTAGATGCCCTTAGGGAAAGAGAAGGGGCCTGGTGACAGGAGAGAGAAGGAGATGTGTGCCGTCCACTATCATACTTCGTGGGCAAATAACATATCATAGTTGAGAGCTGCATCTTTAGCACAACTCCCTCTTTCGATCAATTAAAGATGAGCAGTGCCGAGGAAAAATATCCCCGGAGAGCTCAGTAAATGACATATATCGCATAGTGCCTTGGTTGACGGGCAACAGATCTTGTACAAACGAAGCAGAAGTTAGCTAACCAAATTAGAGAGATATGAAGGTGGGTATTTTACAATGCTTATCATTCCAGATTTTTCGAACATGCAGGTGCACCCAAATAGGCAGGTAAAATGTTCAGATCACAGACAGTAACTAAGCATCGCAGGAGCAACGAAATGTATCTGCGGTTATCTCTCACATGGACTATTTCCATTCGATAGCCAATGCACAGTCTCTATCACGACCATTGTTTTTTTACTGATTGACTGTCGTTATCAATAGCGATTGCAGGCACTTGGCAGTTGTTCGGTAATTTTTCTAACGGCAAGAACGATTCTTGATCGATATCATCACTAGGTCAAAGACCAGCTTCTGCTCTATTTTACCAATTGTCTTCAAAGTATCGAAGAGGGGCTGCCGAATTGTTGGTAGCCCTATATTTTTGGAGATGCGTGTATCTGACGGTCCACTTCACAGATTACATTCTTGCTTTGGCCATTGTTTGCAGTTCTTTTCCATTGTATCGCCTCATTGATAAGAATGAGAGTGGTTCTTATCAGTGGTCTGCATGGAGATAATTCCATCTCACTGTCCTCGCTGCAACGTAAACGCTAGATACCTGACGAATGGTAAAGGACTTGCCAAATTAGGAGGCAAAATGATTACTATCACTGTGATGGTAGTAACGTATCGCTGAAACTTGAACATTTCAGCTTATGGGACGAGAAGATAAGTGCATCTTCAATATAGTTTCCAGCGATCTAAATGTAGTATAAGTAAAGAGCTCAGAATGAGAGATATTGAGATCGCCTCCTCCGTTCGATCTTTCAAATCTCAACGAGCAGTCAGTTCTTATGCAGGAACTCCCTCTCTCACCTTACGCTTCGAAAGTAGCGATTGAAAACTCACTTGCGCAAACCAAAGCTGTCCACGGTCGTCAATCAGGAGGGGAGTTGGGCGAAAAAAATGCCATTCAGATAGATCAAGTAGTTGACATCGAAAGTGCTTCAGTTGAATTCTCGTATGATGATGGGAACCACAGTGTGGTTAGAAAATTAAAGGCTAGACACATCCAATTGATTGCCCTAGGCGGAGCAATTGGTACTGGTCTGTTTATTGGCTCAGGTGGTGCCCTTAGTGTGTGTGGCCCTGCGCCGGTGCTTATTTCCTACACGTTGATGTCAGGTTTTGTCTGGTGCATCATGAACTTGATGACGGAGATGGTGACATTGATACCGCTCTCAGGAGAAACCTCAATGTATTCACTCGTTGGGACGTATCTCAATCGCCCACTCTCATTCACCGCTGGATTGAATCTGTTTTATGCCATGGCTATGATTCCTCCGGCAGAAATTACCGCGACTGCAATTTTAGTCCAGTACTGGACGGATGCCAACTCAGCAATCTTTATCACCATCTTTATTGTTTTGACAGTTTCGATGACTATGTTACCAGTGAACTTCTTTGGTGAAAGTGAGTTTTGGGTTTCTACTATCAAACTTCTCTGTATCACAGGTCTGATTATACTTGGTGTTGTCGTTTTCTTTGGAGGCGCCCCGAATCAACACAAAGTTCTTGGGTTTCATAACTGGAATAACCCAGGCGCTTTCAATCCTCATCTCGCTCCAGGAAATACGGGAAAATTTTTGGCGTGCTGGACTGCCATCATAAAGAGCGGGTTCTCATTTGTGTTGATGCCTGAAGTCGTCGTTTCCTGCGCAGCTGAATCGGTAAACCCAAGAAGAAATATGCCCCGGGTAGCCCAAAGATTTGTGTACCGATTGGCACTCTTCTACGTCTGTGGTTCATTGGTTATTGGTATTATGGTTGGATACAATAACCCACGCTTATTGAACGCCATTGCTTCCGGTGAATCCAACGCTGCAGCATCGCCCTTCGTGATTGGAATTCAGGAGGTTGGTATTCGAGTCCTTCCCCACATCATCAACGCTTGTATTTTAACCAGTGCCTACTCTGCCGGTACATCGCTGATGTACGGGGCTTCGAGAACATTACACTCAATGGCTCTAAGAGGTGTTGTGCCCAAATTATTTGCCAGAACAAATCGCTTCGGTACTCCATACTATAGCACCGCAGTTACCAGTCTTTTTGCGTTGTTGGCCTATCTCAATTGTTCGGACTCCGCAAGTGTCGTCTTTACTTGGTTGTCAAACATTGCCACCATTTCAGGCTTCATAGACTGGGCTCTTGTGTGTGTAGTTTACCTCCGCTTCAGGAAGGTGATCGACTATGCAAATCTCAACGATAGAATTCCCTTTAGAGCTCGAGGCATGAAGCCATTTGCTTACTTTTCCTGCGCCTTTTTCGTCCTATTGTCTCTGACCAATGGATATGCCGTTTTCGTTGATGGAAACTGGAGTACGAGCGATTTTTTTGCTTCCTATGTTACCATTGGATTGGTGGTTGTCTTATATCTGGGTAGCTCGTTCTATTACAAAACCTGGAAGTATAGAAACATGGACGATATCGTCGCTGAAATCTTGCCCAAGATTGCAATTGCCGATGAGGATGAGAAGAATGAAGTCCCAATTGTGGCCAGAAATTGGATGGAAAGGGTCTGGAATTTTATTGTCTAACAGTTTTTGAGTTGGTCACAATTAGAAGTTATGGTCAAGAACTGCTGACTCTTGACAAGTTCGTAAATTTGTAGAAGATTGGTTTGAATTATAAGCGATCGATCTGTCCTCGGCTTCACAACCGACGCCTATTTTTCGTGCTATCAGCATCACAGCCTGATAGGAAATTATTAGTTGATTATACATGACTATTGCTCTTTTTCTGGTAGCCGAGCACTTTAGATATCATCTGGCAATTTGAGACTAGGCGAAAAATGCCATATCGAAAGTCAAAAGTTAGCATTTTAGTGGACGTAACTGACCAGTTGATGAGCGTTTTTACAAATTTGGACAAATTTCTGTCTGCGGTCTCCCAGTATCGCTTTTATTAAGCACGTCAATGGGGCAGTGAAATTGTCGTGATACAATTCAACTCAACATATACATACAATAGAAAGGTCAAATCACTGTTGGTGTGGTTTTCATGTTCAGGTATTTTTAATCAGATTTTCTCACGACAGACAGTTGGGTTTCGATTGCATAACACTGTGATATTCTTCATGACCCTATGTTATTCTGCCATTCAAATAGCTTAGCCATCCAGTGCAAAATTGCATTCAGTGTTCGTCCTACTACCGTAACAGGAACTTTATCAGTAACAAGACATTGGTGATATCACTATACAGGAAACAACTAAAGTACGGATAACTCTCTAAGGACTTCAATTTACCCAGTGAAGCCTCTGCTTGATGCGACCGGTAATTTGTAGACTAATTGTCACATTTGATCTCTACACTTGTTATAAACCGATTAGCTATCTTTAAAGTTGAGTATTTATTATGAACTTATCTGACATCTCAGAAAGCTCAAATAGGAAGGTGAGTTATCGCATACGAAGCGTATACCACAAACAACGAGAAGTGCCCATTATGGCATTTGAAGTAGGAAAATAGAAGATTCATTTGAGCAAGTGGCCACGTCCTGCCGAGCTGTTCGGCCTATAAATTGGAGGGTCATGAAGAACCAGAATGTATTATTGGTGACCAACTTAAATTAAAATTTACATAAAACTACACTACACTCACGTTAAGGTTTTTGGATATGTCTGCATTTCCTAAATTCAAATTGAACACAGGATCGTCCATCCCGTCGATCGGCCTTGGAACTTGGAAGGCTTCAGAGGAAGATACATACCACGCTGTCCTGTCCGCCTTAGAAAATGGCTATAGGCACATCGACACTGCTGCCTTTTATAAAAACGAGCCAGCGGTTGGCAAAGCCATTAACGACTCCCCGGTTGCACGCGAAGATATTTTCGTCACAACTAAATTATGGTGCACCCAACATAAGGATCCAAAGGGGGCGCTAAAGGAATCCTTGCAGCGTTTGGGATTGAGTTATGTGGACATGTATTTGATGCACTGGCCGGTCATGCTCAAAACAGACAAGATCACAGATGGCAACTACCTAGTCATGCCGCTGAATGCTAGCGGGGGACGCGACACTGACGTCGAAAATTGGCATTTTGTCAAAACTTGGGAGTTAATGCAGGATATTCCAGATTCCGGGCTTGCTAAGGCCATAGGTGTTTCTAATTTCTCCATCAACAACCTAAAAGAGATCTTGAAGCCAGAACTGGGACTTGTTGTGCCCGCCGCCAATCAAATTGAGATTCATCCTCAATTGCCACAAGATGAGTTAATTGACTTCTGTAAAACTCACGGAATCCTTGTGGAAGCTTATTCTCCTTTGGGGTCCACCAGCTCCCCGCTGCTATCCGCTTTGGCTGTCGTCGAAGTGGCAAAGAAATACAACGTCGAGCCCGCACAAGTTTTGATCAATTGGGGCGTCTCTAGAGGCTACTGCGTGTTGCCCAAATCTGTGACTCCAACACGAATTGTTTCGAACTTCAGGAAAGTTGATTTATCTGCGGAAGATTTACAGAAGATTTCAGACGTTCATAAAACATTGGGGGGCAAAAGGTATTTGGATGCTGATTGGGGTGCATTCATTCCATTTGTGTGAGGCCAGCTCCTTTAACTTAGAGATGTGAGAAGGATTATCGGTAACCGCCTACTAGAAGTTTGTGATCGTGAATAGACCTATTGAATACATTTGGCACAAAAAGCATCACTTGTATGTTCAGCTCTCCAGGGAGTTCTTGTCGCACCAATTCAACTAAAGACAACAAAGATAAAGACAAAATGAGAGCCTGGCCACTTTTTGATAACAAGCAAAAACGCAGGTACTTTAGCGCATCAAGATATATTTAAGTAAGTTACGTTGCAATAATTTGGGGGTTGGTAAAACAAAAACATGCAAGTTAAATAATCAACCAAAATACCCAGAGGAATTGTGGTCAAGTAGGAACGACCTACCATTTACATCATCAAGCAGTTGAAGAATCTACCTACTAGGCAGTGAAACACCTAGCACTAACTGCGCTTAGGAAACGTCTGCCAACTTTATGTATGAATCACAGCCGTCAGTCATGTACATGGATCATTTTTGGTCTCAAAATCACTAAGAGACAACCACACGTCTCGAAATACTTCTGGATATCTCATAACACATCCAAGAGATGCCTTTACAGCTTAAAACCGGTGACTTGCTCCAATATTTAGATGACCTTTCTCCCAATGATCCACACTCCACCAAGGTCTCTAGTGAAGTTGGTGGGGATTAAAGATGGATCTACAGCCACCACACTTGCTATCCGTTGCTGTCACAAAAGAGATGGTGTATACCAAATGACTTAAACGTCCAAAACAAACTACAGAGGTCCGGAGAAATGGCTCTGTAGAAATTATCATACTTCGTACACATCCCTGTAGCAGTATGTCATTTATCCTTTACGATGATACCAATGGACGTGCCCTTTGTAGCACATACTGGAATTAGTGACTCGAAAGTCTACTTTCGGTCATGTAACGGAAAAACGCACTATTACATAAAATGGAAGTCCTAACCAGATGCGCCTGTCTTTATTGAGCTAGTAATGGAACTAGAATTGGTAGCATCAAGTAGCCACCGAGGTTTGGTTCCTCTGTACCTTCCATGGCACGCTGCTTCGACACATGCTCCAAGACTACCAAAGTAGAAATCTCTCCCCGTAAGGCCAGGGCCGTAGTGCGCATATTTGCCTGAATTAGTTATGATCGCCTTCGTGGATGGCGGTATCATCGGTTCGGTAATCATACACCAGCAAGTATCTGTCATAAACTTGACCCCAAATTCCTCCAGCTCTTCAATGAAACCAGCTTGTCTGGCCAAGCCATGAGTTGAACGGCTACATGTTACCATGACGTTGACAGTACTCTCCTTTATCTGACCTCGACACAGGCTCGCGAGCGTCCTTATCTCGGCTAACGAGAAATGAGGATTTCCAAGAGAAACCAAATCGATTTGCTGATTCTTTGAGGAGCTGTTAAGTTGGTCCCAACATTCAAGAAATTCTTCTGGTGCCACATCGATGGTGCGCACTAATTCTTTGGGTCCAATGACGACATTGAGAGACGTGGCTTCTGGAGTAATACCAACTATGTGAAACATTGGTGCGCTCGACACAGTTGCGAAAGCTGCTCCAAATGCTTTTAAGTCATCTTTGGATGGGTTAAGGGCTTCGAGGCCAAGGACGGCTGGGATGCAACTAGAAGCCAACTGTCCGATCTGGTAACCCAAAAGAGGATAAAAAGAGTCGTCAATGGTGGCCACGTTTTTTATGGTGGGGACTCGAATTATTAGCGAAGCCAGTCTATGGAGGTCTACATGAGGTCCTCCTTTGGGTGCACGACCTGTTAGAGCAATTGCGATATCAAGAAAGTCGGGATATTTCATCGTTCTCGCACCCAGTACACTGTTTGCGTACACGACAGCATTGGACTCCGCCCATGCAACCTGTTCTCCAAATTTTGGAGCGCTTTCCAGTTGATATGGTGCACAGGTGAAAGTGGGCCGAGCTCCCATGTCCGTGTATGCAGATGCAAGCCTTCCAGCCGCTTCTCCAAATGCGCTATCAACCCCTTGAATGCGCCAGCGTTTCTGATCAATCGAGATAGAGTTCAAAGATGTTGGAACACGAACTTTCCCTCCCAAATCGCGAAGTTTCTCTGCAAATTTGAGAGAGCCTGGTCCTGTGTATATACAACCATCGACGTGAACTTGAGTGACATCCATCAGTTCGGTAGCGCCCAGAATTTTGGCCATTCGCAGGATAATTCTTATTGCTGCACGGGAAGCTTCACCATGTTCTCCTTCAAGAAAGGCTTTATCAAGATCGGAGAGTTTGACGTTGCTTAAGGGTAATTTACGTTCATTATCGGTGTTTCTTGACTGATGTTGACCAGGTTTTTTATTTATTGCATGATCTGAAATGTTTGAGCCATCTATGAAAATACAGCGGCCGTCCCACTGCTGGATTTGTTGGAAATCAGTAGCGTCAATCGTTAGAACAGGTATTGCTTTGCCAAATATTTCCTCGGCGACTATCACACCCAGAGAGAGGATATCCTCCCGCCGTTGGAATATGATACCTTTAGGTCCCTTATTGTTCAAAAGTAGCTCTAATAACACCCCACTTCCAGAACATGAACCACGGCTACTGGGAATGGCGAGAATAGTATCCTGAATATATTTCCCGCTCAAAACATGATGACGATCAATAATTTCGCCAGTTTCGGGATTGACGCCGCCCCAGAAACTCAACTCTAGCTGGCTTGCGACAAGTTTGCCAAACGCCCTACCGCTCACCAGGACATGCCCTTCAATGGCAAGTCGATTTTCTGGACTCGTGCTGACCATTGAGCAAATTATGTGACCGGCTTGCCTGTCGGTAGTTGAACACTGTAAGCAAACCTCTTGCTTGCCAGCTAGCAATATCAGGAGTGGGTTATACCGATTGATTCAAGCGAATAAAGAATCAGAAATACACTCAAATTTTCAGTGGCCTCTTCTGAAGATGCACCTTCAAAAAAAGCCAAGAGTAGCTCTATTTTAGTAAACCACAACTGCTCCTCCCAGGCGCTCAAGGAAAAATGTCTTTTTTAATTAACAGCTTTGCATTGAGATCCATGCTAGACACTCGTTTTCTTGTCTTGTATCAGTCCTCTTTATATGTTTCTCTTGAGTCCACTAGACATCGTTTCACGCACGCAGCTAATTTCATACCTGTATCTAAACCAGCAAATTGCACCATATCAAATCAGTCTCTGCCATCGCTCCTTACACTGGGTATCCACTTGCCTATTTCTGAGTGATGGTGTTTCTTACTGTGCTTGTCTGTCGATGATACGGGAATGAGGGCATGAAAATTGATAAGAGAACTTCCAAATCAAGAACAACTAAGTCGGCATATTTCCGACTATACCTTATTGAGGTATATCAAATGAACTGCTAACCACACCCGTTGTGCTCTGACAGAATCCAAAATATCAGATGCTAGTGGTTATGACGACGTCAGATACTCAACATGGCTAAAATTTACAGCGGGAACCAGATTGTGAGCAACTACATTAGCGTAATTTGGCTAGTCAATAAATCGTGCAAGAAATCACCTGTGTAGGACCTTTTTTGCACAATATAGATTGTTTGAACGACAAGATCGATACGCAATGCAAGTCAGAAGAAAGTAAAATAAACTTGTACTCAGTAATTCAATACTACTTAGTTGGCCAATTCGGGTTATGACAAGTCTACTTGTAAGTTAGACAAGACTACAACCATTCGGCCTACGCAGTATAACAACAGCAGGTTGAAATACAGGGAATATTCTCAACTTAACCCCCCTTGTAGAACTGATGGTGTTATTTCATCCACTATTGCCCTCATGAAGTCTGGACAAAAATTAGAGAGGTTAGGGCCGGTGCTTGGAATTGGCTAGTTATTATTCTCACGCCTATTAATTATACGATTTGATATGAAGGGCCACGTTAAATTGCTTTCATGGCCTCTGATAGAGTATTAGTGTTGGAGAATGAACACCATAACTAGTTGTTAGACATGCTTGGGTGCCACACATTACACACACACAGGCCTGGGTTCATTCAAAATTATATCCTTACGAGAGACTCGTTATCTATGACTTTCATATCTCTGAATTGACCCGGTTCCTGTAAACTGTACTGGCACGTCAACCGCAAGCCTTCGTTATCCACCGGCGAGACACTCACCTATCACACTGGCTAAGCTACCGCTCTGGCTTTCGTTCGCACTTCACAAGCTTAGCAACGCTTCCTGGGTGTACATTAGGGAAGCCCTGAAGGTTCAACTAATTAAGCGGACATTCTGAAATAGCAGATCCTGGAATCGAGCCACTCATCATATTCGCCAAACAGGCCCTGGCATGACGGATGATGAGGCATTTGATGCATCCCAGATGGATGATGATATTCTAAGCACCTCAAAATGTCAGCTTTAAAGTTGCAGACGAATAGTACCAGGGACCAGATACCCGATGGCTTTGAAATGGGGTGGACGTCCGTACAGGAACAAGAATAAGTCCATCAACCTCCCACCCAACACAGCTCTGGTGGAAGGTGTGGTTGTGATAAAAGACCAGCGTAATTTCGGTAGACAAGTAAAGAGTAAGCACAAAGAAGTGGTCATCATTAGTGAAAATATGCAGTCGCTGGCCGAAAATGATGGAATTCCCAGCAAGCGAAAAAGAATAAGTAAGAAAGCAGTCGCGGAGACACTGGCTTGCGAGAGCCCAAAACTTCCAAGTTTGGACGATATGATTGCACAGGAAGAACTCTGCTTGCAGCGGCTCAGGCCGCTATCGATTTATACTGATGCGCTGAATTTCTTGAGAAGCTCGAGTGATTATATGGCCTTTTTTGAGTTCTATCTTCACGAGACTGCTCGACATTTCATAACATTTGATGTCCAGTCTTATCCCAACGCTTTCACTACTTTAATGCCGCGCATGGCCCTCTTCAGTCCTACCTTAATGAAACTCATTGTTGCGCACGGGGCGAGACACAGAAAACAGCTGTTCTTTTTTGAAGAAGAGACATCTTATCGGCCTCTAGAGGACATGGCGGACTCGAGCCTTGTCCACGACACTACAGTGCGCAAACTTATGGACGATGGCGTGAATGAGCTCGTTTTTAAGCTCTCTTCCTCGACCCAGGGCGCTGACGAGTCTGTGTTGGCCTGCACGTTAGAGCTTGCTAGCTTTTCGATGTTTTTTGGCGGTTCAGGAGGTCACTGGCGTGCTCATCTTCGTGGCGCTCAAGGTCTTATCTCGAAAAAGCTCACCTCATCAAAATTTGATGATAAAGCTCTCCGATACACCAACACAAAAGGGGGGTTATGCATTTTTGAGAAGGTGGTTTACTTACATGAGAGTCATGAGCTACCTCTGCTCCACTAATTTCCCAAACTCTCTTGTCAACTGCAGTACACAAAAGGAGGATTACGTTTTATGGAGGGGTAGAGATAAAAAACCTATCTCCCTCATGATGGATGATATTGAATATGCCAATGGCATGGAAATCTTTGTACTTTCTTTATTGTCAGAAGTTTCTCATCTAATTGTGGAACGGCACCAATTGCTCACTGAGCCACCAACGCATCAACTACTCGCAGATGCTTTGGAACTCGATTCAAGAATCCTTGGCCATATGGAAAGTCGCGAGAATGAGGGATGAGCTTTTCAGCGGAGCCAGTTGTACTAACTCAAATGCGCTTTCGAGTGTGAAATTGAAGCGTTATAAAATTCTGAGAGCAACAAACCTTATGTTTGGTTATACTGGTGTATTGCAGTTGAGAAGAAGAGTAATGGGCTTGTCCCACAAGGATCCCTCTGTCGTCGATCTGCTTATTAAGATGACAGATATTATTGAGAAACAGCTACCTCGAGGGGATGCTTCATTTCCGTGTATGTTAATCACCATTTTCTGTTGCGGTTGTGAGTTGCTGGACGAAAGCTTTGAAGGGAGACGTCAGGCCTGCCTCGAGCAGCTGGAGTACTACATTACCCGAGGTTTCCAAAGTGCTGTTCACGCCAGAGAAATCATGCAGGAGTGCTGGGTAACGGGGAAGCCATGGTGGGAGGTCCTGCATGATAAAAACCTTGGTATCTGTTTCGCAATTTGAATTAAGCTAGCGATGGAGCTGGTGTGTGTGTCGATCTCGGTGCATAACAAGGTATTCCGTCGTGTGTTTACCCAACTTCATCTTTAAGATACATGAGGTAAGGGCGTCCTGTATTTGGGCACAGCCTTATAAAGAAAGACGCATTGAGATATAATTCTTCAACAGCCTTATTTTAACTATTCGACGAAATGTGAATGCAGCTGGAGCTCTTGAAAGCTTCGATCGCCCCTCCTGCACCTATTCGCATTGCTGATTTTTTGGATACGGTGGCTACTCGTTTGGAGTTGAAATATCAAAAGATCTCTTAGATAAGTAGATCATGCCTCAAATACATGAGATAGTGGCGACTAGCCACACTTAATTACTGGAAGGCCATCCGTTGTCATAAACTGGTATCTACGGCATTCAAGGCTTTAATTGGACCTTTTTGTAAATATTCATCGTTAATTATTCCTTCACGTATATACAGCTAAATGCTTGAATTATGACGGCAATACTGCCTTTTGAGACAAGATGCTCGATAATAACCGGAGGGAAATACTCGTCTTGAAGATAAATGTATAATAGGGAAACTGCATTCGGTGCCTCTCTCACTTACAGTGAATTTTCTCAAACTCCTTACGTACATTCTGGATGCATATCATTCCGGCCCTTTGTGTAAATCCAAATGATAAGTGATGACTGATGTTGTGCCGACAGCCGGGAATTGTCTTACTATCCTAAACAACCGCATGCTATTTACCAGAGATCAAAGGCTTTATTTAAATGAAGTTCGTGACTTCCTTAACGTCGAGCGAGACTCCTAACTAATCAACAGATGTCGAGCTATTAAGGAAGAAGGGTCCACATATTTACTGACGCTGATTATGCGATTAGGCGCACATCACCATCAGTTTATTCACATTATTCCCAACACTTCGGCTCTGGTAGCCTCCGAACAGTAAGAAAATTTACCTATTCATTCAGAGACATGAACTATCGGTTAGCCTTTGGATGAAATTATTGTCACCCGTTTTTTTTTGGTGGTCAGAAAGGCTTGAGATTAAGGACGCTGCGATCAACAGAGCAAATGCGCATACTCGCACGCTTTCAATTGTGCTTTGATCAGAAAAATTGATCAAAAGCGGGAAATAAAACCGCAATTGCAATGTTGTACACTGCAGTCAGAGGCAGTGATGGGGTTGGTCTGTTGCACTCGTAAGTGATAATCACCAAAACAGATCAGCATTCAAGACGATGAGTTATCAATATTTCAACTCAAACTCCTACTCAAACAGACCAAGCCAAGAAGGTCTAGCACTTCTTTTATTTTCGGGAACACTCCTATCCTTATAGCCACACCCTGCAATATCACCAGCAATGCAAACGCTTGAAATGTTCAATGCGTCATACAACAGTTAACTTGCTAAATTTACTATTCAACTCATCAAAGAGCATCGAAACTAGACTAATTTGATTAATCTGAAAATCAAATGACCTCTCAGTGACTGCTTTGACTAAAGGTTGATCCCTCAGGTGGATCAAATGGTCTGTATTAAAACAATTTTCAATGCTAGCTCCAAATTTTATTCAGAGCTTCCGGCATAAGCTATCATGTATCACAATAGTCATCGTATAATATATCTAAACAAATTCATATTATTGTTTGATTCCTCGGATCTTTCTCCATAGACCTTTTCTGCTCATCTATCATTTAATTTACTGACACATATATCACTTATTACAATAATGGCATGATCTCTGAACATTTACGCAATCTAGCCCCTTAGGATGGCTTAAGATTCGCTCTTAGGCCGTCACAACAGTAATTTATGACCTAATGGAGATACTCAAGCAGCTAGTCTTAGTTTAATATGATTCTCATGAAAATTCGTCTTAAGAAGAGAAGCAATGCACTTGAAGTACAATTCTCAAAATTCTGAAAATGATTGCCCGTCATCGCTTCAAGTGGTCAACTGGTGAATTGGTATTGGTATAACAGATGATACTTTTGTACCTCAACTTGAAGTCATAACACATGGCCGGAGGCTGAAAGAGAGTCAAGACCTGCAAAGTTGAGAGCGGTTTTTCGGTGTATAGCTGACTTCAAGAAATCTCTAGAGCCCGGCACATCAGATCCGCTCAAGGTTCCTTCCACTCCTCAAGAAGCACCCCAGAAAAATCGCTTACGTTCCAAAGCAAATGTCCAAACCCTTCACACTCAAAACCTCCCACCAAGGCAAGGATGTGCGCCAGCATTCCAACATCACATCCTTAGCCTGGAATGCGCATTCAACCCCGCGATCAATAAAAGCATCCAAGCTGTCAAGAAACAGTTGCCTTTTGTCGATTTGTGTTCCTGTGACCAATTCACATCCGCAGCTGAAGAGTACAAATAGCAAGCATGGAGGCATCGGAGCGTCTCGCCTAATATCATTTTCCATAACTGTTACAACTTTTAGCAGCAAATCTTTTACCAAATGGCTGTCACTTGTCAAGTTCAAAACCCGTCTTCGCAACTGAAGCTGCCCAGTAAGACAGTATAAGATGTTCGTTCCTTTAACTACGTCTGGGTATGTGTAGTGGTAAGATTCCATTGAAGCGCTAAAATCCTCTGCACCTTTTAAAAATTCTAAAAAGGACTTCCCCTCGAGGTAACTTGTCATCTTGTAGTCCAGTTCTGTGGCATCTCGGGAAACCTTAAAGGCAGCAGGGACATTGTTGCAGGTCTCTTTTCGGATGATCATATTCGTAACCTGGGTCAAAAAGGACAACACTGTGACTTCCATACCGTTTGAATAGAAAAGGTCTATCCTCGAGGATTGAGTTAACCCATCCTCTTTGCTGTGCTCTTCCAGTTTGAAATCGATTAGCAATGATTGGCGGGCGGTTGTCGGCCTAAAACGAGCCGATGAAAGACAGCCCATGGTCTTGATATACGTAAACCAGCGCCTTAAAAAGAAATAGGGGCCATATTCGCTTGAGTATTGAAGTAGCTTTGTACCATTTTGGTGGCGGCTTTCCAGTTCCCTCAATATGATTCCCTCAGCCCCATAAATGTGATCATCCCAATTCCCCTGGCCACTCCCGAAAAAGATGCAGAAGCTCGCAAGGACTAGCACACTGGCCAAAATAGAGTCGCCGATTTCGGTCAAAGGGGCCCGTAGCTTCCTGATGAGTTCCGACATACCTTCTTCTAGTAGTTTTTGAGCCAAATCATCCCATGGGGACCTGTCAGGGATAACTTGACCCTGACGTCTATTCTTTATTGTTACTAGTCGCTCTCTGTGTCTGCCACCAAATGCCATTAGTATTTTCATCAAAACAGGGTCTGACATAGCCATTTGCGGGATAATTGTACGAAATGGATTGCAGATACGATTCACTGCAACAAAATAGGCGGAGGTTTCGTGCAAGAAAAATTCGAAGAAATCAGAGTGATCCAGCGATCGATTTAGTACCTCCCTGACATGTACGGAAATGGGAAAAATGCTTCTAGGAGGGTTGGGCCCAGGTTGACATTGCGCATAATCAATTTGAGCAGTAGAGCTTCCGTGGGAATGCTTGACGTTACGTCTAGTCTGCTGAGGCAAGCCCTCAATAAAAATTAAAGGCTTATTGTTTCTCTGACGTATATTTTTCGTTGTAAGTCGCTTTCCACTCGCGACAAGCACCCCATCTCTCAATTCTGTGTTTGCAGGAATCTTGACCCTCTTGCTTTTATCCTTATATGGGCGGCCACCCCAGGTTAGAGTAATTTCGTATGCACACTTAAGCTTCTTCGCGCCACAATGCTGGCACCCGAATACATTTCTGTCACATCGGAAGCCTGCCCCTTTGCAAGCTTGACAGGGTATTTTGGATTTTGGTGTCATGGCATTAAGAAGATCCAGCTACCAGAAACTATGTTTGTTTAGACTCAGTACGTTCTACAAGTACTTGCTACCTTACTTTGACCGAATTGCATCCTAACAGGTGTTCTTGTTCACTTTGATGATACTACCAATTGAGAGCGTTGTGCCTTATCTAGATTAAATGATCAATCAACTCGTGGTTTATGACGTCAAATGGAGGCCCAGGAACATTTGGCGTGAATGTCAAGCTCAAACTCGTCCTTCAACTACCGCCTCGGTCGCATGTTACCGTTTGAAACTTCCAGGTAATAGTTATTATATATAAAAGGTTCTCAAGATTAGGCAAAAGTTTGCTTGCTTGGCAACTAAATTAATTAGTAGTATCGATATGCATATTAGCAGATTGATATCTGTAATGGAACGACGTATGCCATTTGCCCTACTTCCGAGAGTACATGCGAGTCTCATCAAGCAATAGCTGAATTTTAGAGCTTGCATCTATTGTTACGCAAATCATACCTTCCGTTAGCTTTGTAATGTATTTGATATGCGAGTTAACATGATCGCAGGAGGCTATCGTTAGAGGTATCCCTCCTTCCTTAGCTCAGCTTGAGTAACTTGGCATCACATCAAGTTGAAAAAAGCCTTTAGTGTAATCCGTGGTTCAATAGTTGCGTAGCTGTTCGGCCACTTTACTCTTGCCACGATATACATTGTTGACCACCCAATGATGTCGTCAAAATATCTATAAGGACATTGTGGGAAGATCTCCAATGCACGAAGAGCTTTGATGTGAGAGACTTTGTTATCCCTGGAGTAATGGACTATCCTTGTCACTTGTAAATTTATATTAGAGATGAATCAAAGGAGATATTAGCCATACGAGGGAATTTGATCGACTGTATGTTAGTAACTGTGCCAGTACCTTGAACTGGCGGTGGGAACTAAGAAATTCATGGAAAAATGGTTGGCGGGTTCATCGAAACAAGTCCGCCTCCACATATGGCCCGGCACAAAGCGCTAGATGAGCGTACACCTGTGAGGGAATTATTGTTTATCAGCATATCATCTGCCATGCTACACTTTCCTAGGTAGTTTGTAAAATTTAAATAGGCCTGTTGCCCATTCGCGAGGCGAAACTTTCAAATGGAGTTCACCATCGTCGAATCCAGTTTGTGCCACAATGGCTACTTCATCTCGAGCAACCAGCAGACCTCTAAGAAGCCATAGTGCGAGTACCGAGCCAAAATACATCACCCCAGTGAAAATAGCGGTCCTCACGTAATCGTTACCAGAAGTGGCATTAGAAGTTCGCAACTCTAAGCCAATTACAGGAGCCACGATGCCACAGGCGCTGAGATAAATCCACACCATGCCTAGACTTACGCTCATCTTCGGCAAACCTACCACCCGGGTCACAATTGGGGCCATTAAAGACCAAATTGTTCCCATGAATAGGCCAACAATGAGTGAAAAAATGAGGGCAGTTGCAAAGTTACGGCAGGGAATCCACATGGCTAAACTGAAGATGGCCACAATCGAATGAGCTGCAATACTCACAGTGACCGGCCCGAAAATATCCGCAAAGTAACCCATAAATGGCCTGCCAAACAAAGCACCAACACTGATCATACAAGATACGATAGAACCTTCATGTTGCGAGTAGCCGAGGGAAACGGTAAACGCAGACATCGAATAGAGTAATACCACGTATCCCAGTGTCGTGCACGAAACATACATGACAATGAGCCAGTAGCCACAACTGGTCAACACCTGCTTGTCGAATAATCGGTACGAGGGCTTTGTGCCCGACTGTTCGCGAATTTCGCGGATTCTCGTTCGAGTGAGTGCTAAGGAAAAGACGTTGAGCGCAGTACAGATAATGCACTGGGTAATTAGAGCCCATTTGACCGATTTCTCGTCCATCACCTTCTCCATGCCCAAATTGAAGATAATGCCTCCGAGACCGGAACCGGCAGCACCGATGCCCATTGCGATGTTACGCTTGCGACGAAACCATTGTGGAACCAGTGTCATACTTGGAATGCAAATGAACGCCAGGCCAAATGAGATCATCACACCTTGCGTCAGATATAGTTCCCACAGTTTAGTCGAGAAAGCTGCCAGCAACAGCGAAGCACATTGCAACAACAGTCCGATGAAGATGACAAACTGCGCGCTTGTTAGATTCACCAGCCAGGTGATGAACGGTCCGAAAAACAGACCTGTGCCAAACGCAAGCCCTCCAATCGCTGCGTAGTCGAGTTTTCCGCCGCCAGAAAATCTGTTCGTCTCGAGATATCTCGCCAAGTACACGGCATAACCGGCATTGGCACCCCATTGTGAAAAGTTGTAGAAAAAGTATGCTACTACCACGAACCAACCGTATCCTCCGTCCGGCACCGATATGTGGTTGTTGCCGTTCTCGCTACTCTCCTGTGTTAATGGATTTTTCTCCTCTGAACTATTATGTCCTTCTGAATTCATTGCCGAAGTCGTAGAAGCAGCATGCGATGCCATCGAGTTTTGTCTACTTGAGTGGTCTAAGTTGGGCCAGCTGAAAAGCTACTTTCTTAAGGCCCAATTTAATTACAAATCATCACTGCGAACCTGTTCAATCAGTCAGCATTGGTTTTTTATTGTATCGGCAATATACGAATATGGGCTACACCCATCCTGCCACAACTGCCCCATATGTTACGAACCCGCGCTGATCATGCCTCGGCAAGCGATTTGTCACCACCGTCTTTTATTTGACTAGCATTGTAGATAACGACGTAAATAACGTTTAGGCTTGAATTTCAATTCCACCGGAAAAGTGTACCACAGACAAGAAAGAGCAGAGCCCAGAGGAGACTAAGAGAAGGGCCACCAAGCTTAAGCGTTATTTACTATGTAATTAGCTCATAATTTGGGATCTGGATAGTTCGGTCAGTTGAAATCTGCACACAAGTTCGTTTCTAACGTAGCGTAGTATTCCTAATATTATTTAAATTGCAATATAGTTAATAATCCCAGAGGTATCGCGACTACGGACCCTGGTGAAGTTGCTCGTGCAGTTACTAGCTATATGGGCGAAAATATTGTAAACTTCATCGTCGTTGTAATACTTACCAACCAGCTTTGGTTTTCAAGTATGTGACAGTCATCAAAGAACCCAATGTTTAGCATGACCTCTAAAATATATAACGCAACCGAAATGGGAGAAGCGTAGTGCTCAAAAGTATGTAATTCATCGATAGCCAGGAATGTATCGCAGTCCACCGTTGGATTTTGAGCACTAAGTTTGGCTACCACTTACATCTCAAAACTACCTTAAGAATTGAAGAAATATTTGGACAGGACTACGCAATGGAGATCACCATTGTTTACGCGAGATAAGAGGACAAGAATTGTCTGATTCGTCAAGTACATGCCGCCTGCGAATGCCACTTTGGCACACTATGCTTAAACGTAGAGCTTGAAGGTTCTGAGACAGTCAATTAGGTGCGGGGCGTGGTGGCCCATGTTGAGCTAATTTCTTTCTTCCAAACGGACCTGTCCAGTGTATAACTTTTTATCTGCACAAGATTTCACTACTCACAAACCTCTCCAATAGAGACAATATATTATGAAGTATCCCACTGATCCAGGGACACCACACTGGTTAGAGCTACAAGTCCTATGCAAAGAACCGGTGTGCTTTCATCGAGACTCTGACTTTTTACTAAGAATTTGTTCAACGAACCAGCATCGAACAAAACGATATTCATCACAGGGCTCACGCGAGTGGTGCATGTCTCTGAGCGTCTCATTCCCTCTGTGCCGACCGAACCTTTCCAATTTTGTCGTCCCGCCTGGGCCTACAGCGTTCGTGGTGTGATTTAAGTCTTAAACGATTGGTTACTAGTTCCCTCAACTGCGCAATTGCCATGATCAGATATTCATACGTTTCTCTTCCAGTAGAATCAGTAGTCTAACGTCTAAAAAGTATTTAACATCATCATTTTAGGCATCCTCAATACAAGATAAGTGGTCAAAAGCCACCCAAAATTGGCCGATCGGGAGTCTCCTAACACCCGGAACTGAATCGTCTCAACACCCTGACTTTACATAACCACGGTCAAAGATATGAACCCTGATAACAGAGCCACATTTATCTTGGTGCTTCTCATTGTTGACTGTTCGGCTATCTCTATCTTTCATTAATTTATATTCACTTAACCTTCAAATTACCCGCATACACACAAGCTTGGCAGCTAGGGCTCCCAAAGCGTGGAACCAATTGCTAGATCAATTGAACCATGTCGTCCAATACCAATTCCCTTACAACATTGTAGCGCATTACGTAGATCCCCCCGAGTGCGAGCTCTGCTTCCTCATGAAGTTCTTGGATAGAAACTGGATAGAATTGCTGGCCCAATTCGTTTACTTGTAGCCTGGGATCTACGCCCTGCTTCGTATCGGGCCCGTTGACGTAGACAAAAACAAAGCGGTCCCACTCTGGTTCGTCCACCATCTTCACAGACCCGTCGTTATCGTCCACGGCCTGCGCTTCCGGTGGCATATGGCGCAAAATGGAGTTGTTGAGTAGTTTGAGCAACATCGCGGAGTGTCGTTCATGATATTCGAGCTCCTGACGCGATAGCAGCTCACTGATGGGCACCACCCCATGCTCGCTGTCAAATTGCCTCAGATATAGACTGTATTTGTCGATCTTGGCCAACCTGCATCGCAGCAAGCTCCTCACCACGAATTTCAGTCGTTCTAAATCGGCCTCCATGCATAGCAACGGGAGTTTATTAAGCAGCGCAGTGCTTCCCACCGATTCCGATGTGTTTTCGGCGCTACCCGATTGTTCTTCCAGATAGCCCATCGAGACGCATTCGATATGTTCAAGTTGGTCTTGAATTCTGCGTAGCGTTCGCTCCATCAACAAATGCGGATAGGGCAAGAGCTCAGGACTCATACGTTCGTTTCTCCAAAACCTCATAAGCGTCTGGAAGTCACTAACCGGTGAAATTGCGGCGGGTACGACTCGCTGTTTATTCAGTGGGATGCCATCGCTCCCCAATACTGTCGTGTCGTTATGTCCTTGTGTGATCAGCGAAGAATCCACAGCTGTCGTGTCTCTATCTAAATCGGCCAGTATATCGTCTATATCAATGTTCATGACGGATTAAGTGAGTGGATGATGCTTTCTTGTCACTGTCAAGGTGATAACTAGAGATATACATATGGTTATTACAAGATTAATCAAATTCCAGAACAAGTAACAACTTGATCGTGCAGAGGAAAGGATGGCTATTGGTACCCTCGAAGAGAAGCGAAAAAAGCTTCAAGAGCTGCGAGAACGTCGTAGAGCCGGCCATGATCCTCTGTCGAACAAGGCACCGGACGATTTGGTTCAACATTTACTGAGGTCGAGCTCTGAGCGAGCACTGATTGAACATCCTGAGATGGTGAGCATTGGGACTCAAACGGAGGGTTCACAAGACTTAGAACTAAATCCAAATTATATACCGGAAGCTTTACCGTCGATATTAACTTACGAGCGGGCAATTCAAACAGATCCCTTGGATCTGCAAAGTTCGGACGTGGAATCGGATTCTGAAACAAGTGTCACGAACTTCGCCGATATCAGCGATGCAATGCAGAGCGAAATAGCGGAAGATTCGACAATGGATACACCTGTAAGATCAGTGGTGCCGCTGGTGATAGAAGACCAAGCCTTGAGCGTTGGGGTCAAATCATTTTCATTGCTGGAAGCCCTAGATAAGACGAAGGCATCCCTGACAGAAAGAGAACTCAAGGACACTCAATACTTTCGCCTATCACATATTTTAGGATCCCATCTGTTGGACGATAAGATAACTTCCACATGCGTATCACTTGATTATTATTCTGAGCTGGTTCTCGTGATCCTACAGGAAACGTCTGCTCTTCAATCACAGACGATATTTAACAGTAAAGTGATTGTTTATAGGCTCAAAACTGCGGAGCTTGTTGACACCGTGGAGTTTCGGGGCCAAACTTTGCTACGTGGCCAATTCATACGACGTAAGCACTCCAAAGTCACGTCCGCCATCCTCACTTCCTACAATGGGAAAACCATCTTGTATGAATTGCGAGCCGTGCCTGACACGAATGGTGTGTTAAAGATTGAGCGTAACATTTTGACCCGCAATTTTCACCACTACCCAGTTTTCGCGGTATGGCAGCACCAACAACTTGCGGACCCACGCGTGCTAGTGGGAAGTACCGATGGGAGCATCAGCGATATTGACATCTTGCGCATGGAGCTTAACCATGATCAGAGTACAGATTGCCGTGCTCCGCCTCATTTCAAGGTCTTACCTGTATCAACGTCCTCCATTTTACTGTCAGAAGAGCAGGAAGAGCATTTCAGCACAGAATCGGAAAAGCTGCTTCAGAACCAACTGGAAAAACAGGCTGCCTACGACGAAGTTGCCATTACCTCGATTATAACTATGCCCGAGGACCCCACATTAGTTTACATTGGATGTGAAGATGGTGGGATTTACAAAGTCAACCTGGACAAAATTTCCACGGGCGCAGATAGTGTGGTGATTGACAAGAGAAACAATGGCTTTGTGCCTAAAAATGTGAAATCTCTCGATGGTCTACCGCTTTTTCACTCTTTGCCTGTCACTGGTCTCTACTCGTGCGAGTTTGCTCCAAATCTAATGGTCTCCGCTGCCATGGATTGGGAGTGTAAGATATGGGACGTTTTCCACAATGAGTTGCTGGCAACCATTGAATTAGAATACCCGGCCCTACATTGTGTATGGCTAAGCGGTACAGATGCGTATGCTCTGGTTGTTCTGACTCCTCTCGCATTGACGATTTACAACCCCATGCTCACACCCAACTACTGTGAGCGAGAAACTGTTTTTTGGACTCACGACAGAAAGCCTGTGGAGATGTTCAGCGTCAGCGTCGATCGCTGTGAACAGTTAACATCATTCTCTAGCGTTACGATATTTCAGGAGCAAGCGAAGTATTTCGCAGTATTGGGCGGTGACTCACATCTACAGGTTAGCGTAGAACTTCAATTAGACATTTAGCATAAAAGATAGAGAATAAAATAAAAGACAAGAAACAGGCTCGACACAAGCGACAAGGCCAGTCAATCGTGGGTGGACCTTTGGTACGTACTGACTTCAGAATCCTCCGAACAAACGGCAAAAAAATAAACTCCTTCCCCGCCAGGACTCGAACCTGGAATCTCCTGGTTTCAGAAGTGGATACAATCGTAGCCAGACGCCGTGACCATTGGGCCACGAGGAATAAGAAGCTTGTTGAAAAAGCTAAGTTTGCATAGCCTATAGAGGAGGTATATTAGCACGCTTTAGAGCCTTAAGAATGCCAGGTTTACGGAGAACTTGAACGCTCTTTGGAGTTTTTGACAGACGGATGGTGTGTTCCCCTTTGACCGACTGGCCTGCTCATTCTATGCAGATTTCACTCAAGTGACTAACTTTTAGTAATGATGGATGAATTTACTAATGTATGTGTATATCTCAATTTCTGGTCTGATTAGGCATGAAAAAAGTTGGAACTAAACTAAACGACTGACTCATCCTGTTCTCGGATACTTTAACTGTATAAGATTGTAGGTATTTCCTATAAACTTGAGACACCTATTCAGCTTGAACTTTGAAGTTTCAGTTTCACGCCGATATACCATATACCACACACCATGTCGGACCACTTCACACCAATTGACAAGGCTTTGGAAGCCTTCAAGCAGAACAAATTTTTGATGGTTCTGGACGACGAAGACCGCGAAAATGAGGCGGATCTCATCTGCGCTGCTCAGGACATCACACAGGAGCAAATGGCCTTCTTAGTACGTTACTCTTCCGGGTATGTTTGCGCTCCGGTAAGCAATAGCGTGGCAGACCGCATCGACCTGCCCTTGATGCGGGATATGGACGTAAAATCATCTCAGGACGATCGCCATGGAACTGCATACACGATCACTTGCGATTACGCGGAGGGCACGACAACAGGAATTTCCGCCCACGACAGAGCTTTGACGTGCAGAAAGTTAGCGGATGTCGGCACCAAGCCCTCAGACTTTCTCAAACCGGGCCACATTGTACCTCTTCGAGCTGTGGATGGCGGTGTACTACAACGAGATGGGCATACTGAGGCTGCCGTCGATCTGTGCAAGCTAACGGGCAAGGTGCCTGTGGGGGTGATTTGTGAATTAGTGAGAGACGAAGATGGACTCATGATGCGCTTAGATGACTGTATCAAGATGAAAGAAAAATTTGGTATTGATATCATCACGATCAAGGAGTTGAAAGCTTACCTGCTGCATAGACGTTAATCCATTGACTTTAAAAAACGGAGTTTCAGTGCATTCTATAAAGTTTAGCATTATAGCCCTATATCCCATTGTTATTGGAACTGTACATATATAAGTATACGTAAAAAATCTATCGTAAGGCTTTGAAAGAGATTTACTTCTTCTCCCTGGGTTTGACGGGGACCAATCTCTCTTTTTGGCCCCAGACCAATTTATGAGGCAGCATGAACTTATCGATAACTTCTTCAGTTACCTTGGCTCTGCGTTCTTGGAACTCACGAACAAAATGCTGCAGTTCTTCAATGCACAATTGCTTCATTTCACCAGAAAGAAGTTCGCCAGATCTGTACTTTTCTTGAACGCTTTTCAACATTTCGTCATCGTCTTTGAAGAAACTCAAGTACTGGAAAGCTACATCAACATCTGGATTACCACCTAGCCTTCTATGGTCCTCCATGGAAACTTGCCCTCCGGAAAAAGCGTACTTGTTAATTTTCTTTTGAATCTGCTTGGGAGTGTCAGTCATGAAGATTGCAGTGGTGTCATCTGAAGCACTCATTTTGGTTGTGGAACCTTGCAAAGCAGGGAAAAACTTGGCATGCAATAGAGCAGGCTTACTGAATTTAAGCTTTTCTGCGACATCTCTGCAAACTCTGAAATATGGATCCTGGTCGATGGCACATGGAATTAGACATGGAGTTTTGTCTGGAAGACCCAACACCTCAGGGTATGAAGAAGGAAAAGCAGAAGCAATTTGAATCGAGGCGAAGTGGAATTTACCAATACAGTCGGAGTCGTTGAATCCAAAAACGGCTTTTGCTGTGGAGCCTGTGATCTGTCTGGAGGTTCTGACCACAGTTTCGTAAAACCCACCGCCCATATACTGTAGGTCCGAGAAAATAAAAGTGTTTTCTGGGTTGAAACCCACAGAAATGATATCACTGGCGTTCTGGCGGGCAAAACCTTTGACGTCCTTGATGGTGAGTTTCTGCTTGAACAGAAACTTTTCGTCATCGGTCAATTCAATGACTAGCGGCACGTCAAAAACATCTTGAAGCCACTTGGTAAAGAGGAAGGGTACCATGTGGCCCAAATGCATCGAGTCCGACGACGGTCCTCTTCCTGTGTACAAAAAGAAGGGTTTTCCTTGTTCGTACAGATCCAGGATTCTACTGAAATCCCGTTCACTGAAAAAAAGACCTTTACGCAAAAAATGGTGGGGTTTTTGGCCAGTAACTTGTTCAAATCTTTGCAAAGTCTCGTCAGTAATGGCCTTAGTCCCAAACTGCTTAATGAGTTTATCATAATCGATGTCCTGGGCATTACCTTCCTCGTCCACTGCACCCTCAACGTCCCAAGGAGTTATATTCTGTTCCTTCATGGCTAGTCTCTCCAGTTTTTCAGCGGCCTCAGTAGCTGACATTTCGAGGGCCTAAGAGTGATCGAGTGGGCTATTGGTGGGATTGCAAGTTAGATATTAAATTGGTGATAAAGACGTTATTACTGGTGAAGACGAGTTGTTGATCAATATCCTATTCGTTACTTGTGATATATCTTAAAGAGAATGATTGAAGGTTTAGAAGACCTATTGACAAACCTGCTCAAGTTCCAAGAAGACTAGATCCCTTTTCGGGTGCGAATACTGATACGATTAGAATCATTGTATGGAGATCAATGGTTTTTGTTGTTGGCTTTAAGTTAGGGGTACTCATTGGTTCCGGTGACCTGTGACTGTTCGTAATTCTCGCGACAACAACTAAACAGATGAACCTTGTTTGCCACGGCTGCTAGGGACGTTTTCCTCCGTAAATCTTACTAGGATAGCGCCAAGTAACGGTTGCCCAATTTTGAGAGGCTTCGACAGTTTAGTTGAAAACGACATCGATGTGTGCTGATGTGAGACAGGCGTATTGGATGAACAACCTCATCACTGTGACTTGAACGCTAATATGATTGGCTACCCGTGAATACCTTTCTGTTAATCCTTGAAGGGGCAATGATTGTAGGCTTTCATGTGTGCTCTGCGGTATTAAAGCCATGCGTTCGTCGTGCCAGCCTTTTCCTAGAGAGATAAGGTGTTTCAGCCACGACCGCTAGCCACGGTTTTCAATAGCAAGCAACCGTTCAGTCTGTTTGCAAACCGGCTGTTGTGGAGTTGGTCTTTGATGCCGATCCATGCATTAATATAGCGTGCGATAAATTATAGAGCGACATCTGTTCGAGCCAATAGTAACTGACAAATCTACTTCTGGATGTCACTAGGCTCTTATCAGTGTGTGATTTTCAAGCACTTTGTTACAGCTTGAGATTATCTCAAAATTGGCAATTGTCGTTGCTGTCATCAAACAATTGGACCATCACTCAAGTCCAGCCTTTAATTTACAAAAGGCTAGCGCCCAGCTATAATGTTCTAGCTGATTTCATCCGAAATTAACCAAATACATACATAATGGCCAAGATGGTGCTCTTACTGTGGCTATATTGGCGACTTATAGTTTGTAGGGTAGTATATTACAATCAATTTCAAAATCTCAATTACTCAAATGAAGTCACTCTCAGGCCCGTAACAAGACTCTTGAGAGCCATGAATCGCATTTTCGGATATGGCGGGCGTAAAAACCACGACCAACTTCTTCAGGACTCGAATAAAGCTATGAGTGAGGCTCAGCAATCAATGCAAGAACGAATCTCAGGGTTAGACACTCAAATAACGCAGTTGAATGCCCAACTTCAAACAATACAACGAAAGATATCGGGTACCAAGTCTGCTGCAGGGCAGAAACCTCTACGACAACGAGCTCTGAAGCTGCTAAATAAGCGCAAACAGTTGGAATCTATGAGAGATTCGCTGGACTCTCAGTCGTGGTCCATGAACCAGGCCCAAATGACAAGCGACAACCTAAGGAATACCATGGTCACAGTGAATGCGCTGAAACAAACGAACAAGGCTCTCAAAGCTCAATACGGGAAAATCAATGTTGATAAGCTCCAGGACATGCAGGATGAGATGCTGGATCTGGTCGAACAAGGTGAAGAGCTACAACAAGTTTTGGCGATGGGCAGCGGTGCCCAAGACATAGACGATATCAGTGAGACCGAACTTGATGCAGAGCTAGAGGCTTTGAGGGACGATCCAATGATGCAGGGTGGTCTGGCAGACTTTGAGGGAGAAGCGTCAGGTGAAATTCCTTCCTATCTCAGCGGCACCATCCCATCATTCGTGGATGAAGAGCCAGCCCCAGAGCTCCCAGGCAAACTAGAGACTGCCACGTAGAACGTGGGCGAACCATACAGAACAAAGCGGGCTTCTGTGAAAGAGTTTCTGATGTCATATATGCGACGGCCTTATCTACTATATACTATATCTTTTTGATTGCCATGAAATAGTTTCCGATGTTATGATGCTCATGTGCTACCCAACCAGTCAGTGGCAGATACATCGCCCCCTTAGTGTCCAAAATGTGATGCTGACCACGACACTCAACCTCGAACCATTGTTTTATATCTTCGGAATTGATGTATTTTGAAACGTTATGTGTTCCTCGAGGTACCAGCTTTAGCACTTGCTCAGCCATGAAGATGGTCGTGAACCAAGAAATGGGATCCCTATTTATGGTGCTGAGGATCAAGATACCACCTTTGCCAAGTTTGCCCCACGCATGTCTTAGGATTTCGCTGGGTTGGTCTACATGCTCCAGCATCTCCATACAAGTCACCAAATTATACGTACCAACCACTTCCTCGAGTGGCAGGACCTCGTAGTTGAGTTTACCGCTTAGTGCGGGATCTTTTTGCGCATGACTCTTAGCGATTTCGATGCACTCAGCGGTCAAATCTATACCGTCGACTTTGGAAACAAACGGCAGTCTGGCCAGTGATTCAGCCAAAATACCTCCTCCACATCCGATATCCAGAACCTTAAGATTTTGCTGGAATAGCTGCGCCCTTATATCTTGTCTCAGTTCCTGCTCAACCAGGCCCGAAATCTGTGGAGGTAAAAACGCTTTAAAATTGAATCCCGGCACGTAAGTCTCGGAGCTGGCCCTAAGCTGCTCACTGAGAATCTTTTGTATGAAGTCCATACGGGCCAAATTCATTTTATGCAATATTCTCTGAGGTCCCCAGACATCCCACCATGATGGTGCAAGATCCTTAAAGTGAGATATCTCGTCCGGTGACGCTGAAGTTGAGAGTCTCACATCTGAGTTATCAAATTGCAGATTGCGAGTAGGTTTGAGAAGATCTGGATTGAATTTGGTGTAATTTCTTCTAGCAAGCCTCCACATAGCCTGAGACATGCCACCCGTTTAACCAAGGCTTAATTTTACGCTTCCTTGGAGCTAATAGATATAAAATAGTCGGAGCAAACACTCAAACACAAGTAGCCTCGATTACAAAGAGTAGAGACTTCAATGGCCCTGAAAATTGCGGTCTTTACTCTATTGTCTATGTTCTCATTATGAACAAATCTTCAAGATATATTAATGTTTCTTGTATCAGGAATAACCAACTATACCTGAGAGCATATAATCAACATTGACCGAAGAATACACAAAGTCAAACCATGTCAGATTCGGAAGAGTTTCTGACTGCCAGCAGACAACGCCGGTCAAATGCTGGTAGCAAAATGCAGAAATTGATAGATCAGGAGCGTCAAGAGTTGCAAGAAAGGACGGCTAACTTGGATGACGATGAGATTAACCTTTTATTCCAGGAAGAAGAGGGTGACGAGGAGTTCAAAGCTGACACTAAACGCCGCAAAGACGAAGATGATGTATTTTCTGAATCTGACGAAGAAAGCGACGGTGAAGAGGATGACGAAGCGGGAGAACGAGAGTTGGAACAACAAGAACGAAAGAGACGCAAACAACAGAAGAAACACACAATTCCTGTGGTTAAAAAGAGGGCAACCTCAACAGATATGGTATCCAAACCGCTATATGAGCAGCCAAAAGCCGAAAGTTTGCTTCTTGACAACCGGAGGACGTCTAAACGGTCTTCGGTAGTTGCAAACAAACTACAGATCTACGAAAAGTTGTCCCTTGCAGAGAAGAAGAGAGAGAAGATACAGAATCGTTTACGGCAAACAAAGGCAAAAATGGCCTTCGTGGAACTTACCCAAGAAGACCGGCTGCGACAAGCGGAGGAAACCGAACTAATAAATACACAGAGTTTAACAAGATTCAGAGAGGAGGAAATCTACAAGAAGGAAACGAGGGCTGCTATGAACTTACGAAGAAAGGTCAAGTTTGCCGCTGGGGAAATAATGCTGCGGGTCAATACTACCGGATGGAAAGTGACACCTGCCATGGAAGTGGCGGATCGAGAATATTGGGAGCTACAGTTGAGCAAACGGCACAAGAAGAAAAAGAAGTATACGAGAAGAAAAAAGAATAAGGATAACGCAAAAGGTGAGGAAAATAGTGGAATCGCTACTCCTGGCGTAGAGATCATCAAGCCTGAATCTACGGGCCCAAGCGCAAATCCTATCCAAGACGACAAACCAGTTGATACACAAAGCGACGTATCAATAAAAAAACCAACTGTAGAAGACCGCAGAGCTGCCTCTACAGGGCCGGATGTGCCGGGTATTCCAGATGTTCAATCACCAAAGAGAAGCGCACAAGACAGTATGGATGATCACAACGCGGAAAATTCTAGTACAGGTATAATCGAAGAGAGTCGTGAATTAGGAACAGAAAAACCTTTTAAGGAATCCAACCATGGAATTAAACACTCCGTTTTGCAGGTTTATCCAAAAAAGGATCAGACAGGCTATGAGGAGGCCACTGACAAAGACGATAATGTGACTTCTGGAGTTACAGAGGAGAATATTTCTGCGGAAAATCCGGAACTTTCTAAGCCCGAGCTCAATCCCAAACAAGTCTCTTTTGCCGCAGAAAACGAAGTCAGCACTTTTGATCATTCTTTACCACCGAATACGCCTCTCTCCAAAGAGCCATCAGCCGAGCCTGAATATTCTAGGCAAGACTCCGAGGATTTGATGGATGAAGTTGATGGGGAGACAGATGCCTCTGAGATATATGAGGGTCCCGAACAGCTTGTGGGCCGAAATTTTGTGACCGTTTACACTTTTCCCGAGGAAAATCCAAAGGTTCATGATATTAGACCCTACATTTTCGGCGAGCAATGGGCGCAGCCCCTTAATTCGCGTTCTGAGGATGTCGAAACTATTGCCAAGATTACTAATAAACAGGTCGGAGATGAGTGGCTCGACCTCAGTGCTTCCTTGATACCTGATACATCCATATTCGAAACGTTTCCGGGATTTGGCGAATATGACAAAAAGGTTTCAACTGAAGTCGCAGAAGAGACTGACACAAAGCTCAAGCTAGAGCTTAAGACACCTGCCCCTACAGGGGTTATACTACCAAATGGTGTTCGAAAGAAGTGCCTGATCACCAACCGTGAATGCCAGTACTTCGATCCGAAGAATGGAGTTCCTTACGCTGATGTTGACGCTTACAAAACTGTCCAGGAATTGCAGGATCCGATTGGGGAAGGTGGGTCTGAAGAAGACCCTCGCCCTCGATTTAAGTGGTTCGGTTTCGCTCGTGGTGGAATATTTTTGGACATGAAGAGACTTCCGGCAAAGGGAGTCCCTGTGGGATTTTAAAAACATGGGCCCGTTTAGTCATTTGGTAGTTTATCTGGATATATATTTCAATGCATATGTGACTTTTAGCGCTGAAGTGCTGAAGGTCCTAATATGAGGACTTATACCGTATTTTGCTAATAGGAATTTGAAATTACTATGGTTTATTGACGTGCTTGGACGGTAAGGTCTCTTGAGATCAGAATTATAGTATTTCCAGGTCCCAGGTTGTAGAAAAGGAGCGCTATCATCGCGACCTGAAGAAGTTAAGCTTTTGATATCACTCAAGTATAGGATATTTCGAGCCCTTGTGATAGCAACGTAAAGAGCGTTCTTCTCTATTGGAAAATTTGAATTAGAACCTCCTAACAAAAAAACGGCTGGGAACTCTAGCCCCTTTGAGGAGTGTATGGTCGAAATACTTACACGACCAAGATCAGATCTCAGCCCTTGTGTCAAAAGATTGAAAGAGGTGCTCTGCTCAAAATGAGTCTCTAAAAACCACTCTGCCAAAGAAATGTTCTCTGGCTTAGTGGCCCTGCATCCTTTCAAAACAACTAACATTTCCGTCAAGTGACGTTTGAAATTCTCTGCAGTTCCTGGGACTTTCTTATTACCTCCAGAAAGCTCTAACATAGATGCAACTTCGGTTAACTTCATAATCAAGGCTAATGGACTAGAGTCGGGATTTGCCTTCAAGTAATCCATAAGCGACTGGAGACCTTTGACATACACCTTGATCTTTTTTTTGTTGCCTGACGATATGGGCCAATCATCTATCTGAGATAAAACCGCCCAAAGAGACAAATCAGCAAATTTCGCTTTGTTGAATAATGTTTGTATAGTCTTATTATTCAAGCCATCCGAGGAGCTCATTGTAACGATGACACTAAAGTCACTTTGATAGTTTCCAGGCTGTGTCTTTGTTATATTCGACGTTTCCTCTTTATTGACCAGTATACAGACCTTGAGAAGATCTACTAGAAACTTTATCCTTGCATCACTCATCCAGTCTGGCTGCGAGGTAAGTTTCTCTAGAGGAATCCCGTAAGACGTTAAGTAGTCGGCAACCGTGTTGAGTTGCGAGTTAGTCCTGGTAAGGATCGCGATGTCAGAAAACTTTACCGAACTCGTCACTAATCGACAGATTTCGCTGATGATGAATTCCATCTCTGCGTTGGTGTCTGTCATCTTCACGCTTTGGGGTTTTAGCCCCATGGGTGGCTTGGAAAAGTAAACGTCATGGGCATTTTCCGAGTTACCGTTTTTGACCACATTAGAAGAAAGCGTGCTGATCTCTGGAGTGCACCGAAAATTGTCATACAGAAAATACGTATCTTGCTTGTGCGAGGACCTTGCATTCTCTAAAGATCGCATTAATGATTTGTTGTCTCCCAGAAAGCCATAGATGCTTTGATGAGGATCACCAAAGAGGATAAGTTGCTTACCTTGAGATATGCTCTCCAAAAAAGGGAGCAAAGCAGGGAATAAATCTTGAAATTCATCCACTAATACTATTTTGTGCTGACGAAGTAGATCCCTAGTGGAGGTACTGAAAGAGCTTTCTGGAGCGTCGCTTCGAGCCATCGCAAGATATCGGGTTGCCAAAATAACCATTTCATCATTTGTAACCACTTTAGATCCTTTCATGATATTCAAGATATGCTCCATGGCAACATCTTGATGTTTTCGCCTACCATGGATTTGATATTCCCTAAATAAACGTTCAAACTGTTTGGGAGTAAGATTATATCCTTTTGGAATATATTTTTTTAGGATCTGAGGAGGAACCAACTTGATGAGACCCCTCCAACCATTCTCTTCAATGATGTTGATGAGACCTTGATTTTCGACCACAACCCGGTTCGCTAGCCCATGAATGGTCATTACATCAATTCGAGACACTAATTCGTGATCAACATTCTGACCCTCTCCCAGTGCTTCGTTCTCACTGAATACTTCATGAAGTTTGTTAACAACATTATCGACCGCCTTGTTCGTAAGAGACAAAACTAAAATTTCTTCGGGTTTTACAATTCCTTGGCTGATCAGGGCTTTTATTTTAAGCATAAGGGTGAGCGTCTTTCCGGACCCTGGTCCCGCAACTACCTTTAAGGTGGTACCAGCAACATAGGAACTATTAATCACCGACAACTGGGCGGGCGTGGGTAAAATCATCAAGCAATAACCCGGTGATAATTCCAATAGTTTAGATTTTGGATTCGGGGCCTAATCACATACTTGGGTTCATTTTTATGAAGCTATCCTAGCGTCTGGGCCATACATGTGAGTCAACACATATTTCGAGTATTGAGTAATTGCACTCGACACGTAAGAGGTGACCAGAAGTATACGCGGGCTTCGTGAGCAGTGGCCATATTTGAATCCAACTAGCCCTGATAGGATCAAGACGACTTCCGAAGCTTTTCCCTGAATTTTCCTGCCTTTATGAAAGCTAGCAGAGTGTCTTTCTGTAGTAGGCCTTTTTAGCACGTCGACATCGTCAAGCGAAAAAAAGGGCTTCACCGAGTATTAGTCCCGAGATCATTTCGTGACTTCGCTTTACCGCGACATTTGTTCTGTCAAAATCCGCCAGGGCTTTTCTATCATCAGGGCATTTTGAAAGGCCAGCTGAGAAAAGATCGATGGGCTATGGCCTGGCGTCGGAAGCATACTCAAGACATGAATACTCTCCGCGCCATATAGCTGCGGACTCAAGTAATTGTACTGAAAGCTTCCACCAGGCCCTGAAGGTGATCCTTGGTCTCTTTAAAAATGAGGGAAGGAAGAGCATTTCCTTCCCTTTCCCGTCTTTCTTGGCTGATCAAATTTTGCTGCAAGGCGTTTAGCAGATATGTGTAGTTTGTGGCCAGGAACCTTTCTGGAGATTTGGTTTTTTTGCTACATTTCGTCATGATAGTTTCGAAATCGTTTCGGATCCTTAAAATTGAATTGTACAACGGCTCTGACCGCTCATCAATATTCTCGTTATGGGTCATTGAGAGCATTAATATACTAGTTAGGAACTTCGCAAACTGTATGGTGAGCTCATGGGTTGTCCCAGAAGAGTCAGATTCTTCTCTCCTCCCAGAAAGTTTCTTGCTTGTGACCGAAATAGGAAAGCTCCTTAGATTATCGCATTGAAAATCGACCAGCTGTTGAAATTTTGGCCACAACAACATTAATTGTCCATTCAAGAAATCGTCAAAAACAGGAACTAATCGTCTTTGAGATTCAAATTGCAAATGGTGTGATATCCAAATGCTAATCAAAACGCCAAACATGTCGTAGGTGGGTGAAATGAGTCGCTTAGTGTAAGCCATTGCTTCGTCGAACGTAGGCTGAAATACTTGCTCCAATATACCTCTTAAATCTTCGATGTTCCCGTTGACCTGGAAGAATTCGGTGATAAAAGCAAATTCAACCGAGCAATTATCAAGGAGAGCCAAATTCAAATTCTTGAAACCCACCTCCAAGAAATTCGGAGAGTTGTTATTTTCAGCAATCTGTGACACCATGACAGTATTATCCTCCTGTGTTAGTAGGGATAGTCGCTTTTCAATCTGAAAGTAGTCGTTAATCATTTGATCCGAGGGAGTAGAGTTTTTATACGCACTTGAGAAATAACCTGTAAACCTTTCCGCCGTTGTTTGGGAAGTTGAGGAAAGTCCTCGGCCCAGCGCATAATTAGAGTCGATAGCTACAAATTGTAGAATAGTAAGGGATCTCATGTAGCGTCCAAAGAATTGCTTATAATACCATCGTATGGTGTAGGCATAAGCTTGCCTGAGCTCAAGGGCTAGAGAAAAGTTCTTCTGCGCCAAAAACTGAAAGATTTCCTTGACTTCAATAAGCTGGCTTTGAATTCTCTGGGAAGGCACCGTTCGTTGATCTCGCAGTAACTTTACTTTCGATACAATGAAACGCTTACTGCGTTCTAGGATCAGTGACTCGAGAACTGACAGCAGATCACTCAACTGGGCAAAATCGGAGGGCACCTCTTGTCCTCCATTCTTGTATTTAGCGTAAATTTCTTGTTTATCTCGGATATATGAGATATTCTCTACCCAAGCTCCATTGATCTTCCCTTCGATGATCTGCGAAACTACTTCGGGCGATATTATCAAATCGTTAACTAGAGGCGATATTTTAGCCAAATCCTCTGAATTTCGCACAAGTCTGTCATTCATCTCGAGTGACTTGCCTCTCACAAGGCTCAAATCTCGGGTCAAAGTTTTGAATTTATCATTCATATCATGAAAATATTGCTGGAGTGGGGGAATTGAGCTCTCAATTGCGTCTCTGGTCGCTTGCGACTTCTTTTCAAGCTGTTGAAGTGCCACAATGGACGAATGATCAGCATGGAATCTGTGGTCTCGTGCATGCTCCAAAAAATCCTCGTATGGATCATTGATCGCACTATCGCCCAATGCTGGGGTTTCCGCCCCAATTACAGCCCTTAAGGCTTCCATCGAATCTCTCTTTTTTTGGTCCTTTAAGGTTATGTTGTTAATATAAATTAAATGTCAACTCTCCTTAATATCATCGAATACAGATAGAACGAACTCACTCGTGGAGGTTTTGAGAACGTTATATATGGCTTCTTATATCTTTACTGCTATGTATTTCTTACTTGAGATATTTTTGAGAGCATGCCAGCCAATTGTAAATAGGTGCCCACACCTTCTAATACTCGCATATGGGTGAACCCAATCTCTCGGATCATTTCAAGTCTTATACCCTCTTTCACCTCTTCGAGATTCTTGGTAACACGAAAGCAGGTCGTAACGATATCAACAGCGGAGTATCCCTTTTTCCAGAGCTCCTGGAACAGGTCTAAGGCTGTGTCAATAGAGTCTGCAAGCAGCATCTTCTTAACAATCAAAGGATGTGGCGAATCGACAATTTTGAAGACATTCTCACCATTTACAAGCCCGTAGCCGGCCACGGTACTTTGCAAGTTATTTAAAGCTTGGCGCATATCACCCTCTGCGGTGAAAATAATGGCTTCAAGCCCGTCGTTGGTGTATTGGACATTTTCCGCTGCGATCACTTCCAGTAAGCGCTTAAGAACCTGATCATCTTGGAGCTTTGAGTAACGTAAGATCGCACAACGACTTTGCAATGGTTCAATAATTTTGTTCGATTGGTTACATGCAAAGGCAAACCGCGTGGTGTTAGAATAGAGTTCCATGGTGCGTCTCAGGGCCTGCTGGGCACCCGCGGTCATCGAATCAGCTTCATCCAAAATCACAATCTTGTGACGACCTGGAGGCAAGCTGCATTTCTTTTGTGCGAACTGCTTGATCTGATTTCTCACCACGTCGATACCTCTGTCGTCCGACGCATTGAGCTCCAAAACGGCCTGCGAATAAGCAGTTCCTAAAAGTTCGTGGGCCAAACAGCTCACGGAAGTGGTTTTACCGATACCGGGTAAACCACTGATGATAAGATGTGGCATGTTTCCGTCTTGGGCTATCTGTTGCAACCGTACGACTGTTTCTTCGTTGCCCACAATGTCTTTCAACATTTGTGGTCTGTATTTCTCGACCCATGGAAGTTCTAGCTTCAATGGTTCACTTGACATCGTTTTGGAGCCTGAACAATCGAATGCCACTATTAGTTTAGGTTAAAGTTGATAGCGTTTCCCGCTCGAGCCCTTCGAAGCTCTTTGAAATACTATGTGGACGTTGATATTTGACGAAGTTTATAGTGATACCTCGAAAATTTTCGAGATGAGCTGCGATAAGTACGATCAGAAGGACAACACGGGCTGAATCGAGGGTATCCTAAGAGCGATGAGCAGCGAGTCAGAGGACGGTACTGTGAATGCAGAGGAAACCAAATTTCCTCTGCGCAAAACACACCCACACCCTCTGCCACCAGTACCGGAGGGCATGTCAAAATCACAGTGGAAGAAAGTATGGAAGAAGAAAAGGTGGGAGGATTCTAAGGAGCAGTACGCTCTAGTGAGACGTGAGAAGCGAAACCGCGCAAAATTGGCTCGAAGGGCTAAAATTCAGGAGTACAAAGACCGTGGTGAGGAGATTCCAGAAGAGCTCCGTCGTCCGCCCCGCAAAAATATGAACCAAACGGATTCAGGCATACAAATAATAATCGATTGTGCATTTGATGATCTTATGAATGATAAGGAAATCACAAGTCTCAGCAATCAAATTACGCGAGCCTACAGCTTCAACAGACGTGAAGATCATTATGCCCGCGTAAGAGTCACCAGCTTCGATAAACGGCTGAAAGAACGATTCGAGAGAGATCTGGAAGACTCCCGTTATAGCGAGTGGAAAAACTTTGAATTCACAAAGGATCCCCAGCTTCCGTTGCAAAATGCCGTGTACCTCACTGCTGACACCGACGAAGTTCTGGAACGTTTAGAGCCAGGAACTACGTATATCGTTGGTGGAATAGTCGACAAGAATAGACATAAACTGCTTTGCTACAACAAAGCGCGTGAGCTGGGAATCCCTACACGGAAGCTGCCGTTAGCTCAATATATTAACTTGACCGGACGAGAAGTGCTGACCTCTACCCATGTAGTTCAGCTCATGCTAAGGTATTTCAAGAACCACGACTGGAAGGAGGCATTTGAGGCTGTGTTGCCCCCGCGAAAGCTCGAGGACTCATCGCGAAGCACTCCGGACGCCGTCGAAACCTTTCAAAATCCCGAGGATGCAGAATCGGCATCCGCAATCGAGGCTGTTTCACCCGCGACCGATGACTAGGGTACTGCTTTAGTGAATTAAGACTTATCAGCGTGTTAAACTGCTGATCGGGTTACGACCCGAGGGGTATAATCATCGTATATCTTTATATTGTTCGTGGTTAGTCATTTCACTAAGACACAACTCCCTGTCTGGACTATCATGCAAATAGCACAAGACCATATTGCATTAATAGAGCTTGGCAGAATAGTAAGCGGGTCTCAGTGGTTGTCCAGTTCACATTTGCTGGCGTTCAACGACTTCCAGTAGTTCCAGCGTCGCAAAGGTACAAAATGATAACTATAGAAGTCAAGTTGAAAGCGGATATGACACCTCTTGCGCGGCACATACGTCTAAACACCTAAGTTCGACAGAACTGGCCACTGTCTTATTACGTTCAGCCACGAATTTGTCAGCGACAATGTCCGCCCATGGACTTGATTTAATTAGATACAACATCAGTCGACTGAGGCAAAGCTTTTATAAGCACAAGTAAGGGCTATGAGGATTGAAGTTATGAAATCAAAACTCTGCCAACGATCATATTCAAGCTCTTTTTTTTTAGTGCCATGGTTTTAGTGTCATCGCATGGAAGTTTTGTTAATTCTCCTGTGATTCTCCGGTTTTCTGCGACGAGTTCAATCTTCTCGAGTCAAATTTTTTTTTTTCAACTTGAATCATCTAGACTGTAGTCATTCACATAGGCAGCGAACTATCGCTAGCAATACATCAAGACATCTGAAAAGCAGCTCTCACTATTCTAGTTTGCAGAACCTCCTCTTTAAACAACAACTGAGTGTACTGAAACCCAATTTACTGGTAGCTTCTCTTTGCCCATCCGTCACCACGTTGAACTATAATCTTAGACCGACTAACTCGGAAACAAAATGGTACCAATTGTATTGAATTCTCAAACGGTTAGTGGTATCACTGGTTCTATTTCTATTGCATGCTGGATTATTGTCTTTGTGCCCCAGATATATGAGAATTTCTATCGCGGCTCAGCCGAGGGCCTTTCACTATTATTTGTCGTACTATGGCTGCTAGGTGACATTTTCAACGTCGCTGGTGCTATTCTCCAAGGTCTTCTTCCTACCATGATCATTTTAGCAGCCTACTACACTGTGGCTGATATAGTTCTCTTGATACAGTGTTTGTTCTACGGCAGCGAGGAGAAGGTGGACCCTGTACACCTCTCACCAGCAAATCCTATAAATGAAAGAGTCCTAGAGGATGTGTTCCAGGAGCACCAGCCTCTGCTTCACAAAGGCAAAAAGCATCACAATCATGCTGCGACTGCGCAAGAAAGCTCAGCAGGGGCTTCTTCGTCTTCTGCAACCGCTCAGTCTACGTTTGATGCATCGATCGATGTTAGCCAGACAAGAAATTATGCCATCAACACGTTGATGATTCTCGGTGTTATTATCGGTGGATTTCTATCCTGGTACATCTCGTACTTGAAGGATCCAAATCCTATCAACAAAGAGCCTGACTTGCAATTGAACTGGGTTGCTCAGTTCTTCGGATATCTAAGTGCGGTACTTTACTTAAGCTCTCGTGTTCCTCAAATTCTATTAAACTACAAGAGAAAATCATGCGAGGGTATTTCGTTTCTATTCTTCCTGTTCGCTTGCATCGGGAATATTACATTCATCATTTCCGTTCTCAGCATTTCGTTAAAATCCCGTTATTTGTTGGTTAATGCTTCATGGTTGATTGGCAGCTCAGGAACTTTGTTCATGGATTTCATTATATTTCTACAGTTTTTCGCTTACAAGGAAAGTGTGACAAACGGAGGAGCTGCCGTCTGACTCTTCTAACTAGTCAAAAAGGAAATCTAAGCAACAGTGTCGAACCACTTTATAATTATTTGTTTTTTCTAGACCCTCTCAATTCACCAGGCCGCGCTGTTCGCTTATATTTCGAACACCCGTTCTCTTGTATCACGTCTCGAAGCATGGATGTCAGCGTCACAAAAAAAAGTTAATGGCACCGTTAGGGAATTAACAGTACTTAATAACACAAAGCTCAGATTCGACATCATCAACTGCACACTGATTGTTGCATTATAATTAGGAAAGGATCCTACACTTTGTACGCAAGCTCTGGAAAGCACGTCAAGTAGGTTTTATGATGCCTTTGCTTACTAGTAAGAGTTACTATAGTGATGATGAAGCAGTCGGCTTAGTGGACAGAAGTGACATGTACAACTTAAGCAACTATCATGTTCGAGACGATAGTGAAGCAACGTCTTCAGACGAAGAGGCAGAAGGGGAAGATTCTCAGCTTGGTGAGAGTGCTTGCGGGGAAACATCATACTCTTTCTCAGAAGGGTATCGCGGGAGGTTCTCGCTCTCAGAAGGCTCTGATGTAAGACCGAAAAGGTCTAGGAGCGGGTCACCTGGGAGAAGAGGATTGGGGTCGTTGTTTTGGCGCTACGCCTCTGAACATTCCAATCAAAATTCGACTTGCGAAACTCCTCAGCGGCCTAGGACTGAAGACCAAGCATCGGAGGTTTTTCGAAAGGATGAGATTGAAGAAAATCTCTCTTCAGGAGCTGGAAGTTCGAGTAAGTTTTGGAGATCATGGAGACTACGGCATAAAAGGAATGACAATCAAGACGAGGAATCAAAGCTCTCCCATTTGGCGAACGCAGAGCAAGACCAACGTGCGGAAAGTGACAGCAAACATAAGACGAATGATTCTTTGGGCGAAAAACGTGGCGACATCATTACCCAAAACGATGAAAGTGAAAGGATGGGAACCGTTCGTATGAGGAACAAATGGCAGCGGAAAGCTAACGCCCAAGGTACAGATGCATCGTCCTTCCTGAAAGAAAAGCTTACCGTTATTTCTTCTGGGAGTGAGACATCAGACGAAGACACTGAAAAACTGCGCTCTGCAGACCATGTTATCGAATCCCCTTTAACCCCATTAGATGAAGCCTCGAGCCTTCCTAAAGAAGAATCTGTTGCATTCGGCCAGTATGAGGACATCTATCAAACACCACAGGATTATGTCCCATTGGAAGATCAATTTGATCGCTTTTCAGTCAACAAAAATTCCAAGACGTATGTCAATTTCTTGAATGCCATTTGCCTACTTAATGGGTCTTCATTGGACGTCGTTAACATGCATTCGCTTGAAGAGTTTTCCGGAGCAATCTTCTCGTTAGCAAAGCAATGCCTTGATCAAAAGGCACCTCTCTCTATAGGCGAGCCTGCCATTGAGACTTATACAGCGAGTATTGACAACCAAGAAGTTGTTAGCCAGAAATCTAGCCGGATATCGGAATTGGAAACTGAGCTGTCTTTGCTGCGTGAAAAATTTGAGGATAACGTTGATAGCTTATACAACTGCCGCAAAGAGCTTCAACTCACGAAGGAGGAGCTTATTGGTGCTCGCAATCAAGTTGATGAGAGCATCATCGAGGCATCAAATTTCAAATCAGAGTTTGATGCCCACCGAGTGGCGTGTGCAGAATTTGAAGCTACGTCGCAAGCTCAGCTTAATCATTTGGAAGAGTTACTTGCTAGTGAGAAAACCAAGTTTAGCGAATTGGAACAAAATTACACTGAGTTGAATTTACTTCATACAGATTTACAAAGTAGTTGTCAAACTTTGCAAGAACAGGATATAGCATCCAGGGCCAAGACCCATGAGTTGATTGCATTGGTTTCTAATTACGAAATCGAGGTTAGAAAGCTACACCAATCCAACAAACGCTTACAAAAGGACTTCACTGAGATGGATCAGCTTGCTTCGCAGGCAAAGGCTGCCAACATAAAGCTAAAATCAGACTGTCAGCGGGAACGGCGCAAATTACTAGATGGTCGACGAGAGCATCAACTGATCCAAGGTCAACTTGATATAGCCATGTGTCACAAGACTGAATCATTACAATTTATGGCGCAACTCATGATATCGTTTCGCGAGGCCCTGTGCGAGAACACCTTGCAAGAATGTGATTCTTACCTGGAATCCATAAATTCAAACACGTTCTTTTGTTGTGCCTTGGTCGACAACAGCACGAGAATGACAGAACAACAAATGATTGAACAGGTTACCAAGCAGCGGAGACTTATTACTGATTTCTATCGCCATTTTGCGAAAAAACATCTTTTGGACCAGGTCTTTGCAAAATACGTCTCATTCATGCGATCCAATAGGTTCTTGTCTCAACAGCTTAGAGGCCTACGCCAAAAGACGCATGGTCATGAAGAGCACATTTCACGCTTGTTAGAGGGTAGCAAAACAAAACGAACCCTGAAAACTAAACAAGACAATCAGAGCCCCGGTACACAGCATTATTCCAATGCGACTGTGCGTCACCAAAAAAGTATTCCCAGCCACGTGCGAATGTAATATTGCCAGTATCCGAAATGTGGTTATTTTGAGTTTGCTGAACTGCCCAATTCACAATATAACCAATTCTCTCTCCCGGGCCTGTACCTGCTTGTTTGCCGCTGCCGAAGCCGCAAGTCACAGCACTCGTTATACAATTTTAATATTAAGGTTCAATAGTATCTAAGTTTGTGAAAACAGTTGGTCGCTAACGGCTGCGTATAGTAAGTTTCCTCCAATTTGCACCACATTTTCAAGCTATCGTCATGTATTATTGTTTTACATTGAGCACCTGTACCGAGGATCAAGAAACACGCAGAGCGCACTGGCGCTTAGCAACATCCCCTTTGTTCGAGATTTGAAATTGCGCCAGATCAAACAAAGGAGCTAGTTAGTATGTGTGTTCGGGCTAGGGTAATTATATGTGCCCGAGATTAATGGTCGATATTCTTCTAATCGATAGCTCAGGGACTGCAATATTCAGAGAAGTATCTTCAGGCCATGTATATTGAAGTTAAAACACAGTGAATGATTACATCATGGTCGAAAGTTTACTTGTCCCAGGGTTTCTTCCTGAGTATGACGCTTTAGACGTTGTTAATTGTATTTATTATCACGGCATACGCAAACGCGTCGTAGTATTAATACCGAGAGAGACCTTTCGCGTTTACCATGCCTGATAAATAAAAGGCAGAGAGAGCCAGCAAGTTCGTCAGTGCCCGTACTCTGATCAAGTTACCTTTTGAGTCAGCCGTCATTTCTCACTTCAATGTCATCTAGTCGCCCCGAACTTAAGTTTTCGGACATCTCAGAAGAAAGAGGTTTCTATAAACGGTTCGCTAGCTTGCCGGAGAAACCAACTCAAACGATAAGACTTGTAGATAAAGGCGAATACTATACAGTAGTTGGTAATGATGCGGTTTTTGTTGCCGACAGCGTTTATCATACAAACTCGGTTCTCAAAGATTGCAGAATTGATCCAGGTACTGCAAAATCCATTCACGAACCACTCAAATATGTGACAATCTCACCACAAGTTTTGTCCGGCCTTCTAAAGCTTTGTCTTTTAGAACAAGGAATGAAAGTGGAAATATATGACAAATCGTGGTCGTTAATCAAAAGTGGCTCGCCTGGTAACATCGAACAAGTCGATGATCTAATGAATATTTCACTTGATTCTGCTATCGTTCTTGCAAGCATCAAGATTCAGCCTAATGCTCAAGAAGGAAACTGTGTTTTGGGCGTGTCGTTCATTGATAGTGGCTCTTTCAAAGTTGGAATGCTGGACATCGTGGACAATGAAGTGTTCTCAAATTTGGAGAGCTTTTTAATCCAAATGGGCGTAAAAGAATGTCTACTGCCGGATCAAAGAAGCAACGAAGGTATTGCAAATGAATTGAAAAAAATGGTAGGGGTTTTAGATCGCTGTGGGTGTGTGTCAACTTTTGTGAAGAGCTCTGAGTTTTCTCACAAGGATGTTGAACAAGATTTAGTCAGACTGGTCGGAGATGAGCTCTCAATGTCTTTGCTTAAGTTCTCAAACCTAGCTCTTGGATCCTGCAATGCTCTTATATCTTACCTCGAAATCATGAACAATGAGACTCAGGTAGGCAAATTTGAACTCGTTCAACACTCATTAACGGAGTTTATGAAGTTGGATGCGTCTGCACTCAAAGCACTAAACGTTTTCCCTAGTAATGGCGGTGGCTCGAGTAGTATACCGATCAGCCATGGTTCTGCTAGTGGGCCAAGGATATCAAGCATGTTCCAATTGCTTAACAAGTGCAAGACGAATGCTGGTGTGAGGCTTCTCAACGAATGGCTCAAGCAACCTCTTACCGACGCTAGTGAGATTAACAAACGCCATGACCTTGTTGAGTTTCTAAGCGATCAGCTCGAGTTGAGGCAGGTTTTACAAACAGATTATCTGCCCTTAGTTCCTGACGTGAGAAGATTAACTAAAAAGCTTCTCAGAAATGGTAACTTGGAAGATGTTCTCAAAATCTATCAGTTTGCGAGAAAGGTCCCCGAAATTTCCATGGTGTTGGATGATTATCTGGAAAGACTGGACGATAACTCCCCCACGAAATCTCTAGTTGTAGAAACGTGGCAGAAACCTCTCAATGAGCATCTAGCACCCTTAGATAAATTTCAGGAGATGGTAGAAACTACTGTCGATTTAGACGCTTACGAAAGTACAAACGAATTCATGATCAAAGTAGAATTCAACGAGGATTTAGCCAAGATTCGTGGTGAGCTTGACACTCTCAAGGACAACATCAGAACAATACACCTTGATGCTGCAGATGATTTGGGTTTCGATCCGGAAAAGAAACTAAAGCTGGAAAATCATCATGTTCATGGGTGGTGCATGCGTTTAACTCGTAATGACGGCAAAGCTTTGCGACAACATAAGCAATACTTGGAACTTACCACAGTAAAGGCAGGGATATTTTTCAGCACTAAAGAGCTAAAGCAAATCTCTGAACAAACTGCCCTGCTACAAAAGGAATATGACAGGTTACAAGCTGACCTAGTCAAGGAAATCGTACAAATCACGCTCACCTATACACCAGTCTTGGAGAAGTTATCCATCGTTTTGGCGAAACTGGATGTTCTTGGTTCCTTTGCGCACGTTGCGTCTTATGCCCCAGTTCCTTATGTGAGGCCTACAATGCACAGCATTGGTACCAGTAGAAAGACCGAGCTAATAGCATCTCGTCATCCAGTTTTGGAAGTCCAAGACGACGTGACCTTTATTTCCAACGACGTCAGGTTAGAGAGCGGCAAAAATGAGTTTCTGATCATAACGGGACCAAATATGGGGGGAAAATCGACGTATATACGCCAAGTCGGCGTCATATCTCTCATGGCTCAGATCGGATGTTTCGTTCCCTGCGAAAAAGCTGAAATAGCCGTAGTGGACGCAGTACTCTGTCGTGTGGGAGCTGGTGACTCGCAGCTGAAAGGTGTATCCACTTTCATGGTAGAAATGCTGGAAACTGCTTCCATTTTGAAGAATGCTACAGAAAACTCCTTGATTATAGCTGATGAGCTGGGTCGTGGGACCAGCACATACGACGGGTTTGGTCTCGCCTGGGCCATTTCCGAACACATTGCCAAAAGTATCAGATGCTTTGCGCTCTTTGCCACCCATTTTCACGAACTTACCTCGCTTGCCGACCAGGTACCCACTGTCCAAAATATGCACGTTATCGCCCACATCGAAGATATGCAAAAGAGCACACACAGCTCTGAAGACATCACACTATTGTACAAGGTAGAGCCCGGTATTTCAGATCAGTCATTTGGGATACACGTCGCTGAAGTTGTTCAATTCCCAGGCAAGATTGTTTCTATGGCCAAGCGCAAGGCGGCTGAGCTTGAAGGTTTAAAGCAAGATTCTCAGCTGATAAAGAAACAGAAATGTACCTCAGCAGAGATAGCAGACGGTACTGAAGCTCTGAAGGAGCTGTTGAAGAAATGGGTGAAGGAAATCCGGGATCAGGGATTAGACGGTTCCATTACGGAAGAGCAAAGTCAAGAAAAGATAATACTCTTACTAAAGCAAATATCGGATTCCTCAACGTACACCGAGAACAAATTCATTAAGGAAATATCCAAGTTGTTGATGTAAGTGGCAATACCCGAGAAGAACGCTAAACAAAAAACCTTCGCCAGATGCCGTTAGGCGGCTTTTGTCTTGCTCTAGGGGATAGCTGGTGGAATACTCTGCTTGCGATGCTTAGCTGATCATTGTGATCCGTTGACAACAGGAAAAAAGGAAACGCGAGTGAGTTGACGGTTTTCGCGGTTGATGGAGCAAACGAAGAGGTACTGTTGACGACTCCCAGTTGGGCGACTCCACACGGGTCTACTTTTTTTTCGCTGCTGGGAAGCTTCTTGACACGGGAAATGATTTTTGCCAAAAAGCTCACATGGGGTAAGGATTTCAGAGAAAGCAGACACTTTGCTGTTGTCGGAAAGAAATCTGCAATACACAGGTATGCGTGGACAGCGTGTGTCAAGTTGAGGGAGTTGTTGCTATCATGGGGCTTGAAGTATGTAATTATAAAAGGGAATGTTTACCAGACGCTCTCAACAGACGACTTCAAAATAGACTTCAACGCACAAAATTAAAAGATGTTGCACCCTAAAAACACCGAGATATATTTTACTTTGAACAATGGCAACAGGATGCCAGCGTTGGGCCTTGGTACTGCCAATGAAGTCGAGCAGATCCCTGAAACAAAGCAGGCTGTCAAGGCAGCAATTAAGGCTGGATACCGCTTGATTGATACAGCCTGGGCATACCGTTGCGAGCAGCACATAGGCGAAGCTTTGAAAGAGCTTTTCGAAGAAGGTGTCATTAAGCGTGAAGATATTTTCATCACGACAAAGGTCTGGCCCACACACTGGGACAAGGCGGACGAGTCAATTTCTCGCTCCTTAGAGAATCTTGGCGTCGACTACGTGGACTTAGTGCTACAGCACTGGCCATTGTGTTTCAACAGAGTCGAAAGTGCTGACGGTATTGACGGAATCGACAGAAATCCCACTCATGAAGACGGCTCGCCCAATATCAATGAAGCCGGTGACTACTTAGATACTTTCAAACAATTGGAAAGAATGTATTTGGCTAAGGACCCTCGTTTCAAAGCCATTGGCGTGTCGAACTATCCTGTAGAGTATCTTCAGAGGTTGCTAAAGGAGTGTAAAGTCGTGCCTGCTGTGAATCAGGTTGAGTTACATCCCTTCTTGCCTCAGCTAGAATTGGTTGAGTTTTGTACCGCGCATCATATTGTTTTAGAGGCTTTCTCGCCTTTCGGCGCCACTGGCGCACCTCTGGTCAAAGATTCAGCTGTGGAGGCAATTGCTCAAAAGCATGCCGGTGATACCAACAACGTTTTGTTGTCTTATCACATAAGGCAAGGCATAGTGGTGGTACCTAGATCGGTCAATCCTAAGAACATTGTGTCTAATATCGAGTTTGTGCCTTTGACTAAAGATGACATCAAAACCCTGAACCACATTGGTCTAGCCGACCCCAAACGGTTCAGAGACGAACCCTTTGCGGGCTCAATACCAGGTTTTGGAGAAAAATAAGTAAAATAAGGTATAGAGTCCTCCAAATGAATAATGAACGCTGCAATAAAGACTTTTATTAGATGTTTCTTCGAGTTTCAGTCGAGAAGACATATGCGTAAACACAATCTAGATATTTTGGCGCAAACGGACGATTTCGTAGCTCTCACATCATCGCAGGAAAAATAAAGTCTCTCTCAAAAACCATATTGTCCAAGATTTGCTCTAGTTCGTTTTGATCACTTGCTTGTGTGGGAGCAAGGAAAGAATTTTCAAAAGTAGAGAAATCTGTCCCAAAACTTCCGCCCGGAGGGCCAATTACATTAAGACCCACGCTGGGAGCAGATTGATCAATGTTCATAGGTGCTCTGTCATCGTCGAGATTTTTTAGCCCATCGTTTAGGTCTGAGCTGTCAAATGGCATAACTTGAATAGGAAGAGTTGACAATAATAAATTCAGATCATTTGTATCTACCTCACTAAAGAGATGGAAAGCTCTCGGGAGGACACTGTCTGCGCCTTCTGCATTGGTAGACGAAGAGCCATTAACTCCCGGTTCATCAGCAGGAAGATCTGCACAAGGAGCAAAAACGTTCAAATGTTCCTTCAGTTGATTGACTGCCGTGGTCTTGTTGGATTCACATCGAGCCATCCAAAATCCGAACTTATCGCTAACAACAGCAGCATTCAAGTTGAATTTAGAAGCATTAGGATTGTAGTTCGTGAAGCATTTAATGGCCAGAGTAAGCAGAAAAGTGAGAATAAACATTGAAACGTTCCATTTAATACTGTCTTTCAAAATTTTGATGTCTCCTGCTTCCAGTAAGTAGTCATACACCTCTACAATTGCCATCAAGCTTTCCCCAGTTTCTTCTTCCAAAAATCCGATGATTGAAAACAGTAGAATATAAGCGCCCACGCAAAATATGTAAAACACTCGATGCAGCATATATGGCACAACTTTGATACGGGGGTATAGGGTAATGATCTTTAAGCCCTCTTGTTTAATATCTTGCCTGGCATTTGCCCTTATGAGACCGACGTTAAAACGAGACTGCGAATTAATATCTTCGTTATCGTGGATGAAGGAGCAAGCCATTTGCGACACGATAATCAGTAAGAGCGCGTGTTCGAAGTGAAGGTATAATACACTCGTGGACAAATGACCTCGGTCTATTTCAGATATGTGAACGTTTGACTGAGTGTTAAATTGGTCAATGTGATCCCGGTAATGGTCTAAAGAAAATTCGCCAGGAAGAGCCCTTTCCCATTCTCTTAGGTCAGAAATTAAGGACAAAATACGTTCTAAAACTTCATCAAATGTGGTGCCAACCATGGCATCCTCTTTGAAGAGATATTCGTAGCACTTATGCGAAATACGGGCCAGAGTCATTGCATAGTAAGAAGCTCCCACAAGTAGTGAGTTTGGAGACGCAGCCAAAATCGACATCGAACGATCAAGGCCACTTTTGGGGTGGAAATTCGACTTGGGCTGGAAAGTTGGGCTCGAAAGGTCATGAGTTTTGATGAAGTCCGCATAGAACTCCTCTGTGAATATCTCAGTTTCATCAATATTAATCATGGGCCGTCGAGAGAAAGCCAACGATAGTTGAGCATCAATAGAGATACAGTGAATCCAGATCTTGAGCCGTTGAGAAGCTTCCTGGAAATTTAGACCCTGGTATGTTTCTCTTCTATGCAGCCCAATGTCTTGGGCAAATTTTTGAGCCACACAAAAGATGTTATAGGCGATATTGGCGCTGACCTTAGTATGCACGTATTGGTAGAGCAGGATAAGGGCCTGCACGGATTTCAGGCCCTCGCTAAGAAGGGCAACTTTGTGATATTGATACATGCTGTTCAAAAGCATGCAACTTTCGCGGGAGTCCAATTCTGGACTTCCTTCTTTTAAGAAATAGCATTCGGAAGTTTTGAAATCGTAAGCCGTGGAGATGCACAGACTGATGTCGATGAGTAAAAGTTCGGAATATGACAGTTTATCGCCCGCGTAGTAGCGTTCGAACAGGGCAATGAGCTCTTGGCCGCTGATTATAGCATAGCCACCAGTGAATATTGTAGAAAGGAAATTTTCCGAAAGTTCCCTAATTTCAGCTTGTGGAGGAAGCGGGTATAACTGCGCAGTGTGCATAGGAACAAATGGGGTGGAAAAATCGATGATCTTCTTCACTTCTGCGACGTACCACTTGGAGGACGTGACAAAGACCTCCATGAGCGGTGAGAATGTTATGGGCTCCATCCCATTATTGGTGTCATTGACTCGCGAGCCTTGGCAGAGATACGCACGCTGTCGAAGCCAAGCGATGCGACGCTTGGTCAGCAACGACGACGTGTACCGTCTCTGTTTAGGGCGCGGCGAAACGTCCGGCAAAGCTGGGATGTTTAGGCTCTGGTGATGCGTTATCGAAGATGGGCTACCTTGTAGACCACTTGGCGATGAGGACTGTGCGGAAGACTGTCTCGATATCAGCTTAATGAGCGTGCCGATCTGGTTTTCCAACGCCAGCAATCTTCTTTCCAGGTATTCGGGAGGGGCCGTGGGCGACTCCGTCATCGCCAAGTCTGGCAGGGGCGAGTGAAGCTTGTGATTTTTAACCGTCGCCTGGTCGTGGGTCTTCTTGGCCTTTTTGATACCCGCTCCCACGCCACGCGAACCATCTACATTGGCGCCTTCTTCGAGTAGTCGCTGGCGCTGCTGCTCCAGCCCATTGTGATGATTGAAAGTACACTCAACCTGGAATTTCGCACAGTTTTCGCAGGCTCCAGTGGCCATGTTCACGGCTCCGCATTTAATCTTGCGTTTGCGACAATGGTCGCAAGCCTTGGAGACTCGCTGCCTGAATTTCGCACCCAGCGTCTCTGCCGGAGAGTCCATTCTTCTTCGTAGCTCGGTGTTTAGACAGCTGGTACCACCGTTGACGCTGACAAACCAAACAGAAAGTAGTAACTAGCGACAATCAATACAGCGGCAGGCTGATCGCAATATGGAGAGCTAGCGCCAGCTATAAGGAGCTATGGCGGATCCCGATTGAGGATGATAGTCTAAACTTTCTGACTCACCTTGTGTGTCAGTGACGTTCTCTCGGTATAGACGATATACGTGGAAGGCCTTCATGAAAAGCGTGATTCTCGTAGATTCAATAAACCCCGGCGGTCTAGCTCAAGCCGATGCAGCGAAGAAAAGTTCGTACACAATTATATGCAGAATATTTGACGTTCAACGTGATGTAATTACACATCGCACTGTACGATAAGATCCATTTTCCTCTAGTTGCATATTCGTTCATCATTATATTCAATGTTTTTAAAAGGTGTCAATATATATGCGTTTTCAGGAATGATCGTTCGGTGTGACCATGGTGAAATTCGTGTGTGACGATCTGGTTTTGATTCCGACGATGCTCGGAGCCAAGCGGAGTTAATATCGGAGATATGTGTCCAGCCAAATAGCTTGGGAATTAGACGCTTTTCGGGCTGGAGAGGAGAGACAATGCCATAGTGAAAAAGGTAGCCGAGCCGATCGCTAACATGGCCAAGGCACATACAACACATATTTAAAGGCGTGATAGCTTTTGCAATTGACTCCTGTGTACACTGTCTACTACGTTTAACACACCATCTTGACGCCGGTACAGTCGCCTCTTTAGTATAGTCAATCGTTCAAACTCTCATGGGATTACTAGGTCTGTTTGTGGATTCGAAGTCTGTCTCCAAACAGAACATCCAAAAAATCGAGCAGGTCGCAGACGTGTGCGATGCAGAGTGTGCAGAGTGCGAGTCTGCCACGGATACCGCGGAATTGGAGAAGAGCGAGGGCGTTTTTGGAAAACTCAAAGTGGAACAGGACTTCCCGCTGTTTGGGTCGGGCAAAACGGCCAAAATTCACTTCGTGGTACCAACGTCGCAGAACGATTGGGCACACGACGCGTGCAACGAGAAAAAGGGCTCTGTCCAGCAGAAAGTTTCCGAGTGGATCGAAAAAAATCAATCCAAGTACCCTGGAGGAGAGGGCGAAAGCATGAAATGCAACGTGTCGTCGCTGCCTATCGATATCATGGACATTGAGGCGATGCGCGGCGCCAAGAGCGATGTTCTGGTGCTGCCACATTTTTTGACCATCAAAGGTCTGAAGTCCTCCGATGTAGACGCACAGTTGCGCGTATTGGTCCCACTGCTGATAGACAACAAGCGTAACGAATTGCTGGCAATGGACAACATCGAAGAAGCGAAAGAGAACTCGTTTGTGTTTTTGTGCTCTCACAGAACTCGGGACAAAAGATGCGGGATTACGGCGCCTATCTTGCAGAGGACATTCTTCAATGAGCTTCAAAAGCACGGGCTTTATCGTGACGTGGCGGATTTTAGACATGGTGGCTGTAACGTGGCTTTTGTGAACCATGTCGGGGGCCATAAGTTTGTCGCCAACGTTATCCTGTATTTGAAACAATCACACTCGTTGATATGGCTTGCTAGGGTGACCCCAAGAAATGTGCCTGCTATTGTTAATCTGATGGTAGTTCCGGAAAATCCTCAATTACCGTGGCCGGAAAAGGTTAGGTGTGTTCAAAAATACACGGCATGGTAATCTATAGGTCCCAACATACAAGCTTACATTTCGTTTACGTACATTACAATTCGTCATGATTCAAACCGTTTTTATCCATTTCAGTACCTTCTACGGCCAAAACGCGTAGCAGACGAAGCTTCAATCGGATGGATTCGAGCTCCTCGTCTGCGTTGTACTTCAGTATGTTTTCTAGTTTGCGAATCTCTTTACCAATGTCCTTGACTTCAGTTAGGTATCTCCTTATCGAAACGTATTGATCGCTATCGCTATCGCCACCATACAATATATTTTCAACCTCTGCATCCTTTTGTGTGCTGTCAATAACTTTGTCAATGAAGTTGGCTAATATTGGCAGATCGCGACTGCCATTGAATTCGACCACTCTATCCAAATCCAAAGTCCAAGCAGGGTCGTAGCCGCCCATTCGTATCTTAGTTACAAGCCTCGACCACCAAGAAGGCTGGCTAGCTGGAGACTGCTCGATCGTTGTATTGCCCTTTACTTTTCTTAACGGTTTGATCACCTCAACCATGGGGTATCCTGGAAGTCTTCGACACAATGTGGAAGCGAAAATCTCGCAGTTTACCTCTAGAAATGTGACATTCGCGTTGGATTCTCTGAAGGACTCGCTCAAGGTGTCAAAAACAGGACCAAGTTTCTTGCAGTGCGAACACCAAGTGGTGTAGTACTTGACCACCGTAAAAGCGTCATTGTTTACAGTATCGTAGAAAAGGTCTAAAGATGTCACTCGATGAACATGACATGAAACCAAAACTGGTGTCAAAGCTATCCATAGCAATTTGAATAACTTCATTTTTGTCGCTTGTTAGCATAATGAATCAAACATAACTTTAATCAGTTTATTGGCATTACCAACCTCCTGCTGAATACCGTTGGTTGTGAGTTGAAAGTTTAACTAATTACGCATAAACCAAAAGAGCGAACGACCAAGAAACACCAGCCAGGTGTTCCTCAAAGTTCTCAAACTGATACATACTTATAGTGAGGTGATGATTACGCCGAAAGGTGCTATTCATTCTCCAGCAAACATGTCAAAATCGGTCAAAAAATCACCCGCGTCCATTTCGATCAGATCCGTTATCCCAGTGCTGTAGGTATTCCATACTTGGTCAGCCAGCATTTTTACAACGTCGTCGGACACTTCATCGTTACCAAGTTTCGGCCAATCGTAGTCAACTTCAACCTGTGTTCTATATTCCAGACCCATCTGGAAGACAGTACGATTTACTCTTTCCAAGGCCATAATAATGACAAAGTAGTGCGATTTCCACAGCATGTGCGTCATCTTGGCCTTCTCTGGTTTCCACAATTCGTCGAATATTGAGCAGAATTTCAAGAAAATCCCACGAAATGACAAAAAAATGCTGTCTGGCACCGACAAATCATCCAAAGTAGGACCGTCTGACGATCCTGCGTCAAGTGAAACGATTAATCCTTTTTCAAACAACATTAGTTTGTGAAACATAAGCCCGTAAGTCTCGGTCAACGTTCTGACTGGAAGAGAATTCAACAGTAGTACGCATAAGTTGAGAGATGGCGTCAAAATCTTCGACTGCTGAAAATTGACTGTTGGTGGATGTTGTTCGTCAAGCTCGTAACACCTTAGAATGGTGTTAACCGCAACCGATGCCCCTACAAGCATTGATTTGATAAACCCATTTTTAACTCGAATACTTAGCTCGGCTCCCGAGAGCCGCGTCAAGTCGTAGAAATTTGTCATCATGGCCAGTGTAGGTGATAGAATCATAATTTCAAATAGGTCTATCTCGGAAAAAAGGTTTAAGTCAGTATAGCAGCTCAATGGTCGGAACTCTCGTTCGATGAAGGTGGTCAATTGCTCCACAAAGTGTAGTGTTGATGGAGATTGGGACCGATCATACAGTTGGTGTAGGCACCTTCGGCTGACATATAAGAAATTCCGCAAGAGCGGGATGCGTCCACGCTCTGCGGTCGGTAGCATTGCATCATCAAAATGTTCCGAGGTTACGAAAACTGGCGAGCCTATGTCAAATGATACGTTCAAGTCGGCAAACAGTGTCCAGTACCACAAGTTTTTAAGACATTGAAGCGGTCCAACAGTCGGACTCTGCCCTGCATAGAGCTTGTCGATATCCTTGTGCAACCCTAAGTTCATGGATGTGGTACATAACAGCGACGTCAGGGATACCAGATGAGCACTGCCGCTGCCATTGAGCCCATTGTAAACTCGAAAAATGTATATTAGCAGTAAGAATTGAGCTCTCTCCACAAACATAGATTTTGCCGTCGTAAAACCTGCTAACGAAACAAATAAGCGCTGTATGGATGCTGGGATGGCTGTCTTATAGTGATTGAGGCACAGTATCATAAGAACCACGCCAATTGTGAAATAGTTGTTATTGTCAGGTATAACGAGCATGGCCACTTGGCGCCTTGGAACGTTATCGTTGCTATTTGTAACATAACCGGGCATAAAACATTTCGAAAAGTCTCTAAGCACTTTTTCTTTGTCCAGGAAAAGAAAATAGGTGTGTAAGGGATCATCGAAGTATTCGTGGAGCCGACTTTCTATTGTTTCGTATGGGGGCAAGTCGGGTACGACGGATTCGATCAAACTGCCGGTGTTGGCAAAAATCAATGAGCTGTATTCCGCGATAAGTTGTCGCCCATGAACAGTTTTGGAAGCATTCAGCTCAGCTTTGACTTTATTCCAAACTTTTACGTACTCGGCGACGAACCGATCCCCTGACGCGGTTATTATAGCTCTGATAGATGTAGGCCCATAGTATGTGAAGCGGCCGTCCTTAAGCCGCATAACACTGAAATCAGCCAGCTTGTTGGGGCCCTTGCTCCCTGTTGCAGACACTGCTGGTTCGATGTAGTTGACACTGGTGCTACTACCAGTACTAGGACCGCTGATGCTTCCATGGTTGCTAAACCCGTTTGTGCTGGTAGTACTGGTGTGTGTATCGCTACTCCCAGGCTCACCGGGCGCTGTCTTGTCGTCTTGACTATCTAAGCAGTTGGCACTGCTCGCGCTTCCGGAGCCATTTCTTTGGTCATCCAAACTTGATTTTTCCAAAGCTTCCTCAAGTTCTTGTATTCGACGGATGAGGGACACGTTTGGTTTATCGCTAAACAGTTCATCCGACGTGAGTTGGAAGTTGAAGCCGTCTGTGTATACACATTCGGGCAGCTTGCGAGCAGCGCACTGGCCGCACATGGGCTTTTGTTGATCGCATTTTAGCTTTCTCTGACGGCAGAAAGTACATGATTTGACTACCTTACGCCTCCTGCGCCTGGCAAGCTGTAATTGGGGGTCTGCACCAACCTTACTTCTGCTCTTTTCGAGATCTCTAGCCATAGAGAATCGCACTCGCCAGTCAGACTTTACGTCCTTCGGTCTGTTACTCGGTACTAACAAAAAAGACACCAGTGATTCTGGTTCAACGACTGGCTCTATAGCTCATCGAGTTAGCCAAAAACCATGTTGGTAGAATTCCACCTTGCCACAGGGCATATATATCTGTCATTGAAAAAGTCGTAATATCCTTCTTACGACCCACACGTACATCGTGATTTATCTGACCAAGTGCATTTGAAGCTCTGGTCAACTATATTCTGTGAAGTTACGGCTGCTAGCATTGGGCCAGGTGGCTACGTGGGTGGCTCAGAATGGTAAGATACTACTTCGAGAGGCACCTAGAGAAGCCCAGAAAATATTCTACTATTTCAGCAAGCCCGTGGAGCACGGTGTGTGGCGACGAGAAAAGCCCAAGTGTGAAAGAGCTTCAGGTGGCGCTATTATTTCAGCGGGCGTACAATATTGAGTGACGCGGGACAGTCGTTGAGCCGGAGCAGGCACATCTGCCCGGCGGCTCTAAACGCACGGGTCAGCCTCCAAGGGCACATGGTCACGTGATGTTCGGAGTTTAACTTGGTATTACCAAGGCACCGGCAAAGCGTACGTGCGTGTGTGCGACATTGGTAGTTGGCAAACAATTCCAAGAGCCGGGATGGAAGTGCCGGATGCGCATCCAACCTTTCGCGCGAAATCGGCCTGGCCCGCAAGCACCATTCTTTAAGCACCATTCTCACAAAATCAGCTGCGTGAAGGCACCGTGATGTGTGACTGCGCCATTATTGTACCAAGTGATAATCGGCAACACCGCGAACACTCTTGGTCCACCACGCTCGCCCGAGGACGCTGCTGTTAATGCCAAACATGTAGTCCGTCGTTGGGCTGCTTAAGTAGCCCAATTTTATTCATTGAAAGAAAAATAACACCACCAACCTTACAGGCAGCAGACAGTTCGCCAAAGTCCGCATGCAATAAGGTGAAGCCCGCGGACCACATAAATGGAAAGTGACGATCCAATTTACTCGATAAGCTGCTAAGACATGTTTCGGGCCTCGGAAGCTTTCGTCGTTCTTCTTTTTTCCCCTCTGCTCTGTATGTTGACACGACGTCAATACCACGGTTTTGATGTAAGTGTCTTCTTCCCTAAGCTTGGCCAAGAATTTCTGACATATAGATGGGAATCCGCGCTTAAACCCGGAACAGACACAGATGTGAATGTCTTTTTGTCGACCAAAAGGGCAAGCCCCGCCGAGACCCTCTGACAAATGCGCTTGGCGTTTTCGATACAGGCAAGGAGTAAACGCCGTCCAACACCCGTGTCACGTGCCTGTCATGTGTTTCGAGGAAATGGTCACGTGTATGTGGTCAAGTCGACTAGTTCGAGAGTACCCTCGGATATTGGCGGATATGTGAATCCGCGTTATGGCCGGGCGCCGCCGCCGCACGTCGATTTTAATTCAGTAGCAGCTGGTCACCGAGCTCATCGCTTGGCAAAAAGACACTGCAGATCGGCCACCGCAGAGTATAAGAACCGAACGACGCCGCATCCTGGTTCTGAAAGCATCCTGGTTCTGAGAGCATCCGTTAATCTCGCATCAAGCAGTGGACTTTCACCTTTTGTTTGCTGTCGTTCCTGTATCTCAGCATTTCTGCTGTTGTCGCCAGCTATGAACAAAGACAAAATTGTGCTAGGGTTGTGCCTAGCTTCGCTCTCGCTGACTCTGTTCCTAGCAGCACTGGACATCGTCATTGTCATTACGCTGTACGACACGATCTCAGAAAAATTCCACGCCTACGGCAGCATCGGGTGGCTGGTAACAGGATACTCTTTGGCCAACGCCCTGTTCACGCTTTTGTGGGGCCGTTTATCGGCGCTTTTCGGCCTCAAGTCGTGTTTGTCGATCTCGATTTTGATTTTCGAGATCGGTTCTCTGGTGGTGGCGCTAGCGAACTCGATGTCGATGTTGATTGCCGGCCGTGTGGTGGCCGGTATCGGTGGCAGCGGCATCCAGTCGCTGGTGTTTGTGGTGGGTACGTCGCTGGTCGACGAACGCAACCGTGGGCTGGTCATCACCGTGCTTGGGATGGCTTTCATGGTTGCCAATGCGATCGGGCCAATTCTGGGCGGTGCTTTCACCCAGCACGCCACGTGGAGGTGGTGCTTTTACATCAACTTGCCCGTTGGGGGGCTCGCCTTCGCCATGTTGTTCTTCTTCTACAACCCCACCGAAAAGCCTCTTGCGGGTAGTCTCACGTCCAAAATGGCAGCTATCAGGCGCTTTAATTATGGTAAACTCGCCACCGGTCAGTTTTGGGCGGACGCTTACCGCATGCTTTTTTTCAAGCTCGATTTCGTGGGTTTTGCCCTAAGTTCAACCGGGTTCGTGCTCTTTCTATTGGGACTCACGTTTGGTGGCGATAAGTACGCTTGGGGATCATCGACGATCATCGTGTACCTAGTGGTGGGCCCTGTTTTACTCCTTCTATTCCTGCTTTACGATTTTGTGGTCCTGCCACGCCTGAACAACGGCGAGACTTTGCCTCTCTTGCCCTGGTCCTCGGTTGCAATGCTTGGTGTCCTGACATCTTCTATTGCCAATTTTTTTGCTTGCATTGGTTTCAATATGCAAACGGTCTACCTTATCCAGTTCTATCAATTAGTTTGGAACTCTTCTCCAACCTCTGCCAGTTTGCACATGTGGGCCTTCCTGGTCCCTTGCATGGCAGTAATTATTGCAGTTGGAAATATCAACAAGCGATTCGGAGCCATCAAGCCTGTCGCGGTAGTGGGCGTTGCTCTGGGAACGGTCGGGTCAGGCCTTCTAACAATGCAAAAGGGCTCTACTACTCTCGGGCAGACCATCGGTTACTGTATTTTGCCTGGTGCTGCTTTTGCGGCCATGATGCAGTCGTCCATGCTAAGTGCACAAGTCCAAGTTAGCAAAACCGACCCACAGTTCCGTACCAAGTTCATTGAGGTTACGGCCCTCAATGCGTTCGCCAAGTCTTTGGGTATGGCTTTTGGCGGTATAATGGCCACAATGATTTTTTCAACGTCTGTTAAAAACCAACTGGCCGACGGCCAAATCTCCCTTCCACAGCAAATCACCAATGTTGAAGCGCTTATTTCGTACCACGCTCAGCATTTTGACGGTAGAAATTCACCATTGGCGCGCATTTTCACCAAGGGTGTTCAGAATGTTTTCTACGGGTCCCTTGGCGCCTATGCTTTATCTTTTGTTTTCTCCCTTGTTATGTCTAACAAACGCCTTGTCGTAGGTCCACCAAAATCAGCCAATACTGACGACCATTCCTCAAGCACCGACATTGACCAAGAGCATGTCGTTTTGGCTGGAGAATCTTCAGGGAAGGAAACCGAAGAGAAACAACACGACTCTTCGAGTCTGGACTCGAGAGTTGATCCTAATCCAACGATAGTCATTCCAGATGCCCCTTAATCTTGTATATATCATCTACCATAACTTACCAACTAACTACTCACTGTCTCTGTCATTACCTTATTATTTGTCGGTCAATGATTAATTGCGGGGTATTAATTAATCTCCACATAATATATGTAATTGCCAACAATATTTTGTTGCCAGTAATATTTAAATTTGCCAGGGGTCAACTAACAGATTTTCCACTGTTGAGATGTACTTTAAACGCTAGATTGGCGCATTATTTAAATATTCAGATTAACATTGTTTCGTTATCATGCCCAAGCTACCATTGGTGTTGACGCTTTTTTCACTTGCGTTGACGCTGTTTTTAGCGGCTCTAGACATAGTTATTGTTATCACTTTATATGAGACTATCGGTCAGAAATTCGGGGACTTCGCGAGTATTGGATGGCTGGTATCGGGGTATGCACTGCCCAGTGCTCTATTTACACTGCTATGGGGTCGTCTAGCGTCCAAATTTGGACTGAAGACAAGTTTGATAGTTTCCATATTAATATTTGAGATTGGCTCACTGATTGTGGCTGTATCTAGGTCAATGGGAATGTTGATCGGCGGTAGGGTCGTGGCCGGTTGCGGCGGAAGCGGGATACAGTCGCTGGTGTTTGTCGTTGGGACCTCTTTGGTGGCCGAGAGGAATAGAGGATTCGTGATCATGGTTTTGGGATTTGCCTTCGCCATCGCATTTGCCATAGGGCCGGTTCTCGGAGGAGCATTCACAGAACATGTAAGCTGGCGTTGGTGTTTTTACATTAATCTGCCAATTGGTGGCTTGGCAATGGCCATGCTTGCGTTTAGTTATAATCCTTCCGACAAAAGTTTGCGAGACACGGTCACCAGCAAGATTAGGGTGGTACGAAACTACCGCTATTCGCAGCTTATCTCGCGCGAGTTTTGGCCTTTTGCATTTCGTTTCATTGTTTTTGAACTGGACTTGATCGGCTTTGCGCTTTCTTCTACCGGTTTTGTCCTATTCATGCTGGGCATGACGTTTGGAGGGAATGAGTATCCATGGTATTCTGGCACAATCATCTCTTATTTGACGGTCGGTGGAGTACTTATTTTGAGTTGGTTTCCTTACGATTTCTTCATCCTGTACCGGTGGGCTGCTCTCCACAATAATGGTGCCCAACCCATCCCACTTCTGCGGTGGAGTTTGTGCTCGCTTTCCGGCATGATAACCACTTCTTTCACCGTTTTTTTTGGCTGCTTTGCTTTCAATATGCAATCAGTTTACGTCGTGCAGTTCTATCAACTGGTACACAACAGCGGGCCCACCTCCGCAAGTATGCATTTGTGGGCATTTTTGGTGGCCACTATCCTATGTATTATACTGATCGGTAAACTAACTTCGGCGAGTGGACAAATCAAGCCTGTTATAGTCTTTGGTGTGATGGTGGGAATGATCGGATCCGGATTGCTCACTTTAATCACAACGTCTAGTACCACGGGAGATACAATCGGTTATTGTATTCTCCCTGGCGCTGCATTCGGCTGTATATTGCAGGGAACACTTTTAAGTGCCCAAGTTCAAATAGACAGGGAGTCTCCAGATGTTCATACTTTATTCATTGAAGCAACAGCTTTGAATGCATTTTCTAAGTCATTGGGTATGGCTTTTGGGGGGATCGCGGCAACAATGATTTTCACAAACTCCGTGAAAGACTTGTTGAAACACACTACGACGAACTTACCCCCATTTACCAGTATCGAGGCGTTAATCGCATACCGTGGGCAAAATTATGATGGTCCTCAGTCAGCGCTATCTCGTGTTTTCGTAAAGGGGATAAAAAATGTTATGTATGCAGCGCTCGGTTGCTACGCCGTGGCACTCTTGTTTGGGATTTTCACATCTAGTAAGAAGCTTATTTTCGCAGTCCAAAAGACGGACGACTTCGAGCGATCGTCAGCAGAAGCTACCGTCCGCGAAAAAGTGAGCCCTACTGGAGTAGACAGCTCTACCTAAGAGGCTCCCGCCGGCAGCCCACCCAAATCCACTGTTGCTAAGTCTTGTCAAAGTCCAATAGACAAGCAAGATTGGATTTTTCTATATGTTCTTTAATGATTGACTTTTAACAATTTCGACCATTATTCCAATAATGAAGAGCACACATAAGGAATGCGCGCTCTCGGGATATGGAGTATACAATGTTACACCAAGTATTTTAGTCTTGATATTTCAATCCCAATTTCTGCAAACAGTAGAAGAGTTTGCCTTAAGGGTTGTTACTAACATGTATCGTTTGTAGTTCCTGATAATCTAGGTCCTCTTGAAAGATCAAAGTTGTCCTACATCAGGTAACAAAAAATCCGAAAAACGCTTCATGCTGGGAACGTAAATAATCTGGAACACCAAGACTTTTATAAAACATAATCGAGGTGCAAAGCATATCATCAAAGCCTTTTAGTGTCTTTCATCCTAATCAGCTGGAATGAGCACCAATTATTTTGAGTAAAAGTCTTCAATTGCCGACTTACCACGTGGAGATCCTTTTCGTTGCTTAGTTGACTAAACCCTGCTGGATACTTTTGTTATAGAGTCTGTCGTTGCTGCTGTCGGCCCACCTCCTATCCTACCTACAGCTGTTGCGTTGCATTATTCTATACTCAATGACCGACTTTGACAAGTGTGATACCGCTAGAGTAGGCCGTAAGAACCAAGTTTACTCGACAATTACTGGCGCAAGGCTTGTGGCAGGGTGCGTTTGCCTCGACGATTCGAAAAAACATGTCCTTTTGATCCAATCGTCAGCCCACAAGAAAAAGTGGGTTCTGCCGAAAGGCGGTGTAGAATCGGATGAACCAGATTACAAAACTACTGCAATGAGGGAAACTTGGGAAGAAGCTGGTGCGTTGGGCACTATCGTACAAGCACTGGGACCTATCGAGGACATGAGGCCTCCAAAAGACTGGAATAAAGACATTAAAGGATTCGAAGAAGCTCCTGAAGATGTGCAAGTGAGCAAACATCCACCTAGGTCCGAATTCCATTTCTACGAGATGAAGGTTGAATCTTTAGCTGACGTCTACCCGGAGGTGAAAAAACGCACCAGAAAATGGTTTACTTATCGGGAAGCCAAGGAACAACTTTTGATTGCCAAGCGGCCGGAACTAGTGGAGGCGCTGGGCCGTTCTGGTATTCAAAAAGAGTAGTCAGTAGGCTACATGGTTAAAAAGAAGAAATAGCGGCAGGCGAGGATACGTGTCCCTCCCATTTTGACCTCGATCTCTTCAAATGTACTTTCAATTTTTTTATACGTTGTGGCGACATGAGTGCGTCCCGTCCCTACTTACCGCCTAACAGGCCGGACATTATATCTTGCATAAAATTCACAGGCTTCTGGATCTTAATCCCAAAATGTTCTTGGCCCAAAAACTCTAATTGTCCGCTGTATTGGTCGATGGATCCCGCGTAGTGGGCCTTGAGATTATTGAACAGATCGGCATTTTGTGTTTGGCATGTGAGGATCAACAACTGTAAGAAATTCAATTCTGCGTAGTCCTTAAAATACCACATTTCAAACCCATTCTTGATCACCTTTTCGCACTCAGCGCGCGAATACTCAATGAATTTGCTTAGAAACTTGTCCTTGGCGCCATAAGCGTTCTGAAAGTTTCCTATAAAAAGGTAGTTGAAGATTGGCCTGGAGAAGAACTCTCCTACCGTCTTTGTGTCACCAGACTGCAAGAACCATTCCCACAGAAGCGCTACATACTGATCAAGCGAGTCGTGAGTGCCCAGCACCAGATAGCGCTCTGCCTCATAGACATGACCACCTTCTGCAAGTTTGGAACCTATCACAGCGTGTAGGTATGGATCTCCATACTTGTACGGTCCAAATTTCACTGACCAGTTGTTCATTCCAGTCGCCACGTCTTTAATGTTTGGTTCGTCTGAATCTAAACTTGCGAGCAGCTGTACCAGTCTGGCAACGGCGACCTCGCTGACGACCACTCCTGCCACATCATACACCTCAAGAAGATAAAAAATTAGGTCTGTAGCTGATCCTCCTTGCTTGGCTTTCAAAAAAGCCTCTGCTCCTTGTGAAATCAAGTCAATAGCATCGTTGTAGCTCTTGCTCCGCACGTATCGATTCGCTATAGTCCGCAATGTTTGGTGAGCTTCATAAAAGTCACCACTTTCAATTCGTGCTTGAAAGCGAGCTAAGGTCTTGGCCAGTTTGCTACTTGAACTCATCCTCGAAATTGAACTTCTGTTTGCCAAACCGTGCGAGTGGTTTGAGCTACATGTCTGTATTATTATAATTTAACATATCAAATACTTTATTGATTAAACCAAAGAGTTCTGGCAACTACATCAACAAACCTAGAACTCAACGTTTGATACTCGCCATTATAGGGGCGCATTTAAACTTTTGAAACTGCGTTGCCAAATTCAGTTTGTTTATTTTTATTTGTGACTAAGTGACTCGTTTGTAACTTCATCGACCTTGGCTTAGGCATTGTCTGGAAACAAGAGGGCCGTAGTCGTTATCTGAAAGAAGGCAATCAGGGCTAAAAGCTTTTTATTTGGAGGCTTCTTCCGAGCTCTAGGAATTTACAAAAGCGTTACGCTCTTTTGTGTTCAACACCTAGTGATATCGGACTCGTTTACAAAAGAGCTTTGTTAACCATTTTGACATTTTTATAACACCTTCCACTAACAGCCTAAATCAAACAGCTATGACAGAATCCCATACTGCGATTCAGCTTATTGACGAGGCCAAGGAGTTCAATCCAGCCGTTTTGGATTATTTTCGTCAATGTATAAGCGGTAGAGATGTGGGCTTAGACTACCATGTAATTTCGGTCTTTGGATCACAGTCAAGTGGTAAATCCACGCTCCTAAACGCTCTGTTTGGTACCCAATTTGATACTATGAATGCTAAAAATAAGCGGCAACAAACTACCAAAGGCATTTGGCTCGGTCACACGAGAGAAGTGACCGTTGCGAACCAGGGTAAAGATGCCATTGATGATCTATTTGTTCTCGATGTAGAGGGTTCTGATGGAGCTGAGCGTGGTGAGGACCAGGATTTTGAACGGAAGGCGGCCCTGTTCGCGATTGCTGTATCAGAAATTCTGATCGTCAATATGTGGGAACAACAGGTTGGTCTGTACCAGGGAAACAACATGGCCCTGTTAAAAACTGTTTTCGAAGTCAATTTATCGCTCTTCGGTCATAGAAATGACCACAAAGTACTTCTTCTGTTTGTCATTAGAGACCATGTTGGCGTCACTCCTTTGGATAGCCTTCGAGACACCCTAGAAACAGAGTTGCAGGATATTTGGAGCCAATTGACAAAACCTGAAGGTTGCGAAAATCGGTGTCTGTATGACTTTTTTGATCTCAAATTCACGGCCTTGGGCCACAAGGTTCTTCAGCCAGACGTGTTCGCAGAGAACCTTGGTGCCCTTGGTTCTCATTTTTCTGAGAAGCCTAACTCAAAAGCCAGCTACTTCAAATCAGAATATCACCACAACTTGCCCTTGGATGGATGGACTATGTATGCGGGCAACTGCTGGAACCAGATTGAAACTAACAGAGATTTAGACCTTCCTACTCAACAAGTTCTTGTAGCGAAATTCAAAACTGAGGAGATCGCCCATCAAGCTCTTGTTCAATTCCAAGAGAGCTACCCACGGCAGCTTTTTGGTGCAAATCAGCGTCAAATGCTTATTGACACATTGCAAAGCTTAAAATCTCAGTGTTTGGGCGATTATGACAGTTTTGCATCACGATATGCGAGATCCGTATTTTTGGAAACCAGAAGTGGGCTTACAAAAAGCATTGAAGCTGAGTTTCAAAAAACTATAGCAAATCATTTGACTGCTGTCCAAGAGGCCTTGATCGCTAATTTTGAAAAAGAGTTGACAGCAAAGCCTAAGACAAAATCTTTTATCGAACACTTGACAGCCACCCAATCTGTTAGTAGCGAAGAGTTTCGGGCGTACTTGTCAGAGCTAATCAAGCTGGAAATGGTTCCATCTTTGAACGATGAAGAGAGCTCGTTTTTTACAAGCCTGGAGCAAGCTTGCACGCTTCAAAGTCAAAAGTATCTGAAACAAACTGTCATTCGCTCAGGAAAAAACATTACAACTGGTCTAAAAGAAGGTGTGGTTTACTTACTGATGCATCCTGAGAAGGACTTGTGGGATCGCGTGATGGAGAGGTTCGAGTTCGTTATCTCTCAGAGCTTGAGTAGATTTGACGTGGGTGACGGTTTGTTTGACTTTCAAACAGGGCTTTCCGATGAAAACAACAAAAAAGTATATCAGCAGATCAGATCCAAGGCGTGGCGTAGTCTCCATGAAATCGTTCACGAAAATCTCAGTGATGATAATATTGTATCGACCTTAAGAGAGCGATTTGAGAATAAGTTTAGATTTGACGAGAACGACTCTCCACGCTTATGGAAAAATGAAGAGGAGATCAACACCGCTTATAGAGTTGCGAAGGAGCACGCCTTCGAGGTCCTCGATGTGCTATCCCTCGCAGCTTCTTCGGATCACGTTGAAATAATACCTGATGTACCCATCAAATTTAATGACGGGATCGATGACGAACTTGATGGTGATGGAATGGGTGAATACGAAGACGAAAATGGTATTTATCACCAGAAAAGCTTTGCGCACATCCTGACGGCATCTCAAAGAGAGAAAGTCATACAAAAGTTCAAGCGCGAGGCTAACATTGCGGTCATTGAGGCCAAGAGATCTATTATAAAAACGACCACCCATATTCCACTCTATATCTATGCACTCTTGGCGGTTCTTGGCTGGAATGAATTTTTGATGATTGTCAGGAATCCTTTGTTCGTTACGCTGCTGCTGATAATTGGTGTTTCATTTTATGTCATTCACAAACTTAACCTCTGGAGGCCTGTGATGGCCCTCACAAACTCTGCTGTCGGTGAAACAAAAGCACTTGTGAAAGAAAAGCTTACAAGCTGGCTAGACGGACCAGATCTGGTGACACCGTCACAATCGCGCCCTGAAGCTCAGTCAAAGAACTCCTTCGAGGAATTTGAACTTCAGGATTTAAATAAAAAACCCTCTTCAGGGTCAGCAAAGCCTCAATAGTCGAAGGCCATGAAAAGTATTTAGTATATACGCTTTTCTATCGCCCTTGGGCGCTAGGCGCTACGTACGTTCTGCAGTCTTAATTGAAAGTTCATGTGACGACCTTTTTAAGCCCATTCGAGTTTGCGTGTCATTCATCACCACGATCACCAATGCGGATTGATGCGACCAAGAAGCTTGACGGAATCTGACGGTATTAATGCTCGTGATTTTAAGTCGTGGAGGGTTTATCAAGTCAACAATCAACTATATCTAGGGTCCGTGGGGTCCAAATCTAGCCGAGCTTGTACACTTTGTCTTTCAAACCTAACACAAACACCCTTTGTGGTAAAGTTCGACGCCGAAGATGTGAATAAACAGGCACTTGCGCAAGGTATAGTTGTCAGAGCTTCCGAGGGCATATTCAGTGATGTTGTAGCCCTTTTGAAGGATACCACATCGCAATGTCAGATGCTCTCACAAGAAAATTGTATGACATTTAAAAGTGTGCTATATGACAACGTGGAGGTCAAACTTACTCTTCCGATGGCGTCTGTCGGTGAGCTTGACACCCTCTTAATCTATCAAGGTACTTCCAAATGCTTGTTTAAAGGGCTGGAGCTACAGTACGACATAGTAAATGGTCTTCGAGCAATTATTAGGCAAAAAGAACAAGCCTTGTCGTTCCTGGAGGGCAGCATTCGAGATCTTGGTTTCGGAAATGTTGTTGACAAGTGGTCACCTCCCCTCTCTATGAACAATGAAGTTTTGCAAACTTTCAATTACGGAAGCTGGGTATCAAACTGGAGTAATAAATCCGTTGATCACCAGGCGTATGCTAGAAGTGCTGGTGATTTCCATGAAATGATAAACGTTCTATTCAAAAAGGCTACTGGTGTTCAAAAGTTAGGGTTTACCGATCGAATGGACGAAGAATCGATTAAGTCATCGAATAGTGATGATTTTGAAAGCCAACGGAGCGGAGGCTCTGTGGCTGAGAAGGACGCACCACAGGTTGAGCAAATGAGTACGTTGAAGAGAAATTTTGACGAGCACCTAACAGGACTTAACAGCAAGGTTGGTTTCGAAGCATCCTCTGTATCTGAGACGTTATCAAAAATTGGGGAGGACTCGAAGCATCCACCTGCGAGATCCGAAAGTCAAGACGAATCGAATTTAACTGTGGATCAATCGCCAAGCAAGAGAAGGCGTAAGTTTGGTAAGATAAGAGCAGAGCCCAAGTGAGGAACCTTCATTTTTCCATGTGTCCAGACCTACAGGCACTGGACCACCGCTCTGATAAAACGTTCAGTGCATATTTCTGAGTGTCTTCTCTGTTTTTGTAAAGGCAACGCAGAACACAAGTCCAGAAATTAATATGCTCTTCCAACTCACGCTTGTCTGAAGGAACCCTCAGTATGTGATTACCTGCTTCCCGCCACGAATCTCTGTTGAGTCCACTGCCGGTAAAATAGCTTGCGAATGTGGAAACCCAATACTTTGCAATGCAGCGACTACAGGACTGTAGGCTATTTATTTGGGCTCTCCGGTAATCTGTTAAATTCAAGTCATCGCCGTATTCCGCGTTCATGATATAATCAAGTGCAGACGGAAGAATAGCTCCAATTTCATGATAGATCTTATCTGCCGTCTTCTGGAATTCGCTATCGGGCGAAGAGCAGTCCACACTATTATTTGATTGAATAGGGCCAATATGCCCTGTAGAACTGCCTACACTATGCTCTTTTTCGTCAAGAACCTTTCTCGCTATTACTTCAGCTGACATGCCCTCCCGATAGGACACTGTCGGGATCTTTTCTGCGAGTGCTTTGAGGCAAAGGTTTTTGTCATTTGACATGAGAACAACAAAGCGGTTTAATGCATCTTTAAAGTAAATACAACAGTCAAGGATGGCATCATCCTTGGCACTGCTATGATCTAGTCTTTGATTGAGTCGCTGTCCGACGACAGCAGAGTGCAAATTCGCTAAATTTGTGTATATCCAATCATTAGCCCTGCGCGCCAGCACGCCGATGGGTTGGAAATGCAATGATGTTACATCCACTTTGGCATCGGAATTTTTGAGGCCGTCTAGTTCATGTATTACCGTTCGCGGCACCACGATTTCGTGTCCGTATTGATGTCCAGAAAGGCGTAGTTCATCTAAAATGTCCAAATGCGATATTATGAAGTTGGTATCAATCACAAATGCTGTTTTGCATTTTTCTTGCTCATATTGTGGTCCGGCAACGTCTACCTCATTATGTCGTTGTTCCGTCAATAAGTCTGAAATTGTCTGCGAGTGGGGATCTTGGTTTATATCAGACATAAGATGGTCCATATCTCTATCATCATCGCAATCATCTCTACTCTGAGGCTGTTGTGAGGTTGGAACACGGGGGGGATCAATGTTATGATCCTCGGTATGGTAGTCGAGAAAACGACGCTCTATGTCTGCAATGGTGTATTTTTGACCCCCCAGTCGACTTCCGTCACTACCCAAAAGATTCCTAGCTTTTTTGGAGTTCATGGATCTGTTCATTTCCATCAAAACGCTACCCTTTAGTAACAACTCTCGGCGGATAAGTTTTAACTAAAAACCGTGTCTCAATAACGAAAGTATCATCACAAGTCACGCGAGTGGCTTTTGTTTCTATTGAACTTGAGCATTTGAGTGTTCAAGACATTTAAAGATCAATCAACACAAGTGTAGTTTGGCATTCACTAAAGGTGAGATTTAAAAAGTATATAGCAATTTGAGAGAATAAGATATGAGAAAAAGGTGTAGGACGAGCGAGTTTCAAAAAGAGGAGTGGTACTTCTGCAGACAGAATGTGTTTCAAGTAAACACGATCAGACAATAATGTGACAGTTGAAGTTTGCTTCAAGCTGCGCACTATGAGAACGACAATTAACTCCGGAAAAAAAAACACGGATTAGCGGGAATGGGAGAGCTCAAAGGTTTTCCCACCGATAGTTGGCGTGGATTGCTTATGACGGTCAATGGCCCAGCAGGAACTGGAGAGGCACTCCGGGCTGTGAGACTCAGCGACAACCAGTAGAGCCAAAGGACTTCGATCCTTTTAGCTCGTTGCCGTCCAGGTGGGGCACGAAGCCCCAAATGCCTCCACAAAAATCACCAAGCTGGGGGTTCGAGTGAAAAAAAACGTCAAACGACAATTTTGATATTCTTCCTCCCCGTCAAATAATATACGCACACAACGAACCTCTGTCTCTCGCCGTCATCCCCGGTGACAGCCGTGACAACTTTTGTTTCTTACGAAAAAAAACCAGGAGTCCATCGTGAATCGCAGTTCTCATCTTGCGAACGTTGTACGTCTCCAGTCGGACACAAACCCCAAGCCGCGGTCCGAGCGCAATGCGACAGCATGCTCATAGTGCTCGTAACGACAACAACGCTCCGAAGGGCTCGCTCGTACTCAGTCCTCAGATCTGACTCTCGAATTGTGATAGGTGAATTGATTTTGACCGATGTGAATTTTGATTTGAGATAATAAAACAGTTAAAAAAGGCTCGCACGGAGGGCAGGGCACAGTTTTCAGCTTATCTCAAACGACGGGCTTCACGTTCAGACTCCATCAACACCAAGATGTCGTTTTCTCTGACTGGACCCTTCACGTTTCTGACGATGGTACGGGAAGTGTCGTCCAAGAACTCAACACGGACTTGAGTGACACCACCACGGGAGCCGGTACGGCCCAAAACTTTGATAACCTTGGCTAGAGTAACTGGGGTCTTGGAGTCCATCTTTGAATATGTTTCTCGGTAATTTTTATTAAACACAAGAGTGAGGCCTGCGAGGTAAGGTTGATCAAACTTGCAAGAGCTTTTTCTTTAGCTGGCCTAGTCTGAAAAATTTTTCAGAATGAGACCTGAAGCGCCAAGCAGGTGAAAAAAATCGATGAGTTGTGCGTGGTGTTTTTCGACGAATGTCTTCGGGTAACCTTTAGGGCCTAAGCTTAAATCAACAGTCGAAGCTCAAAGATCAGCGGCCCAATCCAACAGTCCGCGCTCAAACGGCTGCAACGGTAAGTAGCAAACATGGGACTATAATTCAAAAGTTGATTTCCCCTGTTACTTAAACTTTTTCGAGCGGATTCTCCTAGCAAGCTCGTCCTCTGGCAGATGCAAGAGATCTTTAATGTCACCCACGAACTGCGACATTTGGGAAATATCTTGATGAAAGCTGTCCTTTAGCTGGTCAAACATCTTTTGGTACTTCTGTGACAGTTCCAGGCATATTTTGTGCGAGAGTTCTTCGTTGATGATCATCATCTTGCGACTGAGCTCACTTGAAAACTGGGTGATAGAGCTGAAGATCTGCTCTTGTAGCTGGTGGGTGAACGAGTGACCCAGTAGCTCCATGGCGCCCAATGAAGGCTGAGCAGATTTTATTGGGGTCGCCAAGGTTGTCGATTCAAGATTGGTAGACTCAGCGGCAGCAGTCCCGACTTTTTCAGCGCCTTTAAGCTCTCCGCGTATTGTCACCGCCGCACATTCTTTGGACTGCCAAGGTAACTCTTTTGGTGACCTTGTCTCGTACTCGTCTGCCCTCTTTTCGACTCTCCTCTTCTTCTCACCTACAGGACACTCCCGAATGGGTTTAGCCGGTTTCCGCTTTTTACCACTTGCTCTAGTCTCGTCGCCTGTTTCAATTTCATGTACAGCTTCCTCTAAAATCTTGACGGGACCCTTGAGCCTTTTCAAATTGGGACACGAAGCATTATTTTCCATATCGCCAAAGATGCGGTCCAACTGCAGAATATCTAGCTTAGTGATGGATTTCGCGGCCATAGCTTCTTGCTTCTTCGTGGACGAAACTTGTTGGTTTAGACTAGACCGTTTTGTGCTGGGCCAATCGCCCTCTAGAGAAACACATTTGGATAATTTCGATGTGGGGTTTTCGGTGTCGTGCTTGCTCTTTGTTTGGTCTTGTAGCTTTTTATTGGCTCTTGCTTGTTTACGATTCTGTGCTAATACCAATGGCGATTGTTCCTCATTTGGATATGCATTTACGTCTCTGTTCATCTTTCCGTTGTTACCAACTGGTGGTGGAGACATAAATATTTTCTCACCATGGATCGAACGGCTCGAAGCGTCGAAGTCCCACTCGTCCTCTTCGATTGGTGCTGCGTGATTCTGGCTGCCCTTCTTTATTTTGAATTTTGGAAAAGTTAGTTTAAGCGGTTTGGTCTTGAGCTTACTAACAGGGCTCGGCAATTCAACAGCACTCGCTACTTGATGTTTTTGAGAATTTGTGATTAAGCCTGTCTTAGGCGGCTCTGTGTTAGCAAGCGATCCAAGGGCCCCTGCCGATTCTTTCATTGCTAAAGATTGGGGAGCAGATGCGAAAGATTGTGACTCGCTGGTTTGGCCAGAGCTCGATGTATTGACATTCAAAGAAATAAACGAAGATGCTTCACTCACCTTGCATTTACGACAGCTTTTTGTCGCTTTTATTGCGAAGGTCTCGTCAACTAACTCCAGAACAAAAAGGGCTGCAGATGTCCAAGATTTGGTCGATTTTTGGCCATATGGGAAATACGAGATACCTGTATAATCTTTGAGCTTCAGTCTGAAGATTCCAGTGGGTGTGACGCTGCTATCAAAATTCTTCACTTCAAACTCTACAACGTCTCCATCATCCTGCCAAAAATATAGCAAGTCTCTGGTATATTGCAAATAATCCACGTTTTTGCATACCTTTAACTGGCTCGGGTTGGCCAACGACGTGAACCGAAATGATTTGACGGCTCCAACAGTTGCGAACGGTCCGAACCATTTTTGAACGAACTCAGTCAGCGTGTGTTTCTCGTCACCCGTATTGTTAGGATATCTGGGATCGTTAAAGAAAGCTTTATTTCTACGCGAATCATCCCAGAACTGGGGGCCCGTCTCCTGGTCCGGTTCAACAGGTGTCATTGGAATTTTGGGGAATATCAATACTAACAGTTTAACCATATACATGGCGAATTGAAAGTCTGATGATTTATCCAGCTTGCGAGAAAGACTACAACGGTACCCCATTTGCAAATGCGATGCCAGTATTGGTATGGAGCGGTCTTTGTGTCTGGTAGCAATCCCGAGTATCAGCGCAATACTTTTCCAGGCATCTGGTGTGTCGCAACTTGTACTCAAATCCAGTAACGTTCGAAATATGCGTGGCTCGAAAAGGGTAGGGTTTTCCCAGATTGAAAGATTCTGTGGAGAGCTTTGTTGTTAGAATGGTTGTACTGCTAAGTAATAATTCTCAAAAAGGGCCGGGGACATACCATCAGCTCGCGCCAAATTCCGATCCTTGCATATTCAAATTCTGACGCTTGGTTTGATCCGCTCAGACACTCCACCACAAGGTCAACAGCCGCCCACTTGTAGTCTACAGAGCTATTCTGGATGGTTTTAAACAGCCTAGAGACCTGCCTGTGTGATGGTAAACGCTTGTAATTGTTTAGGTCCAACTCCCTGCGCGATCGCCATTGGTGGATAAAGCTAGACTTTTTGTTGCCAGTATCGCTTTGGATAGCTCGTTCCAGCTCTTCCCAACACATCCCGGTGTGGTGAGTATCCTTTTAGCAAGCTTTTCGGCTGACCTTGGGCGTTTGCTCTGGTGTTGTTTGTAACATGTACTAAAGGTTTTGAAATGTTTAGCCGCCGTGCTCAAACGCATACTGATTAGCGTTTAACGTATTATGTGATCTAGCTGGAACTTATCTAGACTTGAGTTTACCACACTCAAACAAAAGCTTAGAAATCCTACTGAGCCGCTTCATGTGGTACTGGGACTTTATATAAGCTGCTGGAAAGCTTGCGATCTTCTCTCCAAATTCGTTAGCACAATGTCCTTTTGCCGATCGATGACGAACAGGCGTCAGCGGCTATTGTCAAATTGATTGATGCTTGATAGCCTAAGGGCCCTACCTTAGCTCAATTTGAGTTGACGTAAACAATGTTGTGCTTGTTCCGATTACTCGACGATACTATAAATCGTTTCTACATTTCCTGGATTTTCATGAGAATGTTGAAAATGTGATTGGGTTTGAAATTATTCCACAGCTCTTACAAATATTGGAGTCCGGTACATTTTGAAATGTCATCTAGAAGTTTATGGCTTGGGGGATTGGCCAAACCACCTCTTGAGCCTGAGCTCAAATATCCTCATATTAAACCAAGGGAAGAGCATGTTGCTTTAGTCGTTGTTAGTGATCGTGATTTAACATGTTGGGTCGACTCATCGAAAAAAGTAGGCACTATCTATCGTCTCAACTGCCATAAGCTTAGTTGCCAAGGCTTTGCAGATGAGTTCTGTGGATGAATTAGCGGTCCTTTTCGGACAGGTGGGCTTCGAAGAGCCCAAAGTGAAGGAGATCGTGAAGAACAAGAAGGTTTCAGCTTCGTTGAAATGCCTTGTCCAGGATGCGCCAGAAGGCCAGCAGTGGGACAAATCCAAGAGAACTCTCGTACACAACCTTGCTCAGTTAATCAAAGGTGGCGAGCTAGCCAATCAGAGACTAATTGTGGAGGAAATTTTGAACGGGGATCTCAAGACCCCATTACAAGTCGAGGCGGGTTATAAGTACTTGAATCAGGCGCAGGAAGGGGCAACTCTCGAGGAGCTGAAAGAGCAATCAGGCGTTGGAATTGTAGTCACAGAAGCTCAAGTCAGAGAACGTGTGATCCAGTTTATCACTGAAAACAAGGAGAAAATCGTTGTAGAGAGATATAAACTGGTTCCGGGAATTCTGGCTAATGTCAAAGGTTTGCCGGAGCTCAAATGGGCAGAGCCTCGCCTTTTTAAACCAATTATTGATGAAGAAATTTTGAAAGTGTTGGGTCCCAAGGATGAAAGAGATGTGGTCAAAAAGGAAAAGAAAAAGAAGGCCAAAGAAGGAGCAAATGGCGCAACCACTGCCTCTGCAACGTCTGAAGGCGAGAACAATTCCAAGAGAACCATGTTTACGGAAGGGTTCCTCGGGGATCTTCACAAGGTAGGTGAAAATCCTCAAGCTTATCCAGAACTCATGCCCGAACACATCAAAGCTACGGGTGGGAAGGTGCGCACCAGATTTCCTCCTGAACCTAATGGTTACTTACACATTGGACATTCCAAAGCGATCATGGTTAACTTTGGGTTTGCCAAACATCATGGTGGAGTTTGCTACCTAAGATTCGACGACACCAATCCTGAAGCAGAGGCCCCTGAGTATTTTGAGTCCATTAAAAACATGGTATCATGGCTGGGCTTCAAGCCTTGGAAGATAACGTACTCATCTGATTACTTCGATCAACTATATCAACTAGCCGAGACTTTGATCAAAAATGGCAGAGCCTACGTCTGTCATTCCACCCCCGAAGAAATCAGACGTGGCCGTGGTATTCGGGAGGACGGTACCCCTGGCGGGGAAAGATTCGGTTGTAAATACCGGGAAAGATCTGTTGAGGAGAATTTGCTTGAGTTCAGAAAAATGAAAGACGGAGTTTATAAACCTGGCGAGGCTACTTTGAGAATGAAACAGGACATGTCTTCCCCTTCGCCACAGATGTGGGATCTAATCGCGTACAGAGTTTTGGATGCACCTCATCCAAGAACCGGCGACAAATGGAAAATATATCCGACGTATGATTTCACACACTGTTTGGTGGATTCCTTTGAAAATATCACCCACTCTCTTTGCACAACAGAATTCTATTTATCAAGAGAAAGCTACGAGTGGTTGTGTGACCAGGTTCATGTCTTCAGACCTGCTCAAAGAGAATATGGTAGACTAAACATCACCGGAACCGTGTTATCTAAAAGAAAGATTGCCAAACTAGTTAACGAACACTTCGTGAGAGGTTGGGATGATCCACGTTTGTTCACCTTAGAAGCCATTCGCAGACGTGGTGTCCCACCCGGAGCAATTCTTTCGTTCATCAATACGCTAGGTGTGACGACAAGCACTACCAATATTCAAGTTGTTCGTTTCGAGTCCGCCATCAGAAAATATTTGGAGGATAACACCGCGAGATTGATGATGGTCTTGGATCCCATTGAAGTGATCGTGGACAATCTACCTGAAGACTATGAAGAGCTAGTGACGATTCCATATAGACCTGGTACTCCGGGTTTTGGGGAAAGAACAGTCCCCTTCACCAATAAATTTTACATCGAAAGATCTGATTTCTCTGAGGCTGTGGATGACAAGGAATTTTTCCGGTTGACACCAGAGCAATCTGTGGGGCTCATTAAAGTACCCTACACCGTTTCCTTCAAGTCTTTCGAAAAGGACGCTGAGGGCAATATCCTGAGAGTTCATGTCAAATACGACAATGAAAACGCCAAACCCAAAAAACCCAAAACTTACATCCAATGGGTACCAGTCTCCCGCAATTACTCTTCGCCTGTGCGCATCACTGAAACCAGAGTTTACAATCAATTGTTCAAGTCGGAAAATCCATCTTCTCACCCAGAAGGATATTTGCACGACATTAATCCCGACAGCGAAGTTGTTTTCGAAAGGTCAGTAGTGGAGCACAACTTTAATTATGTTATGCAAAGGTCTCCTTGGGTTGTAGACAGTACCAAACAATCGGAATTTTACGTCGAAGAGGAACAAGGGCGCAAGGAAGTTTGCAGATTCCAAGCCATGAGAGTTGGGTACTTTACCCTTGATAAAGACACTGAGCAAGACAAGATTGTTTTGAATAGAATTGTCAGCTTGAAAGATAGCAGCAAATAAGTAGATCTGTACTACATCGCTGAATTTTCCCCCAGCTGCGAAAATTCCAATGTTTTTCCTTATGCACGATGAACTAGCTAAGTATGTGCATATTAATTAATATCAAAAATTTTGGCTATATGAAGTCATCTCCTCTAAACTCTTCTGAAAATCCAAGAAGAATCTAACATAAAGAACACAATGTCTGGTCGCCAAGGTGGTAAGTTGAAGCCACTCAAATCCAAGAAGAAGTCCCAGCAGGATTTAGACCCTGAAGAAGCCGCCTTCAAAGAGAAACAGAAGGCTGACGCCGCTGCCAAGAAGGCTTTGTTGGACGGCATGAAAGGTGGCAAGAACTTGGTCAGTGGTGGTATCAAGAAATCCGGCAAGAAATAATGCCTCTAAGAGACTCTGAAGTATTGTGTTTTGGTCAGTAACATTGTGCTCCCGAGCGCAACCATCCCACGGTTTTTAGTTTCTACGTACCGATTCCTTCAATAATCTAACTGAACCCAAGTGCGGCATTCAATAGTCAATTACTTAATGTTTTTATCTTGAGCAGCGCCCGCAGCGGTGTGTTCTCAGTCCCCATCTGACATACGTTGAGCCCATCCTGCAGCAAGCTTATTGTTAGTTAAGAGGATCGGAATGTGAAGATTACTGCAACAAAGTTGGGTACATGCGGCCCATACATTAGATGACGGAGGGCAACCGATGGCCGTCATCCTCCAATATTGTGGATAAGTTTGGTGTATATGCTATTGTACGAAATTTACTTAAAATGTATGTGGTAAGAGCCCCAATTTCTCACCTTTATAGCAGCAACTGATCTACATTAACCAAGTCAGGACTCACTAGTTTCGACTACCCTCCAGATGACTGGCAGTAGAACCGGAAAGTCATTGACTAAATACAAAATTGTCTTCCTTGGGGAGCAGGGTGTAGGTAAAACCTCGCTAATAACCAGGTTCATGTATGACACCTTTGATGATCATTATCAGGCAACTATCGGCATAGACTTTTTATCCAAAACCATGTATCTGGACGATAAGACCATCAGACTGCAGCTGTGGGACACCGCAGGACAAGAAAGATTCAGATCACTTATTCCATCTTACATCAGAGACTCGCATGTAGCCATAGTGGTTTACGATGTGACCAACAAAAAATCATTCGAGTACATCGACAAGTGGGTGGAGGACGTTAAATCAGAACGTGGGGAGGAAAACGTTGTCCTTTGTATTGTAGGTAACAAGAACGATCTTGCTGATGAACGTCAAGTTTCTACTGAGGAAGGTGAACGAAAGGCCCAGGTATTGAACGCCAAGATTTTCATAGAGACCTCAACAAAAGCAGGTTTCAATGTCAAAAACCTATTCAGAAAGATAGCCAAGACGTTGCCAGAATTTCAAAAATCGGACACCGTTCCCTTGGACGACAAATTTCCCGCCAACAAACCGGACGTAATTGACATTACGACAAACAACGACGATGAAGAACAAACTAGCTGTCAATGTTAGCTAATGGGTTGGCAATTTTAATAGAAGGTGCCTTTGCTCCTTTTTTCCATTGATTTTCAGAGCCCCGGTGCGCACAATTCGGGAACCTTTGTAATGTTTCCCTTTATTCCTGTATTATATTTGTATGATCTGACTAAACTGTATGCTAACTTGTCGACCATGCGGTAATATTGTGGCGCATGTCGGGGATTGACGGAAAAGTACGAGATTGGGTTAAAACGTGTCTAATTCAGCGCCTTATGGGCGCTAGATCCATAAATTTAGTTTGCTACATATTTTCAAAATCCGTCTCCACGTAGGAACCATTATACGACAATGTTTTGCACAACCCAGGTAAAACTTCAACTTGCAATGGCTCAAACGGGAACTTCTCGCCGTCCACTGATATTACGCTGTTTTCCATTTTTGGAATCAACCGGTAGGCCGAAACTTTTGAGTGAATAACTTCAGGTTGCAAAACATGGCTCCCTTTGTCCAACGAAAGTAATATTGGTGCCATTCTAGTCAAAGATGTTCTAGCATCGGTTAGAACAAGATCGAAGCTACCGTCGCAAGGTAGAGCAGCAGGGAAGAACTTGGTGTTCGGTGCAATGTACGGCATCTTGCCAGAATAGAAAATGCCAAGATTGTTTGTTACTGCTGGGTCAACCACCTCCCAGTCCTCTGGAATTTCTTCGGATATGGAATACTTCAATTGAAATTGGGCTTCTTCAATTTCCTCTTGCCTCGTGTTGTCAATAGTTGATCCACTGGCGTTACCCTCTTGCTTCTTCTTATGAAAGTTGTAATGATCTCTCAGTTCGTTTTTGGTTTTAGCTGAATACTTGACATAGAGCTCACAAGGATACTTCTTGCGTTGCAAAATATTCACGAAAACACCCAATTCGAATCGAGAAGGTCCCATCCATCGAATAAACTCTGTGTTAATATCAGATTCAGCAATAATGCCGTAGGTTTGACTCAAAAATGAAACCCTTGGCTGGTTTTTGTAGGATTCCTGTGTGCAGCACATTAAATCAATCCTTATTTCAGGGGCCTTTACCACGCTCAACGCGGCATACGTAGGATTTAACGTTCCGTGGCATGACAAACTCATCGCGTTACCCGACCCGCAAGGTAACTGCGTTATTGCCAATTTTTTGAATGCCTCTGCGCGATCTTCTCGCTGAAAAAGCCCGTTGAGTACTTCGTGAGGTATTCCGTCGCCTGAAGCGCAGGCGACAATGTCGTACTTGTCAAGTTCGATTGTTCGAGCAAGCTCCATGGCATGGCCCTGGTGAGTGGTGTCCACTTCCTCTACGTCACAATTGCTTGCAATCAAAATTGGTTTAACTTTTGACAAGAATAATTTTTTAGCCTGGCCCTTGCCCCCATGTGGATTGACTAATACCAAAATGGACTTTCCTGGTCTGCTGTACTTGTAGCTTCGCTGCATCAGAGTTTCCACGATATCTTCACCTACAAGGGTTGTTCCGAAGCGCAGAAGTAACTTCTTGGGTACTAAATCTTGGCGCCGCGGTTTGGCAATAGTCACCTCGATAAGTGAGGATAGCAGCTCTGCACATGGATCTCCCGGAACAGTATCTTGGCCGCTTGTCACGTCATCCCGGTAACTAGAAAGCTCAGTTGTCACTTCGCATACTTTCCGAGCATGTAGGATTTTCGCATACGGTATTAAAGTGTTGGCAGGCAACGACCGCCCGCCGCGAGTCTCACTCAGGCTCTCATTATCACTAAGACATGTCACACAGCTGATTAAAGAAGTGCTCTCAAGGCTCGAGCGAGCTGTAGATTCCTGTTGGTCTCCAAACGGATCAGAAGCCGCATCGAAAACGTCTGGGCTGTTCTTCACGTCATCGGCTGATAAAGACTGTTGATCTTTAATCATGACACCCGTATCTGTCAAAATGGCTCGACTATAATTGTGCATATAAGATTTGAGCTTCCTCATGATGACACTCTTGGCCCGTAGTGGATTCCTCAATGCGATAAAATTTACGCTATCTTCGATCTTCAAGTCAGAGTCCTTGTTGGCTCAACTGACAGCTGACAATTAACCCGCACCTACAGATAAAGTTGCGAGTGAATCAACTTTTCTAATCAAACTTAAATGATTTTTGTTTACTCTCGAGCTGTTGAAGGAAAAGTGTGATAAGATGAGATGTTCAAAGATATATATTAATTAGTTCTACACACCGTAAAAGCCAGAGGTGAAGAGGAGCGCAAACCCAAACACGATCTAGGTCGAGTTTTCAACTTGCTTTGAATTATGCTCTTGGCTTTCCATCTACTATCAAAAGGGCGGCGGTGGGCGTGAAAGGTTATTTTATACTATAAAAGAGGCCACCTTTTTTACTCAGCTCCAGCTATCGAAGCATAACACTGAGTATCAATTGCACCAATAATTAAGCGCTTAGTAGACCGGCTTGAACTATTAAAGCTTTCCGACGCGACGCATTCCAGTTTCCATGTCACACCAGTAATATGCACCCACGGCAACTGTAAAGAGAAATGTGTTAGGAATATATGGCATTCGTGAATTACCTGTGCGATCACTGATTACCGCGACTAACAGAGGTTCTGACCAACCTGTCAGAAGACCAAGCATTATTTCGAGCCCGAAGAATTGGTTTTCTTTCTCCTTCGGCAACATGGTACTATAAAGCACACGATTTATTGCCCTGATAGCACTGCTGGTGCCCATAAATAATATAAGGCCCAACCAAAATTCCCACCTGTGTTTGTACCCGATGAAAATTTGGGAGCTTGCCCCCAAAGCGCCCCAGAAGTTGGCTAACCACCCAAAGAACAGTAAAGAAAACAAAGATTTTTTTACGAGCTTGATATTGTCGGAGTTGGATGTCTTTTGACCAACAAAATTGTAAAGTAGCATCCACACCAGTGAGCCCAAGAGGGCCAAAATATTTGCCATCAGCTGCCATACGGTGTATTCGGCGTTAGAGGTTGTGATGCCGAGCGTAGAACGAAACATTAAGCCGTTTACTGAAAGAAAATTTGAAAACGAAATATTCCAAAGTACCCAAGCCACGACAAACTTCATTGCCTCCTTGTATTCCCAAAAATCACGAAAGATCTCCACGAGCTTGCAAAATGGCAGCTTCAAGAGCTGCGCAAATAGTGGTTCTGTTTCATCCAACACTAATTGCCTCCCACGCAAAGAGGGTACAAAGCAAACTGATATGCCACCGACTACTACAGTCATCACACCGGCAGAGGATATTGCGATCAAATAGTTCCGCACATTTGTGCTATTAGGGCGCCCCACAGAGTAACTAATTATAGCGCCAACAATTAACGCTACGATACCACCAAGATTGCCCATGATTAAGGCGAGAGCACTCACCTTGGATCCTCGTTCTAAGGCGATACTTCCTTTCCCATTCGCATAATAGGTCGACGTCACCTTTTGGGTAGCTGCAAACATAAATATCGGCACGTAAGAACCTTCGATGATTTGGTAAATTGTTTCGATCACCAACATCAAACAATAAATCACAGAGGCGGTAATCAAGGAGACTGTCGTCTCTGAATCCAGTGCGGCAAAAGGACATGCCAATACTCCGAACACTACAATTGAAGCTAACAACAACCATTTCCGGTAATTGCTATAGTCGGCCACAGTCATTATCAAGGTAGCCACAAGGCCTTCCAAAGCTGTATAAATCGCTTTGAGGTACAACACGTATGTGTATTGTACAGTTGCCGCTCCGAAGCTAACATAGCAGTTGTCGCCCGTCGGTAGACACTTCAGCGTCGAATTTTTTTGGTGTCCCACAGCATGGGCAAGTGATTGAATAACGGCGGGTATGTATACTTTAGTCATAGAAGACGTGGGGCCCGTTGAAAAGCAAACCAGAAGCCAAGCGCAGAAAACTTCCCTTCTAGTCCACTTAGAGGACTCCTCTGTGGGTGCTTCTCTTTCGGCAGTGATGGTGATCCCGCTACCTCCTGCCCTGGATATGTCGACGTGCACAGCTGAATCAGTAACCACATTTTTATCTACTACCCGGTGACTTCCTTGAGGACCTATGGAATGATCATGCTCGGTCGCGTAGCGGCGTGCTAAATTCATCAGCTTTGTGGTGCTATTCAAGTGAGCATTCTTGCTCCTGCATGATGATTCTTCTTATAGTAATGTGTCCTGAAAAGTTTCATTTTGAGACTCAGTAGGTTATTTGCTACAATTGTCCAGCAGTAAATCTCCATTAAGGCTCGAAATTTAGGACTTTTTCCCCTTAGATGGAGGAACACATTTGTGACACGGGTGTATTGGTGGCCCGGTACAACTCAATGAATTGTAAATCTGGACATTAATAGTGGCTTTATGAGGAATAAAAGAACGACAGAATCTTTACCACACGTAATCTTACCAAGGCCAAGGTGATATAAGTGAATGTCAGTGGTCAATTCGTTTGCTTTAAATTGTATTTATAACGGCTTACAGAATAACCATCTTGATACTTTCCCTCACGGTACTTATTTTTGTTCCCATGCCTTTGCGCGTGCTATCGCTGTGTGAGGTCGAGCAGAAGCATCACCAAGATAGAACATAAAACAGAGCCACTAAGTTTGATCTTGACGGACAACAGTGGCTACTGAACCGTTGTGTTACACAGCTTGGCAAAAATTGGTCGGCCAGGCCCATGACTACCAGCACCATTTGGTACAGAAATGTCGTCAAATTACTTTGATACTTTATAGACCGAAATCGCGTGTTATATTAAAATATCCATATGTTTTGGATATATAGCACCGTTTTCGTGGCGCCGAGTTGCAGAATGGCGAACATCAAAGTAGTGTCAATTTACTACGAAGTGATATTGGCAGCGTCACTAAAACGAGACTGTCCAAGATGAATAAACAACCTCCAGGGCCCAGAGACAATACAATAACATAGAGATGCCCTGGCACATCTTGCAGATATTAGATGACCTAACAGGCCACCTACTTGGTGGAACTGTTGAGCCATCGGGGCCCCACTGCACCCAGATCATTTATGCGTGGAAATAAATACTGCGCCGACTTCGGGTCTACGTCCCAGATATGGACCAGAATATAGTCCAAGTTGTCGCGAAGCGCGACCAGAGGGCACCTTGTAAACTCCAGATCAATAATCTAATAGCCGATATATAATTCACGTCGCTAGTAAATGAATAAAGCGAGCAGTTTGGCAAGTTAATTACTGGTGGCACTGGCTCTCTCCGATAAATATGCAAGCCAAGTGGTCAGTGCTAAGACTTTTACTTCAAGTAATGACGATAGACATCACTCCATACTAAAGCATCAGGCTCTGATTCGATGATTTGAGTAAGGGTAGGAAAACATGGGTCTTTTTCAGGAATTGACACAAGAAGTCTATTTCTCTTTCAAGAAACTTGATTGGACTTCGAAATATCAATCAAGATGGCTCCGGCGTCAGTTTTAGTGACAGATATTGGTTAATCAGTTAGAAACTTCAAGCCGGAATTTTCTAGAGCGAAAAATTTTTTGCCGGGTAACATGAAATTCATCAAGTATATAAGAGGTGCCATCATTTAAGCTACGGCCCTTTAAACTCTAGCAGGCGAACGCATTTTACAATAGAGCTCTGCCCTAAACGACAGCCAACAATTGCGCTGTAAAGTTGTGTTAGTTAATCGTTGTCGCAGAAAATAACAGGGCAATATGTTGAGAGCTACTAGAGGAACTTTGAACAAACGTGTGACGTCTGTTTTGCGCCGTAATTACTCCTCTCACAAGGAGTTAAAGTTTGGCGTTGAAGGAAGAGCGGCTCTTTTAAAGGGTGTTGAAACGTTGGCCGAAGCTGTGTCTGCTACTTTAGGTCCTAAGGGTAGAAACGTGCTCATCGAACAGCCATTTGGAGCGCCAAAAATCACAAAGGATGGTGTGACAGTGGCAAAGGCCATTACTTTGGAGGACAAGTTCGAGAATATGGGCGCTAAGCTATTGCAAGAAGTTGCTTCTAAGACCAATGAAGCTGCGGGTGATGGTACCACGTCGGCTACCGTTTTAGGTCGTGCCATCTTTACCGAGTCTGTGAAGAACGTGGCTGCCGGCTGCAATCCCATGGACCTCAGGAGAGGTACCCAGGCCGCTGTTGAGAAGGTCATTCAGTTTTTGAGTGCGAACAAAAAAGAAATCACCACATCTGCTGAAATCGCTCAAGTGGCCACTATCTCTGCGAACGGAGATGCACATGTCGGAAAGCTCTTGGCTTCTGCCATGGAGAAAGTTGGAAAAGAGGGTGTCATCACTATCAAAGAAGGTAGAACGTTGGAGGATGAATTAGAGGTTACAGAAGGTATGAGATTCGACCGTGGGTATATCTCCCCTTACTTCATCACTGACGCTAAGTCTAACAAGGTGGAATTTGAGAAGCCTTTGCTTTTGCTCAGCGAAAAGAAGGTCTCTTCGATTCAAGACATCTTACCTGCCTTGGAGCTCTCTAACCAAACGAGAAGACCTTTGCTGATCATCGCCGAAGACATCGATGGCGAAGCATTGGCCGCCTGTATTCTTAACAAGCTCAGAGGCCAAGTGAAGGTGTGTGCTGTCAAGGCACCAGGTTTTGGTGATAACAGAAAGAACACATTGGGTGACATTGCCATTCTATCTGGCGGTACCGTCTTCACGGAAGAATTAGACTTGAAGCCAGAAAACTGCACACTAGAACACCTAGGATCTTGTGACGCCATCACAATAACTAAGGAAGACACCGTGATTCTCAACGGCAATGGTAGTAAAGATAACATTACCGCCAGAATTGAGCAGATCAAAAATTCTATCGATTTGACGACGACCAACTCTTACGAAAAGGAGAAGCTACAAGAGCGTCTTGCCAAACTCTCAGGCGGTGTGGCCGTGGTGAGAGTTGGTGGCGCCTCTGAAGTTGAGGTCGGTGAGAAGAAGGATCGTTATGATGACGCTTTGAATGCCACCAGGGCTGCGGTTGAGCAAGGTATCTTGCCAGGTGGTGGTACTGCGTTGTTAAAGGCCTGTAAGGTTTTGGACGAAGTCAAGACCGACAACTTTGATCAAAAATTGGGCGTTGATATCATCAGAAAGGCCATCACCAGACCCGCCAGAAAGATCATTGAAAATGCTGGCGAAGAGGGTTCCGTTATCGTTGGTAAAATTATTGACGAGTACGGAGCTGACTTTACTCAGGGCTACAATGCTGCCAAGGGTGAATACACCGACATGTTGGCTGCTGGTATCATTGATCCTTTCAAAGTCGTGAGATCTGGTTTAGTCGACGCCTCCGGTGTTGCGTCCTTATTAGCCACTACCGAGGTTGCTATCGTGGATGCTCCACAACCCCCAAGCGCCGGTCCACCAGGTGGTATGCCTGGTATGCCTGGTATGATGTGAGGGGATCATTTCATCGGGTATATAATGAAATTTAAACATGTAAATATTAATTGACCTTCTCTGGAATGAATTATAAATTCATATCAAAGACCTAACTTTATACAAGGTGTCCACTTCCAGATTCAAATGAATAGCCCGACTGTTGCGAATACGGTTTATGTTCGTTTTCACAATTTGGGCATCTCTAATGTCTAAAGCCAAATCAAAAACAAAAAAAGATAAATTACGGCAGTACAGTGTACGTGTTGTGGTAGCCGACCTTGAAAGATTATGCTTCTATCGCTTCATCCTCCAAATGTCCCAATATCATCCAATCTTCGAAACCATCATCCCAAACCTTAGCTAGCTTTTCATCCGCCACTAAAGCATCGTTACTCGAGGTAATTTTTTGATAAAGGTCGTACTCTTTATCGTTCAACAGACAAGAATCCAGTGCTTTTGTTAGAGACTGTATGTTGATACTCAATCCGATGAAAACTATTTCGTTACGGCGGTCTCCGTACGGACCGTCGTAATCCTTTTTCACCAGCGCAAGGGCCTCAGGTGGGACATCTTCCAATCCAGATACCGCAAACCATGGTAAACCCCCCTTAATCGTCAGCATAGAACCGGCACTAGACCATTCGCCTCTAATAATGTGCCTTGTTGCGAGCCAGAAAAATCCCTTAGATCGCAAAAGAGTGCCAAATGGGGAGTTTCCTCTGTTTTGGTTAATTTCCTTTTCCGACAGCTCAACCATTTCCTCATCAAATTCCCTGTTTTCATGATCATTAGCACAACTATCGTCATCACTTTCTTCTTCTTCATATACAGATTCCCTACCGTTCTCATTCTCTTCATGGTCACCTCCATCAAAACCTTCTTGCTCAATTACGAAAAACTTGTCCTTTATCATATCATGCAACCGTTCTGGATGGAATGGTCTTCGTCTGCGGTAGACAAAGTTGTTCACGCCATATTCTTCGGTTTCTGGCATTGGGGTCAACACGCTTTTGGTTTTGTCGCCAAATCCCTCTCTTTTGGTCATTTCGTTGATGCTTTGCAGCCAACCGGCTGAAGTGGAAGCTTTTTCAAAGTCATACAGGCCAGTGTCTAATACTGAGTCCAAAGGTACATTACAGTAATCAGACGTTATGACACTGCATAAGGGGTTTAATGCCGTGATCATTTTTTTGATCTTTTCAAGCTTCTTTTTATTGACGAGGCTTTTCTTGTTGACAATCACTACATTGGAAAATTCGATTTGATCTACCAGAAGGTCGGTGATAGTACGTTCGGACTCGCCTTGTCCCGATTCGCCCCACCTATCTGCCAAGAATTGGGTGGTGTTGACGTTATTCAAAAAATTCATAGCGTCAACAACAGTCACACATGTGTCAATCTTAGCCAAGGCTTCTAGACCACCCAACCGCGACACATTTCTTAGAATCACCTCTTCTTCTTCTGGAATTCCACCCGGAGTCTTAAGCAACATATCTGAGAATTCTTGGGCGAATGTTTCTGCCACTTGCATAGGTTCAGCGATGCCCGTGGACTCGATCACAATGTAGTCGAAATCGCCTCGTTCTCCGATACGAACTAGTTCTTCTAGTAAGTCCCCACGAAGTGTACAACAAATGCATCCATTTTGCAATTGGATCAGTTTCTCTTCCTTTTGGCACACTTTGTGGTCCTGGATCAAAGAGAAGTCCACGTTCAATTCAGACATGTCATTAATAATAACAGCAATCTTGTATCCATGGTCAGCCATCAAAATTTTTTCGAGTAAGGTTGTCTTGCCAGATCCCAAGAACCCGGACAGTAGTGTAATTGGGATAGGCTTGCTGCCCTTATTCTTGACCGTCATTTCAGGGGCCATAGAAGTTTAGAATTATCTGAATGGATCCAAAACAATTCGAAGGTGCAAACACGATAATCATTTCAGCATTTTGTTTTATATACACCATGTCCCGTGAAACCTCTGCAATGTAACCACTCAAGTATACTTTGGAATGATTTTCCTTAAGAGGCCCATGAAGTTTTCCTTTCACTATGTGTTGCACTTTTTAACCCCCAGGGTACCATCGTTCACTATTCATGGAAGACATTTGTCCTCAGATGGGAGAAGATCGAAATATAATCAAAAGAAGTTCAAGACGCGGATTTTCAATTTTTGGCGGCTACAAAAGAAAACTACTCCATATCTTCAATCTCTCTACATAAAAAAAAATTGACCTTCTTCAGGGCTAGAATTTTATTTGTAAGATGTACATATTATTCCTTTGGCTTGATGACTTTTCTGACAGCCACAGCATCTATTCTACCTTACGCATACATATATTATATATATACAATAAATTCGCCCGACAGAGGTTTTGGTTTCTTCGTCGTGCAAAAAATGCAAAAATTGGGGCGAGCTGGGAATTGAACCCAGGGCCTCTCGCATGCTTGTGGTTTTTGTAGTTCGAGTTAAGGCTCGAACTTCGCCCAAAGCGAGAATCATACCACTAGACCACACGCCCGATGATGTAAAAGTTCAGTTTATTTCAGTTTATAACAAAGGAGAACGGGCACATGCAGTATATAATATGATACGACACGATTGTATTCAAATTTTATGGTTACCAAAATGTCACAACAATGTTAGTCGGCACATCATCGCACCTCATCGCAACTCATCGCATCAACTTGATTCAGACGAAAACCGTCTCGTGAGGAGAGCTTGGAATTTCAGTGCCTGGCTAAAAATCTCTACACATATTAGTGATATAATACACTTTCCAAGTACTTTCCAATGGTAGCGTTCTGATAGAATTGATTTCATGTTCGAATTACCAGCTACGCAGAATAGCAGGCGAATACGAACCATACGAAAACTGCGATACCAGTATATCAATGCTTTAAACAGGGAATATAGAAAGGTTCGGCCAAACTTTTCTCCTAGTGCTGCGCTTCCGACTCCCGAAAATTCTGCGGCTGAGGAAGTCAGCGATGTTGACGGTACTAGCGCTTCGACTGCAAGCATTAGACGGAAGCGACGCAGGAAGAGGCTGCTCACTATTTTGGGACTTGCCGGAGATTCGGATTCGGAGCTTTCGGATAGTGCTTTATCGGAAGACTTGCATGATGTTGAAGATGATAGTGAAGCGCATAAACATCACCACCGTTACCACTACGACACTGAAAAAGAGTTCTACTCGCGCCATGAAAAACCTCAAGACACTTTTGAAGTCTGGAACACTGATAGGAGCAGAGCGAGCCCTATGAATTGCCACAGTATGTCCTATACAGATTGTAAACGCATTGAGAGAGTTGCCAATCGAAGGGTCCTAGCCAAAAACACACATCTCGCACAACCCACCAAATTGAGCTACTTTGCCATGAGAAATGGTCTCGATGTTGATGCCGGACCGTCAACAGCTTTTCGCGATATCCATATTCATCATCTTTCTGAGCTTTTACATCTTAATGTCATGGACGGCAACTGGGAAAGAGCGTACAAGTGCTTTACAATTTTGATTCGTCTACCTGGTATTGACGTCAGAAGCATGTGGGGAATTGGGGTACGAATACTTCGCGCATTGTCTCCCCGTGATGAATCGTTGGGGACTAGCGAAGAGTTTTTGAGTTGGCTCAGTGGCGTTTACACATTCAAAAGCAATTTCAACCAAAGTATGAACTTTTCGTTGGATCCAGTTTTCAGGTCAGGATCTAAAACCCATGCAGCAAAATTTGTAATAACTTCTCTATGGGAAGCACTGTTCGCACTGATTGCCCATGACGATTCAGACTACACCAAGCATAGCAAGACAATGGATCATCAGTTGCTCCAATTGATTGAACGAATTTCAGAGATGGTTTTGGTGCCCCCTTACATAGAGGATCCAGAAGTGTGGTACATCAACTCTATATGCCATTTAATACGCGCTGATACATTGTCTGAACGGTTTGTGTCAACTGACAGTGTAAGCTTAACTGGTTTGGAGAAAGATATCGCAAGAAATCAGGTCACACAGCACCTCACGCATGCACAAAGCTGTATTAAAACTTGTAATTCTAAGGACAATGGGTTTTACTTTCCTTACCGCAGCATACAAGAGCAACTGGCCCTATTTGAGAAAAGACTTTACATCGGCCAAACTGGGACGGGACTTCCTGTAGATTATGGCCCCGGTGGTGCGGAGACCTTAATTCGCTCACCGTTCAGCTTGGATACCCAAGGGATTGAAGCAGTGGAAACTTCGTCCTTAGAAAACGAAGACGAGGAAGACTTCTTTGGTAGAACTGAAAGGGTTCACTTTGGTTTTGATTCCGACAGCAGCAACAGTTAAAGGACTATTGATAGCCAGCAGCAGTTAGATTAGCATTGGAATGCATTGGACAGACTCATCTAGCATTATTTATACATATACGCAAAAAATTCATAACATTCATTTAAAATTATCCGTAACAAGGAGCTATTCGGTTCCGTTCAGTTCATGGGTTTATTCAGTCCTCGCCTTTTTCGTTAGCTCTTGAACTCTACTCTCAAGGTCTGAAATTCTCCTCTTCATCCTGTCTACCTCATAAGACCTTTCAAGAGACTCCTCCCTTATAACTATTTTTCGAGAGTTGGGAAAATACTCTTTCCGCTCATCGATTCCTATCTTCTTCTTATGTGTTAAAGTCACCACGAGCTCTTTTCCATCACTATCGGCCATTTTGAATTTTACTCTGTTAGCGGTACTACCAGGTAATATTGGGCATGCATACCATCTTAGACTGGTAGCTGCCGCGTATGATGTTGAAGAAGTATGCATTGTGCTAGGAGTCAAATTCTCTGTTAAGTTAACAGTGGGCGAAACAGGTAAATCCCTGTTTTCTGTAGGTATTGCGGCCTGTGACTCTGAAAATCTGTGGGTGCTGCGTGCCACATTACCTTTCTCGTCAAACACAGAAACCCGACATATCGGGCACGTTTGAGATCTTTCCATCCAGCTCTTCAAACATCCCAGATGTAGGATGTGATTACACGGAAGTCTCTTGGCCTTCAGCTTATGAGTGGTGGCATGCTCCGCGTGCAAAAAATTTAGATCCTCCATACACACGATGCACATTTTGTCATTCAGTAGACGAAGTTCATCTTCACTGACGTCAGGTAACTTTTCATCGAGTTGGCGATTATTCTTTAAAGTTTTCCATATCAATCTCCCTGTTTGGTAGATGGAAAAGATGTCCAGGACAATGTCCTTTATTACCATGAAAGGTATTATGGATGGAGTCAGCAGAACCGCGTGCACACAGAGCTTGGATATTCGGCAGATCAGTTCCACAATTTTCTCGTAGATAAATTTACCTTCAAGGCCCGTGGAATCATCTCCGTCCTGTGCGTAAGCACACTGAAACTGGTACAGCTCCGTTAAGTTGATGATAGTTCTCATAGCAACTTCCAACACGTCGACAAGCAGCACTGCAAATTCAGTACCAAACAGCAAGTACATTGTAGATCTAGCAATGCTACTCGCAGATCCGCCGTAGCAGAACTTGATAAACTTGTAGTCCACGAAGGTCAATAAAAATACGTTGACAACAAACTTGGAGCATATGAGCCCAAAAATGTTCGTATGCTCGTCAGTACTTTGAAAAACATATTCCAGGCGATCTTTGAGTACCCAGTGGAACGCTTTAACGAAAATTAGCACTCCTGTGAAAGCTAGCACCGTGAGAAACTCGTTATCCGGGAATGATGAAGTGATAAAAAAGCTGTTGACAATGGTGAAGGAGAGTCTCTCAATGATGTGTTCGTATTCCAGGAGCCTTAGCTCACCGAATAGTAGTTTCGTCAGACCCTTCCATAGTAGAATAGTGTTAATCAAGACGAAATTGGCTACTATGATTAGATTCACGCCCTGGCATAGCTTTATGGATGCTTCTAAGAAGGACATGCTACACTGAACGCAGGTGAACACAGACCATATTGCACCAAGGTAAGTGACCACAGTGTAAGCAGCGAATTGACTCCTTCGGATCCCTGCAGTCATATTGTGTTCAAAACTTTTGGGTTGTTATGCGGTACCAGTGAACCCCTGACGTTGATAATGTCTTCAAAATGGGCTATAATCAATCGGCAGAAAGAGGAAAGAGTATTATATTTGATGCGATGGCCGAAGAAGGTTGAGGCGATCGCTGTCCAGAAGTGAATACGTGGTCAGTAACCTCTTTATGTAGTGTTTTTCATGTCATGTGTGTGCGATAATTTGAACATTTATTTAACTTAGATACTGCAACCTGAACTCGTACACAGACGCGTGGCTAGAATTCACTGACAAAAGAATCCTTCGTTAAGTAGCCGATGAGTGCATTAGCTGTAAAGCTGGGTACCCTGTTGATAAGACAGGTTACACGTCCGGTTGCAAACGTTTTGAAAGCTCAGGCCAAACAACATGATAAATTCAAAGAGATTTGCATTGGGCTGGCACAAAGAATGCATCGTTTAGACGCCAGGATGAGGTCAAAATTGTCGACTGTAGATCGAGAAATCAAAGTACGTCCTCTGAATGATGCTCGTGCTGTCGAAAATGGGTCTACTTTATTAAGTGAGGCATTTGTGTTTGGAGTAACGGGCAGCGTCGTAATATGGGAGACCTTGAGACAACGGACAAAAGAGCTGAACAGACGGGACCAGGTAGCCAGGGACATCAGCTTTTTGCAAGACGAGATTGAGGAGCTTCGAGCGTCACTAGCGCAAACAGGCTCCAGCGGGCCAGCCAAGAGCGATAAAATTTCCCAGAAATAATACATTCCATGATACACAAGGTACGGAGCTAGATATGGTACACAGATACACACACGCGCACAAGTACACGGGCGCGTGGGACGATTTAGGCTCCGGACCGTTCCGAGTGTTTTTCTTTTATTCTTTTTTGATCCAAGTGACTCAATTTTTGGTACCCTTGCGCTCCACTTTCAACAGCAGTGCTTTGTTGATGTGTGGAAGAACACCACCAGATGCAATGGTAGCGCGAACCAGAGTGTCCAGCTCGTCATCCCCGCGAATCGCAAGCTGCAAGTGCCGAGGGGTGATTCTCTTGACCTTCAGATCCTTGGCGGCGTTTCCGGCCAACTCCAGCACTTCTGCCGTGAGATACTCCAGAACTGCCGTCATGTAAATTGCGGACTTCGATCCCACACGGGTCTTACCGGCTGCGTTCCGCTTAAGATATCTCTTGATTCTTCCTACGGGGAACTGCAATCCCGCGCGCGCCGAATGCGTCGTGGATCTCATGTTCGATCCGGTTTTGGCGCCGGACTTTCCCTTCCCGCCATGTGCTTTGCCTGACATTGTTGTTTCAGTGGTAAATCACGCGGGCTTCAGATATATGGAATGGTTTGGGAGTTCACCAAAGCTTTTTCAAACGAGACCTGAAAATGTCGTTGGTTGATGGTTCTATTGTTGATTGTTGTTTATATCAAGGACGACGCCAATATTATTATTATTCTTAATGTTATTACGATGGTGAAAATAGATCCTTTAGGACGGGTAACACCATCGACTGGAGGTCCGACTAGACAAACACCCAAATATTCGATTAGCTGTCATCTGACAATATTAATCGCTTCAAACTTCCGCTCCAACCGAGCCAGGGCGGTGCAAAACCCAGGATCGTATAGTTGCTGTCGGCTGTACTGTCGGCTATACTGTTCGCTACCTTGATATATATCGAAAAGCCAACCTACTTGTAAATATTCGAATCGAAAAGACTTCATTGTTGACTTCACCGGCTCCTACGAAGTCCGCAATGTGCTATTATTACCTTTACTTAAGCTTTGAGTGCTTCTGCCACTATACTTAGGATCTCACTCTTTTATCCCCGTAAGGCCGATGGTGATTCGTACATTCGTCGCAAATTCTAGTAACTCCGTTCGCATCCGGCTACGACCTTTTAATTCCCACGCCTAGCGCCTCGCATGACTATTCTGTAGAGAAGCAATCACGTTGCATATGTACCTGGCTCGCAATATTTTCGGCGAAGACGGTCGGGCGCGGATGTCAGTGTTTATGCTCGGAACAAAAATTAGTAACGGTTCCGAAGATTTTGTAATAATTCAACATCATGATTAAAATTTGACAGTCGAAAGCCTCGTAATCGCCAAGAGGGCTATAGAACCCATCATAAACTGCCAAAGTGCTCAATTCTTATCACTGCTAGCATAAGCCCAAATTCTGATTAACACACTTCTAAAACAGTAAGGATCTTTCCGTCCCATAACATCTCTATCTAACAAGAACATATATGCTGTTGCTGTTTGCGGTCATTGCATTAATTCTCAATGAGGCTGTAGCCTGGTCACCAACTAACAGCTATGCTCCGGGCAATGTGAGCTGTGCGGACGACGTCAATCTGGTTCGTGAAGCTTCTGGTCTATCAGCCAACGAAACTGCGTGGCTGAAAAAGAGAGACGCTTACACCAAAGATGCGCTGAAATCTTTTTTGGATCGTGCTACGGAGAACTTCACGAACTCGTCCTTCGTGGATGCCCTTTGGAATAGTGGTAAAACTCCCAAATTAGGTGTAGGCTGTTCCGGTGGGGGCTACAGAGCCATGCTAAGCGGTGCCGGTATGCTCTCGGCTCTTGATAATAGAACTTCTGGTGCCGACAAGCATGGACTTGGTGGGGTTTTACAAAGTGCTACGTACCTCGCTGGTCTATCCGGCGGCAATTGGCTTGTGGGATCGTTGGCATGGAACAACTGGACCTCGGTGCAGGATGTGATCGATAATAGAGGCCAAGACGACGAGCTTTGGGACATCAGTAACTCCATTTTGAACCCCGGTGGAATAAATATTTTCAGCAGCGCGAGCCGCTGGGACCAAATTTCTGATGCCGTAGAAGCGAAACAACATGCCGGTTTTAACACTTCCCTGACTGACATTTGGGGTCGTGCCTTATCATACAACTTCTTTCCCACTCTCTACAGGGGCGGCGAGGCCTATACTTGGTCTACCTTGCGAGATGCCGATGTTTTCAAGAATGCCGAAATGCCATTTCCTATCTCCGTAGCAGACGGTAGATATCCTGGTACTGAAATTATTGATTTGAATTCAACTCTATTCGAGTTCAATCCTTTTGAAATGGGATCATGGGATCCTTCGTTGAATGCGTTCACAGATGTTAAATACCTTGGTACCAACGTCACCAATGGTACTCCCGTCGCTAAAGGACAATGTGTGGCCGGATTTGACAATACAGGCTTTATCATGGGAACTTCTTCAACTTTATTCAATCAATTTTTGCTTCAACTTAATACTACAAGTCTCAGTTCATTCCTCAAGGGCATAGTAGAGGACTTTTTGGACGACCTTTCCGACGAATATGATGATATTGCGATCTACAACCCCAATCCCTTCAGAGACACTGAATTTGTGGCTTCAAACTACAGCCACAGCGTTGTAGATTCAAGCAATTTGTTTTTGGTCGATGGTGGTGAGGATGGAGAAAACATCCCATTCGTTCCCCTACTTCAAGAGGATAGGGACTTAGATGTTATATTTGCCTTGGATAACAGCGCCGATACCGAAGATTATTGGCCAGCTGGTCTTTCATTGATTGCCACATATGAGCGCCAGTTTGGACCTCAGGGCAAAGATTTTGCATTTCCTTACGTGCCAGACGTAGACACGTTTGTGCAGCATGGGTTGAACTCTAAACCAACCTTTTTTGGTTGCGAAGCGTCAAATATGACCGACCTTACGCGGACGCCACCGCTAATTGTCTACATGCCCAACAATAGACAGTCATACAATTCGAATACAAGCACATTCAAGATGTCATACGACTCCGCTCAACGTATGCAAATGTTTCAGAATGGGTTTGAGGCTGTCACCAGGAATAACTTGACAGATGATAGCGGTTTTGCAGGATGTGTTGCCTGCGCCATCATGAAGCGTAAACAAGAGTCCTTGAATATGACCTTGCCAAGCGAGTGCACCCAATGCTTCCAAGACTATTGCTGGGATGGAAAGACAGCGTCGTCTAGCGCCAATGTGAGTACTCTCGGGCCCGCCAGCGGCTCAGTCTCCTTTGTGACAGACTCAGCAACGTCTACATCTTCAAGCTCGAAGAAAAATGGTGAACCACAGATGCCTCAATCTCACTCAATGAGCTGGTACGTAGTATTCACAACAGTATTGGGTGTAGCTCTTGGGATTATGTAACTACCAAAATATTTCCATTTAAAATGAATTTAGACAATTCAGTCCTACTACATCGACGGCACAAGTTTTCGCCGGGACAACTTCTAGAGGGTACTGAGGCTACCGCAAATCAAGTTCCTGTGAATGTAATGAACGACAGGGAGGGTAAAAATGACAGTAATGATAATTATGACAGGCGAAGAGTCTAAAGCTGACCAACGAGCCCACATGGCATTGAGACACTAGCAAGACAGCATGCATCAAGCCAAATTGGCCTCGCTAGAAGTGACAAGATGACTCGAGGCTTGTGTGTCATTATGACATTCCCCACGGTTGAGTCAAAGCGAGGAAACACACAGATAAGGTGACCGATAGATTAGAACAAATAGATGAATATATTAAGCAGATAGCAAGTCAACTGCGAATACTAACGAGATCTATTGTCAGATAGAAATTAAACAGTTCTTATTATTTAAACTGAAGTTACGACGATTACTTACAATAATTCATGCGCGAGCATATGGTCTGTAGAGCGTATTACTCATTCGAATGTTAATAATTGGTTTCGTGGTCTAGTCGGTTATGGCATCTGCTTAACACGCAGAACGTCCCCAGTTCGATCCTGGGCGAAATCATTTATTTTTTATTTGTCGAGTCATCATATATTGTAACAGTAAAATATTCTGGTCGAAAGTGTTAAGGACAATCAGAATCCGTTCATTACTCTTTCATCCGCAATCGAGGAATCGTTTAGATTAACGGAATGACACTCTTCTCACGGAAGTGCCAATTGGAAAGTTAGCAATTCCTATTACGAGATTCAGCGTCTTTCATCAGTTTCAATATTCGCCACTGACGTATACAACTTGATATATATTCGTCCAATTTCACCAGGTTCCAGACTAGTGGTAATGCAATGAAGGTGCAATGGTTTCGAATGTCATTATGAAATAAGGTCGCCAATAATAGATCACTGAGGTTTTTGAATGCTGCGTAGCGCCAAAAGACGGGGAAAAAGCCTTTCAGCTTTCGAGTCTGCAAGCCCCGAGTCTCCCAAACTCCAGTTATAGATTCAATCACGAATTCTAGCATAGCCCTTGGGAATAATTGTGTTAACACCAACTCTTCTGTTTTCCAAGGCATTTAGTAAGTCTCGCATAACGATTCCTGGTTCCTCTCTGGCTTCACGGTATCGAATGCCCATCTCGCCCCGCGCTGCGACATCTGATGAAACTTTCCCTAATACTTTCACCGAATTATTGTTTGTCTTCGGTCCCGCATTCAGCCAGCTGTATTTTTTCTTGCTACCGGCAATCATCATATTAGCAGTAGCATTCGATGCTCTATGTAATGTCTCTTCTGTCTCCATTTTTGCCTCCGCAGTCTCTTTCTCCAGTCCCATAGATATCCGTCGTTTAACCCTCTTTTCTTCTTGTTCTTTCTGTTGTATGGCTATATCTCGCATAGCGCGCGAAACTTCGCTTCGACGTCCAGAATTCAACCTTATTGATCTGCGTCTGTGCCGAGACATAATGAGAGAGTTAGTGATAACGTCTCGCAGGAACGCCTCACAGGTTGAGGACATTAAACTTAGAACTTCGTGTGCCTTTGAAAAGTCCTGGTTGAAATTCTGCTCAGAACCGACTTTCTTCATGAAGCTGGCCACATGCGAGGGATGCAATAGAGGAGTCTGTGGAGCTATCTGATTGTTGATCGCTTGCCCATTATTTTGGGATACTGATTTTGTGATGTTCGTCGAAGAGTTCAAAAGCGCTTCTTCCTCACGTATATCTACACCAGCAGAAAAAAGGGCATCGCTTAACTTGTCAGGATCTGTCTGCATTTTAGAGGACGCCTGTTGAGCACTGGAGGCGGGCTTCGCAGAGTCATTATCGAGTTTGCTGCCTCCCGATGCCGACTGTCCACCAGATTGGGCAACCTGTTGCATCTTCTTAGTGGATTGTTGCATACCTTTTCCTTTGGCCCTCTTTCCGGCATCTGAATCGCCGCTGTTTGCACCCACCAGGTTGGTAGATGGGGTTTTGCTCTCAGGCAACATGCCATTGATATCGGGATCTTCTACAATGTTGTCAAAGGGTGTCGGTAAATCAGTGTCGAAAGTTGCTGGTCCAGGCTCTAGGCTTTCGCTGGCTGTCCCGCTCCCCACTTCAAAACCCAGTTCTTCATCTTCTAACGGTGTAGCGTGCTCTTCCTTCTTAAGTCTCTTCTGCCGCGATTTATCCAACGAGCCGGTGTTCTGTCGTTTGGGTGACTTTACCATCGCTAAAAAAAGTACGTTATCTCCTCAAGCGTTTCGAATGCTCTGGCAAGCGTATGGTTTTGCTTGGTGTTCGCGTCGATGGTTGTACCATCTTTCAATCATTAATACATTTTCAACATCATCATCGGATACGAGAAATCGGGTCTATAACGATCTATCTTTGGGGGCCTAAGTAGCCCAGTTTCAGTTATATCAAGGGTCACCAATTTTGATTAAGCTTCTTGATAATTTACTCAGCCTTGTTCATGCTCTAAAAATTCATCCATTTTGGTAGAAACTATTATAATGATATGCGTCAACCTGTTGATTTAACTTGAGATGCAACAGTGAATTAAACTCATGTTAGAGCTACCGGATAAGATCAATGAAATACTATTTTCGTACCGCCGAGCTGCTTTATGGGAAGCTGCAACGTAGGCCAAATTAGTAAGAAGTGATATTGCAAGCGCCAGTAAATGATGTAAAATGGAATAAACAATCGATAGGACCCAGAAGAGCAGCGATAACTAAGAAGTACCCTGTATAGACACATTGAAGCTACCCAACAATCCAACAATTCATCCATATGGTCTTTTCTTGTATCTTCGAGGCCCGATTGTACCCAGATAATTCATGCTCGAGTTCTGCATGATGCGGGTATACTTCCCAGAAGTGGACGAGATACATAGTTCAAATACTTGCGAAGGGACAGCCAGTAGTCACTTCTAAAGCACATGAATATCACGATGTCCACTAAAGGTATGAACGAACAGTTCAACAAGATGTCTACTGCTGAGGCTGACTCGCTTCAGTAGTTCTAGCTCCCAGCAGCCTTGTTTTAGGATCACGTTCGCGCTCAATTCTTTTTGTTGTGCAAGTCCGAACCAAGAGATTAAGCATTGCTTTATCGCTTTAATGAAGAAGCAGAGGTGGTCGAGGCTGACACACAGAGCTCGGAATTCCACGATCACGTGTAAAATTAGCTGATGTTGAAAGATTTTTTGAGACCAAGCTCATCGGACGTCTCATCGCCAGCACAAAGGAAAAGAACAAGGTTGATAGAACAGATCAAAGGCTGCCTTCGTCTTTTGTACCGTTTTTAAATTCGAATAATGGCCTCGCCGCGAATCACCACTTTTCAAGGTAACCGCAACTTCCGTCTACTGATAGTGCTCGCCACTCTCTCGGGGAAGCCTATCAAAATTGAAAAAATCAGGTCTGAAGATCTCAACCCCGGTCTGCGAGACCATGAGGTCTCTTTTTTGCGTTTGATGGAGGCCATGACTAATGGTAGCTCCATCGAAATTTCTTACACGGGTACCACAGTGATATATAAGCCGGGTATCATTACTGGCGGCTCTTACACCCACCAGTGCCCACCGGGCAAACCGGTTGGATACTTTGTAGAACCGATGTTGTACCTCGCCCCATTTTCGAAGAAGAAGTTTTCTGTTATTTTTCGAGGTATAACAGCCTCGCATGACGACGCTGGATTGGAGGCCATCAAATGGGGGTTGATGCCCGTAATGGAAAAATTTGGGGTTCGGGAATGTGCTCTGCACACGTTGAAACGAGGATCTCCACCTCTTGGTGGTGGTGAAGTTCACTTGGTCGTTGATTCTCTGATTTCCCAGCCCATTACAATGCATGCCTTAGAAACGCCACAAATATCATCTATCAGGGGAGTGGCTTATTCTACTAGAGTTAGTCCCTCTATGGTGAACCGAATGATAGATGGCGCGAGAAAGGTTTTGAAAAGTGTTGGTTGCGAAGTTGACATCACCGCGGATGCGTGGAGAGGTGAAAACTCAGGGAAAAGCCCTGGTTGGGGTATAACACTGGTGGCAGAAACAAAAAAGGGTTGGCGATACTTTTCTGAAGGTATCGGTGGTGCTGGCGATGTACCAGAAGACTTAGGCGCCCAGATAGCCTACGAACTGCTGGAAGAAATTTCAAATAGTGCGGTTGTCGGTAGGAACCAGTTAGCACTGGCAGTTGTTTACATGGTAATTGGCAAAGAGGATATTGGCAGGTTACGAATTACCAAGTCTCAGATTGATGAAAAGTTCATTTGCTTGCTGAGGCACATCCAAGAAATCTTTGGCACAGAAGTTTTTTTGAGACCGGTGGACGATGAGGACAGCGACGATTTGATAGCAACGATCAAAGGTATTGGTTTTACGAACTCCAACAAGAAAATGGCATAATAAAAAAAAATTGTAAATAATTAGATAATACGCATTTATTAGTCAATACTTGGGACGGAATGAAATCCATAGACTATATAAGGACTATACTCTCTCTACCGCGAGACTGGCATTGACTGAATACTCTCTAGCAATTTCTCCCACTGATTTGAGTTCAATTCGGTATAGTCCATGTTGAGTTTTGCCCAGCGCTGGAAGGTATCTGTAATAAGAAACTGTGTCTCTTGAAAGTAATTATATTCCTCCAAGATACATTCTCGGATGAGCCAGCTTCTGTTCATCTGTTGGGCAACACTTCTCCTGTCCTTGTGAATCATGTGCCTTACTTTATCATACTCAGCACCCTTTAGATCCGGTTTATCCTTCATCTGCTCCATTCTTTCAGTATTAACCTCAATGCGGCGTTGTAACTGAGGAACAGAATTCCCAGCCAGCATTTTATACCTTTCAAATAGACCTCTCAAAGCCAGAAGAACATCTATGAAAGTTTTGAAGCGTGGTGACAAATCTTGGTTCATTTCATTATTCTCATCAGATATCAACTTATTACAGCTTATCAGATGTTTGGAAACGATTCCGAGATGATCGTTTATATCTTCAACGGTCGTACTGGCATTCGAAGCGTAAATGCTACTAGTGCTGTTGGTAAACTCAAGAAGCATCGATGCTAAAAGTGCTCTTTCTTGACCTATAAATTTAAGTCGTTTTTCGTATCGCTCAACCAGTATCGTTATCTTTGCCCACAGATCCAGGGTGCCTTCCAGAGACGTATCGACCTCATTCCACCTCTCTGCCATCTCTTTTTGCCACATTTTTATGAAAGAAGAGCCAATTTTTTTATCAGTGAACTCGTCTGTCGTGTCATAGCTAGCGTTCTTTCTCCATCCAAGAAGGTCGGTAGGGACTGTGAGGAATGTTAAAAGAAGATCATCTTTTCTGAGAACTGGGTGTTTAACGACCAGGTTTATAAATCTTGACAGCCCATTTTGCCTCTTGAGCAAGAATGCTTGGTCTGTACCATGTGGACCTATTTTTTTTGGTGGTAAATCTGGAATCATCCGAAATGGGTACTTTTTCAGAAGGACTTCCTGTAGCCAAACAAAATCGGAGTACCTCCTAATCACAGTTCTGTCACTTGAGGGTTCTGTATCCGGAAGCTCCACTAAATGCTTGACCAAATAGTTCGTGTGTTTGAACAATAGACCCTCTCTCTCTGGCAGCTCTTCAACTAATATAATATCAGCCGACATAGGCCTATAGACACTCCTCACAGAGCTCGCCCATGCTTCGTAGTCCTCCTTGGATGCGTCACTAGCTGCACTATCGTCATTGTTGGCGAATGTTACATTATTAACCATATTGCCGCTGGTCAATCCATCTGACACATGGTTGTTTATGTCGTCTAACGTATCACCCCACCTATTCTGTACGGGGCTTTCCTGCTTTCCTAACAGTAGGCTAGAGGTATCCAGTTTCACACTTGGGCCACCAGTATCCAATGAAACCGACTCCATTCCTGATATTAGTGGCTCGCGCTGTAGGATATTCGATGACATCAACGGCTCAGTGTCAAGGCTTGCCCACTCATTGTGCCCCGGAGGATAATTCTCTGATTGGTCAGATCTCCACGGGTCCTCCAAGTCCCCCGGAAGATTCATTATGTGACGGCGGAGCTCAATTCAAGCTTACATTGAAGAATATTGTGGCCCCAAGATTTATATTGTATTTATTATTACATTCGACCAAAAAAAAAAAAGAGAGCAGGGGTAAGATAGGTAGCTGATCGGCAGTTCTAACGTTACCTTTAGTTACACATTTAACAACTTGCCTACCAGCTGTGAACATCTCAACGAGCTTTTTTTTATATCATCGCTGCAGCTCATCATAGTCGTGATCATCGTCAGACGAATCCTCATTGAAGTCTAAATTAATCCAGCTGGGCCAAGCAGCTTCAGTTTTCACGATATTTCTGAAGGCCTCCAGCAAGAACTGTTCTAGCTTGCCCACACTTCGCAGGACTGAGCCCTCTACATTGTTTTGCTCGCCAATCTCGCTTTCAATCTTTATGCTTCTTATGAGAGATATCCTCTCTAAACCTTTCTTACCTAAAAAAATAGAATTTCCGGGATCAATAATAGATTCTCTAGCATCCAAAACAGGATCAGCAACATCGCATAAAAAACTGATGAAAAGCTGATTTGACAGATAAGCTACTAGACATAAGACATGCATGCCTAAATCACTGATCGATAATTTTACTGGCAGAGTCATAAAAGAAGGGCTTGGGTAGTTCAATGCCAACTCTGCACTAACATCTATCTGCATATCTCCTTTGTAATCGATTTCAACCAAGAATTGAAGGTCACTTTCTGATGGCAAAGAATCGCAAACCTGCTCCGTATTCTCTGCGAATTCCTCTTTTGCATTAGGCTCTTCTCTGCGCCGTGAACTAGCCCGCTTCTCATTGGATATTTGCTCATAGAACTCGTTCAATGGGTTTGAAATTTCTTGCAGTATGATGTTGGGCGGTATTTCACCGAGGCGGAAATCCGTAACCTGCAAACTGCTGACATAACTAGGTAGATCAATAGCTTGTAGCTGAGAATTTAAAAACTCTTTCAGCGAATCATTTATTACTCGATCCTCTCCCAAGTTCTCCCAATTGATCTCAAAAGACATTTAGGTTCGATTATGGAGAGCATTTCTTGTCTTTCAAGATTTCTTCAACTACACGAAAAAGATCAACTTTCTAATTGAACCTATATATTGAGAAAGGGCCTTTCAGACAAAATTCGTACGAAGGACAATTATGGCTTCAAGGCCTAGACATTACTTTCCGGTCAACAAGCCATCCAGGCTGTTCTATAGGTCGATTTCGAGTTCCCTACCCTTATTCACCAAAGAACAAGTATATCTCTTGAGCCGCACTATCAACGCACCAGTCGAAGACGTCTATAATGTTGTGGCAGACATTGCCAAGTACAAAGAATTCATAAAGTTTTGCACAGATTCATACGTGGCCAGACATGACCCCACCTCCGGAAGACCCACCGAAGCCGGTTTAAGGGTTGGATTTCAAAGTTATGATGAGTGTTTTGATTGCCAAATAAGTTGTCAACAAGACGCCAATAAGCATTATCTGGTCGTGGCCAACTCACTGACTCATAGTCTATTTCATGCATTACAAACTAAATGGGTAATAATGCCACACCCTTCGAGGATAGCGGTTACGCAAGCCGAACTTCACTTAAAATTTCAATTTAGACGAAGTCTATACAACAATGTAGCGTCTATTTTCGGGAAAAGCGTTACGGAGCATGTAATGAAATCTTTCGAGAGACGCATTTTTATGCTAAGACGACAAAGATTGGGAAAGAAAACCATTCAGTCGACACAGGGCCCTGTATAGCAAATGCCTCAAATGACTTGATCAGCTTTTAACCGCAACCGTATCTCCATGAAATAAACGCAAGGGAAAGAAGGAACCTTGCTCTTATGTACGTTAGATAGTTCTACATTAGGTGCCTTACATCACTTTACGAGAGCGTATAAGGGCAAGAAAAAGGGGCGGGAATAGAAGATGATTCCAGCATATCTCCCCACCTATTTTTGGAGTTCCTCATTGTTGTCCCAGAATTTCAATGACCACCAGCCAGCTACGACTGCAGCCGCACTTAGGAAAAACGTTTTGTCCTTAGCATTCAGTCTCTCATTACTCATCAAAGAGTCGCTTTGTTCGTATGCATCTGTTTCGGTGGCATTTTCAGCGTCTTCGTTGGCAATATCGTAGTTTTCCTTGGAAAGTTCAGCGTGAAATATCCCCTTATCGAGGTCTGTGGTTGAGACCTGGGGTAAATCATCTTCCTCGCGTTCCTCCGCAAGAAGTTCCTTCTCTAGCAATGTGACAGGTTTTTCATCAGCAGTTTTCGAAAGTGGTGTGATATGAACGATATATTCTTTATCCACGGATTCTAGAGAGTCTTCGGTTGCGGCAACATCGGGTAGCTTAACATCGTCCACCGGTTTGGAATCGCCTTTCGCGGCAAGCGGTTTAGAGGTGTGGAACTGCCGCGTATTCAAAATAGGTGCTGATCCGATGCTGATCCGCGTATTTTCAAAGGCTAGGATGCGATCTACTAGCTCACTTTTGCGTCCAGAAAGCTTCAGTCCCCGCGTCCTACACTCACCCTTCAAAGCCTTTAGACTCAAAACGTTAAATCTTGAGAGCTTGTCGCTGCTAAGTAGCGTTGTGTGATCCTTTTTGAGGGTGCTGTGAACATGTCTAGCGCTTGGCACATAAGACCGTTGCAAAAGGTTGGCAATTGGGAAGCAGCCAGTAACTTGCGTTGCTGACGCAAGACGACTTCCGGACCAAAAGCATCGTGAGGAAATATTAGCCACCATAGCCTTAGTATCTTAAAGCCTGTCGTTTCAAGACACCACAAGGCTTGAGCGACCTAGTAATAGTTCTGTGAATCGGGGGGTGATGAGCAATGATCTATAAAAACGACAACATCGGAGACAAGTGTTTTTATTTGGCCGTCTTGAGTACCCATCAAGAATGTATTCGTTACCCGCATGTTTATTAAGATCGTGTATCACGGCATGAAATCTTCGAGCGTCAAGACACCTGGTATTCAAGATATCTCACAAAGAAGGTACTGACAGTCTTATTGTACGTTTTGTTCTTATTTTTGTTGGCGTCTAAAGTTTTGGATCACATCTTCTTTTCAAGAACCTATCAGGGCCGTTTAGAGTAGTCTTCTAATGTTAGAAGATAGTCGATTCACTGTGTGTGTATCAACTCTTACATAACTGATGTCAAGGTTAATGGTAGTTAACCTTTAAAAAAATGTCAGGTTCTGGATCCCAATCACTTTTCTGTCGTTGTTTGAACTAGATTAGATTCAAAAATGCAGGGCAGAGAAAGTGTACAGTCGTCGGGACGGCGCAGAAGATACACGCAAGATTTAACCGGTGTCGGTTGATGGGCTAGTCAAAAGTGCAACATAATGTTTGAGTTATGTCAGTATCCTCTTCTAGTACTTAGTTGACAGGCAAACACCGTTGGGCTCTCACAGGAGCGACGGACAGCTATCATTATATTTTTAGTATTAGAAAAAATCCTTTCACATGTCTTTTCAGAGAACGACATGCCTACTAAGAAACCCACAAGCTTACAGTATTGCCAATGGTTTTTAGATTCCCCACACCATAATGCTTCTACAGCTGAAAAGAACATAATTGTGGGCCGCCGTACCAACAATGCAAATATTCAGCTTGCTGATTTGTTATCCGCTCTTGTGCTGCGCTTACTAGAGATTCAATGCGGCACGAAAGGAGCAGTTGATACTTAACAAAAAGTAGTGACTCTCTGATACTTCTTCATTCGAGAATAGATGGTTTGATAAAACGGTTCATTCTTCTCTTGGATGGCCTCCGTAGTGCATAGCGCCTAGAATATTCAGTCATATGAGAGTAGAAAATGTACAATAATACCGCAAGCCCATTTTTGCGCTGTCCTTGCAGTGACGGAGATTAGGGCAGTACTGGAGTTGACAAGCTCAATCTTTGTTGGATCAGCTAAACGTTTAAATTATATAACAATTGTGACTTTACGAATGATTCTTTGTCTCATCCAGTGCCCAATGTGAAAGATCCCTTGAATCTTGAATATATTTCCATAAAAAACAACAAAATAAAAGGGCCGTTCAATTGGTTTGAACTTAGACTATGTACAGGACTTTCTATGAATTCATTCAAGTGTTGGATAAAAGTGCGGGCTTTTCATCAGTCTCGCGACCTATAGAGAGAAAATGAGAAATCTCGATGTCTTGTTATACTTTCCTGCAAAAACAATGAGTCAAAAGGACGTGGCAGTTCTGTTTGGAAGACTATAGCGCATTACCTAGTATGGACGAGCGGCCTCCTGGCAGGCTTTCAATTGTTGCAAGTAAAAATCACAGATTTGCATGTTTCCGTTGTTGTCGCTCAAGCAGCGGGTGAAGTTTCTGGCATCAACGTCACAAGCTCTCGCCTGTTCCTGAGAAACACCTTGTTGCACTGGGGCAGCGGCCATTTGCTGCTGTTGTTGTTCAGCTGGTGCGCTGGAAGAACCGGAGAACATTCCGGTGATACCAGCACCCAAAGTGTGACCAACAGCACTACCAACGGCAACACCGGCAGCAGTTGAGGCCATTTGAGAGAAAAGGCCTGGCTGGCGAGGCTGAGTGGCCTGAGGCTGGGAATGAGCGGAAGCCTGAGGAGTATATTGTTGTTGATGAGCTGGTGGTTGAGCTGCCATCGTCGACGCTGAACGAGTTTGGGTGGTCGCTGGTCTGGATGATCTAACTCCTCCTCTGGAACGGGCCATCTTCTTTGAGGTATATGTGATAAATGGTTGGCTTTACAAATTAGGCTAGTACTTGCCACCAAAACGAAAACCTTTCGGGAAGTGATTTTCCATCTATCATTAAGTTAATATATATATACTTTACGTCTGAAAAACTTTTCGTTGAAAGGGATATTGCCACTAAGCTCAGTCATGTGATTCATGGCGCTAACTGCGACCCAATCGAAACGTGTTCCCGTGAACATGCGTACCTCCCCCGGAAGTGCTATTTCAACCATTCAACGTTAATAAGTAACGTATCGTGCTTAAATTTGGGCCCTCCTTTATAATACAATCAGTTTGTGCTCCAAGACCACTTTTCCAAAACTATCCATCCGAAGAAATGGGAAACTCTTAATCTGAGCTTGAGATTATTCATCCTCGTCCAACATCTTTTCCAGGTGAACGCTGGGAGGTCTAGCTGTACGTTGGTCGCCGTATGCGAGCTGATAAAGGGGATCCGAGTGTGTAAAAATGTCTGTATTTTGCATAGGCCCTGAAAAACCAGAATTATCCGACTCTGGAGTATTTACAGACATAACGCTCTTACTATTTGCGGCGTTCTTCAACACTTCAGTGGGAGATATAAACATGGACTGTCGATTTGCGCTGGATAGAGGGGCACTTTGCTGTGCTCCTTTTTGAAGCAGATTGAGGGTTGACTGGGACCCCAAGGTGTAAATGGTATGTGTGCTGAGTCTGGTAGAAGAACGGGCCTTCAGTACCTTTTCCGAATAATCGCTGCCATCTGAGCCGTCTGAGTAATCTGTGTCGATATCCTTGGAATGGAACATAAAAGGATCGGCTTGATAGCGAGACTCGATAGACTGGAGACGGTATTCACGGCGTGCTCTCAGCCATGCCTGCACAGCAAACGCCATCCATGTAAGAAAGAAAAGCAGTCCAATTAGGCCCATGATGCCACCCACGATCACAAATAGTGTTCCCGAGGGATATCTTGTTCTGTATATGTATTCATTCTTCGAAGTCGGTATCACTGCAGTAAACGTGGCAGAGTAGCTAGATCTTGTTGTGGATGATGTTGTAGTATTATGAGCGGTTGCAGATGTCACGATACTACTGGAAGTCTGCGAGGAAGAGCTACTGGTTAAGGTCGGTAGCGATCGTTTCCTCAGTGATTGAAATGCTCTGTGGAACTCTCGGGTTGCGGAAGTGCTGCATATCAGCGAAACTATTACCAGTCCTAAATTCTGAAGCTTCATCGATGGGCTATGGCTGATAGGTAGCAACGAGTGAGGATTGAGATATATATTCAGCTGCTCCGACTATTGGGGAACTGTTCGACTGAACATACAATATATAGGAAAGACGCCCAGACTATCACTTCCTTCCATCCTCCATCCACCTTCTCTACCGATTATTCGCGTTTCGCGCAACACGCGAAAACTCTATGATCTGTAGAGCGAGCACGAAAAATTATGCAGAGAAAACTATTTGGGACCAGACGTAAAAAATTCCATACATACAGAGGCGGATACTTAAAATCTCCAGTTCTCGTCAGCTGACTCAATAGCCCATTTAAACTTGTCTCTAAGCGATTTCGTGAACACTTTCTCAAGCGGGACACCATATTTTTTGCAGAACACAACTGACAGTCTAGGATCAATATAATTTATCTTCGAAGTTCCCAAGGCAACCTGTGAATTGTCCTCTTTGTCTTTCAGCTGAATGGCATAATTTTCGATTCTCTGATCCAGCTTCTCAACTTGAGCTTTGAGTTTGTCGACGTCGGAAGTCTTGACTTCAACCTTACCCGTTTCTACTTCTCTTTTGTATTCAGACTCCAACTCGTCCACTTTGTTCATCCACTCTTTCAGCTGGGAATCTGGAAGTGGAGGTTCGTTATCAAATTTGCGCTTTTCGTTTTCTCTGGCAAATTTCTTTGTAAACTTTTCCCTTTCTTTTTCTATTACTCTCTTGTGAATCAACAATTCTTGCTCCTTAACGAGATCCTTAACCTCTGCAAAATAGTTCGGGTTTTTCTTTGCTTCGGTTTTATCTAACTGTAAAATAGCTCTTTTCAGCCTGATTTTCTGCCACTCTAACTCCTCAATTCTATCAGTTGCCTTCTGTACCGCAGCAGCGTGGCCCTTGGTGACTGTCCTTTGGTGATTGCATAAGATGGCTACGGTCCTGTTAGCGGCATTGTACTTCAAAATCTTTTCTGCGACTGTACCCTCATCTGTGATCAAATCCAATTGATCCTGCATAGTCTTGGAAGCGTTATAAGTACGAAAAACTTTCGCTGTAAGCCCTGGCATGTAGTTCTGTAAATGTTTGTTCAAAAGTGCAGGATCTAATCGATCAAAGAGCTGGTGACCGGGCTGCTTTGGAGGCTTTTTGAATAAAGTCAAATTTTTGAAAACTTGCTTTTCAACTTTGACCTCTTGGTAGAAACGAATTGAATCTTTCCCGAGAAAGTCGAAAATCACAGTATTTGGAGGCTTCAAAGTGACGTGCTCATATCTGAGAGAGCAGCACCCAACGGTATCTGCTTCGTCATCCGCTTTTTCTCCACCAGCTCTGAGGGCAAAAACATCAATAAAGTAGCATGCCACGGCAATTTGACGCTCGAGCATAACTTTGCTTTTAAGGTTCACCATGTAATCTTTTCTAACAGGATCAATGTAGTCTTTTAGTTGCCGAGCTTTCTCGAACTTCTTGTAATCACTCATTCCTTTGAGTGACGAATTGGCGGCAAATCGAACATATTTGAAAGAATTTGAGATATTTTCTCTCCACATGGCTAACCATTGAACTGTATTGTCATGTCTTACTTCTCCCCAGTTGTGATTATCGGGTGCTTCTGGTACTTTAGCTTCCTTATCTAAGTTAAGTACAACGTCCTCTGGATAGACACGCCTCTTGAGCTTACCAGTTTTAGGATGAGCACCTCTGCCCCTGAAAAGTCCCGGAGGTTCAATTCTGAAATTACCGACTTGCTCCTTGCGGTCATCTAGCATGCAAAACTTATAAGGTTCCTCGAACTCTTCTTTCTCTTGCTTCAACCTCTTCTTCTCTTGAGGACTTAGCTGCTTCTTTTGTTCTTTTTGCAATTGGAAATAATCAAACATCTTCGAAAAGTCACAAAGCTCAAAAGTTTTAAGCTCAATATCATTCCGAGGTCCACCGTTCTCTTGCAGAACGTCCAAGAAATCCTCGAAGAAATTCTTCTGAAACACAGGGTTTTTCGCATGGTCTGATTCTAAAAGCGCTGCAAAAAAACCAGCTACCTCTTCAGCTTGCGGTGGGAGATCAACAGCCCTTCCATTGTAGTATAATTTGATGTGTGAGGGAAGAGGCTCATACTTGGGAGGGAAAATGACACCGTTGTGCTTTAGGGATATCCATTTGACAGAGTCGTCATCATTCTCCTTTTCCCACCATTTAAAGTCGTCTGCATCTTGACTAGCTTCGTTTGATATACTGTCAAGATCTGCATCCTGTTGTTCAACGGAGCTCTCTCGTTTGGAGATCTTCTTGGGAGGTTGAGCTCGAGAGTCTTTCTTGATACCTTTCTGTTTAGTGGAACTCAGACTTCTGCCCGCTACCTTACTAGAGCTCCTCTTTCCCCGCTTCACGACTTTCTTCTTTGGAGAAGCTACTTTCGACAGCGCCAAGTCGCTGTCATAAGATTTATCCTCCTCTCTCTTAACGTTTGCGGCCGTAATCACAGATCCTGATTTGATGTCCTCATCATCAGAATCTTCGATTTTCCGTTTGGTCCGCGGTATGGTAGACGACAATGGTAGGTCTTCTTCGTCTGATGACGAGCTACCCTTCAACTTCACGGTCATTTCCGCTGCCGATCGTATGTACTTTTCATCTTCGCTATTGATTATATTGTTCACATTTTTTTTTCACCTAACAATAAGAGCGTGTAAGACCGCCGAAGTACTATTGCCCGTTGAGTGAAGGTAAGCGTGTTTCATCAACCCCAGCATTCGCCGCCCGTTCTCAGTGCCCACTCTCTTAATGAGCTGCCTTTCCGTACCACTATCGTCGGCGCTGTATAATACACAAGGTACTGGCGAGTTGCTGTTACAAGATCAGATATGATAGACCGTCTAAAGTGGTTAGCTCCGTGGGGCTTCCCCTCTAAGGGGCCCTTATGAAAGAAACGATTGAACAATTAAGCGCTTCTAATGTAAAAAGTGACACGTTGGCGGTCTCACGCCGAATATGTAATCGTCACTGTTAATTAGCCAAAGATGGCTGATTATCGCTCTTCGTATGCGCTATTAAAGCCGCTCTGTCCTCAAATACTGGATTGCAGGTAGTTTTACGTTCATGATCACAACTAGTTGCTTCCTTCCGATATGTACTAGGGGTGCACCCCAATTTCAAGGCACACAGGGGATAGCTAGCTAAAGATTCTCTATAATAGCTGGAGGAGCAATAACTTTCCCATAGTAACCGGGTCTATCGAAGTATCATTTCTCTACATAAATAAAAGACTGCAACCGCAGTTTTGTATTGACAACAATGTGACTCCTCCTGAAATTACGGATAATCTAGAAACTCCGGCCCAAGTTATGTGAATGCAACCGCTCAACGATGCCACTTGGGCTAACTATCTGATGACCGCTTATTAATGTGTTGACATTTTTCTCTTTTAGAATCTCGAGATTCAATCGACAAATTGTTTGTTTACATTTGGAAAAAGTTTAGACTCCATGTTCGTTAGCTATCCAAAGAAAACAAAAACAATCACACGGTTATATTCTAATCCACTTGGCATCTCGTGAAACCTTCAAGCACAAGTCTAAACACGCTGAAGGAAGGCATTGTAAGTGGCAAAGGGAAGAAAAGTGCTTTCTGGAAAACAGTTATAACGTGAGACCCACTGTTTCGAGCATCAACACCTCAGCAAAACGCTCTCTGACAAGATTCTTTCCTGCACACTATTCAACTAATTTCTAGAGGTCAGTAACTTCTGAAGCTGATTTATAATAGCATCGAAGGTCGAAGTGGCTCGCGAAAACGTGCGGAACTGGTAAGCTGCCACAAAAGCGAACACTCGCTGTGACAGATATTAACCGGTATTTCAATAAAAAGCTCGATTACAGCTTAAATACCCAACCATGTCCGCGGCCCCATTACAGGTGGTTAATGAGCGACAACTCAACACACGGACGGCGCATATATATACACCCACAAGGACGACGGGCGGCAAAGAAAATTTACATTTAAGTGGAAGCAAACGTGCTGACCAGCTCCACGATCAGCACCGGCAACCTGCACCAAAGAAGAAGAAGGAAAAGCTTTCTGCACTCTGTAAGACACCACCATCACTAATCAAGACCAGAGGCAGAGACTATCATAGGGGCCATTTCCTTGGTGAAGGGGGGTTTGCAAGATGCTTTCAAATCAAGGATGATTCTGGTAAGATATTTGCGGCCAAAACAGTAGCGAAAGTCTCTATCAAATCTGAAAAAACCCGGAAAAAACTGCTGTCAGAGATTCAAATTCACAAAAGCATGAGACATTTCAATGTTGTACAATTCGTTGACTGCTTTGAAGACGACACTAACGTTTATATTCTGCTAGAAATATGCCCCAACGGCTCTTTGATGGATCTATTAAAGCGGCGAAAAGTTCTGACAGAACCCGAGGTGAGATTTTTTACAACACAGATCATCGGTGCTGTGAAGTACATGCATAGCAGACGTGTCATTCACAGAGATTTGAAACTAGGCAATATCTTTTTTGACAAGCACTACAACTTGAAAGTTGGTGATTTTGGACTGGCTGCTGTCCTGGCCAACGACAGAGAGCGGAAATTCACTGTATGTGGTACGCCAAACTATATTGCACCCGAAGTTCTCACGGGAAAACATACAGGTCACTCCTATGAAGTTGACATATGGTCATGTGGCGTTATGCTTTATGCCTTACTGGTAGGTAAGCCACCATTTCAAGCTAAGGAAGTAAACATAATCTACGAGAGAATCAAAAACGGCGATTATATCTTCCCAAAGGAAAAGCCCATCTCTAATGATGCTACGACGCTAATTAAGGATTTACTATCGATAGATCCATTAGAGAGACCCTCTCTTGACGAAATAATGGATTATGTCTGGTTTAGGGGCCTCTTTCCCCCACGAATTGACTCTAGTGTTTTGACTGCTACGCCCCTGTTTGAAGACCTTGATTTGAAACAGTCGTTGCGAAATTTTAAGGCATGTATGACACAATCCGGATTGGTCTCAGGGTCGTCTTCCTCTACTAAAGATCCAATCAAGTTAGTCAAAAACGATCTTGAACAAGAGAGAAGCAGAACGATACTACCTCACTCCTTATCACCTGGTGGTACAAAGAATAAATATCAAGAAGTTGTGGACCTAGATGCTCAAAAAAAGTTGAATGACTTGGCCCGTGAAGCCAGGATGAGGAGGGCTCAGCAAGCTACAATTAAAAAAGACTTAATTGCTACCTCCACAAATGCCATCAAATCTGAAATCTCATTGAGGATACTGGCAAGTGAATGCCACCTAACGCTGAATGGTATCTTGGAAGCAGAAGCGCAAAAGCGAATGGGTGGATTACCCAAATCAAGACTGCCGAAACTGAAAAATCCTATTGTGGTAACGAAATGGGTAGACTATTCCAATAAGCATGGATTTTCATACCAATTATCAACAGATGATATTGGAGTATTATTCAACAACGGAACAACGGTTCTCAGGCTAGCCGATGCGGAAGAGTTTTGGTATATCAGTTATGATGAACGAGAAGGTTGGGTCGCCAGTCATTATAACTTGATGGACAGACCACAAGAACTGGCAAGACACTTAGAAGTGGTGGATTTTTTTTCGAAGTACATGAAGGCGAATTTGAGCAGGATCTCGACTTTCGTTCGCGAGGAATATCACAAAGACGATGTTTTCCTTCGAAGATACACTCGCTACAGACAGTATGTGATGTTCGAACTAAGTGACGGGACATTCCAATTCAATTTCAAAGACCATCATAAATTTGCAGTCTCTGAGGGCGGATCCCTGATAACATACATTTCCCCTGACCGAGAAAGCTACACTTACCCTACAGTGGAGCTTTTGAAGACCGGGGAAATACCCGGGTGTCCAGATATCGATTTTACCGACAAGCTTTTCTTGATAAAAGAAGGTCTGAAGCAGAAATCTGCTATCGTTTCTAATACGCAGGCACAGTTGTAGCACCCTTACCCTGCGCTTCACGTTCATCTCGTGCCCAATTTTCTATAACAATGTTACATAGCTTAATAAAGTTTGGCTTTTTATAACACAAAGCAGGCGTTCGCTAGTGAGACCCTTTATAAGGTGATCTACTGCCCTTATTCCATTATTCATTTCAACCTAATTACTATGTTACATTAGCTGATGTGTACTCTTCGGTTGGTTTTCTACATTGCGTAATTGTCCTCCGAGGCTAATGTCTGTAGATTCCATTCAGTCTCGAAATTCGATTGTAATTGACCCAGTTTGGAGATGATTCCATTGCAGGCATTTTTTAAAGCTTCTTTTGGATCGTAACCCTCAACGGTCTGTATCCTCATCTTGAATTGAGCAAAAAGTGGATGTTCCACCTTATAGGCTGCAAATAGCACCCTTTGGTCCTCCAATAATTCACCACGAATGAGGTTAGCTAGTGTGTGATCCTCTTTTTCAAATGTCACGATCACGGCATTAGGCGCCTTCGTGTCCGGATCTATCTTGAGCTTCGCTTCCCCTTCCGGTAGGAGAAACAGTTCAAATCTGTCCGGAGCATTCATTTGAATAGATTGACTGTAATGGGCAAGTATTTGCTTGACATGATATGGAAACTGTCAAGACGCCCATTTTCGTAATATTTTCGTTAAGCATCATCAACGACAAGAAGTAGAATGGTCGATATTTTCGTTTTCGATAGAAACCGCCCCTTTAGAAAAAAATTTGTCCCCAGCGGAAAATCTACGCATAAACATAGCGATTTAAAAGCTGATTTTGGAACTGCAAGGGGTGATTAAAGAGCATAATTGGAGCACAAGTTACTGCTAGACATACGAAATAACTAGCAGGAAAGTTAGCTTCAAGTTTTCACGGCGGTTAACAATGTCACAGAGTTCGCGGAACATACTCAGTACGCATAGTCATCCCACTGCACAAGACCTCAACGGCGAAAGTACGCGAACGAATGGGACTGAATTAGGATCAAGCGGTACGTCCAACAGAAACGGGTTGAGTCAGGTGCTTCAGCCGCAACAGCAGCAACAGTTTGTCCTACCTTCTATTAGCGGGCTAGAAAACGGCCGTCATGGTGAGGCTCCTAGCCAGCGCTTACCTTCAATGTCGAGCTCAAAGGGCTTTTCAGTTGCAAGCCTCGACAATCCCATGCCTGTACAGCATCAACAGCCCCAACAATTGGTACAGAACGACAATAGTGCGCGTACGTCTCTTTCTGCAGAGCACTCTCAGGACCCATCATTCAAACCGCTCAATTTCAAAGATGCACTCTCTTACCTCGAACAAGTAAAGTTTCAATTCAGTACCCGTCCTGACGTGTACAACCATTTTTTAGATATCATGAAGGATTACAAATCGCAAGCTATTGACACACTTGGTGTCATCGAGCGTATTTCAACTCTATTTAAGGGCTACCCTGCTCTCATTCAGGGACTGAACACATTTTTACCTCAGGGTTATAAAATAGAGTGCGCTACTGATCCAAATGATCCCAATGCTATCTCTGTTATAACACCTTTTGATAACGCCAATCGTCCGGTAGGGCCAGAAAGACCTGTGGATATAGGTCCTACAGCTCCCAAGCTTCCTGCATCGGGTATTTCTCAAACCTTAAGTGAAACATCAACTCCTCAGCGAGCCTCTACTGTTGATCAACCTAGAATAGAATCGAATCCCCAAAGCCTTCCAGCACCTTCGGCAATATTTTCGACTGCAAATCAGCAGCCACCCCATTTGCCAAATAGTGGCCAGCCTAAGCAGCAATCGCCGAATTTTTCTAATAGACAAATTCCAAAATCATCAGAGCCCCCTCTTCATGTTCCCGTTCAGTCACAGCCGCAAGCTCACGTCCAGCAGCAGCAGCAATATTTGGCAACACGGAACACAGGCGACGTGGAATTCAGTCACGCTATAAGCTATGTCAATAAGATAAAGACGAGGTTTGCCGACCAGCCTGACATATACAAACATTTCCTGGAAATATTACAAACATATCAGAGAGAACAAAAGCCCATTCATGAGGTCTACGCCCAGGTAACCGCCTTATTCCAGAATGCCCCCGACCTTTTGGATGACTTCAAGAAGTTTTTGCCCGACGCTACCGCCGCTCATGAACAACAAATGCAGGTGCTTCAGCAGCAGCAACAGCACCAACAGCTTCTACTTGAACAGCAATTGCTTCACCAAACTCAACTCGCCAATTCTCACAGATTTCAACAGGATCAACATATTGGACATACACACTTGCCTCGTCAAGATCCACTGTATCAACAAGAGTTAGAACAGCGTGGGAAGCATTTCCAACAATCTCTGGAAGGTGGGGGTCAGTTCCACCAGCAACAACCAGCGGCTGCGCAGAACCTTCCTCCTTTGGGAAGTTTTTCGCCACCAATCAATGGAAGAGAAAGTGAATCACAATCAATAGGTCCAAACAATCAGCAGCCTGCAGCTTTTCCCGCCCAAGCACATCCCCAATTCTCAGGTCAAGGTACTGACAATCATAACTTACCTATCGCCGATGCGCAGGGTCATTTAGATGGAACTTATCCACCTGCCCCATTACAGGGTCAAGAATCTCAGTTTATGGAGCCGACGTCGAGACCAGAAATTGACTTAGACCCCAGTTTAGTCCCTGTTATTCCTGAGCCAATCAGGCCCTTGGAAAATAATATGACGCTAATAGAAGAAACCTCATTTTTTGATAGGGCAAAGAAATACTTAGGAAATAAACAAGTTTACACCGAGTTTCTCAAGATCTTAAATTTGTTCTCACAAGATCTGATAGGTACGAGTGAACTTGTTGACAAGGTGGACCACTATCTGGGTGGTAATGTGGAGCTTTTCGATTGGTTCAAGAGCTTTGTCAATTACGTCGAAAGACCGAAACGAATCGAAAATATCATTCACGAGAAACATAGATTGGACCTGGATCTATGTGAGGCATGTTGCCCAAGTTATAAAAAACTTCCAAAATCGGATACCTTCATGCCCTGTTCTGGGAGAGATGAGATGTGCTGGGAGGTTCTAAATGATGAATGGGTTGGCCATCCTGTATGGGCATCAGAAGACTCGGGATTTATTGCTCATCGCAAGAACCAATATGAAGAAACCTTATTCAAAATAGAAGAAGAGCGCCATGAATATGATTTCTACATCGAGGCAAATTTGAGAACGATTCAAACGCTTGAAACAATCGCGAACAAGATTGCTAACATGACTACTGAAGAGAAACAATCTTTTAAGTTACCACCTGGGCTTGGGCATACTTCCTTGACCATCTACAAAAAAGTTATCAGGAAGGTGTACGACAAGGACAGAGGTTTCGAAATCATTGACGCTCTTCACGAGAATCCTGCGATATCGGTTCCAATTGTCTTAAAGAGGTTAAAGCAAAAAGATGAAGAGTGGAGGAGAGCCCAGCGCGAGTGGAATAAAGTCTGGCGAGAATTAGAGCAAAAGGTCTTCTACAAGTCTTTGGACCATCTAGGTCTAACTTTCAAACAAGCTGACAAAAAACTTCTCACCGCAAAACAATTGATTTCTGAGATCAGTAGTATAAAGGTCGATCAGACTAACAAAAGGGTCCATCCATTTACCCCCAAGCCAGAGAGTCAACTAGATTATGATATCACCGACACGGACGTACTTGGGGACATACTTGGCTTGGTTCAAAATTCCATCGATCATAACAACACATATTCGCAGTTGGACAAGGAAAAACTCTCTGACTTTTTCAAAATGTTCTTGTCGTTATTCTTCTCTATCCCATATAACAAACTAGAAGGTACCTTGCATGACAGCTCAAAAGAGTCAGCGAACAAGGGACAGCATCTAGAGGAAAGCCACGAACCCCGTAAGAGATTGCGGGAGGAAGAACGCTCTTTCGCAACATTGCTTAGACAGAAACACAAGCACACTAAGAGGAAAGATATTAATGGGACAAGTGATTTCATCTCCGATGATGAACGCCCTTCAGAGAAAAGCTTGCCTGAAAATAAAGATGAGGAGTTAATCAGAGAAGCAGCGAAAAGGCCCTGGGTGCTTGGGGACATTTTGGAAGAGGCCAATGACAAGGGCTTCGTGGAGAATCGTAACATTTATAACATGTTCGCGAATTCCAACATTTATGTCTTTTTGCGCCACTTGACTACCTTATACCAGAGATTACGGGAAGTGAAACAAATTAATGACGAAGTTACACAGGAAATCAAGAGTAGAAAGGTCGTTAAATTTGCCAAGGATTTAAATTTACTGTCGACTCAACTAAGCGACATGGGGTTAGACTTCAAAGGAACTGATGCTTATAAGCAGCTACTTTCCCTTTCCAAGCGCCTGATTGAAAATGATATTGAACATCAATGGTTTGAGGAAAGTTTGCGTCAGGCTTACAAAAATAGAGCTTTCAAGATATACACTATCGACAAGGTAATACAATCTCTGGTCAAACACGCTTACGGGATCGTAACAGACGTTAAGACATCCGATATATTAATTTTATTTGAAGAGGACAGGAAGTGCCCAACAACCAGCAGAAGGGACCAAATTTTGTACCGCCTCCAAGTGAGGTCTCACATGGGTTTGGCCGATAACATGTTCCGCATTGAATACAACAAGTTAACTAATCATGTCTGCATCCAATTTGTTGCGGTAGATGACCTTACGTTAAACGAGCCCGATACTTTGAAAGACCGTTGGCATTATTATTTGACCTCCTATGCACTATCACATCCAACGGAAGGCATTCCACATGAGTCCATAAGTATACCATTTCTCGAAAAAAACCTTAGTGACGAGGTCGAACTGGATGCGGAAAATGAGAAGCCTTCTCATGTCGGTCAATCGGTCTCGCAACTACGTATTCAAGTCAATCCCCAAAATTACGAGCTACAAATTGAACCAAATTCTAAGGACATTTTCACCAGAGCAGATATGAACAAGATTCCCAAAAGAACTTGCATTAAGAATGGCGCAATGGGTGGAAAGAGGGAATTGATGTCATCCTTCTTAGATGGTTCCTATGGCTGGAAAAAGGGTTTACGGACTGAAAATGTAGAGCGAGTCCTTGCTACACTCCAACAAGTGAAAAACTATGGTCAAATAAGGGAACAAAAAGTTGAAGCACAATCAGAGAGCGTTCAAACCCCCGCGAGGAATGTGAACGAGGAGGGAGAGACGGCAGGCTATAAGACCGGCGACGACACAGATATAAGAGCTGACGAAACAACAACGGAGGAAATCTAATTTAATTAGCGAAGTGTGATACTTCGGCAATAAATAATGGTAGGCTATCATCTAAAAGTGGTAATGAACAACAAGAGATATTTTTCTCAGTCAATTCTCTGCTTCAATATCCACACCAAAGTCTGACAAAGTTTCCCCCCACTCATTTTCCCACTGCACTCTACCTAGATCGGTTTGGAATTCTGTAAGCCTTTTCTTAAGAACAGTTTCCCCGCGGGTATTACCCACGGTGAGATTTGATGATGAGCAATTGGTCTCAACATCCAGCTTTAGAAAGCCACGATCTGGCGGCCAAGGAAGTGCCATTAACCGATCCTCCAGAGGTGAAGAGGAATCGTACATCGCCAGATCATTCAACTGGAATGTGAAGCCACTCTCTGTGGGTACGCTCCATGGAATAAGCCATGTATAGAAAGGACCCATAAAAAATCTCAAATTCTTGATGAAGCCGCGATCGTAAGGAAAATTCACCATATCTATCAATTGGACGTCTCGATTGACAAGCAGTTCTGTAGCTCCCTCAACATCCATCGGGCTTCCCTCTGGAAACACTTCTCTCAGATTCTCAATCAGTTGTGGAATTAGCCGCTTTCGGTAAAAAAGATTCTCTATGCGCTCTTGCTCCCAGCTCTCGATTTGAGTCATGCCGCTTAAACCTTGATTAACGATACACCTTGCAAATAGCAAGCTTATAGTGAGCCATATAAACGCATTTAACGGCGCGTTGACTGTTAGCAAGCAGAGTTCGCTTTTGTAGACAAAAATGCGAGAATGTCGCGACTGCCAGAGCATAATGATACGCTTGAGTAGCAAATACTCCAAGAACAGCGTCGTTATAATAACCCATATCAAAAATCTCATAAAATGTGGAAAGTTTTGATATCCAACGCAGTTCATCGTCCAGGGACAATGATGGTCCATTACTAGTACGCACTGCTTGCATGATTTACAATGATGCGTTCTCTCCGGCTTGAAGTTCTTGCATTTTTTGCAAAAGTTCTTCCATTGTCTTGGCCCAGGAGTAAACTCATCAGGAGGGTTTCCAGGTTTGGTGTAAATGGCCATAATGTAAGAGATCCATGTCATTATAAGCGTGAATTGAAAAGACCATTGCTGCCCCTTAGAGGCAAAGTTAGACAGAATAAAGTAATGTGACGAGTAACCAATGAAGCCTATTAAAAACGTCGGTACAGCGATTCCGATCCATGGAGGGTTCAGCTTGATTGGCATTGCTTCTGCCCAACCATTTGTGAGAGTGTTTTGGCATGGCATGGTAGTTCATACTATTTACAATTCACGATCGTTAAGAACTTCTGTGTCACGTGCGTAACACATCTACCGAAAAGAGTCCGGCCCTGAGTTACTGTCTGCCGATCAGCTGAACCTGGTCTTCTTCTCGAACCAAATCTTAATAGATTACAATGAGTGAATAAAAGATTAAAATGAGTGAATGAAAAGATTACAATCCGTCAGTCGCTTAGGTATCTCGACAAAAATCCATTGGGAAAATGAGGCGGGGTTGATTTCCTCGAACAACTGCATTTATTGAAAAAATTGTGAATGAAATAGCTCGTAGGAGCCTATTAGGGCCCGCAAATGGCATAAGGCTGCAACCACAACCAATAAATGGAAGAGTTGATGAGAATTACCCCATATATCAAATTTTCCTGGTGCTAATCTCTCTGGAAATCGAATACCATATAGTATTGCACCTGAGATGTAGAAAACACCTTCCAGGATTACCCATTGAAGTTGTATCCTTGCCCACGTCTCTTTAAAACCATATTTGAGAAGTCCTGCTATGACAGGTAATAGAGCAGACAGCCCAAACGCCACAAATAAAGAAGCCCTATAAGGTCTCCAATCTCTGGATCTGAAAGTCTCGCCAAGGGATACAATTGCGCAAGCAATGCCAAAAATCACTGTTAGCCCAGAGAACATGAAGAAAAAAGATTTGTTATCGTGGAAACCGTAGTACAAAATACTGACCATCGATGAGACTATCAGAACAACAATACCGAGGTAGTCCAATTTATTGCCAAAGATTGCAATTTCCAGAGAATGGCATTTCAGGCAATGAAATAAACTGCTCATCATCAAACAAGTAAAGGCGCCTAAAAAGAAGAAGTCTATAACGCAATAATCTATCAAGCTTGTCGTTTCGAAACGCTCAAGAACGTAAAAGTTGAAAACAATCACCAAAAAGAAACAAATACCGGGTAAAAGATGACTGTAAACGTTCACAGTCTCATTGTGCAAGTAGAATAGGCTATCCAAACAGGCCCATAGGCTGTTAGTCTCGATCACGTACCCACTAATAATATGCTCATTATCTCTTTGCCACTCCGGGATCTCACTCCACTTATAGAGCCTACGCTTACTTACTTGCTCCCTTGACGGAGAATTAAGCAAACTTATCCTTCCTTTATTCTTGGCTGCGAGGTGTTCGGCAAGCGGAGCGCCCGCAAATTTCCGGTGAGTCATTTTGACTTCATTCATTTTTCAGGAAGTCTTCTCTTCTTTGCAGGGCTGTCTCAAATAATGAGAATTAGAAGCTACATTAAGTAAGTTTTCTGCAATAAGTGGTACGCAACTTTTTACGAGTTTCTGGTTGGAAAGCTATTACTCCCCTTTGATAATTTAATATTTTGTTGAAATATTAATCGTTTAGGGCGAAGTTGACGTATACGGCAACACATAATCTATAACCTTCTGTACTGTTGGAAACTGGAAACTGGAAACTGAGCCATTTTGAGAATAATGCCCTATTATAGAATCATCCTTTGCAATGTGAAAAGTAAGTAGTTCATATAAAATAAGGTAAATTGAGGTGATTGTTGAAACAACCCTTGAGTTTGGGTATTCGCTTAACATTGAATGATGATTTCACCGGCCTATAAATTCACTTATAAAACAGCATTATATGATATACCTAAAGCTCCTTGCTCTTTATGAAACAGAACTCCCAAACTCTAATGTGGACTCATGCGCAGGACTAACCTCTGAATGTTTTCTGTAAACCTCTCGTTTTTTTCCTTCTTTTCATACCCTCCGGGCCTTCTTTGTCGCCATACGGATCAAACCTTTTCTTTCCGGATTTTATTGATATGCTAGGGGCAGCAAGCACCTTCCTTGCATTTTTGAAGTCCAAAACCTCCTTAGGTGATGAGCTAGATTTGTTATTAGGGCGCTTTTGAGGTGGATGTTTTCTCTCTTTCAAGACGACGATATCATTCTTGTTTTCTTCGATGGTAGGTTCCTTGACCGTTGAAGGCGCATCCTGGCCAGAAGACTGTGCCGGGTATGAGGTGCTTTGTGACATGGGTGAGGGCGTAGTGCTTTTAAATTCAACAGATACTAAGCTCGCTATGTCTGAAATTTGAGAACTTGCTGAAACCTTCTCACTTCTCAGATTGATCTCTCCTGAACTAACAACATTGATATGTCCCTCTTCGTAGGACACGAACGCCTCGGTCGGGAGAGGTTTGCCTTTGAAAAGCACGGATTCGAAGTGTAATAGTTTATCCTGATCACTGCTTTCTTGAATGTTATCTGTCAATACGTTGAAATATGAGACATTTTTTTCGACCTCATACAATGACAATTCTGGTGTCAAATCCTGTTCACCGTTATACATTTTCGGGTCCGCATGGCTATGCATGGTACTCAGAGTGTGCTTGATCAAAAGGGCCAACGATTTAGCATTGGTGCTTACGTGAGAAGTCACGAAGCTTCCCACGGAGAGAACACCAGAAGAATCAGTTGGTGCACTCATTGTTAGTGAAACTAATAGTTGGTTTGGGGCAACGAATCGGGGACTCTCATCATCCCGCCTGGCAAGTAAATCTCTCCACTCATAAAGTTTCTTGACCAGCTTAGATTTTTCGGGCGGAATGTTGTACTGAAACATTAGCGACCTCCACGGCTCCTCTCTTTCAATTGGCGAAAATACTGCAGAAGACGAAAGCTTTGGCCTGAAAGCTGTATATTCAAACCGCCGCTTTGCGACATTTCTAGAGTTGTGTAACACCTCAGCCAATTTACCTCGTTCAATAAGTTCATTGCGAAGATTGTCATAAATGTTTAGCAAGAAGTGCGTGTCGGACCTTGCATAGGCTTTCAAAGCTTTGGTCAGGGGCCTCACACGCCAATCCGATAGCTGATACTTCTTGGAAGTTTTGAAGTGTGCATATTTCTCTAACAAGTATGCAAGACTGTGTTTCGGAAAGCCTAGTAGCCTAGATGCATGGTATGTATCAAATAGACTCACGATATAGAGGCCAAGATCCCTTTGGAGCCAAATAATATCCATGAAAGCTCCGTGCAATACTTTAGTAATTTTTGGATTTGTAAAGATCTCATTCAACGGGTAAAGCTCATCTCTTAAAGCTATTGTGTCAACTAGCCAGTCTTGTTCTCTCGTGCTTATTTGCATAAGGCATGTAATGCCGTAATATGTCCTGTAATCATGGTGTTCCAGGTCAATGGCTAGCTCCCTAGCAGTCGATAAAGTCTTTAACATATCGTTAAAAGTCTCTTTATTATCTACCCATAGTGCATCAGTACCCTCCCAGGGCAGGGAAGGAATGGGTGTTGAGGTCCTAAGGACGCTCTCGTCGTATTCTTGGGTATCAATCTCGTATTCGTAAGGCTGAGGAAAATGCGCAGGAATGTTGTCTTCTGCTGCTGTCAGCAGAAGAACTTCCTCAAGAGGTTTTACTGCGTTGGGCTTCACCGGCAACAGGGGCCTGAACGGCCCGCTTTCAGAATTGTCCACAGCTTTGGAGAATTTGAGCTGTGGTTTTGAAATGACCTTTGGCGCTAGTTCTTCAGACATTGCAGAATCATCAAGATATTGAAGTGTTTTACCTTGCTGAAAGTTGTTCTTCCGCTTGAGGGATGCCATGGCGTGTTCAGACTTCTCGAACAGAAGATCCATGACCTCACTGACATTTTTCCAGGAGCTCTCCAAGCCTTCAGCTGCTGGATCGACCCTGTCGCTATTTTCGTCTATTGAAAGAATAACCTCATTTATCAAGCTAAGCAATTCATGGGAAGAGTGATCGAGTGAAACACCGACTGACGGGTCCAGACTTCTGTAAAAGCTCGCGTCCTGAGCAGATATTGCAGAGGAAGCCCTAATAGTGCCTACAACCTGACCTAGAATGTTAGCATCAGTAGCAGCTTTGGCCCTAGACATTGCACTTCTGTTAATGAGAATGAAAATGGGGTGGGTGGAGGAGATACGTTGCGATGAGATGATTAGTGTATTGAATCAAGTAAATATTAATTTTTTAAAATTTTCTAAAATCTAGTACTAGACGGGTAATAACGAATGAGATGTGTTGTACGCCAGTAACAAAAGGTTGATTCATAGGAACGTTAGACAATGCTTTAATAATGCTTTGCTAATAACAACCATTTGAGCTTCTCTTAAGTCGAGATTGATACTGGACACAAAACCAAGATTGCTGCTGGTGTTAACAAACTGCAGAATTGTGACATACATAATTATAAATAAAAAAATAAAATAATTTTAGTACAAAAAGTTATCATCTGACCACATTGATAGTTTTTCTTATAATTAAACAATTTATTTAAAATGTAGCTACAAGGATATTATTTTATTTGATTAAAATAATGGTAATCTCAAAATTTACTATTTCCGAAAAGGTTTTAAGGTTTGAAGTTTGTGCGCTTTCTCAATATATTACACAAAAGTGCTTTTCAAACGAAGTAGGAAGAAGAATATTGGTCCTTTAGTCTAATTATCTACAGCGAGTTCTTGAGTACGACCCTGGTGCCCATGAGCTCAATTTGGTATAGGTTGCGTTTCATCATCTATTGGTTTGTAAATATTTCGGTTACTTGTTAAGAAAGAATAGCTGTGGAGAGAAAAATGAAAAGTATTCATTCTATTGTCGAAATGCTCTCCACTTTTTTTCTATGTACGAGAGCTAATAGCATAGTGGAGTTTTCTTAGATTATTAGCAATTGGACTAGATGCAAAACTTTCAGTTCGTGATATGAGGTCTCGCTAACAAAAAACTTCTCGTCCTTTCATTCTTTTTTATTTCAATTTTCGTCTCAGAATTGGTTTAATCTAATATCAACATGTCAGACACAGGCTGTAAGAACTCCATCGTCTTTGGCTTTAATCCCCGAAATAGCTCGTTCGAGAAAGAGTTTGACAAATCAGCTGTCAAATAGATTCCTTACTCCTTTTAGACTATACTAACAGGTTGAATGTTTATCCTCCCGAGTATTTCGCCTTACTTCAATGTTGGTTAAATTTCTGAACTTGCTTAGAGATCTCCAATAGTCAATTTTTTATTAGCTTTACGCAGGCTTCTTGCTCGTGGTTGCAGCATCACAGTCAGATTCCTCAAGAAATCTTTTTCTTTTAGATGGGTCTTCATCTTTCTTACAGCTCCCGAGCTCCAGTGAGTAATGAGCTCTTTTGGTTTTATCCGGTGATGAATCATAACTGCCTACGATTTCTATAATCTTTCGGTAGTAAGTGTCCAGAACATTAAACCCATTGTTTGGCCCTCGCACATTGCCCTTTGGATATGTGTCAGTAACGAAGAGGCCATCTCGTCGCTCTAGTTTGCAATTCAGTATGTTGTCGTCTCGAGGTAATATTCGATAATTGACTCGTTTTAAAAAATCATTTTCCAGTACGTGTAGCTCACTGCATTGAACCCCCCCAACCTTGGCATAATGAGTGTTCGTGCAAAAAGAATCACATAGACCTTTGCTAGCAACTGCTGTGGCCGTGAGCAAAAACCTATGCACCGTGAGAGAATTTAATGAAAATGCAGGATATATGGCAGTGAAGAGGTCAATATAATAAACAGAAGCAATAAGCACAGCTGGCTCTAAAGCTGAGTATCGTGTGAGCCGCATCAAATAATCGTATACCGATATCTGCGGCGGCACCCTTGAGTGGAACCTTGTTAGTTCATTTTGTTCTTTGGGAACCAGCGAGTCATTTATCTGTATTAAAAAGGATAACATCCGTGAAATGAGACTAACAAGGTCACCTCTGGAGCATTCACTAAAGTTCGCTGGGAGCGCTATGTTTGGAACAGGACTTCCAATGGAAACTTCAGGTGTCGCGCTGTTACCAGGAGCGGGACCATTTTCAATCGCATTTGAGCTACTTGTACTTTCTTTATTCAGCTTACTCACGTCTTCCGACTCTTGAACAGACATCCAGCTCTCATTTACTTTCTCTTGAGAAGAATGACTGTGCCCTTAGGATGGTTCACTATCAAAACTTACTGTAGTCCAGCATTGGCTAATGATTGTATGTAGGTTTCCTAAAAGATTACTATTTTTTTCTACCCAAGATCAGCACGTGCCAATAACATAGCAAATAACGATTACGGTCATTATCTCTGAGATAAACGCTGGTTCGACCCTTCCATAAAGCTGCTTTCCATTGTTGACGATAAAAGTTGAGACACTGAAATTTCACTAATACTATATTTACACTTTAGGGCCCATTGGCGCAAGCACAACAACTGATTGAAGGTCCTTTCAACAACCGCACGAGCTCGGCTCGCCGTCGAGCTGGATATTAATGGCGTCGTTAAAATCGTCTTCAAATGCATCTGCATCCGCTTGGCTTTGCTGGAGTGCATTACGGGCAATTTCTTCAAAAGCTGTGTCCACATTAATAGAGCCTTTTGCACTGGTTAGAAATAGAGGAACGTTACCCAGCGATTTGGCCATGTCCTGTGCAGCACGGTTACTAACGACTTTCTTAGACTCTTCAACATCCAATTTATTGCCCAGAATGACAAATGGAAAGGTATCTGGTGATGAAACATTGGCATGAACCAAGAACTCGTCTCTCCAGGACTTTATGTTTTCAAAGGATTTTGCATTCGTCACATCGTACACCAATACACAGCAGTCCGCGCCCCTGTAAAAGGCCACGCCAAGTGACTGGAACCGTTCCTGACCTGCAGTGTCCCAGACCTGCATCGTGGCTACTTTGTCGCCATCCATGGTCACTTCTTTTGTGAGAAAATCTGCTCCAATTGTAGCCTTATACTGCTGCGAAAACTTATCGCTCACATATCGGTGCATCAACGAGGTCTTTCCAACGCCTGAGTCACCTAGTATTATTACCTTCAAAATGTTCTTCTTACGGCTTGACATCACAACTGTTTATCAATAAGCTTACTTTAGTATCTGACTCTTGTTGTGTGGATTGGAAAGGGATGTATCTACTTTGATAGTAAAATATTACCAAAAAGTTAGCTAATATAAAGTGACGAGTTCTTTTATCACATGAAAATGTGTGCGCTACAGTTGAAGCCCAAAAGCAAATACGTTTTTCTTGCAAGCTATCAGAATTCCCTTATTGACTAATAGACAGGTTATGAGGACTGTTTTTGTCAATTTTTCTGCCGATCTTTTTAGCTTACTTTTGATGGTATATCCTTAGTCATGGATTAATGATAGTCACCAATTTGTTACTAAAGTGTGGAAGTTAGATTTCGCCGCAACACTATAAAAATTGGCATGAACTATACTGTACATGAACAATCTCATCAAAGAAGAGAGTATTGTTTAGCTCCATGTGCGAAGATAAGCAAATACAGCAACAACATCAAAGAACAATGAATAAAGTTCGTTCAATATGGAAGTCTTTTACGGCCTTAGAACAAAGCGAGGGCGTTGGCGCTAAGGTTAGAAGAGCAATTGGCACTATGCAACTTCGTAATTTCACACCATTTTTGATGCTCGATCACTTTACCGTTGCTCCTCCCGCAGGATTCCCAGATCACCCGCACCATGGACAGGAAACTATCACCTATGTCTTGGGGGGTATGATCGCACACGAAGACTTTACAGGCTCCCATGGAGTTCTCCGAAAGGGAGATCTACAATTTATGACTGCTGGAAAAGGGATCGTACACTCAGAAATACCAGTAAAATTGGACTCCAATGAGCCAGCAGTTGGGCTACAACTATGGGTGGATTTGCCTGCTCATTTGAAGAACTGTGAGCCTCGTTATAGAGACCTACGGCAAAGCGAGACGCCTGTAGCCAGGCCACACGATAATCTAGAGGTCCGTGTCATTAGCGGTAACTCCTACGGTGTTGAATCGCTTCATGAGCTTGCATACACCCCCGTAAGTTTTTACCACTTTATCACGTCCAGCGCTGGTACCAGCTTTACGCAGGCATTTCCCGACAACTTCAACTCCTTCATGTATGTTCTCAAGGGTGCTGTTAAGGTTAATGGTAAAGTTTTTCCGCAGTACTCGTCTATCTTTTTTAAAGCCGATGGGTCTCATGTAGAAGGTGTGAGTGCCTCGGATAATGCTGAATTTGCGTTGATTGGGGGTGAAATACTTGATCAACCGGTAGTCCAATATGGGCCGTTTGTAGAAACTTCCAGAGAGAAGATCTTAGAAGTTTTTGATAACTACCAATCCGGGCTCAATGGTTTTGAGAATGCTCCCGGCTGGAGCTCATCTATATCACATGGTATCGCTGAAGATCGGGTCGCTGACTTTGAGGAAGTTGCCGACCATTAACACCTTGAATTTTTATATCTGATTTCTATTGCGTACAGTAATATATGCTCTCTATGCACTCGTTTGCGGAGGACGAGATGTCAGTAGCCGCTCACCTAATTGTGTTTTTTTGGCAGCGTTGGGACGATCCGCGATTTTGATCAGACGGACGTACTTCGCATTCTATCCCCGACAATAGTCCATGAGACGGGGAAATAGACGTCTTTGGGCAGTGTTTTTAGTCGTTGCTGAACGGTAAATTTTCGCTTCACATTGAACATGGCATTTCTTCGTACCATAGTATTTCAAGAGCCTTGAAAATATAATACGTCGAGTAAATCGTGTAGATTTAGTAAATAAATAGAATTGCAGCCCTTTCATTCTACGAGCTCGCTCATCCAGCAATGGTCAGTGGCGTCAAGTCGGCAAAAGAGTCATTTTTTGCTTCACCACTCTACGACTTTTTGTCACCCTTCAGGCCGGTTGCAAACCAGTACTACGCGGAATACGTTATTGTCATTTTCGCTCTTGTTATTCGATGCGCGGTGGGCTTAGGATCTTTTTCTGGGGAAGGAGTTTCTCCTCTATTTGGAGATTTTGAGGCACAGCGGCATTGGATGGAGCTAACCACAAACATTCCGATCAGTCAATGGTATTGGTTTGACTTGCAATATTGGGGACTAGACTATCCTCCACTTACCGCTTACCATTCACTTCTCCTCGGAAAACTGGGGTCCCTTTTTAATCCTGAATGGTATGCTTTGGGATCATCTCGTGGCCTTGAACTACCTGCTCTCAAGGCTTATATGCGCTTCACAGTGATCCTCAGTGAAGCTGCTTTATATATACCTGGCGTGATCTATTTCACAAAATGGTTTGGAATCAAAAGGCGACAGTCACCAATTGGTACTTATATCGCTGCGGCAGCTATTCTTTTTCAACCATCGCTCATTTTAATCGATCATGGTCATTTTCAGTACAACTCCGTTATGTTAGGGTTGACGGTTTATGCTATTAATAATCTGTTAGACGGTTTCCATGGACCAGCAGCCGTTTGTTTCGTGCTGTCACTAACTTTCAAACAGATGTCACTGTACTATTCGCCCGTTTTTTTCGCTTATCTGCTCAGCAGATCACTGTTTTCACCGTCTTTCAATGTTTCCAGGTTTATTTCAGTGGCTTTACATACTCTGATCTCATTTGCCGTACTGTTCTTTCCCTTGTACAAATTTGGTGGTCTCAAAAATGTTTTACAATCAATACATAGGGTCTTTCCCTTTGCTCGGGGCATTTTTGAAGACAAGGTGGCCAATTTCTGGTGCGTATCAAATGTTTTCTTCAAGTATGCCGAAAATTACAGTCAAATTCAACTACAAAAGCTTTCTATTGCAGCCACTGGTGCTGGCTTCCTGCCAGCATTCTTGTTAATATTCCTGTATCCCAAGAAGCATATGTTACCTTTTGCATTGGCTGCATGTTCCATGGCATTTTTCCTTTTCAGTTTTCAGGTACATGAGAAGTCTATATTGGTTCCTCTCCTTCCTATAACTTTACTTTACTGTTCCACCAATTGGAATGTACTCTCGATGGTAAGTTGGATCAACAATGTTGCTCTGTTTACACTTTGGCCGTTGTTGAAGAAAGATAATCTCACCATACAATATGTGGTGATGTTGATCTTAAGCAATTGGTTGATTGGCAATTTCAGTTTCTGCACTCCACGCTTCTTGCCCCACTTTCTGACTCCTGGACCTTCAGTGAGCGACGTGGGCGACAGTTATCGAAGAAGAAGCCTGTTACCCGAAAGCGTTATTTGGAAATTGATAATTATCACCTCTTATCTGGCTATGGGGCTGATTCATTGCTTGGATGTTTTTGTTGAGCCACCAAGTACCTTGCCCGATTTGTGGGTACTCATGAATTGTGCGTTGGGTTTTTCCTGTTTCGCTCTTTTCTGGCTATGGAACAACTACAAGCTATTCACACTGAGGAATAAGTCATTTGAAGACTTTTAATGCATAAAAAGATTTATATCCTTCGTACACGTATTCAGGTATCATGGAACTATTAGAGCCGGTCTCTATTTGACCAGTGACTATTAGTAAAGCCTAATAGTAAAGTACTCGATCTTCATGTGGTACCCGCTTCTTTTGTAAGATATTGTAAGATATTTTTATCGAACCCGAACTGCGTAAACCTGCACTTTTCGAAAGTTAATGATTCTTCTAAGCGTATTTGAGAGCAGGAGGAGGTACCAACGACATATGCGTACTAAACAGAATGGATGACACCTACGTGTGTCAAAACTACGGACTGGAAGTGGTCTATTTATGCTTGGGGAGACGAGTTACATATTAAAAAATATCAACCTATTGTCAGAAAGGTACTAGGTAATCTTGATAACCTCAGTAACGAATATACAAGGACGGTATTCAACCAATGGGCTGTAGAGAAACAATGACCTCAAATAAATGTTCTAGCCCACCATTTCAATCACTCAAAGGCCCAAAAAACTCTACCTTTGGGTGGAGTTGCTGCATTATCAAGCCATAACGGCACCCAGATTATTCTTGGCAGAATTAAATTCTGGCCATACATTACATATATGGACCTGATTCATAACTCTAAAATCAAGAACAGATAACCAGAAGTCGGTTTATAATCTCCAAATGTACTATCAAGCTCTAAGAATGTTTATTACGCTGTCCGTCCACAAATTAAACGGACAATTCAACAACCTCGTTACTATAGATGCTGACTCGCGCCAATAATCAGATACACAGAATTCTCTCACGATGCCAACCAAAGTGCTTAGCGATCTATTTACAAAGCTGACTACGGCTGACATTGACCTCTGTAATAATAGGTACGGTATTAACATGACTAGCAAGTAGAATTGGTAAGGTTCCCAGCATCTCTTTACATTCATGAAGTTCTTTCCCTCCCCCATTCTGCGCGAAAAACAATGAGTTTGTAATTTATCTCTTACAAACCGGATAGGCCCCTCACCAGACACCAATTCTATGTTCCACACCATCTAGCTGGGCAGGCAGGGAATAATTTCAATTTCTTTTCGCATCATAAAAGTAGTGTAAACATACGCGCAAGGTGCCTACATGATTCAGGATGAAAGACCACGAGTTGTCTGGTCATGAAGCCCTCCAGTCTGCGCCAGTTCAGCGCTGACTGAGGGGTCGTCTTCAGACGTAGTCTTGTCTCAATTCCTCCAGTGGTTCAAGTGTTAATACCATAGTATGTGTGCCCTTTGATAGTTTCCTGACAATGACGGTGTGCCCTTTCCTTAGCCACCCAGCCACTGCTGCTCTTGCTTCAGGAAACACATCATAAGGACTTTCACAATTTCTAATTAGCTGCGCAGTGTTAATGCTCTTAATCGTCATCGCCGGACTCCTACCGTCCAATGCGGTTGTTACTAAAGACTCATTTTGCTTGGTTCTTGCGCACAACTGTCTATTTTAATGCTATCTACTGCCTCCCAATACCCTCTTCGCCAAAACCGGTCAGACTTGCAACCTAACTAAAATTATTACATTTGGTAGTAATCTATGAAGAAGTTGAGTACGACGAAGAGTTTACCATTTAAATTTTGTGATCTGGTAATCCTACCTCGGTTCCATTACCCGCGTCGTATCTCTGACTTTCCCCCAGACCTGGAGCGTTCAAAGTGCAGCATCCATGGACTCGAAAATATTAGGTAAGACTTCATCCTTTAGAGCTACAATATCTTACGCCAGCGATAAGGTGCTGATCCACCACACAGACAAACGCCTCAATACCAGCAACATAACACAGAAGTGGTATTTCTAGTCCTCATACTCTAATGTATGGAGGACCTTTTTTATATTCTCGCATACTGACTATTATGGTGATGTACCCGGAGTTTTGTACGTCTCGAGTTTTTGGATCTCTCGTGATATTTCAGAGGCAAAAATGTTCGCGACTAAACAAAACATTAAACTTGACTCACACCAGATCACGGTAAATGACTTGTTACTTAATACCAAATTACTGTTGCAGTTATACAGTGTGAAGCGTCGGTTATAGCATGTTTGATCAACAAATGCTTGCTGACGTTGCCCATGACGCATGGGAAACGAGTTGAAGGAAGAGTGTTTTTATTGTTAGAATTACCGATTGGCAGTGCTCTGGTACCGCTTGAACAGCATCGAATTACATAATGGCAACCAATCAACCAATTGTCAGTAGAGTACTAAGCGATACTGGCCACGTCAGTAAAACGAAAGTGTAGAAGGTGAATAATCGACCAATAGAATCCAGAGAAGCAGCGACTACACAGCAATGCCCCGGCCGAATTCAAGTATTCAACAACCCAACAACTCATCTACTGGATTCATTATTTAGATTATAGAACCTTAATTGTACGCAGATTATTCCCATCAAAAATAATCCCCGGCCCCATGTCCCAGTTATGGGCCACCTTTATAGCCCAAAAAATAACGAAGAGACAGCTAGAAGTAGCCCTAGAAGTTCCAGATTTATTATCAAGTACTTAGAATGTTTTACACGATGTCTTTCTACAAATTAAACGAACAATTCAGCACGCTAAATACTGCCAACTCAGACTTGCTCCTATATCAGTCTATTACCATGAACGATGGCGCCTCAAGAAAGTACGTTATGCGTGCTGTTAGGCCATTCCAGTATCAAAACAATACCACGTCGATATCTTAGCGAAAAGTGGCCGAGGGACCAGAACAGATTACAAAACTGTAGATAGATAGAAGTAATCAACGTCCTGTAACGAGAGCAAACAGTTCACTGTCTGATAGGCAGTTCTCCTCCTTAGTGACGTTGTGGTTATAACCACGACAGGAATAGTAATAATGACATGAAGGATAGTAATGACAGACCATGTGTCAGAACCCAGCCAAGGAGCCCACAGGGCTATGACAAAGGATAAGAGAGCATGAGTTAAGCCACTTTAGCTCGCTCGAGCCCAAAATGACTCGAGGCTTGTACGTCAATGTGACGTCCCTCACAATGGAGTCTAAGCGAGGAAAAACCCATAAGAAGAGACCGGTAGATCAGAACAAATGTGAAGGTTAGGTGGAAAGAAGTAAATCAACAGTAACTACTAATATGGTCTACTGATTGCCATGGTCTTTCAATAGCTTCAATTCTTTAGGTTATTTGTGATTAGTTCACAATAACAAACATGATAGGGACATGCAATAAATTCTCCAAATAGAAATCTTATTCCTCGTGGCCCAATGGTCACGGCGTCTGGCTACGATTGTATCCACTTCTGAAACCAGGAGATTCCAGGTTCGAGTCCTGGCGGGGAAGATTTCTATTTAACTTTTTATCAAACCTTTGACCGTTAAACTACGAACATAGAGGGTACCCATGATCGAGGACCTGGTTTTGGGGGATTGGTGGGAAAAGGTTCATAATAGACACAAGCTTCCTAAACACTATTCATCATATGTGTTCTGCTTGTTCTGGAAAGTTCTGCCGTCTTACTTGTAGATCGACAGTGGCCTTCGGCAGAAAAATATAAATGATCAGTAAAATTATAAGTTGACACTCTGTAGGATGGCGTGGTTCGAAGAACGGAAAACAATCCTAGATAATACAAATCATAATGGCTCCATCTAACAAAGAGCTCGCAAGCTTGATTGTTGACTTTTTGTCTCGCGCTTCCGAAACGAAGCAAGTATCTGAAGAATACTTGGACTCTTTGAACGTAGCGGTGGACTGTATAACTGATGCATTTGAGTTAGAGCAAGACTCCCTCCCAAGCACTTTGAAAAGCGCATTCCAAGGTCGTCGCCTGGAGGACATTGTGGAGAATGCTAATGCAGCTTCTGCTTCTGGCCCAGGTGAAAATGTGGACGTCAACATTCCGGTTGAAGACGCCGATACTAAGGCCAGGGCTGAGGGTCTGAAGCTAGAAGGTAACAAAGCGATGGCTGCTAAAGACTTCGAGCTAGCCATTCAAAAATATTCCGAAGCCATTCAATCTCTTCCTTCTAATGCAGTTTATTTTGCCAATAGAGCAGCAGCCCATTCGTCTCTAAAAAACTATTCTGAAGCGGTGCAGGACGCCGAGTCTGCTATCAAGGTCAATCCATCGTACTCGAAGGGCTACTCTAGATTAGGCTTTGCTCAATATGCCCTTGGTAAACCTGAAGAGGCTTTAGACGCTTACAAAAAGGTTTTAGATATTGAAGGCGATAAAGCCACTGACGCTATGAAGAGAGATTACGACACAGCTCTCAAGAAGGTAGAGCAATCGTTGGATTTGGAGAGAAGTGCACCTAACGTATCCACCGCTGATAATGCAGGCGGCTCTAACGCTGGTAGCGGCGGATTCCCCGATCTCTCCTCAATGTTGGGTGGCGGTCTTGGCGGCCTACTGAACAATCCTCAGGTCATGCAAGCTGCGCAACAAATGATGCAAAACCCCAACGCACTTGGCGAAATGATGAAAAACCCTGCAGTCAGACAAATGGCTGAGAAATTTCAATCTGGGAATGGCGCTCCCAACATGGCTGATATGATGAAAGATCCAGCTTTGATGGATATGGCTAAGAACATGTTCGGTGGTAGTGCTCCAAAATAGATGCAGTTTTTGAGAATTTTAAGTCGCGGTATGTAAAGTATTTACAGGTTCATTGAAGGACGTTTCGTTTAACTTGTTGAGACCTTCTTTCAAACATATCAGCCGTTCCTGCAGCACTTTGATGTTTGATTCCGCATGTTCCTTGACGGTCATAAAGACCCAGAATTCGTTTTTGAAAGTGAGGTATTTATTCACCTCAACCGCTAGCTGCTCATTCTCCTTCCTAACGCACTTGGCTAAATGTAACAAGTGGTCGGAGCTGTGCTGGATTTTTTTGGAGATGGATTGTTCTAGTTTCGTCCTCTTTGTTTCGATGTATGAAGCAAACAAACCCCCGCTTGCGGATATGTTAGGTCTAACATTTCCTGGGAAATTTCTTTGATACTCATGACGTAAAGCAGCTAATTCACCATACGTGTGCCACCAATTTGAGATGTCGACACTCAATGCCTTCTCAATGTTAGTAATGAGAGCTTCCGTACATATTTGAAGAAAGGTGACGTTTGCAGTCAATGAGCCGAAGTCTGAACTTTTACTCGAGAGATCGACGACTAACGGTGCACTTTGCTGTAATTGATATGAGTTGAAAACATTGTTTGTCTTCCCACAGAACATAGTGTCAGACTTATTCATATCAAATCCCTTGAGATCTCCAAAAATCGCTATCTTCTTCAGCGTTAACGCTAAAGCTCGAACTGACATCAATTCTGATCGATTAAATTTCAAGACTTTTTGAATACTTGTCATTTCTTCAGGTTCGATGGAATCACCATCACTAGTATGTGACTCTCTACAACCAGGGCCAAGGCTCAGATTTAAGTTAGAGCTGTAAAATGACTCTTCAAAACCATTTTCTTGGATCATGAGGCTGAGGGCAATTGATACTTTTTTCAGCAAAAGTTGAGTTGCTAATCTATTGATGTTGATGATCTTGACTCTCGAAAGATCTCGCAGCTCTTCCACAATATTTTCGACTGGCACAAAGGTTCTTGGATAGGCTTTTATAAAGAGTAACATGAAATTTTGGATAAACCTCAATGGCCTTTTCATTGCGAACGTAGATGCATCTGTATCACGCTTACAAGTCATCCAAAGAACCCAGTCATCATGTTCGCACTTTATACTTCGTGCATATATCGACGGTGCGAACTGTGATCCTTTGTACGATGAAGTTCTACCGAGTTCAACCAAAACAGCTGGATTTTTGACATAATCAAAAGAGGTCAGATATAATCCCTCTTGAAACTTGTCTACCACTAGGCGGTTATCCTTGATAATATCCTTGACATTTTCTATGCGGTTATATTTTGCATAAACCATCAATGGAGTAAGTCCTTTCTTGTTGGTTGCGTTCAAATTTGCAAGAGGATCTGCAATCAGAACCGAAGCTTTTATTTTTATTATGTGTAGTAGAGTGTTCCCTTTTCTATCACTGTGTTTTAAGGGCTGAAAGGACCTGTTTTGTAGCTTACACCAGCGTCTAGCTTGTGTGTATGCATCTGATATCATTTGTTCATAATTAGGCTGATCGTAGGCTCTGATGATGACAAATAAAGGTGTATGGCCATTGCAATCTTGCTTTTCCCAATCAAGTAAAGCGCCTACCTTAGATATCAGTTGTGGCGAATGCATGATGTAGTGACCCGAAATACGCCCATAGCGATTGGGTTTATTGAGAAAGCGAGCCAATTCCTCTCTTGTGCAACTTTTGCATAACATTTCAACCAAGGTACCAGCAAGTCCATAACAGCCGCTATCGAGCATTTGTATTACAAGATTTGAGCCATCAACATTTTCGTCATATAGTATGTCCTCTAAAGGGAAGAGATTCTCATAATTTGTGGCAATGAGCTCGAATGCTTCAAAGTTTTTATTCTGAACACAATAAGAAAGCGCTGACTGTCCTGCTGCTGTCCTTATGGTCAATGCCTTGTCTAGATGAGGAAAGGAGGCTACGTCTGAATCCAAAGTGGCACTTGATAAGCATGACCAAAACCTCAGATTCATCTCGCAATTCCTTTCCAGTAAGTGAAGCTTTTCAGGGTTCTCGAAATATGAAAGAACTCCTTCCAACGTAGACATCCCGTACGCTAATATGCCAAATGTAATTTGGGCAGAGCTCTTTGCGAACTCCTGCAAGTAAAAAGAATGACTTTTCAGATCCCTGACTTCAGCCCGACATACAGTTACAACCAAAAGACTGACCAAAGTGTCTGCATCAATTGTAACAATTTTATCATCCACTGTAATGGTCCTTGAGAGAGTCTGTAGGGTCTCGACGATTACACGGGCCTTGGCTGAATGGCAATTTGTAAGAGACAATTTCTTAAAGCAGTTTACGGCTTCTTCTAAGTTCTTCTCAACTTGAGTGACGTATCGCATGTCAAATTTAGCATCATGCTGAGGGAAGAGAAAGGAGGGGAGTTGGGATATTGATATATTTTTGAGGACTTTGTAGTCACTTAGACTCTCGATTTCAGACCCCCTCATCGAGTTAGTGAGCTGCGCCCAGAAGTCGTCATATAAGTTTAACTCAACATACTCATGGATATGCATTCGTAGATCAGGCAAATTCCTAAATGTGACATCGGGCTCGACAACTTTGGCGGCCTTTGCGCAAGTTGTGATGAAATCCGATGCAAGCGAATCAGCTTTAAAGCTTGAGCTGGCCAAGGTTTTTCGTTGTATATCAAAAATATCTTTCAGTTTCTCTGCGTGGGATGGGTTGATGCGGAGCATTTGCTCAAAAGAAATGAGATCTGCGGCCGCAAGCATGCTTGTTTCCTTATTCTTTACGCTCGCCTTGGGGGCTATTGGGAATGAAGTTTTGATGATTTGCCATTCATCGCATCGGGCCAAGCGGCCTACAAAGGGAATATCAACGTATATTACTGGATAAGTTCTGGAGCCTTCTAGATAGTCATTGAAATTGGTTAGAACTTGTGCCTCCATCATTCGACATCGTCTGCGGGTACCGAAACCATCACCCGTGAAGATAACTGCTTGCTGATTACGCAGGAGTACCGTTTTTCCACTCAATGTCTTGTAGTCGTCCACTCCCATCTCCTCTCTTCCGTCCAGAAAGAGGATATGATCTGCCACAAATTCATTGGAGTAGCACAAGTCTTGCAAAGACGAGCCACTCTCGAGGTCCTCATACTCATTGAGCACTTCAGTGCTGGGAGCAATCAAAATGAACTTTCGATGTCGTATTCGAGAAAAGACCTTCTTCAATGGCGAGGTTTGAGGCGTCGGACAATTGAAAACCGCATTTAGCAGCGGATTCAACAACACAGGTAAATAGTAGGGCTTTGTCTGATCTCTGTACGGCATGCTACGCTGGAGCTACCTGTATGAGCGGTGAGAAGCTCAAAGTTCATTGCGATCCATATCGAACGTGAAGGTTCATCTTTCATTCATCACATCGTACTACAAACCACCAGTGCAATTAATCGAATATCGAAAAAGTGCAGCGACGCAAGGCTTCTCAAGATCCGCTATTGAAGGTAACTCATCGAAGCACCTGAAGAGCTTTCTGAGACTCTGTTCCCGTCTTTACTGCAAAGAGCGTATCTGGCGCTGCTACCTAGTCTTGATCATTGGTTATAATGAGCAAAGGTGAGAAAGGGAAGAACAAAGTGAGATCAGGCCACTCGACCTCTGCAAATGGTTCTGGCGCTTACAGCTCCAAGCGTCGAAATGACGAAACAAAGCACGGAGCAAATAGAGAAGGTAAAAAATTCCCGGTGAAGCTTGCCATGTGGGATTTTGACCAGTGCGACCCCAAGAGGTGCAGCGGCAAGAAATTAGAGAGACTGGGACTCATCAAAGCGTTGCGCGTCGGTCAGAAATTCCAGGGCGTTGTGGTATCACCGAATGGAAAAGGGCTAGTGTGCCCCAACGATCAACGAATCGTAGAGGAGAATGGAGCTGCTGTAGTAGAATGCTCCTGGGCACGCCTGGATGAGGTCCCTTTCAATAAGATTGGTGGAAAGAACGAGCGTCTTCTTCCATATTTAGTCGCTGCTAATCAAGTGAACTACGGACGTCCCTGGAGACTTAATTGCGTCGAAGCGCTTGCCGCATGTTTCGCGATCGTCGGCCGCGTAGACCTAGCAGCGCAGCTGCTGTCGCATTTTTCCTGGGGTTTGGTTTTTTTAGAGCTCAACAAGGAGTTGCTTGAGATCTATCAAAAATGTACCGACTCGGAATCTGTTCAAGCTGCCCAAGATGCTTGGTTGAGACAAATTGAGAAAGAAGCAGAAGAACGCAAAAATCACGGCGACAATGATGATTTGTGGATGACTGGTAATGTCAATAGAATTCCTCAAGGTGTAACTTCAAATAATGAGAACGAAATGGGCGATGCCAGCGAGGGAGAAAGCGAGGAAGACGAGGAGGAAAAGGGAAAAGAGGGGGTTCATGGTCGCACAAAATCTGTAAAATATGACCGACTAGGAAATGCCATATACCTAGAGCAGAGTGATGAGTCAGAACAAGAGGCGGACACCTCAAGCGAAGAAACTGAGGACGGTGAAAATTGTCGAGAGCATCAGTATGATTCGCTAGGTAATTTTGTCCCAGCTACAGAACCCGTCACAAGCGTTAGTGCTAGTCTAGATGAGCTATCTATAGGCAAGAAGTTTGATTAGGATCATCGATAGCGCTGAGCTCAGAGCTCTCATGTTTCGCCCCGCTAAATGCATACCCTCAAATAACTATAGAATTAGGCAAAGTTTATATCTCCAGTTGTGTGCTGCCTATTTTATTTTCTATTAGGCTATGCGCCATGTGTTTTCTGACCGGCACCCCGCGCTTTTACTTGAGTCAGTAATAACGAGAAGCCATTACTTACTTTTCAATCATTGCGCACCTCAGCGATATGACGGCCCTCGCGTGAAAACAGTCTAATGGGCACGATAGGTGGTGACAGTCAATCGAGTTACTCATCAGAAGCTAATATAGAACCGGAACCCAAAAACTTTGCCCCCTCCCCCGATTTTCGATGGCTCTGTGATGAGCTTTTCGGAAAATTAGATGCCATCAATACTAATAAGATGAAGTATGGCAAGGCTGCAGCTGTGAAGTACATTGAGGTGATTATTCACTTCATCAAGCTATGGAGGACAACGGTAGGTAATGACTTTTTCCCAGTACTACGGTTAATCCTCCCTTACCGCGATGTGAGGAGCTATAACATTAAAGAGTTCACCTTGATCAAGGCAATTTGCAAGACACTGAATTTACCAAGGGACTCGTTGACAGAAAAGAGACTCATAAACTGGAAACAGTATGCCGGCAGAGGAGTGAATTTATCTGCCTTCTGCGTAGAGGAGATCTCTAAAAGAAGAAGTGAACAGGGGGAAATTGAAACCATCTCCATCGACAAGGTCAATGAAAAGCTCACTGATCTGTCCAAAGAGGCGTCTGCGAAAAAATGGGGGTTCACAGGTTTGTTTGAGTCTCCATCATTTCAATATTGCATGCGTAATATGACTTTCCGAGAGCTAAAGTACTTTTTTGACATCATACTTAAAGCAAGAATAATCGGCGGTCTAGAACACAAGTTCCTGAGTTGCTGGCATCCAAACGCGCAAGATTATCTAGGTGTAGTCTCAGACCTCAAGATATTATCACAAAAACTTTGGGATCCTTTCATAAGACTGGGCCGGCAGGACCTGACAATAAATATCGGCCACCCATTTGCGCCCCACCTAGCTAAACGGCTTTATATAACCTATGAAAAAGCCTCTGCGAAACTCAAGGATGACTTTTTTATTGAGGAAAAGATGGACGGTGAAAGGATACAATTGCACTTTATGGACCGCGGCTCCAAGATAAGATTCTTCAGCAGGCGAGGGACAGACTATACTCATTTATACGGTAAAAGCTTGGAGACTGGGGTTATCTCGCAGTTCTTGAAATTCAGAGAAGATGTCTTCGAATGCGTATTAGATGGCGAAATGGTGAGTTTTGATAAAGAGCGTAAAGTGGTACTTCCATTTGGGGTAGTGAAATCGGCGGCTGTTGAAGAAATTATTAATGCCAGCACGAGCATCGAAAAAGAAGGATATAGACCACTGTACATGATATTTGATCTTGTTTATCTCAACGGAACCTCACTCACCAAAATTCCTTTGCATGTTCGGAAGGAGTATTTAAGAGAGATCATGGCACCTGTGCCCAATATCGTTGAAATACTGCCTGAGTTGCGAGCAAAGGAATCTACCGCCATATCTACTTCCTTACAGCGGGCTATCGAGATGGGCTCTGAGGGTTTGATTCTCAAGCAGCTCAATTCTACTTATGATATCGGCGCCAGAAATGATTTTTGGATCAAAATCAAGCCAGAGTATTTTGAAGACCTGGGAGAAACTATGGATTTGATAATCATTGGAAGGGACCCTGGTAAAAAGGATTCTCTCATGTGTGGCTTGCTTGAAACTGGTGTAACGGATGATCAATCTGACAAGTTCGAAAGTGAGGCAAACGGAGTTTCTCGAAAACTGAAGGTGCTGTCCTTCTGCAACATTGCTAATGGTGTTTCGGATGAGGAATTCAAAGAGATAGAGAGGAAAACTAGAGGTTCTTGGCATTTATTCAAAGAAGGTCCTCCCCCGACTGATTTGATAGAATTTGGTAATAAGCTGCCCATTGAATGGATCGATCCTCAGTATTCTCTGGTGATGGAGGTCAAGGCGAGGTCTGTGGACAATAATGGGGCAATCGGAAAGAAGTACAAGGTAGGCAGTACTTTACATGGTGCCTATTGCAGGAGGTTGCGCGAAGACAAGGATTGGACTACGTGCGCAACCCTTGAACAATTTCAGCAAGCCAAAGTCGCCCACAATTACTATACTTATAAGAACAGGGCTAATCGGGTGTCTGTGTCGAGAAGGAAACGGCTCAAGGTATCCAAGCCAAGTAATGTCAATGACTTGAACGTACCAAACATTGCCAAAGAAACTGCATTATTTGAGGGTATGACGTTCTATATTTTGAGTGACTTCCTGGATCCTATGGGCAAGAGACACGATAGGAACATCATTGGGGAACACGTCAAAAAGCACGGGGGTGGCTTAATACCAAACCTTACAGTGAGACCTGAGGAACTCTCTCATCTGTGGGTTATCAGTGGGAAAAACACAATAGAGTGTAAATCCTTGTTTGACAGAGGTTATGATATTATAGATCCAATGTGGATCTTTGACAGCATCGCCAGCGGATCTCGCCTTAAGTTGGAACCAAAACATTGTTTTCTAGTATCAATGAGGCTTTTGGAAAACACGAAGAAGAGGGTAGACTCTAATGGGGACAGTTTCACTCGATCAGTAACGAACGATGATTATATGAAGATCGTAGAAAAGACAAATCTAGCTGTGGAAATGCATGGTAAACAATGGCATGAACTAGAGGATGCACCACTTATGATGCTACAAAGATATAGAATTTTTGTTGCCGCAAGCAAGGAAAACTCAGCAGCCACTAAACAATGCAAAAAAACGGTGATGATATTTGGAGGCATGCTAGTCAACGAAATTGAAAACTGTAATCTAGTTATTGCTTGCCTTGCCTCCACGAGCGATGATCTTTTCCTTCGAGACTTACGAAGTACGGTTGCGGCAACAAAATACAAAGAAAACAAGAAAATTGGCGACGCTAAGTTTCGAATTCCTAGGATTGTGAGTTTAGAATGGCTACGAGCTTGTGTAATGGAGCAATGTCTCGTTCCTGAAGAGGATCACATCTGTGTTTAAGTTTGCATTATATATTGCACAAGGTGATTTATGAAAGTCCCGTGATAAAGTATCTTTCAGCTGCTCATCCTACCACTACCTTCCGGTTTGAGACAGATAAGACGGGTCAAGTAACGAATGCCAGCTCAATTAGATGGATTTGTGCCTGCTCATTGCATATTCTATAGCTTGTTTCATCCAACAGAAGGAACGAAAGTGAGACATGAGTTTCCTCCAGGCTGCTTGGAAGCCAGCGGTATAAAGTTTGACACTATCAAAAATTATATTATTCCCAAACCACAGCTCTGTAACAAGCTTCTGACTTTCAAGTATGGCTCATATCGACTGGTATGCTATCCAGTAACTGTGGTGGCTTCATACTATGCTCGGAATTCTTTCAGTTTCAATTTTGTGTTCGTGTTCCCTTATGACTGTGCTACTTCCCCTTATGAGCCGACCATCAAGCGGCTCGGTAAAATGTTCACAGTTTTAGAGGAACAGTCTCAACTTCTTTCAAAAGCTGAGAGAGATTTGGTATATTTTCGTCTAAAAACCAATGATGCTCATAAGCATACCACGCAAGATAACTCCCTAGACAATGAAAATCCAAACACACTAGGTGTAGCGGATGGAAACCAAGCTCAGGAGCGAGGATATGCCTTTGAGAAGTATCAGGAAATATTAAAGGATTTGAGTGGTACCAGCAAGAGACTCGCCGTGGATGATTTGATAACAAGAATATTCCAGGATTTAAACAACTATTCAGAATGTTTAATTCCCATTGACTCAGGGAATGCAGTTGATATAAAGTTATTTCCTTTACTTTCTCCACCTAATTCCTGCTTGTCATTTGAGGACGTTCCAATTTCGACGGTGAACTTGGCGAAGTTAATCGATGTCAATTGGGATCCAACAATGTTAGGAATTGTTCCCTATATCAACGGAATAAACAGTATTGCAAAAATTGCTCGCTTTTGCAACAGTGATCTCGACTTGGTCATCGAATGCATAAAACACTTAATATACTATAATTGTGTGGCGCTCGTCGATATTTTTCAATTTAGCAACATTTATGCCCCAACCAGCGAGCTCAATCGTTTCCTCATTGATTCGACTTTAGCAGCAGCATGCCAATTGTATGTCACATTCAAAGACTCGACTGAAATTTCGGTGCTTCCACTGGATACACGATCCAAGAGGCTAAGCAGTACCAGCAACGCAAGAAGCCGAAACTCGAGCGGTACTATGGACATTTCTCAGAAGGCGAGATATTTCGGACCAAGAGACGGATCATCTATATCAAATACAGAGTCATCGTTAAATGGCTATCAAAACACACCTCAATCCCATAACTCCTCAATTCCATTGCGCAGTATGACCGATGGTGGCCTCTCCCAATCCGAGGGGGCTGGATACGAAAATGGAATAACACTCCCTTCTAAATCATGTCTTTTTGATTTGTACCGATCTTTATCGCAGGGTCAAACTGTCAGGGAATGGTACCGAACCCATTTCGAAAAGCTACGATCTGCTCGAATAGATGTAAGAAGATTTATTACCTTTGGAACTATACATGGGTTATTATATCGTTGTTATTCTATTCCAGTAGTAAAGAATGTAGGCCTTTTGGAAAGTGTTAAAGCTTCCAGTTCTTCCAAAGACATCAATACCAAGCCCGAAGGGGGCCTATCACACGGTGACACACTCAACAGTGTCTTTCCTGCTGCTGATATACAAGTGGCCGGTGGTAATGCCAATTCGAACTCACATAGAGGAAGGACCAGAAACTTTTTAACAGCGGATGCCGCAGAAGAAGCATTGAAAGATGTTTATAGGAAGTTAAGGCTAGAAGATAACCAAAACGGCTCTTCTAACATGAAAAGTCCAATGGCGAAATTTTTAACTAAGGCATCTAGCAACTCGCCGGAAATATCCCCGGTAGATGGCTTGAATTTTAGCGCGGACTCAAGGAATAAAGTCGCGTTTGACATGAGAAGGCCACTAACACCAGCTTCGGCCGACGAACGCAGAAAAGCGGAAGTGAATCAAACCATTGCCGAAAAGAAAGCGGAAGAACTCCTCTTGCTCCGGTCGATAAGAGATATTGAGAATTTCGATAAAATTTGTACGCGATTAGAGAAGGACCGCGAAGAGGTTGAAGGCATGATACGCGATCTAGGTCCCTATCAAGTTATACATTCATAATATCAATATAAAACCGGGACTTTTTGTAACCATGGGGCAGCTGGTATTTTGAAAATGCATTGGATTTAAATTACAGTATTATTCTACGTGTTCAGAGTTCGGTTCGATTGGATCACCAAGCTCAACTACTTTGCGCTTAGTCGGAGATATGGTTCGCCTGTTGCCATCGATTTCTTTGATAGGGGAGTTCGAATAGGACCTCTTGCGCGGTGGGAGCAGTTGATCCACGTTTCTTGTATTTCTGTGCTCGGTGATCCTTTTGGGAGTCTTACCCGATGGTCCCAAAGGTTTGAGGGGTTTTTCGTTTAATTGCTCCAGCAAACACTCTATTCGCTCTTCTCCGCGCAATTGGGGAACAGCCTGACTACTCAGCAAATCTTGTATAGACTGGTCGATTTCGCCGAACTTTTGTGTAGCAGCCTGCATGTAGTTGGCGCTGTTTTGTACTTGGGCCCTGAGCAAGGTGTGCTTTCGTTTAATACTGCCAACATTGTCGTTGATTACGCCGTTATTTCGAAAATCAGCCGACAAATCTCTAAGACTCAATAAATTGCGTTCCACATCCTTCATGGTGTATTCGGACCATCCCCTCGCCAAGTCTAATTTGCTGTACACGCCATTGACAGCCGTGTCCATATTACTTTCGAAATCATTAGTAAGCTTATCACATTCGTTAATATTCTCTAGGGACTTTTCCCATGCTTGTTTAACAGGGTCAAGAAGTCCCATCTCTTTAGCCACTACCTCAGAAGCCGCATGCTTAAGACTCTGCATCATCGAATTCTTGTTGTTTTCAAGGTGATCATTCATCAATTCTCTCAACTGAGTGAAAACAGAGTTGGCCGAAAGCCTCAACTGATGATATGTGCGTTCAACATGCATATCAAGGGCCTCTTGAAAATTATTCTTGAAAAAATGCTCGTTAAGATAATCTTTTAGATTGTTGTAATCCTCACTAATGCTGCTAAGGTGGGTCATTAAATTGGAAGAGTAAGCTTTGACGACTGAGGTTATAGTCTCCACTTGTTCATGTATCTCTTTGAATTGCTTGGGTGTCTGAATTGATAGTTCGTGAGCAAATTTTTGACAAATTTCGTTGCTCGAAGAGTCAAGAGACTCAAACAAGCGAAAAATCTCCCTGCTGACAAAGTCAATATTGACATCGACGTCGATACTATTTTCGTCGATGTTGCCTTTCAGTTTTTCAATCTCTTGTACGAGTGAATTTCTGAAGGATCCAATATTATCGTAAAGAACCTTCTCCATTTCAGTTTGAAATCGCTGCCCTTGATCCTCATATACCTGTAATGACTTCTGCATTGCATGTAAAGCATGCATCAGATCTTGGACCACATTTGATAGCTCCTGTTCGTTTCTATGCTGCCTGTCGATCTTATCATAGAGATACTCTATGTTGCTGCCCAAATTCCGAACTTTAATTTTTTGTGACTCATTCATTTCACTGCAGAGCTTTTTCTCTTTTGAAAGTATGGCATTCTGAGAGTTCAGCTTTTCAATCGAACGTTTACATTCCTGCACCTCGGTCTTGTAATTTTCTAACTCATTGGTCAACTCCTTATAATTCTCCTGACTCATGTATACTCCGTCTTTTGCCTTTGTGGACAACAAGTCGGACTTAATCTTAATCAGCTCTGCAGTGATGCTTTTGACCAAAACATCTTTCATAATGAAACTTCCCACCTGAGGCCTATTTTTGATGTTCTTCGCCTTTGAAGCATATTCTAACGTGCTAGAGGTCTCCTCGGAATTGATCTTGGCAGGTGAGATTGTGGCAATCAAGGCAGTTTTGGTATTACCTCCAAGGGAATCCTGTAATAGCCTCGTCAACTTAGATTCTCGGAAGGGGATATGTGCACTTTTGTCGGCTAGAGAGTTGATCACTCTCCCCAGGGTCAATAAGCTTTGATTTATCGACCCCGCTTCTTTTGCTCTTTGATTTTGGGCACCAGATCTACTGATGTTTTCGGAACCAGCCAAATCAACCAAATTCATCTTAGAGACTCGAAAATTTTCATCGTCGCACTTTTTGTAAAGCATTATAGTAAATATGGTATGGGATCGACTTGAGAAATCATTCATTTTTGTTGATGCAACCTGTCTTTGCCTTAGGCCGCGTTGAAGTAACTGAATTCCTTCCTTGGCATTCATGATATGAAATTCTTGTAAGTTTTGGATATGAATTGCGGAGTTCGTATCCGTGGTAAATGAAGTTCTAGGGACCGGCGATTTAGGTCTTTTTGAAACGTTCGACGAAACTCTCATCCTTCGCCTTGAATTGAAGCTAGAGCCAGAGAAGTGCGATTCCGCGTATTTTGGAGAATTGGTTGTAGAGCTACTTCTACTGCCAGTGATGCTATTGTGATTGCTGGTAGAGTCGAAGATTCGCAGCTTTTTGGGCATGCTTGCATCCTGGACATCGTCTAGGAGGTCTTTAAGCTCTTCATTATACAGTTCAACGAACGAGCACTTGATCATGTAGTCGTCACTGCACGCATCATCCAGCGCGTCGAAAATCTTGAAAAGGACGCGTGGAATTACCCCTGCGCCTTCGCTGAGTTCCCCTTCATAAAGTCTCTCGTCTCCGGTCATCGTATAAGTTTTACCCGTTGAAGTCATGCCATAGACTAGTATAGTGCAATTATAGCCCTTGATAAAATCCTGGAATAAAGGCTCTGCGATGCTTTCAAAAACTAGCTGTTGATCCGCACTAGGTCCAAATACTTTGTCGACAGTGTACGTTTTAGAGTTTATTTGAGCAGCTATACCTGTTTCCCCTGTTGTATTAATAGAAACCTCGTTGCTTCCAGTAAGGTCAGGGATAGCCACTACCACAGAACTGCGCGCTTCTATTTCTTTCTCGTTTCGGCCCCTGCAACGGACTGCTACAGTAATATTCAGCTCTTCTGATTCAGACATATATTACTCTCAAGCTTTCCTGGATCCTACCTATGGACGCGCAATTGCGGGCCAATATCTTCTCACTTAGGCAGTCTCCGTGCATCTATGTTTATTTAGTTCAAAGCTGTTTGTTTACCATTATTAAACAATTTACGCGTCAATAATTTAGACAAGATCATATTTAACGACAAAGCAAACTGTTTGAAAATTTGGTAGAAAAAAGATGTGCCTAAATGGAGTTGCTTGTCTTCATATTATGACAAAGGATTTGTGCTAAATTTCTGTGATTTCAGTCACTTACAGGACCAGAAGGTATGTTACTGCTGTCTTCGACTTTTGATTTATGACTTGACTTGTGAGATCGCTTTCGACGGGATGATGGTACGTCTGACTTTTCTTGGCTGGAGTTTGCTGGAGAGCTACTCTGAGCCACTGTAGGGTGAGAGAGTGGCGGAGCTTTTCTCTTTTTCACACTGAGAGGATTGGCCCCTTTGGGGCCCTTGCGTTTCTTGTTTGGGGGCTGCTTCTCTTGGGGTGCAGCTCCAGGCGTCCCGCTTGCGAGCGGGTCGTTAAGGCCCTTGTATAACTTCCGCCTCTCTTGATCACTGCTCAACTTTTCGCTGGTTCGGCTGAGAGGTTCCATCACCATGACAGATCTGTTCATGAAAATCATGGGCACCCCTGGGACTTTTCTAAGAGTACTTCGAATCTTTGGGTCTTGACTGGCCACGACATATCTATGCTTGTTGACTCCATCAATACAAACCACACTAGTCAGGCACTCCAGCGGGGACTTCGCTTCCTTGGGCGGATGATTGCAACGCCTTCTTTCAAATGTTTTTGCTAGATCAATAACTTCCTGGTTTTTTGTATCGTAGATAGCTTGGATGCAGCACTGCGTGATCATAGGTTTTACTTCCGCCTGAAGCGTCCGCTGCAGACCTTTCACAAGATCGAAGGATGCCTTGTGAGTATCGCAGACAATTTGATCGTCCACCAAGACTTGGTACGGCTCTCTGAATTTGAAATTGTGATGGTAGACAAGCATTTGCTTGCGGTATGATTTAGCTCTCTTTTGACGCATTTTGAGTCCGGCCGAGGATGGGATCGTTTAAGAGCTTGGAGAAATCTAGTCACACTATCCTAGGATATCTCTCATTTCATTTCATCTCATCTCATCTCATCTCATCTCATCTCTGAGCACCTTTGAAAATTTGACCTGCACGTTCAAGGTGATACAGAGCTTTCGGCCCCATCCATAAGATTAGACGCGGGTGGGGACCGGAGAGTAGTTCGTTGTCTTCAGCATGGGAATCAGATCCTCACGTAAACCCTGTAACTTGTTTGATACTTTCAATCAGGTTGCCCATCATCGAGTTGAAGAAAATGGTAACCGTGATAAGAATAAATATTGTTATAATTCGAGAAGGTGCGTCCCACAGCACCCGAGATACAGTCTTTTCCGCTACATCAAGCTTAGTCGTTTGTCTTCCAGAACGTGCTTGTGCCTTTATGATATCATTCGTTTTTGTTGTTTGTGGAGATATTTGCCGTGGAAGAGAGGCGCGCGGGAGCGCCACTGACAATGCTCGAGGGGGTGGTTTAACGATCTCACGATTTCGTGAGCGCTGAGTAATGATCTTATCCCCTACGTCAATTAGCGTACTAGAGTCTTCAATGGCCTGAACCACTACTTGGTTGGAATCAGTGCTGACATTGGCCAGATTGCTAGGTTCGTCATTTTGCAAAGCTTTCGAACGCCCGGAGCCACTCGAAGCGACGCCAAATAGACTTTTTTTTTACTCTTTTTGCTGACAGGTCGACGCTGTGGCACGACCGAATATTCGGGCCGAGTTCTTGGGCTTCTGTTGTTGAGTCTCAAAAAAGGAACATCTTCAGAATCTCTTACTGGATAAGGTATCAGGGGCTGCATAGCTTGGAGTACTCATATATGGGTACTACAATGGCATCTCACCAATTCTAGCAGAAGCTCTTTGTTTCTTGGCAACGGCTCTCTTTCGCAGGGTTACCAGATTGAAATGACAGAAACTCGAGCACAATGGCATTACGAACGACAGGGAAGGCTCACCACCATATAACGACGGGGCCAAGAACATAGATACAGGGGCACTACCTCATGCAATGGACAAACAACCCAGTAGCCGGATAAATTCAAAATGATGTATGAAATTCGTTACCGTTTCACGAGAAAACGTACAAATGTGTATAGGCCCTTGTTATATATACTTATTTTTTACTCAGGAATCCAGCTGAGCTCTTCCGCAGAGCCTTTCCATTTGCAAAACATTGTGAATGCAGCAGAGTACTTCGGCAGTAGTATCAAAAATATTCCTCACAATATGTTCATCTTGTCGAAAACATGTCTAATTTCTTCATAAACAGCGTCAGTTTTCTCACCCAAAGAGTCGACAAGATTTTCAAGCTCTGCGGCCACAGCACCTTGCTTGCTCGCTTCTTCCTCAGTGGTAGCCTTTCCGTCAGACACGTCTAGGCCCCAGAAGTCGTCGAGGTCTTGGCCTGCACCATTGTAAATGAGGTAGTTAGGTGTATCCTCCGGTAGGTCACCTAGAACATTCTTAGTACTGTATGAAATCAACTTTTTCTTGAGCTGGGCAGGAGTAATACCACCGGCAGCGTGGTAATACTCGCTGTCAGAGTCCGGTTGTAACGACAAGAAATATGTCAAAAGACCAGCAACGTGTGGAGAGGCCATGGATGTACCGGATAGAGTGGCCGTAGCAGATTCAGAACCGATGTAGGTCGACAAGACATTCAATCCAGGAGCAAAAATGTCGACACATTTACCCCAGTTGGAGAAATAAGCCCTGTCGTCGGCCAAAGTGGAGGCACCAACAGTGATGGCATTTTCAGCAGAGGCTGGGGAAGTGTTACAGGCATCTTGATTTTCGTTTCCGGCGGCGACAGCAAAATGCAGACCAGCCTTGACTGCGGCGTTAACAGCCAAGTCAAGGGCAGGTGATTTGCCACCCCCTAACGACATATTGGCAGTGGAGCCTTTAAATCCCTTCTTGTTGCTCTTGACAGCATCTTGATGAGATTTGGCAGCAAACTCAACGCCCTTGACCACGTCCGACATTGAACCGGATCCGTTGGATCTCAAAACCTTGACGGCAACAACCTCAGCGTTTTTGGCAACACCATAGTGCTTAGAGGCGATAGTTCCGGCACAGTGGGTGCCGTGACCGTTACCATCTTGGTCTAGATCGTTGGTTGGCACCGTTTTACCCCAAACGGCTCTGCCCTCAAAGTCCTTGTGGTCGACATTGATACCGGTGTCGATAACATAGGAAGTCACACCCTTACCAGCTGCATCATCGTAAAGATACTTGTTGAATGAACCAAGGTTCAACTTCTCACGATGCGAAATACGCGACAACCCCCATGGTGCGCCGTTTTGGGTGTCGAATTCTTGGGCGTACACCATGGAGTCTTGTTCAACGAAGTCAACAAGAGGGTTCATACGAATGAAATCCACAATCTCCGAGGTGAAATAGCCAATGTAACCCTTCAACAAGCCGTCGACTTCGAAGGTGTCGTGAATACCTCCTTCGGGAGAAAGGGCACGGAACCCTTCCTCCGCTTCAGGGCCTTCGGCGCCTGTGGTGGCAGCAAAAAATGCGTCCGAAAGGGAAAGCTTTGCGACCGTTTGGGCGTGCGCCTCAGATATGATTTCGCGGTGAAAGTCCGCCTCTTGTGCGGTAACGTCCTTCTTGAACACCACGATGTAGCGGTGAGGAATGACAAGGGCCATCTCACGCGCCCCTACGAGAGGCGCCAATTTCAGAGGCTCACCCTTGGAAGCAGCAGTATGAGTGATTTCCTTAGCAAATGACTCTACAACGGACTCTCCTGCGTGCAAGGCATTCTTGACGCGGACAGCAATTTCGTGGGAGGCTTCCTCAACCTCGGGCAGCACCAAAGCCGACCCAACAGCAGCGGCCATGGCCACTGGCAAAGCAGTTTGTAGTTTCATAATTCTAAGCGCTAACGATGGGCAAAGGTTTATCTATCTTGGGGGAGCAGAGTTACAATGAACTGCTACAAAAAAACCCAGTCAACGGGTTTCTCGGGTTTAGCTTCTTCTTAACACTCTCTGATTATCACAGTATCTTCTAGAATCTTATTCTACTGGAAGTACCTGAGTCTCGAGAGAGTTGTGGTTTTTCAGATTTGACCCTTCCTCGCTGAGTGGAAAGAATGCCACCTTTATATAGGCTAGCCGATGAGAAACTTCACCCCTGATTCAACATCGCTATACACGTACTTCGAGGGGTATCGTATCGTACGTGAAATTCTCAACAAGCCATAGCCCTTAATACGGTCATTTAAATCAGCGACATTGCCGGTCGGTCAATATGTTGATGAGGCGCGCCGGAGAGCTGCCAGCAGGATACTAACAAGTGACTCAAATAAGTCTTATCTCGGATAGCCTATGGACATGATAGGCGAAAAAGTGTGAAGGAGACCTGCCACGCCAACAATCAAGATTATTTAGTGATAGATAGGGCCTAAGAATGTCAAAGACCAAGCCGGGAGCGTGAGGCGGCTTCAGAATAAGAAATGACTGTGGTTGTGGCTTATAGTAGACTTACGGAGCGGGTGGCGCCCGCATGGATTGATAATTTCTTTCAAAAGAGGAAACCTCATATAGTCAGTTGTCAGAGTAGGAAAAAATGATATAGATGGCCAGAACTCCACCGGGATATAGCAGGTAGCATGGGTTATGGGTTCTCCATAGCTCAGAAGTTCATTCACGGAACAAACGGGCTTCATGCTAAGCAGCTAGGCAATCCACAGTCATGTTCGGAGCCGAGTTGCATTAAATGATTCTAATCCTCAAGACCAGCCAAGTTGTATCACGGCGAGGATAGACCTGAGGGCTATCTGTGGTTTATTGGTGAGTGAGTATACTGCATTCGAAAAAACATTTTGAGGAGTGAACATAGGACGCCAAGCCGCCAGAGCCGTGTACATGTTTAATGGCCGAGGAACACCAGACCAATTAGGCGATTCTTGTCAATAAAACTACTCGCTAGCAGTGGGCCACGGTAGAGATGGCTCAATAAGAATATTACGGGCTCGTCTTGTGGTGAATTCGGATCTCGCGGCAAGATTTCACGGCAAGAGCGAGATGATGGAAATAGCAGCTTGTTCGCATGCGATAAAATGCGTTGGATTGCTAGGTTCCTTATGGGGTGCTCGCTATATGCCTAGCTACCTGTAAGTCGAGAGTATGATGGTGCCCTCGTATCTATTCCTTCCTTGATTTTCCTCCTTCAACGTGAAATATAAAAAGGACCTATTTGCGAGTTTTTGTGCTACTTTCCACTCAGCATTGTCCAACCGATGCTCTTGCTTGCATTATTTGTGGTCACTCCGTATGGGAAATCCAATTCCTCGAGGCTGTTCTCATTTGATTTTGCTTTTAAGAACAAAGTAATCCTTTTGGTGGTTTGTAAAATCTCCTTGTTGTTGATTCGAAAGTTGAAGTACCTTAAAGACATCTTCTGCCCTGGATTTTAAGGAATATTGCCTATCTAACTGAAACATGTATCACAGTTTCGGAAGTAAACGCGTGCGCGTTACTCCCTTACTTAATATCCAATGCACAGACAGAATCCTATCCTAGGTCAGATACGCACCTTGACGTTCGTGAAGTGGAAATTTGATGGGTAAGATGCCGCTTGCGTACCGTTCTAAAGCAGCTCGACACCGCCTTTCTTTGGAACGTGGTAATGTGCCTCTGTTCTCTTCTACGGGAGAGAGTGATCATGAGCTTATTCTCAAACGCTTGTCCAGCGTTGGTGCGACCACAGGCATACTTCTCCCACTTTTGAAATATGGCGCATTCAGTCTTCGCAATTATTGGCGTAAAATGTTGTCAAAGATATCCCGGGGGGCTTGATCGTCGGGACAACAGTCTCTTGTACAGCCCGCATAAACTATGGGCGGAGTAAATCAATTGGTTGGGAGGGAAAGCGGCTGTTCTTAAGTTCTCAGGATCATACTGCGATAGGCTTCCAAACTGGTCGGCAGGCACGTCATACTCAGGCCTAGTTAGGTTCATAAGCTTCAATTGAATGTATTTGAGGTAGTTCATAAACTGCGATCAAGGTAGCTGCCATTGTTCTTCCAAATTATACTTTTGACCCAGTATCATGCAAATGCACTGCTCGCCTAGGCAGAGAAAAAGTACACAGCAACAGTCAAGATCTGGCTCGTCACGCTAAGAAAATAAGGTGAACAAGATGCACCAGCAGAAATGTAGTAGCGAAAGTCGATAAGTAGTACTAGCCCTTCACTTTTGCATTTCATTTAACCATGTCATTGGATTTTGAGAATCTCATTTTGGGAAATGCTCTTTCGGGATAGTGGCTGTGATGATAGCTACATTGTTTACACTTGCCATGAGGCACTGATAGAGAGTATCCTCTAAAATACACTACTAGCCTCAATACAGCTATCTAGAGAACCTGAAGCTAAGCTGGTACGGCAATGTGGCGTACCCCACGGTTGAGTTGGAGCGAGCAAAACGTCAATTTAAAAAATCAAAATAACAGAATGGTATTGATATTGTGCTGTTTGGATAGCGCCGAGTTGCATAATAGAAAACATCAACTCAACGTCATATTAATACTAAGTGATATTGGCATGCCACCAAAACTTGAAGGCCCAGACTACTAACAAATTTATGGGCACCATAAGAACGACGATCTCACATAATTTACCTCGCCAGCCATTTTAAGTATTCAAATGCCCGAAAAACTATCTGTTGGGCGGAATTGCTGTATTTTTGAGCGCTTGCTGCCTCCAGATTTTTCTCGCCCGGCTTTCGTGAAAATTCTGGCTGTATGTCCCAAATTTGCGCCAGACTTTTAGCCCGAATAAGCACGGAGACACAGCCAGAAATAGGTTTGTAAGTTCCATACGGTGTCAAGTTCTCAGAATCTTATTGACGATATCTATTAACCGAGCAGTTGAGCGAGTTATCACTACCGATGCTGACTTGCTCCAGAGAGGAGGCCCGGTAGGTTAGATCAAAGAGGCTACTACATATTGAAGAAATATGGTCATTAAGCGAATACTTAACAGATCCATAGGCCTAAATGTAGTTCTGCAGTTTTATGCTCGATTTTATTTGTGAAGCATGACTTTTGACTTAGTATATGTATATATACGTCTTAAAATTTTTAGCAAATGGTTGTTTGGCCGAGCGGTCTAAGGCGCCTGATTCAAGACTACTTCTTATCACTGCAAAACAGTGAGAAATCTCAGGTATCGTAAGATGCAAGAGTTCGAATCTCTTAGCAACCAATTTTTTGATTTATCTGTTCAAGCAATCTGGCCACCTTCATAGTTTTGATAATTTCCTCAGGGTTTTCAACCTCTTTGGTAACTAAGAATACTGAGAATATATCATTATCTATATAAAGGAACTACTTTCATTTAAATGGTCAAAACTTCACTCTTGAATAATTCACAGAGGTTTATCCAATCCTTTTTAGTAGGCAAAGCGCCATAAGCACCGCACATTACTAAGGTCATGCCGCTGGTGTCAGTAGTACATGCGCTCAAGGTAAAACTATGTCTTAAGCTCCCCAAAGTTTGCGAAAACACTAGGTCTTGAACTCTAAAGTCTTGAATGCTGTGATCTTGTTTCACGTATCCGACATTGCTCAACACAACCCCTTGGCGAGGAAAACCTACAAGGTCTTCTACTGCCAACTTGTCGACATTAGATTTCTGGCAGACTGCATCTAGCATCAACATACCCAGAGGATATAAATAATCGCCCTTCGCTTTAGCTCCACAGAAAACATTGTTGTAGTACTCCACCAAGGACCAAAAGGCTTGTTTGTCGTTTCCGATGTTGAGGGAGGATATCAGATAATTGTAGTGAGTCCCACCAATGTTACTACCGTACCTGTACATGGACCGAATCTCTTCATCAGCTGGCAGCAACTGAGAAGTATGCATCGGTATCACGACGTCGATAAACCACTCCCGCATGGATCCTGAGAAAACTTTGCCAAATTTATACATAGCCACCAACCAACACGCTTGCAAGAATGGTGTCATAGTACAGTGGGAACTAGTCTGACGTTGAATTTTGTTCTTGATCGCTTGAACTTCGCCCGGAGTGAAGTGGACAAAGTGGGAATATACTGAATTGCCTTCATCCGGATTAGTGATACGAGATACAACTGGGCCCTTGGAGTAATATCCAAGGCGATTTCTGACGAAAGAATTTGCGAAAAACCGCGGTAGGTAAGTTAGTGGAGGTTTGTAATCAAGGCGTTCATCGATCGGAGCGGGTAATTTTCCCAGCCTGTGGAAGTCAGCGGAATAATCGAAAATAACACCACTACGATCCAGAACTTCTGGCATTTTGCTGAGACGAGCAGAAAGATCCTTGAATAAATTTACCGCCGAGGTTCCATCGCTGGAACAATGGTTGGAAATGTATAGAAATTTGGACCAGGTATTTTTGTCCTTCCCTGGAAGACATAAGATCCTCCAATTGGGTTTGGATGGATCGCCGTAAGGAACTCGTATCCTGGAGACGACGTCGAATATTTCACTCGTGTACTTGCCGCCACTGCGCGTAAATAGCTCCAGTATTTTCGTCACCACCTCTTGATACTCTTCTTGATCGTTCATTAGCAAATCTGACACCCTCACAGAATCTAAAAGACGCATGTATTCATGAGAGGCAACCGGCTTAGACAAGAATTCTTCGCTGGCATAAAAACTAGCATGATCCGGCCAATTTCGGGGAATTACTGTATGCACGAGAATTGGATTTTGTAAGCAGATTGTTCTTAATGCATATGCCAATTCATCCACGGTGCAACTATTGCTTAACTCACAATACATGCTAAAATTACTGTACAAATCTTGACGTTGACACAATGTAAAATAATTTTCCAAGTGGCCAAGTTCTCTGGCATGCCCGTGTTCTTGCATTTCCTGCAAAAAGCTGGCTTGCTCAAATTCCATCACTATCTTGAGGTTTTAATCTTCGATGTTTGTCCAAGTATACCGAGGCTCTGTTGTTTTTTGTTTAATCCAACTGGAGAGGTTTGACGGGCTCGTAAAATTGGTATGTAATTTATACATCGTTTCTCGAAAACCCAACTAAACGAGCTGTTGGCATATTTATGCATTACCAAGCCTGAGCCGACACCCCGTCGATGATGAGTGCTTGAGGTTAGAACTTGCCAGTATGGGGGGAACCGGTATGCGCTATCCGGACGGCAAGGAAAGACACTTGCAAATTTAACAGTGGACATTTAATTCGTAATTGACCGCTGAGATTAATCTTCAACCGGAGAGCCCAGTGCCTGTTCCTAACTCAAACTGCAGCCCACTTTTCTGATCCCTAGTGACTTGAACGAGTTATAAACAAAGGTTCTCCCGGGTGCCTAATCATAGATATTCTTCACACATTACATCTACATCGTCTTTGATTTCTGAATCAATGATGCTGCATTGATTTTGAAACGTAATTTACAGCCTTGGCAGGTCTTGCCCAAGTGAAACCGGGCCTCACACTTCTAGGTACTACAAATGCCAGCATCTACCGTCGATCACGCATACCCTCGTAATGGCGGAGTATTTGTAAGAAGTGTATGTGTACAATTTGATCTAAAGAGTTGACAGATATTTCAAATTTCAAACTTATTTAGGGCCCACCATGTTCTCAGGAACAACCCATTGGTCGAATTCGGCGTCAGTCAAGACGCCTAGCTCCAAAGCAGATTCCTTTAGGGTTATGTTCTTCTTGTGAGCGTTCTTGGCAACCTTTGAAGCGGCATCGTAGCCAATCTTTGGGTTTAAAGCAGTGACCAACATCAAGGATTCGTGTAGAAGCTTGGCAATCTTGTCCTTGTTTGCTTCGATACCATCAACGCAGTGCACTCTGAAAGAGTGACAGCCATCACCCAAAAGTCTGATGGAGCTCAAGAGGTTGGAGATCATGACTGGCTTAAAAACGTTAAGCTCAAATTGACCAGAGGCACCGGCAAAAGTGATAGCAGCATTGTTACCCATCACTTGGACACAAAGTTGAGTCATTGCTTCGTTCTGGGTTGGGTTGACCTTACCAGGCATGATCGAAGAACCTGGCTCATTTTCTGGCAATGAAAGCTCACCGTAACCACAACGAGGACCAGAACCCAAATATCTAATATCGTTGGCAATCTTGTAAAGCGAGCACGCCAATGTGTTCAAAGCACCTGAACATTCAACGACGGCATCGTGGGCAGCTAAAGCCTCGAACTTGTTAGGAGCAGTCTTGAAGTCGATGCCCGTTTCCTTGCTGACCTGTTCGGCGACCTTTTCAGCAAAACCAATCTTGGCGTTCAAGCCAGTACCGACAGCGGTACCACCTTGAGCCAAATATTTCAAGTGGTGCAAGGATTGTTCAACACGGGTGATACCGTTAGTCAACTGTTGGGTATAACCGCTAAATTCCTGACCCAAAGTAAGGGGAGTAGCGTCTTGCAAATGGGTTCTACCAATCTTAACAATAGGTTCAAATTCCTCAGATTTCTTGGCAAATGAGTCTCTAAGAGCAGTCAATTCGGGAAGCAATAGGTTGGTAATCTCGGTGACGGCAGCGATGTGCATGACAGATGGGAACGTGTCATTGGAGGATTGAGCCTGGTTGCAGTGGTTGTTTGGATGGATCGACTTCGACCCAATTTCACCGCCTACAATTTCGATGGCTCTGTTGGAGATCACTTCATTGGCGTTCATGTTACTCTGGGTACCAGACCCCGTTTGGAAAACCACCAATGGGAAATGGTCAACCAGCTTGCCGCTAATTACCTCGTCAGCGGCCTGTTGAATTGGCTTTGAGATCTTTGGGTCCAAAGTTCCGTAGGACTCGTTGACGATAGCAGCAGATTTCTTCAAGATACCAAACGCTCTGACTAAAGGTTCCGGCATACGTTCACGGGCACCACCTATCTTGAAGTTTTCAAGTGATCTTTGGGTTTGAGCACCCCAGTACTTGTCGCTAGGGACTTCGATTTCTCCGAAAGCATCGGTCTCTACACGCACCTTGTTCTTTAGACCGCCTGCGGAAGTAGACGACAATAGTCTTGAGAAGGGACCTGTTGCGCTCTGTTTGGCTACGCGAGGTGTGAGTTTGAACATCCTGAATGTCTTGTAAACCTGATCTGTCCTGTTGGATCTGGTGAGATGGAGTTGTTAGGTTCACTATTTGGATAATATGTAGACATTATTTTCGCACTATACAAAAGTTCGGGCCCGACTTCGGGATTGAACTCTTATAACAATCAAGGGCCCTGCCTAGTTGTAATCGAGCAAGATGGAGCTAGCAAAGCCAAGTATATAGCCCACAGGTCTTCAAGCCGACATTTGATACGTCAAACTTCCTCAACTAGCAATCACTTTCACAACACCTGCAATATTGACAATAGAGCCAGATCAGAGCGGAAAAATCGGGTGCCGCATTTCTGATAGCCATAACTTGAGAATTTTACTTGCTGGACTTGCTGGCACATCGTGAAAGTGTTATTCTCTTTCAATATCATACTTAATATGGATAGAGTTGTTCACGATAAAAGAGATTGCATTGGTCCAGAAAGTAGAATTAAACGACCTAATGATCCTTTCTCACTGAAACATCGTGCTCAATTGGTATCAAAACATGTAGACCCTCCATTAGGTGCGATGAGGTAGTTTAGCGGTCTTGTTTATTTGACCGTCACAAAGATTTTTCCCAGAACTTCACAACAAGCCCATTTCTGCCCTCGCTCCAACAACCATAAAGTTCACAAAAAGGTAGCGCGTAGGAGAATAAGCACATTTAAAAGTTTACCGCGTCGCAATTGGTGTTGGGAGGTTCCGTAAGCCGCTCATTTGTTTCACTTCTTTTCTATCCTCTCCATGCTCGACCAAAAGTCTTGCACCGTGAGGTCCATATTTGTTGCTTCACTAGTTAGTTCAATACGGATTGTCTGGCCGCTTTTCCCCACCAGGCACTCCTTAAACACTCTCTTGAAGGGAATACACACGTATTCGTGTCCGTTGAAATCACACTGGTTCTGTGTCAGTGATTTCAGCTTACAAGGCCCTCTCACTTTGGCCAAAATATGGTCCAATTCTTCCTTGCCGAAAACCAATGTTGGTGGAGCCATAACGACATAGGTTTGTGAAAGAAGTTGTGCTTTATGGGGATTTAATGTCGATTTAATGTCGATTTAATGTCGACAACTAGCTATCTAATTAATATAGGCTAGCAGAAACTTCATATTGTCCAGACATTGTTTGCACTAAAGAACACGGCAAAGAAATGGCAAGTGACAGTGAAGCTCTCCAGGGGCTTTACGATAAACATTGTGTTCAAGGGTTTAAATATGCATACGGCACGGCTGGTTTTCGCTACAATGCAGATGTGTTGGACACCGTTATGTTCACCACAGGCGTTCTGGCCGGTTTGCGATCAATCTATCTGGGAGGAAAGACTGTGGGAGTAATGATCACAGCCTCACACAATCCTCCTCAAGATAATGGTGTAAAAATCGTCGATCCACGAGGCGAAATGCTAGAGAAAAGCTGGGAGAGCTATGCGACTGAATTGGCGAACAGCGCATCTCAAAACTTCGCAAGCTTCCAAAACAAGCTGAAAGAATTGCTTGAGATTTTGAAACTAGACTTGATGACACCTGGATGTGTTGCGGTTGCACGCGACTCCCGTGATTCTGGCCCTCGTCTTTTGGCCGCTTTCAAGACAGGCACCGAAGTATTGGCAAACCTGCAGGTTACAGACCATGGCGTCCTAACCACACCACAGCTGCATTTCCTCACCTGCAAAACCAACGATCTTGGCCAGGGCGCTGTTATAGCCGAGACATTATACTTCAAGGAGTTTTTGAGCGCGTGGGATGAGCTCACTATGCTCTGCAATATCCAATCACTCCCTTATAAGATTAGAATCGATGCTGCAAATGGAGTTGGTGCACCCAAGGTAGAAGAGATGCTAGGTGCTCGTTCTTTTTTCGATAATACATTCACGGTGGTAAATGGAGACTGGAAAAATCCACCTGCTCTGAACCATTTATGTGGTGCAGACTTTGTCAAGACCAATCAAAGGTTACCTCAGGGTATTTCTGGCGATGCTAAGCAGGGCCCACATATCAATTGCTCTTTTGATGGCGATGCTGATCGGGTAGTGTTCTACTACGTCAACTCGGTAGGCGAGTTTAAGCTACTGGACGGTGATAAGATTGCCACTTTGTTCGCCAAATTTTTCCAAGAATTACTGCAAACTGCGGGTTTGCGGGACGAACTTCAACTGGGCACTGTGCAGACAGCATATGCCAACGGCAGCTCCACTCACTACCTGGAGAAAATGCTTGGAGTTCCTGTGACATGTACACCCACAGGTGTAAAGCATCTGCACCACGAAGCTGTTAAGTTCGACATAGGTATCTATTTCGAGGCGAATGGCCACGGGACGATTGTTTTCTCGGAAAAAGTTACCGAACTGGTGACCCAGAAATTCTCCGATGCTAGCGAGTCGAAAGACCGCCACAATGCGTTACAGCTACTATTAGTGTTTTCCAAATTGATAAATCAAACAGTTGGAGATGCTATTTCTGACATGCTTGGTGTTATGGCCGTTTTATCGATTCTTAAATGGACGCCTGAGCAGTGGGATAATGAATACACGGACTTGCCCAACAAGCTGATTAAAGTCTTGGTTCCGGATAGAACTGTATTCAAGACTGTTAACGCTGAGAGGCAACTGGTAAGTCCCGTAGGACTGCAACAATCAATCGATGATCTCGTCGACAAATTTGACAATGCAAGATCATTTGTAAGAGCCAGTGGAACAGAAGACGCAGTAAGAGTTTACGCCGAAGCGGCAACAAGACAAAAAGTTGAAGAGTTGGTTACAATGGTGGGTCAACTAGTTGAGAAGTCTTGATGTCAAGAATTTTTCCGTCACACATTATATCATTTGCATTATATATCCTAATCACCTCTAGTTTATATATTATTACTTCTTCAATATTCGCCCACCATTAAAACACATTCTTAGAACGGCGCACTGACGATTGTTCTCGCCATGGCAAAGAAGGGTAAGAAGGATAAGGAAGCTAAGAAGGCTCGAACGGAGCTGAAAAACAAGAAGAACTTAGAAAAAGCAGAGAGCAAGGACAAAAAACGTAGCAAGAAACTGGGCTCCGAGGACGATGATGATTTGGACATAGACGAGGTTTTGGCCAACTACAAGAAGGAACAAGAACTCTTTGAGCAGGTTTTGGTAACCAATGTGGAGAAACCAAGTCCAAGGATGAATCCTTGCATGATCTCGAACCCTGTACATGGTAAAAGAGAACTAATATTATTTGGTGGGGAGCATACAGACTCTTCAACCTCAACAACCACCTTTTACAACGAGCTTTTCACATACACTTTGGAGAGTGACCAGTGGCGAAAAATTACATCAAAAAATGCGCCAATGCCTCGGTCATCTGCGGCGGCAGCAGCTCATCCAAGTGGTGTAGCTCTTCTTCATGGTGGTGAATTCTCTTCTCCAAGGCAAAACACATTTTACCACTACTCTGATACCTGGCTCCTTGACTGTAACACAAAAGAATGGACCAAGATCGACCAAAAAAATGGCCCCAGTGCGCGTTCAGGACATCGTATGACTGTGTGGAAAAATTTCTTCATTATGCATGGCGGGTTCAGAGATTTAGGAACTTCAACAACCTATTTGAAGGATTGTTGGTTATTTGATATCACCACCTACAAGTGGAAACAAGTCGAATTCCCACCAAATCACCCCATTCCTGATGCACGCTCGGGTCATTCCTTAATTCCTACTCAGGAAGGTGCTGTTCTATGGGGTGGGTACTGCAAAGTTAAGGCAGGCAAGGGACTACAAAAGGGTAAAACCTTAACAGACTGCTGGTACTTGAAGATGAAGTCCGATACAAGTGGTCTCCGGTGGGAGAGACGTAAAAAACAGGGCTTTCAGCCATCTCCAAGAGTGGGCTGTTCGATGGTTCACCATAAGGGGCGAGGAATTTTGTTTGGGGGGGTATATGACTACGAAGAAACAGAAGAGGCCATGAGCTCAGAATTCTATAACGATCTCTTCTCTTACCAGGTCGAATCTAACAGATGGTTTACACTCAAAATGAGGCCTCAGAAGAAGAAGGCCGTTACTGTGTCAAAGAGTAGTAAAAATAAGGACGATGAGTTAGAAAATATATTGAATGATATACTGCAGAAGGCTAACCTCGCAGATGATGACACGACAGAAGATGACAACGAAATTGAGAAAGAACTGCGCCGGATGGACGAAGAAGAGGAACTTGAGAATAAATCTAAGGAATTCACCATACTCACTCAATTACCACATCCGCGTTTCAATGCAGCAACGGCTGTTGTGGATGATATGCTTTTCATTTTCGGCGGTATTTGGGAATTTGGGGAGAAAGATTTTGTCATTGATTCGCTTTATTGCATTGATTTAAACAAGCTGGACGGTGTAAAATTGTTCTGGCAAGATTTGGAAGCTGTCGAAAGGGCCAAACAACTCGGCGACGAAGAAGAAGAAGAAGACGACGACGATTACGAAGAGGATGACGATGAAGTGGAGGCCGAAGATGAACAATATGAAGCAAACGACGACAAGCTCGTTGCCGAAGAAGAAGAGGATGAAGAGGAAGAAGAGATTGAAGAAGAAGGGCCAGAGATTCCTGACCTCAGACCATGGCTACCACATCCGAAAGCATTTGAGAACCTTCGTTCCTTCTACGTCCGTACGGGTGCTGACTTCTTGCAGTGGGCCATATCCAACAATAGAGACGCCAAGGGAAAGCACCTGAAGAAACACGCTTTTGATCTCTGCCAAGACCGATGGTGGGAAAGACGTGAGCAAATTAGAATTGAAGAAGACAAGCTCGAAGACATGGGTGGTGTTGAGGGCATTGTAGAACGAGACCCAGCTCAGTCCACCAAGAGACGATGAAATCTCCAAAATAGAAGCCATCTTGAACATATACATAATTCAGCATAGACACAATGGCCCGAGATTGCGAACAAAGACTATTTTACATAAATTGCTTTAGATGTTCAACCATAGATGTATAGCGTTTACCAATATTCTATACAAGCAGTGGTCGTTGTGCCTGATATTGATTATTTCTCGGATTTTGCCAGTAACAAGTATTATTTTAAAGTAGACAGACAGACAATACAATGTTCCCTCTCACTCAAACACGAAAAGCCAGGACAGCAGTAGCAGCGACGAAAAATATATGGCCATGACAGAAGCAGATCGCGAGCTCTCAGTCGAAGAGGAATACGACTTGTGGAAGTCCAATGTCCCGCTTATGTACGACTTCGTTAGCGAAACGAAACTTCTTTGGCCATCGCTAACCATACAATGGTTGCCCAATGACACATCCGATGCATCGCAACAGCAATTGATATTGGGTACTCATACCTCTGGTGAAGAGCAGAACTACTTGAAGATAGCATCTGTCGAACTTCCTGAGGAGATCGCAGAAGACAAAGCTCCTCAACCTTCTAAAGAGCAAGAATCAAGTCCCGGTCAGACCAATGGACAGCCACAACAGGTAGTATCTAAGATCAAAATTACCAAGAAATTTGATCATGATGAGGAGGTAACGAGGGCTCGTCATGCACCCTTCAACAGCAACCTTATTGCAACCATCAATGGCTGCGGTTCGGTTTTTTTATATGACCGGTCTTTGGACAAGGAGGATGCTTTGAGGGCTAAATTCGCATATCACAAGGAGAATGGGTATGGGCTAAACTTCAGTATTCCATCGCCTGGGAGTTTGCTATCATGCTCAGACGATGGAACCATAGCTCTTTGGGATGTTCAAGCGGCAAAGGAAGTGCCCACATTTGTGAACAAAAGCCATAGCGATATTGTGAATGAAGTAAAATGGCACGAGACTGATCCAAATCTTTACGGATCAGTTTCAGAAGATAAGACACTCATTATTCATGATAGAAGGACCGAACAAGCGATCGTGACCATGAAACAGGACGAATCATTCAATACATTGGCTTTCAGCAAGAACTCTAGTAATCTATTTGCTGGTGCGGGTAGCGACTCTCAAGTTTATCTTTACGATTTACGAAATCCCGGCGTCGCATTACATAGCATGTCTGGACACCAAGATGCAGTTACCAGCCTGGAATTCTCTCCGCATCGCGATGGCGTTTTATGTTCTGGAAGCTCTGATAGAAGAGTGTTGGTTTGGGACCTTTTTCAAATCGGGGCAGAGCAGCAACAGGAAGATGCTGACGATGGTGTTCCTGAGTTACTCATGATGCACGCTGGCCACAGGAGCGCGGTCAACGACTTCTCTTGCAATGAGAATATACCTTGGCTCATGGCCAGCGTAGAGGAAGAAAACATTGTACAAATCTGGAAGACTTCCAAAAAACTGACGAATCCATCTAACCCCGGGGAGTATGATATCCACACACTGGAATAGTTGTATATACTTGATTAAACAAACGAAGGAATATCAATACTCAAATCAGTAAGAGTATGATACAAGGATATCCTGGGAATGTTCGACAATATTATCTATGGTGCTATCTTCTAGATAATGTATCCCAAAGTTGAGACCTGACTTAGATGATAGACAATAAGAAATTGACATAAAACTGTCAGGATTTTTACTTTTTGTCGCGCATACGCCGTTAACATGGTATGGAAAATCACCTTCTGAAAGAAAATTATTACCGGTCAGATAATTGATCTCGATCACTCGGGAAGCGCTGGAAGTTCCGAACTTTGATGCCTCACTTTTCGCGCATTTTACATTGTCATCATCAAATCGAATGAGCTCCCACCTCATGATTGCAGAATCCATCTCTCCCCGAACAAACAGGTGTACGTACAAAGCGTTTCCTAACGTTGGCCCCAATTTCTGCGGTCCATGCAATGGCACTGACGATCGCTTGCTCTACGTCACTTTCAAGCACTGTGCCAGACTCCATCTTTCCCAGGTCATAAATTGGGCTATCCAACCGATTTCAAAGCAGCAGGGACACAAAGTTCAAACCTCCATGGAAATGAAGAGGTTTCTCCAAAGTCAGACTATACAGGTCTTTGAAAATTGCTGGCACGCGGTGGCTGATAAGTCCAAGAAGCACGGAGAGCAGGGAACATTGATGGGTATCAAAAATTGATTCCTGGAGCGGACAGAGTGCGTATTGTGGCTGAAAATGCAGCTATCAAGCATCCGATTTCCTACACCCAGCGAATTAAGCGCGGTATTGAATAAATTGTGAAAATTGGCGGCCGGAAAACAATCGAACAATGTTTCGTGACCGTGGAAGACAATGATCGAGTGATCTAGTACGTAAATGCGCCACAGAGGCTTTCCGTTACCAACCTCAAATGACCTTTGGTTGAATATGCAACGCAGCAAATATCGCGGAACCCCTCTTTAGCAGTTAAATTGTTCGTCTTTGTAGCAGTCGAATTATACTTTACTTACAACGTCTTCGAGATTTGAAGAATTCACATGTTCAAATTGCATGGAGGGGTTAACATAGTAGCGGAGCTCAGCATTCTCAATGATAACCCTTGAAAGCGTCGCGGAGACCACAGAATCAGTGAGTGGGTGACATTTTTCATTGTGTAACGTGGTGTCATCTGAATTTCTGTCTAATTCGCTGCTTGCAGTAAAGTAGGTAGCAAAGCAAACTACTCCATTCGATGTTCCCGAGATCTAATCTCTCAAGTGCTCTCTTTTGACAGGGTTTAGCTTTTCTACGTTACCTTTCATTTTCTTAGGCCAAGTACCACTGATTTCACTTATTGAACAAATCGTACATTTGACTATTGATTGCTTGACAGTTTATTCATACAGAAAAGCGGTGGTAGTATTAGGCGATCGTTCAACATTCTGTTCTATTGTATAGTCTTAAGGATGTTACACATTTGTGTCACTCTCGTTTACAAGTTCGTTTATTTATTCGCTTAACACATTGACCGACTTCCGAGCCATTCGGACTACCAATGATTAGGTTGAGCCTCGCAAGATACCTTTACAAGAATATTCCGTTTGTATGCCGAGATGGCCCCACTGATTCGCTATATCACAATCTGCAGTTTCATCACTTTTCGACAAACTGCTGGCAATTTGGGAGCCACATTCCAGAGAAGGATTCAATTAGAAACTTGCTATTGCTGTTGTTGCTGAACCTTTTTTACTGATAACCAATTGAGAAATTCAATAAACATGTTGACCCCAAACTTGCCTTTCAAAAACCAATTTTTTGAAGTCTTGTGATATATTTCCATCAATACGATGAACGTATCGTCTGTTGGACTTACCTCTATCAGTAATTTGGACAAAAATATTGAAGCACTTGATGACACAGAATAGAGAAGATTCGGATACTGACCAGGCTTTTTCAAAATCATAGCATCCTGCAAGTCTATGATCAAAGATGTGATCAGCTCTTGATCACCTGCTTCTGGTAGATTGAGGCCCGAAACCTTGAATTTACTGATTTTGTTTTTGACGAGCTTGGCAGCCTTTTCCGCTAGCGATCTATCCAAAGTAATTCTAATACAATCCACTAAAGGTAAGATTATATTTAGAATTTTCTTGAGAGTAGAAGCCTGTGCTTCTCCACCCTTTTTCGCTTCTACCTCTGCCCACCGCACAAACACTTCTAGCATATCAACAACCTTATGTTTGAACGCTATTACATCTTGTCGCGATTCTTTCACCTCCTTCTTTCTCTTGTTGCCCGTCGGTATAACAGCTAACGCCTCTTTTCTACGTTTAAAAATTTCTGAAAGTTGGCCATCCAGTTCCATCATCTTTTCATCGTCTAAATCTTCGTCACTTTCACTGCCTTCATCTGAATCACTGAAGTGAACTTCACCCCTATCATCAACCATCGAGTCCGGAAGTTTTAATGCCTTAGCGAGAGCACTAGTGGCTTCTTTATCGATTCGTTCTATGCCATTATCTGAGTAATCCGCGTCATCAGAGCCGCTCATATCATCACCGGGCAATTTATTATCTACATCATTGTCTCCTTCTTCTTCATCCAAATCATCATCTTCGCTGAAGCTTTCGTCTTCTTGCTCTTCGTCCTGCTCTTCGTCCTGCTCTTCGTCTTGCTCTTCAACTTGCTCTTCGTCTTGCTCTTCTTCCTCATCTCCTTCTTCGTCCTCACTAGCGCCTTCAAAAAGATTTGCGAATCCTTCCTTATTTTCTCTAGCGGACAGGATCTCTAACAAGACGGAAAGATCGCTGACGGATACTTGGCCGGCGAAAGACTCCCAAATGATCAGACTAGATTTTCTCAGTAGAGCCTTTTTTTGTGCTGCCAGTGAAAGCAATATTTCAATAAAGCCTGCGTAAGATTCGGTGTTGTCGTCTTCGCTGTAGGATTTGGAGAAGGAAATTAGGTCTTGCAGAACTGAAATAGAGTCAGTTTCTCCGGCAAAAGCTTCTATAATGTTCACGGCGAAGAGTAATTGCAAGCCATATAGTTGGGAATTTGCTCGATTTGCGGACAAACGTTTAGAGACATCTTCAAGCTCCACTACAGATTCATCAATAATTTCTTTTAGTTCTTGTCCGATAGGGTGCTTGAGAGCTTGTCTTTTTTGCCCGCGAATAATCTTCTTTAATGCCACATATGGCCAACAAACGAGGCTCTCTCCTTGTTCCACAGATAAGAGGTCGGCAAGAATCGAGTAAAGCCTTTCGACAGCCGCTGGTGCCATAGCTTGGAGCTTCTGGTCCTTTTGATCATCCTCTACCGCATTTTGGTTTTTAAAGAAACCAAATTGAACGAGTACATCAAAGCAAGGCTTTACCCAGTCTTTATCTGCTTGTGATTTATGAGCCCTAACTAAGTGGAGGAGTCCATCTATCGTGTATCTTACCGCTGCGGGATTTGTCGAGTTTTCTATCAAGTGCGCTCTGAAGATTTCGACGATTTTGGTCAAGTGCTCTGCCTTCAAAGATTTGTTAGCCAATAAAGCACTTATAGTTTTAGATTTTGTCAACTGATCGAAGCTCACAGAACCATTTTCACCAAAAGCAATTGTTTCGAAACAAGCACTTGTCTTTTCCGGCTGCTCCTGGCATATGTTTAGCAAAGAAGCTAGCGATTTCTGTGAAATTCGATGCAAATTTCGCTCGGTGCTTCCACATTGATTTATGAGACATCTCATAAAGTTGGTAGAAAACATGTGCACAATATTAGAAGCACTAGAGAGTTGGAGAGCCCTGTCAAAAACCAAAAAGCCCAAATATTTTCGCTCGCTGGAGGATTTCTCATTGAAAAAAGAATCATCCACTACAGCTTTCCAAAACTCAGGGAATCGGATGCTTTGCTTTCTGCCGTCTCCGCTCGATTTACGCTTCTTGCTTGGGGGCTCTGAGGCTTCGATGTGAACGCTGTTTTCATCCAAGAGGCAAGTGAGAATTATATCCCACACGAAATGTAGCCTAGGAGCCCAAATCCCTTTTTGTTTTAAAGAAGAGTCGTTCGAAGAGGCTGCCTCCTTCAAAGCGTTTGCTATCAGTGGCAAGTTACCCCGCATCAATGGGTCGTTGTTTTTCCAAGGCGAGTTCAAAGCCAGCGAGGAGGAAACGCTAGCTTTTCCTGCGAGTGGATTGGCATGCAATAGTAATAGATATATAGCCAATCCTTCGCTGGTCAAAGTTAGATGTCTAGAATCTAAAAGCTTGAAAATGGCGTCAATGTGGTCCGAAGAATGCAGCAAAGGGGCCAGCTTCTCAACTGCCTGATACAACGTGTACAGCGCAGACTCTCGGATCCAGGTCTTAGCTGTGGCCACATCGACTAAAGCGTCCGCAAATTTCAACGTAAAGTTGAGGTTTACGTTTGCTTGACCTTCGCTTTCTGCGTTAATCATGAAAATGTGTGAAAACAACGGTTCATTGAGCAAAACCTGGAGACCAAATAGCTTGCCGAACAGAAGACCCCGCTCTTCTTTGCCATTTTTCACAGACTCCTTTGACAATGCAGACATAAGCATCGTCACGTACTGATCTATATCGGCCAGCACTCCCTTCTGAAGAGCCGAGAACACCACTTCCGTCAAACAAAGACTAAAACCGAGTCTCGCACCATTTCTGTTGGAAGAAAGACCCTTAATAAGTCTGTTGAGAACATACTGCCACTCGCGAGACTCCTGGGGCAGCTGGGACAGCTCTGTCACAAGCGCAATTGTCGCTTGTAATCGTTCTTCGGAAAGATCCGATGCCAGTGTATAGAATAGATCCCTATTGACTTGGGCCATTGTTCGGGTACAGCAGTCAGTCGCAAAAAAGAGACGTCGAATACACGATAGAGTGTAAGGGTCACCAGAGTAACCTACGATTCAGTAGCTCGCAATGACGGCTTTAGATGCTCTGGGTGTCACAGGCGTGTATTGCAGCTCGAGTTAAGCTTGCAATATCTCACGCTTCGAAATACTTTATAACGGCAACTAGGCTTCCAAAAAAAATAAAAGAAATAAACAGCTCATCGCCGACATGCACGTACACAGTGACTCTATCATCCAAAGTCATGTGACATCCAGGGTGTTATCTACTCGATTTTACAGTCCCGACTGTAAAATCGAGTCGCGGATACGTATATAGTGATGATAAGCAACGACACGTGGTTTGGGACCAATGGTTACCCGTCTCAATTAAAATGGGAATTTTTCACCAATGAGAACCCGAATTCCACAGCTTCAACGAAGTTCGGTTAGCATCATATACCATTGCAGTGTTACCTTCATTCACGGAGAGAAGTTGAATATAGCTTCTGAGATTTTAGCTATTTGTGGTCTCATACCTTAAGTAGCATTTCCCTTATCCCAAATCCCTTGAATACAGACAATGTCCGCGTGGAGAAAGGCCGGTTTGACTTACAACAACTACTTGAGCATTGCCGCACAAACTGTGCGTGCTGCATTGAAAAACGAGGCACAAACTGCCCAAGTGCTCGGTAGATCCAAAACTGAAGCAAAGTTCGTGAAGTACGAAGGTGGCAATGCCGTCTCAGAGCCAGAAGCTTTGAAGAAATGAAAGCGATGAAAATTGACGAAATGGCCCCTTCACATGGCTTTCTTTTTGACAAGGACCCAAATAATGAGTGTGTAGTGGCACAGTATTACTTAGATATTCATTCATAGAGCTCCGGATCCCGAGGGACGTCTCAAGGACTAACGGAGGATAATCAAAAACAATATTACGAGTTTTGCGTGAGCTAGCCGTGGAGGCCTGGGAAGGAGGTGCAACAGCTCGGAAAAGAGTCCCAAAGCTCAAGTCGATATGACGGACGACTCGGAGTCCGGCTCCGACTTCACATCGCACCGCTTCAAACCCGCGAGGCCACTGTTTTATCACTCACTATTCACGGAGACGGTAATTCAAGTACTTCTGTCGTCGCGCCCGTCAGTCCCGGTCGCTAAACGATAAAACCGCACGCGCACTTGGCTCTTTAAGGTTCCAAAGCAGACGTCCGCGAGATTTGCAGCATGCTACTGCCACGGTCTATACGGTTATTGCGTCCAGGAGGGTTAGTCGATGGTTTATGGCGGCCTGTGCCGCCGAGTTTGCGCAATCACTCTATCGCGCTGAAAAGCTACATAGGAAGGCCCCAGCTTAACACGACAGTATCGAGGTTGAGTGTTATTTCATTTCATACGCAGACTAGAAGCTTCTCTGCTACTCGAAGAGTACAGAGCACGGATACTGCGCACAAAAATAAAGCTAAAGACAAGGCGGAAAAGCCCCATAAAGAAGCTTCCAAGATGGGATTTAGTGAAGTTCTGCGGCTGTTTAAGCTTGCGCGTCACGACTGGAAACTTTTGTGTGTCGCGATCGGACTGTTGACGATAAGCTCTTCTGTTGGTATGGCTATTCCGAAAGTCATCGGCTTGGTACTGGATTCGGTCAAAAACGCTTATGGAGATGCCAAGGGACCAATAACTCTAGAAGATTTACCTCCCATTGCCGGTAATTTTGGAATGTACGACTTTCTTGGTGTTTTTGCGGGTGCCTTGATCCTGGGAACAGCTGCGAATTTTGGAAGAATTGTTTTACTCCGTGTGCTAGGAGAAAAGCTAGTAGCTAGATTACGATCTAACGTCATCAGAAAGATTATACACCAGGATGCGGAATTCTTTGATCGTAACAAGGTGGGCGACTTAATTTCTAGACTTAGCTCGGATGCTTACGTCGTTTCTCGTTCTATGACCCAGAACGTGTCGGACGGTTTCAAAGCGGTCATATGTGGTGGTGTTGGTATCGGTATGATGGTTAGCATATCAACTCCCTTGACCTCCGCTCTGCTCTTTTTTGCACCCCCACTGCTCATTGGAGCTACCATTTACGGAAAGAAGATCAGAACAATCTCCCGTGAATTGCAACAGTCTACCGGAAATCTCACTCGAGTCTCCGAAGAACAGCTCAATGGCGTAAAAACCATTCAGTCCTTTGTGGCGGAGGGCAAAGAACTCAAGCGTTATAACAACGCAATAAGGAAAGTTTTCTCTTTCGGCAGAAAAGAGGCACTTGCAAATGCTACGTTTTTCAGTTCAACCGGCATTCTAGGAGATCTCAGTTTTCTGATTGTTTTGGGCTATGGATCTCATTTAGTTCTGCAAGGAGGTCTGACAGTGGGTGATCTTACTGCTTTCATGCTCTACACGGAGTATACCGGATCCGCTGTGTTTGGCCTATCAACCTTTTTTTCTGAACTCATGAAAGGGGCAGGTGCCGCCTCAAGGCTTTTTGAGATGACTGATCATACATCTAGCATCAAGTCGTCCATAGGAAAATCTTTTGTTCCCGGGACTGGTAAGATCGACTTTCACAACGTATCTTTTGCCTATCCAACTAGGCCCAACAACCACATTTTCAAAGACATGAATTTCACAATTGAGTCTGGATCTAATGTATGCATCGTTGGACCATCAGGAAGAGGAAAGTCCACGATCACTTCATTGTTGTTGCGCTACTATGATCCTGTGAGCGGGAACATTACAATTGACGGTCAGGACATTTCAAAAGTAAGCTCTAAGTCCTTGAGGCGTCATCTGGGTGTTGTTCAACAAGAGCCGATGCTTATGTCCGGAAGCATCAAATACAATTTAACCTACGGTCTGAATAGTGAAGTCTCAATGGAAGAAATACGCTCTGCTGCCAAGAAGTGCTTCTGCCATGGGTTCATCACCAAATTTCCTGATGGTTATGACACAATTATTGGTCCCAGAGGAGCTTCATTGAGTGGTGGCCAACGGCAGCGTATTTCCATTGCGCGAGCCCTGATCAAAAAACCAAAGATTTTGATTCTCGATGAAGCTACGTCCGCGCTCGATGTTGAGAGTGAAGGAGCAATCAATTATACCCTAGGAAAGCTAATGAAAAGTCGTGAATTAACAATCATAAGCATCGCTCATCGCCTAAGCACGATTAGAAGGTCGGAAAACGTTATTGTCTTGGGTCACGATGGATCAGTTGTTGAGATGGGCAAATTTAAGGAACTTTATGCTAACGAAAATAGTGAGCTATTCAAATTACTGAATGATAAGAAAAATGATAAACCAAGCAAGTCATTTGTCAAAGGGTTGCCAGAAGGTACCGAAAACTCAGAAGAAATGCACATAAATGATGAGGTTTTGGAACATATGGCCAACGACATCAGCTTGGATCAGAAAGCATCGAAGCTCACTCCGTAAGGCGCATTATCCTGTTAGCTTTGGAACCAAAATATATAATGAAATAGAATGAAATAGATGGTGATTTGTAGATAGATGTAAGACATTTTTGATAGACTTGATATTGACTGAAATCCAGTGACTCAATTGATCCTCTTTTAAAAGTTACCTGAGAGCTAACATTGATTGAAAATTGACCGGATTCGGTCAAGTGAGCAGTTCGTTTAAAAAGTAGTTTCTGCTCTTGCCGTAGGGCCTCTTGGTTTCGATTGGGAATCCCATGCTTTGATTTACACATGACCTTCCTCGATAAGCCGTTTGGATAATTATAATAATAATAATAATAACTTTAGCGAAACGCGCTTTACATTCCAAGAAACGACCGAGCCATCAAAGCTCAAACTGACTAGAATTGGGTGACATGCAGTTACGATGGAGCCAATTTGTTCAGAGAGGAGGCAAAATGGCGTTCTTTCGAGAAGCTTCGAAGCTTTATCCATTTTGAAAGTGGGAATTAAAGGTGATCATAAGTTCGATGATCAGTTGATCGCGGATATTTTGGGACTTGAGAGGCAATGGATTATTCTTAAAGGGTTTCTGGAGGCAAATTTCAATTTGGATTGTTCGTCTGGAGAAATTTTGGGAAAATTCGAGTGGATGCGCAGGCTCAAAAATGACTTCTACCGTTTGTATCAAGAGGTAAGGACAATTGAGGAATACCTTCTTGCTTTACTGGACCGTATTGAATCACAAGTAATGGCAGAGCTGAGAGAAGCTACGCTAAGCGATCTGGTGGATGCTTTTGAGCGATGTTGGCAGGGATTGCATGATCTGAAGCGGGTTCTTCAGTCATCCAAGTACCTTCTCGAAACAGGTCTTGAATTTAACGAGATACTAAACGATCATTTGTTGTCTATTGGAACCTTGATAGACGAAAACGCCGAGAAATGCTTTGAAATTAGGCGAAGTTTGAAAGCTGGAAGTATGGGGCGAAACTCACGACAATCGGTAGGTAGCGAAAAGCGTGTTAGTAGCGTGCTATCTGCTAGTGCTACTTCAGGGTTTAGCTTTATTCCAACGTTTCCAGAAAACTCGGATCTATTTGCTGATTTCATGTCAGTAGCTGAAATTATGGATCCTTTGGAAAAGAGCATGACAAAAGTTGTGGACGAAAAGATCCAGGGTTTTGGTAAACGAGTGATTCACAGTATTGCATATCTAACAAATATTTTACAGCAACATTTCGAAGATGTCAACCGAAAGCACGAGGCTCTAGTTGTCATCTATAGTTTGTTGAAGAACGAAATGCTAAATTCACAGTGGAAAGAGCTTTTCGGGAGCCTTAACAGAGTGTTGCTTCAAGCCATCACGGAGGTAGAAGATATGCTTTCTTCAACGGGTGAAAGTGAGCCGGAAGAGAACTCGAAAGCACAGCGTCTCAACTCCGAAAGGCTGTCGTCGCTGGAGAAGGAGATAGAGCACAATTTCAACATAGTTTATCAGGCATTATCTGCTTCTGTTCTCACGGTTGAAGTAGCCACAGAAGCGAACACGCTGGCATCGCGCTGGTTGGAACTGGTGCCAAAACTCCACAACTTTGTCTCCAAAGACCAAACCACCACAGATTTATCGTCAGATCTTAAGAATTTGTCTTTAGAAAGCACACAAACGCCTGTGATCACACCTCCTCGTCCACAGAGGCGGGTGAGTGGGATGGGTACTTTTCTGTCCAAGCGAATGAATATCAAACCTGTGATAGTAAATAACACTCCGAAGTCTGTGGAAAAAAGCAACCACTTTTCGTACCAAGCAGATGAAATTAAGCCGATTTCTTTAAGCTTCCATAAAACAAAAGGTTCTCAGCCTTTGTTCAACAATGAAAAGCACAAAAACATCGCAACATCCCTACAGTCCCATTCTCGTGCCCTTAGTGCTCGAGCATCATTTGCAGTTTTAATGATCAAAATCGCACATTATTCTCGTATACCATCTCGAATTCCTGTGTTCTCTGGTTCAGTTGCTTTGGGAACTCGTATCAACGGTAAATTGAATGATCCCATAAAAGTTGTGCTCAAAAGCACTGGTCAAATCGGCGTACACGGCCGCCCTGAAAAGTGCCAGCTTCCCGTCATAAGCTCTCATAAACGTCAGCTAAACTAATAAATTTGGCTTGATATATTCTAATATTTTACTGCCGGACAAAACAAGAGCTGCGCCTGGATTCTAATCGTACCTCTCAAATGAAACTTGCTCCTCAAGCCTGTTAGTTTCAGCCCGCTATATGTTTATTAATACTGTAATTATCAAGTGTGTAATATAAATCATTTTTAATCGTTAAAACTAAGTATAGCCGTTTTGCATTATACTCATATGATATGCTACTGTTTAGTGACAACGCCGATAAAGCTAGCAGAAATCTAGCTTTTAGGTTTCCTCACTTAAAGGTTTTGCCGTGCCAAGGTTGTTGACAATCTTTGGGTATAAATATTGAAATTTAATTAAAAAAGTAGAAACAGTCATTTAGATAGTCGTATCTGGCAACTGCTCCAAAACGGTGCAAAGAGAAAATCACTTTTCCAATAGGTGCTCAAAATTGTCATTCAAATCATATTGACGGCAGGTATATTGGTTTCAAGGATCCGCTGAATGCACCGGTTTTAAGGTTTTGATGCACAAAACCTGATCATTCCTCGCGCATAAAGACACACTAAAGTTGACAACTGAATACCATGTATGCTAGTAAGCTTCAAAATGGTTTGGAAACCCCGAAATTTGCAGCGCCTCAGCTGTGGTTGAAAAGAAGCCAAACAGAAGGTCTGTTGGTTCTCGATAGGTCATCTCCGCGTTTCGACAGTGGGAAGGTCAATGAAAACCAGTTTGAGGATGCTCCTCGTCAGAATTTTAGACGTATCATTCAAAAAACTGCCAATTTGATATCTCGTCCTAAGCCTCGAAAATCTTCCACTTATTTGGGGCCTATAACGCAAAATCAGGAATTTCCCTCAAGCCGAGTTCAATGCAGACAGCACACCCGCCCTAGCGACGACAAAACATTAAGAGCGATATATATTAGACTTGAGAATGGCTTGAACTTTACCAAAGTAACTCGCAAGAAACAGATAGAGTACAAGTTCTTTGTTAGTAGCGGAGTGCTGCGATGGATGGACTCGAAAAGTATTGAATTAGATGCCATTAAGGACATACGGAGCGGGGAAATGGCAAAGAATTATATTGATGACTATAATGTTTCAGATTCCGAAGCGCGTAACTGGCTTACTATCATATATCAAACAGGCACCAAATATAGGGCATTGCACCTTGTTTCCCACAGCTCTGACGACTTCGAGTGTTTCTACACGGGCATAGTGAGTATTGTGAAGTCGCGTCACAATCTCATTCGTAGTGTATCAAATCCAGATGATGACATGTTTGCAAATGTACATTGGCGTGCGACCGTCTCTGCTGAAAAGCAAGCCGACGATATTGACGTACTCTCCTTTCAAGATGTTGAAGATTTATGTGCCAAATTCAATATATTTTGCTCAAGTGGCCACTTGCGGAAACTTTTTAATATTGCGGACACTAATCGTAACGGTCTTTTGAATTATACTGAGTTCCAGTCGTTTGTGCAAGAGCTTAAAAGAAGGCCGGAAATGGTGACTATTTGGTCCAAAATTAGTAAAGGGAGTGACAAACTGCAATTTGACGATTTCGTCAAGTTTCTCGAAGTAGAGCAAGGAGAGCCAGATGCTCGAGAGAAGGCCTTGGCAGAGTATTCGAGGCTAGCAGATGGTAATCAAGTAATGAACATCAATGCGTTCCAAAAGTATCTCACGTCTCAGCCGTACCTAAAAGAGAGTGTCACGGATTATTCCTTACCCATTAACAAATACTTCATCTCCTCGTCGCACAATACATACCTACAAGGAAAGCAGCTTGGAGAGGCACCTACCGTGGAAACTTACGTGCATGCCCTGCAGCAGGGCTGCCGGTGTATAGAGATTGATATCTGGGATTCGGAGGAAGGGCCAGTTGTCTGTCACGGTAAATTAACCAGTTCGCTACCGCTGAAAAATGTTATTAAGGTGGTAAGAAAGTATGCATTCATAACTTCACCGTTTCCTTTAGTGTTGTCTTTGGAAGTTCATTGTAATTTAGCCAACCAAGTTTTAATTGAGACGATTATCAAAAAGGAACTTGGTGATAAAATTTACATCGAACCTCAACAAGGAGCGCTCCCTTCTCCTGCAAGTTTAAAACACAGGTTCCTTATCAAGGTCAAAAAGTCTAAGAAAGAAGACCATAAATCTCCTTTCGATGAGGAACTTCTTTCTTCGTCTTCCACAAGCTCCTCATACGATTCTGAATTTGAAATTGGTAGGCTGCGCGGTCGGAGGCTTAGCATAGCCAAGAAGGTGCATGTTGTCGAAAACTTGGTGACAATGTCGCTTATTCATGGTCTCAAATTCAGAAACTTTTCCCTTCCGGAATCCAAATCTCTCAACCATTGCTTCTCATTGAATGAGAAGAAACTAGAGCACATGATAAAAGACGAAACCCAAAGATTGGCTGTTGAAAAGCACAATCGTCGTTTTCTTATGCGGGTATATCCCCATGCCCTAAGATACAAGTCGTCCAATTTTAACCCTATCAAGTTTTGGGAGCTAGGCGTCCAAATGGTCGCAACCAACTGGCAAACCTACGACTTGGGTCAGCAGCTTAACAAAGCAATGTTTCATTTGCCACTGGAGGCTGGATCATTATGGCATTCTGGGTATGTTTTAAAACCGGAGTTCTTACTAGAAGAAGTTAATAAGGCTATTGATATTCGGGCTTTGCATGCAGGCTTACGAAAGCGCAAGCGTGTTCTTCAATTGGATATAATATCAGCACAGATGCTCCCCAGGCCAAAGGATCTAAAGCCGAAAGTTTCTTCCTATAACTTCAGTGTAAAGTTGAACATACATGGTTGTGGGAAACCTACACGTCCATTAGAATCGATAAACGGCGTCGCTGTGACAGATACATCAGGTTCGACACACATTTGTAAGGAGAATGGGTTCAGTCCGGTATGGGAAACCAAGTTCAGAATCACGTTGGAAGACAGCTTCTTCAATTTTTTGCTTCTGACCGTTAGGGCCGGTGAATCTGACCTTGCGACTTGTTGCTTGAAGTTGAGTTATCTGCGACGGGGCTACAGACACATACCGCTATATAGTGAGAGCGGCGACAGGTATATTTTCTCGACGCTCTTTATGGGGATAAACTACGACTACATATAATAACGACACTGATTAACGAAATTCAAATTTAGGCATCATTATGATTTCGATCGCGAAGTCTATATTTTTTAGTGAAGCGTACTCTCAGGCTTTATTTTTTGCTTCTTGACTGATTTGCCCATCTTGGGTCAGAGATTGGCGTTTTCGCGCACTATAGTACGAAGCGTGTTTTCGTGATGTTGAAAAATTAGGCTTTAGCCAATCTCAGTATATATCTACTACCAAGGGTCATCGACAAATGCTCATGGCTGCCATGATATAGACTATAAAATATCAACCTACTAGTGTGCTATAAGCCAATCGTCGAGCCCTTTTTTTGCGAAGATTCAGAATTAATACAAAACTCAAGATGAACAATCGATCCCCTACCAAATTGAGACGTGCGCTTTCCGGCAAGAGCGTGAATCGTCGTTCAAACCCAGTGTCCCCCAAAAAGCTAGATAAACTATTAGTGGTAAGGTCAGGACCGGAAAGTCCGCTTCGCAAGCCCCTTTTGCAGAACAACTGTGACGGAAAATTTGAGTTCTTTGAACAAACCGCTGCTGACCAGAAGACGGTAGACAGGCAGTACCAGAAACTGCGAAAGAACAAATGCCAAAAATTTCCTGATATTGAAAATACCTCACATAACAAAACTACACCTGATGTAAATCTTTCTGGTCAAGACTCGAGACTGCCGCTGGCGGATTTAAATGTTGAAGAGCACGCTGGGACTTGGGAGTATTGTATGAGTAGCAGCAGTCCGTCAAGAACCACATCTGACTCGCCACTGAGGTCCACTAACTACCGCGACGTGGACTCATCGTCTTTGAACTCCGTACAGAAACTTATATACGAAAAATAAATCCTAATTGCATAACGAATGAACATGGGCATCGAGTGGGAACCCGGCTGACGTCTTCTGATCTGCAAAGTGTGCCGATGGAGGACTCTTTGAAACAAAAAGGCTCTCACATTTGGTGCGTGCTTCGTAGAGTTAGCTTCGAGTTATATCGAGATCCGCCTACCGGATATCAAATTAATAAAACCTCACAATAGTTAAAAGTGGTAGATGTAGACTCTTACTTTCTTGATAAGGTGAGAGGACTCGGAGTGGAGCTGCGTTCTGGTAGATAGAAGCGATGTAATGATACTTTAAAAGGCAAACATGACAAATGGGGAAGTCTCACTGGTATAAAAGGCAGTATAATCAATTAGCACATAGCTGATATTGTTACAGTCCAGAACAGGTGATGCCCTTACTCGGCGAACCTTACAGCAGCAGCTAGAAGAGGCAATATTGCAAACTGGTGTCATTATTGTATGAAACGATATTCAGGTAAAGGGCCAACATCGGGAAAGCCAGTGTCACGGACTCCTGTCAAGTATAATGACCAATCCGTCGCTACATATGGAAGAGCTCTATCAGAGTGGCGATTGACCTCGACTACATCTAATGATGATAAATATACAGCACTCGCCAAGTGAATCGCAGAAACACAACAAGTTTCATCAACATGATCCAACGACTTGTGAGTTTTGAAGGGCCGTGTAAAACTTGAGCAATGATTGCTTATTTCAGCACAGCCGAGCTAAGTATTTCCCTTTTATTGGTAAGGCTACAGTCTAGCTTCAAAGAGGCGCATGCACCTCAAAACCCTCCCCACATCAATTGATAGGCAAGCATCTAGATCCAAATATGGAGTTTGAACAGATTTGATAGATACAAGAAACAGAGTCAGGGGCTCATTTGATGGTAGGGTTAGTCTAGCACTCTTTGAGTTTTGATTTTATCGGCCCTAGTTTGAGGCGTTAAGGTCACCTGAAAAAATTTTGTTCGATTCTCATCTCATCTCATCTCATCTCATCTCGTCTCATCTCATCGCATAATCGACGCATTTCGACTCGTCATAAAACATCTGACAAGGTCAAGCGAACTACCTGGACAGCTCCGTGTGAGTCCCGACAAAAGGATATAACTCTTGTGTTTTCTCAGACGTCTCGCTGATAAAATTCGAAATGGGAAAAGCGCCCAAGAAGAAGTTCACCACAGCTGCTGGCAATGGGCCACAAGTGTCAGCGGAAAAGCATCTGAGCTCGGTATTCAAGTTCAACACGGATTTGGGCCAACACATTTTAAAAAATCCGCTCGTTGCTCAAGGAATTGTGGATAAGGCGCAAATTAGGCCTTCGGATGTCGTACTTGAAGTCGGTCCAGGTACAGGTAATTTGACGGTTCGCATATTGGAACAAGCTCGTAAGGTTGTCGCTGTCGAAATGGATCCTAGAATGGGTGCAGAACTCACTAAGCGTGTCCACGGGACAGCTGGAGAGAGAAAACTTGAGATTCTATTGGGAGATTTCATGAAGACCGAGTTGCCATATTTTGATATTTGCATTAGTAATACCCCATATCAAATCTCGTCACCATTGGTTTTCAAACTCATCAATCAGCCTCGACCCCCTCGCGTGTCCATCCTGATGTTTCAAAGAGAGTTTGCCATGCGACTGTTGGCGAGACCTGGCGACTCACTATACTGTCGACTATCTGCAAATGTTCAAATGTGGGCGAATGTCACACACATTATGAAGGTGGGGAAGAACAACTTCAGACCTCCTCCACAAGTAGAATCGAGTGTTGTGAGGATCGAAATTAAGAATCCTAGACCTCAGGTAGATTTTAACGAATGGGACGGGCTTCTGCGTATCGTTTTTGTCCGGAAAAATAGAACTATCGCGGCTGGCTTTAAATCTACCACGGTTTTAGAAATTCTCGAGAAAAACTATAAGGCCTTCTTGGCTACTCAGGATTCGGGCTCTGGAATGATTGACGACACAGCGAACTCGATGCTGGAGGTCGTCAAAGCTAAAATCGAAACTGTGTTGAGAGAGACAGACTTATCTGACAAGAGAGCTGGAAAATGTGATCAAACAGATTTTCTAAAGCTATTATATGCATTCCACCAAGTAGGAATCCATTTTGCTTAGCGGTGAGATCGAGGGGATCGAACCAAACCAGTTTTGGAAAGTACTATCTGCACAGAGGGTTACGATATCCTTTGTGTGCAATTCTTTTAAAAGATTCCACCGTTGTGGAGGCAGCTGAGCATCCAAGAGGTCACGATTTTTCGAAAGTATCTTTCTTTCCGAAGGTTCATCGAAAAACGCCTGGTTATTTGAGCACAATAGTTGACCCTGCTCTTGTGGTGATGATATTTTTATTATAAAATAACAGGTAGGGCGGGATGCCGGATGAATAATGCCCTTCTTACTGTGGATATCGTTCTCGTCAATTTTTTTCTAAAGTTAAAGACCCGCCATTGATATTTCGTATCAATCTAATGGTAACTCTGTAGCCACTTACTTTGTGGCGGGTGAGAAATTGTAAACCGATGTAAACTAGAGAAATAGATAATAAGAGAGTAAGATATCATTACTGGGTCTGTGTTCCGCATGCATCGCCTATACGGGCATACAAGATTTTTCCCGAATGTGGTGCCCAAGAAATCTTCTATGGCAAGGTTGGAAACAGTTGCTGCAAGTCAAGACAGATGCTTGTGCCTAAATCCTGCGAGGAAAGCTAGGTATCCATTGAAAGGGCGATGAACGGAACAAAGAAATGTGCTTACAGAAGTTGAAAACCTCTAAAAAATGAGAAGTCAACCGCCACTCCACCATAGAATGCCATCGAGCACACAATGATCTTCGCACCCAATGTACTAAATTCTTTAGCTCACTTGAAAGAACAAACGCAGTGCCTCTATCTGAAGATCTCAGATATAGTAGCTAAGCTGCTCGTGTCCACAAATGAAAGTAAGCCTATTAGAGAAACTTTTGACTCTTCCGATCATTTAGGGCGTCTGGCGACATCGCGTCGTAATTGCCTCATGATTGGGCGAAACACTTACGAAGTAGATTGTATCTTTTTAGGTATAAAGGTTCCCGGTTGCTTTGAGATGGCCAATCTTGGAATGGGGAGCTCTCAATAAACACACTTACAACAATACATCCCTCGTGTGGGAACAAGATTCAAGAATTCTCAAAAACGAATTATATACAGGCAGTATGTGCTCTTCTTGAAGAAGTGCATATTGATTGTTTCTCGAGTGGTCCCACAATAGCCATTTACCGCTTCACAAAACAACGAATGGGCAATAAATCAAAACTCTGCCTCTGATATTATCTTCAGCAAAAACTCAAGACGAACGACTAACCAAATACCAAGTCGCGGCATCTGGGTCCTAACTCCACCAGTGAAAAATATGTCACAATACTCTTAGCACGGGCCAAAAGTGGATCACCATAGTCGAGAGGACAAATCAAGCAGTCTGCAAAAATTAGGCCCAGGTCAGTGTGATGATGATGATTTTAATTCCAGAAGAAACATCACCCAATTTTACTAGAATCATAGCCCGAAGTTATCCAAAGCCAGTATAAATTCTGACACAAGCTAATGCGCATTTATACGTACTAATTTATTGGTGGAGCGAGCAAGGGTCGGCAGTTGTTAACTTGTTGAAAGATCGTTAAATTTGTCGATAGACGTCGCTAAAATTATTTTCGGTACCTGACATTGAGCTATAAGGCGAGGCTTTGGCTTCTCTGCGTGGTCGTGAGGGCTATAATTCTGGTCTAAACCTCGGACATGCAGCAAGAGTTTACAAAAAATTCTGGAGGGGGTAATCTGAGTGCAGTTAGGTCTGGATAATCCAACAATTGCGCCTAAGGAATGAATTTTTGTGCTGTTGGATAACTGTAATGGCCGGTCAGGGCATTTCCATGTAGCCGCTGTGTCTGTGAATCTCATTGGTCGATTATTCACCTTGTACACTTTCGTCCTGCTGACGCTGCATGTATCACTATTTACTACACTGACGCTTAGTTGGCGATTACTGTTTGGCAACTCGATGCTATTCATACAGTACTAGATCACTACCATCCAGTAGTTCTAAAGCAAGCTGTCTCAGGAAGACTGTCGCGGAGTGACCCGAATAAGAATAATGACGGGGCCTAGGTCAGAGGCTAATCCACGAATCCTTGTAGCTATGGGCTACTGAGAAGGTAGCATGAAGCAGCTCCCATTAGCCTTGCTAGAGATAAAGAAGAAAGACGATGCGAGGCTGCACGTCGGTGTGGTGTGGATTTTTCAGGTTCTGATAGCCTTTAAGTGACTTCGGTTCTGTAAGATGCCATCAAAAGTCCTGCCTGGCTCAAATCCTCTATGTAAAGTCGTTAAATCACTCAAATAAAAACCGTGGGCGGTTAGTGTAGTGGTTATCATCCAACCCTTCCAAGGTTGGGACACGGGTTCGATTCTCGTACCGCTCAATTTCTTTTTTTAGCAAATCTTTCTGTATGAGCAGACCATCTGCCCTCTGAACTGAAACTAGACTGTCGAACTCATGCTTCTCGTGTTTCTAAGATATGTCTCTCCATTTTAGAGATTCAAACTTTTGTATTATTTACAAATGTCAAGTTCACTTTCAAAATGTTAATTTGAAAGACTCAAGGACCGGCCACTGAAAAGATACATGTGCTCAAAATTTCCTACAAACGTCAGGTGTCTAATTAATTGCCGCCAGTAACGGGCTTACCTACGGGAACCATCCCACGAGAGCCTCTTTTTTCGAGATTGTCCCAACCATGATGCGTCCTCACTTCTTGAAGTGAAATGCGACCCGAGGCTCGGCCAGTGAAGGAAAGGCTGCTGGCATGCAGATAAACAAAATACCACTGGTAGCCAAACTGGCTCAAAACACTGGGATAGCCAAAAGGCTCTTCTGCAGAACCGTGAGAGTTGAGGAATAAACCCTCGCAACCGGGCTCTTTAGATCCAAGCGTGAGCTTTCGCATGGCTGCGGCTCGGAGTGTTTATCGACACATATGGCTTGCGGCTTCTTCAGTGCCGTGACTGTCCCAGCGCCTTCGGCTCGAGCGGCGGAGCCTTGCGCTTTGTGGACAGTGGCACGATCTGGAGAAATCTTCTTGGCACAAAAAGTTTTTTCGGGACCGTGGCGGCGACACCAAGGCTTTCCACTGGTTCTACGAACCGAGGCCACAACGGGCGGTTTGTCAACCGTTGAAACACGCCAAAAATTAACGGTAATCGGTGCGCTTTCGAAGCTTGCCATTCGACCACTAGCACGAGGTTTCCAGTAGCGCCGGATGTGACATGAGGGGGCGAATGAGCACGAGCGAAAACCTGTGTGTGCTCTACTCGAGCCATTGGCGGCCCACCACTTGCACTTTGTGACGCGCAAACAAAAGCCCTGCCACGTTTCTGGCCGCCCATCCTAAGTGCCATCTTGAGGGCGACACCGTCCCGCCTGGTGCTGGCCCTTGGCCACCAGCCTCCGATTTCGGAGCTGCTACTCGCTGTCTGCGTCTTTCTCCGAGGTGGCCCAACCCCGTGTCTGACCGTGCACAGGCTCGTCGCTCCACGCCTGTGTTCCTGGATTCTTCACCCTGCCGGCTTCCATGCCGGCTTCCATGCAGGAGCCCATGCAGAAGCCCATGCACCGAACACCGCCCTGCCTTTCTTTTTCCTGCTCCCTTTTGGTTTTGTGTAACACGTTTCTTTTTCCTGCTTTTTTCCAAGGATTTTCATCTGCACAATTTTTTTCTCTTTGCCAATGAGAATGCCCTCAGCTGCAGCGATGCCGTGGGCTCTCTGGCCCCCACGGCACCGCTAACTTGGGCTCTCCCTAACTCTCCCTCGCTTATCGTCCAAGCTGTGGCGACGCTCGGTGGAAACTTGATGGTGTTATCGCATTCGCGAGCAGGCCCCGCTTTTACTTTTTTTTCGCTGGGCCGATGAGCTCGCCGGTGAAGAGCATATAAGGGAGTGTTGGGAGGACGGAGCAGTTGGGTTTCCCTCTTTCGTTAAGGTTCACTACTCCTTTCTCTCACTTGTCTCCATCCACCAAACGGTATATCTTTCGCAACCATGTCTGGTACAACGCAGAAGAAATCCGAGAACTTCGAACTTACCTCTTCGTGGACGGACGCCGAGGGCTTTGGCACCTCGCGGAGGTCGGATGTTTCTGCCGAGTCGGGCGAGATCATCTCGGCCAAGGAAAAGGGCGTTCAGCGTCAGCTCAAGCCCCGCCACGTGTCGATGATTGCGCTGGGTGGTACCATCGGTACCGGTCTGTTCATCGGTATCGCGGACCCTCTGCAGTCTGCGGGTCCTGTTGGGTCGCTGATCGCGTATTTGTTCATGGCGTCGCTGGCGTACAGTGTGACGCAGTCGCTGGGAGAGATGGCCACGTTCATCCCCGTGACCTCGTCGTTCACGGTGTTCACCCGCCGGTTCTTGTCGCCTGCGCTGGGTGCGGCCAACGGTTACCTGTACTGTTTCTCGTGGTGTATCACGTACGCGCTGGAGCTGTCTGTGGTTGGCCAAATTATCGAGTTCTGGACGGACGCGGTGCCCAACGCCGCGTGGATCATCATTTTCTGGATCCCTCTGACGCTGGCGAACTTCTTCCCCGTGTCGTACTACGGTGAGTTCCAGTTCTGGATTGCGCTGGTGAAGGTCGTGGCCATTGTCGGGTTTATCATCTACTGTTTGTGCATGGTGTGTGGCGCCGGTGTGACGGGCCCTGTCGGGTTCCGCTACTGGCGCAACCCCGGTCCTTGGGGGTTCGGTATCGTCGCCAAGGGCACAGGCGAGGCGCGCTTCCTGGGTTGGGTTTCGTCGCTAATTAACGCTGCCTTCACCTACCAGGGTACCGAGCTGGTTGGTATCACCGCGGGTGAGTCCAGCAACCCTCGTAAGACAGTCCCCAAGGCCATCAACAAGGTTTTCATGAGAATCATGCTTTTCTACATCGGCTCCCTTTTCTTCATCGGTCTCCTAGTGCCTTACAATGACGAGAAACTCACCTCGTCTGCTTCCTACGTGGCCAGCTCTCCTTTCATCATCGCCATCGAAAACTCGGGTACCAAGGTCTTGCCCCACATCTTCAACGCCGTCGTTCTCATTACCATCATCTCTGCCGCCAACTCCAACGTTTACGTTTCTTCCCGTGTCTTGCTAGGTCTCGCCAACGAGGGCTTGGCCCCAAGGTTCTTGAAGAGAATCAATCGCCATGGTATCCCAGATTTCTGCGTGGGTATCTGCGCTCTTTTCGGGTTTTTGGGCTACTTGAGTGTTTCTAACGGAGGTGCTACTGCCTTTGACTGGTTGCTGAACATCACTGCCGTCGCGGGCTTTTTCGCCTGGCTCTTCATTTCGCTCTGCCACATCCGCTTCATCCAGGCTTTGAAGCACCAAGGCATTTCTCGTGACGACTTGCCATTCAAGGCCAAGCTAATGCCATGGGGTGCTTACTACGGTGCATTTTTTATCCTCCTCATCATCGTCATCCAAGGTTTCACCGCATTCACGAACGGCTTCTCTGTCTCAGACTTCTTCACCTCCTACGTCAGTGTTATTTTGTTCATTGTGCTATGGATTGGTTTCCAATGCTACTTCCGTGGAAGAATCATTCACAAAATTGAGGATGTCGACATTGACAGTGACAGAAGAGATATTGACGCTGAAGTGTGGGTCGACGATGAGCCAACATCGGCCTGGGGGAGGTTTTGGGCCTGGATGGCCTGAGTCACTCAAGCTTTGATGCTTTTGTCTTAGGGTTACATGGATGTTTTATTGTGAATTTTTATCATTGCACCATAGTCTCACCAACAAAGCTGAATATCACAGCTTAATAGAATAATTGGTGTGGGTAATTAATGTATAGTAAATGTATATGGTGGGAACCTTCATTTTTGGATTATAGTGTGTCTGTTACTGATGGGTGTGCCATGGTCGGCATGTGCTTACGTTGGCCATAGCCACGGCCTCACCAAATACCCACATCACGTGCTTGCTTTGACTTCCAACACTTACTCGCTGACGCACACGGTAATGACTCCATGACTCACGTCAATGTTTTCATTACGACAGCACATCCTAAGTTTAGTTGACTCCGCTAATGACACATCTTTTTCACCCACCGGGTCGTGATGGTGTGGCGCTGACTTGCAAGCATCGCCAATTGGGAGTCTTTCTGCGATGGTAAACACAAACTAAACACAACTTTGACCAACGCCCCGGCCCTATGGGGTATATAAACTTGCTGCTTTTATCTGAAATTACAAGAAAGACGAGTTTTGTAGCTCAACAAGACTAATTTATCGAAGTTCCTCACAACATATACTCATAGCTTCCACCAGATGGAGTACATTCCTGACGATTTAATCGACGGAGACTTTTCTTTCACGGCCACAGCCGATGTGCCAGACTTACTACACAGCCCAAACTCCAGCTCGTTGAAATCAATTGATCAAGAATTCTCAGCAGGATATTATGCGAACGCAGCACGCGAGTACGAGGATATTACCACCAGCGTCCAGGAAGACATATTTGCTTTCGATTCTGATGAATATATCCTCAGATCGTGCACACCGTTGGGAGTGGAGTACAAGAAGCCTGTGTTAATGTCACTACCGCAAGAAGTGCCGGATGTACCTTACCAGGACCAGTATGCCAATGCTCCGCAAGATAATTACAGGCTGTGGATAGGTGGGATATAATGCGAAAAGAATACGATGAGAATCTGCAGGACAGACACGGGAACAACGGTTTATATATGGTCGGAGAATCTATAGGTACATTATAGCGTAATTGATATTGCATACGGTTGCAAGACTCGAGGAAAGAAGACGATAGAGAAAAGGGATAAGAATTAAATGACAGGTGCCAATTAGCCTTGTACTTCTAACGTTGGTTAGAGTGTGATCGTTCGTCTGGGGTAGTGTCTGGCACTGAGTTGTTTTCCCGAATACCTCCTATTGTTGTCAGTCGTAAACTGTCGAAATAACCCCAAATTATCTGATGGAAGCATACTAATGGGCCGAAAGGGTTATTTAAAATTCGAAAATGGGCTCAGAGTAGGAAAAAGTACCATAAGAAGATAATCGAACCTGGAGGAACGTCGTGAGTGAAATTTCATGTAATTGAAAAGCTTCATTACCCAACATAAAATGTGGACCAAGAGCACTAGATATTATGATTGATTGTCGACTCATATAGCTGAAGCAGAAGGGCGTCAATCGGTTCTATACCTACGCCATCACCGGGCTTACAAAACAGAACGGTTTTGCTCCAGGGACAGCTGCTAATCCTCACTTGAGTTTTTGCAACAATTTCTCATTATAATCTGAAAGTAGCATCACGACTTCAGGGTATTCACAGTCTTGGTTGGAAGGGATTGGTTTGTCGGGTATTGTAATGAACTCCGTCCACCTTACTGACAGACAATATTATCACTTTACACAATACTGTCACAAACGTCAATTTTATCAGGATCACTCTGTAGTTCGTGCTTTTTGCTGGAACAGGCCAGGCAGCGGAGGATCTTAATATCAGCTGTAAGGAATACCTGTCTGTTTCAAAAAGCGATTGCGTCGCACCCGCGCCAGAATTCCATATATTGCGGCTGGGCACTGAGAGACCTTCTCTTTATGAAAGGCTAACTTTATCACCGTCAGATTCGTTTGCACCCTATCAAAGAGCTGAAAGTGCGGGTGGTTCAGATCAAAGTTTAGCCTGGCTATTCCAATTTCTGGGGACCCGTGACGCTTATTTACAGACCTGAGATGCACACCCATGATGCTAGATATCTTGCACCACGTGCCACATAGTTATGCACCACCTTCATGTTTCCCTCGAAGCCCTCTACAGGATACTCAGACAATTCTATCCCGACACCACCTTGACGACGAGGTCTAAGAGCAACGTATGGGTTGGATATTCAAGTTCTGGGACATGGTCTTACAAACATCCAGGATACTTTCACTAAGTTTATCGTCGATCGTGTCAGACCAATCGCCCTCTTTGTGAATTCCGCCAACAATACACCCACCCTGCGCGCGTGGCAAAATATTCAAAAATTGAGCATCTCGTAAACGCTAGGCTTTGGGCAAGGGTTCAACTATGACTTGATAAGGTCACTAACTCTTCATGAATCTGTAGGATTTGGCCCTGAGCTGGAATTGTATTTTGCATTTCTTCCGGTTCTAATTCTCTCTGACAACAAGGTCAGAATTGTAGCCTAGCATCAGGACAATATCGGTGATGAGTTCCAGACATGGAATCATCTTCACTTCCCCTCCCAATAAAAGTATCTGGCATTAAGTTCAGAATTGTAGCCTAGCATCAGGACAATTTCGGTGATGAGTTCCAGACATGGAGTCAAAAAGTATCTGGGATAGAAGGTACAAACTGTACACTAATGGGGTTATGGTGCAACTCATGAAAGCAAAGCCGTGATAAACATTGGGATCAAGATTCCTGTATTGCACCTCCTGGTCACTTAGGACCTCAATATCTTCCACGAATCCCCGATCAATGTACCACGGAAACTCTTCCTCTTTTAGACAAAAGCTTCGGAGCACGTATTGCTTGATGCCACACCCAGATTTCGCCTGTGCCAGTTCTCTAAGTTTCACGTATGTTTCTTTATCTCTTCATATGAGATCTGTTTCGTTCTTTTTGGCAAAGCTGGCTCAAGAGGCACCAGCCCAAGGTGAGGAAGCCATGGGCATGATAATCTCTTGGGAGTTTTGACGATAAAATGGTTAAACCTTCAATTTCAGTCGAAACTGCCTCGAGTAAAAAGCAGAAGTCAAACCCGCTCCTAGTACAACAAATTTGGACATGAGCAACGTATGGTTTCGAGCGCCGAGTTTATCAGACCCAAAATGTGAAAGGGAACTCTAGTCAATCGCATACAATTAATAGAAGTGAGATGTTGTCCACCCACTTTATTTGTGAACCCTGCCATAGATAAGTTTTCGTGCGATGCCAACCTGGAGTTCATAAAGAACGTATCTTGATTTTAAGCGTAGGCGAGGGGACTTACCGCATTCAGAAAAACAGATGACGATGAGAATTTGAGTCGGGTGCCCTAAGACATTTTGGGATCACGATGCTGTCCACCGAAAGTCGTACCAGTGTCGAAGATATGACATTCTGCCTCTGTCTCATAGCCGTTAAAACCGGTCGAATGTGGTATTCGTATGTTGATTGTGACCATTAACCACATTACTGGCATAAAGAGCCTCTCAAAACTGTTTTTGTGGGGCTTTAATGAGGTGTTCCTTGGGAACCTTCGCGTATGCCCTTCTTCAGCCTAAAAACGGAAAGCTATTTCACAAGGCTTGCCAAATTTGTTTGTAGAGGGACAATGAAATCAACCTGTGCCATGTTCCTGGAAGATGAAACCCTATAGCCGGCCTGGGCTGTGGTGCCTCAACCTGAAGTGTACCTGACGGACGCAATCCACTAGTCAGCTAATTCCAATGCTGTTGATGATAGATATGTAATGGGTAAAAAAATGGGTCGCTACTAGAAGTTCTCGGGGGCACAGAGAAGAGAGCCGATGTACTATCTGGGCATATCTCTTCTCACAAATACGCACTATTTGATTATAGCTGTTGCGCCAGTGTATTAAAGTCGACCGAGCTTCCGCCTTGCAGCATCTCTCTTACTGGGCCTAGGGTACAGGTTGAGCAGCCACCAGCTAGTGCACAGGCCCACGACACTCAGCAGAATCCTCCGTGCCCTGTAAGGTCCCGCTGGGTACGTTCCTTGAACCACAACCGTTGAACTAGAATGTACTCCCGTACACCTCAGAACCCAGACACCAAAGATCACGTGAATTACACATCACACCCAACGAGGAGACGTTTTCTTGCATCTGCCATTTGAGTTTGCCCACGATCTACCGAGCCCACTCTGCTGCGGGCCACATATATTGCCCAACGTCCCAATCCGTGATCTCTCACCTACTAACTCAGCTGAGCCTCCCCACGCGACGCCTGTCCACGGAATCCTCTTCGCATTGGCCCCAGCCATTTATTTATTATACATGGAAAAAACCGTACGGTTATTACCCACATTAGAACAATGTCACCTGCTGAACCCTGCATGTCCAGGGTCCAGGGTCCAGGGTCCAGGGTTCAGGGCGAAGACATAGATGCACAGGCGGCCATTAACTGAGGGAAAGCAGGGACACAACAAGCAGGGACCACCTCCGGAAAACGGGAAAGAACGTGGGCCCTGCAGATATAATAATAATAGTAATAATAATAATTGAGTTCGTTGAGCGGGGCCCTGGTTTATTGGTTTGATGGTGTGCCAGTCGCACTATTGTAGTACAGCCTTATTGGATTTAGGAGTGCGTGCATGAGCCTGTAAATTAACATACAATGACACTGACACCACCGATAGTTATAAAAGGACCCTAAATCGGCTAATGGCTACTCGAGTGGGTGAGTTTGATTAAGTCAACTTTTTATTCTTAGAGCTCGCTATTATACCAAGCACACCCAGCTCCTCTGATTCCGGTCATCCTTGTACTACTCTGTACTTTCTCATCAAAAATCTCCCAGATCAATGGCGCTGCATCAGTTCGATTATATTTTCGCCATCACCATGATGTTTGCGTTCCTGGACGCCTTCAACATTGGGGCGAACGACGTGGCAAACTCGTTTGCCTCGTCAATCTCATCTCGGTCGCTCAAGTATTGGCAAGCCATGGTTCTTGCAGGATTGTGCGAATTTTTGGGCGCGGTGCTGGCCGGCGCCCGGGTGTCTAGTACGATCAAGAACAACGTGATTGATTCTTCGGTCTACTCCAACGACCCTGCGGTTCTGATGTTGACGATGGCTTGTGCTCTGGTAGGATCTTCGGTGTGGCTGACAATCGCGACTTCGATCGGATTGCCTGTGTCGACCACCCACTCGATTGTGGGTGGTACTATTGGTGCGGGCATCGCAGCCGGTGGTGCTCGGGGCGTAGTATGGGGATGGGACGGCGTGGCGCAAATCATCGCCTCGTGGTTCATCGCTCCGCTATTGGCCGGGGCCATCGCTGCGGTAGTATTTTGTATTTCCAAATTTGGGGTGCTCGAAATCAAGAGCATCGAGCGGTCCATTAAAAACGCTCTGTTGCTGGTGGGCTTTTTGGTGTTTGCTACATTTTCCATCCTGACCATGTTGATTGTATGGAAGGGTTCGCCCAACCTGCACCTGGATGACCTCTCGGGCACTGAAACCGCGGTATCGATCATCGTCACTGGTGCCACTGCGTCTGTGGTGTATTTCACATTCTTTTACCCCTTCTACAGGAGAAAGCTCTTGGAAAACGACTGGACTTTGAAATTGTACGATATCTTGCGTGGCCCTACATTCTACTTCAAGTCAACTGACTCTATCCCTCCCATGCCCGAGAACCATAATCTCACCATCGACTACTACGAAGGCAGAAGACCTAGCGATGACAGTCTATCTAAATCTGAAGACGAGGAGAGTAAGGCATCCGGCCACAAAGAATTCAGCATTGAAAGGCAACCGACGGTCAAAAGCGAGGATGAGAAGATTCCCACCAAAAAATTATGGTGGTCATTGTTCAAAGAGGGCCCCAAGAGATGGCCCCACCTTGCCTGGCTAATGATTTCCCATGGTTGGACTCAGGATGTTTTGAAAGCACAGGTTCACGATAAAGATATGCTGTCCGGAAATTTGCAAGACATGTATAAGAGATCCAAATTCTACGACAACAGAGTTGAGTACATTTACTCGGTTTTGCAGGCAATTACTGCGGCAACTATGTCTTTTGCTCACGGTGCCAATGATGTAGCCAACGCTACGGGTCCCTTGTCTGCTGTCTATGAAATATGGAGTTCCAATGCTATTGGGAGTAAGGCCGACGTTCCTGTGTGGATTTTAGCGTACTGTGGTGGTGCTCTGGTGATTGGTTGCTGGGTTTATGGTTACAATATCATCAAGAACTTGGGTAATAAAATCATTTTACAATCACCATCTCGAGGCTTTTCCATCGAGCTAGCTGCTGCGATCACTACCGTCATGGCTACCCAATTGGCCATCCCAACGTCTACAACCCAAGTTGCCGTTGGAGGTATCGTTTCCGTCGGTCTCTGCAACAGGGACTTCAGATCTGTCAACTGGAGAATGGTGGCCTGGTGTTACTTTGGATGGTTTTTGACCTTACCCATTGCCGGCTTGATTGCTGGGATCCTGAATGGCATAATCCTCAATGCTCCCCACTTCGGGGGCGTGTACGAGATGTCCTGAAGGTTATAATCTTTACAATTCACATACATAGTTTCTATTGAATCAATATAAATTGGTTATAGTAAGTATCTGTTTAGTGAAGATGTGTCAAGCACTTTCCAACCGTAACCGATTCGATCGGACAAGCCTTAATGTTTGTCCTCGATAATCTGCGGATGGTATTTTGTTCCTTTTGGATATTCGTTGACTTCTATCAAGCCTGTTTCAGCAGAGTAAATTGACCAATGGTTAATGAGATCTTTGAGAACTTCTGGCAGGACGTCGCTCAAATTCTTTGTTTCGCCCAAATCCTGCGCAAGATCATACAATTCCCATTCGCCCGTACCAAGTGGTGGCGGTACGTACAGAGCCTTGTAAAAGCCTTTCCTTATGGCACGTTGACCGAAGAGCTCCCAGCCAGTGACGGTATTGTCGTCATGTATGGTCTTTGACCGTCTTTGAAGAAAAGGGCTCCACGATGTGCCACGTACCCCATAAACTTCCCTTCCTTTAAAGTACTTGCCTGGGTGAGGCACCCCGGTTATATCAAGCACTGTTGGCAGAATATCCATTACTGTTGTAAAAGCTTCAATAGTGTCACCTCCAGCCCATTCGCGGGTCAGCTTTGGATAGTGGAATATCAAGGGGCAATTAATGCCTCCCTCTGTAGCCCACATCTTATACATGTGTCTTGGGGCAGTTGCAGCTTGTGCCCAAAGGTCCCCGTAATAAACAAAGCTGTCACCTTTCCCAATGTTATCGAGTTCATTGTTATACTTGTCACCTATCTTATCCGCGAAAGACGTGCCCCCAAATGGCAATGCTTCCAAAAGCATACCTTCTGCCCCATTGTCCGACATAAACATGATAACTGTGTTTTCAAGCTCTCCCTTAGCCTTTAATATTTCAATGACACGACCAACATTTTTATCTAGCTCATCAACCATTGCCGCATATGTTTCCATCTTGCGAGCACTGTACGTTTTCTCTTCCGCGCTCAACTCATCCCAAACTTTTTCGTCTTTTGTTTCCACTAGGTGGGGAATGGTATCTGCAGTTATGATACCCAAGTCGGCGGCCTTCTCAAGCCTTTGCTTACGCAATGCTAGTGGACCGCTGTCATAAACACCTTTGTACTTTTTTATCGTTTCTTCAGGAGCCTGCAGCGGCCAATGAGGTGCCGTGTACGTGAGTAGACCAAAGAAGGGCCTTCCTTTACGTTTCTGTTCATCTTCGAGGAAGCTCAAAAACTTGTCGGTGAAATAAGAAGAGCTGTAAAAATCATCTGGTAGTTCTTTCTCAGGGTCCAAACGCCGCCCGTTCTCTTGATATAAATAAGGCATGAATTCTTTTTCAGAGGTGTCGAACTTGTAGTGATTTCCAGCTCCTGGCAAGAGCGTAAAACTTTGCTCAAACCCTCGCTTGTCGGGCCAATAAGGCTCGTGCAGGCCGAGATGCCACTTTCCGGAGATTAAAGTGTAATACTCGGGGCTCAAAATTTCTGGTAAGGCCGCAACTTTGTAATTGAGATATCCCTCGTAGCCTGGTTTTCCCTGGAACTTTTCAGGGAAATTTCTAGCGTACTCGGCCATTTGACCAAGGCCCGCTAAATGATTATCAGTGCCAGATAAGAGCATTGATCTCGTAGGCGAACAGGCAGATGCAGTGTGAAAACTTGTAAACTTCAATCCACTTTCAGCCAATTGATCCAAATTTGGGGTCTGGATTTCTGCACCAAAGCTTCCTAAATCTGTAAAACCGAGGTCATCTGCTACAATGATTAGCACATTCGGCTTCCCGACTGTCATTCTTCTTCACAACTCACTAACGAAAAGCCGTTTTGAAGTCGCCGAGACTACATGTCTTGAGTTTCGAATTGAATGCCAGCTCCCAGAGTATTTATAATTGCTGGGCCTTGACGGTTGGTGTGGTATTTTGAGTCAACTTGTTCCTCAATGACTGTCGTCAAAACCACTGAGACTTTCGAAAAGTCAGCTGATTACACCAAGCGCGGTTACGAGATCGACATGGAATTCGACACACCTTCTTGTGACGAGTAAATGCCAACGAAGTTGATCTTTCCGTCCCCACACTAGAGAACGCTGAATCTGTGCTTAGTTGAAGTTACCAATGGAGAGCTGTATGGGAAACAAACCGCTATGATCGGTGACAAATGTCGGAGCTGCATCTATGTGAGACCTTAACATCCAATCTCCGGTTGGAACAACTAATACAGGGGCATGGGATTACGGGTGGAAAGATGATAATTCAGGTCTGAATGACCTAACTCGTCTTTGCTCATAAATATCTAGTGTGGCATCAATGCGGCCACTCTGATCCATAGTAAAAATATTGGGCGCTACCAAAGAACAATGGAAAATAGCAACCAAGCCCAATCGTACGAGTTAGCCAATTGGAAGTTTGGTTTTGGCTAAAAGTATAGAGCTAAGGATAATCTTTTTGATAGTAGTCTCCTGCCTCGCTTCATTGATGTGATTCAAGTTGGTAGATCGAGTTAGCTAAGATATGGAGTATATCATATGCTAGCGGTGTCGCTGCTACCATGGTTGACTTTATGGTGAGATTTCAAAAATACTTGGGTCTACAGAACCCTATGCGACTCTCATTTGCTTATAAAATAGAATTGTCACAGGCAAACACAAGAATGCCAATTACTGACCAAGAACTTTCTTTCAAGAAACAGAGCCTATGACCTTTACCGTTGATATCGGTAAGCTGATTGAATCATATGTGGCTTCATGATTCAATCAGCTTACCGACTACGGCCTGGACAGACTTTCTTTTTTCGCCACAAACCACCCTTTTTCAGCTTACGTGAAAGGCACTTTACACATTGTTCATGTCGACAAACAGGGCGAGTGTACCGAGTGAGACAATAACAAGAGTTATCCATAGCACGGCCCAAGAGGAGAAATCGATAGCTTAACACCGAAAGTGTTACGTTCTGTGCTCGATCCCATAATGGTGGCACAAGTAACCTGTGCTCGATTTCATAATGGTGGCACAAATAACCTCTCACAAGGTTCTACTCACTGATTGGACAAGTGGTAGTTTGGTTACCGTTTCCACGTCACTTTTATTTAACAGAAATACTTAACATTAAAAACAAAGAATGAATAATTTAGATGAGGAATTGCCAGACTTTTTCGACCCAGTTCTTTGGCTCACTTGGAATGTCGCGTCTTTCCTCTTCGTCAGCAAAATCGATTTTGGGAATAATTTCCTGGGCAACTGTGTCCAAGTCTCTGAGTCTCCAGGTCTTGTAATAAATGGAAGCACCGAGGTAGAGAACCATAACCAAACCGATGGTCACGTAGCTTGCAAAAAAGTCGCTGGTGTTCCAGTTATCTCCTACAAAAACGGCATACCCGTTGGTCAAGGATAGTATCACAAAAAACGCCAAGGTGAAGTAAGCCAAAGGTTTCATGAAACGCTTCCTAAATGGTATTCTGTCATTGAGGTTGGCATGGTCGATTACGTTTCTGAACCTTAAGTAAACAACACACACCAGCGCCCAATCCACGAAACCTGAGATTGTGGCGATGTTCGACAACCAAGTGAAGACAATACTAGAGGAATCCGAACAGTTTAGGTAGGCCAAGAAAGTGAACAAACTAGCAGCAGCGACACTGACATATGGGGTACCAAAGCGATTGGTCTTACCGAAGATCTTTGGGACAGCTCCTCTTAGGGCCATGGAGTGCAATGTTCTCGAGGAACCATACAGTAGCGAAGTACCGGCCGAGTAAGCACTAGTCAAAATACAAGCGTTAATGATATGGGGAAGAACACGGATTCCAAACTCTTGGATGCCAATCACAAAGGGCGAGGCAGCAGCGTTGGATTCACCGGAGGCGATGGCGTTCAATAGGCGATCGTTGTTGTAAGCGACGATGACACCAATTACCAAGGATCCACCAACATAGAAAAGCGCTAGACGGTACACGAATCTTTGGGCTACTCTGGGCATATTTCTTCTTGGGCTCTTGGCTTCCGCCGCACAGGACACAACAACCTCGGGCATTAACACAAAAGAGAAACCACTCTTGATAATGGCAGTCCAGACTGCCAAAAACTTCCCTGTGTTTCCCGGTGCGAGATGGGGGTTGAATGCGCCTGGGTGCTTCCAGTAGTGGAAGCCGAGGACGTGGTCTTGGTTAGGAGCACCACCGAAGAAGATGACAACACCCAAAATGATTAAGCCGGTGATACACAGGATTTTGATGGTACAAACCCAAAATTCACTTTCGCCAAAGAAATTAACAGGTAGCATTGTCAAAATAATTGTAACAACGATAAATATCGAAATGAAGATCGCCGAGTTGGCATCTGTCCAATACTGAATCAATATGGCTGTTGCAGTAATCTCTGCGGGAACAATCATTGCCATCGCATAGAAAAGGTTGAAGCCACACATGAATGCTAGTGGACGGTTGAGGTAGGTACCAACCATGGAAAACATGGAGGTTTCGCCTGATAAAGGTATTAATGTCACAATCTCGGTCAGACAGTTCATCAGACACCAGACAAAAAAGGACATGACCATGTAAGCAATAAGTACTGGTGCTGGGCCACAGGTGCTTAGTGCACCACCAGAACCTATGAACAGACCAGTACCGATGGCACCACCAAGTGCGATCAGCTGGATGTGTCTGGACTTTAGATTCCTGACCACGTGCTGTCCCGATTGGTCGAGATGGTCGACCGAGCCGCTTTCAAGGTCAAGAACCTGGTCAATCTGATCTCCAGATTTCTCACCTTCCCCACGCCTCGAATTTATAGGACCGACGTTAGCATGCGACGGTAGACTTTCCACCGCTACTTTGGAAGCAAACGGGGAAAGAGGAAGCTCCTGCATTTGCACTGAATTAACCATTATCTGCTAAGCTGCTCCTTGGTTTGAAAAAGCATCTGACGTTACAATTTTCGGAGTAATATGACTCCTAGTGATGCTCTATTTATACAAAATAACAGGTACGTTTTTTATTATGTAAGGCTGTAAGAATTGTCAGTCGTTTTACAATCGCTGACGGAGGTTGAGGCCCTACACCCTTAGAAGATTTCGGAAACACACCAAGTACTACCGTTAATCTTTGATCGTACTTATCAAAACTCCCTATCGCCCAAACGAGAAGGTCTTGGACACTGTCGTCGAGATTTTTTTGTATAAAAAAAATTGAGATAAAGACTGATAAAGACTAATTGAAGGCTTGTAGATAAGGAATCACAATTAGCAGAGGGAAAAAAAAAAATTGTCGCTTGCAAAACGATACTGCCGAGTCAAAAATGCCCAATGCTTAGACTTCACGTGTGAGCGTACCCACAACGTATCTTCGTCGCCTTTTTGGTGCTGATTCTGAATGCGGCGCCGTGATATGTTTCTCACAGCAGGAGAGAATGTCAGAGATAGGAGATAGCTTTCCGACGAGCATACACCAGCAAATGTGGTAGTTACAATCACCAAGTTTATGGATTAACAAACTGGAACTGCAATGCAACTCGGTCGTGCTTTTGACAATAGCTCCAATCAACCTCTAGTTTATTGCGGCAGAAACTGAGTGTGTGTGTCAAGTATTGAGGAATATGTACTATAAAAGTTTGCAAATTTACGGTACTTATGCATATGGTAGGTTTTGCATCCTCTGCTTATTAAGGTTTTCTTATGAACGTACGAGTATACCATTCTATGCCATGGCTAAACTTTACCCTCAACTTTTAGAATCTGCGCCGCGGTATCGTAGACAGTTTCTTCGAGACTTTTGAAATCGAAGCCGAGGATTTTCTTGGTTCTTGAATTGTCAAATTTGGCATACGGCTCAGTCTTGTTTGCTCCTTCACCGGTGACCTTGGGCAGGGTTCCTTGCGCCTGAGGAAAGCGCTCATTCAATATTTGAGCAATGTCTTGACCATTAAATTGACCAGCAGACAAGCCGAGACGCTGACCTACGGTTTCGTCCATTTGGAAAGCGAGCAGGTGGGCCCTCGATACATCTCTGACGTCAACAAAGTCATTCTTCAAGTTGCTGAGATCGGTCTCAGGACCGGAGTGCAAAAGAGAATTGATTACCTCTGCCGAGGTGTTGAGTACTCCAGTGGCATTTTGATCGAAGAGCTGGGGGCCAAAGATCATGGAAGGGTTCACTGTGGCCATCTTGTATTTAAGAACCCCCTTATTCTCCTCTAGGAAGTCCCAAGCCACTTGTTCAGCAAACTTCTTAGACCCTCTATAAGCGTCCTGTGGGTTGAGCTGGCAACTTTCCCATGTAACTGGATTCCAACTGTCTTCGTCGTACACGAAGTTCTTATCGGCACTCTTCAGAGGGTCTTTCACAGCCGCGATAGACGAAGTAATGACCACACGTTCGACAGTCTGAGCACTATACTTTTTGATTGACTCCAAAACGCTCTTTGTACCGTGAATAGCTGGAATCAACAACTCCTTCTCGTAGTCCTTCGCATTGAAATGGAAAGGAGAAGCGGTGTGAAGCACCACTTTTATCTCGTCGCTATACTTTTCAAATACGTGGTCAAATGCACTGGGAGCAGCAATGTCAGCCACAACCTCAGTGACGAAGGAGGGATTGTTGTTGAACAAGTTTTTCAAGTTATCACCTTTGGCATCAGACCTTACAGTACCGATAACCTTATAGTTTTGTTGCAACAAATCACGAACAATATACTGAGCAATGAATCCGGTACACCCGGTAACTAAAACAGACATTGTTGCTTACTCTTGGACACTTAACAGACCTTACCTGATGTGCGAGAGAGTTTTGCTTTATATACTGTCGACTTTATTAATTGTCATATCTTGGGTAGAGGCCGATAAGACGGAACAGGAAGGTCAAATATCCAGTAGCCTCTACAGTGATAAGTAAGACAATGTGCTCTGTGGAGTCAAAAGTAGACACCAGCGTCACCCGCAATGACCTTCCACTGAAGAACAACGCCAAAGAGATATGGTTATACGCTTTGTAGATGTATCGATACTGACCTGCCCTTTAGAGAAGGAGAGGTTCATGAATTAAACTTGGTGAGCAGCCAGCGGGTTTGCTCAGAAGTCACAGATTTTGCGAGTTGGTATGGCGGGTTAGTAATACCGAAATGGACACCTAAGTATAACTATGCTAAGGATTTTATGTTGATAAAACATCACCGACCCAATCGTCTGTACTCCAGTGACAGTTGCATCACAGTTCAACAAACACTAGTGAATAATGAAGGTTTTTATGACGGGAGCGTCTGGCTATGTGGGGTCTGCTGTAGCCCACGAGCTACTTACTAATGGACACACGGTCTTAGCATTGACGAGATCGAAAGAAGCTGCGGCAAAAGTTCAGGCGTTTGCTTCGAGCACCAAAATATTAGAAGGTGATCTTGAGAATTTGGAAGCCCTAAAAAAAGGAGCAGCAGAGTGCGATGGTATCATTCATTTGGGTTTCGTGCACGACTTTGACCATTATCAGGAATGCAGTGAAATCGATCGTGCGGCAGTTTTGGCCATGCTAGATGTAATTAAGGGAACCGACAAACCTTTCGTTTACACTAACAGCATGCTCCAATTGCCTCAAGGCGTGCCAATTGATGAGGAAGTACAACCAGCTACTTCAAAATATAGGGGTCAAACCGAATCTATTACTCTGAGCTATAAAGATCAAGGTGTTAGGGCAATTAGTGTTAGGCTGCCACCTTCTGTTCACGATAACGGAGATGTGAATTTCATCCCTGCTCTCATTGAAGTTGCTAAGAAAACCAACAAGTCCGCGTATATTGGGGGTGGTGAGAATGTTTGGTCCACAGTCCAGCGCCTTGATGCTGCTCGATTGTATAGGTTGGCGTTAGAAAAGGGAAAAGCTGGAAGTGCGTATCACGCAGTAGCTGAGGAAGGGGTGAAGACCAAAGACATCGCAACTGCCATTGGAGAGGCTCTATCTGTCCCTATCGAAGCAGTGGAAGCTGCACTGGCCCCTGCGCATTTTGGATTTATGGCCGCCTTTTTCACTATGGGAGGTCTAACATCCAGCGCTATAACCCGGAGAGAGCTAGGGTGGGAGCCAAGGGAAATAGCTCTTCTTGATGATATTAAAACAAATTACCTCTGAAGCGGCTCGAGGCGTTGAAATCAAGGAAATGCCTTGGCAAAGGTCCGACGTCTCTTGAATGAAAATACAACCGTGAAGTAAATCTACATCCTTATATAATCTGCCGTGACCGTGATACACTCAATATGAAAGTAATTAAGTTACCAAGTGGCCTACAGTAGACTGCATTTTTCTGCGCTTGGTAGTTCTCTTGTCGTCGCCCAAGGCCTGACTTGGACTGTTGCCAGTACTAAACCGTTGACGTGGAAATACTACGTAATAATAATCGTCCTAGAAATTGAACTGATTAGTTTTATCAAGACCTTCAGTTATTGGCGAGCAAAATAAACTGCCTCCAAAGAGCTTTTATCATCTCTCACAAGCTCACAAAGCCGGTTGACTTCGTTGATCACTTTGACATGTAATACAAGTTGTTTTCCGTTCTCAGGCTGCGTAAGTAGATGGGCCAAAGTTTTGAAGCAGGTCACTGCTTTGAAAACTGTTAAACAAGAAATCAACTGCGGGAGAGCAGAGTTTGTAAGTTTGCATATAAATGTTTAGTTTATATAAGTAATGTTTCATAGCAAATATCATAAACGGCACATCCAATCTTGTGCTGCCATAAAAGCGTCAAAAGTTGTAAGGTTTGGGTTCATAGGGCTGTTCAATGTACTTGACATCTTCATCACTTAGTTCGAAAGAAATCGCAGCAACCGCCTCATCGACCCTTGTGGTGGAGCTCATACCCACAATGGGGTAGCAGCCTTTGCTCAAAACCCAGGCATTAGAAATGGTGGCCATAGTAACACCGCGCTTGCGGGCCACCTCCTCTACACGGTTAATAATTTGGATGTCTTCTTCCTTGAGATTTCTCAGACGGCCATCGCTGTTCGACCTTTCAGTCGTTTCACCTACCGGTCTGGTCAACAGCCCCCTAGCATTGGGAGACCATGGAATTAGACCGAGTCCGTGGCGTTTGGCATATGGAATCAGCTCCCTCTCGTCCTCGCGATACAAAAGGTTATACTGAGATTGGCTGCTAATGAACTTGAACCAATGGTTCCGCTCAGCCGTGAATTGCAAGTCGGCTAGTTCAGTGGCAAGCATAGAAGAGGCACCAATGTAACGAGCATGACCCATCTCCACAACATCATTCAGGGCCTTCATGGTCTCCTCCATTGGGGTTTCAGGGTCAAATCTGTGGATTTGAAGGAGATCGATGTAGGTCCCCAACCTCTCCACTGATTTTCCCACGCCATCGATGATGTGTTTCCGTGAAAGACCTCTCTGATTGGCAAGCGTCCACTCAAGAGCTTGGTCGCCTTCAGCGATTTTTTTCATATTCAAATCAATGGACTCGTCTACAGGAAAGTAAACCTTGGACAGAATAACCACTGTTTCTCTGTTGATCTTGAAGTGTCTCAAAAATTCACCCAATAACCTTTCGCTTTGGCCATTGCTATAAACATCTGCAGTGTCAAATGTACGGAGTCCCGAATCGTAGCAGTGCTTTAAAATCTTGAAGACTTCTTCCTTGTCTTCCAAAATCCAGGGTGCCCAGGATTTTGATCCATACGACATACATCCCACGACAATAGGAGATATCTTCAACCCGGTAGCACCTAGACGAACTTGTGTTGGAATAGCCATTCTTAGACTTGGTCAAAAGTTAATAGTCTAGTGTTGAGCGGTCAATCTTTTTGTTTCGGCACCCTCCAAAGATCTCGTCTTTATATGTTCCCAATCAAGGGAGCAACCTGCCAGGACCACCGAATAACATCGTTGCTCAATTCCAAAGATAGTCGGCAAATGGCTTCGCAAGTGACCTTCCTTGCGTATCACACCAACTGGGTACGCCTATCCGTTGTATAACCACGGAACCCTCCCATGCGGCTGTCGGCCGACGGCCTCTCTCGAAGCAGCTGTCGGCCGATGAACTCTCCGGAGCACGGTAGCATATAGGAGCTGAGTGTAGGCTTCAATGGGTGAAAATCTTAGATCTCATATTACCATAAGTGGATGATTTCCAACAAGCGCTGGTTTGCTGCTCGTGTACACGTCACTCGCCCAATTTCGGTCTCTTTGTCAGCAGTGTGTTGTTCGCCTTGAACGGAGCTAACTAGCCCGTGACCATCTGCTCGAGTATTCATTTACAGTAATGCAACTGGCCATCCAAAGAAGAGGAACATGGCAAAATGAATGGAAGGCCCCTTGAGCATCAAAATGGTCTTCATCAGCGTAGAGCTTAAAAATACCCGATAAATGTAGATTCCCTCCCAAGCTACTCAAAGAGTAAGCGATTACTGCAACTTATCCAAAGGAATCGTCGCAAGCCCGATTCCACCATATACATAGCCGTACTCGAAATCTGTGATACCTGTAATTGCGCATAGAGGTGATGATTCAAGCCTTGAAATTAGCAATGCAGGCTCCGGATACTGTCGATTAGTAGCTTTTGCTGGATACCGTCGTTTATTAACAACCCGATACACATGTAATTGCACTCTCAATATTGGCAAGATATTGAACTTTCGTTGTAGGATCAAAATTCCGAAAGAAGTAGTTCCAAGTTGCCCGCAGGTTGTCGCAAGTTAGTAAATCCGTCGGTAGCCGTTGGTAGCCGTTGGTAGCCGTTGGTAGAGTTATGGCTGTGAAAAGTACCTAATAATTAATTAAAAGACGACTGAAAACCTAAATGGCTCATTGTTTAAACATCAGAGTTTCTCAAATCTCTCTTGTGCATGCGTAAACATAACTCCGCCAGAGCTAGTCCCTCCGGGTCCCTCAGCGGGTGTAAACAGTTAGAATGGGTTGGTCATTCCCGGAGTTTCTATCATTTGGAACGTCTGTAGGTATCTCCCTCAAAGCACTTCTAGTCTAGAAGATCATCACATCGATGCAAGACGTTAGTAACATAACTACATGCGAGGGAAAGTTCACAAGTTATTCAGGCCTAAGCTCGTATGTCTAGAATGCAGAGCCAAAAAGCTCAAGTGCGATAAGTTGCGTCCGACGTGTACACGCTGCAGAAAGAACTCATTATACTGCGTTTACGGCGACTCTTCCCGTCCTGACGAGGAATACAGTGCATCAGAGGAACTGAAATTAGGGTCTAACGCACAAGGAGCTGACGGACTAGACACTGATAGTGGTAAAAGGAGCATTAAAAATGGTATCGCGTCTCCTAGTCACGGGCGTCTTGCAGATCGCACTATAAACTTGTGTTCCCCGAAAAATATGCTAGTTGTTAGAGGGTCAACGACGTTTGTGGATTATCCATTCTCAGCCCATAGTATAACACAACACGATCCTTATGCCCGTGTCCTGTGTGGCTCGTTGCACGGGCTAACACTCATCGAGTTGAGCAACCATTTAAGGGGACACAGCAAGGCGGTGGATCCTCGGGTTGTGAGCCCACTCCCATACATTGAAAAGGCGATTGTGAAGCATATGGAATATGCTCGTTTAAAATCAACTCGGCTCACATTTCGGCCTTCAGGCCCGCGGTCCTTAGATGACGACAACTCTGTATCGGAACTCAACCGGCTTTTCAAGGAAATCGAAGATGCTTTGATGGACCAAAGAGATTGCGATAGTCTGTTGAAAGCATTTTACCAAGAGATTTATCCATTTCACCCCTTCATGAATGTCTCATTGTTCGAGGAGATTTTGAAGGCTATTTTTGTTGTGGATGTTCACAATCGCCTTAAGATTACCATTACCGGAAATGACAGGCGCAAAAAAGTTGAGGGATTGTGCATCTTCTTGATGGCAGTCTCCATGGCACTTAAGCGTGAGCTGTTGAATTCTAGCCAGCTCCTCGTAACAAAAGTGGCCGCTTCCAAAACCGCCAGACTGCTGTCTGAATTTGCCGTCAAGCTCATTGACCTCTTGGATATTTTCAATTACACCAATGAAGGAGGACTTACATGCGCCTTGTACTATTACGTGTCGCAATATCTGGATCCTGAGGCGGCAGATGTCTCGCCATCGCACACCCAGCTCTTACACCTAAAGAATATCGCTGGAATGGCAACCACACTGGGACTACAACATGAGCCATCAAAATATGGACGATATAGAGATTTGAAAATTGCTGCGACAAGACGAGCTCTATGGTTTGGCATTCAATCACTTATATTCCAAGTAGCTCTCGCGGAAGGGGCTTCTGACATGCTTAGCTCCGACCAGATGGAACATTTCTTGCGGGACATGACAGCCGCGGAAAATTTCCCAGAAATTACTGACTGCATGAGTGAGCAGTTGAAGGTCGAGCTGTTCGAAATTGCTACCAGCAAATACAAATTTCATTTGGAACTTAATAAAGTAATGTCTGCTTGTGCACCATTCACCGAGGACGTGCAACTAGGAAAGATTCTTAAAAATGTTGAAAAGTCCGAACATTTCATGAAATCGGCATTTCCAATACAAATACCCGAGGAATCGCCTCAGATCCAATTAAAATCAAGGTTATTGGCTTTTGAAAGAGGCGCCACCATAGATATAACTAACATTAAAAGGACTGAGATGTTTTTGGGAAATCTAGTGGGACGGCTGTGTTTTCTGAATCTTTACGATATGCTATCACTTCAGTTTGAGAAGGAGTGCGCAGATGATTGGGAAACTAATGAGATATACTATCACCAGATGGCCATAAAAGCCTTTTTTACATATCTTGACTTAACTGACCTCATCTCCCGCTACTTGTCTGGGCAGCTCGGCGGAATATGTCAGCAATACGGTTATGCCGTTAACAAGCAGGTTTCTTTTGCCATTCTCAGGATATGGATATTCCAATGCCAGTACCTTTTGAGACTTTCGTTCAAGCACGAAATAGTGTTCACACAAGCACAGTGTGATAGAGACGGTGATGACCTGAACCCGGGCGTTAAAAACTCGGATTATGAGAGCGTCCTTTTGAATTTGAGGCGACATGTTCGAAATCAGATGGTGGCTTTAATTGACTTGGCAGAGAGCACGATCAAGGACACATATATGTCATGTTTCAAGACGATACCGATGTTCAAATACCTTGCCTATGTTGTGGACAACAATAAGTTGGTTCTAGCTGCAAATGAGTTTTGGCAGCTAGTTTCTGAGGGAAATCCAATCCCACAAAGCATCCGTGAAGAAATAGCTCTAAAGTGGGGGCTTGAACCACTTAAATCCAAGTCAATCCTGTATCACTTGACGGGCCCGCATGCCCTCAGATGTTTTGATTACAACCTCATCGTTCACCTGGAAAGCCGGAGCATGAAATCTTATTTTGAACGAGATCCACAGCGAGCCAATGGCAACTCGCCACCATTCTCATCTACGGGAATGAATGAGACAGACACCTTAAATCAAATTTTGGAAAGCAGTTCAGAGGCCTTCTGGACGTTTTTGATAGATAATAGCAGTCGCTTTCCGTCGTGAGGTGGCTTCACACAAAGTTTCCGCCAAGTTGTATTTTAAGTTGGGCTTGGAAGTACGAGCTTATTGGATACGTTAGCATTTCAAGAAAGCATTCGTACGTGTCCATATTGTTTACCATCTCGTTTCTTCGTGACAGCATCGCCAAATAACCTGCACTTGGTTTTTTACGAGTTTCAGTTTAGGCTACAGTACATTCGTTGGTTTTTCTGTAGCGTTCAGATTGGAATGCAATTAAACATTTAGGGAAGAACAAATCACAGCCTCTATCCCCGGGTCATACAGCTATATTTCTTCCTCCCGTCAGCGAAGAACTTTGGTCGAAGGGAATAGTTTTTCACTTTAAACACCTCGGCCGAGAAGGTGGTCCGTCGGCCGACGGTAATATAAAGATTTGCATTATTGAGATCTGCTAATTTCAGAGAGCAAACCAGTTCGAAGTCACGCCTCATAACGTACTTGTAATTGGATTTTCCGCGGATCTACGCGGGACAATGAAGAGCAATACCGTCTCTCAATCCATTCATGAGAAATTTGTATATAACGAAGTCAATGGACGGTATGCCATCTGTCAGATTGAGTGCCTTTTCTCTACTTTCAAAACAAAGCACTTAAGTTGAAAGCATGGAGACAGAATTAAAGTTTGACGCAATTGGAGTTTTGGACTTCGACCACTGGACCGACGCCAAAAAGTTTTCCTATTCTCCACCGCTGTTGGGAGCGGAGGACATTGAATTGAAGGTTGAAGCTTGTGGTGTGTGTGGATCAGATATCCATGCTGCTAATGGCGATTGGGGTCGCGCGTACACGCCTCTAGCTGTGGGCCATGAAATTATAGGTAAAGTCACCGCCCTCGGTGACAATGTAGACAAAACAAAGTTTCATTTGGGTGATAGAGTTGGGGTAGGAGCTCAAATTAACTCGTGTGGCGATTGCGTGAGATGCTCAAGAGGTCGCCAACAAAATTGCAAGGACTCTACAGGTACATACCTGAGCGTTGACAAAAAAAATGGTTTTGAGACACAAGGTGGTTACGCCTCGCGCATAAGAGCCAATTCTGGTTTTGTCTTCAGAATTCCAGACGGACTAGATTCCAACATCGTAGCTCCTTTGATGTGTGGAGGCATTACAGGCTTCAAACCCTTGCTAACAGGCGGTGTGAAGGAGGGAAGCAAGGTTGGAGTGGTTGGAGTTGGAGGCATTGGGCACATGACGATTCTGTTTGCCAAGGCCCTGGGTGCTGAAGTGACAGCGATTTCGAGATCTGACCGTAAGAAAGAGGACGCCGAGAAGTTGGGTGCTGACCACTTTGTGGCTACTGCAGACAAAGAATCCTTGAAAAGCCACGCCGAAACGCTTGATCTGATTGTCATGACAGCTTCATCGTTCTCTGAAAGCGACATTGACCAAACCTTATCCTTGCTAGTGGCAGGTGGCCGTGCGATTTTTATCACAGCACCACCTTCGAACGAAAAACTCACGCTCACCCCCTTCAACATGCTTCTCAATGAATACCACATTGGGGGATCAGCAATCGGCTCGCCTCAGGATATCGAATACATGTTGAAGCTTGCAGCCGAGAAGCAAATTAAGCCTTGGGTACAGACGGTTGATATCAATGAGGAGAACGTGTCTGACGTGTGGAAAAAGATGGTAAAGGGCGATGTCAGATACCGTTACGTCTTAACAGGCTATGATAAATATTTCAAATAGAATTATTATAATCTACATTGCACTTCTTTAATTGATAAGATCGACGCAATTGTCCAGAATAAAGATGATTTGTATCAAAATTAACAAAATCTTCGACGTTTGAAACACAAGTATCAGCTACCTGATGCTGAAGGCATTGTGCGAAGGATCAAGAAAAGTTTGTCTGCCCAGCCAAGGGTTTTAGCTCAGACTCATGGAAGGGAAAACGAGAAATTAGGATTCGAAGTCTGACATATGACTTCAATGAAGATCTCAGTAGTGGTATTTAAGCTTGAAAAAAAACCCAAGATTCGCTTTAATTAATACAGCAACCTGCGGAAAGATATATTTGTTGTAACGACCGGGTGATGGGGATTCAGTACTGTTTGAATGTCAACGAGTTGCATAATAGTGACTAGCAGCCGCGTGTCAGTATAGTACGAAGTGATACCAAACAGTAGTAAAACAAGTATGGACAAGGTCAATAGGCAATCAATGGTACCCAGAGAGCCAGCATCTACACCGGAGTGAGCAGTTATTTAAATGTCCAGCCACCCAGCAAACCATTATTTGGATGCCATTGTTGGGTTATCCCGCCAAAACCGCGCCCAGATTATTCCCGCCAGAAGTATGTATAAAGACCGGCTATATGCCCCAGATATGGACCAAGTTTATAGCCCAAAAAATCACGAGGAGACAATCAGAAGTTTCTTTAAAAGCTTGTGCAAAGTAGTCAGAATTATATACATGATGTCTATCAACAAATTGAACCAGCAATTCAACAATTCAACTACTGTCGACACTGAGTCCTTCCAGTACAAAGGACACCAGTCAGCCAGAATAAATAGGAGGTTTGATATTGAGGAGCTTTTGTTACCGGCGAACACGAACGAGATATATTGTTTCCTTCCAGCTGGAGTTGATATCTTACATTTGCACGTGACTACCCATGACTAGTTTATATATCACTGAAGTGCTGGATCTTAACAGTACGGTTGTTTGGCCGAGCGGTCTAAGGCGCCTGATTCAAGAAGTTCTCTTCTTAACGCTGTCGTACAGCGGGATCCTCAGGTATCGTAAGATGCAAGAGTTCGAATCTCTTAGCAACCATTTTTTTTATAAGACAGCAGAAAGATTTTGTGATCCTTAGGTGATCCTTAGGTGTTCCTAAAGTAAGCTTTATGGTATATGAATGCTCTGCGTATATCAAAACATATGGGCTAAGCAGGAACTTCCACTGTCAGTGAGAGGGCCCTACTGACATAGCATGATATACGAGTGTAATCTTGTCAAATTTTGGCTGGCGCTGTTGCTGTAATTTTAGTGGAAATAACCGTAGAGGATGTTCCATTAATTCGTGTCATTTGCTGGGCATCCAAACCTCAAGGCCTTCCTTTCGATGTCCAATCCTCTTACCGTGTTCCAACATCCGATATGATTGGTCGAGCCAGCTCGAATAAATGGCTGATCATGATTAACGACATTTGAGATAGGGAAAAACTTTTCCACTATGTAAATACCTATAGTAGACAAACTTCGGTTATTCGATTGCCATCGCGAGACTTGAATTGTCAACTTGGGAATCGACTTCGGATTCTGGACTTTAGCTGTTTTTGATTGCTAATACCTTAAACTTGATCCCTGCGTTCTCTTTCGCATTATACTCTCCTCCACCGTCATGTCCGTTGCCAAATCTGCTGCTACCAAGTTGGACTGGGCCTCTATCATTTCCACCCTCAAACTTACCGGTAAGACCGCCACCCAATTGACTTCTTTCAAAAAGAGAAATGACGAGGCCCGCAGAAAGCTGTTAGAACTACAGTCTCAGCCAACCACTGTTGACTTCAGCCAGTACCGTTCGGTCTTGAAGAACAGCGAGGTTGTCGACAAGATCGAGTCCTTCTACAAGTCCTACAAGCCTGTGACTGTGGATGTCAAGAAGCAGATCTCCACCCTCGAGGCGTTCGAGTCGCAGGCCTTGGACAACGCTAAGGAAACCGAGAAGTTGGTTGCCCAAGAATTGAAGGATTTGAGTGACACCTTGAAGAACATCGAGTCCGCTAGACCTTTCGACCAGCTGACGGTTGAGGAATTGGCCAAGGCCAGACCCGACATCGACGCTAAGGTCGAAGAAATGGTCAAGAAGGGTAAATGGGAAGTTCCAGGCTACAAGGAAAAGTTTGGCGACTTGACCGTGATGTAAGAGCCTTTATTGTCATTATGTAGAAACGAACCATTATACATTCCATACTTTTAGAATAATAAAGCAGGATTTTATTCAACTCAGCGCCTAATGGTGCTATCTGAAATAAAGTTATTAGTTATATAATTATTACGTCGGTTCACCGTGCTATTTGGCAGTGTGCACACCAGGTCCTTTGAAGACATGAGCAAACTTTTGGGTGAGGTCTTTCTCGAGAGCATCGCCCATGAGCAGACTCAAGACACGGAGCTTACGGCTCAGTTATTGAAGTCACTTTCGCTATCTCAATTGGTTTCCAAGGGCCTCGCTGTGAATCACCTAGCTATACAGAACGTCAGAACAGGGCTAGCGGGGAGGATGTATGTGGAATTGGGCCCTGATCTTGCGTACAGCGAAGAGGTGATTCGAGGAGAGGTCAAAAATGGGGATTTGGTACTGATTAAATCCCCTTCCGGCATCCAAAAAGATGGCGCCAGTTGCGAGGGAGTAGTTACTAAAAGTACAGAGAAGCTCATCACAATTGCCGTTGATGAAACCAGAGAGAGTGATGCTATGAATCTTTACAATGTGTCTAGAATTCACCTGTTGAAAATGACCAACACCATTACTTACAAGCGAATGCAATCTACGATGCGCAAACTATGTGAACTTGAAGGCACCCCGAGCAACGATATTGTACGGTATCTGACAGAAAGTTCAGATTATACGCCACAATTCCAAAAGCTCAATACTGTGTTCTTCAATCATGAATTGAACGCATCGCAAAAAAAGGCCATCGATTTCTCCTTGCAAAACAAGTTGAGCATCATACATGGCCCACCTGGGACAGGTAAGACCCATACTTTGGTGGAGTTGATCAGACAGCTACATAAGCAAGGGCAGAGGGTGCTTGTATGCGGCCCATCTAACATTTCAGTGGACACAATTTTGGAACGACTGGCCAAAGTTCTCCCTGGCCAGGAGCTCTTGAGAATCGGTCATCCCGCCCGTCTATTAGAAAGAAACCTCTCCCATTCCTTGGAAGTCTTGTCGAAAAGTGGCGATGCAGGCGCTATCGTCAAAGATATTATTCAGGATATTGATCGAACTTTAGCCAAAATCAAGAAGTTTAAGTCGTACAAGGACAGGAGAGAGGGCTGGAAAGAGGTAAAAGAATTACGTAAAGAACTCAAACTGCGTGAACGCAAGGTTGTCACCGACCTAATATTATCTGCCAAAGTAATTGTCTCAACCCTTCATGGTTCTAGCGCTCGCGAACTGGTCAATTGCTACTCGCAAACGGAACATCTTTTCGACACTTTGATAATTGATGAAGTATCACAGAGTTTAGAGCCACAATGCTGGATACCATTGATGTCCCATCAAAAATCAAACATCAAGAAACTTGTACTGGCCGGAGACGACAAGCAATTGCCGCCAACGATCAAGACTGAAAACAATATCAAAATCAAAGAAACTTTAAGCCGAACACTGTTTGACCGTTTGGTAAAAAATTACGGTGATAGCTTCAGAAACCTGCTGGATACCCAGTATCGAATGAATATTGATATTATGACATTTTCGTCACAGAAAATGTATGGTGGCCAGCTAAAAGCAGCTGAATCAGTTGCTAACTCGACATTAGCAGATCTTCCGACTGCCGACAGTACCGATGAAACGGAAGTGCCCTTGATTTGGTACGACACGCAAGCCGGTGATTTCCCCGAGAAGGACGACAACAACGACAGCACAGCTTTGGTCTCCTCTAAACTCAATGAAAATGAGGCTTACTTGGTCTTATACCATATTTCCAATCTGGCATCCAGTAACGTTCCCCAGGAGGCAATAGGTGTCATTTCACCTTACAATGCCCAGGTTTCCTTTCTCAAGAAACTGATACATAATGTATATCCCTTGGTGGAAATATCAACAGTTGATGGGTTCCAGGGGCGCGAAAAAGAAGTCATTGTATTATCGCTGGTAAGAAGTAATGACAAGTTCGAGGTGGGGTTCCTTGCCGACGAAAGACGATTAAACGTAGCTATGACGAGGCCCAAAAAACAATTGTGTGTCGTGGGAAACATGGAAACTTTGCGACGCAGCAAGGTCAAATATCTAGAGGATTGGGTAACGTGGTCGGAGGAAAATAGCGAGGTTAGATATCCAGAGCTAGGCGACATTCTCTAAATCATGCAAGGGGAACGATATCAAGTCTGTATTTTGTCCTACGTAGGTTTATCGAAAACGTATAGATCAACACTTTCATCAGCTACGACGAACATGCTGTATTTTGGGTTGAATGCAATGGTCCTGGGACAGGAGTCCGGAGCGGCAACAATTGATGCACAGGGCTTGAGAGTCTTACCGCTAATGGATTCAGAGTGGTTGTAGATGGCTACCTTGCCCGAGTAATCAGTGCAGAGCGTGTAGGCGCCATCTGGGGTGAAGCATGCTGAACCTGCATCCATGAATTCTCGGAGCGGGAAGGGCCGAGTTCCCGAAAGTTCAAATAGCTGAGAGCCATCGAAGGCATCAAGGATAAGGTGCTTCCCCGCCGATGATGCAAGCAAAATATACTTGCCGTCGTTTGAAAACTCGATTTTTGACCATTGATGGAAGCTGGGATTTACTTTGATGACAAGGAAGGGTCCATTCTTCAACTGCTTGATATTATATAGGCCAATTTCATGATTTTCTGGGTTACCCAGAGCAAATACAAGTCCGCTAGGGTCATAAGCAATGCAATTGGGTACCAGGCTTGGAACGATAGCCTGGGCTTTGGAGGTACGCAGATCCCATAGTCGTACCGACTCGTCGTACGACGCCGACAAAAACGTGTCGTTGAGCGGACTCATCTCCAGATCACTCACCAGTGCTCCATGGCCTGTGAAATACCGCAGATACTGGTTAGTTTCCAGATTTAGATGGCGTATGTCGAAACTTTTCATCGTGGACGAATACACGCACTCGTTCTGCGAGTGTGTGAACTTGGCCGAATGGCACCCATATTTCTTGGAAGCAACAGTACTAATGAACCTACAGTTCATGGCGTCGTAAAGGTGCATGTTGTCGTTAGCAGACGCAGTAAGTAGATATCGACCATGATCGTCGAAATTGAGCGACGTTACAGGAGCCACGTCATTGTCACCGGGCTTGAAAGTCTTGACAGCCCTGAAGCCTGCCAGTGTATCCTTCGTAATGTCGAGGGCCATCGATGAGCTGTTGGTACGCTTACGAATGCTACCGTCGTGGTAGACATGCTTGAGTTTCCTATGCTGTGGTTATAGAAAACACCGATGTCATTATACACGAACTATTAAGAACCCGTATTTTAACCTAAAAGCGGGAATGCGGACCCGGTAAAACAACGGTTCCGAGCCTTGGTTAACCCAAAGACCCCCACCATTTCACTTCCAGCTGTTGCACTAGCCGCTGCTTTACCAGGTTTCTTCCTGCACGTCGAGACTTCCAATGACAGTTTCGAAATAAATGACACCACCACTTGAGCCAATTCTTGCGTTACTTGGGAACGCCCTCGAGTAGTTCTCCGGTTTCCATTCAGCATCCAATCCCAGCCCAACTTGTATTAGAAGGCCATTTAAACCCACTGCCGTCTGCGTTTGTTAAGCAGCGTTGCTGCTTGACGAAAATTGATATTTCTACACATGATGATGATATATATGATATATTCTCATGTCCGCTATTACTATCAGCCAGCTCATCGCTACAACCATAGAGGACATTGAAAACACTACTTTGCACCACCCATGACTACTGTATGTTGCTTGTGTTGAAGCAAAGTACGTACTTTATATCCGGTTTCCTTTTGACTAACTGTACTGCCGTGAACTGTAGATAAAGCAGATAGCTCATCTCGGATTTGATTTAGCGCTGATATCCATGGTTCTGGCAGGCCTGCGCAGGAATACAGGCTGGGTATTATCTTACGAGCAATCAGACCTCAAAAACTATATAAAAAGGTATCTGGATTGGGGGGAATCCATGTTTGGACGCCTGGTCCAGGTGGCAGAAAGAAGTAAGTACTTCCGCAAGGAAACGCCACTAGACGGATTTTTGAACGGAGTATTCAAAAGGGTAGAGGAATTGGGCAGAAGTGCACCAGGAAGACCCATGAGTCGGAGCGAGTACGTCGAACAGGAAGGACGGTGAGGAACACAGCACACAAGTGGGTATATACGAGATCAGCGTGAGCCCCATACTTTAGACAAGAAAGTCAAATATTCGCTTGTAGAGTAGCGTACTCGACGTTTGAGGATACGCATGGAGGCCACAGAAGTTGGACTGGTCGTGTTTTTCACTTCCAAGCCAAACATCTGCTATATGTTTAATATATTAACTTTAATTACATCAAATCAGGCTTATGTCAGATTCACAATTGATTCCTTGGTGAAAGCCATATATTTGCAGTGTCACGATGGACTTTTCGCTGGCTAGTTCCTTGGGTGTCGCTTTAAGCGCACTTGGCGAAACCGTACAGTCCGGCTCTCTCCGGAATCTTGCTGTCTTCCAGACGCTAGAAGAGTTGAACACTGGCCGTAACGATGGTCGTTCCTGGAGGCCAAAGCCATTCCCGAACAGTACTAGGGCCAAGCCCAAAAAAAAGATGTTTCCACCCCCTCTTGCTGCCTATTCAGTCTCGACAGAGCAGCCATTTTTTGCCACAGGTAAGGAACCTTCACCGCACTTTGACGAATTCGAGATGCAGCTGGAACTGCACGAGAGACGTCTGCATAGCATTCAGAGGCTCGGGTGGGACTCCATACGACCCATCGGCGTCGAATATACACTGGAGGAACAAGCCGAACTAATGCAACTAGAGGCCCTGGGGGCCGAACGTCAACCACAGCTGCGCAATTCCCAAAATATGCAGCAGGAGGAGAACAGAGCTTCACCGAATAGAATAATTGCTGAAACTGTACCAGAGGGGGAAGACTTGGATGTACTAGATGAACCCCCAGCTGTTGATTTGGAGGTAGATTTGGATGAAGACGTTCGAGAAGATGAGACCTCTTATGACTATGATGACGAGTTTGCGAGAATCGACGACGAGGATGAGCCACCTGGCATCATTCACCACCCCACGATGCAACGACCAGAGCATACGGTACAGCAATTCATAGAGACGTCACACCTTGGGGCAAGCCATCCCTACGACGTTGAAAATAATTACGGCGGTTACGAATACAGCGAGCCACAGCCGCGTGGGGACAGCGAGGACGACAATCGTGAGGGCCAAGGACCATCCCTACTGCCTCCAGCTTTGGTAGTAGGTGCAGGGACTTCTGATAGAAGCGGAACTAGACCCGGGGCTGATATACCTCCGTTGCGCCGTCAGCTTCAAAGTCGAAGGGCTGAGTTCGAATCAAGCGATTGTGAGTGACGGAGGAAATGCATATGCGTGTTCTTTAATACTATACAGGTTATCTAAGTAGAGAGAATTACGAAGCTTGCGGTCTGACCACTTCCGACCCAACCAGGTTTGGCAACACCCGCTTGGTATGGGCTACTTGGTCTACTTTGGCATTCTGCAGATAGATGGCAGGGACCATCCATTTACCGCAACTGCATCTAGACCCCTTCCAGTTGTAAGCACCGACTTTGGCTGAGCAGTGAAAGCAACTGAATTTTCCTTCAAGCTCTTGTTTGCCCTGCAGTTCGTCCTTCATCCAGTTCAAAGGCTCCACGAAAAAATGCGAACACATTTCCTGAGACTGCTGGATATCTATAATCCTCCTACCTCCAGCAGCTCGCTTGATGAAATGACCCTCGGTGGACTCTTTGCTCGGTGGTTCGTGTTGGATGAAAGAGGTAGACAGCGCCAAATGCGCTCTACATTTCTTGCAACGTATGACGGTGACGTTAGCAAGTTCTTCTGGGGTCATTTTTTGGAGTCTCTTCTGATCACTGTGCTTGAAAGTCTCCTCTTGGGCCAAAATGGTTTCGCCCGTGGCATCGCTTTTCACAGAGTTCGCTAGTTTCCAGACTTTGTAAGCCTGGTCTTCATCGTCGACATAACAAGAACCCATGCCTTCATAGATTTTAAGTTGTTCCACGAAGTTGTCGTTGGGCTGAGCTCCTGGGTGTTTCCGCTGGACGGCGTACAACGCTGACTTGAAATTCAACCTGTACCGGTACATGAGATAGGCCACGATAAAGGTGACAGATCTTGATACGCCTGCATGGCAGTGCACGTACACAGCACTCTTCTGAGGCTTTTTTTTAAAGTCCACGATTTGCGGGTTGTATTCGGGTTCATGCGGAAACAGACAGTGATCCAAAAATGTATTAGTCTCGTTAATGTACTGCAGAATGTCCGTTGAATCATCGTCATCGATCGGGATGTTCTTCAGCGTGTAGCTCTTTCTGACCAGGTATTCAGGAAGTACCTGGAATTTCATCACTGACAAGATGTGTGTGATGTGATATTCGACCTTTAAAGGGACATGATCGATGATCGGCTGGACCGATCCGACATAAATGCCACCGAGAACTCTATCAATCCCGTTGCTCATATCTGAGATGTGGAGATGACTTGATAGTTTCTGTATGCCTGGTCTTCGAGAGTTGAGTTAGATGCGATGAGCTTGAAAAATTTCGTGATGACAGTGTACTATTTATTATGATGAGATACTTTGAACACAGTAAAAGCAAATGGCGCTCGCTAAGAATGAGAATTATGCTAGCAGCGATCTAATCTTGTAGTTCCAAAAATTGGCTCTGATTGGGTCGTAAACTTTGGATAACGCTTGGTACGCGCACCGGGCACGGCCGTAGGTTTCTTGATGTTTGGTGTAGATATGGGCCAAAAACTCAAGAGCATGCGAAGATAAGATGGGAGCAGAGTGGTTGGGATCATCAAAAACGCCCAACGTGAAGGTGAGTGCGAAATCGGTAATTTCTGAATCGAATTCGCCGTCCAAAAATTCTTGATACAGGCCCCGCAGATAGTTCCAGGGACTGATGTTTTGTGGGGCGAGTTCTATTTGGGCCTTGGCATAGTGGATCTCGGTGGTTACAAGCGCGAGCGGCGGCTTGGCTTTGAACTGAGACTTCAATACAAACATGCGGTGGCACCACGCACTGTTGTTGTAGACGTCGCGGGTAATCAAGCCAGAGCTAAACTGCAGTTCTCTGTCGAAGTTTTGGAAAAACAGCACACACCAGCGGCGATAGGACCAGACGTGGTAGTTTTTGGTATCGTCGTCGATCATGGCCTGCAGGATGGGCAATTCCCGCACGAACTGCGGGGCCGGGTGCAGTTGCAAGAGAGCCTGGCGATAGGACCAGATCTGGTAGTTTTTCGGGTTGTTCAGCGTGAACTCGTCCAGCCAGTCCAGTTCACCGTTGAGTTTTGCGGGGTCGCCACCGAAGAGCTGCTTGACGATCTGAAAGCGGTAGTTCCACATCGTGTAAAAAGCTGGCACCAGAGATATGGCCTGAGACGTAGCGTGTAGTGCTCTTGGCGAGAGCTCTAGCCTCTTCAGAAGTGCTCTGGCAATGCCCATGACTTCGCGGTACTCGTCATCGTACAGGATTCGGCACAGTTCATCCTTTTGGTGGCTTGCGATAGGCAGAGGTTCGATATCGTCGTACTGGAAGGATCCTGGGTCGAAATTCGATTCTGTCATTCTTGCAGCGCGCCGATACCGGGTCGTTCTTGGTGGGAAGACTCTTGATGGTGAGTCAGTTCCACGCTTAGGTGGTGGAGGCCGTCGCTATTGGTGTGGTGAGACTTATCTTAGCAGAGCAGGTGAGTACTTGTACGAGTACAGGATGGTTTAGGAGCTCTTTAAGGCGGGAAATCCAACGAAAAGGCGGGCTATGAGCGCTCTGGAGGTGATCATACTAGTCAGTGCGCTTGGAAAAGAGGAGTGGGGAGAGTAGGTGTTAGGAATTAGGAGGCGAGGCACCCGCGATCTGTCGATTATTTGACCAAAAGACATTGGGACTAGAGTACTATTAGACACCGGGGGCTCGATTCGCCTCTGCGTGGGAGCAGGTAGGCACCATCGGGAGGTGGCGAGCTGCTGCTGTTCGAAGAGCGGTGCGTGGACAGCAGCTGGCATTTGAGTAGCGAGCGTCAGAATAGTACAAAGTGATATCAGAGCATCGGTGGAACACGCGAACGAGGCGAATAGCGAGGCAGCGACGGCACACCGTTGCCACCCTAAGTCCTTCTACATAGTGATTGCGCTCAGATCACTCTTCTCAGATATAGTCCCGGCCTTGTAGTCCCGGGAACCACCGAGTGACAAGTAGATGTCGTCGTGTGTTAGATCTCGTATCAAACAGTCAAGCAGCAGCTTCAACAGCCAGCACGGCAAGGCGACCATTGCCGACGCCCAACCGCATGCGATGTGGAAAACATCACTTTGTAGGTACGCTGTCGCGCCGGTCACGCTAGCCGTGGGACTCCCATTCGACTCGCAGAAGTCCCCGACACCGCAGTATTTGGGCCATCCGCAGCAGCACGCAAGATGAGCCACGGGCTCCCACAGGAATGGATAACGACAGTTTGCGTCACTCCGGCACGGGCGCTTTTCCCAGGCGATGGCGAAAAACATCACTCTGTAGGACACTGTCACCGATTTGCCGGGTCCCTAGTACAGCGTCCAAGGCACACCGTGGGCGTCACACTCTAGCCCGCCACGCCAGGGTCGCTCGTCTCCCTCTTTGTCTTCAAAATCAACCTCATTTTGCCACAATGCAGAGGCGGGCTCACCCGGGCTCACACATCGGCCACTGTGCCTGCCCAGGAACGATATCCACACTCAACCACTCCCAGGTGACCGCACTTTACCCTCTGGCTGTTCGAAGATCTCTGTTGTGATTAGCTGTGCCAGTGCCGTTTTTCGCCATGGCGCAACATCCACAGAGGACGAAGGTAAACGTTGTTATCGTGCGACGGTGATCGTTGCTTCCCTGTAGCCTCTTGTTGAGAGGGGCTGTCCACAGGCTGTTTGCCACGAGGAGCTGCCCAGACTGTTTGCCAGGCGGCGACCGTGGCAGCGCTGGCGAGCCAGGCCATGGGCCGATTTCTGGGCCAGTTAGCTTTTTATTGCTTGATAGAGCGAGGATTACCCATCTTATCGCCTTCTAGCAAACACCGCAAATCACAGCAGATATGCAAATGGCAGCCCAAAAGCGTAGTATGGCAGAGCTCGCAATACCGTTTCGCGGGTGCACCAGGCGTCCACCAACCGTTATCTACGGTCTTGGCGACGGGGCAAAACTGATAAGCAAAGAGGCAGCTATCATGGCATCTTAACAAGGGTTGGCTGGACATTGTGGGCTCTAGAATGACACCATATTCGCGCTAAGCATCAGAACGGGGAGAGGGACCCACATTCTGCCACACCGTTGGTTAGCAGCGTGGATATCTCAGAAGACAGACACCAGGCCCTCGACGCCAGTTTGGTACAAAGTGACCAGGCCACTGACGTTAGTGAATGGGACCTGACGGCAGGACGGGGAAAGCGTTGGTTTCGCTGGCAAGCGGTGGCCAGCTGGTAGGCGGTGGCCAGCAGGTGGGTATTGCACGGCCCGACGTCGGTGGGGGCGTAGTTTGTAGAAGACGTCGTTTTTCGTAGCGGAAAAAAAGAGCCCAATACAACAAGAGAAAACTGGGTCTGCGGCATCGACCGGTGTGGAAGATTCCAGGCAGCTCAGCGTACTCCAGATACTCGAAGAATGGGCAATGGGAGGCGTTGTGCTGATGATCGCCAACGCTCGGGTCCCGGCCGTACACCATGACACCCGGCCTCGCCGCTCTCCTGCAAAAAGCACACTACTGAACCTCATCTCAACCGGGGTATATAACACCCTCCTCCCAACACACACCCCACGCTCCACGACCGTAGGCCCTCACGCTAGCCCTGCATGATGGAGACAGAGCTTCTGGAGGACTTTCTGCTAGCCGGCGCTGGCACGGACGCCGCGAGCTACTCGCTCGACGACGTCGACAAGCAGCGCGACGAGGACTTGTTCAGCGCCTTTATCAACACCGACATGCTCCAGCAGCAGCACTACGACACCCCAGCCGCGTCCAACTACACGGTGCTCGCCGGACGCGGCGACGGCGACGGCGACATGGATCTGGACCAGGACCAGGACCAGGACCAGGACCAGGACCCGGACCCCGAGGCCAGGCACGCCGAGTCGTCCACCAAGAAGTCGATCAGCCCACTGGATCCGCTGCCCACGATGCTGACGGCTCCCCCAAACCCTGCTGAGCGTCTGGTAGACCACGCCCTCGAGTTTGGCCGTTCCAAACCCATCCAATCCGCCTACCTGAACGCCGCGGACTTCCTCAACCTTCCGGACCAGGCCCTACCCTACCGCCTCGAAGTCGGGGGTATGCCCGTGACCTCGCGCGTAGAGACCCAGATCAAGCTCGAACTCGCCATCTCCCCCCCGCCCCCGGAGGGCCTCGTCCACCTGCCCTCCGACTGCATCACCAAGCACAAGTGGCACCTTGCCGAAGACATCACCACCTACCAGCCCGAAGTCCAGCACCAGATGCTTTACGTCGAGGCCTTTCTCATTTGCGCATCCAACGGCAAGCCCACATACGTCTGCAGTCGCTGTGTCAAGCGCGAGCAACGCCGCGCCTCCCGCCGCAAATCGGGCCTCTGCGACAACCTGCTGTGGTGCAACAACGAGAACCGCCGCGCCGTCGTGTTCAACAGTAGACAGGTGTTTGCCATCAAGGACCATCAGTGCGACGAGGTCGCGAAACGCTTCGACCTGTCCACGCGTGTCGTGTGCTACTGTCGGCACCACAAGGAGCCCGAGGGCTTTAAGATCCTGTTTGTGCTGCGTAACGCACGCCAGGAGGTGCTCGCCAAGACTGTTACAGGCCCGATCATGATCATGGACAAAAAGAGCAGCAGCGCGAAGGACTCTGGAGCGCAGACCACGGGCTCCGCGGGCGACTCGGCATCTGCAGGCGCTTTCGACGCGACCGACGGCGAGCACAGCGAGCGTAGCGAGATCCCTCACCTCACGTCCACGAGCGACCTCGAAAATTTCAAGTCCGAACACGACTTGGTCAGCTTGGCGCTGCCAAAATCCCAACACATGCTTTCGCCCACGTCCCTGGGCGGGGAGAGCTCGGAGACGCTCGGGGGGGCTAGTGCTGCCGCGGCCGCCCCGGTGGCCAATGCCAATACCTCTCCCTATGCGCGTCGTCAAGGTGCCAAGCGCAAGCGCAGCTCCCCCGACTTTAGGTCGCATGGTTACAACAGCGTTCTCTATCCAGGCTCTAACCCCAACTTCACATTTCACGACTTCGTCAAACCACTGCCCCCTGTCCAGCTTGGTAAGTCGCTTTCCACCTCTTCCTCCAACCAATCCTTGTCGCAATTACAGCAAGCTCCGGCACCTGTGTCTAGTTCACTTGGTGTGGGCCCAAGCATCGACGCTCAGCAACGAAGTCTCCCGTATATCAATCGCGTTATCCCAGCCCAGGGCCCCGTGAAAGGCGGTATTGAAGTCACTCTTCTAGGCTCTCATTTTAAGCCTGGGATGATTGTCAAATTTGGCGAAAACAAGGCTCTCTCAACACAATGCTGGTCCGAATCTACGATGGTCACATACCTGCCACCTTCTTGTAAATCAGGTGAAGTGTTGGTTACTGTTTTTGACAAGGAGGATGAACAGCACCTGGATTTGTTGGGTCCCATGTCTAACAGTAAAGCCACTTTTACATATGTGGACGACACCGATCGACAACTGATTGAGTTGGCTTTGCAAATAGTGGGTTTGAAGATGAACGGTAAACTCGAAGATGCACGTAACATTGCCAAGCGCATTGTGGGCCACGACAGTGGTCCTTCCAACAACTCCCCAGATTCTATTGCGGCAAATGGGTCTCAAAATAACTATAGTACGGGACACGGGCAAGTGATGTTTTCAGATGAGAGCTTACTTTTGAGGGTGGTTAAGCTGTTGAATTCCAGCTCTAATTTGTCCATGTGTGACGAAGAGGGACAAACCTTGTTGCATTTGGCTTGCTTAAAGGGATATTTCCAATTAGCGTCTACGCTGGTGCGGAAGGGCGCTCGTGTGGACGCCAAGGATTCCTTTGGTTTATATCCTTTGCATTTTGCTTGCTTGAACGGGGATGCAAGGATTATCAGGTTGCTGGTACAGTGTAAAGCTGCGATTCACGTCGAGGCGATGAATGGCGCGACCCCTCGCGAACTATTCATCAACAACCACGACACCGATGACGAACGTTACGAGGACTATTTGAACGAGGTACTCGATGTATTGGATATCGACTTCAGCACGGAAGAACAGTCTACATTTATGGGCCGAAAGTTGTCCGACAGCAGTTTCCAATCGAGCGTCTTAGACGCCGGATCCCTGGCGTCACTAAACGACAATTTCCAAGTGCATATTTCCAAGATGACCGAGGATAGACTATCGGACGACGACGGTGACCTAGATGACTATGAGGAAGACGGTGATGAGGGGCTACTACAAGATGATGAGGATTATGTTATCAGCGACGATGCCAGCGAGAATAGCGGTAGTGGCAACAGTACGAAGAGTTACAATCCCAACGGTGGCAGCACCCAAGGTAACAATGACCGCTCTACTCTACCAGATCTCTCTCCCGCAGTTAGTACCGCCATTGGCAGTGGCAACGGCAATAGGCGCGCCTCACACGACGCAAATACCACGGAAAGTTCAATTTGGAACCGTATGCTCACTGCATTGAACGACGAATTGCCAAAGTACGAAGACCTCTTTCCAACGTCGGGTAAGGAAAAACACACCCATCAAGTCAATCGCGAACATACACATGCTCTGGAGTCCTCTCCGGGCCCAGACTCCCTTTCTGCCATCACCTCCAGCGCTGCGGAGGATTCTCAAACTTCGTCCGAGGACGAAGAAGACGCTCTTCAGGCCCGTCTCAACCGCTTTTTCCAGCAGAGACAGAATTTCCGCAACGACAAGATGCTTCTGTTCTTCTGGCTGCCACTAACCATCGTCCTGCTATCCTCATTCCTGTTATTTGAGTTCGGCAACGACGGCAATACCATCCACCATTGGTCTAAGCAGGTGTCAGAATACCTGAGGGTCGGGTTGGCCAACGTTATGTTAGGTAATGAACGAGTGAAGGGCGCTTTCAAGGACTCATTTCACAGTCTCCAAGTAGGGATAGTCGATGGTTCCAGCTAGCGGAAGAAAGTATCTCGTCGACTGCCAGCCACCACCCACCAACACACACACACACACACACACAAACATATATATATATATATATATATAGTTTGCTATGTAGTTCACGATTTATGCATTATTTGGAGTTCAAATCATAAAGCCAGCGGCCAGAAACCGACAGCTGCTGACTAGTTTTTAGTCGTGTGTGATCTTTATAATGTGACATTGCATAAGCTTATGTACAATATATATTGAAAAATTTCGATGCGATGAGATGAACTTCCCACTTCTCAAGTTATCTATTTTTAAAGACTAACATCCATCAAACATGTCCCAGAATCAGTTTCGGATTGTTGTGGGATCGTACGAGCACAATTTACTTTGCTTGTCCTTGAATCTGTCTCTAGAGACACCGTTGTTTACACCAATTTTCCATTTCCAAGCACACGCTCTGAGTGTCAAATGTCTAGACATATCCAAGCGATACCTGGTTTCTGGCTCGAATGATGAGCATATTCGGATCTACGACCTGCAAAAACGTAAGGAGCTCGGAAATCTAATGAGCCACCAGGGTTCCATAACAACTTTGAAATTTTCCAGAGGAACAAAACTCGCAGGGCCAGAGGTCAACGGCCCGGCTGAAACGAGCGTGGGTACCGGAAATAGCAAGTGGCTTTTGTCGTCTTCGGAGGACCACAACCTTGTTGTATGGAGGGTCAAGGACTGGGAAAATTTCGGAACTTTGAAGGGCCATCTGGGTCGCATCAATGATTTCGATATTCATCCGTCCAACAGAATAGCCATTAGCGTTAGCGAAGACCATTCCATTAGACTTTGGAATTTGATGACTATGAAGAAAGCCGGAGTATTGAAGCTAAAGAAATACAACCAGAACGGTCAAGTTGTGCGATGGTGCGGTAGCGACGGCGAGTTTTTTGCCGTTGCTCTGTCCAACAAAGTTCTGCTTTACAGAACGGCCACTGCTAAGGTGTTCCGCGAAATAGACACAGGGAGATCGGCCATAATGCACATGGAGATAGAGAAGATAGACGGCGAGGATCACGCTGTGGTCGGGTTGGGAAATGGCTCTGTGGCCATGTATTCACTTCAAAAAGTGTACACAGAAGAGGACAGCCCGGAAAGTAAAGAACTCAACGTCTCTCCAGACCTCACCTTGCAAGGTCACACTACTCGTATCAAAGATTTCAAATTTTACACTAATGAATTTGGACAATACTTAGTTACTATTAGTTCTGACGGTAAGATTGTGGTGTGGGATATGGCCACCAAAGATCAGCTAGCCATCTTTGAATGTGGTGAGAGATTGAATTGCTTAGCTCTATGCGATGAAACGATTGAAAAGTTTGAGACTATGAAGAAAAGAGATCTCGAAGAAGCTGAACTGGGGGAGCAAAGTGAGGCTGAGGAAGATCCTGAGAAGTTGAAGCAAATAATGCTGGGCTCTAAATCTACCAAGAAGAGCAAGAAGAGCAAAAAGCGGGCCAAGAACAAAAAAGTAGAGATTCAATTGGAGTAGCGAAAGAGGAAAGGCAAGATCATCAACATGCTAGTTAGCATCCTGTGTAATTTACAATCTGATTTATATTTTGCATATCGTGTATAGAATTTATGAAGGACGCGAAAACTTAAATTTCATCAACGAAAAGACCTTCCAGCAGTCCCTAAATCAAAACTTGGAATCTCTATCGAGACGCGCACAATGCTTGATATATAGAGCATTGGCCTTCGCCCATACAGGGGCCGTGGCTCGGTTAGGCAACTGTTCCAGCCATGGCAGTAGGTCGCGGGCAAAGAATTCTGACGATTCTCTTGGTAGCAGAGATGGTAAGTGATCTATGGAGACAACGGAGAGTTTGGGACCACTTGTAGTTGGCACCAGCACGGTAGGATCGCTAAAGACAGTGGCAATGTTGTACACTGGAATAGGATTGTGAACGTTGGTAGTATCAGCGGACACATCAACAATAGTCCTCAATCTTCTCTTGTCTGAGTTCAAAAGTGTGTAGTTGATGAATGGAGCGATAGGCTTGGACAAGTAGATGCAGTTGATGAAAATGTCTGCCTGAGCAATCTCCTCGAAAGGACCACCACGGGCAGTTTCCTTCATATCCCACTTGAGGATGTTTTCAGAGGGAATTCCAGCCTTTTCAAGCATATCCACAGCACCAGAACCGCATCTGCCAAGAGCGCCGATGATAAGCACAGTGGGCTTCTTGGCACCAGTTTTTAGTGCCTTCTTTAGGTCTGTGGTAACGTCTTTGATGAGTTCTTGCTCATTGGGGAAAGGAGTGATAGCTGGCAAATTTTCGAAGTCTGCATGAGTCTGTTTAAAGGCCCAGTCCTTGAGGCCCAACGCAGCGCCAGCAAAACCAGCGTAAAAACCGAAAGCAGCTACTCTCCTACCTTGGTCATTTTCCAAAAATTCTAAGTCGTACAAAGTACCTTTGCCCCTTTTGAAGCGACCCAAAACGTCCTTCCATCCACTTTGGTTCTTGTAGCAGTGGGCAAATTGTATATGCTCGTGTACCAATGGGAATGTATCTTGTTCTGGCATCTCCTTCAACCCAATAATGATACGGTTTTTAGGGGCATTAATCCACGATCCTTTTGGAACAATCTTCGCGCCAGCTTTCTTGTACTCTTCGATACTGAAGGTGGACTGGTCGCTCTCTTCAACGTAAATTTCGAAGCCCTTAGCCAAAAGCTTCTCTACAGAAGTTGGAGTTAGAGCCGCACGGGCTTCCTGATCTTTGGTCTCGGCTCTCAAGTGCAAAATAACTGGAGCCATGATGGTTCTGAGGCAGTTAGAGTTGGATTGATATCTTACGTAAAGTGGTAAATCGAGAGCGGTTGTAGGAGCCTAGTATTCGATTATTGGGCCATTTTATACCAACTGGCCTGGTCCCTGCCGGGCTTCCTCACTTTTTATTGAGTCACGTCCATGCTTATTCCATAGGAAATTTCCTTCCAAACATGGGCCAAAATTCCATCGGAAAAAAAAGGACAGGTTAATCGCTGACCAGCTTCAAATGGGACAACGACCTTGGAAGGCCCCCGCTGACACTTACATGCTTGAAAGTTCGCCTAACTCAAAGTATTCAGTGGTGAGCTATTTCTTCACCAATTCAGTGTGTCATAGCCCAAAATTCCACTGGTTCTTACGCGCATAAAAACTCCAGAAACTCATATTCATGTCAAAGTGTCCGCTAAGAGTCAAACACTATTCGTGACCGGGTAGCCTGGGTATTGTCACATTTTTATTCCCAGAACCCTGAATGTTAACAGCGCTGTTCTATCGAAGATTTTCGATTCTAACACGCCTGCAGTTCAAAACTCTCCAGCACTCAACTTACCCACTATCTTAGCAAACCTGGCGGTCATTCACCTAGGGAACTATTGATGACAGAGCACACGCATATGCTCGGGCCTTGCGACACCTCAAATTTCAGCATTGGAAGATGAACACTCTCGAAATGCTGTGGGAATCAAAAGCCGTATTCATCCGTCGCTTGTCCACAGTGTATCGTTATCGATGTAGCTGTAAGATGAAAAAGCGAATGGGGTGGAAGAAGAAGGAGAATGAGATAATGAAGATGATGAAGATGATGGATATTTGAATTAGACGCCCAGCATTTATTTAATGATTTGTCCATCTTCGTGTAACATGATACGATGTTTAAATCAACTTTGTACCAAGGTCTAATCATGACATGGGCCAATGATCACCAGATTCCAAGCAAGTTGAGGCCCGTCGAGAGCATGTCTCGCGGGAACACACCATCGCAGCACAATTCTACACTAGCCATTTCTCCTCTTGTCGGAAGCAGGTCGATACAAGTGCCTCCGAGCCAGCAGCAACCGAGGAGTGGCATCGCACAAAATACAGGTACTCGGCACTGGAGCGGGAGTCACAGAGCAGCGCAGACTCCGTATCACTCGGTCACTTATAGTCCTTTGGTGCAGAAAATCCAAAGTAATGCATCTCTGGCGACGCCGGCGCCTGCTAAGGACTACAATGGTGGATCAACAGCGGGACTGTTGGCTTCGATGACCAAGAACGGGCTGTTTGGGCCGACTGTACCTTCGATCCTGCGCAGAGTGAGTGCGGCCACGGGTTCTAAAGGCTCCAAGAATGCTTCGGGTGGACTAGAAACCGAGGAATTACTTGACGAGAACCAAGCTTCAAACACTATCGATATTGCACAACTGCCAGCTGCAGAAAAACTGCGATTGTGGCGGCACGACTCATTGATGCAGCACCAGTACCGCACGGCTGAGTATATTGGCGACAAGGTTTATGCCATGACAGGAGACCCGAATGACGCATTTTGGCTGGCCCAGGTGTACTATAATAGCGGATCTTACGTTCGGGCTGTGGAACTGCTGTCTCATAACAACCTGGATACCTCCAGCGTTATGTGCCGATATCTCATGGCGCTTTGCTTGCTGCAGCTGAAAAAGTATGAAGAGGCGCTTGATATTGTTGGAGAGACGAATCCTTTCCAAGACCCGCTTGGAAACCATGTTAAGAATCAGGATGGTGGCATAAAGCTGGAGTCATCCATGTGTTACATACGTGGCAAAATATTCGCAGCTTTAAACAACTTTGACAAAGCTAAGGAGTCGTTGAAAGAAGCACTACAGGTGGACGTCAAGAATTTTGAGGCTTTTGACGAACTAGTGTCTAAGAATCTGTTGACGCCCAATGAAGAATGGACTTTTTTGGCAACACTGGACTTTTCCGATTTAGACGACAATGAAGAGTTCATCAGGTCATTATACACCTCCAGACTATCCAAATATCTTAACTTGGACGAGGTGCGCAAGGCTCAAAATTTCCTAATTGATGAGTATAAACTTCATGATAACACCGATGTGATCCATAGTAGCGTGGACACTCTTTTTACACAGTGCAAATTCTCAGATTGTCTCAAATTATGTGAGGAAGCTCTGGAACATGATGAATTCAATTTTTCAATTCTACCAACTTACATTTCATGTTTATACGAACTCGGAGGGAAAAACAAACTTTTTTTAATCTCTCACAAGCTAGCCGAGAACTTCCCTAAGCATCCAATAACTTGGTTTGGCGTTGGTGCTTATTACATGTGTACCAACAAAATATCCGAGGCCAGAAAATATTTTTCGAAGGCGTCCATCCTCGATCCTACCTTTAGCCAGGCCTGGATAGGTTTTGCTCATACGTACGCAGTGGAGGGAGAGCATGAACAGGCGATATCGGCATACTCTACGGCCTCGAGGTTTTTTCCAGGAAGTCATTTACCTAACTTATTTTTGGGAATGCAATACTTGCTGATGGGTGCATTGCCATTGGCCGAAGAGTATTTCGTATTAGCATATGACGTTTGTCCGTATGATCCGCTATTACTCAATGAAATGGGGGTATTATATTTCAAGAAAAATGACTATGTCAAAGCCAAGAGATATCTGAAAAAGGCTTGGGAAGCCATCAAAGTTTTAGACTCGGAGTCAAAATCGTGGGTATCCATCCACACGAACTTAGCGCATTCCTATCGGAAGTTGGGAGAGAATGAACGAGCTGTCAAATGCTTCAAGCTTGTTTTGGAAACTGCGGGGAAGGATACTGACACACTTTGTGCCCTGGGTTACGTTTATCTCGTGATGAATCGAATTGGGAAGGCCGTTGACGCTTTGCATGGCTCGCTCGCTCTGTGTCCTTCCAACCAAACAGCTCACGCCTTGTTGAAGCAGGCTTTAGATGTGAACTTATCGACAGTACTGGATGAGAGCCACCCGCTTGTTGTTAGTTCCAAAATTCAAGAGCAAGGTTCTGTCATGTCCCGAAAACGAGCTGCTAATAAATTAGACGTCCACACTATGGCCAAAAAACTGAAGCAGGGGCAAATTTCGTCCGAAGACGAAGGTGTCGATGAAGATTCAATGGACTTGGAGTAAATGCATGTGATAAATTTATGGCCTCTGACGGTTCCAGCGTTGATAACGCTCTATAGATATTAAAATTTTTTTCAAATCTACGTTTGAGCAACTGATACAAGTGGTTCTTTGGTTGAGGAACCTTTTTTCTGCTTTCTCCTGGTACTGGGCGAAGATGAACGCTTGGGCTTCTCATTTGTATCTTGTTTAGAGAGTTTTTCGACCTCATTCTTGGATGTAGAAGCACCTGATATTTTCTTCCGCCCTTTCCGAGATTTGTTTTTAAGTTTGGGGTCTATAGTTCTGTTATCGTGCGTGGCTCCTCCACTGACCCTCGAATTTCGTAGGTTGTTGATCGCGGCATCCTTTTCATTAGTTTTCTTTCTTGGTGATATCATGGCGGATTTTTCTCCAGCCGGTCGACTCGCTTGAGTGGGCCAGCTATGTTTCGTTAAATCATCCTTTCCAGCTACATTGGAACTTTTCTGGTGCTGCTTGGAATGCTTCTTTCTACCCTTTGGAAGTTTAGGGTTGGGATCTGAGGATAAGTCGTTCAATGAAAAGTTGAATAGAAAACTCTCGTCTTGGGCAATTGATTCGTATATTTGAAGATCCGCGTCCTCGCTAGCTTCGATCATATTATTTGCCTTGCCCCTAGGTTTCTTTTTACTCCTTGCCGTAGGCTTATGATTTGCTTGACTCGCCATCTTCGAAGTGCCGGTCCCAAGTTGCGTCTGCCCACCATCACTCAGTATGAGATCAAAGAGTTCCTCAATCGTGCCATCAATTTGACTAGCTAGTGACTTAGCCCTCTTCTTGTTTGCTTTTGACTTCTGGCGTGGTGTCTTCTTCGTCTTCTTCATGGAGTAGTCCCCGCTGCTGCAATCTTTTTGGACTAACCACTTCGAATTTAGATACTCATTACTCTCTATAGGTATTTCAATGTCATTCTCCAGCAGAAAATCTACCAAAAGTCCGTCGTTCATCCTTGTTTTACTTGAGACTTAACTGTGAGTTACACGATACGTTGGAAGGACATTTAATTACATGCAGTATTGTACTATTTAACTTACAAGAAAGTACGTAAGAGAAATGTGGAAGGGTTAGCTGTGTTCTACCAAACACATTTGACATAAGACTTGCAGTCACTTTTGTTACATATTCTAGATATGTAGGTATCTCATCTAGCAGCTTTCACTTGTATTACGATTATATGTCATCTGCATCCCATCTACAACTCAGTTGCCTATTTTATCCTTTACGGCAGCCTTAACTTGATCGTAGACCTGCTCGACGGTATGATCGCAGCTTACTGTAACTACTTTGTCTTGCGACTCAAAGTAATTTACAACCGGCATGCTGGTCTCAATAAATGTCGCAAATCTCTTCTTGATCGATTCCACATTGTCGTCACTTCTGCCACTGGTCTTACCACGCTCCACTAGACGCTTGAGCATGACTTTTTCAGGGCAGTCGAAGAAAAGCGTAAATTTGCTGGGCACAATTTGTTCCTCGAAAGTAAGAGCTTGGTCCATTTTTCTGGGAAATCCATCCACTAAAAATCTCTTTTTCCCCAAATCGTAATTTTCACGGATGGCTTGCTTGAGAAGGGCGACGGTCACTTCCTGAGGCACAATTTTTCCTTCCTTGATGTGGTGCCTGATCATATCTCCGTATTTAGAACCCTCGCGGTTTTGCTCGGCACGTAACAGGTCACCAGCGGAGAGATGCACAAATTGGTGATCGCGTACCAAGTTAGCACACTGGGTTCCCTTTCCAGCACCAGGACCCCCAAGGACAAAGATGACAGAAACATCTTTGGGTGAAAATGCCGGACCCTGCGAAGACGTTTGTTGAGATTGGCTGGAGCTATCTTTTTCCACATACTCGACGGGGCCATTCTTTTGATATGAAATCGATGCAATGGTCGAGCCCACAGCTAAAGCCCCTAAGAGAGCTAAAATCTTGCCTCTGTGGCTGGAACTGGGGCCAGAACTGCCGTTTGAAGAATACAGGCGTTTGGAAAGCAGTGCACACGAATTAGAAGCTTTCAAACGGCTCGCATTAATGGAACAGCGGAATGTAGATCTGAGCACTGGGCTGAGCATTTCAAGGTAATTTCACTTCAAGATGCCATGTTCAAATCGTGATGTGAACCAAACCAAATTCTCATAGGTGTAAACACATTCAAGACTAAATATCACTCGATACGCAATCACCAGAAGGTATTTGACCTCTGCTATAAACAGCGATGGCCGACACATCTAAAGTCCCCCAGGTTCTATTAGCTCGTTGAAATTACTCACTTGCGCTAGACAATGCGACCAAGCCATCTTCAACCAGTAGGTTAGCATCAGCCGATTAGTTAGCTAACTCATGCGCTGAAAACTCCGAATCAATCGGTGGCTCTGTTTTAGGAAGCACTATGTTGAACGAAAAGCGTGAAATTTCATCGTTTTTACGAGTGGTATGTCACTGCTTTATAAATTTGCTTCCGAATTCGTGTTTCAAGAATACCGGGCAAGTAACGCATCATTGTACCGGAGGTATTTCCCATTTATTTCCGATACAATACCGTCTATAGCCAGATTAGCATAGATCTCGGCAGGTACCTCAGGTTCCAACAGTTCACCGTTGGTATGAAGATCCGTAAACCGTTTAAGGGCTTCTGAAGTCATATTTCCCGGCCCCAAAGTTTCGCGGATGTCCGTTTGCATCTGCGTGTTCACCACTCCCGGTGCAACAGCAACGGTGTGGACATTGGGTTCTTCGGAGGCCAGTGACATTGCAAAGTGGTTCAACGCCGCTTTAGAAGCACCATAGGCGCCCCATGCAAACTATACGAATTTTGAGTTAGTAGGTGTAACGTTTCGAAAAAAACAGCTTGGAATCTCGATCCGCCCAAATCACATACGTATGGCTTTACACTCGCACCTGAACTAACTAAGATCACGTCCCCCTGTGAAGAGTTCTTCAACTGAGGTAAAGTTCGTGTCACTAGCGACACCACGCTGAAGAAGTTTACATCAAACAGTCTCTTCCACTCCTCAGTATTCGCACAGCCCACTTCTTTAACAGGTGACAGTACTCCCGCATTAGCTATCAGTGCGTCAATACCGGTTTCCTGAGAGTCGATAAACTGTCCGATAGCTTCTACATCCGTTATATCCGCGCACAGATAATCGAACCTTGACCCAAATTGCTCCTTTAGCGTCTTTAAATCCACCAGTGTTCTTGCAATACCCAAAACCTTGACATTATCGCCTCCCTTCTCGAAGATTTTCTCAACAATCGCTTTTCCTATACCCTTAGAAGCCCCAGTGACTAGAATAGTTTTAACCATTTGTTTTCTGTAACAATTACACAAAAAGCAGTATTCCAATCAATTTCCTTACAGATATCTCTATTTCGAGCTAGTTCAGCTTTTCTGATCCACTCTGTCGTTTGTTTTAGAGTTTGTCTTCAGTGTTCCAGTTAGACATTAATTTCAATAATAATAAATATATGTCAGATACCTTCATTAACTGGCAATACAACAAAGGGCAATCGTCCAAACCTGCGAAAGACCTTCCCTGAATAGTAGCCATGGACAAGGCTAATGCAGAATGGGCCAAGGATATTCCCTGTAAGAATATCACCATTTATGGATTCTGCAAATACGAAAATGAAGGATGCGTTTTTAACCATGGTAATGAGCATGATAATAGTAAATACGCCGAAAACCCCAAACCACAACCACAGCAACAGCAACAGCAACAGCAACAGCTGCTGCAGCAACAACAACAGCTGCATCAATTACAGCTTAATGCCGGTGGTTCTATGAACATGAAATTTAACGCCAAAACTGCGTCGTCGTTCACTCCTTCCAAAGTGTTGAACTCGAAGAATAGCACTTCCACTGCGATAAAAGCGGAAAAGGTAGCCAAGGCACTGCAATCGGCAGCAGAGCAACCGACAGTTTCTTCGCCGCAGGCTACAAAAACAGCTTCTTTCGCTCCTGCTTTCAATCCATACGCAGCGAATTTCACGCCCATAGGGTCAGCCGGAGCATCAACTCCCCCGCCATCAGCTCCAGCGCTACAGGGCTTCAATCCGTACTCGGCATCTGCTGGGGGGATGGCCACCCCGGGCGAAGAGATCAATCCAATTCAAGCTCCAGGGGGGTTTGCCCAAAGCGCCCCTGCCCATTTCGGGCATGACACCCCCGGGAGAAAAACCAATTTCCCGTCAATTTATCCACCGACCCACTCTATTCTACAGTACCATTTGTACGCCCCAGACCCGCCACTGCATTTGAAAGTGCCTTTGAAGCCTAACGAACGCACAGCCGAAACTTTGTTCATCCCTAATGACCTCCGCGAGAGTCTTGTAAAGAAGAACCATGCTGCCTTGCAGGTTTTTCCGTCAGGTGGTAATCTGCCTGAAATTGTTGGAGATTACTTTGGTTTGGTTCCCTTGGAATTTCACAATAGAACCATGAATTCCAACAGGTATCAAGGCCACCAGAATTCTCTTTACAAAGTATTTTCGAACTTTGACGGGAAAATCTATATTATGCGGAGAATTCACGATGTCAAGATTAAGGAGAGTGTTCAAATTTTCAAACCGTACCAAGCGTGGAAGAGGTTGGTGAATGCAAATGCCACAGAGGTTCGCGATGCTTTTTTGACGCGAGCGTTTGGCGACGCCTCCTTGTGCGTTGTACATGATTATTTCCCCCAGTCCTGTTCCCTATACGAACATCACTTTGTCAGCTTCAGCCCAGTCCCCATTACCCAGGACTTGTTGTGGTCATATTTGGTGCAGTTGTGTAGCGCAATACAAGCTGCACATTCTTTGAACTTGGCATTCAACAACATTTGCCTAGAAAAAGTGATAGTAACCGGTAGTCCTGGTCGAATCAAGATTGGTGACACCTGTGTGCATGATGTGTTACATTTTCAACATGACAACGATATCGTTCAGCAGCAAGAGCAGGATTATATAGACCTTGGGAAGCTGTTAATGGAGTTGAGTGCGAAAATTCTAGGATCTCAAGAGTCCACCACCGTGGATTCTTGCGCAGTTGATGAAGAATTCAAGAAAGTGCTACACTACTTATTAGACACCACGAAGCCAAAGTCCTTTAAGGAGTTACTCGTTTTGTTTGCTCACAAGATACTTCCTGTGACTAGCGCACTACAAACATATGCCGAGTATACGGAGTCTATTTTGTCCCGAGAACTGGAAAACGCGCGTCTTTTCCGTCTCATGTGCAAATTGAATTTCATCTTCGGCCGGATAGAATCTCGAATAGATATCAATTGGTCAGATTCGGGAGCTAAATTTCCCATTATTTTATTCTACGATTATGTTTTCCACCAAACTGACGAATCAGGCAAGCCTGTGATGGATCTCACGCATGTTTTGAGATGCCTTAACAAGCTTGACGCCGGGGTGGGAGAGAAGTTAATGCTGGTGACCCCTGATGAGATGAATTGCATAATCATTAGTTTCAAAGAGCTTAAAGACTTGATAGACACCACTTTTCGCTCTATGTCTCAATGATTCTTCCTGCGAACCCCTGGGCTGCGGAGAACGACTTTATTTGTGAGACTCGTTCTATAGGGTTTGAGGCGGCCGCATGCCAGGGGCGTATGGATAAAAGGTCCCATTTTCTACATCTGCTTAGATCTCCCGCACTGTATCCTGCTACTTCCGCTTTCACAGCTGGTCCTTTACATTTTCAACATCTATCTAGCAGCTAGAATCTCAAGTTTCTGTTGTGGTCCATTTATTGGGTAGAAAACTAGTTTTAACGGCGATTGTAATTTTAGCGACGTAATTTAACAAACCATATAGCTTTACAATGTAGAATGTATCATTGCTTTCAAAACTGTCCTTTGCGCTTAGTTTCTTATCGGCGGCTCTTTTTACACTGTGAAAGATGTCTGTTTATAGTTAATTTCGTAACCTGCCTTTGAAAGGACCACCAGACATTATTCTGCAAGATTTGAAGCTGGTCCACATGTTTCTGCTGGGAATAATGTGAGTTACTAGGGAGCCGATGGTGTTGTGCGCCTAATCGCATAATCTGCCACATGAAATATGTGACACAGTGGTACAGAATGATGGACCATAACAGAGGCCATACAAATCGAGTTCAGGCTAAGACAAACCGAAGAGAACAACTGTTGTCCAATGGGATTGACGATTGATTAGTTATCGGAAGCGTATGGCATTAAAGTTGTGGTCCATGGGCAATAGTATGATCTGGAACGGGTGATTAATAAGTGTGTTGACCAAAGTCACTGAGTGAGAATTGTATAAATATCAGGCTTTTGTTCAGGTAAGTGAGCCCACTGTAATGCGTAAAATAATCATGGAGAGATAAATAGAACTCCCTAGACCCAAGTGACTCATCTTATAATGACTATGTCCGACTTACAGGATAAGTTTAGTAAGCTTTCTACTAATGAATCAGACTCGCCTCAATTTTTCTAATCCAGAGGATCTTTGAAGTATATTTTTACTCTCCGATTGTCCTGCCTGTTGTTGCATTCCTGATTTTCAGTCTATTTTCCCAAGTGCTTTATCGTTGAATTGTATCAACTAGGTAACATCACTCATGGTGCTGCTCACTGGGTAGACATTCCTATAGTTCCTTACTTAGTGCAGCATTTGCTGCTAGCTATCAAGAAGGATGAACATCTCACTTAGCATATTTCTTTTTGCTGTAAGCCTGCCATTTTGCTAACTCATTATACTCAGGTCTCCTCCTATACAAGGACTATGGGGTAACAAAGCCGCTTTGAATATTCTCGGGCAGCTGAGTGAACTTTGGGGGGGTTTCTGCGCCTCTATATAAACCGGATGCCACAATTCTGTTCACCAGTCGCTTAGTGCTCAAGATCACGGCACAAAAGATCAAGCACCAGGTTTATAAACAAACAAAGGCCCTCGCTCATCCTCATTCAAGTAGCATGTCATATAGCACCTATGTTTCACAAGAAGAAAGGCAGGTGATATTGGGCTGACGTCCTCGGGTGGCCTGAGTTTCTCCGAGAAGACCCCGATCGGAATAATTATTTCTCCTGCATGGCCCTGTAATTACCTAATATTCATGACCTCTGTGCGCCTTTCTGGGGAAAAAAAGAAATAGCCGGAAAAAACATTCCAGAGCGTGCCTAATATTTTTTCCGGAGACGCAGTTAACTTGGGACTCCTACGGGTGAAACTTGGCTTCTGTAATTCAGACAGTCAAATAGTTTCGAGAGATAGGACTGGGTTTCGCTGCCTCAAATTTTTATAAGAAGCATGGTGTTTTGCATATCTTGGTCGTTATCGTCCCGAACTTTGTGCTACATCCAACAACAGCTTTTGAACCATATACTTGAAGCATAAGTGCTGAACAAATAATAAACTACAATGACTACTACTGCTACGCCTATAAATGGTAGGTCTATCAGTAACATTAATCTGGACAGCTCTGGTACCCCCATGGTCTTAGATTCGCAGTCCATGACCCCATCCAATAAAATTAATGACGACTATGCTGAGACTAAGGCTCGGCCTGAGGTGCGCCAGGAAGTTCCCAAAAAGCCACTGTCGGAGTACTTTCTTGTGATGTCTCTGTGTCTCATGGTTGCGTTTGGTGGTTTTGTTTTCGGCTGGGATACCGGTACGATCTCGGGTTTTGTCAACATGTCCGACTTTAAACGTCGTTTTGGTCAACTGAACACAACTACAAACGAGTACTATCTATCAGATGTCAGAACAGGTCTAATCGTAGCTATCTTCAATATCGGCTGCGCTGTGGGCGGTTTAACTTTAGGTCGTCTCGGTGATATCAAGGGTCGCCGTCTGGGTCTCATGAGCGTAGTTGGGGTCTACGTCGTCGGTATTATTATACAAATCACATCGGTAGGCAAGTGGTACCAATACTTTATCGGTAGAATTGTTTCCGGGCTGGGAGTTGGTGGAATCGCCGTTTTGTCTCCAACTTTGATTTCCGAAACTGCCCCAAAACACTTGAGAGGCACTTGCGTCTCCTTTTATCAGTTGATGATTACCTTAGGTATCTTCTTGGGCTATTGTACCAACTATGGAACAAAAAGTTACTCTAATTCCACTCAGTGGAGAGTCCCGCTGGGACTGTGCTTCATGTGGGCCATATTCATGGTTGCTGGTATGTTGTTCGTTCCCGAGTCTCCACGATATTTGATAGAAGTAGGCGACCTCGAGCAAGCAAAGCGCTCTATTGCTAGATCAAACAAGCTTTCTGTCGAGGATCCTGGTGTTATCTCAGAGGTCAATGTTATCCACGCAAGCGTCGAGGCCGAGAAACTTGCCGGTACAGCTCGCTGGAGTGAACTATTTTCTCCTTCTGGCAAAATTCTACAGCGTGTCATTATGGGTGCGGTTATTCAATCTTTGCAACAATTGACAGGTAACAACTACTTCTTTTATTACGGAACTACCATATTTCAAGCCGTTGGTTTGGATGATTCTTTCCAAACATCAATTATTCTCGGTGTTGTCAACTTTGCATCGACTTTCGTTGGTCTTTACACGGTTGAAAAGTACGGCCGTCGTAGATGTTTACTGTGGGGTTCTGCCGCCATGGCTGTATGCTTCGTGGTCTTTGCCTCAGTCGGTGTCACAAGGTTACACCCCAATGGCCAGGATGCTCCATCCTCCACGTCGGCTGGCAATGCCATGATCTGCTTTACCTGCTTTTTCATTTTCTTCTTCGCTACAACCTGGGCTCCAATTGCATACGTGATTGTGGCAGAAACGTATCCATTGCGTGTGAGAAACCGTGCCATGGCCATTGCTGTCGGCTCAAATTGGATCTGGGGTTTTATCATCGGTTTCTGCACGCCATTCATCACCTCTGCTATCAACTTTTACTACGGCTACGTCTTTATGGGATGTTTGGTGTTCTCATTCGTCTACGTTTTCTTCTTTGTATGTGAGACCAAGGGTTTGACCTTGGAGGAGGTAAACGAAATGTATTTGGAAGGTGTCCTGCCTTGGAAGTCTGGCAATTGGGTTCCGGTTGCCAACAGAGACGAGTTTCATGGACTAAAAGAATTCGATTCTGATGTTTAAGACAATCAGAAATGAGAACATTTGTATTGTAGGTAATATCATTATAAAGGCGAACCCTGTAACGATAAACCGTTTGGGGCTTTTCTATAAAAGGTCTAAATAACATACTAGGAAAGATTAGATTTAATAACATAAGCTTTAAAGAGAGTTTGGTAAGGTGTCATTTTTCCTCTCGGGATATTGAATGTCACAAAAGTCCATTTAAACATAAAATATGTTTAAAAGTCCAAATTGCGGGGAAGAAGCAGATCAAGTAGAGTACTTATGGTCTTTTTCCAAGCTCTCGGTGAAATAGGATATCATAAAACAAAAGGCATTGACAATACCCAATCTTCGTATTAGTAACCCTGTACAGTAAAGAAAGGTGTGTACTGCGCAAATGATCTGGCGCACTTGAGTATAACTGTGAGAACTCGAAGAAGACTTTTCTGAGCCTGCTAACCCTAAGCCTGGGCTGTGTGAAACATATCAAGCCCACTCTCGATGTCATTTTTTTTATACACAACAAAAAGGGATGAAAAGTTAATACTGACCAGGAGCAGGAAGAGGAGAGACGAGAGAGAGGAGAGTCAAACAAATGCATACTTTTGACATGCCTTACAGCTAATGTTTTTTTACCAAGTGTTAAACCATCAGAGATTGTGAGGGGGAAAATGGTCGAGCAAAAATGATAAATACAGAACAGGCTTGTAACTTTACTTACTACCATCCCTGAGACAGGAAAGAAATGAAGTGGTACCTCTACTGGTAATCACAAACTTCAATATAACCAGGAACCAAAAAATGCCCCTTCAACTTCTCCGCATGGCTTTCGGCGTGTACCATATTTGAAAGTCATTAGTCATTTTTTCCCACTGTGACAATGGGTCAACCGGTTCATAAACTCCAACCTATATTTAAAGCTTCAGAGTCTCTTCAACAGTGACGACTTGTTAAATACAGACCTTTCATTCCCTTATTTATTTCAACTACACATCACTTGAGGTACACAGGTGCAACCATGAGGCTTCTTTCAAAATGTAAAGTCACCACTAAGAAGCACATGGAGTCCATCATTCCATCATTCTCTTCTGCTCTTCACATTGCTCAAGCTGCATTGCAACATTAATTAGAACTCTCGGTGCGGGTGAGAGGTTGAGAGGTTAAGAGGTTAATTCTCCCTCCACGTGTGAGCGGCGTGAAGTTTCTGGGTACACTGTAGATTGTCTGGTCCATTATCCTCAATTAAATACAATATAAACGCTAGAGGACATGGGCGGGCCACCTTTCATTTTGGACCTGTATGGAAATCCCGATACAGCTTTTGAAACTAGGAGTAATTTGTTGAAAAATGCGTCTTCATGCCATCGGACCACTAGGTGCTGGTGTTGCAGCAGCAGCACCAACCACTAAACAGCACAAATTGAGTGTCACCGATGTATCAGTGATAGGCACGCAAGAAAACCTTTTTCCTTATCTTGGAGGCTCTGCACCATATTTCTCTTATCCTATCACGTACGGAGTTCAAAGTGAAATTCCTGAACAGTGCACGTTGCAACAAATTCAGTTGTTAGCCAGACACGGTGAAAGGTATCCAACGAAGAATATAGGGTCTAAAATTTTGGATACGTACCACAAATTATGCAACTTCTCATCAGACTTCGAGGGGTCGCTCTCATTCTTGAACAGGAACTATGAGTTCTTTTTGCCCGAAGCCAAGAATTTTGAGGAGTTGACCACATGGGATAACACCTTGGATCCCATTAACCCCTACACAGGTGAATGGGGTGCGCAAAAGCATGCGCGAGAGTTTTTGAATCAATACAGGGAGCTACTCGAAAACAAGACATCTTTCCCTATATTCACATCAAATTCAAAAAGAGTATACGATACTGCAAAAATATTTGCAGAGGCGCTCGGAGATAAATTCAATGTCAGTTTGCAGATCATCGATGAGGATCCAGTTTCAGGCGCGAACACGCTGACTCCAAATAAATCGTGCACAGTTTATAACGTAACAGAGAACATCGATGTGCATTCCAAGTTTCCTGACCAGTATCTGTCCAATATTGCCAGAAGACTAAATGTCCCTAATAATGGACTGGACTTGACACGGGCCGATGCTGAAAACCTGTTTTTCTGGTGTGCTTACGAGATAAACGTAAAGGGTTACAGCAACATGTGCAACGTTTTCACGCCTGAGGAGCTGGCGTATTTTTCTTACAGCGACGACATGATCAGTTATTACCACCACGGCCCTGGAAACCGGCTGGGTCCTGTGGTGGGATCCGTCAGTTTCAACGCCTCATTGGAGTTGCTAAGGCAACACGAGAGTTTAGACGTTAAGGCATGGTTGAGCTTCACTCACGACTCGAATATCATAAACTACTTATCCTCCATAGGCATCCTTAATCCTACTCATGCGCTTCCCGCAGACTACATCCAGTTCACGAACCACGTTTACCACAAATCTTGGATGGCTCCACAGGGTGCTCGAATATACACACAACTGTACCACTGCAGTGATAACTTCTACGTGAGGTACGTAATCAACGATGCTGTTATTCCCATTGAAAGCTGTTCTAATGGGCCTGGGTTATCGTGCGAGCTCGAAGATTTCATTGAGTTCGCCCAAGCCAGGATGAACGGTTCTGACTATATTACTGCCTGCGATATCGCATCTTCCAGTAATCACAAATATCTAACCTTCTTCTGGGACTACGAGAGCAAGCATTACAATGCCAGTTTAATACATAAATGACGGGGACATCTTTTTTGGCACAGTCTTTGACCATTCAGCTACCTACCCATTACCCACTGAACACTGTCTTAACTACCCACTTGATGATACCTACTTAATATTCTGCTTGGATATCCACTTACCTACTTCTAAAAAATTTTCAGGTCACTTATCTACTCACTTATCGACCTACATATCTAGTCAAGTATCTAGTCGCCAACTCACCTTGCAGGTTATTCGGGTAAATCCCTCTGAAGAAACTTCGGCGCTAACCCAATTAACACCATCTACTGGACGACATAACAATTACCTCTACAGTACAATGACCATATAGAAGTTGGTCACTGTAAGCTGATAGATCTGTCTGAAACTCGTTATTCGAGTACTGGTGTTACCACAGATACACTAACAATAACGACCACTGCCTTCTTCCCCCACGGGCACCTATGACGGATAATTCAGCGGAATGGTGGACTCAATGGAGCCCTGATAACGTTACGATCAGCGACGATACGGTGCCGGACTCGTGGAAAGTGTGTACGATCCAGGGCGTGTTCTTTGCGTCAAATGAATATAATGGCTCGTTGGGAGCCCGAATATCCTCTATCTTCGTGATTTTTGGTGTCGCGACATTTTGCACGCTGTTTCCAGTGCTCGCTGCGCGCGTGAAATGGCTTCGGATTCCAAGGGTAGTTTACCTTTTTGCACGCTATTTTGGTACGGGTGTTATCGTCGCGACGGCGTTTATACACTTGCTGGATCCAGCCTATAGCGAGATTGGCGGGAATGCATGTGTGGGCCAAGTGGGCCACTGGGCAGACTATTCGTGGTGCCCTGCGATTGTGCTGCTTACGGTATTTGTGATTTTTCTGGTAGACCTCTTCAGCGACGTGTACGTAACGCGTACGTTCGGCATTCGTCACAACCACGGCGATGAGATTGAGAAAGCGATCGTGAAGAATTCACCTTCGGTAGGAGAAAATGACGACCCAGAGAGCTTGGTACGGCAAAGCACTGCTTCGGAGGTGCTAGCGGGCGATAGAGCGCTCGCCACGACAGCGTTCGACAGCTCCGAGAAACGAAAATCCTTTGAGATGTATTCTGAAACGAGTTCAGAAATTGCTACGCAGTCTTTCGAGAGCCAAATAGCAGCTTTCATGATACTGGAATTCGGTGTTGTATTTCACTCAGTAATGATTGGACTGAATCTGGGCACCACGGGCGAAGACTTTTCATCGCTGTATGTGGTGCTTGTCTTCCATCAATCATTCGAGGGTCTAGGTATTGGCGCTCGGCTTTCGTCCATACGTTTCCCAAGAGGTAAAGAGTGGTGGCCATATGGATTTTGCATCGCCTACGGACTCTCCACACCGATCTGCGTGGCGATTGGGCTCGGGGTAAGAAATTCTTACACAGGAAACTCGTTCACCGTCAATATAGTGTCTGGTGTGTTGGACGCGATATCAGCAGGCATATTGATATACACAGGTTTGGTTGAGCTCTTGGCGCGTGATTTCATTTTCGACGAGAACAGAACGAATGACATACCCAGGCTGCTCTTCATGGTTAGCTGCACTTTACTAGGTGCCGGTCTCATGGCTTTATTGGGAAAATGGGCTTGAGCGCTAGAGCTAGCACTCTGGCTGCTTAACGAATCGAAAAAACCCCCTGCGGGGTGATGCTTTCGCGAAGGGCATTTACAAAAGACACTATCACAAAGCGTGATGTAGTACTGGTCAAAATTGATAAATAGTCATTGAATGTTCGATCACGTAGATGATCGGTTATGAATTTCAAGCTTACAAATTTAGGTATGGGGAGGACTGCCATTGGTTCCGAGGGAGTGAAATGAGGACCTTGTAGGATTCCCATCCCAAGTAGACTCGATGCCCGGAGTTTAGGGTTATTTTACAAAATAAGCTTCCGATGTGCTCTTGAGATTGTTCAAAAATCAATAACTTGGTTAGCGAAATGAAATCGGAAAAAAAAAAGCCCATCATGTCTGGGTCAAAAGTATTCTTTCTTGTTTTGAAGTCTACTAACCGTTTCGCATGAAGCTCGTCGTAAGTTGCCGACAAGATATTAGAATTTGAGAAATACTTTATATCCTGACTAGACTTTGGGTTCCTAGCATTGACATGCACAATATGAAAGTGCTTCAGAGTTCAGCCAATGTCTTATTATCTAACCTCAGAAGCGCTCCCCCCCGTAAGAGTTTTGTGTCTTGTTTACACAGATGACATACACAGACCTCTGAGAGATCCACTGAACTCCTTATTATTCCAGTTTCCCCTAGTGTGTGAGAATGTTGAAAAAGCCTCGCTATAGAATGTTGTCAAACCAGTAGAGTATTCAGATGAATCAGGATTTTGTGAACTCCTGTGAAAGACTAGCCAAGCGTGGAGCTGTCGGGATACCTCCATCTTGCGAGTTTCTTGCTCAAGCAGAGAAGCGACTTGCCGCCAAAATACCAACTCCTATAGCTACAAGCAGCCTGTTGCAAATTCCATTTCTCTTGACAACGCGGCCCGAGAGTGAACACGTTGGCGTAATTACCTTTGATAGCTGTACTCTTGGAGATGTTCATTTCGAAGGCCTTTGTATATTTTCCAGTATGCGCTCAAAACTCTCAGTGAAGGGATGTCCTGCTGATGATATATTGAGGGGAATGATTCAACGTGGTGAGCCCTATGTCTTCGAGGAAATTGAAGAAGAGCTCATCCAATGTTCAAAACAATTGGTGCTGGATGACCCGCAGGTCTACAAATGTCACCTTTTTCTCGAGCTATTATACGTGAAATCGGGCTTCCTGTTTACGACGTCATCACCATGATAGATTGGTTTTATTCAGGGCTGGTACGTAAAACGACGGTGCCGGACGAATACAGGAAAGCAGGCTTACGGCCAAGACGGGGGAGTGAAAAAGAATTGCAAAAAGAATGATACTGGGGCCCTTCGTGTCTGGACACGATGTTTGTAGTAGCTAGGACTCGTGGCTTTGGCTCAAAAGAAAGAGGTTGTCTGTTCACGACCAAACTAAGCGGATACCAGGGTTTGATTTGTTATGTTGTGATCACATTAACCGTGAAAAGACTTTCCGCTTCATCGATGAGTGTTGCCGCTCAAAAGAACCACAAGCTTCATCACAGTTCTATCATGATGGGTCGGTGCTGCTCAAGCGCCTTCTATCTGTTGTTCACATTCCTCGCTAGTATCATACTATATGGATAATACTTTCGCCATTGAGACATTATGTCATTCGAGTCTTTGCCCAACTTTGGCTACGGTAAATAAACTGATATAAATTCGACAAGAAGTGTTCCTTTTAGCAGGCCGGAACCACTTAGGAGATTCAGTATAATTGCCAGAAGATGGCAAGACTTTCAGGCTACTATTATCACAGGTCACAGAAGCAGAGTTAGGCCCCAATAATGGGGGCCCAGAGAAGCAGGAACACCTATTCAATCTACTTGACTTATGACCTGATGCGGGATTATAGCCAATGTCTCAATTTAATCCCTGAGTCTGCTCGAGACAGTTTCGAGTCTTGGTGTCCTATATGTTGCGTGAAATCACGAAACTGACATACTCAAATTAGATAATGCCATTAAGAATACTACCATCACCTCCAACTCGAAACACTTTCTTGATTCTAAGCGCTAGCCCATCCAACCATTTTAAAAGGAATCGGAAGTTGTACAGTTCTCTTCGCCGACTTGTATTGATAGCTAAAATCCCTTTAGAGAAAGTAGTTAATTGTTTGTCGGTGATAGAGGGCTTGATTTCTCCGACAAGAAAAGAGGATTCGGAGTCGATTGACTGGCATATAAAGGCAAACTAAATAAACGCGTTGGGACTTCTAAGTGATGTTCTAATGCTACAAACCATTCGTTATTCGAAGCTCAGAACCTAGCCAGATGCCTAAGATTAGAATCGCAATTGATAGAGGCGGGACCTTCACAGATTGTATCGGGAATCCTGGAACTGGTAACCCAGAAGACGATGTGGTAATTAAGCTGCTATCTGTCGACTCAAAGAACTATAAGGATGCCCCGTTGGAAGGAATCAGAAGGCTGCTTGAGATTTTTCAAAGTAAGAGCATCCCCAGGGGAGTTCCCCTAGATCTCACCGAAGTCGAGAGTCTTAGAATGGGCACTACACTTGCTACTAATTGCGCTCTCGAGAGAAACGGAGAACGCTGTGTGTTTGTCACAACCAAAGGGTTCAAAGACTGCCTTTTGATTGGCGATCAAACCAGGCCCAAAATTTTTGACTTAGCTATCAATCGTCCGGATCCACTTTATGATCATGTCATAGAGGTTGACGAAAGAGTGACGCTTGAGGATTTCGCAGAAGATCCACGTAATATCATCTCTAAAGCTAACGCCGAGGAAGGCGTCTGCGTAGGCAAAAGCGGCGAAATAGTTCGAGTTTTGAAGAAACCAGATCTATCCGCGCTAAAAGAATCATTACAAGAGGCGTACAATCAAGGGATTCGCTCTCTTGGAATTGCACTACTTCATTCATATACTTTCCCAGATCATGAGGAGGTGGTGGCTGCAATCGCTCATAATATTGGATTCACACACGTCTCTCTTTCATCAGAAGTATCCCCTATGATAAAGTATTTACCAAGAGCTAACAGCGCTGTGGCCGATGCATATCTGACACCTGTCATCAAGAAATATTTAGATGGATTGCAGGCTGGTCTTGTCAATTTTGAAAATACGAGCATCCAATTCATGCAGTCTGATGGAGGTCTGGTGGATGGAAGCAAATTTTCAGGCTTGAAATCAATTCTTTCGGGCCCTGCTGGTGGTGTGGTGGGCTATTCTACTACTTGCTATGATTCAAATACACAAGTACCGCTCATTGGCTTTGACATGGGGGGAACTTCAACTGACGTTAGCAGATTTGGAAACGGAAAGTTAGATCACGTATTCGAAACCACAACGGCCGGCATTGTAATACAAAGTCCACAACTGGACATTCATACTGTCGCTGCAGGCGGTAGCTCTATGCTCTTTTGGGAAAATGGTCTTTTTAGGGTTGGTCCTGATTCTGCTGCGGCAGAACCTGGCCCTGCAGCATATCGCAAGGGAGGTCCTCTGACCATAACAGATGCAAATCTGCAACTTGGGCGTTTGGTACCTGAACTTTTTCCAAAGATATTTGGACCTAACGAAAATGAAAGTTTAGACTTGGAAGCTACTAATCAGAAGTTTGAGGGCCTCACAAAGACGATTAATGCAGACCTAGAAACCAACCTTACTGTTGACGAAGTAGCCCATGGATTTTTGAAAGTCGCCAATGAGTCTATGGCCCGGCCAATAAGGGCGCTAACAGAAGCTAGAGGACATGTCACCTCCGACCACCAGCTAGTGACTTTTGGAGGTGCAGGTGGTCAACATGCAGTTGCCGTTGCAGAATCATTAGGAATTGACACTGTCATAGCCCATCGTTACTCTTCAATATTGTCAGCTTATGGTATGTTCCTCGCCGACGTAGTGGAAGAAAAGCAAGAGCCCTGCTCATTCGATCTTGCCGGACCAGCCACGCGCGGTCAACTTGAAGAGAGGTTTGATTCTCTGGTGGGCACAGTTTCCCGAAGCTTGCATAAACAAGGCTTTGCTGAAAATGACCTCGTGTATGAGAAATACTTGAACTTGCGATATGATGGTACTGAATCCACTCTAATGATAATGCAGAGGAATTCAGATTGGAACTTTGCAGAGGATTTCACTGCGTCTCATAAAAGGGAATTTGGTTTTATCTTTACCGACAGACCTGTTATTGTTGATGACATTCGAATCAGAGCGGTTGCCAAATCACCAGTACGCTCTACTAAATCAATTGCCAATGAAATCTCAAGTCTTAAGACCAGAAAAATCAACACGGCAGAAGCTGCATCCTTTTATAAGGACGTGTTTTTTGATGATAAGCGCCTGCGCATACCAATATTTAGAATCGATGACATGCCCACAGGAAGTTTGATCGATGGGCCTTGCATTTTGGCGGATGGAACTCAAACTAATGTTATTCCATGCAATGCATCCGCAACCATTCTCAGCTCACATATTGTGATCAAGGTCAATTCCAAAAGCAAAGAGAATCCAGAGTTGGCTCAGAATAAAATCGATCCTGTTCTGTTGTCCATATTTGGCCATAGGTTCATGGACATTGCTGAGCAGATGGGTACCCAATTGAGGAAAACGGCAGTCTCTACCAACGTGAAGGAGAGACTAGATTTCTCCTGTGCATTATTCGATCCTGACGGAAATTTGGTTGCCAATGCTCCTCACGTACCCGTTCATCTTGGTTCGATGTCTACGTGCATTTCTGCTCAAGCGAAACTTTGGAAAGGAAAATTGAAAGCTGGCGACGTATTGGTGACCAATCACCCAGAAATGGGAGGAACTCATTTGCCTGACATTACTGTCATAACACCGGCTTTTTCAAGTTCCGGCGACGAGATTATTTTTTATGTCGCCTCCAGAGCTCACCACGCTGACATTGGCGGGATTTTACCAGGCTCTGTTCCTCCTAATTCGAAGGAACTTTATGAAGAAGGTGCTGCTATTTATTCGGAGTTACTTGTGAAAGAGGGCCGTTTTGATGAGGAGCTCATGGTTAAAGTGCTTGTGGAAGATCCTGCTAAGTATCCAGGTTGCTCTGGTTCAAGAAAAATCAGCGATAACATAAGTGATTTGAAGGCGCAAATTGCTGCTAATACCAAAGGGATTCATTTAATCGCCAAATTGATGGATGATTTTGGGATAGACGTTATTGTCAAATACATGCTTGCTATTCAGGAGAATGCCGCTACGACCGTCAAACAAGCTTTAAAGAACCTCACTGAGCATTTTGGCGCTACAGAATTCACTGGACAAGACTACATGGATGACGGAACCTTAATAAAGTTGAAGGTTACCTTGGACATCGAAAGGGGACAATACGTTTTCGACTTTGAAGGAACTTCGCCTCAGGTTTATGGTAATCTCAATGCACCTGAAGCTATCACCAACTCTGCCATCTTGTATTGTCTGCGTTGTTTGGTAAATGAAGATATTCCTTTGAATCAGGGTTGTCTCAAACCAATCACGGTTAAAATACCCCAGGGCTCTATCCTAAGTCCGACAAATGGCGTAGCAGTTGTCGGAGGAAACGTTCTAACTTCGCAGCGAGTTACCGATGTGATTTTGAAAACATTCAGCATTATGGCAGATTCTCAAGGCGATTGCAACAACTTCACGTTTGGAACTGGTGGAAAGGATGCCAACGGTGAAATCTCGAAGGGTTTTGGATATTACGAAACCATTTGCGGTGGTCATGGGGCTGGTGGAGAATCCTGGAGGGGCCCAGGTTGGAATGGGACAAATGCAGTCCATACGAACATGACCAATACCAGAATGACAGATGTAGAAATTTTCGAAAGACGCTATCCAGTAGTATTGCGTGAATTCTCTGTGAGACAGAAATCCGGCGGCAAGGGCAAGTTCTTTGGGGGAAACGGCGTCATAAGAGATATAATATTTCGTCAACCGGTCCAGGCATCTATTTTATCTGAAAGGCGTGTCGTAGCACCGCATGGCATTAGTGGCGGAGAGGATGGTGAGAGAGGTTTAAACCTGTGGATCCGCAAGACATCTGGCTCAGTTATAAATATTGGTGGTAAAAATACGATAAGCGTCCAACCAGGGGATCGTGTAGTGATACACACTCCAGGCGGAGGGGGTTATGGAAAGCTTCTGGAATAACTGTCGGCTTATTCTGATTTTCAACGTGCACACTAGACATCACTATATATCATCTCTTTCAACGTGACATACTACTTTATCTTGTCACCAATAGGTAAGAATTGGTTCTGCTGACTCAATATCTGAATTCGAAAAGTTGTGCAACTAAGATTATCGTTTAAATCCTTTGGGTGAGTTAGACAGTACCAATATCAGATCGTTGGGCTATTTGAGAAGTTAGGCGATGCTGGGCAATTTCTACCGATTCATTCTCCGAATGAGCCAATCCATGTATTTGTTTCGATATAACCTACAAGCAGTATTTAAAATCTAAGGCTTCGTCTCCTATCCTCTCTTTCATAGTGTCTTTTTTGGTACCATCCATAATGGCAGCTTTATCTCTGTTAAGCTTAATCAACCAGACCATTTGAAGTGCCGTTAAAAGATTTGAAAGCACGATGCATCCAAGAGAGAACGAATTACCAAAGGTATAGGGAGACTTTGTATAAACCTGACCCACAATAGCCCCTGACAAGTTGCCTAGCGTTTGGTTAAGGCCTAGGGCTGTCGCTCTTTTGTAATGAGGTGCAACATTGTTGGTCAGCCAAGTAATATTGAGCCCTGTTCCTGTATACAACGAGAAGGTTATCAGATAGCACGCAAAGTACTTGACAGAATCATTTTTAACAGAGAGCAAAATAATATACCCAGCAGCACCCAACAGGTTATACATGAAAAATATCGGGCCCCTGATCTGGAAGCGATCACTCAAATATGCTGAAATCATGAATACGATTGCGGCAAGAATGTACACTGGAACACTCATGTATTGGGCTTTTCTCGAGCCATATCCTAAGCCCAGCTTTAAAATTGCGGTCAAGAAAGTGCTAAAGCCATAAAGAATGGTGTCCTGACAAAATTGAATGGTAAAGGCAAAATAAGTCTTGAAATCCTTGAGAGCTAAAAAAACCTGATTCCAGCTAAATGCAGGATTAGAACCCATATACTGCACGCGCTGCTTTGATCTGAGTTTCATTGTTGCTTGCTCTTTATCATTAAGGAATGCCATATGCTCTAGGTCGCTAGGCAAGCCAAAAAATAGCCAAATCGAGGCCCCAACAGAGATCAATCCTTCAATGATGTAAAGCCACCTCCAGCCCTCGAGACCACCAACATTCTCCACAGAAGCCAGACCAGTAGCGATGAGCCCACCGAATGCACCTGACAAAGCAGAAGACCCAAAGAAAAATGCAATTCTTTTTGCCTGCTCTTCAGGCTTATAAGTCATTGTGATAAGCAGCGTCATGGCCGGGAAAAAGCCTCCTTCGAAAGCACCTAAAATAATTCTGGTGGCCAGTAAAGATTTGTAGTTTTGCACAAATCCACTAAACAGAGTTATGAGAGACCATGCGAGTACCAGCCCGGACATGTAATAACGAGGTTTAGCAATTCTCAGTAACCAGACAGCAGGAAGCTCAGCAGCCAGATAGGTCGAATAAAAAACCGATACTGAGTTGGAATACTGACGAGATGTAAGCGACAGATCTTCTTTCATTCCCGAAGTGTATGCATTCCCGATGTTGGAACGATCCAATGACGACAAAAAGTACATGAAGGCAAGCATGGGCAGCAAACGCCTGTCTAATTTTCTTACTAGAGCATTTTCTTCTTTAACGTCAATATAGTAGTCCTCGATTGTAATCTGTTCTCCGATCTCAGCCGATACTTCTTGACGGATGGATGACTCGTAGCCTTGTTTGCTGTCCATTTCACCTCGGTGATAAATTGAGCTGTAAAGTTGGCAGCATACATTGCATACAACATCCTAGTATCCATAGCATCGCCTTATATATGATCGCTCATCATTGAAGTTGATTTATCTATCACCGTGGACTTATTGAGAAGGCGGAACTTTCGAATGTGAAAAGACCGCCGCCATCTATCTGACCATTATCAACTGCATCTTGAAAATGTTAATCTCTAGCACGTGACTCGCCAAGAGCTAGCATCAACTTGATCAAACCATATCAACACCCAGTAAGGCAAGCATTTCTACAATTCTGATTGCAGCTTGCCTAGCGACTGACCCATTGAAGCAAATGCATTTTTCTAACGTCCGGGGTTTTTAACATTTTAAAAAAGCGTCTTTCGGATTAATCTTTAAGATAAGCGCGACGAAGACTTTATGCCATTCAAATCAAGAGCAAATGGGAACGCCGAATAAAAAGATGGTGAAAGCGTGTACGAGATGTAAGCAGCGTAAAAAAAAATGCACTGGTGATCTTCCATGCGAATACTGTTCAAAGATCAACCAACCTGAAGGCTGTGAGTACAAAGCGAGAGTGAAATCGAAGGTTGCTAAGGTTACAGAAAGGTACATAAACTCGCTCAAAAGCAGAATACGAGAGTTAGAAGTCGAGGTCGCGAAAGGTGCTCCAGGTTCTACTCTTGACTATGACAACCACGCAAGTGCTTCAGATATCAATCCACTCCTTGAGCCCACCTATGGATTGGAATTCCATTCAAAGAACGAATTAGAGCCAAAAACAACCAAGAGATATTTGGGCACATCCGCTTGTGCCCAGTTTCTTAGAAAGGTGAAGCAATCCATTGCAGATACTTGCAACGAAGGTCTGTTATCCCATGACCCAAGTTATACAAGCGGAACCCCGCTAGCAACCGATCCAGAAGGTAGTATTGATCGAGGTTACATTGCGAACGTGGTAGCAGAACATCTTCCAAACTCTTCAGATGCACAAAGACTCATCAGTAATGCCTCCAAAATGATAGGTGCTGATTATCTGTTCATCGAACCGCAGTATTTCGAATTAACGGTCGAGCGCATGTTTTACCGGGGTTCAGTGCCCAAGCATGCCATTGACCTAATTCAGTTCTCAGTTGAACTTCTAAGGTTTGTGAGCTATCTGGCCCTTGGCTCTTTGTTTGATAAAACAAGGCAGGGCTCAAAGTCATTGAGTGTAAGGCTACATTCCACGTGTATCTCCATTTATGGGCAATTGACCAGTGTGTATGATCAAGCAGCAAGCACCTCGATGGTTCAATCTTTATTGTGTATTGCATATTTTGCTCTGTCACAAAACAAGACAACTTTTGCATTTACTATGGTCGGAAATGCCATTCGTATCATGTTCACTTTAGGATATCATAAAAGTACGCAATCTCAGAGGGAAAACCGCACTTTCTGGTTGTGTTTCATATATGATCGCTTGCTGGCCGTACGTTTTGGGTTTCCCCTTATGATAGATGAGCGGGAAATCAATGTCCCCGTTTTTGACCAAGCCGAGGGAGCACAGCGTGTTGTTTCACTAGATATGTACCATTTTGTTGCCCAGGTACGACTGGCAATGGTTACCACACAAGTCATCACCAAAATTTACATTCAAAATCCTTTTTCTTTTCTTCATAACTGCCATTTAGTGCTAAGGCAATTGAAGAGCTGGTTTGACTTGCTTCCTGATGAACTCAAATTTGATTACAACAACATCAAATCGGGCTTGATAAGATCGACATTTAACTTGCACATCAACTACAATTATTCGATAATGATAACCACTCGACCCGTTTTATTGTACGTTTTCAATGTGATACTGACAAAAGGAAGCCATGGCGGCGATCTATTCGAAAATGACCAATTCAATCTTATATTGGATCTGCTTGAATCTTGCATTCAAGCTGCTGAGATTCAAAGTCGAATATTAGCGAAACTCTACTATGATGATAAAATGGCCGTCAACTCCTTTTTGGACTGCCATTATATCTTCAGCGCCACAATAATTCTCATTTTGGCAGGTTATTGTCAAATGCTAATGAAAAAAAGTGTACTGTATTCCGGTGGCATAGAATGCTTGTTTGACGCCATAAAGAACAACCTAAATTTTTTGCAGCGACTTTCCGAACATAACATAGTTGCTCGCAATTTCAACGAGCAACTGACGGAATTCATTGATATGATGAGTTCTGAACAAGTTGTTCAAGTTTTGAACCCCGATACGAACGATAACCAACCATATATCTTATTTTCTCGTTCCACGCAGGGTCAGACTTTCCTATCCAATGATCAACACAGCGAAGAAAAAGAATTTAATATTGCAGATGTCGGATTTGTAGATTTATCTGAACTACTTGATAATATGAACAATCAGTTTCTGTCAGGAACATCTGTTGACGATTTTTTGAATGCAAACTTTTGATACTCAAATGTAGGAAATAAGCATCCAACTGCCGAAAGCCCCAATAGAGCAGTTCGGCATGCACTGAAACCCTTCAGAAACAAGCAAACTGTACGCGAATCTATTAAATTTGCAAACTGTACCATCGTATTTCAAAATGATCAGCGAGAGCTATTGTTAAGGATTATAGCCCTTAATCTTGTTACTCAGACAGTGTGAAATATCTAAATTAGTGAATGACGTTTTTTATGTTTTATGTGTGGGAGCTCAAAGAAGCAGCCTCCGTCGTGTCTAATATCAACATGTGTCCCGGTGTATGGCCCATCACTATACCATCAATCAAATGGCCAACCGTTGCAACTGCCAGCTGAGGTGTGACACCACAGGCCCAAAACACTGGTATTTCATCTTCAGAAATTTCTATGGGGTCACCGTACTCGGGATTATTCAAGTCTCGGATTCCCAACCTTTGAGCGCCATCAAAACCCCAGTCAATTGGTTCTCCATGAGTTTTTTTGAAGGCTCTTGTTACCTGTCTAACCCTCTCAACGTCACAAGACTTAAATGGCCTCATACTAACCACATACGGACATAGATGGAATATGCCCACAGTGTCGAGGTGCTTATTTGTGACAAACATAGATACGTTAGAACCTCGTGCTACGTTTTTGGGAACCAGTCCAGCCTTAGTTAGAGCATTTTCAAACGAAAATGAGCACCCAATTAAAAACCCCACATGCCCGTCGCTCCATTCATCTATGCAATTAGTTTTTTGTTCGATTAGCCTGCCATCGCGGTATATGTTATACTTGGGGAAATCTCGGCAAATATCAAAGCTATCGTCTTTGATAAAATCTGAATGGTTTTCTAGCCGATGGGGGGTATCAACTGTTTTGGTCAGAAGTGGGCAAGCAACAGGATTGCGAAAACATAGGTCTTCGAAGCTTTCTGCTGCTGACGAAGGAAGAATTAAAAGATTAGCTTGCACGAAACCCGGCAGTACTCCGGAAGTTGGCCCTGTGTGCTTTTCAAGGCGGCAGAGCTCTCTAAACTGCTGTGGACTAGACATTACTCTTGAAGTATTGTTTTGATCGACTTTCTACGCCTTATGGTGGGCCTTATGCATTTGATATACTTTTCAGGTGCTTATCTCCTTATCAGATGGGCGGCAAATTGGGTTTCGAAAACTCCGAAGATCAAACAAGAAGCAGCAAAATGGCACGATATGTCAAAAATTGAGGGAAATGGAACTTTAGTTAAATTTGCTGGGCAAGTCAGTACTTTACAGCTCTATCGATGCAGGTTTTGACAAGCCTTGTTTTGAATAGAGTGGGGTATTCTCACTATTTACAGGAGCGGACCAAGTATATAAAAAAAACGAAGTTCTATAAACTTTTTAGCTTGCCGCGAAATTCGTCTATTGACGTGTAGCCCTTTTTCTCCATTATCTCTCGGAGTTCTCTTTCCAAAGTTTCAAAGATAGAGACCCCTCGTTCGTACAGGGCAGTTCCGACTTGTAACATGGTAGCCCCACAAAGTAAATGCTCAAAGGCATCCTGACCGGATTTTATGCCGCCAGTACCAATGATTTTAATGCCAGGGTTCAAGCGCGTATAGAACGCACGGACATTGGCCAATGCCGTAGGCTTCACGTAGTCACCACCAATCCCGCCAAAGCCATTTTTAGGTTTCAAAACAGTTATTTCATTTTCTAGATCCACGTAAAGACCATTCCCAATGCTATTAATACAGTTCACGAATGAAAGTGGATATTTGTTCAATATTTCAGCCATTATATCGAAATGGGCAAAATCAAAGTACGGTGGTAACTTTACACCAAGCGGCTTGCGGAAAAAGCTGAAAACCTTTCCCAAAACCATTTCAGTCATTTCAAAATCGTATCCAATTTGTGGCTTACCAGGAACGTTGGGACAAGACAAATTCAATTCAGTCACACCTTGGAAATCACTTTCTTGTATGGCACCCAAAATCTTTAGGTTGTCTTCCAGACTCATTCCAGCTACGGACAGAAAAGGAGCATTTTTTTTGCCGGCTTCTCCCTGCTGAGCTATTACATAGCTCAGGTAGTAGTCAAACCCTCTATTAGGGAGCCCCATAGAATTTATACTTCCAAAAGAAGTTGAATGGTACCGAGGTTTTGGATTTCCCTCCCTTTCAACAAGGGTAGCGCTCTTGGTAACATAGGCACCAGCCCTCGAGCTTCTTAATTCATTCAATTCGTCAACCGTCATACAATGAACGCCCGAAGCATTCATGAAGGGGTTCTCGTAGGTATTACCTAAGAAATAGCTATCTAAGGTGGCTCCCATACTTAGAGCAGTTGGCATTTAAGATCGATTATGAAAGAGACTATAACTACATAACCAATGAGTGTATCGAATATTCAGCCAAGCCATGCGGCTTGCGAACTACCATTTTATACAGATCAACGGTGATTCAAAAATCGGGTGACATTATAAAACTTTGACGTCCCTGAGGAACATATGACGGTGCATCACTAAAAACGGTAGATATGAGAACAGAGACATATCTACAGATCATTTTAGGCTAGCTGCAGCTAGATACAATAACTTATCTAAAAAATGATGCGGCTGGCGTGATGATCAACACAACTGTGATGTGTGCGTCAAAATTCCTAGACTTCAAATTTGGAAAGATCTGGTCGTATTGTCGAGCTTTACCTATTTCTGCGTCAAGGCCACTAGGGCGGATTTTATTTGATCGGCGGATTTTTTCATCAGTCCGAGTTCTTTCTGGTTCAAAGATATTTCGCTAGCGGGATGAACGCCATCCTTATCCAACCTTGTAGGAACACTTATGGCAATATCCTCTACTCCGTAATAGTCCCCTACAGTAGATACAGTGAGTACTGCGTTTGTATCACCCAAGATAGCTTTAACAATGCGCAACAGCCCAGCTGCAATTCCGTAAGAGGTATAGCCCTTGCGTTTAATAATGTCGTAAGCAGCGTTACGGGTCTGCTCGAAGATCTTGTGGAAAACTTCCTCATCGTAATTGTGATTTCTTGCCTCACAGTACTCACGTAGTTTCATGCCATCTATGTTTGTTAGAGACCACACCGGCACACCAGAATCACCGTGCTCCCCAATAACGCATGCGTCGACACTTTCTGAGGGTATTTGGAAGTGCTCGCCCAAGATGTACTTGAAACGGGCCGTATCTAGGACGGTGCCGGAACCAAAAACTCTGCTAGATGGGAAGCCAGAAGCTTTGTAACTAACATAGGTCAGAACGTCGACTGGGTTGGTCGCAATGAGTATAATGGAATCGGGCGCATGTTGGGCCACATTGGGTACAATCTCCTGCATGATCGCGGCATTCTTTGCGGCCAAATCCATTCTCGTTTGGCCATTTTTTTGATTAATGCCACACGTAACTATAACGATTGCAGCGCCCGCACAGTCCGGAAAATCCCCGGCTCTGGATTTCGTGGTCGAGCTCGCTGCATGGTTTAGATCCATACTCTCGCCCTCCGCCTTGTCCTTATTGACATCTATGAGAACAATTTCCGAAACAATTTTACTGAGGAGGAGCGTGTAAGCAGTTGCCGAGCCTACACTACCCACCCCTATGATAACAACTTTCACTGGGGTTGTTGCTGGTTGAACTTCACTCATAATTACACTTTGAAAAGTTGTAGTTGGCGCGAAAAAGTTGAGCTTCCTTGTGGGAATAAACAGCTTGGACGTTCGCCATTTCACCCCTTTGCCTTTATAGCCTTTTCCCGTACCTTTATAAGCTGTACTATTGACGAAAACTTACTGCACCAAACCATCTGACGCCATGCCCTGTCAATTTCTGAGAGCTTTTTGTTCCTATCGTGAATATCTACCTCCCCCTAAATACATATGGACTGCAGTCTAAGATAAAAGTCCAGCGGGCTTGTGCTTTAACTTCATAGCACAGGCGACGAGGGAGAATGAAAGGATAACTCCTTTATTGAACTGACGAGAATGCGATGTTCCGGCCACGTCCCAATGCATACAAAATACTTCACACTTGCATGAAGATTCATATGCAAAGAAAAGACTCACTCTGGCAACGTAATGAGTAGAGTGATACCAGGTTATATCTAAAGGCTGGGCACGATTCTGGTGACGGAAAGCCCAATTGAATTCGTTAGCCTCGAATTGCCCATTGAGAAGCCATCTCCGGTACCGGCATTGTCCGCCCGATCTCTCCATTGCTGACTTCCTCACGTCACGAGGTGATGGCCGTAATTAAATCCGGAAATAGTTCGGAAATAGACCGGAATTTGAGTTCTTAAAACCGGGGTTATTATTCCTTCAAGATCACATTCAACATCTACACGAGCCCTCGGCCAGAACGGCTCTTGTTCATGGATGGGTATTGCTTATGAGACGTTATTCCACTTCGAAGCGGGTGATTTGCACCGTCTTCTGATCCTCAATGCAGTGCCCAAATGTCAAAGCACGGAGTTCTGGCAGAGAAGAGATGAATCACTGGATACGTAATCGAAATGCAAACCGGTTATGATGGCTTCAGGCGCAATTCGTTCGAGTATATAGGGCCAGACATATTCGAAGACGTACGTTCCGTGCTCAATATCGTTCAAGGTCTGACTGTATATTGTGTCTGTCGGGTATGTATTTTGAAACGTACAAGAATACGTTTGCAGTTGATGTTCTGGAGAATCTAGGCATAGTTCGCGTTGGGAACTGCACTTTTCCGACGTCAGAGAAAATCAGCGACCTGGAGGATGACCCCAAGAAATTTGACGGTGCCGAGAGTCCGGGGGAATCTTTTGTAGATCCTTTTCTCGTGGAATTCAATGGACCGAGCGATCCCGAACATCCCCACAACTGGTCCACTGCAAAGCGTTTTGTCACCGTCTGTAATATAATGCTTCTAACCTGCGTCACTTATATGGGTACTTCTATATATACCCCCGGCCAAGACCTAATTCAGGATGAGTTTCATGTGAGTCACGTCGTTGGCACACTCAACCTATCCTTGTACATTTTGGGTTTTGGATTGGGCCCATTGGTATTTGCGCCACTCTCTGAATTTGTCGCCATTGGCCGCCAACGGCTGTTTATCGTAACCTTGTTTGTTTTTGCGATGCTCCAAATAGGCTGTGCTTTAGTTCAAGACATCGCTGGTTTGATTATTCTGAGATTTCTTGCCGGTGTGTTTTGCTCGCCATCATTGGCCAATGGGGCAGCAGCCGTTGGAGACGTTGTGAAACCCCAGCATGTTCCAGTCGTTCTTGGCTTATGGGCAATTGGGGCCCTGGCAGGGCCTGCCACAGGGCCACTGCTCGGAGCGGCTATGATTCAAGCGAAGGGATGGCGGTACATGTTTTGGATATTGATGTGGATCAGTTCCGCCGCATTGTTGTTGCTGGTTTTCTTTTTCCCTGAAACCAACGAGGACAACATTCTATACAGAAGATGCCAAAGAATAAGGAAATCGACCGGGGACAGCAGATATTACACCTTGAAGGCGAGAGATGAGGAGAAGCTAACGTTCAAAGATATCTGCATTACTACTTTGTACAGACCATTCCAGATAATTGCTAGAGAGCCGATTGTTATCGCGCTAAACACATATCATGCCGTTGAGTATGGTGTTTTCTACTTGTTTTTCGAAGCTTTCCCTATTGTCTTTTTAAATGTCTACCATTTTACCAGAGTTCAATTGGGATTATCATATTTGGGATTTTGTGTTGGTTGCCTTACTGCTTATGGTGTGGCGATGATTTTCTTTTGGTGCTATGCTACTAAGAAGATTGCTGCAAACACCTTCACCCCGGAGACTCACTTAGTTTTGACCATCTGGGTATGCTGGACACTCCCCTGTTCACTTTTTCTGTTTGCATGGGCTGCATCTGTTCACTGGATCATACCTGTCATCTCCGAAGTTCTCTTCATAGTGGGCCAGTTCAATATTTTCCAGTCAGTCTTTTCCTATATGGCCATGTCTTATCCCAAATACATGGCTTCAGTTTTCGCAGGAAACAATCTTTGTAGATCTGTTTTTGCCTGCGTATTCCCTCTTTTTGGGAGAGCAATGTATGACAATCTGGCAATCGACGGATATCCAGTGGGCTGGGGATCGTCACTTGTTGGATTTCTCTGTCTGGCTCTTAGTCTGGTGCCATTGCTCCTATATAGCTATGGGCCTTATTTGCGGAGTAGGTCTACGTTCGCTGGGTGAACTACGATTTATGGGCAAATCTGTTAGGTAATTTGAAAGGTGGGTCTAATATCAAAAAAGTCCTTGATCTTCTTTAACAATCTGAACGCCGTGGAAACTTCCTGATACATAATACTTCGCAATTTTCCGCTTCCACTTAAATAATTGAAACATTAAGCTTAAGCTCAAGAACACACTAAATTCCCCATCACCCGGTAACAGACTCAATTCAGTGTTTGACAGGTAGTACTCGAATCGAGTTTCTGGATCGTATGAATTCCATGTTCAAAGTAATATACGTTGGTTCAATACATATGTAAGCTCTCTTATCCAATGAAACTGGTATGAACTTGCATACTGGTAAATACAGTCGTGAGTAGCATTTCGGTTCATTAAATGACCCTTTTACTTATGCTTTTGTGATTGGAAATATGTTCGTAAATTGAAATTATAACGCTCGCATGCACAGTTATATTGCTAATCAAGCTTCGGCCCGTTTGACCTACTTTTGAGCTTTACCTGGGCATCATCTAATAACTAATAACAATTAATTCACTTTTGCACTACGGGAACGAATCGGAGAGGAGATAGAAGTCATACCTATGAGTACACAGCAGCACTTTATCAAGACCAGCCTGTTGAATTTGGAGGATAAAATTTTGCCAGACCTTGATGTTCTCTTAGTCACAAGCCTGAAGCACACAAACTAAACTAGGCTCTTAAGAGTTACAACATAATCAGCTTTATGAAGTACAACAACGACAATTCTTTCCCCAAATTGTCAAGGATAAAAAATAAAGTCTTCCATTACATTTTGTCGTTTCTCTCTTGAGAGCTGGTATGATTTAATTGGTCAAGTTTCAAATCTTGGGTCGCACAATGGACCGCATCGTAGTTGAGGGAAGGTGATGGCTTGCGAAGGGACAACCAAAAACTGGTAGATCTTACACAATTGATTATGTGGCGCTCTGTCCCCTCTGGACTTTCAATTATGCTTGTAAGTTCTGTTGTAGGGTCACAGGCGTGGAGCGGTGCAGTCATTGAAGTGTGAAACTATCTTCAAAAAAGGTACAGTGATATCCAGTTGTATTGAAATCCAGCTACTATGATTCAACTTTCTAGAAACAGTTATTCCTTAATTTGGGATTAGGTTAGTTCAAATTCCTACGCTTTTTACCGAAAGTGATGAGAGTATACTGGAATCAAAGAGCGCCATGAATGCACAACAGCAATTTGACAGGTTGAAAAAAATTCAAACCTCACCACATTCGGATCACGAACATTCACTTGCGCTCTCAAGCTTGGCCCTGAACTACCAAATTGTCTCATGGGCCCTTCAGTCACTGGCGCCTGTAACAGCCGATAAGTATGCCTTTCAAAGCTACGCTGAAGTTTTCAATATATCAAGGATAGTAGAGCTAATCAAGCAAAAAAGTGAAAATTCACAATACAAGTTCCCTGAAACCAAAGTTTATATAATTGCAATTAGATCTGCCCTGCTCAAAGAAGTTCAGGACAGTTGTGAAAAACTTGAGTTTCTTACTGGAATCGATAAGATGTCGCATATGGAAGCCAACTCTTCAGGAGGACTAATAATTATTGGTTTGGTGTTCCTGACGAAGTCTATGGCCAAAATTTGGCCACATGTTGGTGGATAGATGATGTATATATGCTACAGCTGGTGGTGGTGGTCAAGCTCACAAAGAAAGCATGAATCAAGTTAGAAGTTGGTACAAGAGATGGCAAGTGGAAGAATACCAAATATTTATCCACGCAAATGCGAAGGTTTTTTTCTTTTGGAACAGTGACACCTAAGTAGAGAAGAAGCATGTTAAGAGATAAAATGTGATTTTGACTTCCAGACGTTCATTTTAGAATGAGAGAACGCAAAGGATATCTTTTGGGAGGCTTCAATGAATGTAGCCACCACTGCGACGGTCTTGGATGTTGTAAACTGTTCCAAGAGACAGACAGTCTTTGAATTTACTTAACTATCCCGACGACGTCAGCGACGATAACTTTTAAAACAAGGCCACAGGAACAATGCATTCTCTTGGCATTCGTAAATCCAAAAAGTACAATGTGTCGAGATGAGTGGCACGTGAATCCCCCCGTTTTTACAATCAAGCGCAATCATCACTTAAGAACCTCACTCAGTTCATGGTTGAAGTCCAAATAGCTGAAGAGATATAGTATCGAAACCAAATCATTATCAGGTTTCGTGTTGTAGTGAGATGGCAGCAGAGGGACTACTTGCGAGAAACGCGAACGCAAAATCCCAATGGCCCTCGGTTTCTGAAAACGAAAGTGTCTCAGTCGACAACTCCTATGAGGATGATCTTTATGACGGATCTGCATTTGAGCAAATATACCTCGAAAAATCTAGGGTTGTTTCGAAGGCAATTGACGAAATTGGCTTCGGAAAATATCAAGTTGGATTGTTTATAGTAGCAGGATTTGGTTGGTTTTCAGATAACGCGTGGCCCGTAGTTACCAGCTTGTTGCTTCCTAGACTACAAGAAGTCGATGGAGTGCACCCACCGAGTGCTGGAAGAACACCATTAATTACTTTGGCTCAAAACCTGGGACTCTTGGCAGGCGCCTTGTTTTGGTCTCTGTCATCCGATGTCATCGGTAGGAGATGGGCTTTCAACCTTACGTTTCTGTGGACAGCAATTTGGGGTATTGTTGCTGGCTCATCACCTAACTTTGCAGCTTTGGGAGTATTTGCGGCCCTTTGGAGTTTCGGTGTGGGAGGGAATCTTCCTGTTGACTCTGCAATTTTTATCGAAAACTTGCCTTCGAAATACAACTATTTGTTAACGGTTCTGAGTATTTTTTGGGCTTTTGGCCAAATCGTTACAAATCTCCTCTCATGGGCCTTGATTACCAACTTTTCTTGCGAAACGGATGTTGTGCACAAAAGTTGTAATTGGGGCTGGAGATATTTTCTGTTTGCAATGGGCGGATTAACATTTTTATTGTTTGCGATTCGGTTTGCTTTTAGAGTTCTTGAATCTCCTAGATTCCATATTTCTCGGGGCGATAATGAGGCCGCTATTGCTACGTTGCATCAGATTGCTAAAATTAATGGTAAAGAGACGAGCATCAAGCTCGAAGATTTGATGGAAATCGATAGACGCTACCACAAGTATGAAAACACAGAAAATGATGATAGTGGCTTGCTATCCGGAAGGCAAATAGTGCGGAATAAACTAGCAAAGTACGGCTCGGAACATATCAAGGCTCTATTTGGATCTAGGAAACAAGCGTACTCATCACTTATGGTCATATTCGTGTGGGCAATTATCGGTCTTGCATTTCCCCTGTACAATGCTTTCATACCAACTTACTTGTCCGAGAGAGGGAACGCAAATGAGTCATTAAGCGTGGCGTTAACTTATAGGAACAGTTTGATTATTGCTGTGATGGGAATTCCAGGCGCTATCATTGGTGGTATATGCGTTGAAACAAAGCTGGGAAGAAAAGGTAGCCTTTGCCTTTCAATGATAATAACCGGAATTATTTTATTTGGATCAACAACATCGAAAACCAGTAATTCTTATTTGGGCTGGAACTGTGGATTCAGTCTTGTTTCAAATATAATGTATGGGGTACTATACGCATATACACCGGAGATTTTCCCATCGAAGGTAAGAGGCACAGGTGTGGGTATAGCTGCCAGTGCCAATCGTGTTTTAGGGATATTCTCTCCCATCATTGGTATGTACGCCAACCTGGAAACCTCAGCCCCTATCTTCGTCAGCGGGGCACTGTTTATTTTAGCAGGTGTCATTTCTGCATTTTTCCCCTACGAATCTCGAGGTAAGGCAACATACTGAACTTTGCACAAAATATTTGAACTGATATACCTATCTACAATAATTATATACTAATTCGTCTAACGAAGCACTGGATGTTTTCGTATTTGCCATTTCCCCAGAAGATATCCCAATCTCACTAACATGGAAGACAACTAGGTAACTTCTCCAGAAACAAGTCACAGATCAGTTTGTGCTTCGTAGCTTTTACCTCATACCTTCCTGGACTCGGACCGTACCAATATCGTCACCTTGACTCGATTTTTGGCAAAACGATCTGCCCCTACACTTTAACTCGAATGTTTTCTCTCATGGCTTATCAATTTAAGATGTGTCTTTTTCTCGGTTGTAGAATGAAGGCCTGAGTCCTTCTCCTCTCCTTTTGGCGAACAAATTTGTTTTGTTACCGATCATAAGTCTGGCAATCACATACAGTTTTGGCTCATGCGCCCCACATGAACTGTTAGTTAGTTATTCACCTGCGCAGTTTTTAGATAGCAGGGTGCAAAGCGGGTTATTTTAATTTCGCTGCCGAACTGGCTTTATATTAGTCAGGGTGATAGTTTTTCTAGTATAACTTTCCACTGGTAGCGTAGTCACTTGGCGATGGCATTAATAATCTTATCGGTATTATACAATGGCATTCATGCTTTCTTAGTGCTAATGAATTTGTCAATTTACCTAACACAACTTTCACTTTCACGATTATCCATAATGATTGAAGGCCGTTGCAGCCATATCTGAATCAAGATAGGAAACGTTCTTGTTATGTTGCGGGTATCGTCATTTTTCAATACACTTTGAACTTACCCCACCTCCCACCAAGAATATGATCAAAGATTGCCAAATTCAGAAAAGCGTGTCGCTAGTATTTCGCCGTGGCAATCGACTATGAAATCATCATTTAAGCTTTTCGAGCAGCTCTCAACCATGTGTTTCTTTTGCAAGCCAAGAAAGTAAGCACTAAAATCTCACAAAAATCGATGAAGTAATTAGATTTTGATTTTATATGGGTCTTGTTCTTTAGTAAATTTGTCTATACGCATGCCTAAGGACAAATTACAAATCCATGTCGCCAAACCAAAAATAAATAAAATAGCGTAATGCCCAACACACGCGATTAGTGAGTAGAACAAAAGTTTTGCATTAATGTTGGCTTAGAGCCTTTATCAGTTCTGGGAAAAAGAATGCTAAGATTGTGTTATTGTGCTTAAAGTTAAAGATTGATTAGTCATTATTTCACGTAGCTTAGCCTTGTCGAGCTGTCACGTGCTAGTTTTTAGTAATGGCTACGTTTGGTTACTCAAACGTATATAAAGTAAGTTAGTTACCTGGTGTGAACCTGAAACGACTAGCCAGAATGGTCAGTCTAAGTACAATAGAACATCACGATGTCAACATCCATCACAGTACCAGATTCAATTGCAGTTGAGTATTATTCTCCTGAGCCTCCAGCCCCAGCCGGAAGTGCTGTTGAGCCGCAACCTGATGGGAAGCCAATACCAAGGATATTCCAAAAACTAAAACTCAAGAATTTGGAACTCCCAAATAGAATCGGCGTTTCCCCCATGTGCATGTATTCGGCGGATGCAAATTTCGAAGCTACCCCCTTTCACCAAATCCACTATGGTCAATTATTTTTGAGGGGCCCTGGCTTGACTATCGTTGAAGCTACTGCTGTTTCTCCAGAGGGCCCTTTATCGCCCCAAGACTTGGGAATTTGGACAGATAAACAAGCAGAGAAACTAAAGGGAATTGTTGACTTTGCCCATGCTCAAAAACAATTAGTAGCTGTACAAATTGGCCACGGTGGACGCAAGGCAAGCGGTCTCGCGATGTATCTCCACCTGGAGCAAATTGCAGATAAATCCATTGGAGGGTGGCCCGAAAACGTGGTAGCTCCTAGTGCAATTCAGTATAGGCCAAACGGAAACTATTTAACTCCGAGAGAATTAACGAATGAAGAGGTTAAAAGAATCGTAAAAGATTTTGGTCTGGCCGCCAAAAGAGCTGTTGAAATTTCGGGCTTTGATGCAATCGAACTACACGGGGCTCATGGCTACCTAATCAGCGAATTTCTGAGCGCTACTTCGAACAAAAGAACCGATGAGTATGGCGGTAGCTTCAATAACCGAATTAGATTTCTACTCGAGATCATTGAGGAAGTCAAAGCGCAAGTTGGAGAATCGGTTCCACTTTTGCTAAGAATTTCGGCTAGTGAAAATGTTGACGAAGATGAAGACAGCTGGAAGTTGGAGGACTCTGTCAAGCTGGCTAAGATAGTCGTTGAAAAGGGTGTGGACATGCTTGATATCAGCTCCGGTGGCAACAACTATAAGCAGTCCTCTAGAGGGAAGAAGGCAGTTCATGCCCAGCTATCTAAAGAAATAAAGAAAGCTGTCGGTGACAGTGCAATTGTTGCCTCCGTTGGTGGCCTAGCTTTAGACATTGACGAAACGACGGAGATGATAGAGAGAGGAGACTATGATATTGCTTTAATTGGTAGAGAGTTTTTGAGAAACCCTGGGCTCGTTTGGAGTTGGGCCGACAAGCTCGGCATTCGCATCAATCATGCCCTTCAATATGGATGGGGCTTTTACCCTAACAAAGAACAGATTGTAGAGCTAATTGAAAAGACTAAAAATTTGTAAAGACGTTAAGGGAAAATGTTGTTAACCAACGCCATGTGCCAATAATGCCGCAGTTCTGTTGTCAAATGGATGTTTTTACTTGTTGTAATGGTACTTATGGTCTAAAGTGCCTCCCCAGAATTTACAGATACTTCAGGATGGCCACAGTAGATAACTTCTACTTCGTGACGTTCGCTCCTGAACTCAATTCAAAACCACGACGTCTAAAGAACTCATTCTTGGTATCTCAACGAAAAAGGACACATTGCGTATGGTGCAGACTCCTATAGATTACACGGAAACTCGGTTTTGAAAGTATTCCCTTCCGAAGAGAGCTATTGCATTAATAGTGAGAGCGAAGAGATGGTTTAGCTTTGGAAATTGATAAATGTGAAAGTCAGCAACATCTGGAGCTCTGATATCAGTTTCATGATAACTTTAATTCTTATTCATTTTCAGATAGATTAGATTGGTGCGGTATACTGAATATGACATTACATTAGGAAAATGCAAATCGACATATACATAGAAGCTCGTGAACTGAGCTTTTTGCATATGTATGATATAATACCTAACAGGACACTTTGGCAATCTCTGAATTTACGATCTAGGTGGTTGGTATGGCAAAGCGTTCTCCGAATAGATGAAGCTTCGCATGCCAAATAAATGGAAAGGTATTCAGGCAATAGCGCAACACAGGAGCACAGCCTATATTTGAGTCCAATGCTGAACTTTTAACTAAAGACCCCTTGGGCGCTCGCGCACGACGCTCAAGACTTCATAAACATGTTTTAGAGGGGTTTCAGCTGTTAGCTAGCCTCCCCCTAACATCAGAGGGATGAATGGCACCACTTAGGCAATTTTGAACTTCCCAGCGGGAAATTTTCGCCAAGGTCACCTGAAATATTCCACCTTTTTGGATCCTCACGCTGCTTGGCTGGGCAACGAGTATTCTCAAGCGTTTCTGGTCGTAAATAATGAAAATGAGTCTGCTACGTGGGTGAAAGTCATAAACAGGTGAGAGCAGTTGCTTGGTGCTACTTAGAGTGAAACGAGTCAATATGTAAGAAAGCCAAAGGTTCATTTCATGGCCAATAATACTACGGGAACTAAGTATCTGGGAACAGTGTTCACCCAGTAGGCTGACACTAGCTTACCTCCGAGGTAGTTACCCCACGCTCAATGTGCAACCACATGATCTCCCCCCTAGAACTGGACTCCCACCATTTTTTTTCATCTTCCAAAATAGGAGCCTTGTTGGCGCAATCGGTAGCGCGTATGACTCTTAATCATAAGGTTAGGGGTTCGAGCCCCCTACAGGGCTTTTTATTTTTCACACTCACGGGAAGCGAGGTGTCTTTAATAATAACCTTAGAAATGTGCGACAGCCTTTTATAAGGGTGCCTTAGGAGGGTGCGACAGCGCCCTCCGCCGTAATCCCCATACTAATTCCACTTTTTTCCCTTCTGTCCCGAAAAACTTTTTTCCCTCTATCCCACTTGTGCCGAAAAACTTTCCCTCGAGTACCGAAAAAAGGATTTGCACCCAGAGGGTCACGTGATCCGGTGTTGAGGTAGCCGCTTCAAGCGGTGTTTCCAGGATTGACGAAATTTTAGCTACATCATGAGGTAATTGGGGTCAGAAGGAGCCTAGTCGAAAGTGTCCGTTTCCTCGCATCAGCGTGCACGCTGCAAGGGTAATCCACCAAGGCCTGACGCAAATTAGGGCTTGAGGGGGTCACGCGATCCGGTGTTGATGTTGCTGCTTCAAGCGGTGTTTCCAGGATTGATGAAATTTTAGCTACATCATGATGTAATTGGGGTCAGAAGAAGCCTAGATGTCACCAAGTCTGTGGACTAGGATAATAAGCACACAGAAGAAAGCTATGGTGGGGTCGGGGAGTGTCTGTTTCCTCGCATCAGCGTGCTACGCTACAAGGTTTTGGATAAATGCATTTTTAGCGGCTGGAACCGCACGGGGGTAGAGTAATACAGAAGCAAGGGTAAACGCACAGCGGGAACTATATATGCCCGGCTTCCATGTACGCGGGAAAGCTCGCTGACACTGAGAACATCGCACTTTTCGCAGACGGGCCGATCACGTGCGTCTGTTCCTCGAGTCCTCACTTCTGCGATACGTAGATCATGATTGATGGGAGGTAAGAAAATGTATATATATTTCGCTAGTTGTTGGCGAGGAAGAACTGAAAATCGACAAGTCACATGGTAAAGAAGCACGCTCTCGTGAAGGCGCATTGTTTCCCTTGACTTCGGTGCATGGAACAAATATCGGACCGCTACTCCGTGGTAGGGGGCTCCGCAGAGGCACCGCAGAGGCACTGGCTTTCTGCGCTGAACTTAAAGATCTAATAGTATACAGAAGGTGTAAAGATGATTTGATCTTCATCAGCTGTATATGGTGGCAATAATGTACTCCTGAGGTACTTCTGAGGTACTCCTGAGGTACTCCTGAGGTACTCCTGAGGTACTCCTGAGAGTGCATACTATGATAGAAGTCGTAAGTTGGAAGATACTGGGAGAAAATATCGAAATCTCAAGGGTCTAAACAGCCGAGTGCTCCCGTGATCAAGAGTGTATGACGAGGGTGAAGTGCTCCCGTGACAAGGCATTGAATGGCGAGGGGCTGGCAAGCTGACAAGCAGGGAGCTCACCCAAGAAGAGGTGCAGAATGCTACTTTTGGAGCTGCCGAATTGATTGAGTGCTTGAGATCCAGGAGAAGGCGGAAAATTGGCGAGATCTGGAGGGTCTAAACAGCCGAGGTACGATGGTGTCTGGGTGGAGGAGGTAGGGATGGGCGTAGTGCTCTCGTGACCAGGTACCGTATTGCGAGGAGCTAGCAAGTCTGGGACAGGAAGCTCACCCAAGGGGAGGTGCGGAACGCTACTTTTGGAGCTCCCAAATCGATTGAGTGCTTAACATCCAGGAGAGGGTGGAAAAAATAGCGAAATCTGGAGGGTCTAAACTGCCGAGGTACGATGGTGTCTGGGTGGAGGAGGTAGGGATGGGCGTAGTGCTCTCGTGACCAGGTGCCGTATTGCGAGGAGCTAGCAAGTCTGGGACAGGAAGCTCACCCAAGGGGATGAGCGGAACGCTACTTTTGGAGCTGCTGACTCGATTGAGTGCTTAACATCCAGGAGAGGGTGGAAAAAATGGCGAGATCTGGAGGGTCTAAACTGCCGAGGTTCGTGTCGTATATAATGATGTATAAGATAGCAAGGACGTTATAGTGTGGTGTGCAGACGTACAACATGTCTGGGTGGGAAATTTGAGGCGGTGTAGCCGAGCGAGCAGGAGTCAGGGAGGAGGGGGAGCGCTGTGGGTAGAGTAGCAGTCGTCTCGTTTATGTATTTCATGTCTTTGTGCACTCTCTGTACTTCCGCTCCGTGAGTTAGGGAAGGGCCGGAATTGAGATTTTAGGTCTGAAAGTCGAGTTGAGGGAGGTAATATGAAAATTGAATGTGGTATGGCTCGGGAGAGAAGTATAGATGTGTGATAGGAAGGTTAGGGAAGAAGAAAGATAAAATACGAAGTTAGGAAGCTCACGGTGGCAGGTCAAAGTTAGGAGAGGGTGATGTGCGAAGAGAAGAAGAAAACAGAAAAGTAGAATACTAGGTTAGGAAGCTCACGGTAGTAGAGAAGGAAGGCAGCTAATGGTTAGTAGTAGTGGTAGTAGTGGTGGTAGTGGTTGTAGTACTACTAGTGGTAGTGGTAGTGGAGGGCAAAGCTAGGAAGCTCGACGGTAGTAGTAGTAGTAGTAGTAGTGGCAGTGGCAGTGGTGGTGGTAGTAGCGGTAGTAGTAGTAGTGGTGGTAGTAGTAGTAAAAATAGTAGTTGAAAGAGAGTAGCGGAGGCTGGTAGATTGAGATTTTCCGTTTGAAAATCAAGTTGAGGGAGGTAATATGAATCGGATTAGGTGTGGCTAGGGAGAGAAGTACGAAGTATTGATATGGTAGGTGCTGTTATAGGGATGGGTGGGGAGAACGCACTGTTGATGGAGTATGGAGAAGATTGAGAGAAAAACAGTAAATAAAGGAATGAAGCGGTGGATATAGCGAGATACGCTATGAAGCTGGGTGGGGATATTTTGGAAGATAAGGGTAGGGGTGTTTATGAAAAGAATAATAGAGAGTATTGATATGGTAGGGTTTGGTATGTGGGCGGGCGAAAAGTAGTGGATATAGAGTATGAAGAGTAGTGGCTATAGAATACAAGTGAAATTAAGAGAAGAAAGGTAGAGGGGGGAGATATGAGGGGTAGGGTAGTAGTAGTAGTGGTGGTAGTGTAGATACAAAGTTAGGAGAGGTGGATGGGCGAAGAAAAGAAGAAGCGAAGAAGGGTAAAGTACAAAGTTAGGAAGCTCACGGCAGGGCGGGGAGGGTCGTTGGAGGAGCGGAAAAGTAGTGTTTATCGAGTGTTGAGTGTAAGGGGCAGGCAATAGAAGTGGAGTAGTACTAGTGGTGATGGTAGAGGAGGGAAGGATAAAGAAGAGGAGACGAGAGGAACGGCAGTGGTAGTGGTAGTGTAAGTTGAGGGAAAGAGGAAAGTAAATAGAAGAATAGGAGCGGGAGATAGGTCAAGAAAGAAGTATCGTAAAATACAAGGTAGGAAGCTCACGGTTAGGAGCGGGAGATAGGTCAAGAAAGAAGTATCGTAAAATACAAAGTTAGGAAGCTCACGGTAGTAGCAGTGGCAGTAGTGGTTGTAGTGGTAGTGGTAGTAGTAGTAAGTGTGTGCGTAAAATAGTAGA